AATAAGGCGCAGCAGTTTGCACTAGCCGCTGGACTTGAGCAGAAGAAGAAATCATTTGAAGAACTCGTCCCTTCTTATCTTCACGATTTTGCCGACATCTTCGCAAAAAACGGCCTCAACTAGCTACCACCTGAACAACCCAGTATAGATCATCATATTGAAATGAAACCTGGTTTCATCCCTAAAACATCCAAGGTATACCCATTATCGGAAGCAGAACGTATGGTGGTCAAAGCTTTTATCGATGAAAATGTAAAGAAGGGATTTATTGCAGAGTCGAAATCGCCACAAGCAAGCGGGTTCTTCTTTGTAGGAAAGAAAAGTGGAGACCTTCGTCCTTGTCAAGATTACCAGTATATCAACGATTGGACAGTCAAGAACGCTTATCCCCTCCCGCTGCTGTTGTCATTAATTGCTCGGTTACATGGTGCCAAATATTTCACAAAGATGGACATTCGATCTGGGTACAACAACATCCGTATTCATCCTGATGATAGATGGAAGGCCGCTTTACCATGGAATATGGTCTCTTCAAGCCAAATGTCATGTTTTTCGGCCTCTGCAACTCCCCCACCACTTTCCAGGCATATATGAACTGAATGTTCCAACAAGAAATCAACAAGGGGTGGCTTGTCATATACATGGATGATATCTTAATTTTCTCAAACGACCTCACTTCCCATCATGAACAAACTCGACGCATTCTTGAAAAGATCCATCAAGAAAAACTGTTCCTAAAGCTGGAGAAATCCATGTTTGATGCACAAGAAGTGGAATATCTGGGAATGGTCATACATCCTGGTTGTGTGGCAATGGATGTTGCCAAAACAGATGGTATCCAGGATTGGCCTACTCCTACGACAGTGAAAGAAGTTCGATCATTTCTAGGGTTTTGCAACTTTTACCGGAATTTTGTCCCTCACTACTCTGACATTGCCAGGCCATTAATTGATCTGACAAAGAAGGCCACTGTATTCCAATGGTCGGACTCTTGCACTACCACTTTCACCACACTTAAAGACTGTTTCCTAAAACAACCCGTCCTTCGCAACCCAGATCCTAACCGCCAATTCGCTGTAGCAACCAATGCCTCACTAGTCACCACTGGAGCAGTCTTACTGCAAACTGATGAAAACGGGGTATATCATCCCTGCGGCTACTTGTCACAAACCTTGAACCCTGCAGAACAAAACTACCAGATTTTTGATCGTGAACTACTTGCGGTTATCCGTGCCCTAACAGAATGGTGCCATTACCTAGAAGGGAACCCCCACCCCATCATCGTTTTCACTGACCATAAAAACCTACTGTACTTCCGCACCGCTCAGAAATTAACTCGCAGGCAAGCCCGATGGCAGTTGATCCTATCCTGTTATGACATGGAACTCCACCATGTTCCCGGAACCAAACTTGTAGCCCCTGATGCACTCTCCCGACGTCCCGACCACGGGATAAATTCCACCAATGATAATGACAACATCACTCTTCTTCCCAACTCCATGTTTGTCCGCCTTCTTGATGTCGAACTCATGACCTCCCTTGCAAACCCCGACCCCGACCCCATCTTCCGTGCCACCTCTGACACTTTGGATGGTCTTTCCCTTCCCCTGATGAAATCCGCTCTTGCGGATTGGACAATCAAAGACAATGTCCTTCACTATAAGGACCACGCTTACATCCACCCTGCTGGACGACATCTTATTTTAGAACATTGCCATGATCATCCTACTGCCGGCCACCCCGGGCACTTTAAGACTGAAGAATTGGTCAAACGGGACTTCTGGTGGCCCTCTATGGGTACCTATATCCGAAAATACATCGAGGGTTGTGCCCTCTGCCAGCAGATGAAATCCGACACCCATCCTACTACCCCTCCTCTCATTCCTATCCCATCTGTCGCCACTACTCCGTTCTCCCAGATCTCGGTTGATCTCATCACTGATCTTCCTCCTTGTGCCGGCTTTGACTCTGTCATGGTTGTGGTAGACCATGGGCTTATGAAGGGGGTAATTCTTATCCCATGCACAAAAACCATCACTTCCAAAGGGGTTGCCAAGAAATTCTTCAAATATGTCTACCAATGATTCGGCCTCCACGAAAAAGTCATTTCCGATCATGGGCCACAGTTTGTATCCAAGTTCTCACAAGCTCTTGCCAAGCTCTTGAAATACAACATCGCCACATCCACCGCTTATCACCCCCAGACCAATGGCCAAACCGAACGACTTAATCAAGAACTTGAAACGTATCTCCAAATCTACTGCCGAAATCACCCTGAAGATTGGTTAGAACATCTTCCTATGGCAGAATTTGTGCACAACCACCGGAAGCATGACTCTTGCAATGCTTCTCCATTCTTCCTCATGATGGGACATGAACCACAAGCCCTTCTGCACACACTCCCTGACTCTACGGTCCCTGCAGTAGAAGACAGACTTCGCTCTCTCCAGAAATCGAGAGAGGAGGCACTCTCTTGTCATAACCTTGCTATGCAATGGATGGCAGAGCGAACTCATGGGCAGAAATATCACCCATGGAAGATAGGAGATAAGGTTTGGTTATCCGGAAAGAATCTAATCACGCAGTTACCATCATGAAAACTCGCACCTAAGCGGTACGGCCCGTTCCCGATCATCGCCGTCTTATCCCCCATCACCTTCACACTCCAACTACTGCTGCAATGGAAGGTTCACCCCACGTTCCATGCTTCTGAGTTATCATCCTATCAGGAGACAGAAATCCATGGTCCAAACTTCCATGATCCTCCCCCAGATACCATCGATAATGAAGAAGAATATGAAATTGATGCAATCTTATCGCACAAGGGCGTGGGTAAATGAAGACGCTATCTTCTCTCCTGGAAAGGTTACTCTTCCACTAGTAATGAATGGGTCCCTGAGGAAAACCTTAGCAATGCCACCGATATCCTGGTTGCCTATAAAAAGGCCCACAAGTTATAGACTCGAAATAATGTCCTCCCTCGAACAACTACGTCTCTGCATACTACACATCGAAGAACTCACTGCCACTATGAACACTGTAGCTGAAGGAAACACCCACCCATTGTCCCTTCTCGACTATCAGACTGCCACTGCCATTGACTTCACCAATAACGCATCTTCCCCACCAACTTCCGACTCTACCCTTACGCTCACTGATGATTCCACCCTCACCGACTACTTCTCTATCATTGATCAGGTTGAAACCAGCGCTCTATTTGAATCCACCATCACATCCCAACAATACACTATAGAAATAGATCGCCTTCTAGGAGAAAGAGGAGCAATATCTAGTGGGCTCATCATCAGGATTATCAGAGACGCCAGCCTTATCGAACGTACCACCAATCTTTTGGAAGATGAGCGTCATAAGACCATCTTCCGTCACCTCCATATATGTATTTGCAATACTGCAATCCGCCTACTGCCTGATGACACTTGAGAAGCTATCCAAGAAGCCATCTACATCGTCACAGAGCGTATTGCCCTCAACCCAGTCGCACGCCCCCCTTCTCCACACATCATCACTCCAGTCCCACCACTGGTCGCTGCAACAGCTACCGTTGAGCATCAGGATAATAATATCCCTCCTATTGCTGTATTGGACGTACCAACTTCTCCATCTCCTACCCCCATCGCATGTACCAAATGCAGATACCCGCTTAAACAAAGATTGTCCCGCATCGCCGCCAAATGGGCTGCATCAGCCTCCCTGCATAAACCGCTCAAACGATCAAGATCCCCCTCCCCCTCAGAACAGTCAACCTCCGTCACAGTCGTGAAAACCACAGCAGTTGATAACACCGTATGCCGCAATTGTCGTGCTGCTGGACATTGTCATAAGAACTGCCCTGCATACTATTGTCAGGTGTGCAATGAGTATGCACCTGGACATCTATCAGTCTTCTGCAAGGAGTTAAAAGGAGAAGCAGTCATTCCACTGGTTTGGACTGACCCAGGTTTCTATGAGGCTTTAGCTCATTGGGAAATCGAGCAAGATGCCATTTACCATGCCGCCAATCTAGCTGATAAGTCGCTCCCTATCACAGAAGAACAGGATGATTTACTTCATTCCAACTATGATGCAGACCCCATTTACTGGGCAAATCAGGATGACTGAAGTCAGTGACTTCGTCCCTAAACACAGGGTAATGTTACAGTAATGTCTGCCCCTATTCATTTTCTCTTTCATCTCTTGTGTATTACGTCATGACCATGCCCTATGGCGTCATCACTAGACTTATCTTTTACCACATCTGTATTACATCACAATTGCCGCGGCCATCGCTAGATGACTCACTCTTATCTCTGACTCATCACTGACGTATACATACCTGCCCTAAAGTACTTATGTCTATATAAACTTGGTCATGTACTTAGTAGATCTTTACTTTAATCTTACTAGGTTATTACCTGAACTTCCTTCGCTTAGGACCCCCAATCCTAAGTCATCTGAACATTGATATTCAAGCTAGAGACACTCTCTCTAACTTGTCTTAACGACCCTTACATTTGTAAGGTCTTGATTTGACTTCAACCGTTGCTCTTATCGAGCAGCTGTCGTCGCAACTATCCTAGTTTGTAACAGTCAAACAATGCTCTTCCTCGTCAACCCTGTCTGTATCCATTGCAACACTTGCTTTTGGAGAGAATCCCTGGTGGAGAGTATTGCGCAGGAATTATCTTTGATACAGTTTCACTTTCATCATAACACAAACCTTGGACTTTGACTAAATAACACGTCTGGCAATGAAGTGGTGTACATAGTCATGTAAGCACACTGGCTTACTAGAGTTTTCATAATCTACATAAATACTGGTCGTGATACTGAACTTTCAGTATCACTGCCTTGGCGTAACAGTTTAGGGATGACAGTCTTGACTCAGTTATAACTCGTTACCCCTATCCATGGAGGCAAACGTTAGTTCCGAGGTGATATCTGCATAGTGCTTGTTCGTTCAAAGTTAGTAACAAGGATCTCCAACTCCAGCTTAGCGCAAGACCAGAATCATCATCGTCATCAGGAAAGCATCAAACTCAACTCACAACCAACCACTTCGTTCTCGATCATCAGATATACAATTAGTACCCAATAAATGAGCTATCCCACTAAATGAGTATAAAATACGTGTACGACCAATAAACGTGCAGCCCGAGTGCTAGAGTAGAGTAAACCGGGCCCATCCGACTTGGAGCATGTGTGCGGTACGGTAAATACATACGTGACGAGGTATGAAAAACACGTGTGGTATGTGTGGGGTATAAGCGTGTCGTGGTATGTCGTGTCTTGACGCGCGCAAGGTATGTTAACCACGTCGCTTCATCTAAAAAAGGACGTGAATCTCACCTTAGGTCCAAATCCTACAACTCCAACTCGAAATTAAGCGAGTCCCGATTTTCGTCCATGACTCTGGCATATTCGAGGAATAACCTGAGGGATGGGAATAAGAACGAGTTGACATCGCGCGCCTGCTTCGCATGCCGCATACTCACCTATACAAATAAGCAACCATATCCTCCTTTCTCCAAAACTGTAAACTCCACTCCCTCGCCCTCTTCGCAATCTTCATCGCAAGGTCTTCATGGGCACCGTGCCCGCTCGGGTCTCCGCGGAAGAAGAGGAGCGCGTTGTAGAGGTCGGAGTAGTCGATTTGGATGGGGATGTAGTGGACCCAGGGAGCAAGGCGGTGGGTGAACCTTTTTTGGGTGGGGTTTGGGTTGAGTAGGGGTTAAGTTGGGCGGGTGGGTGGAAAGAAAAGAGTTAAGAACGCAGACACGATGAAAAAGGAAACGCACCACTCAGGATACACAGTAGACTTGAAAACAACCGAATTACTCGTCATGAGTCTCTTAAACCGACTCGACCAGCCGTTCCCATCCACCTGCCGATCAACGCGTTAGTAAAACCCACACGCAACTCAAGAAGCGGCCTTACATCAAGCACGTATTTATACCTCCCAGCCTCTTTAACACCCATCCTCCTTCTCCACTCCCACCTCTCCTCCACCTCCTTACACACCACCTCCTCACACTGGCCCGGTTTCCCAGCGAACGCTATATCCATTATCGCAGGGTTCACGATGGATTTTTTCAAAGTCTGTGTTTCGAACTCGTCAGGGGAATGAGGGTCAGTGAGGAGGACGTCTATAGTTTTATGATGCGAGGTGGTACGCTTCTGAGGGTGAGAATTCGAGGAAGGAGAAGGAGAAGAAACAAGATCCATCAACCGCCCCCTCTGAGCATCCTTCCAAGGCTTCTCCTTCCCATGATGAATCCCCGTATTCAGCCCCCTCCAAAGTAACCTCTCCTCCTCCTTGTCCATCCACGCTTCCTCACCACCCTCAACATCCTCCACCCAACTCAACATAATTGGCAGTCTGATATCAGCATGCAATGGACTGCTGCAATAGCTGAACTGTGGAATTAGGAAGGGATGTGCGACTGGTCCGGGTCCGTGGCTTAGGAACTCGCCGTGTTGGGTGAGGTGAGAAGGGTGTGCACAGGGGTCCATGGCGAGGAGGTGGTCGTAGATGAATGTTTTAGGTTTGACGGTGTGTGGTGGTGGAGACGGGGGTGGGTTACGTGCAACGCTATTTAGGGGGCAAGCGTGTATCCAGCCGCGGGCGAAGGGGGGTGGGTCCTGGGACTGGGGGTCGATTGCTGTTTGAAGGGGTGTTAGAAGGTAGGTGTGGATATGATAGGAGGGACGTACGTTTGCCTTTTTTCCCAGCTTCGACAACCTTTTGCCTCGTCTCATGGGTGACGAACACATTTGGGTTATCATGAGGACTAAACACAGCTCTAAAGAGCGGTAACTCGTCTTGGACGCCTTTCAACAGCTCTATCAGTTGGTTTGCGCCTACCAATAATCGCTGGCGAGCGTCTTCGTCTGCAGGCAATGACTCATTTCCGATGTGAAGAGGCCCTGAAGGTGTGGATTTAGCGAGGGTGTAACTATGTACGTGGCTTTCGTGAGCAAGCTGGATGGCTTTGAGACGTGTAGGGTCTATACCCCAGAAAGGAGCAAGATCAGTATTGATTTGGTCATATTCGTCTGGGAGCTGAACATTGTGCTTCTGGACGTAAGCCCACCTGTTGTTAAGGTGATTTAGAAGAGGAAATGAAGGGAGGAGGGGAACATACCATTTATCGAAGCCCGGTGGAGGTGCTCTTGAGTATCTGCGGTGGTACTCACGAACGGCTTCGGGTAATGTTTTGCTTGCGCGTGCGAGTTTCGCGTCCCATCCGCTTTCTGCGTGATCGATGAGATCGAGGATGGGGTGTCTACCACCTGGACTGACTTGGAGTAGACCGTCTGGACGAAAAGTGTGAGCAGGGAGTTTTGGTGGTGGTTCTGGGTATAGGTCATTAGAGTCTAGATCCCATGGACTGGATCCTTGTGTTGGTGCAGACCAGTGTACTTGATATGCTAGCTTAGGAAAGTATGCAGCTGTAGCAAGTGGACCAGTACTAATGACTGATTCATTGGGTGCAAGGGTGAATAACAGAAAAGTACAAGCAAAGATGACCAAAAAAATCAAAGCTCGCTGTGATCTGCGAGTTATTCGGAAGGGAAACATTTGAGGAGCGGGGTTGATTCGTCCATGTCTTTTATAATTAATACGAATCTCATACTCGGAACACTCGGAACCTAACCAATTGCAAATCATCAAGAAGCGTCCTGCTACATCCCCGTCAGGGTGCTTCACTGCGAAATTAAATAAATTAACTCGGTTATCGAGAGTCGAGACTTGGTTTTGTTGCTAGGAACAATCATACATCACCCACTCGGTCGGAGTGGACGTAAGCGACTACAGTGGAGAGTCCTGTGCATCGCGGCACTCAGGGATGAACACGCGCGATTATGATAGCATTTTATACAAAGAAAGTAAAGCCTCATCTCCGCCTCAGTACGTATATCGCGTGTCGTAATGGCAGGTGAGAGAAAAACAAGTCGCCACCATGTGGGCGCATCAGAGTTTGTGCCACTTATGGCTTCAAGTCATCCCCCCTAGGTGAACAGTGAGAGAAAAATGTTAGACTTGTGACCAGTCTGTCTGTCTAGAAAATGTACATCGTTGGAGGTCGTGATGTCAACAAAGGACCACAATTCTCTTCTGATCATGTGAGTATGTGGTCTTGCGTCAGCTATACAGTTCCCGGTTCATTCCGGTCGAGCGGATGTTTAAATTCTTTCAACACTCAACATACCCCCACTCCGAACGCCCTCCATGATGCAATGTTTGGAAGTGCACAACTACTAACTCATCGCTATGACTGTATCTCGCAGCCAAACAGACGAATGTTTTGCCTGTGGATACAGTTATCGCTATGATCAGACTGGTACTCCAACTGAATCCGAGTCATTCACACAGTTTACACGACACACGCACCAAGCCGCATCCCTACTACCCCCACAACCACATTTCTTTTGATAATGATAATGTTATGAGCCATTTAAGCTTGACCGGTTCCCTACATATGGGTCAAGAATCGATTGGTCAAGATCGGACTGAATCAGACTCGAGATTTCAGGTATCAATACCCAACTGGAAGGTACATGTAAGGGGTGCAACTCCTCTGATAACGGACAACGAATTCCTTCTACCGTGAGCACTGAGCCGCTCTCATTGCACTGTCCCCGTCATCGCCTGGGTATCAAATTTCCCGACTTGTCAATGTGAAGGCCTGAGCCTGAAGCATTGACTGAAACTCTAATCTAATCTTGTGCTCGACGGTAGATACCTCAACCTGATCTTTGCAAACTACCCATGGTGGGTATATAACATTTCCTGGGCGACTTGCTCAAGATTTCGGTGATGTCAGATGGGTGGATGGTGCGCGATGGTTATGTTAAATCAGATAACATCAGATTAACAGTAACTTAAACCAGACATTATATACACGGGGAGTTCAACCGAGTTCAATGCATACAAACAAGAATAAAAGATACGCTCGTCCGTGATTCGCCAGCTTGGGAGACTAATAATAACGAGGCAAAGGCCGTCCCAGCGTGTTGGCCAGGATATCAAATCCGACCTAGATACCCAGCTGGTCATTCGAAATGAAATGACCACCACCAGCACATTGATATCCTTGTGACCGCTTGATCCAGAGATAGCCTGCAGAACAAACACCCATTTGCTACAGCTTCTGCTGTACTTGCGCCTCCTCGCGTATACTCTTTTCCTCTTCCCGCTTCTTCAACGCGGCCGAGGCTTTCTCTCGAGCTCTCATGCGCGAGTGGCCTCTTGCTGGCGCATGATCTGATCATTCGAAATGAAATGGCTTCCACCAGCACATCGATAACCTTGTGATTGCTTGATCCAGCGATAGCCTGCAGAACACACCCATTTACCGCAACATCAGCTGTACCTCAGCCTCCTCACGCTTCCTCTCTTCCTCTTCCTACTTCTTCTTCAGCGTGGCCTCTTGCTGGTGCATGAGCTGGTCATTTGAAATGAAATGGGTACCACCAGCACATCGATAACCCTGCAGCTGCTTGATCCAGCGACGGCCTACAGAACACACGCCCATTTCCTGCAAATTCTGCTCTACTTGAGCGTCCTCACGCTTCTTCTCTTCCTCTTCCTGCTACTTATTCAGCGCGGCCAAGGCTTTTTCTCGAGTGGCTTTAGCCTCTAGCTGTCAGATGCGAGCAGCCTCTCGCTGACGCACGAGCTGCTCACTGGCGGTGTTTACATTCTCAAGCCCTGTCAACCCCATGATGGCGCTGTTCTTTTCACCACTAACTTGCTTGTGATGCAACCAATCCCGGTATGCAGCCGACGTAGGTGCTGTATTCATCAGCGACATCGAGGAAGGTCTAGGCTGTTGAAACTTCAATTGCTTAGAATTCGAAGGAGTCTGGGTAATCAAAGGTTTCATTTTTGGCTGCAATTTCGTCGGTGGCGATGACGGAGTAGGCTTTGGCGGAGGTACGTTTGATCGCGGATTGGATGGGGGTGTTGGAGGTACAGGGTTTATCATCCTGTATGGCGAAGAAAAATGGGCGGCCGCTTTCTGTGCATTAGCTCTGGCTGGATCGATATCCTTGACTTTCTGTTTCAAGACAATCGCTTGCTCCTGGGCGTCAGCTATCGCGTCCAATTGTTTCTGTTTCTCTTCGAGTTCGCGTTTTCGCTTCTCCTCTGCACGCTCGGTTTCCTTGACACAGACCAGACAAGGGTCTGGCTTTGACTGATGGCATTTCCACTTCAGCTCGTGATTGACAGGACACGTGCCCGAGTACGGATGTTGACACGGCATTTGTGAATGGTCCGAGATCTGATGACATTTTAGTGGGCAAGGACGAACGTCGCAGTTCAACATGCCGTCACTAGAGATAATGTGAGTAACAATAACGTTACCAATTCCCAAATTCTTACCATATCTCTGTGCATCCACCGTTCGGACAAAGAGTATCAAATTCCGACGCAGATGTGATGAGGACTGTTCGATCTGAGTGACGTTGACACCTGATCGGGAAACCTTCGTACATGCAATCGCCTTGTTTGACGAGCTCGAAGAATTTCCCCCATAGCTCCTTACCCCTCCGAGCATTTATGAATGTCTGCGAGTTCCCGATCAGGATGAGTCCATCTCGAGCTCGGGAGATAAGCACGTTCAGACGTTCGGGAATATCCGATGTCGTTGGATTCATTGGACCTTGTCAGACTGGCGATGACAATATCATTCTCTTCGTCCTGATGATTATCTATTCAAACAGAAGTTAGATGTATGCCATAAGTCGATTAGCGGATACATGCCTATCGTGGCAAACCTGATGCGCTTCTTGGATGTTATTTCAGCTGAGGGCACTAAGTCTGGCATGGATGAGATCATGCGAATCAAGGTCATTGAGCACGGGGTCATTATCCCTCTTCAGGGCATCTTGAAGCTTGAGAGCTGTCCAAGGTATGACATGAGAACGACTAGCTTCTCCGTCCCATAGCCTTGCTGGGCGAGGTAGCGTATGATCTTCCAAACCATTTCCTACTTCATAGGTATTCTGTTCTGACCCAGACGAAGCCTCATTGCCTTTGTCTGAAATACGAGAGTGTTATCTCAGGATGAGTGTGGTCAATGAAGATAATGTTATTCTGAATACTGTGAATGTCGTCACGGCCCTGGGTCTTGGGAGCATCTGTGAGGTTGGGGTACGTAAGCTTCCTGATAAACACTGAAATTTCTGGACGCATACAATGTTGGACTGTCAGAGTTTCATGAGGAAAGCCCTTGAGAACCAGGCGCTCGAATAGTGATCTGTTGAGTTCAAACCCATCACCCTTTTCAACAGTCAGCTTGTAGTTGTTGACTTTGGGACGCAGTTGTCTGTGAGGAGTCAACTTCAGCAAGATGTACTGAATATTGCGTGCTTGTGGTCACCAATAAGAATCATCTGGCTTGTGTTATGACCCATCGCGGCGAGGATGTGGCTTTCTAGGATTTCACCAGCCTCCTCGACGAGAAGGACATCAGGATTCGCTACATGAATGTCCTGTGCAAACATAGCTGCTGCAGTTGTCATACATCCAATGATTCTCTTTCCCATGATTGGATAAATTGGCGAAGTTGTGGAGCACGAAAAGCTACAAGAGGATGCAAACCAATGTCGTTATCGCCGTCCTCTGTACTCTAAAGTCCATTTCGACGGTTGACGAAGGGTCCAGAGAATTGGTCCGCATGATGATTAAAATTCCTCATCCCAGTTTTCATCACTAGACACATACTCTGAATCGCTCTCATTCCCACTATCCTCATAAACTCTACATCTCCACCGATGTCTGCATCTCCATTTTCGCTTTCCTGTACCGGATGCGCAATTCCAACGTGGTTGTGTGGACCTTCAATCCCACGGTCATTAACTCCTTCGCCTGCAACCAGCGTCAATCTCCTCCCCTGCTCGCGGACCATGGAGAAGGACTTGACCAAATCCTGGACGACTTTCCACCTGATGCAGTATTTTCCAAAATTTGAGTGATCCCTAGACCCCCCAACCCACGAAACAATTAATCCCAGTCCGGGCGCGATGGCTGAGATAAAAGCGGCAATCCTTGCTGGATGGCGAATTCTTGGACTGCCAAAGAATGCTTGAGACAGCGCCTTGTGGGCAAATCCTTGGTACGGAACATCAGGGGATATCTCATGTCCGTCTATAGTGGACCAATTCATGATAATGGCAACCGAGACTAAACGAGGACAATGTTGCAACAATGAAATGAAGGCATTTGGAGCGACTCCGTGACTCGAATGGCCGTATTTATTGAGGTGTAGCTCTTCCAGGAGTGGCCAGGCCCTAGCCATCTGCAAAAGGACAGAATCGTCCCATCGCACAACATAGTGCTGGTAAGCTTCGAAGTTCAGCTTGCGAAGATGATGAAATGCAAAGAGCGGTTTAAACACTGCGATTCTGATTGAAGTCTTGTGATCAGCAGACCGATCGGCGATGAAGAGTCGTATCTGTTCCAGTGAGTTGTGCGCGCAAGCATCAGGTACGCAGGAAATCAAAGCCGGCAGGACCTGGGCGGATTCCACTCCCCCAGAGATATTAAAACATATTAATTTTGGAGCGATGAAGAGGCCCTCGAAAAAAGCATCTATGGGCACCAGGCTGCTGCATCCTATAGTCAGTTCTTCCAATGCGCAGAGCACAGAATCCCGCAGGAGCTTTGTGGTATCCACAGACATAGGAGTTGGTGGTAGATGAAACTTCAGAACTCGGAGTGAAGGCAACTTGAACAAGTGGAGTATGGCCGCCTCCGAAACTCTGTTAGTAGTCACCGATGTTAGGTGAGACCAACATTGCAATGCAGTTGACGTGTCTTCTGAATCTGCGAATGAAGAAAAGCTGAAATGCGAGACAGAGGGGCACAGCATCGAGATAAATGACAAGACGGAATGTTCGGATGGACCAAAGGTGTGGGTGGCGATATTGAGCCTCGTCAATTTCGGGGTGACAAATAACCAGATATATAGGAATATATCAGTGGCAACCGGGTCCCACGTAAGAGACATCAAGTTGGGGAGCAAGGGAAGGGGGAAGGGAGGACAGCTGAAGGCACGCCAAATTTCAGTACCGGCGACCATTAGAATCCGATTTGTTCTGAGTGAATGGACACGGTAGTTGTATTTACAAAAGATAGACCAGTCGTCGAAGGTCATGACTCTTCGAAGTACCTGGCAAATGAAGTGAACTGGCATACTCTCATTGTGAACAAAAGCTTGACCTACCAATTTTTGTCCCTCCCATTCCCATAGGCTTCGCGGGAGACATCTGATAAGTGGTTCAAAGCTATCCATGTTTTGCCACAAAAGGTCTAGTGCAAGCCCACTGAATGACTTGCATGTCAAGGCAAGTGCCAGGAGTGTCTTATTTCCCATGGAGTCCGTAGGAGTGTCTTGGACCAGCTGAAAAATCTTCCACCGGAGTTCAGGTATAATGATCATACAGCGAGTAGACGCCGGCAACTCAAGCGTTGAGGTAGGAGCGTTACATCTCTGTCCGCTGTGGGCCTTTTGAGGCGAGTTGGCTTCGTGTTGATTCTCAACGCTTTCGATGGAGAACTCGGCCTCCATGAGTACTTCAATTTGTGTAGCAGCACAAAAGCCGAAGAAAACTTAACTGGGGCCCGAGAATCAGCCGCACAGCCACATTTACAGTTGGCTACATACCCAACGTCATCCAGGGCATCATGCATCATGTCTCCGACGGATCCTCGTTGGTTTTCATGCGATAGTAACAACTGGTGGCGCTGAATGGCAGACCAACAATACGTATGTACATATAGACCAGGCTCTCGTCCTTTGCCTACCCCCCTCTGCAACGTTCAGTCTGTTCCTTTACAACGCTGCTAGAAACAGGAACACCAATTATACAAGTGCGGAGAGAATAGAAACGAAGATGATTACACGAAGCTCTGATGCACAAGAGGCTCGAGATTATTGCATCGAAATCCATTGATCTTTGAATGTCAACGACTTCATGACAGCGCGCCAACACTACTCATACGTCTACCACTGAAACAGAGAGTTCTGCATCACGTTGTTCCTTCTCCGACACGGAGTTCCCGTCTCTGAGTCCACCTTCCATAGACGGTGTGAGGTTGGCTATGGGTCCATTGAACCAATGGACGCCTCCATACACCGGACAATAATACCAGAAAATCGCAAGGGTCATGTACCCTCCAAGGACCACAACTGTATAGTTCATCTCTTGTGCAGTCGTCTGCGGGGTCGAAGGAAAGAAGAAAACGATGATCATGAAGACCATCGACGATACAGCTATCGCAGCGACCGGAAAGCTCTGCAGGGTATATTAACTCAGGAATGGTGAATACATCCCGATAGATCAACTCACCAGTTTCCCAAGATGAAATGGGCCCGGTTTAAAATCGTTCTTGAACGCAAAGCGAGTTGTGATCGGCGTTATGTAAGAGACATACGACGCAGTGAGACCAATAGTGAACACCGCATTGATAGCCTCGGTGCTCACGAACGCAAGAAGTCCAACCACCAGAACAAAGACGGTATCGAACCAAACCGTATTGACAGGTGTTTTCGTGTAGCCATTGATTCGGTACAAATATCGTGAGAATGGGAGGGCTCCATCACGAGCAAATGCAAATGTCTGGCGAGAGCCGACTAGGAGGGAGTTCGATGTCACTATATACCTGCTCTGTGATTAGGCTATGAGTGTACCACTGTGCCGCTAAAACGTACAGCGTTGAGATAATGAGACACCACAGAGCCAAGGCCCCCCTCTGCCCAAGTGAAGTGTACAAGATTTGCGCCATAGGCTGGCCGATAGGGCTATTTAGGACGCTTTCGAGGTCAGTACCCATGCAAAAGGCAAGGGAGACATTGATTCCTGGAGAGTAAAGTGTCAATAAGTTCAGAGTGACACGTCGTTCCACATACCCCAACCAAGGACGACCGACATAGCGATAGAACTAGTCTACCTGAGGTAAACACAAAAATTGGACATCTTCTAGTGTTACTTACGATTGCCAATGGTATCGCAGTAGCAGCATTTGAAGCCTCCTCACTCATATGGACGCTGGCATCATAACCCCCTGATGTGTTAAAGGTGGTCATGAACTGACAATTCAGGAAAAGAAAGAGGCTCTAACCTATCGAATAGAGAGGAGCCATGAAGCTCAAGATAAATGCAAATCCAGATGGCCAGCCGGCCACTATAACTGACAGTGAGCTGCGATGGTAATTAAAGGAGGATACCTACAGTTTATGAAGCTCCTAGCGCAAAACTTGCACTGTTTCGGTATTCGGGTGGGGTTGCGATCGGAAGTGCAATAATGACTATGAAGCAGAGGCTGTCGGAGAACTTCAAACAATGATCATGGACGAGTATACAACACCTACCACAAATTCACAAACGTGTATAGTCTCTGTAGTCTTGCTAAGACTTTAGTACCGAGACTCACGAGGAAGGCATGTGACAAGGCCAAAGCTGCGTATATACCGCTGTGGCATCTGTTAGGAGACATCATGCATAGAAGAGGGTGGGCTGACTAAAGCTGCTCGTTGGTAGTCACATATGCCTGGTCTGAGGCAATACTGATCGCTGCTGCGATTTGAATTGCGCAAGCCCAGTTTACAGAAGCTGGCCCCATGCGATTAGTGGCAGACTGTTGAAAAATGAGAATTGTCTTACCGACTCCTGTGATAGTCTGTATGGTATTCGAATCTGCAGATATCAGGACGGAATACACATCATATCGAGATGCAAGACGTACAACCAACTATCCACGACAGAAAATTCCGGCACCGTGGAGAGGCAAGTGAATAAGTCCAATAATATAGCTAGACACTCATAATGAGCAAGTGTGAAACAGTGACGGCACAAAGTACATACACCTCCAGAAGTAGGTGCAGCTGACGCGAGTTCCGCCATTGCCAGCCCGATGCACATGATAAAAGGGCCAGCAACTGCCCACTACACACATAAAAGCTTTACAAAGCAGTTATCCCCACATATGATGAAAGCTTACCCCCCAAACCATAGCGACAGGCCCACCATTTGGTATGGCATAAAAGAGCACGGAGCTGAATAGATTTTCATCAGTGGAGTGGTGTCATCAGCTCGAGCCTCAGTAGCGACTTACGCTATACCAGGGAGCACTCCTGTATAGCTGAACTGCAAGTCCAGACACCTGTACAACTGTTAGATTGGGTCGTGTCGTATACACGAAAGAGTCTGATATCAAGCCCACCTCTAGTGGGGTAAATTCCCTGCGAAGCTCCTGCTTGTATCCCAGCTTTGGCTAGAACAGCCTCATCCGCGTCCGATTGCAGGTGCCGCTTCGAAGTCGCAGGAGCTCTGGCGACCATATCGTATCACTACAAGTCTCTGCAAGTGGGCGATTCCGAATGAGTCATGCAACATGATGCGTACTAAAAGAGAATTAGCCTCAGTAAGATCCACCTTATGACCCAGAAGCCCTATAGGGCTTAGTGAGAATACCCATATGATATAATCTAGTCTGCGATCCAAATGGAAATTGACCGAAGTGATGCCTGTCTATCCCAACTTACGGACGCTCAGTGTCCGTTTTAGGTCTACTGGGTGGAGCATCCGGACTCAGTTCGGCGAGGAAGCTGGCATGTCCATCCGGACATATGTGGGCAAGTTGGACAGGTTTGGTATACAACTCGGAGTAATTCGACATCCATGGCCATGTACCAAAAATTCAAATGTCTCGCAGTATGATTCCGACTATAGTTCCCACGGTTACCTTCTCTTTGAACCTTCCGACCCTGGAGCTCTTCCACGATCATATGCATGCAACTTCTCGGAGTGCTTGGCAGTGGCGTCCGTTTTTTCAGCAGTGTCCCAACAACAACGTGGATTAGACATGCCATCGTCTGCCGAGTTACATGTTTCCCGAGTCTTTCTTATTGTTGGGGTTATTGAATCTTCAGTCACGAAAAACTGTAAGATTCTGAAATCAATGCTTGTCAGTCAGTGCACGCTACGTCGGCAACAGCCGACCCCACCAGCTCGAGGTTGGGTCGAGGGATACTGATTTGGCACCGTTAGCTACTAGCCGAGTCGACAACATACTTGCCAGTTGCGATATGAGCTCTACCCTTGTCAGATCGGAATCGCGTAGAGCGATTTTTATTCAGAGACTTCGAATTCTGCGAACAGCAGGTTTGTTCAACACGAGACCGCATCTTCAGATTCTCCACTTACATTTTGCATTCCAGACAAGCTCAATCGACACCTCCTAGATTTGGTGCATCCGGTAGCTGTGCCATATCGAAGAATAGCTTGAATCAAAAGGCTACTGTCCATGATGCTATCAATGACGAGTGTAGCTCCGAAGGGATCGTCAAAGGTCCTAGCCCTTAAGATTGCCGTGAGCGCGTACGCTTCCAGGATATTTTATCCAAGGTAATGAAGAATCAGATCGTGGCGAGCATCTCGAATCGCCGTCAAAGAGAGTGAAGATATTGGCCACAATAGTACGTTCACAACATCGTTTGAACATTGACTCGAAGACCGATCATATATTTTCAAAGTGGACATACACCTCTCCTGGTAAATAAGCGCATGCTCAAACTTTCACGTATCACTCGCTGGGTCTTTACTGCGATGATCTGATCCCAACGCCTTCGTAGCCAGGAACTTGAACTGATGAGGTACATTGTCGACGATGAAATCGAGCAGATCCAAACACAGATGAATGCAACTGAACTGCAGATTGGCTCCATCGAAGGCATGCTTCGTGATGAAGAAGTGGACGTAGAGAGCGAAGAGTGTGGTTTACAATATCAGGATGTTCTCTGGCGATGACCATGGCTCTGAGGCAAGTTGGCAAGAAAATGACCCTTGCGACGCTACAATTTCATTTGCTTCTAGAACTGGCCCATACTACGTGTCAGATGAATCACATTTCGATTGACTTTACTATCGATCTCTATCCGCTGTCCATGTCTGCGTCGATCAAAAAATATTGTGCCAAATTTCATCATCCTTATAAAATACATCTGCGATATTCCTTGTCAGTCGCCAAAGATCATCCCGAGAAATAACTGCATAACAGTGGTCACTACTCTTCACAGACTAGTCCGTCACAATCTCTTGTAGGTATCCTAGTTGATCACTGATGAACAGCTGACACGGTATCAACGCATCGCAGCAACGTAGGTTATATAATGCACCGTCGTACAACGTGTCCAGGTATCATGATAGCCAACCACGAGTGCGATGATGCGATCCCGTTGGTTTAACTCGGGGCAAGTTCCGCATTGCACATCCTAAAGGGCAAAGTTTTTGTACAGCTGCTCCATGAGGAATAGCGCGGTAATGCTTCTGGCACCCTTACCTATTGAGAACTCACAAGCTTGGTTCGTCCATGTCCACTCAAGTTGTTGAATGACTGAATTATGTAGCTGCCTTTATAGTAAGGGACGCGCATCTGATCCAAAGTACTGCGGTTTGAATGTATGAGGGAGCGGCGGGTGACAGAGAAGAAACATGTGCGAGCGAGCAGGATGTGATGAAAGTGAAAGAAAAGTCAGCGAAATAGATAATTACTCCTTGCTCGGTGTTTGCAGTAAAGCGAATTCCGAACAGCTAGAATTTCTCTTCTTCACCTCAGGGTAGTAGCTGGAAGGTCACCCAACGGGGACGAACTGCAAGTTTAAATCACGTCGTGATTGTCTACCATAAAAGAGTGGTGGGCAAGAGAAAAGATTTCCAAGAGAGCGCATTGCAGGTGGTGGTGTCGACGAGGAAGAGAAATGATTTATCAGACTTACTTTTCATCGGAGAAAACTATATACTATACCACTACAAACAAAAGAAACAGTTAAAGCGCAGTGCCCAATAAGCTATGTTAGGGGATATAGTAACAAATATAAGGTGTAGGTATAACGCGGATCGCCGAGGGGTCCGTGTTTGAGATGATACGTCGGTGCGCGAGTTAGTTTGTTCGGCGTTCGAGTTGGGTACAACTTTATGATACACTTCCTCCTTATCCTCCACTCTCCACTCTCCACCTATCATCATCTCCCCTTCCTTCCTCCATCTCCCACTCCTGCACCCACTCTCTTTTCCTCCTCCCCTCTATCTCTCACAATCCCTCGCTTGTCCTAGTAAGGCGACCTTCTTGAAAGCGTCAGACTCTTGAATGACTTTCGTTAGTGCCTCTATCCCCTTCTCCGTACCCAGATCTCGTTGAGTATGATATCGTGGGATACTTCGTGCAAGTAGATGTGTGGATGATCGCGCAAGATGTGCTCTCGCGTTTGACGTGGCGGCTCTCTGCATGAGCAGCCAGCTCAAACCATTCGAGCAATGGAGAGATGACTCCGCGATGTTTGGCACTGGTGCTTTGGTACCGAGTCGACGGCTTTCAGTAGACAGTAGTTCCACACCAAATTGCTATTAGACCTTGGCTGGCAATCCGCTGGCATTGCAGACATGCATCTGTTTGAAGGCACAACTACGCAAAGATCAATGTCAAATAACAATATCCAGCACATACTAAAAGCCAGCCGTCTTCCTGACCTACTGTCTTCTTCAGAATTATCTGATCCCATAGCACACGAGTCGCAAATAATGCGTTTCTCCTCTGCAATTGTCCTCGTCGCAATTGCTGCTTTAGCCTCGTCACCAATCTCTGCCATGCCTGCTGACGCGGCTACCAGTGGCACTGATATATGTCCCAACTTTTGCAAAACAGACGAAGTGTGCAAAGGCTGTTGGGTTGGGATTTGCGCGAGTTTCAGTAATTTTCCTTGATTTGATCACATAACTAACCGGCATGGCAGTACCTAAGTACTTTTTGTGTGGTGAGTTGTGTTTCTGCTTTCATATCAGTGCAGTATGGCCGTTGGCATTGATGCGAGAGTTATTAGTGATTTGTAGGGTTCATCAACGCGCCATCAGGAAAACATCGGTGGAGTTGGTGTAATTTTCGTTTGATTGAGAAGTGTTAGATAAGATGCATCAGTCAACCACAAATTTCTCCCAAGATGTGATATGTCCCTGATCATGAACCTCCGAGTCCTTGAAGCCAAAAATATATTATTGTTACGGTGAACTAGGATGGGCGTGGCAATGGCATGGATACTCGGTAGGAGTAGCATCTAAAGCCGGATCAAGACCTCACAAATGTAAGGCTTCTTAAGACAAGTTAGAGAGAGTGTCTCCGACTTGAATATCGATATCTGACACTTAGGATTGGGGGTCCTAAGCGAAGGATGTTCTGGGTAAGACCTAGTAAGATTAAAGTGAAGTCTAGCTAAGTACATGACCGAGTTTATATAGACGTAGGTAACTTTAGGGCAGGTACACATACGTCACTGATCGAGTCAGAGATAAGGGAGACAAGTCACCCAGTGACGTCATGAACGAGTCAGAGATAAGAAAGATGAGTCACCTAGCGACGGCATATGGCAATCATGATGTAATACAACGAATATAGAAAGTAGTTAGTCTAATGATGGCACAGCAAGGTGCAGTCACGACATAGTACAGAGGAGGAGAGAAGAAAGAAAAATAGGGGGTAACCATAACTGTAACAATTATTAGTTCCCAATTCAGATCTGAATTTTGTAATATGATTGGTTTGCCATTAGTTATCCAGAGGAAAAGAATGGGCCACACTGCGCACTGCAGCAAGGTAGCATGGCATTTGTGGAACCATTGTCTCTGAAGCATGGTGACAATGTACTAAATTGTGAAAAGCGTGAGCGCAACAGTGGTCACCACGTAGCAAAGAGTGTTTGAGTCCCATTGTTTGATCTCTTTGACATTCATCCCAAAGATGGACTGAAGACATACGCAGTCAGAAAGTTTCTGTACAAAAGATCTCTATGATTACCGCAATGAAACTTGCTGGTAGGAAGACTATCGTGAGGTATGAAAACCTCAGCATCATCCATCGTCCTTCTAGACGATCTATTTCAATTAGTAGATTCTTGCACTTCATCTTCAACAATACATTTAAGTCTGTGCACTCTTCGTCAGTAACTTCATGAAATTCCATGGCCGGATTGGGGGTCGTCTCTATAAACATTACTGATACATTGAAGCCATGAAGGAGTGATTGGTAGTGCAAAGACGCGCTTGAGGGATATGGAGGTCATGTATAAGCGATATATCATCCATTTACAGTACTTGTAGCTCCTGGATGTGCTTGAGTAACATCACTTTCACTCAAGAACTACATACCAGCGGGCCAATATAGCAGACTCGTCCCATGCCTATAGCGTATACCGTAAAATCACGAGGAAGAGGAATATGTTGGATCTTTGGACTTGCTGAATATTTCGCCAGTATACACTTTCCCCTACAAGCTGCATGAGTGAGTGGGTAGCAGATATTCGGTGCCATGTAAACTCAGGATGATAGTGTTTTCTTTTCCGTCGAGGACCATGTGGATTGCGAGGAGGTCAATGAAAAGCATGCGGCGGTCTAGGAGGGACGTTTGAGAGTGAACGTATTAATTCAAGAACATCAATACACATACTACTTCTCAAGAAAGGAGACTGAATATCGATCGGGGTATCTGCTGGAGGTAAATCGAATGATTGTGGCGGATGATCGATGATGAGCTACTCACTAGTCACGAAATCCCATGTTCCAGGGTCAGTTGGTGATGGGCGAGTGTATGGTGATCGTGATTTCTACTGTGGTCGTAAAAATGACAGTGTAATAGTGATATCTATCGCACACATGAGACCCCAAATGGAAGGTTTATACTAACGATCCTTCTCCGTGACAAGGCACTTCCTGATCTCGTGCGGATATAGCAAGTACTAGGGATCTCCTTCGTCTCAGCGTAGCAGGAGCTCTGGCGGATGTGCAGTGTCCCTTTCGAACGCGTATCGTATGAATAAATAACAAACGCCGGTAACAAGTTTTCATGAACACGGCGACCTTCTTGACAGTAGATACTGACTCGGAGCCCTCTGATCGTAACTTGTCAGGATACTTTGAAGAGAGAGCAATCGAATGTGTGCACGTTAATCCTTCAGGAACTTTGAAAGCCCATGGACAGTGGAATTGATCAACCTGCAGGCGTCAGGAACTACAGTGAGTTTGAACCAAGTTTGAACCCAATATTATTACTGACATTGTATGGTGACCTTATCGGATTTTCAACAACATTTCAAATTTCAATCCCAGTGAGAAACGGTCCTAGCCGTATCGACGGTAAACGACGGAAATATCGCGACAATATTTCCGTCGATTTGGGGAGACGGATGAGACTTATATGATATTTTCAGCGACTCGCATCGAGTAAGATATTGCGGAATCGAGCGTGTTTGCGTAGCGTGGATTCCAGTATATTATCGTAGCTCCCAATTGACTTTTGCATATCCACTCATCGACGCAAATCGAGTGAAAAAATTTGTGTTAGGAAAACATTACAAATGCGATAAAAAGTGTACTCTATATTAATATACCGCAACCCCACCTATGTGTCTGAATGATGTAGCCCAACTTCTGGCACATTCTACATACTACATAGCTCCACCAATTTGCCAATGATACTCGCGGACTCGGTGTTGTCCGCATCCTGGGAGTCCTTGACCAGAATACTATATCATTGTTAGATGTGGTTGCCAGACAAGTAGACAGGACTTACAATGACGGCTGCCTCGTTTCCGTGTTTCTACAAGAATGGCCCGAATCAGTTCAAGTATATTAGGTAGCTTTAATGGAACTCACCAATCAACTGTATCCGTTGAAGCTGCTGGACGTGTTGATCATGGGGACAATGATATTGAACTAGCAATGATGTAAAACAGTCAGAGAACGAACCTGACAATGCCAGACAACTCCCAATGTTTGAATTGTGCGCATATATGCGCTGTAAATAGCACTTACTTGTCGCAGGAACCACAAGACCAACTGGATGACTGTCGAGTGATTGGGATTAGCAAATCGATTGGGCCGTGAAAAGGCCTAGTACCTACCTCGTCAGTGCAGTGGCCAAGCAAGAAAGTCATGCGTCAGACGATGCCAGGATGGTTGAGGTCAACAGCAAGATTTTGTTGAGAGGATGACGAGATGATGGAGGGGAAGAAGAAAGCTTAGATGAGTTGAGTGGGGATGGAATGTCCCAATATATATCATAATTGGCCCACTGTCACGGTGTGTCGACGTCATTGCGCGCGTGAAGTGATGGTGCGTGCGCAGCTGATCAGTGCGTAAGAATGTTCGTTCAGAACGTTCAAATATTGAGCAAAGTCAACACTGCACTTTGAGGCTAAATAATGGACGAGGAATATGTGGGGGAAATTCCAAATTATCGGTAGATAAACATGAGATAAACATACGATAACGACAACATGATTATCTCATGTTTAGTTACAATTTACAGCACATATCCTCCGAATAAAGTCTTTGATTTTCCTTGAATATTCAATGATATTAATATTTGGCATTCGAAGCAATAGTACAGATCCTCCAGCTAGGTACCGACAATTACATCAATTCTGACCTTCTACCAGCTTCTACCGCCTCCTGATCTTTTTGGGTGCTCAGTATCAACCTCCAACAGCCATTTGAAGCCGTGAATATGGCAGGACCGCACCAGAACATGCCCAACAAATCCTCCAGTGTGCCCTTGAAGCCCTTGAGCACTGCTAAACCAGGTCCACTTGCAAAGAAGAGGGCTTTGGAAACCCTGGCAAATGTGTCCACCTCGAAACGAGCATGGCCTGCGGGAGGGGATGGAGGGGAGGGGCCATCATCCTTTCTCAATCCATTCACCTCGCATCATCACAACCCTGCAGCAGCAGAACCCTTTGACCCAGGAATGAGTGTCGCTGAATCTGAAGAGTTGACCCGAAGGATGCAGCAGCAGATGGATCAGGGTTCAAGTGAGGCTATGAGCGAGATGGAGCAAGCAACAGATGACAGTGATGCAGACATTGATCCAAGCCTTCAGGATATGGACTCCATATCAGCCTTGACTGAATGGCTCAGCCACAAACACACACCTATTCAAGACAGTGATCCTGTCCAACATGCAGCATATATGCACCCCAAAGGGTATGGGAGTATTTCTGCTTCACGTGTGCCAGTCTCAGCCACTTCTCGATGTGTTTCGACCATGCAAGGTCCTACCCCCAATGCAGTGACTGCAAGCCAAGCACATTCAGTGACTCCAAGCACTACCTGTTATGAACTAGGATAGTCGCAACGACAGCTACTCAATAAGAGTAACGGCTGAGGTTGAATCAAGACCTTACAAATGTAAGGGTCGTAAGACAAGTCAAAGAGAGTGTCTCTGGCTTGAATATCGGTGATCAGACAACTTAGGATTGGGGGTCCTAAGCGAAGGATGTTTCAGGTGAGAACCTAGTAGATTAAAGTGAAGATCTACTGAGTACATGACTGAGTATATATAGAACATAGATGCTTTAGGGCAGGTACGTATATGTCAGTGATGAGTCATCTAGCGACGGCAGCAGCGGTCGTGATGTAATACAAATATAGTAGAAGGCAGGTCTAGTGATGGCGCGATATGGCACGGTCATGACGTAATACAAGGAGAAGAAAGGGAAATTGAATAGGGGCAGACACAATTGTAACATTACCCCTCATTTAGGAATGAAGTCACTGACTTCAGTTATCCTGGTTAGCCCAGTAAATAGGGTCAGCATCATAGTTTGAGTCAAGCAAATCATTTTGTTCCTCAGTGATAGGGAGTGACCTATCCACTAGCTCTGCGGCATGGTAAATGGCGTCCTGCTCAATCTCCCAGCGGGCAAGGGCTTTGTAGAACCCAGGATCAGTCCATACCAGCAGAATAACTGCTTCTCCTTTCAGCTTCCTACAAAAGACCGATAGGTGTCCGGGTGCATATTCTTTGCAAACTCAACAGTAGTACGCCGGACAGTTCTTGTGGCAATGTCCGGCAGAATGACAGTTATGACACACAACATTATCAATTGGTGCCATTTTTACTGTAATAACGGTGGTCGACTGGTCTGGTGGAGAGGGAGATCTGGATCATTTGAGCATCTTGTGTGGAGAAACAGATGTGGCTCGTTTGGCAGCGATATGGGAGGATCTTCGTTGGATGGGGTATCTGCGCGTGGTGGGTGAGATGGGGGTAGGAGACGGAGAAGCTGATATGTCAAGTACAGCAATAGGAGGGATATTATCATTCTGATGGTCAATGGTAGTTGTTGCAGGGACTGGCGGTGGGACTGGAATGGTAACATGCAGAGAGGGAGGACGTGCAACTGGGTCAAGAGCGATTCGTTCCATGACAATGCGAATAGCCTCTCTGATAGCGTCTCTAGTATCATCAGGCAACAGATGAATTGCAGTATTACAAATGCATATATGAAGGTGACGGAATATGGCTTGTGGCATTCATCATCAAGAAGGTTAGCGGTGCGCTCGATGAGGCTGGCATCCCTGATGATTCTGATAATGAGTCCACTAGATATTGCTCCTCTTTCTCCTAAAAGATGATCTATTTCAATAGCGTATTGTTGGGAGGTGAGAGCGGATTCAAAAAGGGCGCTGGTCTCAACTTGATCAATAATTGAAAAGTAGTCGGTAAGGGTAGAGTCAGTGGTAAGGGTGGAGTCAGATGATGGTGGGGAAGCCACTGGTGAGGATGTGTTATTGGCAAGGTTAATGGCGGTAGCGGTCTGATAATCAAGGAGGGACAATGGATGGGCATTTCCTTCGGCTACAGTGTTCATGGCAGCAGTGAGTTCTTCAATACGTTGTATGCAGAGGCATAGGCATTCGAGAGACATGGTTTCTGGATTTACAATTGATGAGCCTTTTTATATGCAGCAAGAACATCAGCAGCATTGCTAAGGTTTTCTTTGGGGATCCATTCATTACTGGCAGAAGAATATCCTTTCCAGGACACCAGATAGTGTCTTCGTTTACCCGTTCCTTTGTGCGACAAGATTGCATCAATTTTGTATTCTTCTTCATTATCAATGACATCTGGTGGTGGATCATGGAAGTTCGGACCATGAACCTCTGTTTCATGATAGGACAATAGTTCGGAAGCATGAAACATGGGGTGAACTTTCCACTGTGACAGTAATTGGAGTGTGAACGTGATGGGGGAAAGAATGGCAGTGATTAAAAAAGGGCCATATCGCTTTGGTGCAAGCTTCTGTGATGGTAACTGCATGATTAGATTCTTTCCTGACAACCAAACCTTATCCCCTACTTTCCATGGGTGGTATTTCTGTCCATGGGTTCATTCCGCAATTCGTTGCATAGCGAGGTTATGGCAGGAAAGTGCTTCTTCTCTCAATTTCTGGAGCAAGCAGAGTCTGTCTTCTGCTGCAGGGATGGTGGAATTAGGGAGCGTATGGGGAAGAGCTCTTGGTTTGTATCCCATCATTAGGAAGAATGGTGAAGCATTACGAGAGTCGTGTTTTCGGTGGTTATGCACAAATTCCACCATAGGAAGGTGTTCCACCCAGTCTTCAGGGTGATTTCGGCAGTAGATCTGAAGATAGGTTTCGAGTTCCTGATTAAGATGTTCAGTTTGACCATCAGTTTGAGGGTGATAAGCGGTGGATGTGGCAATATCATATTTCAAGAGCTTGGCAAGGGCTTTTGAGAATTTTGACACGAATTGTGGTCCACAATCTGAAATGACTTTCTCATGCAAGCTGAATCGGCGGTAGACATATTTGAAAAATTTCTTGGCGACCCCTTCAGAGGAAATGGATTTAGTGCAAGGGATAAGAATTACCCCCTTTGTAAGCCCATGGTCAACCACAACCATGATAGAATCAAAGCCAGCACAAGGAGGGAGATCAGTGATAAGGTCAATGGAGACCTGGGTGAATGGGGCTGCGGCAATGGAAGGTATAGGGATAAGGGGAGGAGTAGTTGGATGGGTGTCGGATTTCATCTGCTGACAGAGGGCGCAACCCTCAATGTATTTATGGATATAGGTACCCATAGAGGGCCACCAAAAGTCCTGTTTGACCAATTCTTCAGTTTTAAAATGCCCAGGGTGACCGGCGGTGGGATGATCATGGCAATGTTCTAAAATAAGACGTCAGCCAGCAGGGCGGATGTAAGCGCGGTCCTTATAGTAAAGGATATCGTCCGTAATTGTCCAATCTGCAAGGGCGGATTTCATGGGGGGAAGGGAAAGGCCATCTAAGGCATCAGAGGCGGTGGTGAAGATGGGGTCGGGGTCGGAGGGGTCGGGGTTCACAAGAGAGGTCATGAGTTCAACATCAAGGAGGCAGACGAACATGGAGTCAGGAAGAAGGATTTCATTGGTATTATCTTCAGAGGAATCTGTTCCATGGTCAGGGTGGCGAGAGAGTGCATCAGGGGTGACGAGCTTAGTTCCAGCGACATGATGGAGTTCGATATCATAACAGGACAAAATCAACTGCCATCAAGCCTGTCACTGAGTTAATTTCTGGGCAGTCCTGAAATACAATAGATTCTTGTGGTCTGTGAAAACAATGATGGGATGAGGGTTACCCTCCAAATAATGGTGCCATTCAGTCAGGGCATGGATGACAGCAAGGAGTTCTCGATCAAAAATCTGGTAGTTGCATTCTGTGGGATTCAATGTTTGCAATAGGTATCCACATGGGTGGTAAATGCCATTTTCATCAGTCTGTAGTAACACTGTGCCAGTAGTGACTAGCGATGCATCAGTTGCTACTGCAAACTGCCTACTTGGATCTGGGTTTCAAAGGACCAGTTGTTTGAGGAAATATTCTTTCAGGGTGGAGAAGGCTGACACGCATTGTTCTGACCAAAGGAATTTGACGTCTTTCTTGGTAAGGTCGATCAGGGGTCTGGCGATGTCAGAATAATGGGAAATAAAGTTTCGATAGAAGTTGCAGAACCCCAAAAATGACCGTACTTCTTTTACCATCGTGGGAGTGGGCCAGTTGCAAATACCATCAGTTTTGGCCACGTCCATTGCCATACATCTGGGATGGATGATCATCCCTAGATATTCTACTTCTTGTGCATCAAACATACATTTCTCAGGTTTCAGGAAGAGTTTTTCTTGGTGGATCTTTTCAAGGACGTGTTGAGTTCGTTCGTGGTGGGAGTCAAGGTCATTGGAGAATATTAGAATATCATCCATATATATGACGAGCCATCCTTCGTTAATCTCCTGTTGGAATGTTCAGTTCATATACACTTGGAAGGTAGCAGGGGAGTTGCAGAGACTGAAAAACATGACATTTGGTTCAAAGAGACCATATTCTGTGGTGAAGGCAGCCTTCCATCTATCACTGGGATGAATATGAATGTTGTTATATCCGGAATGGACATCCATCTTTGTGAAGTATTTGGCGCCATACAACCGTGCGACTAATGAAAGCGGTAACGGGAGAGGGTAAGCATTCTTGACCGTCCACTCATTGATGTACCGGTAGTCTTGACAGGGATGGAGATCTCCACTTTTCTTTCCTACAAAGAAGAAGCTGCTTGCCTGTGGTGATTTTGACTCAGAGATAAAGCCTTTCTTCACATTTTCATCAATGAAGGCTCTGACTGCTCTATGCTCCACTTCTGATAACGGATACACCTTGGATGTTTTTGGAATAAAACCAGGTTTAGTTTCAATATGATGGTCTATACCGGGTCGTTCAGGTGGTAGCTGGTTAAGGCCATCTTTTGCAAAGATATCAGTGAAATCATGGAGGTAAGAAGGGACGAGCTCCTCGAATGACTTCTTCTTTTGTTCAAGTCCAGCTGCTAACACAAACTGTTGCGCCTTATTGCTGGTCTTGATGTACTCCAATTCTGGCCATGACAATGGTGTAACCGTAGTTTGTTGTTCTGTGATGCTAGTGCCATCCTTAGTTAGGGGAGTGTCCATAGAGGTGTTGGTGATAACCCAAAGCTCAGAAGCATCAGTGGGATATTCAACTAAAAATTCATCATCTTCAAGGTGGTACATGGCAATTTCGCACACAGGTGGTGCATAGTCTGTGGTCCATACATTGTCTTTGGTATCAAAGGAGTCATTGTCGTTGTCAGGGATGGGATCAAGGTTAGGGAGTACTGGGGGTACTTCTTCGTCTGGGATCTCTTCTATGGTGGCTCAGGGTACTGGTTCCTTGGGTGATGCGGCTATGACCGTCTTCACAGGAGGTGCTTTCGGCAGCATTACAACTGGAATCGGCATCGGTTCTGGACTGTTCTTCAGGAGTTTCCTGAAGAAAGGTGGGAGACCGTTCTTTTCTCGTTCGATATCAACTTCTTCCTCAATCTGATCGCTTTTCTCAGTTCTCGAGAGTTCCAATGTTTCTGCTTTCCACCAGATTACTGGGTCCATAGCACATAGCCAGGGAATTCCGAGTAATATCTGATCACAACAGCTAAGCCGTGTGATGTTGAACTTCCCAATCATGGATCATTCGTCAATCTTTATGATGAGGACGCAATATTGAGTGATAGCACCCCCCTTCATATAACTTCCATCCACAGTAGTGACTCGGAATGGTTTCGAAAGTTTGTGCATCCAAATTCCGTGGGTTTTGACAAATTCTTCAGAGATAAATGTTCCAGCAGCGCCAGAGTCAACAACGGCCATTGTTTTGACGGTTTTCAGACGAGTTTTGGAAATGAGGGAAATAGGGATACAAAGTTCCTTTCTGATTCCAACACTCTGTACAAGTCTGATAGGTACATTGGAAGATACTGACGTCGATCCAGTCTTCCACATCAAAAATCCTCAGCGAGGCGACAGATCGTTGTATCTTCATCCTCTTTATCGCTGTCCTCTATCTCTTCATGATGAACAGGAGTCTTCTTCTTTTGTGGGCACGCTCTGGTCGTATGCCCCTTCTGGTGACACATGAAGCATAATCCTTTCCTCATATGGTCACTTCTCTTGGCTTCTGTAAGCCAGTCTACCTCCATGGCGTTTGGGTCGTGTCGATCAATGGATGGTCTAGGCACGTAACGTTGTCCAGTTGATCTGGTGGTGATACGATGGTTCTGTCAAAACACAGCGCCTCTTTGGTAGTTACTGTCAAGCCTAATGGCTGTGGCAACGTACTTGTCGAAATCTGTAGGAATGGTTTCCATCTGGAAAACGGAATTAACAATTCCTTTCTTTAATCCATCATTGAAGAACGTGATTAAGACTGCATCTTGCTTTACGGAGGCCTGCGCAGCAAGGGTCTTAAAGCTAGCAACATAGGAGGTGAGGTCACCCGTTTGTTTCAGGGTTCGGAGTTTGTTCATGGCGGTGCCAATGGCATCAGCCAGTACGAAAGCTTCTTTGAACTTGGTTTCAAAGTTTGCAAAAGTTCCATAAGACTTGGAGATGGAGTTTTCAACCTTGGTGTAAAAGGTAAGTGCCCAGCCCATAGCACTGTCTTTGGTCATATACGCAAGGGTGGTGATGACCTTCTTCTCGTCGGTGTTGTAGATTGTAGCGTTAAGCGCGAAGTACACTTTAACCGCATACAACCATTGTAGAGCTTGCTGAGGACTTCCATTATAGGTAGAGGGAGCTCTGGCTTTAAGTTCTGGGATACTGGTGGACATACTGATCGTTCTTGTCTAGTGATGTTTCTGTTTCAGGGAATGTTCTAGTCTCTCTCTGATTTGTTCTGGGATCTGGGACCTCTTCTGATGGAGAGGGTTGATAGATGACTTTAATCTTTTGTTATGAACTAGGATAGTCACAATGACAGCTACTCAATAAGAGTAACGGCTGAGGTTGAATCAAGACCTTACAAATGTAAGGGTCATAAGACAAGTCAAAGAGAGTGTCTCTGGCTTGAATATCAGTGATCAGACAACTTAGGATTGGGGGTCCTAAGCAAAGGATGTTTCAGGTGAGAACCTAGTAGATTAAAGTAAAGATCTACTGAGTACATGACTGAGTATATATAGAACATAGATGCTTTAGGGCAGGTATGTATATGTCAGTGATGAGTCATCTAGCAACAGCAGCAGCGGTCATGATGTAATACAAATATAGTAGAAGGCAGGTCTAGTGATGGCACGATACAGCATGGTCATGATGTAATACAAGGAGAAGAAAGGGAAATTGAATAGGGGCAGACACAATTGTAACACTACCAGTGCACTCAAACACACCTCACATCATCTAGGAGCACCACCTCTCAAACCATCAGCATTCAATCAGTTTCAAACTCCTGACATACCTCCTGCTCATCACCCAGGCTTCTCAACTAGCACCAAACCTTCACAGCATGCAGTGGCAACATCACTATCCAGTTCAAGAGTTCCTAGCGCTGAATTTACAGACAAACTCGCAAACCTTGATACCATTGTTGCACAGCTTGCTGAGAAAGTTGATCAGTTGATGCTGCAGAGTAGAGAATCAGTTGAATTCAAGCCGCAGATCAAGGAACTCACCCAGGCAAACCATGTGCTGCGAGCAACTGTCAAAGATCACCGTGCTGCAATACATAAGCTTGAAGCAACTGTTGATGCGCAGAGTGCATCACTAGAAGAACTACTCACATTGATAGATGGACTTCAGTCTGCAGGAACTGCACTGCCAACAGTCAAGTCTGTTGACAAAGCAACGAAGGCCATATGTGACAACTTTCTTGACTGTTGGAGTTGACCACGGTCAGTTAAAGAGCAATGGCTACAGGCACACCAAACAAGGGCTCCTGCCATCGTAGAAGTGTCCGCACAGTGAGTGGTTTGAGTGCGCAGCAATGTGTCGTGTCTGCCATCGTCGTGAGATAAGACGATGAGCGCCCACGGCATATTGCGAGCGCGCAGAGCTCGAGCTCGAGATCTGGACTTAGCGTTTGAAAATAATCATGAGTTATAGCTCGAGACAGACGCTGGTTATTCGGAGAAAACAGGTTGGACGTGCTACAATACGTTTATTTACTGATTACATGGGATTTTCCGAAAATAATAGCTGCTATTATTTACCCTCAAATTCCGGTGCAAGCCGCAGTTGAAAGAATTTCAGCATGTTCAACCAATGTTCAACGGATTTTTACTCAATGGATCAACGGCACATTTCACTTTCCCGATTTGCATAGCTCTCGCGATATTGTTGGCACATTTCTCATATTACCGTCGTTTGCCATAGATATGGCTAGGACCGTTTTTCACTGGGTTTCAAGGCCCGGTGGTAAGTTTGAAAGAGCTTCATTCGAATCATTCCCGCCTGCACTGGGATGATGCACACTGCATCAGAGACTTTAACGATTTTATCTTAACTTAAGGTCTGGCTAGGGAGAGGTTCATGCGCTACTAAATTGAAAATTTTCGAGCGTTGGTAGACTCGGAGGTGATTGGCCATCTATCGTCAATAACAGTACTCAGCACATTCTTAGAAGCGCCAAAACTTCCAAAGCTGCATGAACGAGTTTACATCAAGGGAGGGAGAGAAAGTGCAGGTGGTAAGTGTGAAATGTTGTGGCGATAACGGCTAATTTTCAGAAGTTCTTTCGATGCCTCGAGGGTGCAAGCGCTTATTTGCTGACCAACGAAGTGAAGGGTACTAATCTGACATGCGGTCTTTCCGATCTGACAGCACCCAGTTCACGCCTCTGCAACATGGTGTTATGGCATCACTGGTGTCACGATTGATAAGGGTACGAAACTTCTACTAGTGCCTACGAATGCCGCATTGTTGAATTGTGACAGGTAAGGAGACCAGATGCTAACTTGACACGAGTTGCTAGTAGGACTCGGAGAAGTCGGAGGCAGACATCTTCGGGATATCATGAAAAAGGGAGCTGGGAAGAAAGGATTTTCTTACCTGTCTCCGTCTCCAGGTGTGTACTTGCGTCTCATCGAAGTTCAAGTTGTGCAAGCATTCTGACCTGTCGAGTGACTCGAACCTGACGTCATCCAAAACAGACGCAACTCATCATCGTTGTCGAACGAATTGCTTGAGATAAGCAAGTAGCACCTACTAGAACTAACATCATCCCACGAAGATCGGCTTGATATCGTTGACTGAATTTTCCGCTAACCCTTTGAACCCTGTGCTGCCTTAAACAAGTGGTATGTGTGGCTCCCGCAAGGTGGAGCATGCAAAGTGGTTCGAGTGCATTCTCTGGGATTCCAGTGTATCCTGGCGAGGTAGCTTCATGTCCACCCCATCCTCTGGTACGGAGAACGAGAATCAGAGGGACGGCAGGTCATTCGTCGCAAAGCAAGGGAACTCACGCAACAAAATAGCCTCGTCGATTCATGTCACGGCATCTATGGCAGGTGGGAGATGGACCATACTCGACGACCAAGTTCGTGCAAAGATCGACAAAACCCTGGTGTGGTCGAGCACAGGCATTAATGTCGATGTAAATGGAGGATTATTGAATGGTTGTTCTTCATCTTTGACAACAGTGGGCGTTCAGAAAAGACAGTCATTGGTATGAAAATGAAAATTTGTCTACTGCTAGTTATTGAATGCAAATCGACTTGAAGCATGTCATTTCCTAACAAACGCTTGTCACTTCAAACGATGAGGGGTGTGAAGGGTTGTCTTTCCCGACAGGTTCCGGAAGGCACCCTATTGCCTAGCAGGAACAGCAAAGCAAGCGAATTCAGCCGGATTGACAGCAAATGATAGACCACAATCTGAAAACCGTGCGCGACCGTCAGCATCAATTGACACGTTAGACTGTCATTTCCTAGCATTCGTACCCGGGGAACTGAGGCACAGATACTGTGCCCCACTTAAATGACGGATGTAGTGTGTACCTTACCCCAAGTGAGAATTAAAGGGTGCAGTAGCAAAAATGAACTTGCAATAACAAACACCGCTGGAAATGACACGAGGATGCGGCAACATAGCTTTATCCATAATACCCCTTCTCTGCATGAAGAAAGTTCTCTTACCTTACCAGACGCAATCTTCCACGCCATATTCGCTGATGTCGATGTGCCATGTCCCTGCTAACATGAGGTGTGTAGATCCGAAAATGCGGGGGATCGGTGCCGCATCCCAGTTAATCTATCTTGCTGATCAGATGCCTAAGGAAATCCACACAATCTGGGAATTTTCAAATAATACCAGTTTGCAAATTCTGGATGAGGATGTGCATACTCCATTTCTATGCCCTCATGTCCCAGCGGATTTCAGGTACTACGGTCCGTTTCATTCTTGATGAACAGAAATGTAGATGAGAATATTATGGAGATGACCACGATAGACGTCAATTGTGAACCGCATTCCTATGCGTGAAACGCAGTGTGCACTTGACGTCGCTTGCCAATGCACAGCAGCGCGGATCATGGTTGAGGCGATAGCCTGTCTTCTAAACACCTTCATATGAGCATAAAGGTCGGAGTATTGTACTGCAACTCCAAGTTGGATCGAGTGTAACAGTGATATCCCCTATGCAGACCAAATAGAAGGGAGAGACAACACTAATCCTCTTGATAACAAAGACCGCCGGCAGAGTCAGGAAGATGTGGCGGCAATATTTGGCTTTGTCCGTGACAGCTTTGCCTCCTCAGGAAAGCCCGCTTACTCGACGCAGCCTTCCATGACAGGTTTGCTCCGAAGACAAGATGCCAACGTGCCATGTTCCTGCCAAGGTGACACGACGAACATCCGAAAAAGCGCCAAGTTACTGGTGAGTCCAAAAGGGGGGAAGTATCGGATTTGCCTCCAAACCCCATTTCTCTTCGGCTGGCCTGAAATTCGTCCCTTGGTTTCGATAATGAATACTAGCAGAAAACGGCCCACCTTTTTCTCAGGATCTTGCCTGCGAGCAACCCTGTATGTTTCTCCCTTTATAAGCTACGACATGCCAGGATATACCAACACAGACTTTAGTGTTTCAACTTTCAAGATATAAAATACATTTCAAAGCATCGTTGGATGCGCCGGAGGCCACTACAGCCTGATCTATCTTGCCGATCAGGTACGACAGATCCTCAAACCATTCATAAAACCTGGGAATCGTCAACAACGTCAGTTTATTCAGAATACACGTGTAAGAACTTCGTACTCCATACCTCAGCGAAATTCAGGTACAGCTCTTGATGAGGAGAAGAAACGCACATGAGAATATCACGGAGATGGCCATGACAGATATCCTTTGATCCTGAATCACGTTACTGTGCGTGTTTGCTATAATCCTCGTGTCACACACAGCAGTGCGGTTGAGGGGAGATTGGCTGTCTTCTATCTACATGCCCTGCCTATAAGCGTTATTCTTACACAAATACAGTTGAGCCTGAGTTAGATTGCAGATCAACAGACTTGGATTTTTCCCTAGGAAGACCAAATTGAAGGACAGCAGCGGCCAGCCGTTCCTTCGCATAGACGGCAGTGGCGCAGAGAAAAGCCCACGCCAGGACCTGGGCTAGAGCGTGTTAGCTCAGGGCTGCACACAAACAGCCACCTTGAGTGGATTCAAGCTTGAATGCGAACGTTGATTAAAATTTGATGGAACCGTAGTGAAGAGATACGACGTACAAGTAAAAGTAGAGAGCACAAGCACGGCTGTTCCCCTTGCAACCCTGCCGCGGCGGGTTGTCACGGCGCTAGAGTTATCGTACCAAGTATAGGTTATAAGAATCATAGCACGAATAGCTATGATAGCTGGCCAGGGGCCTAGATCCGCGTTGTCGTTGGTTTGCATATAATTTGTTCGAGTCGGACCGAGTTGGGTATGATATGAATCTGATATACACAGATCCGTCCCGACTCCTTCAAAGTTTCACCAGTGCACCCTCCTTTTCTCTACCTATCTACCCATTCTTCCATTCTCTCTTCCTCTCCTCATGTACCTCCTGCCGCCCTCCTTTCACCACCCTTTCTTCAAAATCCTCTTGCTCTGGTATGGCGATCTTCTCCGACTCCTGGATGATATTGGCCAGCGCTTCCGAATCTATCTGGACCTCTTCGAAGTCAAAAAAAAAAATCGGTTCCTAATTCAGACCCAAATTTCGTACTAATATATGACTTCAACGTTGCCGGCGAACAGAACGATGCTGGTGCGCTCGCATCTCTCAAAACAACAAAAAGGCCAGGTGCACCTACGTCGGCCGCCATCGGACAGTCTTTAGTCCGACACTGCTGTCAGAAGTTCTCTCGTCATCCAGGATAACTGGTATCGTTATTATGGGCGCTTGTCCGACTCTAGCGAGCGGAGCGCGCCCTAGAGTGCCGAGCAGTTCGGACACATGTTCAAAACCTGGGGAAAATGCTATATACTTCCCTCCGGCGCCCACGCGTCTTATCTCACATCCTTTCCAGGTTACTCTACTCTTTGCATACCTAATCCTCGAGTATCATGGCCAAGTACTATGACGAGATCCCGTTGAAACTCATCGAATGGATCTTGAAGCAGCAGATGTTTTGGGTGGCTACGGCTGCGCTGCAGGGGGATGGGCATGTCAATGTCTCTCCCAAGGGCACTGCGGGTTGTTTCCACGTCGAGAGTCCTACCAGAGTTTGGTATGAGGATCTTACTGGCAGTGGTATGCTGCGTTTACATTATGCAAGCTTTTACCCTAAGACTCGCGTTCTGATTCATGTGGTTTGTAGGTGTCGAGACGATTGCGCACATGCGCGAGCCCGGAAACCGTCGTATCACGATTCTCTTCAACGCGTTCGAAGGACCCCCGAGAATCCTCCGCTTGTGGGGAAAAGGTAAGCATGTTCTTTCCATTCATCCTGCATCTTACTACCCACCTCAAATTCTTGCATCCTTTCTCATTTTCAAAACCCAAATTCCGTTCTCACTGACCTATCACAGGCACCGTATACGAATTCGGCACGCCAGAATACAACGACTTCATCCCCCCGTCCAACCGTAAAGCCGGCTCGCGTGCCATCATCGTTATCGATGTGGACAAAGTCGGAACGGTACGTTCTTGTGATTCTTCTACGCAATGCCGAATCAAACTAAACCTCCCATCTTCCCAAAATCCCAGTCCTGCGGCTTCGGCGTTCCGTTGTACAAATATGAGACCCAGCGTACGATTCTCGAGCGTTGGTGTGACTCCATGGAAAACTTTGATCGTGATGGCGAGCCACGCCAAGCCCCTCCTCCATATGAATCCGAATCCCTCGTAAAAGACCCACGTGGGATCAAAGCATGGTGGACTGCTGAGAATATCAATAGTTTTGACGGCCTTCCGGCCCTACAACATGCACACGACAGCAGCGTCCCGCCCATCAATACATTCGACAAAAAGGCCCCCCATCCTAGTCTTGGTCAGATTAGGGCTGCGGCAGGGAAAAAGGCTGAGGAGAGTAATGCTAACGTCAAGTCGAGTTCGGGGGAGACAATAAGACTGATGATGGCTTTTGGAATGGGGGTCGTGGTGACGGCGGGCTACATGAAGTTTGCTACTTCGTTTGTTCCGGTGTCTTGGAAAGCGTGACCTCAAAATGGCTTCACACGGCTTCTTGAAATAGTTAGGTACGAATAACTTTAAAGTTCTCATACTTGTTTTAGTAGTGCGAGTCGGCCCTCGGGCAATGACGAGAGAAATCAAGAACTCTAGAAGCACTTGATTAGAAAGAAAGAAAAACATGGGTAATATATTTCTCTAGGATGGCGAGCGAGTATGGAACATAGACTAAATGTACAAAAGATAAGGAAAGAATCAGAAAAACTGTTAATTGAGGGACTAATGGAGCATTACCTCCTCAATGAATTGTTTTATCAAGTTCTTTTTCATCAAGAAATGCATATCATTGAAGAGTATATAAATATATGATTCAAGAAACAGACTTCACTCTTTGTCTATCAGCTCGAAGTTCCGGGTAGTGACACACATCAATGATCATCGAATCGATCACCGGCGTCATCGACAACGGGCTCTTATCCTACGCCGACATGAGAGAAAACAGCAAATATTTATGAACACCGCATCTACATTGTGAACATCGAAAAGGCACGAAGGCAATTAATGACCTCATGAACATGCAACTACTCACCCAATCATGGTACACCGGTGCCCGGACACTCGTCCGACTCATCGATGCATCCACGAACCTGGGAATAATGTCCATGGGACCTGATCCCAAAATCTGGCGCATGCCAATCAGGCATTGAAGCAAGGCACACAAGGTCAACGGCTGGGTGAGAACGGTAGATACACCGGTACATTTGCTACGTGTCTGAAATATTAATATATGCAGGGTTTATCCTAGTTTCCCCCGTACTTGAGAATACTTTGCAAGTAACGACTCAGATAACTGGTCTAAGGGAAGAGCGCCGAGAGCACATACTAGGCTCTAAGCGAGGCATCAGTTCCCGGGAATATTGCACTTAATATCGCAGAATGTACCTGGGTCCTGGGTTCCTGCAGGCTTGGATCTATGCCACGGGTTTGACTCGCCGAGGTCTTGGGCCTAGAAGTAAAGGTCCGGATTAAATGGGTCATACTTACGATACGAACAGCGGCGATTATGCAAAGTATAGCTAGCATGAAAAGAAGCAACAGGGAACACAAAGAGCACGTAAAATCTGCGCGTGAATTCGCCGTTCGGGCATGCACGCGTGCGTGCGTTTTGCGGTGGCAGTGCATGTTAGTTCTGCCAGCTTTTGCATGTAGTGGAATTCTAGTTGTTGGCCGCTGTGAAGCAGTTAGCGCTGCAAGAAATTTTAGGCGCTCGTGGGCATGATGTATGACCCATCACTATGCCACGAGGACCCAGTGGCGTGAAAAAACAAGCGGCTTGCAAGGAACGGGGGTCGCAAGCAACAACCGGTGGAGCAACCAGGCAACTTCATGCGTGAGATTTGAATCTAGCGGAATGACCACCATGGAAGAGTTTCCAAGTTCTATGGTGGGTTGGGACCTGTTGGGGCAAGGGCATTAAGGGAGCAATAGATTCAAATTCGCGATGAACCAGGTACAGGTCGAATGTTCCTGCCGCGGTAGAACTAGAGAGCCAGCGGCTCGTTCAAAGCTCGTCAACCACCCATATCCTATCATCATATGGAAAGATCAGTTCAGCAGTAATACTCCGTTTACCTCCAAACAACCAAGGCTATGACACTGACCTTGTGAATGCCTGCCACGCGTATGAATTTGCTTTCCGAGCTGTGTGGCGCGATATGTATGATCCTGGGACCGGGACCTTACGTGTAAGACACAACCAAGTTTGATAGCAGTGTCAGGCACGGAACTACTCATGGCATGTGAACTTTCAGGCTTCGTTTATCCCAAAATCCTTTTAAAACCGCTTAGACAAACCAGCATGTATTACAGAATAGTGATTATATCCGCCCCCACACCTTAAAGCTCTCATGAAGCTCTCAGCACTCTTTTTTGTCGTGGCCTCTGCCTGTACCGTGTTAGCTGCACCCACAGTGAGTCCATCTGGTCGTACAATCATTTATTATCTGGTACTAATCTTTTCTCGGTATAGTTGGTGAGCGGTGGTTTGGAAGCGAGAAGCCCGTTGGAGGAGGCTCGTGAGGTATGTGATCCATAGTCGTCGTCTGTGTACATCCATTTACTCCATCGACCCAAAGCCTAGTCCTCCAGACTGGAAGCGGATTGCACAGTCGGGTGGAACTCCCGACTGGTAAATCCACAGTGATGATCGGGCCGGACCTCTACACATCTACTTAATCCATCACTCGTCGTTTGTTTTTCTCGTATTCGATTCGTGAGTCCGACCATGGTGTTATTCGCGTCCCACTCACTTATCGCTCCCCTTGCCGTAATTTTTTTTTCAGTCTTGCACAGACTCATCTTAAAGTCTCGGTCTCTCTTTGCAGTACTATTAATCGATCTGGGCATTTGCGCCATCTATAGAAAAGGGCGGGCTAATTGTGGTGGAGTAATCCGTGTACTCTTAGGCGGTGAGTGATAGGGACAGACGCTCCTGTGCTGCGGTTGTACAAACCTACGAGGAGTCGTATTGAGCTATGGCGATTGTACAACGGCGGTCTATAGATAGCTTGTAACCTTCCCAGATATTGCATCAAATTCGATCGATGCCGATTCCCAGGCACTTTCAGGCACTGCTTTGCCAGCTTAAATTTGCATGAGACTGGTCACCGGCACCGGTCAGTTCTAACTTGGCCTTTAGGATGACGCCGGTCATGGAGCAACTTGGGCTCATGAGTTATCATCATGACTCAGAACTCCGATATTGTTGGAGTCCGAATGGGCGGCGCGAGGAGAGACCTGTAAGAGATTAGCGACAAAGAGCTGCGCCGCCCCTTGCCAGGCTATTCAAGACATGCGGAAAACACGCACAGCTGCCACAAAACCAGTGACTGCGGTCTGTAGCTACTGTCATCTGACATCGCCTATCATATACATAGCCCAAGGCACGCGCTGGTTGATAGAATATCGATACGGTACACGCCCAGTACACGACAAAAATACGCGGTGACTTACCCTGTGCGCGTATCATGTGATGACATTAATATAGATATCAAGACTTACGTATCTTACGCTCTGTTAATTGTCTTCTGTGCCGCTACTTATCTGCTGCTATCTTTGTCTGCAGTCATGGATCAAATGTACACTTACTCTGCTCATTTAAGCGCTGTGCTGGTCGCCGGCTGCAGTGAGCCTGGGACCCTCGAGCTTTGTGACCACACGAACCGTCGGAACACCGTGCAATCATTACTGTAACAGAACGCAACATCAGTGGTCACAAGTGCATCGAAAGTTAAGCAGACCTTAGATTCTCGAAATACATTACGCTGGCGAGCATATGCGCGTCTCTATGGCCGTACATGTAGCATCAAGATGGACTTTCTGGGCGAGGATAATGCAGGATACCGCTCGACACGTCACAGACCCCCAACACATAAAGAACCACGTCGCCGAGTCAACGACTCTAGAAGTCACTCCACACCCCCGTTTGCAGTTTTGCAATGCTCGTAACACCATTTAGCAAACCAATGCCCTGCACTGGCTACGAAACATGATGCCATATTGCACGCAAATGATGCGGAGTGAAGAGTGAGTAAAGACATTTGTTAATTTTGCGATCCATGTACACGTCTCATCATTTACTTCGTGACTTTGTACGTGTATGATATGCTTCCACAGGACGGTCGACATCGAGGGACCGTTGATTGACCTTGGCTCACGCATCTGGTGGTGTCCCACCGCGGAGTTCACCCTACTTTCTCTATGTGCAGTGGGACCTTGCGCGAAGAAAAAACGTAATTTGTCTCATTTTTACGTCTCCTCCTATGCCCCAACTTTGGCGGCACTCATTGGCACGAGACCGCGTGTATCTCAAGGTGCGTCCGTGCAGCGCTTCGTTGCGTTGGTCAAGCAAATCTGGCTGGAGGAAAGGAACTTCGCTGAATTAGACATTGTCGCTTGAGCGGGCAGTGGCACCCGTCCTGTCCTTTACATCCCTCACCGACGGCGACGCAACAATCCAGGGGGCATCCGATATGTTTAGTCAAAATCAGTAGTTTTACCTTACCTGCTACAGAGTGCTGAATCGGAAACAACCATTCGAGTCTTCTTTGCGATCCGCGACGGTCTGGAACTATCATGGACATCATCCAATCTCGGTTGCAGAATCCAGAGTTTGCTTTCTTATCGGCCTGTCAGGATACACCGAGTACCGAGCACCGATGAGGCGATTCGTCTTGCTGCAGCGATGCAATTCTCGGGATTCCGCAGTGTAATAGATTCGATGTGGTCTGTCAACAACGAAGTTGCTCGTCAAATCCATCTTAAAAAAGCCTGGTGACTATATAGTACTACAAACAAAGAAAAATAAACTGTCAGTTATTAGTAGCAGTTTATTTCATACAAGACCAGAGCAGCGGCAAGGTCCGTTGAAGGCGCCTGCGGGAAGTGACGGATATTGTGTAATCCTGCATCAATCAAAACCTCGAGGCCTAGGCCTCGTGCACTACCCTTCCATCAATAACACAATCAGTGACCGCTCGCAGACTACAACTGCCGTTTTAGCCGTGCAGCAGGAGATGGACACGCAACCAGACTCTGGTCGTGCTTTCCCTCCGGACGCGGTTTCTTCTTCCAATATGACCAACTTTGGTGCACAGCACTTTTCCCGAAGTTATCCCCGTTCGACAGCGCAACATCGTCAACATCCATATATCATACTAGGAAGGAAACCATTGACCCAAAAGCTTCGCAGAGTCGCTGAAAATTCAAGTTTGGGAACGGACACTAGAGTTGACCGTCATTTGGTAGCAGACCAGCAAAGATTCACTGGTACTCTCGAACCATTTCCACTTTACTACTTCCAATGTCGGTCGCCCCCACTCAACTAATCACTTCGATCATCATCCCAGACTTAACTAGTTTTATCACCCGATGCAGCCCAGACCCGATTGCCGGTGGTACATATGGAATATCTACAAGTGTATGTACCGCGGACCAGAGGGCGATGCAGAGGTTCGTGCGGATGTCACAGTTCTTCCACGCTCACCAACTCAACACTCGCCCGCAGGTCGCCGTCAAAGCGATTCGACAACAATTCTTCAGTGCCGAGGTAATGTTCTATCTGAGGGGATGGTCGGATTCTCATAAAGCTTTCTTAGATCTTTCGGAGAGAACTTGGAATTTGGAAGAGGTTGCGGCATTCTAATATTTTGAAATTCATGGGTACAACTTCGGACTTTGGCCCCTCAGCAGCTTTGGTTGCTCCATGGATGACAAACGGCACTCTGACGTCGTTTCTCGATCAGAATAACGAGACCCTCTGGCTGCATGATCGTCTGCTTTTGGTGAGCACTCCAAATACGTTCCCAGTTTGCACAGCCGAGTTCATTGTTTTGTGCACAAGCTTCGTGACATTGCTGCTGGCCTCAACTATCGTGGGTAAAAATGTGCATATCCGAAGGAAAATTAATCATTTTTGTGTCAGTTCATACGTTCAGCTTGACGGAAGACGGACATACGGACTTGAACCCCATTGTTCATGGAGACCTTACTGGTGTAGGATCCATTATTTATTCTATCCCTCACATACTAATGATCAGTTGCAAGACCAACGTCCTCATCGATGGTGATAGAAAGGCATATCTTGCAGATTTTGGCCTTTCCGGAACTTTCAAAAAATCGACCGGCATGACGTACCTTGCGAAAATGACTTGTCATCCAGGCGCAGTGAGATGGGCAGCTCCTGAACTTCTATCCGGGGAAGAACCAGCTTCCGCAACCACTCAAAGCGACATGTATTCCTTTGGTAACATCATGCTTCAAGTAAGTCATTCCCTCTTGCTAGTGCGGCTCGCTAAGATGTCCTGCAGGTTTTGACGGGAAATGTGCCCTGATGTCACTTGACCCGTGACTTCCAGATCACGTATCAAGTGGTTATTGAAGGGAAAATACATCCCCGTCCACAAGATCTTTACGTCACAGACCGGCACTGGAATTTTATGACCCGCTGCGGTCTACGCCACTACCGACCGGCCTCCTGCCAAGGAAGCAGTTCAATTTGTTGATAGCGCTTTACACCTGAGTACGAGCCCCCAGAGCTCGACGTTGTCGATCTCCATTGACGAGCTACACCGGAGTGTAGTCCGTAATGATTATCTTCGAGAGAACACTGATGCTCGTAAGACTCCTATCGTAGAACACTCTTGCTTGCTTTCTCATATTGTTGTAGGACTTTCGATGATGCAGGATATTGATTCACCCCCGGACGCTCTCAGGACAATATGTTTTGGGACCTCATACAGCCAGGGAATTCGCCTGTCTTCATGGCCACCACGACGTCCAGTACACCGAGTCATTATGCTGCCTCTGATTTTCAACCTTTTGTGCCCCAAATGAACATGAACGTCGAGCAATTACTAGGGGCAATGTCTTACTCCATGAATAAAACGAATGCGGCTGTCTCTCTTCTGCAGCGGGTTCTACCTCAAAAGCTGTCCACTGAAGAGCCTGACGATCACGATATGGCAAAACTTCGAGATCCCACAGGGGTCGAGGCTATGAAATTAATCGAGTCAGTCTTTTATTCATTCCTGTTGTGTGTCTCATATCTGAGTACCCCTTTAGATATCACCTCAACAATTTCATGAGAAATAGTGGCTTACTGTCTTCCGGCTTCATTACGACCAACTCTGGTGCAGAGGTGAGCGCGGGTCTCCAAAGTTTGATGGCCACATGCTCACTAGACATCCTCAAGAACGATCCGTCATGGTATATTTGTCTCGCCTTCTATTTGACATGTACTGAGTCTTTTACAGAGAGTGTTATTGACCGTATTATATATCCTGATCTCCGAGACCGTATCATTCTTCTTCGAGGTAGTCGCATAGCCATTTTCGAGCTTAGTAATATCCGACATTTTTCAGGGCAATTTTCGTTAGCGGACTGTTTTTTTGATTACCAGAAGGCAATCAAACTTCATGGAGATGATGTTCTTGCCCAGCATAACTGGGAACTTGCCGAGTGGTGGTTACGGAAATACAGGTGCGCCTTGCAAGCTGTGTAATGCCCATATTGTATGCTCATTCTTTTCTAGTCACCTCGTCGATAAGGTAACCTTGAATGTCTGTAATCGCTGGAGGCGCGAGCGCGGTGAACTCGAGTTATTGCTATCTGATATTGGTGCTCCAGAGGACTCTCCCCTGTCCTAATGTAGTTTCAAGCTAAAGCCTTGTAAACTTATTACTATACAAGCGTTCCGATCACCTTCGGACATTTCCTATTGTCAACTACAGTAATAGATGCTTGTATACTACGTTCGCCGTTGTCTTTTCCTCCTCATCCTACGGTCGACTCATCGAGGGACCGTTGACTGACCCTGGCTCATGCATCTGGTGGTGTCCCACCGCGGAGTTCACCCTACTTCCTCTACGTGCGGCCGCTGGTCCTTAGAGGGCACATAACTTCCCCTTCTCCCACAATCAGTGGGAGAAGGGATTTGACACTGACTCGGAGCAAACCGTACTCAGTCAATGAAAATTGACCATGTTCATCCCAGGCTAGTGAAAAAATTAGATATACAACACTTAGGCTGCTTCAGACCACACTACAGAGGATAATGGGCATTAGGATAATGGGCATTAGGATCATGACCAGACTGGCGTGTACTAATCCTTACCAACATCGTGAAAACACCAAATGTTCCTTAGGAAAAAGTCTAATGACAGTGGCATGATATCAGTCTGTTTGACGCGCTTGATTGAAATGCGTGCATCTCATCAGGAATCGTTGGTAATTGGTGTTTGTTGGTCGTCAACCCAATCAACGAGAGTCTGATACGGAAATCATCCTCGCTAGCACGATTTCCAGACGGTACCGTAGGACCTTCATCAGAGAATGCATCATAAACCTTGTCTATAACTTCTGCAGCGCCACTGATGTGTAGGACATGAGCAACCGCAGAATGGAGCGCAATGAGCGTAGGGTTGGGAAGCGGGACGCCATCTCGAGAGTGATCCCGGAATTGGACTTCTGTGAAATTCTCCTTGTGCAAAGGGACATAGCGTAACCAGTGTACTTTATATTTGTGCAAGACGTCCTTTCAAGGGTATAAGTATCTGAAATTTCACAACAAAAACTAACCATACTGTGGGGTGTAGGCACCATCTGTAGCTGTCGAATCCACGATGCAGTGCTATATCAAGTAACATTCCATTCTCTGGGTTATCGATGATACCGGCTAGGTCGTCCATAATCTCATCAGGGAGCTTTGTATAATGCTTGATTATGTCAATCGTTCCCGCTATGCGCTGGAGAACAATCAGCTGGACGGGTGTATCAACTTGCTAGTTGAAGAACATACGTTGCTTCTGGGATGCTCGTGAACAATGGATCTTGGAAGGATGTGAGCAGCGTCGAGGTACCCTTCACCAACCTCAGTAGTGCGGGGATATGGACCGTTAGCTATATTCAAAGTTCCGGTGACCACACACTTGTCGCCATCCCGTTCGTTGATCTAGATGATCTTTAGATGAACACCCCTGCAAAGAAGGTGAGACACTGCAGCACACCAAATTTCGGAATATGGAACGTCGCGATGTCGCAGGCATGGCGTCAGCAGCGACATCCGAAACATGGAGTGTGGGAGTGGAGAACTCCGATTGTGGAGAGTGGCCGGCTCTGTAGGCTTTTTTGACTGTCCTACCATGAGCAGCAGCTTTTGAACAAAAAAGATAACATACAAGGCCAGATGAAGAACAATAACCAATCTTGTGCCAATCTCGTTAACTCAGAGGCAGGGGAGTTCAAGTTGGACCCCCTTCCCTTTTGATCGGCCACTATGATGGCAGCCGCTGCGTAGCGTACACCGCTTGACAAACCGGCTTCTCCTGCGCCCTCCATCATTCCGTCCAATATACCAAATGTCTTGACCCCATGCACTGAGGTTAACATAGATTCCGTTTCCCGAAGAACCGCCTTTGCACGACGCTTTAACTGGCCGTTCGTCTCCGGTCCAGCATCGCTCATCACTGTGAGAAGACCGGTTTTGAACGCATCGTCATCTAATAGGGTAAGAGTGCTCGCGCTGGATGTATCATCGTCGAGAGACATATAGTTGTATACAAGAGGCGTTGCTGACAATGTGCAATAGGAACTTCATCGCTCGTACTTACATAATTCAGTACTTCATCCCTGACTTTCGCGTCAAGTCTGTACAGACCTGTGACACATAGACTGCTCAATTCCTGGACTTTCTGATCAAAACAAAGCCCTCCTCTGGCGAGTCTGGGAGGAGAAGATGCAATCCAAAGGGGACCCTACCAACTTTTGGCAGACCAGGCTGAGGAAAATAATCGTTCCTTCCCGATTATGGTTCGCTAAAGTTATAAACGCCTGCGTTAGCGCTCTTGATGCTTCATTGGTCCTGTACTACAACCCATTTCCTTATTCGAATTCTGGAGCTCACAATACACGTGTAGTAGGCACCTGCTGAGCATTCGACGAGTTTGAGTTCACAACCATTGCCGACCCAATTTCTTGAACTCTACGCACAGCTCGCCGTATCATTTCCCTAAAGACTGGCCGTATTTCAGTGTTCGATTTTCTGCTTGCAAGTGAGGATTCACGCGACCCAGACCCCACTCTATTTTGTACTCATCGGGTCATTCGCAACACACTGGTGGCGCCCTAGAGAGAGCGCTGTGGGCGTTGTATCGTCGCAGTCTGTCTTTTGAACCTTATTTCGCTGTCCCATTGGTACTTCCAGCTGCATCCTTCCGAACAATCCTCGTTTAACTTTTGTATTTCGCTATAGTAACATGACGGACGATATCGAGCTGTGGCGAGCGGCCTTGCAGCAATGTCTCCATGCCCATTCTCATCAATTACCCATCTTTCTTGAGCACCTTGCCATAAGCCTTGTAAACAGATTCCAGCAATGGGGTGTCCTACCTGACCTCGATGAGGCCATCAATCTCCATCGAGCTGCACTAGCACGCCGTGCCACAGGCCATCCTCGTCGATCCAATTCTCTCAACGACCTCGCCAATGCCCTTCAACTCAGATTCCACCAGCGGGGCGTCCTGGATGACCTGAATGAGGCCATTAAGCTCCATCGAGCTGCACTGGTGCTTCGTCAACCTGGCCATTCTGATCGACCCATGTCTCTAAGTAACCTTGCCAGCTGTCTTCATGACAGATGCGTGCAGTCGGATGTCTTGTCTGACCTGGATAAGGCCATTGAGCTGCAACAAGCTGCACTGGAGATCTGTCTCCCTGATCACCATCTTCGACCCCAACTTCTGAACAACCTTTCGGACAACCATCTACACAGATTCCAGCGGGGGGGCACCCTGTTTGAACTCGATGAGGCCGTAAGGCTCAATCGAGCTGCGCTGGCGCTCTGTCCCCTTGGCCATCCTCATCGATTTGGCTCCCTCAATAGCCTTGCAAACAGTCTTGTCGTCAGATCTCCGGAGCGGCGTGTCCTGTCTGACATAGATGAAGTCATCAATCTCCATCAAGCTGCACTAGCACTCTGTCCCATTGGCCATCCTCATCGATTGGTGTCCCTCAATAACCTCGGTATTAGCCTTGGAAACAGATTCAGGCATCGGGGTGTTCCGTCGGACCTTGATAAGGTCATCGAGCTCCATCGAGTTGCTCTAGTGCTCTGTCCGCCTGACCATCCTCTTCGACCTAGTTTTCTCTATAACCTCGCAAACAGACTTGTAGATAAATTCCAGCAGCGGAATGTCCTGTCTGACCTAGATGAGGCCATTGACCACCATCGAGCTGCGCTGGCCCTCTGCCCCTTGGGCCATCCTGATCGATGTGCTTCTCTCGATAACCTTGCAAACAGCCTTCGAGTCAGATTCCAGCAGCGGAAAATCCTATCGGACGTAGATGAGGAAATCGAGCTCCGTCGAGGTGCTCTAGTGCTCTGTCCCCCTGGTCATTTTCATCGATCCACATCTCTTGAAAACCTTTCCCTTAGCCTTCAATATAAATTCCAGTGGCGAGGTCAATCATCAGACTTAGATGAGGCCTTCAGCCTTTATGAAAAACTCTCCCAACAATCTCTTCCGGCCTCTCGTTTCGATATTCGTGCTGCCAAGTCATGGATTACCTCCGCGGAGCAGGCGAAACATGGCTCTGCACTCATTGCCTGCCAGACCACGTTAAAATTTCTGGATCAGTATGTCGCTGTTTTGGCGCCCTCTTCCAACCATTTCGATGTGGTCAAGGAGGTTACTTCATCCATTGCAATGGATGCTTTCTCGTGCTGTGTTCGCCATGGCGCTTTGACGAATGCTGTGGAACTAGTAGAGCAAGGCCGTGCAGTATTGTGGACCCAGTTAGCGCGCTTGCGCACGCCGCTGGATGAACTTTCCACATCAAGTCTCACCGGTAGTGCCTTAGCAGAAGAGTTCAAGAAACTCAGCTCCAGCCTTCGTGACGTATTTGATGCGTCTACTGAAGATCAGTTCTTACAAATCCGGCAACTGACCACGCAATGGGATGGTGTCGTTTCCCGCATCCGCCAGCTGCCTGATTTTTCCCGATTTCTCCTACCTCCGCTGTTCTCTGACCTCCAGAAAGCGGCAGAATATGGTCCAGTCATCATTGTCAACGGAAGTAAATATAGCTGTGACGTCTTGATCATCACGCGGGACCAAGATCCTATCCTCATTCCACTTGATATCTCGCTAGCAGAGGTTTCCGAGTTGTCATCAGAATTTCAATCCCTCACAAAGCGTGTTGGTTCTTCTGATCATCAACTCGAATCATACAAGATGGTCGGCATCCTACGCAAGCTTTGGGCTTGTATCGTTAGCCCCGTGGTTCAGGTTCTCAAGGAGTTGATCGACCCCGGCTCACGCATCTGGTGGTGTCCCACCGCTGAGTTCACCCTGCTTCCTCTACATGCAGCGGGACCTTATGAAAAGAGGAGCCATAATTTGTCTCATTTTTACGTCTCCTCGTACACCTCAACTTTGGGCGCACTCATTCGTGCGAGACATCATGTTTCTCAAGATGAGTCCATTCAGTATTTCGTTGCCGTTGGCCAAGGACATCCGGACGGAGGAAAGGAACTTCGACATGTGGCCGCTGAGTTGGACATTGTCGCTGAGCGGGTGGCACCTGTCCTGTCCTTTACATCCCTCACCGACAGCGACGCAACAGTCCAGGGGGTATCCGATGCATTTAGTCGTGCACAGTGGCTTCACCTTGCCTGTCACGGAATGCCGAATCGGAAACAACCATTTGAATCTTCCTTCACGATGCGCGACGGTCCTTTCACCATCATGGACATCATCCGATCTCGCCTGCAGAATCCAGAGTTTGCGTTTTTATCAGCTTGTCACACTACTGTGGGAGATGAATCGAGCCCTGATGAGGCGATTCATCTTGCTGCAGCGATGCAATTCTCTGGATTTCGCAGCGTAATAGGTTCGATGTGGTCTGTCGATGACGAAGTTGCTCGTCAGATCGTAACAGCGTTTTACGACAACCTGGTTGATGGTTCGGGGAGGTTGGACTGCAGGCGCGCTGCTGTAGCGTTGCATAATGCTGTGAGGACGTTGCGGAAGAAGATTCCACTGGAACAGCAGATTGTATTTGTTCACATAGGTGTCTAGTTTGAGACTCGTGGTATACCTTTATTTCCACCACATGATTTTATGACCTTGGAGCGGCGTCCATCACAAGCTCAGATTATATTCCCGTACACTGATCATCAAACATCAGTTGACGCTTGAGATCATTGTCCAGCTCTCTTTGATTTACGTTCAGGAATGGTCCGGGGAACTTCTAGTACTGTATGATCCGCTATCGGAATTTGATCGGAACAGTCACGGTATTCATACGTTTACGAGCCATACTATGACCACTGTCCCGTCTGCAAGTCAGTGGGGATCCCCTACTGCAACCAAGAGAGCACTCCTTATACATGGTTTAAATTCGTCCTCGCACACGTTCCACCGCGTTGCATCGATACTTGCAGCCAAAGGTGGGCCTTCTTCGCTAGAGTCATTTTACAGCGCTTATCTGTATGATGATATCATAGGATACTTGGTCGTTGCTCCTAACCTTCTTGGACATGCTCTCAGGATGCCTGGAGTTGACTTTAAAGTCCAGACATTGGCAGACGACCTCTCGCCCTACCTTCAGGCTGCTGAGTATGATATAGTCGTTGGTCACTCAATGGGTGGGGCCGTGGTATTATCGCTTCTCAAGTACCTGCCGAAGACCAGACCTACCTCAGTGGTTCTCGTCGATTCATCTGTGGAAATGACTGCAGAGCAGATGGTGGTTCACAGGGTCAGAAATTCTAACATTATCAAGACTAACCCCACGGCCGAAGATTATATGGCATTGAATCCTCTATGGACGAGAGAGGATGCCATTTGGAGATCTTTGGGGACCCAAATCGTGAGAGCAACCAACCACAATGATCACTTGGATGTCAGTGTTCGCGAGTAGCGTTCCAGAACCAGTGGTACTGATAGTTTGGATTGCTACAGGGCAACGTGCCATGGTCATTCTCGCATTTATTCGCCGAGAGGCCTGCTGCTGCCGCATTGACGGTTTTGATTGCAGACCCGCGATCTAATGCATATGGTGCTTCGAAATTGGAGAATGTCGCAAAATTCAAAGATGTTAGAGCAGTGATCGTTCCAAATGCCTCGCACTGGATACAGTATGAATTCCCGGAAGTGATTGTTGAAGAGGCGCTAAGGAATATCGAAGAGTAAGACGATAGGCAGTAAAGACCATGAAGTTCAAGTTCCCAATAATAGTATGTAAAAAAGCACAAACATCAGCTTTAATTGAAGATTTGCATCTTCATCCCATCCTAATGTTTCTGCATCCATGTAACAACTCCGAGGTATCGGGGCACCATACCATGGTACCATGTTCTGCGATCACTCACTACTGCAGGGCAGCGAGCTGTTCCCTGTGCCATGACCTGTCATGGGCAATGCGACTCAAAACCAGCTGCAGGGCATTATTGGCTATCATCAACGTGTCGCCCTGGGCATACATCACCGCCACAGGTCTCATGTATGAATTCATAGGAATAGAGACTAGAGTATATTGCATTGTGGAGCAAACCATACATTGACACCATCGATGAGGATAATGAGAGGATGGCGCGAACGTCGAACTTGTGAGCCGGAGTTGCGATAGCTTCGAGGATGCAGACCGATATGGAACTCAAATTCGCCTATAAAATATTCGACAGAATGCAACTGTCAGCTGGAGGCAAAGCTGAGATCTCAAAGGCCTGTATCCGACCTGCTCCGTGAGTGCAAGTAGTCGCGAGAATGCAATGCTGCAGAGTGACACACTTCCGGCGGAAAGCCTGCTGGCAGTGGCACCGATATGATTCTGGAATCCCGTAAGACCGCAAGTCACAACACTGAAATGAACCCTGATCCCTGATGTGTAGCAGACGTTCTACCATCTTGCTTACAACGTGCTCAGTACCCGCCAGGTAGTGCAATGGTTTCTTGGGCTTTAACAAATAAATCACTCCATCACTATCAGAGCAATAAGAATTGAAGATCACCGCAAGCAACAGACACAAGAAGGGAACTTACACAGTCCATTCTCGCAGAGAATGTCGTGATTCCTTGGAGAGCTACATTGGTCTTCACGAGCGCCTCATGGACAAAAACAGCCCCAAACCGAGTGGCAATCAATCACCGACACGTTTCGAAGGTGCGCTTCCGGGAAAGTCCAAAATAATAAAGTTCGTCTTCCCTTTCATACTCCCTCAAATTCTAGCATCTCCTGCAGCCGTCCTCACCATTCAGCATATTCCTGATGATTACACCCGTATTCTCTGCAGCACATGTTTCTCGATGGGAAAACGTAAGCGAGGACGACCGTCGTCCGCGTCGTAAACGAACACGATTATCAGATGGAGAGGAACAAACAGAGACGGACGCGGACGCAGACGCAGACGTGGATATTGATTCTGAACCTTCACCTGCACCGCGCCGAGTGAAACCTTTGCCTGCCCATGTGCATGGTCATCGTCAACAGTCCGACGGAGAGCTTCCTACACAAACATCCACAAAAGAAAGTTCGCACGGTCAGTACATACCGACGGGTCGCAGTCTCAGACGTTGCAAGTTCAGACCTTCTTATATACCACCACGTACACCCAGATTCTGCAAGGATGGCAGTAAAAACGCATACTTGGGTTACCCTTTGGTTTGTCCTTACTGCTCCTGTCATCTTCTGGGATGTAGGATACTGTTTCATGCGGTATGTATCCTTATCCTTATTTCATGCTCTCGAATTAACAGAATTACACAAGTCCACGATCCATGCTTGGGGGAGACCTCCACTGGATCTGGAAACCGTACGAAATATACCAGAATATTGATTTTGTGAGTGTACTTCCCTGACAAACCACATCTTGTAATCGACGACCTTGACTAGGTCTATGGTATCAAAGCTCTAGAGGAGAATGATGGGTTCACAAACGCACAATGTTCGTGCCTCTCGAGCTCAATTACTCTGACTGACTAACTTCCCCCTTTTAGCTTTCCTCAATATCGTAGAGACACTCATGAATCTCGCATATGTGTACTTGGCACACGTCTCGGGCTGGTCTCCTGCTCCCCTCATTGGGTTTGCAGCAGCGACCATGACGTTGTCTAAAACAGTTTTATACTGGGCACAGGAATACTATTGCGGCTTCTGTGCCATCGGACACAACAACCTGTCTGATATAATCATATACTGGATCATACCTAATGGGTACGTGTTCGTTTTTCATTGGTTTGGTTTGACACGTCATAACTGTTCTTTTCGGTGTAGATTATGGATCGTCGTCCCTAGCTTGATCGTTATGAGACTAGGAAAGGATCTCGCTGCCTCACTCCATGTTGCGGAGCGCGCTGCGACCAAGACTGCTTCTGGAAAGCAGAAATGATGGACTCCCCAGACTACCGAATGAGATGAAATGGTTTATTTACAGTTATAATCTATCGGTTTATGTACGCTTGGTTGTTGTATCTATTGCTCTGGAATGGATTTGGCTTATTTGCTTGCGTTTTTTTTGCTGTGATTCAGTCCGGAGCTTGTTGCGTGGATCGTCCTGCTAGGCGATCCCTGTTTATCGGTCAGGGTAATTTATCTTTCACACATCTTTGACGATGATTGTACTGTGTCCTTTTGGATGGGGATGTCCTCTCTACAACATCCGGTCGCGGCCTTGTTGTTTTGCTCCCAATCACCCGTGCATTATTAACATGACGACAGGCGTATGCAGTACGATATAATACATGTGGGTTAAGCCACCGTGCCAGCTCAAAGTGGCTTATGCTGTTTGCGCGGGCGAAGCTCGCATCCTCAGTGGCGAGACGAGATGCGATCAAACGGATTCTACACGGAATCGCCAGCATACATGAAGATCCTTTGCCGACTTGGGCTTCTCCCCGAGGGCGAAAGAAACCTGCAGGATCATGCAAAAGATAATGATATTCCATGATTCATTCCACCTTGTGTTACATCCAATAATTATTATACATACACCAAAGAAATAAAAAGTCCGGGGAGATGCCTCACTAATATGTCACAAAACAAAAACGAAAAGATCCAGTGGCAGTCTCAGAAATATAAGAAGACGACGACAATACCACAACAGGCATCAGGCAACAGGAAAGACGAAATAGCCTAATGCCAAAAAGGTGAGCGTGAGGTATGCAGTGGGTTCAATAGGTACATGATGGGTCGACGGCTGCCGTCGTGAGAAACGAGACGAAGAGATTGGAATACTTCGTGTGTTTTGCTTTGCTTTACTTGATCCACGCGGTCTATCGATGGCTTGAATTCCTGCGAGCCCTACCAGGAGGGATTCAATCCATCTCCATGTCCATTTCCATACCGTCCCATTGTTCCTCAGACTTCTTCACCGTGCCCGGGCCAGTGCCCTCCTCGACCTCCTCAGGCACGCTGAACGACACCACACCATCCTCTTCTTCGGATTTCCACCTGAACCGCGTGCTGCTCACCCGCCCGTGAATGTGCATGTTCGCAGATGTGATATCATCAACTTCGACGAGCTCACCGTCGTCGCTTGAATGAGAAGAAGCAGATATCGAACGCACAGATGAGCGCGGGTGGGACCATCCCGAACGTGATAAGGACGCAGAAGCTGACGGGAATGACGAAACGCCGTAAAACGAGGATGAGGTCGGCGAGCCCCAAGACTCTGAGTGCACGCTTACAGAGCCAAGAGCCAACAGATTCCTTGCGTCGGCATCTGTAGGAGCGGCGGGGACAGGCACTGGGGAGCTTAGAGCGCGAGAGTTCGGGGTGGTAGGTACGCCCAGGAGGCCTGGACGCAGTTGGGTGATGCCACCTGGGCCGGTGGCTTGGGGAATAGAATAGTCGTGTAGACGCGGTCCGGTTGATCCTGCGCGGCCCGAGCTGCTGAGAACGGAGGCTGCCGGAACAGAGCTGGATATCGGTTTCGAAGGAGACGAAGTGTCAGATCCTTCATGTGCGCTCCCGGGGGCAGGAGGCGGAACTATGCCGCCAGAGAGAAAGGTAGGCCAAAGGGAGCGATCTTCGGGAAGTGATGTCCCGTTTGTAGATGAGGGTGAAAGGTGCGACAAAATGGCGGCAGCCTAGGACATTTTCATTAGCACCTTTGTCAGCTGTCAAGCCAGGGGTAATGACCTCCAACAATTGGACTTGCTGATGTTTGCTAAGTACAAACTTGGAGGCTTCGCGCCACTGGGGAGTATGTTCCCAGCGATGTTTGATGAGACAAGAAGGATGCCGGTAGACCTGAAGGCTTCATGGTCACTTTCCACTCGAACAGCTCAAGGCATGAAAAAAACCACCTTCGAGCAGCTCTCGCACGTAAATATTGTGCCGCGCTTCTTTCCGCTCTTCCCACTCGTACCCAGACTGCTGTGAGTAGGAAGCGATGTCGACAATTCATTGTCGTCAAAACTCCCACCCTGTAGTGCAGCATCAGCCCTCTGCAGCGCAGTATTGGGATCAGGTCCTTGTGTTTCAAGGACACTTCGGGATACCACGTTCAGGGAAGTGCCATGATGGACACTACTGCTCGGAGGAGGAGAGGAAAGAGACAGGGTAGCAAGTGAGGATAAAGCTGCGCTCTGCAGGGACGCTGGTCTAGATGCCAAATTTGTAATGAGATTCAGACTCAAGCAGTGACAGGACATAAGGTGGAGGAGAAGAATTATAGGATATGAGGAAGCTAAATGTAGAACTTACGAAGGTCGGGTAGCTGCGTCTCGCGCATCGCTCAGTCTCCTTCTGGTCTTGCCAGTTGATGACAGACGACGATGCTTGGGACCAAAGTTGGTCCCAGATACTACAAGATTAGTAAGTACTTTGCACCGTAACATTTCTGTGACATTCATCATACCATGTAATGGTTGGACAACTATGTCCGTAGACTGAGGAATGGATATTGGCGAAGCACTCGCAGCAGCGACAGAGAGAGAAAGCAGACTCAGGTTTGAACGATCATTCTGGTAGTATATGAGCGAGCTTTTCTTCGTGGAAACGACATAACGATTAACTCACGGAATTTGGGGAATCTACCAGGAGCTGTGGCATTGCTGGGGATGGAGAGCTGGAATCTGAGGTACAAGACATAATAGGATTTACAAGAATTAATACAAGCTCATGACAGAACAGAAACAAGGGGATTCGAACACGATATTCACGGTTTGGCGCAATTGGTGGTCATTCGATCCTCTCGCATATGTGCCACGAAATTTCAACGTCCGCCCAAATTTTGTCCCCAAAGGTCCCACTGAGCGCTTACTACTGCGGAACAAGGCCTACGGCGCCGACAGTCCTTACAAAGTGCTGAAGTATCTTAATCAGTCATCTCTCTCTGTGGAGAGACGAGTCTATCAAAATTATATCCTGGGGTTGATCTACCAACAAGTAGTTATCCATACCAGGCTCGAATCGGCAGTCCTTCCGTCGGCCCGCACCGAAATAGCGACCGCGGAACTTTGTTGCATAAAGACCTAAGCTTGTATGACACATCATTCAAAGCCCAGGCGTACTCCAGGCTATTCACTCAACCGAGACTATGAAACCATGTGAAACAAGGGCTGGACGTTAACAGAGAGTCTGCTTACTAGTAGCATACTGTTCGGAACTAAATTATGGGAATCACCAAAGGTTGTGTCCTGTTTGTCAACAGCTTTGAATGCTAACAAACCACAACAACGTTCCTCGCTTCCAAATTGAAATATGATAAAAACAAAAAACAAAAACAAAAACTATATATAGCAGCAACTGGTTTCGATCCAGTGACCTCAGGGTTATGAGCCCTGCACGCTTCCACTGCGTCATGCTGCTGTGCATACAGTTGCAGGCAACGATGTTATTCATGGCCTAGGCATACTATCTATGGTTCTACTTACACCGAGTCAACGCGGCCGGCCTCCTTCACAAAGCCCTGAATTAATCACGAGTAGAGCCTCGAAGCACCCATATACATACACTAGATTTCTAAATCATTCTTGCATGTAATGCAAAACATTTCACTCTAGATTCTCCCGTGCACTTCTAATATGCAATTCACAAACTTTGTCCTGGCAGGCGTTATCTTGCACCTTGAAGTTCCTGAACTCAATACATAGCTATCTCGAAGATAGGCGATTGGACTCGGCGACGGCGAGTTAGATATGAACAAGAATTCCATGTGCATAGAACAATTGAAATAAAGGAATCACCTATCAATTGCGTGAGTCATAGCCTACACAAGCACTGCATTGACGGAGCGCTCAGTGCATGCTGTTACTAATAAAGATATCCTTGTTCTTCGTCACCGCAAGGAACATTCTATTCAGCTAGATAGCGTCATTGTGAGGTATGGGCAGCTTGAAGTTTGAACTATATCACAGCTTTGCAAAACTTCTCGTTCGCACGACATAGCACAAAACCCTCAATTCAACATGATGGTGGTGGCGCTAGACCGGAGGATTAAAGTGAGTGAATAGCATCAAGCACAATAGCAGATATGGAGCAGCAGGAACATGTGCGAAAAGTCCTGAAATGATATTAGTAGTGAAATGTCCAATCAACATTTATGAAAAATCGACAACATTGAACATGGCAAAGAGAAAAGCACAAAGGAAAGGTACGAAAGCAAACAAGCAATACGTGAGCCTCATGTGTGGGGGCCTAGGATAGCCTAGGACGCGCGCATATGCACACCCTTTCACAAGCTCCGAGGTACCCGGATCACTGTAGCCTAAGCGCATCTCGCATCTTTGGTATACCCCGTTGGACCCACTCTGAGGGTGACACACGTTCCTCTGTATCCGAGCTCGCGAAAAGGAGGTCGTTCTCCGAGGAGAACGCCCACACACTAGGGTCAGGCGTAGGCATCGCCATGATAGCGCGAAGCTCTTTGCCTACATGGGGGTGTCAGTGGCAGTCCTGTGCGAGTGCAAGCATCTTACGTATTATATTTTGCACGAAGTAATCCATGTTCTGAAAATTAAGTTTGTCAATATCAAATTACTCGAGCATGTCCGAGGCAGCGATGACCGGACAGCACATACCAGATCATTTTTGTCATATCCTAGGTAGGTTAGGCGCATTGATATTGAGTATGTCGGATATCCCCGCTATCATGGAACAAAACTTACCAAAGGGATCTGAGAAGACACGTTGTGTGAGTGGATAATGCAATGGAATTACATCACGTACTTTCGATCTCCTCTCCAGCAACGAGGAAGCCAAAGAAGATAAAACTCTATTTTAAAAGATAAGCATTGAACGATAGGGAGATGCGACTCCGGGCAGGTGATGACAATGATCCTATCAGGACTTACCGCGACAACAGTGGCAGGGATCGTGACCCATTTCAACGTTGACCAGACCTGGAACGGCTATATTTGTAAAGGTCGTCAATGACCGCTGCATGGGAGAGGACAGATCCTCCGTACCAAAGCCAAACAATATACAACAGTTACCAGCCACAAATGAATGGAATATCTATGCTAAAATGAGTTCCCCGCGAGAACGATGAAATCAGGGCTTACGAAAATGGTATTGGGGTAGTGAGGATCCTTTCTAGACCAGTTAGAGCATCCACAAGCTGGGTGATTGTTGCCAGTAGGACAGCTGCGGGTTCAATAGTAAGAAGTGTGCAGAAATTGGGGACAGCGATGAACGGACTGGTAGTTGGTGCATCGACGACCTTGCGAGATTGCAGGGCAGAGACGTAAGAGCCCTAAGGCACCAGATTTAGATCTTGAAACACAGATCTTTATGGAAAAACGCCAACCAAATACAATGAGATTTCCAAGGGAATGTTGTACGAATGTTGACCTCGGTGATTGCGCATCATAGCTCTCCGTCTCGCTGCCCTCCTTCCTTTCACAGCATCCCCGTTCTTATCCACCCCGTCCTTAGCCAGCATCCGGACCAGTAGCGAGAATGGGAATAGATCGAACAGCGAGTACTTTGGAGGATTCATAGCAGGGGCTAGCCTGATGTCATCGGGGCCTGCAGACAATTTAACGCCCTTTTGGGAACGCTCGTCGGTGTGAAGCGTCTTTTCTGTCGCAAAAGTCGCCACCCGGAGGGATGGTGTACGTGTGGTAGTCGGGAGCGGAAGTTGACCCGGAGCCGGCGCTCGCCTCGTGAGCCCTGATCCATGGAAGTGCCCTGAACGTGGTGATCCAGGAACATCATCACTGGTGCCACTTGTCCCATTGAGATCGACGGCGGAAGGGATTGTCGGTGGAAGCGCATATGTAGGAAGGAACTTAACCAAGTAATACAAATCCTCGTAGTAGATGCCATCTTCGCCACGCAAATAGTGCTTAACGGCGACGGCGAATGCTTCGAGCAGGTTCATGGCGGATTTCTTCTCAATCAGAGTCTTCGCCTTGTATTCCTCCTGCTGGTCTGGGAGTGCCTGAGTACTCGGATACGCGTTATCTATAAGCGGGAGATCAACCATCATCGAAGGTAACCACGAGGCTAATGTGTACCTGGAATATGTAGCCACACGGTGCGAGCGAAGGTACGGCTTCCGAGCACAATCTGTGACCAAAGCCTTCGTCCCTCGTTGTAACGTTCGAAACTGGAAGTAGTCCTGTAGGAAATGACGAAACCAAGGACAGTACCAAATCTAGACAAGAACTGTAAAAACACCCTGGCTTCCCATGAGAGGTGAGACATACACGGTGATAAGAGTTGGCTGCAACGCCAAATTATGGACGTTATGGCTGATCACACAGATAGCAGTCGACCAAGCGCCAAAGAAGATTAAGATGTGCCAGCATCTGAAGAGCGCCGTGGCCAACAACGCATGTCCAAACGAGGACCAGGTAGATGGTCCTAGTACTACGTCCGGCGAATTTGGATTGTAAACCGGAGCACCCTGGTAATTGAAGGACATGAGCACCTGTCAGCACACCCGCAGGGAGACGAGTAAAACAAGAATGAGAAAGAGCTCAAGCGAGCTACCAGAAAACTGACGAGTCCTCCAGCCGGGTGTGTTGGGTCGCTTGCGGGGCCTTTACGTCACTTTAGAAAAAATTTGCTTACCGCACGTGGGGAGCTCGACATCCAGGTTGAGTGCATTTACTAAGTAACAAATTTACACGGATGGGGATGGTAACGGACGGGTACAAGTCTGGAGCGCTGTTAGGTTGCCAAAGATCAAGCCACACGTTGGAAGCGCGTGCAGCTGGGAAAATGATAATGTCCCTGCCAGCCATCAGTTCTTGGCGCTGCAGCCAAGACCTTTTGAAGTAAGACCTGTCCACCTATAGCAGAAGGTATAACTGTCGAGCCAGGACCCAGGATGTGCATACACATAATGTTACCTGTCCGCGAACAAGATGATCATTGCCGGCACCGACAGACCCCAAGGCTTCAGCGCTCCGAGTTAGCCCATTACATAACGTTTTCAAGTTTCATTGGACCAGTGACCTGCTTAGAGCTCGGACGCATGTGATTGGTGGAGAAAAGACCAGTAGATTATCTGAGTCGGCGATCAACGTGACCAGCGGTATGCGAGTCAGATCAATTGGTTTCTCCACTACACTCTCCACATATTTTCCAACTCCTCGAAACCTTCATCTGTTCTTATCAACGAGACGCTACAGTCATTCTGACATGTCGGTCGTCAATAAATCGTTTCATCCATTCGACAAATCTCGTCTGGATGCTCTCCTGAATCGCAGATTTTTCTATGCACCAGCTTTTGAAATCTATGGCGGTAAGCGACACGTTATTATTGTGATCTACAATTGTGATATAGACAACCTGCATTCACAGGTGTTGCTGGCCTCTATGACTATGGCCCACCAGGCTCGTCACTGCAAGCCAATATCATGGCGGAATGGAGAAAGCATTTCATCATCGAGGATCATATGTTGGAACTTGATACCACCATCATGACTCCTGCTCCCGTCTTCGAGACGTCTGGCCACGTCGCTAGGTTTGCAGACTGGATGGTCAAGGATACCAAGACTGGTGATGTCCTTCGTGCAGATCACCTCGTCAAAAGCGTCCTAGAAGCGCGTCTTGCCGGCGATCGGGAAGCTCGCGGGTTGGCTGCCCAACCGAAAGATGATGAAAAGGACAAAAAGAGAAAGAAAAAAGCGAAAACTGTTGTAGTCCAGCTTGCGGACGAGCTTGTGAAAGAGTTTGAGAGCATCCTTGCCCAGGCGCGTCTTAATCTCTCGTCTGATACTTCTTCATAATTTTGGAACAGCTAGATAACTATTCTGGTCCTGAAATCGGCGATCTCTGCCGAAAATATGACATTCGAAACCCTGATACTGACAACGAGGTTGGCGAGCCTCAGCAATTCAATCTGATGTTTGCTAGCAGTATCGGTCCCACAGGCCAACATCCTGGGTAAGTCCACCCTCTATCCATGCATCGGGGATGTTGAGACACGTTGTCCAAGTTACCTCCGGCCAGAAACCGCTCAAGGTCACTTCCTCAACTTCTCCCGCCTTCTCGAATTCAACAACGGTCGTGTACCGTTCGCATCCGCTCAAATCGGTCGTTCCTTTAGAAACGAAATCTCTCCCCGCGCTGGCTTGCTCCGGGTCCGAGAATTCACCATGGGTGAAATCGAGCACTTTGTCGATCCCGAGGATAAGAGCCACGAAAAATTCCGCGAAGTGCGTGATACCGTGCTCAGCCTCCTCGATCGACATGTGCAAGTCAGTGGTAGCACTCAAGTCACTCAGATGACTATCGGTGAAGCTGTAGACAAGGGTATCGTGGCGAACGAGACACTTGGCTACTTCCTTGTCCGCATCAATCTTTTCCTTATTAAGATCGGTATCAACCCAAAACGCCTGCGGTTCCGACAGCACATGGGGAACGAGATGGCACACTATGCTACAGATTGTTGGGATGCAGAGATAGAGAACGCAACAGGTTGGACCGAGTGCGTTGGTTGCGCAGACCGAGCGGCGTATGACTTGTCGGTGCACTCGGCAAGGACTGGCCAGCCGCTTGTTGTCAGACAAGCGCTAAAGGAGCCGATAGTAACCGAAAAGGAGGTACCAGAATTCAACAAAAAGGTCGTTGGCAAGACTTATGGGCGCGATGCTAGCCTTCTGCAAAAGGCCGTCGGTGAAATGGATGAATCGCAGCTTACCAAGCTAAAGGGTGAACTTGCCCAAGGGTCCGTATCTCCTTGTATCCCTCGTTTTCATGGATTCACCAAGGCTCTTTGTACAGCCAAGCGACAATTTCTACCGAAGGGAAGGAGTTCACCATCACCCCCGATCTGTTGGCGATCGAACGCAAGACATTTAAGCAATCGAGTGCGCTTACATTTTGTGCCATGGGTTTGCCCGATTTAACCTTTGGCAGTTCGCGAATTCACACCGAATGTCATCGAGCCTTCATTTGGTTTCGGTCGCATCCTGTATACTTTGCTTGAACATAGTTTCTGGTGCAGAGAACAGGATATAGAACGTGGGGTGAGTATATTAGTCAATCACTTGATTAGGTGAACCGGCGCTTACTCCAGGATGCCCCAAGGTCCTGTCACTACCTCCCGTCGTCGCTCCCACGAAAGTTCTCATCGTCCCCCTAAGTGCCAAGGAAGAATTCGATCCCCTCGTCCAGGAAGTTTGTGCGTCAAAACATGTTTCTTTGCAAAAGCACCCTCGATGCTGACTGCGGGCCCCAGCCACCAAATTACGGAAAGCTGGTATCTTCTCTCGTGTAGATGATTCCAATACCTCGATTGGTAAACGCTACGCCCGCAACGACGAATTGGGCACACCATTTGGTGTTACACTGGACTTTGCCTGTGAGCATTCTTTCACGAGCTCCGCTGACCCTGCAAACTTTAATTCGACCACAAACAGCTGTTCAGAACCGGACGATGACTCTCCGGTACGTCTGTGGCGGTCCGCGGCCGACGGTTCGCTTCTTTCTGGCGATACGTTTGACTAACTTTACCTTCTCCATGTAGTGAGCGCGATACGACAGACCAGCTCATCGGTCCCATCGACGATGTGATTACAGTTCTCACGGAGCTAGGTACAGGGCATTATTGACTGGCCAGCTGCTTGTGAACGCCTGCCTGCATACGATGGCGTACAAGCCGTCGACTAAATTGGGATGGTTTGAAATGATGTGTAACTTTGTATTACGTTCATTAGCGTCATCAACGGGATGTGGTGATGGGGTAAAGATATCCGAGGAGAAGTGAATATAGAGGATGTCCTACTGATAGCTGATACCACGCGTACATGCGTTAGAGGTGAATGTTCGAATCTCAGAATGCAACGCTCTGACTCCGTGAAGCGTTCCGGTCTAAGATACGAGGATTTTGTATCTTGTATCTGACACCGCGAGAGTTCTTTTCAGGAGGGAGGGAAATGAATGTCACGATCTTAATTTGCTGGAAAGAAGTCGTTCATAATGAACGACATACGTTGCGAGAGCGGCGTGGCGTGCTTCGTCATACTCGGGGGAAATACGGTGTCTGATGGGCATCCAGTTACACGCATCGATGAAATCAATTCACGTGTGATGTGAGCTGCCGTAAAGTCAAACACGAGTTTGACACCCCTGCAGAGATGAGTATTTGGAGGTAACAAAATGCTGTGGAGCAAAAACATCGACCAGGGAAAACGTCGAGCACACAAGTCAAATCTCACACCCACGTTCGGTACCGTGACGCGACTTTGGCGATGATCTCGCACATTGTCACCTGGGAGATATCCGTATATTCCTTTGGACCCGCAGGACCTCAGACTGCAACACCGTCGGAATCGTGTGACTCACGATAGAGACTAACAGCTGACAGAGTCAAGTGACTGTGACATCGCGGCAATCAGGAAAGGGCAGGCTTCGCTATGATAGATCGTAAGTAGGCCTTTGTTCATTAAGTATAGAAGAACGATCGAGGATGACAATGCGCTTACCGTCGGCCAGACCCTAGTATGACGACATGTTCGCCATTGATGAGATGTCATACTCTCTAATAATGCGCCAGGCGGCCGGTTCCGTTGCATTGTTGTGATAGTGAGGGCACGGCGCGGTGGGAAATAACGGAGCGCTTGCACAAGCCCAGAGAAGCAAAATTAAGACGGACTTGGCCGATGCCATATGCAGATAGCGAATAGCAGTGGTTCGCCCTAGTGGCGAAACTTTGCTGCATGATAAGTAAGATGCATTAACTCGTGGCTTTTTCACATTGAAAAGTTATTATTGAACTTACATCAATGAGTGTTGGGAAGACGGTGTACCTCGGGTTAATGTTTGCGGACCGTCATTGAGCTCAAGATCTCTTCAGAACTTCACTGAGGAGAGTTGATGAAATTCGTGAGAAAATGAAAGACATGCTGATTCCTGAGGAACGGGAAAAAGAACATGAAGGTAATCTGGGTATTTCCTAGGAGACCGCGCATAGACTTTATCGAAAGAGCAATTGAAGGACATCATTACGGTGAATAATTGGGAGCACAGGCCAGCCATCGAGTGAGATAACTGGGAAAGGACCCCCAAAATTTACGCGAAGCTTTTGACGGGAGACATGGGTAAGATACGCCTGCAGGCATTCGAAGCTCAGCCAAAATGGTAGTAAATCTTGTGGTGAGAGTGAGCTTATCGTTCATAAACGGATGTTTATGTACTAGTCGAGTTCTTCCATGTCCGCGCACGAAATAAGACCGAAAATAAGGGTCGTCCACACCGTAAGCAGATCTAGTACCTGCACATCCCTATGAGAACAATTTATGAGAGTAACCTCGATGACCTTCCCTGATCAGTGACTGACACCGCTGCACTAGTTTGTGTGACTGCGGCATCCCGCGGGAAATGAATCCGGCTCTTGACGCGTTACTTTATATAAGTTCAACCTCAAACATTATATATTTCTCTTCATCCTCAGATTGCAAGGTCTTTCAGGCTATTGCAAAGCTACCTTTGCCCTTTATTCGTTTCTTTATATTCCTTAGAGCCTTCACTTAGATTAGGCCTCCTTTTGTCTTTCACAATGACAACACATCAACCATCCAACTCTCAAGGCCTTCGTGCCGAAAAGCTTGTCGCTCTTCCAAGCTTGACATGCGGTCTCTCTTCATTACCCCAAGCCAAAAGCATGGACAGCGTGTCACTACATCCAAACATGTACGCGCAGCGGGCAGCTCAAAGTGAAGCCAAGGTACTTTCTTCGGTTCTCGCTATTCGTCCACTCGACATTGAACGCGTTTTTCCTCTCTCATAGCTGAAAAACGTCCTGTCCAAGACTGCCGCATCACACTCGCAAGCGCCTCCCCCCGTTCCTACCTACATGAATCCTGTACGTGATGCTAGACTGACCATGCCGAGAATTCATGCTGACCGCCGCCAATTTTTTTTTCCGGTCATTCTAGCCTCATCATAACTCAAATTCGTCCAATTCATCTCCGCCCTTGATGATGCGGAAACCTGTAAGTACCCGTCTCCAACTTGTTCTTCTCCATTCGTCTCATTCTGGAAACAATCAGAAACCAAAATTCTCGGCCTAATTGGCCTACCTAGACTTTCTTCCTTTTATATCTTCCTCTGCTGGGAACTATCGTAGATCTTGCATTACCACCATAAAGCGGCACACCTTCTCATCGTCCATCCTCATCCTCGTCACGTTATTGCATCGCATATAGACACATCGCATACCTATATTCATACCAGGGCATCTCTTTCATTCCCCGTGGTTTTTTTTGTTGCTTTTGTTTTGTTCCACCCAGCCCAGCGCTTCAGGTGAAGATTGGATTTTTAATACGGGTAGCGAGCTTATACTTGGCCCGGGAGGTCCTTTACTCTGCTACGCGTCTAGTCATCATAATTTAATGGATATTGGGTTTGTTGGGCAACTGATATTGGTGTGTGAGCATCGCTGACAGGCCTTCAAAATCTCAAGCCTAGGGCTGTTTCAAGGGACGGTGCTGGGCAGCCCTGGACGGTTCTAGCTTTCTATGTGGTCAACTTGGACCCACTATTGGGTAAGTACAGTCCACGTGCAAACTTAATTAAGAGAGGGATGACTGAGGACACGGCAACTGTAAGTGGCCTGCCGCAGTCTATTACGCGATAGGCTCTTCGAATCACTTCAGACTGCACCATACAGTCTTTATCAATCTCGTAGGTCCTCCTAGGCCTTACTCCTGAAACACCTTGATAGTAGTTTCTGATACCTGATCCGGAGTGCAAGGTTAGATCAGCTTCCGCCGATCTGCAACGTTGCATGCAGTTACCAGTAGTAATGTGCATCGAACGCCCATTGAATCAAATGCTTCTAATTTGCAACAAGGTCATCTGAGACGTATTCATCGGATACACTCCCTGTAAGTCAGGACTGAGACAAAAGACAGGGTTCCCGAGTCCTCGTCGGTCGGTAGCTACCACCCTGGTCCTGCCGTAATGATGCTGACAATGCGATCATTAAATGTTGGACGTTGAACCCTTGGAGTTGCGCGCCCCACAATTGCCAGCTGGTGCCCCACGTCACAGATTGGCATTACATCCTATGGGGGAGAGCATCGGAGTATCCCGTATGGTCCTTATCACCTACAGGATTCTGAAGACGATTGACAAAGTAAGTATTCTTTAGCTTTTACGTTTTGCGTTCTTAGAAGCATCATCGCCTTGCCCAATGAATACTCTCTGCGCTCCTCCCACGGTTCGGCGCGGGGTTAAGGGCGCCGAGTGCCATTGCGGCAGGTCGATAAACTTGAAAGTTCTTCCGGTCATGAGAAAGAATAGTTCATTTCTTTCCGAGTTGGTATGACAGACAAACACAACTTAATCTTGTTTTTGTGGCATAGGACACGTAACTTTGTCTCAAGATATGGTTACTGTCGACGATAAGGCTATGGGTCCCACATGTTTTGCACCAGCCCTGTGAGGGGTTCCTTCTTGCTACTGCCCCTGAGACATGCGTACAGTCTCAGAAGGCTTCGAGGGCCTCGTCGGCGAATCCCGATATATCATTTTCTCCACGGATCTTGGCTCTAGTGCTGTCAATCTTGGCGACGGGAGATTACCTCGGATGTTTTAGTCACGATCAATTGGGCTTAGGGTATGCATGCTGGTGGCTTACAGCATTTGCCACCGAGGATTTGAATGTTCTTTGTACCACCGTTGTCAATTCTTTGTACACAGCTTCACTAATGCGCATGACATATCTAGATCTCCTATGAGAAGCAGCAACAAGATTGTGAGAACACTCTTGGACTTGGCATACAATGTGTTCCCGTGCTGTGAATAGCAACCTGATCATGAAAGACAATGTAACATCCCATCCCCTGACCTACCTTTCCCTTATTCGAGGACTTTCCCAATTTGGTTCTTCGTTCAAGTCATTAGGGGCATACATCCTGCACGTTGCACGATTGGCTACAGTAGCTGGATCACGTCAAAGCCACCGTTTCCCTTCGCAACTACTAACCGTCCCATTCCCTCGTCGAAATCCACCCTGTCTCCACGAACACTATCACCAGCTTCAATCTCATATATAGCCTTGCCCGTCTCAAAGGCAGGGCCGAACTGCATCTCACGCGGGGGAATATATAGTAGACTTGGCCCGCACAATCGGACCTCCTGCCCAAAGACGCACAGTCCGCGCCCAGACGACCCCATACATATCTGCGTGCATTCCTGCCCCCTTAAACCCCTGTCTGCATCTCCTAGCACCCCGGGAACAAATGGAGATAGTCGGAGAAGCCGATATGGCAACCTGGACGGATGCTTTGCATCGTCATCGTTGCCTAGCGGAATAAGCATCGACAGAGCGATCCTGCCCGACTTGCCCTTGGGACGCGCAACGATTGTAAGGGAAGGCGTGTCCTGGGATGGCGGTACCGGAGCATCTGTGCCGGGCCAACCTCGAGGGACACAAGTTGTGAAGGACAACAGGCGAACTGATGGGCTCAGAATACATGAACACTTTGGTATGGGCGATCACCATCCGTCCCTGGGCAGGTACGTCAGGCACCGGGAATGCGCTAATGCATGTCTCCCATGCTACAAGGATATGGTCGGAGAAATGAACGAAGCCTAGAAATGGACCAAACTACAACATAATCACACGGGTCTGTTATTTGAAGTCGTACTTGGCGCACTCACCAGATCAGGTATACGTGGGAGAAGGGCAGTGCCTTCTGTTTGAGCACGCCAATCTAGGAGCTCAAGACCGCCACCGTCCTGCTCTGATGTAGTATCTAGGAAAAGGAGGTGCCGTGATATCCCTGCGACTGTGCCAGGGATGAGGGAGTAGTCGCATAGCTTGCTGAGGGCAGGCTTCAAGGCGAGAGAGAATACAGTAGGCATGTTTGTTTGGTCTGTTCACTGTCAGCGACCCTTTCGCTTTTGTACAAGAGGACGAGGGACTCACTTGTCCCTGCAACCAATGGCAATGATTCCCCGGCCCTCTAGTGTCCTTCACGACAGTGCAAGTATCATCACTCGGTGACGACCACTCTCCAACCTTTTGAAGCCCCTGTGTGGCCCCTGGCTGCCCAGAGATGAGCCAGTAGACCACTTTATTCCCATGGACAGTCAAGACCTGCGTTCCACCAGGGATAAGCAGGATCTGGTCAACAGTGTCTCGTTTTCTGCTCGAAACAATAACTTTAGGCGTGGATCGTGGCCAACGTTTCTCGAGGGAAAGAGCCAACAATGTCCGATGCTCCAGTTCTGCAGAAGGCAGAGCATGGAGAGCGCGCAAAGGGCCAGGGGGTGGAAGATGGCGAGCCAATACTTCAGTGCAGAATGCCACATACCAAACACTGCGAAGTTTAGACAGGAGATAGTAACGTTTGGAGGTCTGAGAAAGGTGGATGTGTCCGGATTCGTATGGAAACAAGTGTGATGGACCTACCTGTCTCAGTGTTAATATTTCTTGTACAGATAAGATTTGGAAGATCTGTAGGAGAATATCGTCGACCAAGTTATCTAAGCTCGGTGTGCGATGCATTACGGATAACAAGTGAGTGGACTGCACAGTGGTTGAACCAAGACCAGGAGTCACTCGTCATGCTCGCTGCAGAATGTTGTGATTCAGACTGCCTGTCCGACCCACTCGAGATCGCTAGTGACATGTCTGTGGTGGAAGTGAGGACAAAGAAAGCAGACATAAAAGAAATTGTGACGATGCTCGTCTTTTTGTGATGCGATCTGATTGCACGTTCAGCAGACATGCAAGCAACTCGTACAAGTGCTCAGTGAGAGGTAGTAGTAAATACAAGTTGCAGGCTCGTCTTTACCCAATGATTTTGAGTTCACGTGAATGGTCGTGACCGCGATGTCTCAGACCGTTCAAGTCGCGTGGCGTTATAACTTGACAGCAAGAGACCGCGCACGTAGTCAACGATCGCGACCGAGGCAATTAGATGAATTATCCGAGATCTAATCTGTCAAGATGAAGGGACTGGTTAACCATGATTGATGTTAACTCTACATTCCAATGCAAACTAGAAATACACCTGAGTCTTTGGTCTTTTCGACAACTTAACTTTCACTGGTTTCTTCTTCTTTCACTCCCTCTCGAAAACATACATATACGCCAATTTCTTCAGATCCCTGACGCTCGTTTCATCCGCTCGCACAACCTTCTCGTCGTTAAAAAGTACCCAATCTCCGACAGCATCATCTACATCCATCGCATCACCTCTCGGCATTCGAATATGTGCGACATAATGACCAGAATGAACACTGGGACCTTTGTGCGATATGAAGGCCTTCAACCTGTATCGAGCAGGCAAGCGCGATGAACCAGGTGGTACTTTTTTGGTTTCTGATGACGAGGTAGCGGGTGAGTTGTCTTCGCCAGTGTCATCGGGATGGTTAAATAGCCATTCGACGGCGCGTTCCACATTTCCATCCTACGACGTTGTTAGAATGAGAGTTAGGACGAACCAGAAAAACTCACTGTCTCCCTCAACGCCTTCTTTGCTTGCGCATTTGTGAAGCCCATGTCAGCAAGCATCGCTACCTGCTCCGCGGGTGGTTCTGGTGCACTACCAGTTCCTGATCCTGCTGTTTGAATGGGTATGTTGATGTCTAAGAAATCCTGTTAACTGAAATGTCGAGTAGGTTCATGTCGGCGCACCTGGGTCCTCCATGTGCATGATTAACCATTCCATCGCAACTTCGGCCCCAGCGTTTCCAGTTGAAATCAGAGCGTTCCGACAACTAACGGTCGGGAAGCCCATAGCCTCAAGCTGAGAGAGTGCTTCGGCGTCAACTTCGGGCTGCGAAGGAGCTGAAGTAGTTAGAACTATCTGGTAACTCCACTTCGCCAGACTGAAGTCCATGCCCGAGGTAGTTATCAAGATTGAGTTCATCATTCTCTGGAAGGATCACAGGTATATCTGCGATTCGGGGATGTTAGAATGGTATCAGATACCGACGCCGCAAAAGCTCACCTAGCTTCGTTGGGACCCAGTTCACAAGCTGGAACTTCTTTGCATGCAGTACTAGAACGTCAGGGAAAGTAGCAAACTGCATTTGCCTGAGTCTACCATTAGGCAACCTTTGGGTGGACCGAACGGTATGTGCATACCTCACGGCATTCACTTTTCCGCAGCCTCCTTCACACTGGTACTCCAGAGCCTCTTGTCCACTCGGTCCGAGCAATAGGTTCAAGCACTGCTCCAAAGAAACAGAGCGATACCGCTTCTTTCCAGGACCACTTTCGTCTGATGTACCGACAGTTGCTGTCTCTTGTTTTCCCGCTACCGTATCCACTTCGCCATCAGCGAGTTCTTGAGCAGGTACACCAAGGCTAAGGACGTCCATCGTGTCTACGCGGTACCTGACCCTGTGGCAGGACTGGCACTGGAGGCGTTGTTCGAGGCCAAAGGCAAACGTTTCGGTCGGTTCATATTCTTCTATGGATGATTAGCGCGAGTGATAAGTGAGACATCCCTCTAATACCTGATACGCCGCGAGTATTTTGGTGGTTGAATCGTCTGAGTACTGTCAACAGGTGACTAAAGAATTCTTCCGCATCCTGCTGGCGCATGGTAGAGAACTCAGCGTGGCCTTTACCAACAAGAGCCTTGAATCCTGCTGGCTTCAGGCCCGCCTGCCAAGGAGTATGTTCAGGTGTTGGGTGTGCGAGAGCGTCAGTTGGAGCTGCAGAGTGTGCGTCAAATGTCATATCCATAGTCTACAATATGGTTGACCTCGTCTTTCAACGTACCCTGTTCATGATCTGAGTGAGGCTTAGAGTATCGTCCGCTGAGCAAACCATCAGCGAGCTTGTACATCTGACATTCCAGGCAATCTGCAGGGAGGGCTTGAGTGCAATTCTCCCAGTGAGCTGCTGCTGCCGGAGAGATATAGGCGGAACTTGTGCCGGAAGGTCTTTTACCATAATAACGGATTTGGAAAAGAGGGAGTGAGAACAGTGTCTGAATAACAGAGGCCATATAGCAGCTGTGAGGAGCAATTGTTGTAAACAATAGTTGCTAAACATAAAAAAAGATCGAAAACATGCCTATTTCCAAGGTTGCTAAGACCTGTAGCACCAGCACCAAAGATCGGTTGAAGTGCAGAACCATCCTCGGCAGTAAGGGAGAAGTCAAACAGGAGGTTTTGCTCGATTTGCTGGTTTAAGACTCAGAATTGAGACGACAGCATTATGTTTCTCCAATAACGCACAAGCTCAGTCATACTCTTCTCGGTCTTCTTCTGTGCTGCGACATTGATACCAAAGGTACTGAGGTGGGTTACGAGCTCTGGGTCAATACGGGCGTCATTACATGCGTAGCAGTATACATCTTAGAAATTGGGTCAGATACATATCATGAGGGTGAGAAATAACGACTGACCAGCACCGCCCTCAGGCGTAATAGTTCCAAGTTTTACGCACACGGGATGCTGGGTCGTATTAAAATGTGCTAGTGCATGGCCGTTGCCGCCAGTGCCACCAAATTGGGCACGACCGCATCCAAGAGCACCACAAGTAAGGCAAAGCCAGAGATTTGAGGTAAGCTCGCAAGAGGCGCAATGCGCCAGACCTGATGTTAGAATGAAAATGCATTCTTGATCAGGAGTAGGTTGATTATCACCTTCTTGGGGTATAGCTCCACTCTGGAGCTTGCTCCAAACAAAGTGTGTGCTCGCAAGCTGTGATCTCCTCTTCCCAAGCTTTGACTTCAGATTGACGTGCCGATGAAAGCGATAGCATGACGCCATCAGTTAGACGCTTTGTCTGTGGTGGTAATATCAACGATGCTCATCAGAAAAGTAGCAAGTGAGTATACTTGCATTTGCAGCATCAATCGCTACTTCTTTCCCACCTTGCAGATCACACTTCCAACACTTGAACACAGTGGTATGTTCGTATTTATCCTCTTCGCGCTCCTCATTAATAGCAAGCTTTTTGATTTTAGCAGGTGGCTCCTCTCCATCGGCCTAACACGATTCCAGTGTATGTTGCACATAAATGCGTTGTCACTCACGCGATTGGAAGCCTTTTTCTTTGGGTTGCGCTTGACATTCAGAGTGAAGGAGTGTCCTGATCGGAGGACATGGTTACGCGTATGATGACGATCCGAGTCAAGACATGATCCATTAAAGCACACCAAACAAACGTCGATGCCCGTGGGGCCATCCTGCACAAGCGTGAACTCCGGAATTGTGTATCAGCCTCCTTAATCGACCTACCTGATTATCAAAACATTGCGTGCATTCTTCCCTATGAACTGACTGGCTTAGTTTCGGTTCTCTCAAGCCAGATATGTCGTGAGTATGAGGACAAGTTGCGGACGTCAACATAGCAGAAATACCCGTATTCGTTGTGGTTGAGTTGAGAGATCAGAACTCACAAGAGGAGCGCGATTTGGGACATTGTCACGTGGCTATCATAATATACATGAGTTCTGTCACACGAGTCATTGACATTCCTACGATTGCGACGCTATCTCGAGTTATCCTGGTCTCTACTCACTATCCCATTCCAGACGGTGTGCATCCAATTTATGCTATTTACAGGGTGTTTCGTTACCAACAGCTTGAAACGCATCATTGTCACAGCAAGTCCAGCCTGAAGAAACGCTCTCTGGAAACGCAGGCGAGTACAGAGCGTTTATAGGGAAAGTCAAAAATCTGGATCTAGACTTCAACAGACAGTCACAGTAGAATTGATACTCCCACTCACTGTGGCGATATGCATGGCCGAGTCAAATTGCACTTTGATGATGGAGGCATTCTCAGCTTTGGGCTCAGCCAACACAATTTCCGTGCGGGGATCCACCAGGAAGCAGTAGTGTATCAGGGCACGATGCCATAGATTGGCTGCATGATTATTTTTGGTAAGACCCGACTTGCACATAGTAATTATAACTTACTTCGTTGGGTACCACGGAACTTATCCTCTCCGACAAGGACGTGGAGGCCCCTGTCCCAGTCTCCAGGACCACCAGGAATGTAGGGCGCCACATGATTTTCCTTGCCTACCATTTTAGCCTATTTTCAGGAAAGTCCAAGATGCCCACCTTCAAATACGTGACCTCCGCATACCCCATGGGCTCGCCGTTCCAGCTCATTATTATAGGAAGAACACCAGGATCGTTCGCTACTTCCGTGACATATGCTCTGTGTTTCTCCAGCGAACCGCGTTCTCCCCACCCCTTGTTCACTCGCTCTGAATTATGCCAGCGATGAAACAAGTCTAGATGCTCTGAAGTATCCGATCCACTGCCGACGTCAAAGTACGTGAACTCTAGAGTCTCGCTTATGGATGGGCAAAATCGCCTAAATAACGTTTCTCTCGGTTTGGGCTTTGGTGGACGAAGAGGGTGCGCGGCAATGACAGTGGGTGTACGGGTGAATGACTGGATGGAGGCAAAAGGCGCAGCCGGAAGTGACGATGGAGGTAGCCAACCACGAGTATGGTATCCTTGTGTTCCCGCACCCTGCCAGAACGTGGCTCTGTGCAAGTATATCTCCTCCTTTGGGGCTGTAGGCGCATGCGCCGTGCGCCCGAGGCCAGATCGGAATAAATACGAACGTAGCTCTTCGCTATTGTTGATTGTCTGAGACAGTACGACCGGGATGGTTTCTTGATTGTGGTACAGTGTGAAGAGTGCATACACAGTTGCCCACATATCTTTCACGGATATGTCGTTTCTAGACGGCTGTGGTGAGGTGGAGGAAGGAAGGATCTCGATCACCTGAAAGCTTGGTACATGTGATGCAGTATTTTCAAACTGCGTGCCGACAGCTGAAAGGACAAGCTGCGCGGTCTGGTCGAGTAAATGATACTTGCACACAACCAGTCCATCGATGTTAATGAAATTTGTCGGCGACACAGAGTCTGCCTTGGCGATCATCACCGCACCATCTGGCAAGATGAATTCGTCCACCTTCTGATCATCACTGACAGAAATGTTTGTGAGTTTACTTTGTATGGGTGGGAGACATTGGCCAGCACGAGTCATCAGTACTGCTGTCAGTGAGTACAGGATAAAGCCTAAAAGCAAGCAGGTTGATCTGACAGACCTAGTAGTCTCCCCTAGACAGCCCTTTATAGACGAAGGAAGATAGTTGTTCCTAGATAAGACCACCAAAGTTGATTCACTCGATTCATGACTTTCAAGTGGCGTTCAACCTTATGGATATGCAGACGTCAGAGATTTAGCAAAGGCTTCGATTGCAATATTATTAATATTGGCGTATCACGTATCTGCCATTGATGATTGCCCCCTGAAATGATAAGGCAATCTGAGTTTCAATTTTAAACTTACTTCAAACTTGATGACATGCATCATCATCAAATATTCCCAACTGATCAAGCCTAATTTTTTGTGCTGCAATTGAGGAAATATTTCAGTGACCCATGATTAACTGTATGAAAATGAGGTTGTTAGATTGGCCTGTTGACAATATTATTTCAATATATAATAGTATTTTGCCTACAAATAAGGAATTTCTGACAATCACGTGATTGATTTTTTCTTATGTGCACTGGAAAGGAACTTTTGATCAGATCGTCCTCATACCCTTTGAACCTCCATAGAAAATGGCGCCCAATGGACTCGTCCCGAATGGAACTGCAGAGGCTCCGATCGAGGTCTCTGTAGTACCCTCCATTGTTGGCATCAACTTTGGTAACTCTTATGCGTCCATCGCAGTCTTAACAAAAGTGCGTTTGATTCTACTGTCAATCTCATAAAATCTCATATACAATTTTTTCTGAGGACAGGAAGGCATTGCCGAGTGCATAGCCAATGAGGATGGAGAGCGTCAGATTGCTTGTGCTATCTCGTTTCACGGGGAGGAGATGGTATGCGGTAACCTAATTCGTGTTCACGCCACTTAAGTTTTGTCTTCTCAGTATATCGGAAACCAAGCGAGGCACCAGCTGGTCAAAAACTCTCAAAATACTATCACCGGATTCCGTAACCTTTTGGGTAAAAAGTGCTTTTGGTGGCATTCATCATTGTATCCAGTCTGAAGGTATATGATAGGTTCTCAGAAGTACCACAGGCGGCTTTGTCTGTCTCTGCGCCGGCCATACAACACCCTTCGCTACCCGACACGGCAGCTTACAAGGTCAAGGTCCTGCAACCCGCACCTTCACCTCTTAAAACTACCGCTACCAATACACCTGCAGCGTCACAAGTTGCTACTCCACGCTCAGAGCCCATCGAGGTCGAGCGCATCCTGACTGTTTCCGAAGTGACCACAATATTCCTCGGTTCGCTCGTGCAGTCTGCTGAGGACTTCCTTGGGAAAAAAGTACTGGGCGCCGTAATCAGCGCCCCCTCATGGTTCGATGACGCCCAAAGAGAGGCGCTGATAAAAGCAGCAGAGGATGCTGGAATCCACGTCCTTCAATTGCTTGATGATGCAGGTGCGGTTGCCATCTGCACTGCTGCAGGATCAGAGGAGATCCCCTCTGACCGAACACAGCTCATTGTCGATCTCGGCGCATCATCCCTCGAACTGTCTGTCCTTTCAATCCGCGAGGGCCTCGCGTACTCACTCGCGACTATCTCGGATTCGTCTGTCGGTGGAGATGAGATCGATTCCAGGTTGATCAAATTCTTTGCAAAAGAATTCACCAAAAAAACCAAAACGCCATTAACTGTCGCGCCTGCATCTGATCTTCTTGATAAGCGCGCCGAGGCCAAACTCAGACTCGCAGTTGAGCACACAAAACGCACGCTTAGCGCGAGTCCTGGTGCCGCTACGTGTTCCGTAGAGTCACTTAAAGATGGTCTCGACTACACTGGTTCCATCAACCGGCTCCGATTTGACATGGAGGTGCGCTCGGTATATGACAAGGTCTACGCAAGGGTGAGGGAGGTTGCCGCGAGCGCAGGGACGGATTTGTATGACATTGACGAGATTGTATATATCGGCGGTTGCGCTTGCCTACCAGGCCTGGATGAGACTTTAGCTGGAGGTTTCACCGAAAACGTCATTACCCCCTTCAAGGCTGGCACGGTCGCTGGCGGTGGAATCGGTGATCCAACCACTATTCTGGCACGCGGCTGTGCCCTCCAAGCACAATTGCTTGTCGGCCTCGCTGGAGAAACCGAGGAGGTTCGCCAGGCATTCATCAAGGGCAATGGAACTAGCAGTGTTAGCGCTACGAGCCGTACTATCGGCCTTTTGGTTCCTCAGATGTCTGCAGAAGAGGGCGGCTTGGGTGGAGTGTGGGTTCCTCTCATTTTGAAGGAGACGCCTCTGCCATGCAGGCGCACTGTCACTGTGGAGGTGAATATCAGTGGGCCTGAAGATCGAGTTGGCTTCGAGCTCTGGGAAGTTAGCGAGGGAGTTAGGGTCGATCATGTCAAGCCTGAAAAATTCGAAGACGAAGAAGACGAGCCCCAGGACGAGGAGGAAGAAGAGTTAGAGGAGGTAAAGGAGAAGACGATCTCAAAAGAAGCATTCTTGGCTTCATTATCACTTTCGCCTTCCAACACTTCCAAGGGCAGGACGAAGGTGCAAGTACAGGCAATCATTAGCGGCAATGGTGCAGTAGATCTCAGCATAAGGGAGGTGACGAAGAACGGATTGGGAGAAGCTGTGACAGTGATAGTTGGGTCTTCATAATGGATCTTGCGATATTGCTGCGCCAAGGCATATTGTGACATAGACGTACACATTTTACCAGGCAGGTGTAGACAGATTTTTCTACTGGATCTCACCGATATCTTCGTTCCATTCCTGCACATAGATCATCAATTTTCGCAAACATGTCATCCGTAGTAGATCATCATGACAACGCACCTCCGGTTTTTCGACAATGAATTTCTTCATGAGCTCCTTGCATTCTGCATTATCAACCACTACGACCTCGATGCCTTGGCTTTTCAGCAGCTCTTCACCTCCCACCCAGTTCTCATTCTCTCCGATGACGACACGAGGGATCTTGTAAAGTAGAATTGCGCCTGTGCACATAATACAAGGGCTATTCATGTGGTGGGTTATGAGTAATTGATAGAGCTAACGACGGATGACAATCACTCCCACCTTAAGGTTGTGTACTTCGTTCATAACCAAGCACCATATATCAGATCCATCAGATACTACCAAACCCATTCACATCGCGAGTCTCACCATCGTGGATCCTCTATACACTTGTGCCTTGAGTCTCCCTGCATCCTCCAAGGCAGCTATCTCTCCATGCAACGTAGCCGACGACTTCTGAATGCGTGAGTTGTGCGAGCATCCCAAAACAACTGCATCTTTGGGATCTGTTGAAGATCCGTGATACACAAGGGCAGCGCCAATCGGGATCCCTCCCTCTTGGTAACTCTTACGTGCCTTTGCTAAAGCTGTGGAAAGTCCGAGCTTATCTATGCCGTCCATTGAGTGGTCTCGGAGCAAGCTGTTTGTATTCCTTGTCCCACGTCCTGACAGCTCATGGGACCTCGAGTCAGGGGTTAATTTCGGCCCGACGCCAAGTGCTTTTACGAGCATTGAAGTAATGTGACCCAATTACTCCCGAACTGTACAGCCCTGATGGCTCAGTTGGTTAGAGCGCAGGTCTCATATCTTAAATATGACCGAGTATATTCGGGCAATCCTGAGGTCGCAAGTTCGAACCTTGCTCAGGGCAGCTTTTTGGTGCTATTTAGTCTGTTTCCCATGTCAATTCCAATGTTGCATGAAACAACCTTTATCGGCTCCCACATTCAAATGCCCCAGCAAAATGTACAGAGCTGCTATCGACACGACCACCTGTAGCGCCCTGCCCACCTCCCACCAACCAAGTTCCTTCTCTACCCTTCCATTGTCCTGCTGTTGCCCTACGTGCCTCACATCCAACCAGGACCTTCCTCGTGCTCGCACTAACCCAGTGCTGCCGCCACGACCTATCGGTCTCTCAATTCCCACTTCGATCTCCTGTCGCCCTTGCGTGGTCACTTGCTCCCTGCACTTCCTTAGCCACCCCCTCCTCCAAGGGCAACATCCTGCAACCTCTCACTACCCTGGCACGCCAACACAGATCCTTCCTCGCCCTTCCATGAACCTAGTGTTGCACACCCGACCATGACCTTTCTCGTGTTACTGCTAACCTGGCGCCGCCACCGCGACCTACCGCGACCTCCCGCTGCTTACTTCGACCACCCGCACCTTGTCATTCGCAGCGCCTCGCGCAACCGCCTGCGATATCATATCTCGTTCTTTCCCTGGTTGGTATCCTGGTTCTGCGCTCTTCATCTCGTTCCCTTCGCACTACCCATACCTATATACATTTGATCTCATATGGTTAGACAATGTTCTTTAATATAATAATATTGTTAACTCGAGCATTGACTGGAGTTGAGTGTTGCGACGTTGAGTGCTCCCTCGGTTCATAAGCACCGCTGGTCCCGAACGACATACACATTCATTAGGCTTCAATTTATAATTAAGCAGGTATATATATCGCGTATAGCAATTTCCAAAAAAAAGTCATACACGACACGAAGAAGCATATGGAAGAGGGGCAATGCACGGCGAGAGGAAATCATATTACGGATGGTGATGCATACTGCATGCGGCAGGAAGAGTTCGACGAAAACGGAGAGGCCCGGGAGGGAGAGCGTAGATATCTGTCGAGCTCGTTGAGATGATGTGATGATGGATGTTAGTGGAGCTTGCTGCAGCTGGACGGAGGCGAAAGGAAGAAATGCTAACCATGGGGGGTAGATGCATATACATAGCAGACGATACCAAGTGTACCTTGAATTCGCGAATATATCCTGGGGTCTTGAACGCTGTGAATGCCGTGAAGGTGTTCGGACTTTTTGTCAGAGGCAATTAAGGCAACCGAACTAGCTCGGAGTTATAACAGGGTGCTATAAACTCGTTGGTGGTCCCAGAGGTCCGTTTTCCCATTTTGCACTGTAAAAACACAATATACGCACTCCAATCTTTTACAGTCCACGAGCCTCGAGACGACTGCGGAAGATCTTCTGGAATTGGGGGGCGTGATCCAAGTCCATGAGCGTGTAGTGTTGCCCAGGCACGTCGGTATATGACGGCTCGCCGCGGCTGAAGCTAGACCATAACTTGAGCTGGTTGTTGAGCCAGTCTGATTTGCTGCCACGGAGAGGAATAGCATAGAAAACGTCGACTGCAGCTGAAGAGATCCGCCATTTGAGCAGGCGATAACGAAGTCAGAAAAGGAACGACATACAAACTGAGCCTGATGGGTTGTAGTCTTTTCCGCACTCGATCAGGGACCCAGCGATGTCCACCCAGTGGTTGAGCTTCTCAGCCGTCAGTTGGAGCTCGACGAGACGTTCAGGGGGAGACAGCTTCCACACCACCTCAACCTGCTCCTTCCTCGTCATCTGTCTTAGAGCAGGCGCGAGATCATTAGCATCATGCTTCGACACGAGACCGAGGAAGTACGACAAGTTGAGCATGCCGCCTGTCCAGTCAATCTCGTGCATGCGGTCGGCGATATGAGGAGGGATGTTGATGAGACCGACGAACTTGACTTCGTCACCCATGGCCTCGATCCGCTTGGCAACCTCAAACGCGACAACACCACCATAACTGTAGCCCGCAATGGCATATGGCCCTGTCGCTTGGGTCCTCTTGACTGCTGCAGCATAGCAAGACACCATCTCGTCCATGGAGGTGAAGAAGGGGTGGCCGGGCACAAAACCACGAGCGCGGAGAGCGTAGAAGGGACGCTCGTTCTGGAAGTATTTGGCAAGGTTGACGAAAATGAGAACCTCTCCAACCCCAGGGTGAACGAAGAAGATTGGCGTTTTGTTTCCGGTCAGTTGGAGGGGAACGATGGGGTCGTACTCCTCAGTCTGGTTATCCTTAGAGAGCAGGGCGTTAACATAGTTAGCGAGGCTCGAGATGACGGGGTGCTTGAGGATTTCGATACTGGGGATTTCAGGCAGGCCGAAATGTGCTTCTCCCTCACGCTTGAGCCTGGGGATGATATGTATTAGTGAGTCATTTTCGGGCGGGACAGGTATACTGGCCTGATGACATCAATAGAAGTACCGCCGAGTTCGAAGAAGTTGTAGCTTGCCGACATCTCGCTTTCCGCCATGTTGAAGATACTAGCACATATTTTGGCAAGCGCCTTTTCCGTCTCGGTCGACGGGGCGACGAACGTAGCGTCCCGTGCCTCACTGAGAAGCTCCTCGGAGCGGACGATGTGCTTCGCAAACTGTCCTTTTGTGAAGAGACTGATCAGACGCGCACGAGACAGTTTACCGAGAGTGGTCTTCTCCATCTCGTTCATGGGATGGGTATGATGATCTGAGGTGGCAGGGTGATCATCCTCACAGAGATATCCCGCAGAGCCTGGTGCGTGGCGAGGAGCTTGATAGAGGCATCTGTTCCATCAAGGTCGAAAGTTGGCGAGTAGAAAATAATGAAACCTTCAGTATCCTGGCCAGCAGCGAGGAATGAGTGCATGACCCCGTCAGCGGTCTGTAGGTAGGTTTCGAGCTCAGTGATACCATATGAGACACCATGAACAATGAGGGTATCCTTGATACGACCGCGAAGACGCATGACACCATTCTCGATGATGCCAACATCGCCAGTGCGGTACCAGCCGCCTTCAACAAAGCCGGAGGACGTGGCCTCGATGTTGTTGTAGTAGCGTACGAAGATCATCGGTCCGCGAACCTGCAGCTCGCCAATCTCCCCGTCGGGGCGCAGGGTGACGCCATCTGCGGGGTCGACGATACGCCTCTCGCAACCATTGATGGGACGCCCGAGATCAAGGAACTCGTGAGCAGGCTCGGTTGCGAGGACATCCACAGGGTTGTAAATACATCCGGCGCTGAAGAAAAAACCGTCAGATCTCTGTAACCATGTGGCACAATCAGCCTTACCAAGTTTCTGTCATTCCAAATCCAGCGGATATCACAAAGGACGAGGAGTTTTTGTTAAACTTTTTCATAATGGCAGCGAACGCTTTTGCAGTCCTGGAAACAACAGCTTCACCTCCGCTGTTGATCCGCTTGATTGAAGATAGATCGAAGCACCCAAAGAGGTCGGTGCGCTTCTCCAGATCACGAGTCAGCTTGGAGAGCAGAAAATTCGGGGCAAATGCCAAATCGATGGACTAAAATATAATGACAGTAAGAGACACATTAAGCTATGGTTGGGTTTTGGCATGCCTTTTCATCGATCAGACGGAAGAGTCGAAGGGGATCAGCAAGGATAGCAGATGCATGCACGTGGAGTTGCGAAGCACCATATAACAGAGGTGTGATGTGCATTTCTAACGATCCTGCGACGTGATCAAATCCGACCCCTGCATGTCACCAGAGCGATCAATTAAAGACTAAAGTTTAAACCACGTGCGTCTTACAGTTCAGGACTCGAGATTCGGAAGTCAAGCCGTAGCTTTGGCCCTTGGCACGACATGCAGCAAGGATCGTACGGTGCGTGTGCACGACCACCTTCGAGAATCCAGTTGACCCCGAGGTCAGGAATAGGATTGCCTCATCGTCTGGCTTGGCCTCGTGTACAACCCAGTCAGGCGCGACGGCAAATTTCTCCGCCGATGCCTTTAATTCGGAGAGCAGGTGAATATTCAGACCAGAAATAGAGCTGATCTGCTCAGCGCCCAGTTCGTTGGTCAACCAAGTAGCAGATCCAAATAAGTTCTTGATGTGGGCGACATGGCCCTCCTTGTGCGCCTGTTGTGCACTAAGTGCAGGCTGTAAACAGGGCACATAACCAGCCAGAAGACATGCCCATACAGCAGCCATATTATCTTCGTGCTCCGTCAGGTACACGACAACGACTGAGCCTGTGGGTTTGCCCCACCCCTGCATAGCATATGCAAGGTTGCGAACATGTTGGTTGAGCGCGCTGAAAGTCTTGGTCTGAATGGAGGAGTCATGTGCCGAGGAGGTTATGAAACCAAGCTCATGTAACGGATAGCGGTCGACGGCTTGAGCGATGACATCATGGAGAGTGTTGGGTTGTTGAGAGACAACATATGTTTTGAGGTTTGTAACGAACTCAGTGGTTGTATTAGGGGCGACTGCGACGGGTGCCATTGCAAGATGTCTAGGTTCTCAAACGGTACGAGGGTAGGAAAAGATATTGAGTGCAGATGATCCCCCTTGGAGGCCCGAACATTATATAACTGCGAAATTCATGTTCAACGTAAGTGCCAAGCAAAGACGATATTTCTTTCTTTCTCGCTACGTACCAACTCGCCGTTATGATGATTATGATGATATCATCAGTCGGACCTGTAATATTTGGTTATTTGAAACAACTCCAATCCCTGAACAACAGAAACTAATGGTTAGTATTGCCGAAGAGGCGATGGCGACGCGGAAATAGAAGTGGAAATGTAACGGCACTATCCCCCTCTTAGACAATGATGGTGGGAGAGGGATAGCGCTATTAGTAGCAGAAGCTGAATGCCGCACAATTTATTTGTTGTCCATGCGGCCACTATGATGAGGACCGTGAGGTGAGAATCTACTGTGATACTGAGGATCTGATCAGTGGATAAGTGTCACTCTAATGGACGTACGAAACGAAGCCATCCCGGACATTGCAGTAGCAAAGTCCACTGGGGCTCATGTGACATGCGCTCATTGCAATTATGGGCCTGTGGTGCATGGATGGATATGAAGTATACTACTATAAATCGATTGCAAATCTACGAGTTATAAACTCTATTCAGTTCTGAGTTTCAAGTTGAAACGGATTTGGTCACTTTTGAAACGAGCCCTCGGAATTCACTGATCGAATTTAACTTCAGCCGATAGCACTAGTACTTAATAGTCTTAGCCAGGATGAGTAGCACATGGAGAGACTCCATTCATATATGCCATCATATGTAGGAAAGCTTTTCGCATAAAGCCGTGTATATCTTACGTTGGAAAACCACGGCGATCGGCGTAGGGTACCCTCAGCCTCAGGGGGGAGACTCGCGAATTCTCTGATGCTGGAAGGACTTTAGCGTATTATGGGAACGGTCGTTTTCTAAATGCTGCCGGGAGACAATTAAAGTCGGTACCGTCACCTCGAAAAGGATGCAGAATGCTGCAGTAGCATAAATTACATCCTATCATGTTGGAGGGTGCTGCTATACACGTTAACGGTGTTGGGAGACGTAATATTTCAGACCGCACCAATGCCAACAGTAGACACCAGCCTTTACAGTTTGTCTTCCGAAGAAGCTTCAATGCGCAAATTGGTATCGACGACAACGAAGACTTGAAGAAGCATTGACATATCCTGGAGGTGCAGGCGAAAGCATACAAAATAGGTTACTTGCAGAGGACCTCACCATAACCTCTGCTGTTGAAAGATTGCACCATATCCTTGTATTCATGAATTTGTCTTTCTTCGGTACGTGAGCTGTGATCTATGCGTCCGACATCAGGCTTTAATTGTCAGGTTTACAGAAGCCCGACAATTAAATACAAATCCTGCCCTATCCATGAATCATTCGCGCGCTAACTAAACAGCGTCCTCTATAAAGATAGGCTCCACATCCTTCCAAGGCTGTTTACCCCCCTTCTCCCACACCTTCTCTCTCTCCACCCAATACTCCAACCTATCTCCAGCCCTCGACGGCGCCCACACCCTCTCCCCAGTATCCCCATCCGTCTCCGCCCTAAACCACCTGGGCCGATGCGGCGGCGCGCGCCCCTCCTCCCTTGCACGCCGCGTCGTTCGCTGTCGTTCCTCTTGCTGCATCTTCAACCCATTCGCAAACTCATACTTCCCCATCTCAAATGCCCGTTGATCAGGTCGCAGCCGGCAGTCTGTCGGGCACAAGTATGGCCTTAGCGTTTCGTCGGGGCAGTCATTCAGCGTGATGGCAAATGGCGTGAGGTTGAAAGGTATGGTAGGCTTTTCGGAGTTACGCCAGAGGAGAATGTACTCTGCGGTGTAGTTTGGCGAAGAGGGTCCACTTACAGTGGCGTCAGGGTGTAGGAATCCGCTGCCTGTGCCTACGGCGCGACATATGAGCTGGCTGTTCCACCGTCCAGCCACCTCGTGGGTTACTTCTCCGTCTGTGTCTCGCACGATACCAGAGATTTCGTATGCATCTTTACCCCGCCATCCTCTCGGCTTGAATGTCAGCATACACTGGTCGCCAGTGCGATGATTCGTGACCTGTCGCAATGGAGTTTCAGTTTCGAAGCATGAAGAGGAAAGGGTTCACTCACGATCATATCACCGTAGTGATCGATGGTGGGAGAGCCTAAGATGAACCCGGAGACGTTGGTAGTAACTTTCTTCCACGAGAAGTGCTCGACGACCTTGCCCTGGATGCCAGCAGCAGTACACTTAGGGTAGTCGGGCGCCCATTCTTCAGGAAGAAGAAGTTCAGCATGCGCAACGCCAGTAGGACGAATCTCGAATGATTTTCCCATAAATTTATTTTGTGCATCGACCTGGTGTGGACAGGTCAGCAGACAAATCATGCGGCACAACAACGTATCAAACCTCTCCATAATAATGCCAATACGGTGATTCTGCCCAACAAGCAGAAATGGGGGGATGATGGCTGACTTGCTCAGATATGTAGCGATATTCCTTGTCGAGTCTGACGTATTCGAATGTTTCGCTCTAGATGGATTGAGCATTTGCCTACGAGAAAGGTATGAAAGGTACCTACGAGCATAGGATTAAATGGTTTAGCTATACGGCCGATGGTCGATGAATAATTTGACATTGCGAATGCGGCCACAAATGCTAACCGCCGGTGCGGGTCTTGCTCACGAGCAGCGACATCGACTATCGACCGATGAGTTACTACGACCAACGACCACATAAATGAGACGCTTACGACACTCCGAGAACTCCATGTCCTCTGCCTTCACTCGAAATAAGACAGTGTGTACATATCCATTAGCCAAAGAAAACTCACCATCCGCTGCAACATACTTGTCGGCTCATTAAACATGACGGGGAAACTAATCCTCGTCAAATCCTTTCCAATACTATGCTTCAGCACAGACCACAGACTCGTGCTAGGCCTGTTATCCGACCCGATGGGTAACCGCGTCCTCAAATTTTGATAACCTGCGAAGTGTTCGCCATTCATGAAGGACAACGCAGGTACTGCGCGCATCGGGCTCGATAGCAGTTGGCTGATGACGAGATTGGGGAGCGCATTGGCCTCGATGGCATCGAAGAATTCATCTTCCTCGTCCGTGTCGATGGCGTCTTCATCCTCCTGATCGTGCCGCGGCATACGCTGTGCCGTCGGCGTGACTCCCGCACTTGCGGGTGACGATGGCACAGTCGACGTGGACAGGCCGTTGACTTCCTCAGGCGGGGAGACAATAGTGATTGGTGCAGGGCGCACCAAGGGCGAGAAATAGGGTTCTTCAAGCACAGGCGATACAAGCGCCATGGTTGTAGGGCGCTGTCGGAGTGTGCCGCCTACATCGTTTACACCGACATCGAAGAATCTGCTACCTCGTTTCCGAGACCGTATTCGCAGCTCTCGTTCCAGTACCTCGCCTTCTCGCACGACAGTTTGTAAGCTCTCTTCCCACACACTCTGTCTCTCACGCTCACGCTGTAATTGAGATTTCCACCACTCCTCACGGTCCTTGGCCATCTGAACATACTCGTCTATCATCGTTTGTACGATCGCGAACGATTCCTTGAGCGCCGTACGGAGTTCTTGCGTCCTGGACGGTGCATCTGGTGGCAGTGCAAGGTTAGACAGAAGCTGGGTTGTGAGTTCCATCTGTGCTGCGGCCGAGTTTCCTTGCAGGTCGAAAGTCGCATTGTGAGGAGGCGACTGTGTGAGGACTGAGGCCGAAGAATTATCATTGTGGTCTTCATTGTCCGAGGTAGAACGACTTTTAGCTGCCTTGCTCGTCTCAGGAGGTGGCCCATCCTCCATGCTCTCATCCGCTATACCTATAATGGAGCTTTGTGACCCCCCGCCGCGGGTACCCACATCCATTCGCCGCACCGACATCGCCGACTGGAAGCTCGAGCGCACACTCTTGGGCTTCAAAGCGTTCAGCTCGCTCTCCCCGCTCTTTCGCAGCATTTGCTCATCGCGCCGCGCCAATTGTATGCTCTTCCCAAGCGCCTGCGTCCACCCAGCAGCCTCGACGTGATGGTTAGCACGCATGTACCATTTTTGCCCAGTGGCATGTCCTCGAGATGGGGTCGAATGGATCTCAAACCGCGTCTTGTCGCCGCCAGGCGAGATTTTGAGGATTGCAGTTTTCATGGCGATGGCACCGCGGCTAGCTATATCTTCGTCTTCTTGATGCCGGTAATCTGCAGGAGGTTAAGCGCCGTAATTAAATAAGAAGGAGCGAGAGATGACGGACATGTGAATACACCATCTTTCAGAACAAACCATCTAGTATTATAGCCCTTAGCAACATTAGTGTATTTATTGAGATAGCCCTTCATGACAGGAGGTTCCGAAGACGGGACCTCAATAAGAGAGGTATCGTGATTTGCGACTGTCGTTGTTTTGAGTGCAGTGGGTAAGGGAGCGCGTAAGGAGAACGTACATTGTCGCAAAAATACCCGTACGTGATCGTCTTTTCCTGTGCCCTCGTACGCCATTTTCCCCCTGCGGTTTCGCACGAAAACGCTCGCCCCCGCTCGGACAGCTAGTTCAACGAGGCGCAGGTTTTTACGCCTGGCTGCCTCATGTAACAGAGAAGTGCCAGATGCATCGTCCAAGTACGACAAATCAACTCCACGTGCCCGAGGTGATTCCAGTAGAGCCACCAATGCAGCAGTCGGGGATGCATCCATAGGGGACAAGATATACGAGCGTAGAAGGGACCTGTATGAGGCGTTCAAAAAGGAACGCGAATCTAGGAGTGGCGTTAGTGAAGAGGGCACAGAAACTACGAGGGAGTACGCACCTTGCAATATTTGGATGACTTCTTTTACCTTTGCCACATCCTTGCATGTTTTTCCGTTGTTATCACGGAGGGTGTCGTCAATACCAGCCTGGTCGAGCAACACGCCTACAATGTCTGCACGACCAAGGGATGCTGCAAGATGCAGAGGGGTGATCCCAGAGCCTGGTGGGTGCACACCATTGGGTGATATGGCTCTGTGAGATAGGAGTAGCTGTACAGTATCAACTTTGGGTGCGGGTGAGGGAAGGTGGAGTAGCAAGCAAAAGCAATGACCTACCAGAAGCGCAGCGAATAGCAAGGTGAAGGGCAGCAGCTCCAGTGTTAATGTCTCCATCAACAGACTTTCGTCTTTCCTTGCCAATTTCAGCAAGAAATGGATGTATGAGAGCAGGATCGCCTGGGGAAGAGGGTTTGCTATGAAGTGGGAGAAGAGAGAGGTGGTTTCTTACCACTCCGAAGCGCCGATAGCAGTTTGAGTTGGTGAAGGGGTTCTGAGGTATCTGCTGCTCATAAATGACTAAATCCAAAGACAAGAAACTGACAAACTCACCGGACCTGAGACTACGGATCGAGAGGGAGGAGCTCATTATGTGTCCACCGCAATTCCCCGCCCGTAAATTCAAAGTCCAGAATGGTTTAGTGGGAACAGCGCTTGCGCGAAATGAAGAGGAAAGCAGTTAAGGAGGAGAAAACGAGTTAGATGTATTCAAGAAAGTCACCAAGTACTGCTGCAGCTTCTTCCCCATGCAATTTCAGAAGCACCGAGTCACGTGTCATTTATGTACTTGCAGCTGCAGTGTTGCTAGCCCCAGGGTCCACATACGATTTCAGCGCTCAGCACTGACCATGCTAACTAGTAGCGCCACGCAGGCTAGCACTCACGCTCGTCTCTTCCACAGCTACGAAGCGCCGATAAGACGTAAGGATACCTTCTTTGACATCGTCACTTGTCACTGTCTAATTAGCCCCATGATCATACTTAAGCTATTCCCATGATTATTTTCGCAATCTTTGTCACCGCTATCGCTGTCCAACAGTCAATATCTCCCCCGCCTGAGATACCAGGGGCCTATATAAAGGATAATTTTAAGGTGGGTTCCTTCCCAGTCTCCTTCCGTTCATCTATTCACGCCAAGTCATGAGTAGTTTCTCTTCTCCAGACAAGGAGAAAGCCTCTGAGGGTGATATTGGTTCGGCAGAGCGCGCAAGTAGCAATGGCAGCTATACACCACCACCAGACTTCAGACTTCACCGAGAGCTTAAGAATCGTCATGTTGCAATGATAAGGTACTTATCTGTTAACATTCCTGATTGTAAAGACTGAGTCACATTACTTTTTTTCAGCATTGGCGGGGTGATTGGCACAGGACTGTTCCTCGGGACTGGATCAGCACTCATGAATGGCGGTCCTCTAGGCCTTTTATTAGGTTACATATTCATTGGGTCAATATGCTACTGTGTGATGGTCAGTCAAGTGTATATTTCCTGACTTTGTTCTTCATTGTTTTGTTACTAGGTCACAATCGGAGAGATGATCTCCTACCTCCCAGTTGCCGGCGGTCACATCAAACTCGCCGAGCGCTTCGTTGATCCGGCATTCTCATTTGCATTGGGATGGAATCTATGGTACAATTGGACGGTAATGTGACCCCCTGCTTGATGTTTCAAGTTTCTGAACGTTACTCTCCCATCAGGTGACATTACCAGGTACAGTCTCCGAATCGTCCCGCAACGAATGTCGTTCATTATATTTAAGCCGAGTTGTCCGCGGCCGCTACCATCATCAATTTCTGGCATCCTGGTGTAAACAACGCGGTATGGATAACAATGTGTCTCGTTGTTGCCGTCGGGATCAACATGAGTGGTGTTGGTAAATGTTCACGCAATTTACCTTCTCTTCTGGCTCAATTTTTGCTGCAGGCGTGTATGGTGAAACCGAATTCATGTTCGCGTGAGGCCATCTTCCCCCGAAGTTCTTTCCTTTGCCTGACGCTAGGGGCAAACTAGCTCGATCAAGGTTGTTACGATTGTTGGTCTCATCATCTTGGGGATCGTCCTTGACCTTGGCGGTGGCCCGAACCATGATCGTATCGGATTTCGCTACTGGAAAGACCCTGGCCTGTTTGTTCAATTTTATGGCATAAGTGGCATGACAGGTCGTTTTCTAGGCTGGTCTCGTGTAGTAACACAAGCTGCATTCGCATATGCTGGGTCAGAAGTCGTGGCTGTGAGTCGTAATTTCCTCCCTTGGACCTTTTGAGGTTGAAACACGCCAGATGGCGGCTGCAGAAGCCAAGAACCCGCGTAGGAATCTCCCCAAAGCCATTCGTCGTGTTTATATCCGGCTCCTGCTATTTTATATTGGCGGTGTCTTCGTTATCGGTCTAGCTGGTACCTTCGAACAACCCCTTGCTGAACGTAAACTCTGATAATGCTTCCGCGTCTCCGTTTGTAATTGCAATTGACCGAGCTGGCATCAAAGGATTGCCCGCGGTAAGTGTTGTGTTATACAGTAATACATTTCTCATACCCCTGTAGGTGATCAACGCCGCCTTACTGACATCAGCCTGGTCCGCGGCTTCCAGTGACCTTTACATTGCCTCCAGAGGCCTATGTGAGCTTCTATCTAGGTCTATGGGACTGATTCCGATCCAATCTGCTTGTAGATGGCCTCGCCGCCTCCGGCAATGCCCCCAAAATATTTCTCCGCACCTCGCGGTCCGGGCTTCCCTATGTCGCAGTAGCCACGTGTGCTTCTTTCTCCCTCCTCGCCTACATGGCAGTCAGCACGAGTTCCGGAATGGTCTTCACGTGGTTCTCTAGCATGTGTGCCACTGCGGGCCTCACGACCTGGTTTGGCATCGGTGTCATCTATCTGCGCTTCCGCAAAGGCTTCCTCGCACAGGGGCACAAGATCATTGAGCTCCCATATTCCTCTCGACTCCAGCCCTTCGCCGCCTGGTGGGCCGTCAGCGCATCGCTTTTGACGCTGTTAGTGAGTCTAGCTCCTGCATATGCGATGTAATGAAACGATTCTTGGGCTTATGGCCTCCAGTTCAGTGCATGGGAAGTCTTCCTGAGAGATAACTGGTCAACAGCAACGTTCATGACCAATTATCTGCCCGTGATGCTTTTCCCTGTTTTATATACCATCGCCAAAATCTGGAAGCGAGTCCCTGTAGTCAAGCCAGACGAGATGGACTTCCATTCTGGCATCGCGGAAATCGAGGCAATGACGTAGGATTCTTTTATTTGCTTGTGAATATGAGCTAGGCTGAGATACTTGTCACAGACATGCAGACGTGCCCCCGAGGAATTTTGTGGAGGCATTTTGGATGTGGCTTGTGAGTTTTTTTTCGATGATGGTGGTCACTGGTTGGTTTGCTCATCCTTTCGCAAGATGTAATGATTGCGTTTCTCGTTGACCGATATTGTATTAAAGCGAGCTGTTTCTATATCATAAGTGCTTGCTTGTCAATATTTTGATGAAGCCGTCGTGCCTTTGTCCCCAGTAGCCAAGACCCTTGTTGTGGCTATGACAATGTCTGCCTTGATTCTGTGACTTCACCCACATCGCATTGCCACCCTTGTCGCCAATCACTGCAATGTGACTCTCAGTAGCACGAGAACTCCGCATGTGGAGACTGTCCGACATTTTGCCACTCCAAGTGACTCACTGGGTCAATCAGCCTGGCCCAGGTCTGTTCGTCTCACCTACAGGGCGGTTTCATAAAACATACAATCCCATTACGGACATACTGCGGATGCTCCAACATTTGTTGTACACGTTCTTTCGGGAACATCCATTGGTACACGCACCACCAAATGCTTTGGTTCGTAAGATTGCAGGGATCGCGCCGAACGCAGACGATGTCACTGGAGACGTGTTAGTGGCGCCAAGAAATAAACACGAAGTTATGGACTGTGGAGAAGAGGATATGCCGCGGGTCAACGGGATCGTCCAACAGTAAGCCCGAGATGCCTGGCATGATGTATCAATCTGGGTTCTGGAGATGAAGGATGAGTTGAAATTCAGTGTTCGTTAGACTGCGAGAATATTCTCAGTTGAATCAAGTAACACCCAGTAGACTCCACTCCTAGCAAGGCATCTCGAGCTCACCCCTTCGCGCAGTCGGCTCTTTCGATGATATACTGCATTTACAGTAGCAAATCAGGAAATACAATATTAGCACAGCCTTGTCCCTTGTCCGCCTCTGCAAATAGATACATGATGTCTCTTCGCGTTCTCACCCTGGACAACGCCGTATACAATTGATCGTGAACAAATGGATCCATTCGAAGATCGAGCACACTTCGTGCTGGCATTGATCCTTGACAACCATTAAACATCGTTGCATACGCTGGTTACAGAGGAAACTGTCTTCGATTCACTGTCCACGATGAACGGTTTAGATGGAACGCAAAGTTGATGCGGGGGATACAGTGCTAGTGGCGTTCGAATCAGTGTTGATGAATTAGACTTCGACGAACCAACGATGCGGAGTAACCGCGTGCGTTTCCCACTAATCCCTTTTCTACAGAGAGGTTTCATTGAATGGCGCAAATGCAGGTATGTTTGAAATCCAGGCGATGAGGAGGCATCCCGGGATGGGTCAACATCACAAGGCAGTCAGGCGTGTGTTCTGGTACGATCAATGGAGTGTGATCGGTTTCTTTCAGGCTGTCTGAACCAAAATAAGATTTTATGTTGAATCATCGACATAGACATTGAGAGGGGAAAGGAAGACAAGTTTTAACGTCTTCGAGAACATGAGGAAGTCAATGGTGTCATCGAAGTTTGTCGTCACTGCTATAATCCCGAGATTCTGTCGATTTCCGGAGCAGTCTTCTCCAATGTGATCCACGGAAGCCGTGAACTACGGGTCACTCATGCAACAAATTACAGTAATATCAAATTCATTTTCCTGCTTGACTGAAAAGGTGCTGCGCGAAACTTCATCTGCTATGATGACCGCTGGAATTTCAGGTGCGAGCGCCGTCAGGAAGGGATTATAAGTCCTATATAGATAGATGAATGAGCAAAAATAGGAAGGAAAAGAGATGAAGGGAATGCGCAGATTTGCCTTCATCGTCAATGATCGTGATAGGACCGATAGTTATCCGTGCATCCAGTGTATGATAGAGGCAGAGGCAGTGTTGGCATCAAATGTGAACACGTTTACGTTGATTTCTGATTCGTATCACCAGAAATTCTTTTTGTCGATCTGATACCTGCTTCCATTTTGAAGACCAACAACGCCGTGAAATGATACAGAGGCCGCCTATGATAGTAGTGAGGAAAAAACAGACAGAACTAGTATGAACGTGCAGTAATGTCGGTGGACGCAATTGCACCCGATGCTGGCGGTTATTTCTGTAGACAATATTATTGCCACTTGTAACAAGTAGCACAAACGTGCTTTTAATGCCGTCCTGGGTAGCTCTTCCCCTGCTGCGCCCATCCTGAAGCGTCATGCATATGTCCAAACATAATTGGGTTCTTTGGCCAGTGCCGACCACTATACTTTCGAGCTGGCTCTACCACACGGTTGGTTCAGAAGAAGCAAATTGCGTGACTCCCATGATATGCGAGCTCCACCTGACTCTATAAAATGAAGAGGGTTAACTGGAAATCTTCGAGAATTATGGGGATATTCTTGAGTAAAATGTAGTTATGATGGGAGTAAAGCGTGTAATTGTTGGCAAATTTCTGGACGGGAGAATGTATCAGAAAACTCCGTGATATTCTCATACTTCACCCACCGTGACATTTTAGCCGCGTCGTAGTTCATGCGTTTGCTGTGTATTAGAATGCCTTTCGCTGTGATCCCTGTAGTTTGACATTCTGCCGGATTCTGCCGGCAAAATTCTGCCATCTGCCAAACCGGCTGGCAGAATGGCAGACTTCTGCCCACAACACTACGCCTGAGCCTCAACTATTCCCTGTCGTTTTGCGCTTGGCAGTCAGCTGTCTGCGCGCCGTGGGTTAACTGTGCTTTCCTCAGTGTCTGGACTCCAGTCTTTGCAATCTGGAAATCCACCCACTTAGTAAGACCGTCACAAATCCGAAGCCCCAAGACAACGTTAGTAGCGAATCTGTCTGTCTTTCCCTGAATTCGACTCGGAGCAACCCTTACCCACCCGGACATGAAACCGATCGATAGCGGAAGAGTACTGCATTCGGTCCTCATCATCGGCAATGCACTTCCCAGCCGGTGAAATGGCATTCATTTGACGTCGAACGTACTAGTTGGTGGTGAGCGATTCATCGAAATTCCTCATACCGGAGCTCAGGTCCGTGTGGCCTCTCTATATCTGGCTGGATTCCCAATCCCAAACAATTTCGTTTGCGACCCGTTTCTAATCACACTTACAAGCCATACCGTGACCGGGAGCCGTCTAACTGACTCGGCTGGCCAAGGAATGAGGCCAAGGGAGTCACTATAGAATGCACTTCCTTGAGAATGAATGAATACTATTAACTGCGGATTGCCACACACATGGTGCTACTTGGGCACTACCACCCGGTTACGCGAACGTTGCAATGCCCTGTCTTATGGTTTATCGAGCAGTCAAATAGCACATGGATGATCGCAGTTCAGCGCTTACGACACTGGAGTCTAGTTTCGTCTCTGCACGGACAAAATTTCCAATGCGGTTCGGAACGGCTGTGTGGGTCCCAAGTGGATTTAGGGTCCAGCTCATGCTAAAGGCTGACCGGACCTAGGAGATGAAGCTTCCTCCCCCAACCTGTAAATCACCCTGCTGGTGAGTACCGAATAGAGCTGTCCAGGTATAGGCTTGGTTGCAGTAGTGCAAGGACTATTTACTACTAGGTTGTATCCCGAACAGAACAGGATGAACGGTGTGGTAGCACCCTGGTGAGAACTTTCCCAGGTTCGAAACCACTGCCATATGTGCCTGCAGCAGGCACCAAGGACGTGGTCTGCTTCGCGATGCTCAACTGGACTCTAGCTTCGGCTTCACGTTGTAGTTAGTCACTAACGCAACTCCCCGATGTTGACAACCCCTAAACCCTCTCATATTCCAATGTCATCTCCGGATATCGCATTTTCAATTCACGCGTGCCGCTGAGACAATCCATTGTTCATCCGGAGGTTGGACTTCCTTTTGCCAGCATACAACCTTGAGAAAATCATTCCGACACTACACACGTCGATATTTCAATATTTATACACGAGATTTTCAGTCTAAGGATGACAATCTGACTCCCTATTCCAATGGCGGAGATTCCTTTCGGAACTTTGTTATGGGTAGCTGCGAGACCTCTTCTCCGACTGTGAGTTTCATTTCCTTCCTTTTCGTGTCGTTCTGAACGTTTACCCAGTTTCATATGCGTCGCGTGTGGGTACGGTATTACAAGGGCTGGTTTTTTTCCTGCGATTGCGACTCGCGGCGCCGTGCAAGTGGTTTTGGTCAGGATGCCCCATTTCCTGGAAGAATGGAATTGATAAACAGGATCCAGAACATTACTTTGCCTAGCTTGATATTCTCGAGGGCTTCATCTGCATTAAATGCGGAGAATGATGCAGCTTTTGGTTCGTTGTCTTCCTGAAATGCGTTACTATCACGCAATTAACGTACATGCACATGCAAACGATCCCTTTAGGACCGCTGATAGTGATTGCAACCATCTACATGGCAATAGGCTTCGCATTATCTCTGTTTATCAAGCAATTTTTCTGGGTTCCATATCGGTTTCGGTACGGTATCCTTGTTGCCGGGGGTTGGGCGAGCAGTTGCGATATAAGTAGGTTACATGTTTCTTACATCGTGCCATTCACTGACTGGCACCTCATAGCAATTTCGGTCATGATGGACATAATGGCCTCTCTCCCTTTCGACGGAGTCCACGATCAAGACCTCGCGGTAACATACGTCGGCGCCTTTTGTGTCATCTACTACGTGAGTTTTGTATGACTTTTGTTATATAACGCTAAATTACGCCATAAGCTGACTATGTTTACGTGCGGGCGCAACTTAATCGAGCGTGATTTTATTGGATCTGATACAGATGGCGGGGAAATACATGAACCATGCCGGGCCAAACGTTGGAAGTTGCTCGTGGTTTTTTTACGCCGGGCGAAATTTGTTTCCTCTTCCGCAACTGGGGAAAAATATGACTTGGAGAGGAATGCCTACGGTGACCAAATGTCTAGCAAAGATCTCTCCCTGCAACTGTCATCGTTGGAGCATTCACAGGCAGTTTCCCCATTAGCGTCGTCAACCATTGTGCAGCATGACATACTGTCTGGCCAATGCGATGAAACGCAACCGTCCATGGATGCAGAACCGCACATCATACCAGCGTCCACAGAGAACTCTGCTCCAAACCAACCCCGCTCTGCCATGCGATACATGAACTTCCTTGGCAGTCTTTCATCCCCTGTCTTGTTCTCTGTGGTGGTTTCGCTCATTGTCTCTAGAATGTCGGCTGTGAAGGCATTGTTTATCCCTAATGTATCAGGAACGAACATTCCACCAGCTCCTGATGGACAACCCCCACTGGCATTCGTAATGGATACAGCGGACTTCTTGGGAGCAGCCAATTCTCCCATTGGACTGATTATTCTTGGATCTGCACTCGCGAGAATGAGTGTCCCTCGCGGACGCTGGACTTCACTGCCCCTTGGGGCCATCGGAGCTCTTGCTGTTAGCAAACAGCTCATCATGCCAGTCCTCGGAATTTCCATCTGCGAAGGATTCACTCGGATAGGATTCATTGATGCTGAAGATAAAGTGCTCAGATTTGTATGCATGTTCGTTTGATTTGCTATGCGCTGCATCTGCCTTTGGCTGAGTGAGCATATCACAGCTTCGTATCATGTTTACCCATAGCATCGACCCAAGTGAGATATTGCCCCTGCAAACCGCCTCTTTTATGTGTTGAGGAATTATTTGCAGGTGATCCTGACGCAAGCATGCTCTGATACAAACACAACAGATCATCTTGCTGCGTTCTTGCTACCCCAGTTGATCCTCATGTTTGGGGTGATGACCGTATTGATGGCCTTTACACTCGACCTTCTCTTTTGCTAGCAGGTCACTTCTGGGTGCCCGGTGCACAGGGCCTGGAAACGCCTAACCCCTTAGATGATGGATTTGATGTTTCGAGCCCGAAAGATTAGATTACTGTATGTACAAGTGATTGCCGCTGCGGGGTTCGCCTTGTTAAAGGAAATTCTGTGTGAGTTTGCATCTAGATTACTGTAGAAGATTTCTTTTATACATCAATACAAGCCACTGATGAAGAGAGAGGCACTCGGAAGAGTTCGTGCGACATTCAACGATGTAAATTGCAAATACTTTAGATTGGCAATTGGGAAGATTGAACAACATCGTAGCAGATGGTAAAGGAAAGATAACTTAGAAGTATGCGGACTTCGCCCGCTTTTGTTGGTCTCCTTTAACCTTCTGTCAATTCTGAGTCGAGGATTTAGAACTGAGATCCCGCTGCGGCAGTTTATGGTTGGCTGATGTATGGTTCATAAGTAAGTCTTCTAGCTGGACATGTGCTATCACATATTACCTCGTTGCCACTCTACATGCATAACTCGAGCTCTAGGAGGAACTTGACGATACCTTCGGCAGTGAAGATGTAGGTTTTGACGTATGAACCAGCCAAATGTCTAACTTGTCTGGAAGAGGTCATCAATGAAGTATTGTGTGTTCAAGTGATACGGAAGCACTGGGAACAAAGGGGCTTTAGAATTATTTCTCACGCGCACGCTTGGGTGGTGGGCAACGCGTCGTCTACTTGTTACTGCAACACTTAGGCCTTAGTCCCGGTAAACACAGGAGAACAAGTTGTGCGCCTTCTTCAACATGCCCTATCAACGAGCGTGCAACCAAGCATGTGCAATCATGACCTGGCCTTTGTCACTCTGGATCCTGGGCAAATGGCATTGTGGCTCCTTGGATTTGCCTTGGACAATATTTAAGTCTCTGTCGACCATTATTTTTCTTGTAACCGCTCTCTTCTCAACGAGCCAGCCCCTTTCGAATCCTCGCAACTCTTGTATTCTTCAACTTTCTACCTGGACAGATTCTTGGCAACATGCAATTCGTAGCACCCGCCGCGGCTCAGCACGCAGAAGCGCCTGGCCTGACAAATGACACACCCTTCAGCATCATAAATCGGGCTACTAGTAACAAACTCCAGCATGTACGCAAGAGTCCAATTGATACCTTGCCTGATGAGATCATTCTGCACATATTCAAGTTGGGTGTCTTGTCGCAACTCTCAAAAACGTATCGATTTTGCTGTCTTAGTTTCGCATGTCTCTAGCACATGGCGTAACCTCGCCTTCAGCTGCTCCTCGCTGTGGGCGGACATCACCATCACGGCCGATAACATGCATAAAGTCGATGGAGAGCTCGCTATCGTTAATGCATCTCTTCTTCGTGCAAAGGAGTTCGCCTCGCGTTCTAGAGTCTTTTCGTTATTTGTCCGACTCAAACTTTTCACAACGCCCAACTTGGATTTCGAATATTTTCGACTGGGCACGATTATGACAATGAACTGGCTCCGCCTAGTGCTACCGCGCGTCAAATATCTCTCAATACACTGCGATACTCTCCAAGTTGCGTGGCTCGTCACGAAGTGTTTACATACAGCTCCCATGGAGACTCTGGAGACCTGCAAAATGAAGTATGGCACTACAATCCTATCCTTTTGCCATTCAATTATACCACCACCCGTGCGCTTTCTTTTTCTGGCTGGCCAAAACGAAGAACAGGCAGCGGACAATTTCTTTCCAAAGTTGACACGTGTTAAAGCGTCTGGGTTCCCAGTGTCGTGGTCTCAGTGGTCTTTAACGCGGCTGACATCCCTATCGATTAATTTCATGACCTTGCATGACCGGCCTTTGATGGACGTGCTGAAATATATCCTTACAATCAACAGAGAGACTCTGGAAAAGTTCGAGATCCAAGGTGCCATTCGGCAGTTTGGGACGCTGCTCCGTAACGCGAACGAATTGCCGACGAACTTGCCAAGGCTCGCAGACCTCACACTCGGCTATCTATCCCAGTGGGAAGCTATAATTTTTTTCCTTCACTTCGAGACACCTGCGCTGAAGCACCTCAAGCTATGTGACATCTCTCGCTCAATTCTCGCTCAGCACTAGTCCCAGGACTTCAAAGACGGCTTCGACTTGAGCAATCCGTTCTTCCAGAATACGACTGCTCTTCAGCCATTTAACAACTTTTCTTCTACGATCCTTCTCGAAAATCTGGTTTATGGCTGGCGCTCGCTACTTGAACAAGTTGAAACGCTCGCGCTTGAACATTTTAGTCTACCACCTCTTTTCTCCAACCTCTTCTTGCAAGACAACGATCCTTTGAAACAATCTCATGGCGCTCATGTTGTTCTGGCTTACCGCATGTTGCAGACATGCTCACAGCTTCGACGCCTCGCTCTCACCAGCCCGGAAGAGTGTTTCATCCATGCACTCAATATGTATCCCGATGGTGCCGATCCCGACGATACCGAAAACAACGGTCCGGCCCCTGCGCTTACCCACCTGTATCTCGCCTCGTCTCATCCTGACCGCCTAATCCTCTTTTTGAAGCGAAGAGTGGAAAGCCTTGCAAAGGAAAAGGGTCCACATATTTTGGACTACCTTGAACTGGCGACAGAGAAAAAGATGTGGGGCATATGTTGGAGGCTATCGCATCGGACAATATTGACCTGGGCTGTCTTGTGAAGAGTTCGTTGGTGGCTGAATGGCAGGGAAGGTTCACTACCTAAATCTTGTGTATTTATGTCCTTCCGAAGTTCCAAGTGTACTTAGACCTAGTGACGAAGAAGGAATGCGTTGTATTTGCTGCTTATGACAGTCACCTAATACGGAATAACAATTTGAAGACTTCTTCAAGTTCTTGTTTTGTTATATCGCTTGGCCTCATGTTGGCAGCGTGCTGTTCATTGTTCAATTGAGGGGAGGTAACGAGGTTTATTGCTCCAATTGTCTTTTGGCTTATACGATCTCCACATCCCTGAGCCAAAGTAGAGCGCGCACATGGCGTCGACACCAATTGGGAATCGTTCCGCTCTTACAATATGTAGATAGATAGATGTAGTATATCGTCGTCTATCGCAAAAATAGCATCTGAGTCTGCGTACACGGTATGTTACAGATGAGTCAAAGAGCTGTATTGAAATAAAAGATATTTCGAGTGTGTTAGCTGCTTGCAGCGGAAATCGGAACTTGCACACAGGAGAAAACTCGACTTGTATTGAATGAGCACGGCCCAACTTGAACTGGCAGGAACGTTCATGTTTTAACATGGTGGCGGATGCGAGGCTCAGCGCACGGTCCTGTCACCCCTATGGAATTGTTGGAAAAAATTTCATAGCGCGGGTGCTTGAGGCTTGAAACACTAGACTGCCCAGGAAACAATTAAGGTTAGTCGCCTGGAGAAGTTGGAAGAATCCAATCCAACATACTGGGAACTCGCGTGGATCACATCGACCCGACAACGTAGATGAAGAAGTCAACTAGGTGTTAGATGTTAGGCGGGAAAGGACCTGAAGAGAAAGCAGATTGTAATCAGCCAGCGGAAAAAGCCCATGGAAGAGAAGCAATTAATCCAGATTCCGGAGTGTTAGAATTTATATTTTGTGGGTATACAGATGATGTTGACCTTCTGGCAAATATCCGTAGCTCATCATGACGCAGTTCGAAATATGTGCACATTTGCGATATCGGGAAAGTCAGGTGGAGCACATCATATTTTTGAGACGGGGAACTCAGCAATATGTTGTAAGAGATGACGCAAAGCTGTTCCAAAAGTAAAATATAGTAATCAGCCTCCAGCAGTCGCAGCGGAGCAGCTTGAAGTTTGCGCCCTGGCACGCGAGACGCGCGCGGATGGACGCCGCTCCAAGGTCATCATATCGTAGATATGGATGATAACGTCATTAGCGGAGACTCGAGGACCTGTGAATCCATATGTCCATGAAGTACTCAATCAGGCTCATTTCGGCACTTGAAGATGTTGCCCATGATGAATTAGGAATGCGGTCTTCCGTTTATTGGTCTCCCTCAGGAGACAGTAGGGTTGACGGGCCAAGCGAATATCTTCTCTCAAAGGGGACTTGCCGTGAACTTGTGTAAGTCTGTCAATTGCACCGCTTTAGACTATCCGACTTCGTCTGGCTTGAGACTCGAGGGCCGCTGACATGATCCAATAGGTTGGGCTGGACCGAGTGTTAGCCCGGAGTGGTATGCAAGTAGGCGGAACTGCTCGAGAAGTTGGGATACCGATTCGACCGTGTCGAACGACTCTTCAAAATAGAAATATACATTAACACATTGCGCATACTATAAGAATGCTCGAGTAACAAAGGAACTAACATGGAGAGTGAACTGCTGTGTGAGATTAAAAAGGAGTGGTAGGTGGGTATAGAGAAAGACTGTAGGTAGACGAACTCGACGTCATGGGTCGTAGCAGAGGCGAACAGCGGTGCCGGGACATTCCGGCGGGCTACTAATCAGGGGCCAGGCACGCATTCCAGATGACTGAAAGCTGTCACGAGCTCAGCGCTCAATGTACACTAGTACTTACTCTTCTGCCTCAGGGATGCATTGACGAGCGCTGTGATGCAGACCTCATGACAATCGCCACGGTGAAGACTGTCGACAACAAGTTTACCTTATACTATCACCAAATGCTTATTTAATCGGTTCTAGACCTCCACAGTTAATGCACTGGCCAACACGTCCTAACTCCTGGAAATACATCATATCAGACACTACTAGCTTATACTCGGCGATATTTGGTGATCTTGACAGGAGTTGTAATGAGGCGGTGATGCATAAATGATTAGGGCAATTTGCTAATCGCTCAGGATCCCCTGTCAAGCAAGATTATCTCCAAACGGTACCATGTCCTTGCTCAGGGTTGGAGTCTTGGTAGACTCTGGGCCGGACTACTTCAAAGAGGTTCACAACGGCCAGGTTCAGGTTCGGACCAGGAGCGGTGAGCTCAGTTTGCGTCATCGCGGGGATATGGCCTTGACGATACGCACTATGGAGTGACATTGGATGCCTCCCTTTTATCCTCCGTTGACGATCTGCAGAAGACCAGAAAGAAAGGTTTCGCATGTATATTCCCCAACTAATAAACGTTCGAAGCCGCCGACTGCGGCAGTGGTCTCATCAGCATGTCGATGCCGAACATTAGATTTTAAGAGGCGGCCTTGTTGTCAATTTTTCGAGGTTGATTACTGCTCACAGAACAGAAGTAACGACAAACAAGCTTCTAATGTGGGAATGGCTCGGACTGGTTTGGACGGCCATCAGATACAGCCCGAACGACGAACATAGGTATGGTTTGATCCTGCTTTCCACGTCGAACTGCTAACCTGAAAGGCACTTCAGTTCGCAAAAAAGTCGGATTCGGAATTTGGTCGAGGATTAAATTGCGGCAGCACTTTGCCAAGATATGGTGGCCCTTAACCAGGGTTTCCATTCATACAGCTTATGGCACTGGTCACTGATTCGAATTAAAGTCCAAAGCAGTCGCGCGGACAGGCCACTATCTTTTTGCAACTTCACTCACCGACATGACACCGATATATGACGGACCGGTTGTCCGCTTCTCAGGGTGTGAACCTAAGGTAGAGCCATATCTTACTGACCCTTACGTCTGCAACTGCCAGCAAAGACATGGAAGCGCTTGCCGTACTTGCATTTAAGAGTCGGATTTTCCATGGTCCAGAGGAATCAAATATCCTTTTCACTCCCCTTCAAATTGGAGACGGACTGTCTTTGAGCAGGCTCCTTCTTTGACTCGTTAAAATCATATCACGAATTGCGACTCGTCCACGGTCATAAAGGATCATGAGCAGCATCATCATTGGCACTCTGCTTTGGATCTCTGTCCAACCGCTCATACGCCTGCAAGGATCCTTTTCTACGTTTCCCTTGCACTTTTTTTCACGCTCGTTGCCATTTCTTCAGGTTTTTGTGCGTAGGATGCGGATTTGGAGTCACGAAGGCTGGCTTATTACCCGCCATGGCGGCTCGCGGGATGGGGCTAGTCATCATAGTAGGAATTTTTTTGATTTGAGGATGCATGACTGATCGATCGATAGAATGTTACGACGCCAAATTTGATGTTCTCGACAATTGTACCATCGTTTAACTCATCAAACATTACTGAACTAGGTGGGATTTTGTGCCTTTTGCGTGTATTTTGACTGAGGTTATTTCCAGGCCCTCTTGTTCTCGTCGCGCTGATCTATATGCTAATCGGCATGACACTGTCGTGGATCATCAAGCAACTCTTTTGGGTTCCTCACAGATTCCGGCATGGAATTCTTGTGGCTGGAGGGTGGGCGAATATCGGTGATGTCCGTAAGCTTACCGAAACCCTTTGTTTTACGTACATTCTGTCTGACACTGGTTTGCATTAGCTATCTCTGTGGCCCTGAGCATAATGGCGTCAGCCCCTTTCAATGGAACCGATGATGAGAACCTGGCAGTGAGTTACATCGCTGTTTTTATGCTGGTGTGGTCCGTGAGTATATCGGTTATGTATCTACCTCCATTTGCTGCAACATTCGTAGGTCACACTGTTTCCTCTTGGCGGACACCGGTGTGTTATGATGGATTTCGATGGTCCTGACTTGGAAATGATCAAGTCAAGGAGAGGCTGAGCACCAAACACTCGAAGACTCTGTCGAGACTAGCTGCCTGGATTCGTACACCTCAGGCAGATCTTTCTCTTTAACCATCCACCAGTCAAGGAAATTCATACCGAAGTCGGTCAAAATAGCAGTGAAAAAGAGTCTCCTCATGCGACATTTACACATGAGGACTCTGTCACCACGTGTTATAGACCGCCGGAGCAGGAAGAAATTGGAGTCTTGACATTAACGAATGAACATCTGCTGTCCTACCGAGTTTCTGGATCCTACTTCTCCCTCACTTACATCCGTACAGCCCGGTCCGCTTTTGACTGACGGAGCCGAGAAAGTCTCCACAACCATCAGTCTTCCTGACTCTATCACCGGGCACATCGCGGTGACGCATACTCATTGGTTCCACAAGTTCATCAGTCTGACCTTCGGATTCCTGCGATCCCTCCTGGCTCCCCCGTCTTTGTCGATCATCATCTCATTTATCATTGCCATTACTCCTCCATTGAAGGCACTTTTTGTTCCAGGCGTTCCAGGCACGCATATATCTTCAGCGCCCGACGGCCAACCTCCACTCGCACTTATCATGAAGACGGCTACCTTCATTAGTGGCGCATCAGTACCAATGGGTTTGATTACCCTTGGGTCTGCTCTTGCCAGACTAAGCATCCCGCGAAATCAGTGGAGCTCTCTCCCTCTCGGTGCCATCGGGAGTTTGGCTGTTGGCAGGCTCGTCGTGATGCCTGTTCTGGGCATCCTTATTTGCCAGCAATTCACACGTATCGGACTGATAGACCCCTCTAACAATGTCCTCAGATTCATCTGCATGTACGTCCCTTTGAACATATGAGCCTGAATGAAACCTGACCTTGAGCGTTAGCCTCTTGTCGGGCTTGCCCACCGCGACCACACAGGTATTTGTTTATTTTGCATCTTGGACGTCATATTAAGCAGCGTTTAGGTGTTTCTGACTCAAGTGTACTCTGGGACAGGTAACGCTGAGCATTTGTCAGCGTTTCTGATACCCCAGTACATCATTATGTTCGTATCGATGACAGCCATCACTTCCTTCACACTTCATATTCTCTTTGGATGATGCCCCTGGAGCAGGGATGTATGGATCACGTTATGTGCGGGTTTAGATAATGACGGCCGGTAAATGATTGGATAGAACAAGAGATATAGAACAATTCCGATGTAGGATATATTGAAGCACCTGAAACTGTATGTACGACCCCAATAGACGCATACGTTGTATATTTGCACCAGCGAAAGCGATCGGCACTACGGTTGAAGATGATGATATTGGTTTATGATTATTTCATCAGATGGTACACCCTTTTAAAAAATTGGACAGCTACAGAGCTGTCAGAAGGTGAACCGGTGACAGCTGTCGAATGTACAAGTTGTGGCAGCTGGGCCGCTTTACCTTCTGACGATTTTGAACGGTCTATTGGGAGCTAGGTTATACCAAGAAAGGCAAGCACGAGCAGAAACACGCCTGCGCGATCCCCGTGACTGAAAGGATTTACTAAATTCATGATTGCGTACTTGGCCACGAACAAACGCCAAGTTCGGCCAGATGTTCCTATAACGTGAGGAACTTCTGCCGATAAGCGCTAGCCTTTACCAATTTTAGGTTAAGACTGGTCGACTTTGCGTAGGATTTGAAGTCGTAAATTTCTCCAAACGTTATCGGGGGGATTTCGGCTAGGTCTGAAAATTGGGAGAGAAGTTCAACCATGACTCGCTTGAAACACGAGGCGGGCACTACATGAATGGACTACAAATCCAGCACGATAATTTAAAGGATGAAGCGTACCACGATGGGGAATTACTCCGGCAAGTTGCTGTGTTAGGAGCCTTCATAATTGCAGGCGCTGACGAAGCCCGACAAAGACGCACCGAACACCTGCAGACGAGTCCATGTCGCACACTATAAGTAGTACATACTGGAGTCGTGCGAAGTGACTGCTTCAATTGCTACCGTTACATGGCAGGCACTCGTGCACGAAATGACAGGACATTCATCGCCACAATAGGCTTTGACATGGGGAGTTTTCACTGTATCGTTGAGGCTGGGTTTGCAACACAGCGGTGCACAAACCCTATTCCTGGAGGTGACGTGTTTCCGGTGCATTCCATTGGTTCGGACCATGTCAGAGGATGTCGCAGACTACGAAATCCACGATTGAAGGCCATTTTGAAGCTAGAAGAGGAGGTGGAACCAGTAGAACCCCTCGTTCAGACGAGTTTCGAACGAGTGATCTTCGGAGTGTGAAAACATTGTTCGGTTGTGTAAAATAACATCGAGTTTTCGGCACAAGAAGGTTTGGAAGTTTAAATCTGAAGAACGGAAAGTCATCCACTGTCATACACCGGTGTGAAGTAATGGTGATTGAGTCGATGATGCTGCAGGAGGTTTTAACATCTTGAGTCCTGCGGAGTGACAGTCAAAGACGAATCTATACCTTACTCTAGACGTAACCTAGAGCGTTCCAGAATTTTGGATTCTCCGTTCTTTCAGAGGCTCCGAAATGTTGGTCTGGATTCGATGCCGGCTGTGTAGTTAGACTAGAAAGGACGGAAACCTACAAAAGACGCCTGACGTCATTCATGACTATATTTACGAGATTTACAAGACAAACTGAAGGTGTTGACATGAACGCCTATTCCTCATGACGACGCCGTCGTTGCGGTGCTTTGGTGGCAAAAAAAATGTACCTTTGAGAAAGATTCAATGTCCAGTGTTTCATCGATTCCCTTGAACTGAAAAATAAGTGTTGTATTACTCACTGAGTTCGAAATTGTAATAGCGCACCTGCCAGTGGCACCGTGACCCACTAGTCTTGATGGGTCGAAAGATAGTACATACATAAGAGTACATATGAAAACTTCGCAGGTAAGCCGACCTGCCAGATCCTGTGAAACTCGCTTCAGCGGCACACTGCTAGGTTACCGCTAGTCTGTCAGATACACCTAATCTGGACAGTATATCGTGACTTGAGCAGGCGCCGTACGCAGATAGTGTTGAGTCGTTTGCTTTTGCCCTAAGAAGGATGCAACACATGTGATCTGATAGAGAGGACCAAGCTGTATCGCTTTTGACGATTTTTATTTGGGGTGCTTCTTTCCAGCGCTTCCCAAGGTTTGACTAGATGTGAATCCGGGGTAACCAACGTGATGCCAAGACCGCGTAAGTATTTCCAGGCAGCGCCGGTAAAGGCCCTTTGAACCGTGATGAGGGAATTAGTTTCAATCGCGGCGGCCGTTTGTTATACAGCGTCAATAGCGAACTTGGTTGATTATAATGGGCATTAAGATCAAGTGATAGAGCGTGGCGCGATGTACATGGAGTTCGTTTTAGCTAGAAGCGACCTCAGCTGAGTACAGATATAAATATTTTATTTTGGCACATCTAAAGTCATTTGATTAATTATGTCATGATCAATTCAATACAATGCGGCGTGCTTAGTCATACCATTCTTCGGGATCTGTTCTCCCCGCTGGATAAATAGTGGGTTCGATTGATTTTTAACCTTGTCCGCGTTGGTCAAATTCTCTCTTCCGTCCATTTTCTCAACCCGCTCATTGTTCCTCAACATGTCCGACGTCGAAAAGGCTAACTCCACCCACCAGAACTATGTGAAGCTCAATGGACCTCCGCCAACGCGCATTGCTAACCCAGGTGCACTGTAAGTTCACCGTGTTTGTCACGCCCGCCGGCGCTCTAAGCTCATTGTATATCAGTGGTTTGTTCTCGTTCGCGTCCACGACTTTCATTCTGTCGCTCTACAACGTCAACGCCCGTGGAGTCGTTGTCCCGAATGTAGTCGTCGGCATGGCTTGCTTCTGTGGTGGTCTTGCCCAGCTTCTTGCTGGTATGTGGGAGTTTCCACGCGGCAATGTATTTGGTGCAACAGGTTAGTGACTTGGTTGTAATTGGTGTCTTTGCCTATCATGACTGGTGTGTCGTGGACGTGTATTACTTTTTGACACGACGCGATCGCCGAAGTCATGTGATCTGGATCGAAGCTTACCTATTTTTGCTTGATCTGTTCCTTGTGTTCGGTGCCAGGCAGAACATTCTGCAGCGACGTAGATGGTGTTGAATTGACCCGTATTCTTTATTTCGCTAATTCCATCAAAATCTAAATATGATGCTGACTATGTTACGTTGGTCAGCTTTCACATCCTACGGCGCGTTCTGGATGTCATACGCCACTATTTTCATACCCGATTCCGGAATTATAGCTGCGTATGGTACCAATGAGGATGAACTGCATCAAGCGCTCGGCATTTACCTGATCACCTGGTTTGTTTTCACGTTCTTGCTCATGTACGTCGTCCTCTTTTAGATTTTATGCAGCTTCTAATGCGTCCTCAATAGGCTTGGTGCGCTACGCCGTAACATCAGCTTCGTCGCGCTTCTCTTCTTCCTGTGCATCACCTTTGTGCTTCTCGCGGTCGGCATCTGGACGAGCAAGCTCAACGTCTCAAAGGCTGGCGGTGCATTCGGCATCCTCACTGCCATGATTGCATACTACTGTGCTCTTTCAGAGTTGCTAGTCAAGGGAGAGAGTTGGTTTACCCTTCCTTTGGGAACCATCAAGCAAGCACACATGGACTAAATGCCAGATTGATCAAGTCCGCATGGGATAGATATTTAGTCGACATCTTGCATCGTGGACGCCAGTCTGGGACTACCCATTTCTACATCTTTCCCTCAAAAATGATTAGTATTCAATCATTCCTCCCATTTACGTTTTGTCCTTTGATACCCTGCGATACCATCCTCCAATCTGACGACGCATTTCGCAATACTATTCCTCACGGTCCTCAACCTGTAGATCACTCCTTTGACTTTGGATTCCTATGTCTCGCGCATTCACATTTCAAACCTCTTGTTACTATATTCAACTGATTCGTAATGTTGATAATGCGATGATTGAACATCTTGACGTAAGCATCTGATATCAAAAAGAAGGGCGAGCGATGGAAGCTTGTTGCCACGAACTTGCAACTATCGGATAACTTTTCCAATTTCGGACGAGTCTTGGTATCATAAAATTAAGGACCAACGTTCATATCTAACTTGGGAAGCTCCTCATACATGCTGCTCGGGCGTTTTGTGATCACAATTATAAATATTATAAATACCGCACTCCACTCTCAGGTTCCAGGGTCACCCCGGTTCGAGCAATGGAGAGCAGTTCTTGGTGGGAAGCATTTTCAATCAGTGTGGGGGACACGAGGAATTCAGGGGAGACAGATCATTTTGCTCCCTGAAGGTGCTATTTTGAAGGCGTGGCCTGCGACCGAAGACGTGATGGGGTTAACTGGGAGTTCCCCGCCCCGATATGTATTCAATCGCATCAGGAATTTCATTCCAACAGTCTGACGCGGGTGACTCGGAGAAGGCTATGTAGACGTCACTCGCAATACTTATGTCACTCGTAAATATGGGCGACGCGAACAAAACCACCGATAAGGACCATTTCCAGCGCATCATACGTACGTATGTCGAAGCTTGTTGATTTCAATCACCATGAGGACTCTTCGTTTCGGCAAAGAGGACAGGGGTGGAAACTTTGCGGTGCAACGAGGTACTATGCGATGTGATGAACCCGGCTGCAGAGGCGATATCGATACCGTGGAGTTATTCTTTCGCAAACAGAATGAATCCGGCACGATCGGAGCGGCTCATCGTTTGGCTTGGCACATTCCCCACAATATTCGGGTGACGATGTCGTCGAAATATACTGTGTGAAGTGGGGGGTGACTTTGCCCGCACTGAGTGGGGTTGAGACAGGATCCTTGGATTAACGGAAGCTCATCGCTATAATTTTAAACAAAACACACGGGTACTATGATGTCCAAAGAGTAAGAAAACTCACAGAATCTGGGACCGAAGTCTCGAGCGTGGGACAGGATCTGAGCCCAGTCAAACATCAAGGGGATAACAGGACGGTACGTGAGTTACCGAGAGTACGGTTCCGATAGGTGCGGCTTGTTGGGCCTCAGAAGCAATATTTGCCAACAAGATAGAAGCAGACTACATGAAGGAACGCTGTGGGTCTATCTTGATAACCTGACATTCCGTTCCAGGCGTCAAGTTTGCGATGACGTCAGGTTCGACGCCAGGAACTAAATGTGTCGGGTTGGAACACCGAGTACCCAAACCATGATGACCTGAGCAGACATTTCTGACCTCGCCGTCGGTGCACCCCTCTGCCTCTAGAATCAGAATCGGAGTATCTTCGTTAGGAGAACTCGCGACACGTACTATAAGATAGCCCAGAAAGTTGTTGGCGTTGTTCGTCTTGACTTGTTGTACAGCAGGGAAATACAGAAATTTTGAATCTACTTGCACATGAGACCGTGGTAGCGGATCGACCAAAGCTATGAGTAAGGGACAATGTCATTAGTATTGCGAGAGTGTTTTGACGGGGGCTCACTATGCAAACCGGCTGTAGGGAGCCTGAACGGTTATCAGGGTGTCAAAACGGGGCTTAAGCCCTTCGTCAAGAACATTGTCTTGACGAAGGGCTTAAGCTCCGAGAAAGGTGAACACGTCCCTGGTCACATTGGTCCCGGCCAGCCTCCAAGGATAGATTGCGCTTACATGGACGCCAGTTGAAACACGCTCGTCTTCATTATCCGACATGGGTTCCTTCGATGAGAACAACGATCGGATGATTAAGTACCCCGTTTTGCTTGCGCGACCTAATTGTAGGGTCCACATTTGAACAGCTGCCAACATATCTCATCTTCAATTCTTGGCTGCGATTTCTTTGAGAAAATTCATACACCACTTGACAAATATGACTAGTATGAGCAATCGTATGAGCGGGAATGAATCAACTGGAGCTTCATGGCAGGCTGACGGAAGAAGGGATGCTACGAATGAATGTAATAGCAAACCCCAAAATGAATCTGTTTGATTCGTTCGGATGGTGTTCGGAAAGAGCAGATAGAAGGGGTAACGTAATACGACTGACCAGGATAGGTCGCACACGGTGGCGGTGGGAGGAGCTAGCTAGTAGCCAATGGGCTCTTGGTTAATTTCACCATATTCTATTTTGGATGAGGCGCAAAGGAATTATTTAGATTGGGGAAGAGGGATGGCACTCCTGGCAGCTAGCCAAAAACTAATCCGAGCAGCTGCAGCGAAGGGGAGGACATTGCCCATAGAAATGTGAGGTACCACATCGAGAAGTTGCGCCATGACGTGAAGGAGAGGATATCCAAAGATCATGCGACGCCTTCAGGTAGACAATGTCCTGAATATAATACGTACTCATGATCAACTAATCAATTGGGTTGGGTTGATGGAAACAAGGTCGTGATGGCATTCTTTAAAAGATAAGGATTACCAAACACCAGTGTCAGTGAAATGTAGGCCTTTAGTAGCAATAATAAGTTGTGATACGTACGCCACAGGCAAACTCTCAGATAGATCGAGCCATGAGTCCTCATCGCAGGTGACTGAGCCTGAGGAACTGACACTTCACCGCTTCTTGGTTAGCTCTGGCGGCTCACGAAGGATCGGTCACAAAAAACACGATCCGACATGGTTGACTGCCAAGTCTTTCAGACCATGGATACAGCTGACTCAAATCTGCCATGGTCCTGATTGGTGTCAGAAGTTGACCTAGCTAGTGGTGGTGTGTCTTGGTAGCCGAACTATGTGAACACGGAGTGTGGAGGGTACCCAAACGGTACAGGCTATACATCCTCGCGACATTCGCGCGGTGGCACCTTGTGACCTAATTGCGGCGACTATGATTGCCATCCATGGCAAACTGCCCTCATAAACCAGCCATGATGGCTGGATCAAGCAAGAAACGAGGCATAGATTGGTCTATATCGGTTGTATATGAAGTGAGTAGCGTGATCTTATACATAGCGCAGATCATACCCGAGAATTCAAAGGCCCTTGACATGTCACCTCACCAGCCAACGCCGTCAATGCCATGCCTTGAGTTGGCAGTAACCTGAAGGAGCTTGCAGGGCTGCTTGTAAGACGCGACCGGCATGGACCGAAACTCCGCTTGCTTTACATTTGCGCGCTTGTTTACTGATTTTCGACAACAAATTTACGGGTCATCTCTTTTCTATCTGCCCATCATGTCCTCTAACGTGCCCATTGCTCATGGTGATATTACAGCACCGACTCCACAGAACACTCCCTTGACGCACGCTCCCATCGCTGCTGGTCTTTCGCGTCCAACAGTCCCGGACATCTCGGAAGATAATGAGCCAGCTGAAGATGAAACTGAAGATTCTGCTCAGATGACTGGTGCTCAGGCCGCGATGTTGGGTCTTGTTCAAGGTCGTCTTGCAGATCTCGTCGGGAAGAGCTCTGGGTATATTGAGAGTCTACCCATCGGTGTGAGGAAGAGTGTAGAGGGCTTGAAAGGGGTTCAGGTCAAGCAAAATGAGCTGCAGAATCAGTACAAGCGCGAATGCCTGGAACTTGAGAAGAAGGTCCGGTATATTTTTCTTAACTTGTGTTGCTGTCTGATTTTTGATTTCTTTCTCTCTATCAGTACCTCGAACTTCAAAATCCTCTGTATGAGCGGAGAAATGCGATCATCTCGGGTTCTGCTCAAGCCACTGCGGAGGAGATCGAAGCTGGCAGTCGAGCTTCTTTGAAGGATGATCCATTATACACGCCACTTGCCAATGATGAAGTCGTACCAGCGGCTATCCCAGAGTTTTGGCTTACGGCACTCCGTAATCATGTTGGACTCTCGGAAATCATCACGGAACGAGATGCTGGTGCACTCAAGAACCTCATTGACACTCGGTTATCGTACCTTCCCAGTGACTCACCAAAACCTGGATTCAAGATCAGCTTTGTCTTCAGCCCAAATGATTACTTCGAGAATGACGTTCTTGATAAGACTTATCTCTATCAGGAGGAGGTAGGCTATACTGGTGATTTCGTGTACGATCGCGCGATCGGCACGGAGATTAAGTGGAAAGAGGAAAAAGACTTGACGAAGGAGTTCGAGATAAAAAAACAGCGAAACAAGAGTACGATCATTTGTATTCTGATTCAACACATCTCATCATTTTCTCTAGACACGAATCGCACGCGACTGGTTCGCAAAGCACGCCCAACCGACTCATTTTTCAACTTTTTCTCGCCACCTGTGCCCCCACCTGAAGAGGTGGATGAGGAGATGGATGAAGAGGACCTGGAAGAACTCGAGGAGAAACTGGAGATGGACTACCAGATTGGCGAGGATCTCAAGGAGAAGGTAGATATCCTCGCAATCTCCGGAATATTGCTGACTGATGATGAGTGCTCCAGATTATCCCGCGTGCCATTGATTATTTCACTGGCAAAGCCCTTGAGTACGACGTTATGGATGAAGACGAAGACGAATTTGATGAGTTGGACGATCAAGATGAGGATGGCCAGTTTGATGACGAGGTATGATCCTCCCATCTACTTGGACGTCATCCACTGTGGCTTATCCTTATCAAGGATTCTGATTCCGAGGTTGAGCTGCCAAGACGTCGTGGCCCTCCCAAGGGCCGCGGCGGCTTGAGTGCCGGTGCCGTCAACCCCGAAGAGTGCAAGCAGCAGTAGGCGAACATCCCATCCCCATGCTTTGAGACACCACCTTCCAAAAATTTCTGTCGTTGCATTTGTTGACATGAATTAATACGATCTCCTGCCTGTTTCTACATGTAAACACACCTTGCTGTGCAACTCTCATTTTTTTCTGATGCAGAACTAGTCTTCTTCTGTCGTTGCTCCAATCTCTTCTACTGACCCTACTTAACGAGGGTGTTGTATATAGCCTTAGGTCTTGCGCGGGTTTGCTTCAGTTTGCACCTAGCATAATGGAACGTAACCAATGGATGTCGTAGGGGCTTCCTCTTTGTTTGCGATGTACTACTTAGGACGGTTTGTATATTCTTCGTACAATACATCCACAATTCACAGATTCATTGTCCTCGTAGATACTTGATTTGTTTACTCGGTCGGAACCTCTGCCTGAGGAGTGAGGCGAACTGCATGCCTCCTGTCACCAAGATTGAAGTCTGCAGTCGCAGAGTGGGCAGTGACTCGGTTGTCCTGCAGACGAGATGGGTTCAGCAACTGATCACGCGAAAGAAGCACAATTCACTTACCCAGACAACAACAGTGCCAGCCTCATACCTCGCACGAATCTGGAAGTCTGCGCCCTTTGCAATGTGGTCGAACAAGAATTTCAGGAGGTACTCAGATTCCTCCGTCTTGAAGCCGACGATACGGCGAGTGAAGCCCTGGTTCACGTAGAGTGCTTTTTCCCCGGTCACGGGGTGCCGGCGAACGAGGGGATGCTTTACGACGACGAGATCAGCGTGTGCGATATTAAAAGGTAAGATGTCATCTACCTCAGTCAGTATAGGCTCTCGACGCACAACCCCACCACGCCTGCGGGAGGACTCTGCTTGCTCGAAGGCGCTAGTGCACGGCACGCAAGCCTTCGAGGCGTTTCTTAAACTCGGGGGAAAGACGGTTGTATGCCTCTACCTGAGAAGCAAATAGGGTGTCACCGCCGACTGCTGGCTGTGCTGAAATTAGTTTTGCCACAGATAAGAATGATAGGGGGGATATACCTGATCTAGAATGAAGAAGAATGTGGTTCCGGCGGGCTGTTTCTCGTAGGACTAATGGGGACGTCAGATAGGGGGCAAGTTACAGCAGGAGGAGGTTGTACTGACAACGTCGGAATGCCATTGAGTGCGATTGATGCGTTCGTCAGATATAATCTCCTTCAGCATGTCATGTTCAGAACCCCGATAAACTATAGTCAAGGTGAGAATAGGATATAGCCGTGGCGATAAACAGCCTCACCGACGTGGAACTCTGGGTACCCCTTGACATTCCCCGAGGTCGGATGTCTCTGAATTCGTCCAAAGTGCCTGGCAAACCAATATCATGAGTCCACATGCTCGTTACAAACGCAGTGTACCGCACTTGGCGATCTCGATCTGCCTATCAGGTCCTATATCCTTGAAGTCTTGATTGCGGAAGATAAGGACCTTCCTCTCCGCGGCGTACAGAGCGAGCTCATTGAGACCCTCCTCGCTCAATTGGGAAATTTGCACACCGGAGACCTCGGTCCCGAGAAAAGGGCTCAGATGGGTGACATTTGTCTCGGGCGTCAATAGGTGTGGCTTTGCACGGTCCGCCTTGGCACCGGGGTCCGTGTGCTCTATCTTTGATGTTAGTTCCAGGCCTCCTTCGACTGACGACATTCACAGACCGTAGACTTGCGTTGGAGGGAATTTCTCGTTCGGGTCATAATAGGGGTAGTAGAATGGGTATGAAGGGCCCTTCTGTAAACATGCATTGTCAGGATGATCGAGGATTACAACACATGGACAACGTACATCCTCTTTCGTAGCTGTTAACTTGAGATCGGCAATAGCGTCTGTGACGGGAGGTACGATATCTGAAACTGAAGGCGCCATTGCAACTGATTGTGTCGATGAAGGATGGACGATACGCAAAGAACTGGGATACTGCCTTTATATGTTGCATATGAGCGCTGGAGGGGTGGGACTCTGATACGCATCGTTGGCATTGCATGAGCATGCAATCTTGAAGCTAGATGGCTCATTGATCGCTGCAATAGATAGGCAACCATTGCGGGGTGCCCAACAATAATAATAGGCTGTTGTGATAGGAGGTTGATCAGAAGACACTGCAGTTGGACTCTGGACCTAAGGAGATAACAGGTCCTGGCGAGCTATGGGGAGCGAATGACGCAAAGTTGCGCCCCAACCTGCTGATTATGATGTTCTCAAAACACGCAATGAACTCACTACTGTCCCCGGTTAGTATGATGCGTGACCATGTGCCACTGACCGGGAACTGTTGTCTCGGTAAGTTTAGGACACCCAGTCGAAGGCGGGCCGGGTAAATTCATTCCGTTCAACTGGACTGGTCATGTGTGCCTCCACATTAATTGCTTAATCGCAAGAGGCGTTGCGTCATATATCCTGCGGCTCATTCGCTAAGAGTTGGTGGAGCTGTCACGATACTCACCTGGGAAACGGATCCTAACCACTCTCCACTGCTGTCCTTGACCTTCGAATCCCTGAAGAATAGCACACGACGATTTTTGTTCCAAGCCTATGCATGGGGGTGTCTTACATTTGTCTCAACCTAGACACTAAGTTCAGTACCGAGCACTGAGCATGGGAGAATGCGTGAGCCAGAATGTGAGCGACCATATTTTATGACGTTCAAAATGATGCTACCTTCATACTATAACTTGAGACAACCTATGATACAGAGGTCAATATCGATGTACGCAACTACTATTATCAAAGACTCGACGTCGAGATCCAACGTACTTCGCTGTCTTTGCATAAGAGAATACTGCTTGTGCCACGTCACGGATATAATGTGCCCAGCCGATAACAAAGCATCGCAGACGTATCAGTCTAGATCCACCAGAGTACATCAGGAGTGCCACGCAGCGGACAAAATGGTTCAAGAGTACTCACGATACAATTACTCCTGCCATTCGTTTGGCGTCACTTATGACAGCGATTAACTCTTGATGCCCGGCTTCAGTCGTGATGTCCGATTCCCAACCAATCGATTGGAATGTCGCCTGCTGTTGGAAATTCGGGGACCATGCAGCCACTGTATTTTTCCATGTAACAGAAAACCAAGTTTCTGTTCTATGACGTTGATACCATGGAGTCTGGGTGCGGTGGTTGTTGGTTCAAGGTTCCGAAATCTGTCCCTCATCTTTTGTCCGCAGTGATCCCAGCCGAGGGATTATTGAATTCACTAGGGGAATTGATGTCGAGAAAGAGAACAGGATTGCGGCGGAATGCAATGGCGAGAGTGACGATGAGAGCCATCAATGGCTTGCCCTCGTAAAGGAAACTTGGATCCTTGAATGCTCTGGGATACATTGGATGAATTAAACGTCGAACGCTGCCCGGACAAGCATCTTGTACACCCCGTAGTAGCCGTTGTATCAGCCAGAATTTGAGCAAATCGTTCGAGGTCCATTTGGTCCAGCATGGTCGATCGAAAGAAGATGCTATCAGTTGTTGGTCAAGACTGGATTGCGTCACCGTGAAAAATGGCACGAATCAGAAAAGGCTAACGAAGTTGAGTCGGAGCATGGATTGCGTCGGCCCTCTCCTGGTAGACTTCCTCACAAAGTCCGAATCACATACCATCATGATGTAGTACCACAGTGGTGCAGGTCATTCGGAAGCGTTACAGTGATAGGACAATTGTGACATGGTATGTTGAATTCGTCGACTGGGAGCGTTGATGGAAGGGAAGTTCATGGATTATGCATGTAAGTCTGGGATGGCCCGCAATGTGCACTCGTTCAACATTTGGTCGTATGCACTTGTGATTTGTGATCAAGGCGAACAATTATTTAAGTGAGTGTATGGGGACCGACATCTTATACCTCGTGCTGATCTGATGCTATAGCTAGGTTTCTGTGCGAGCTTCGTGTGAAACCGTTCTTCGTGACTTCGTATGAATCTGAGTAGAATTGGGCAATTTGGGCTCTGTTGTGCACAGCCAGCAGCCTCGTTGAATGCCTCGTGGCTTCCTAACGTAAAACTCTTCGAATTTGTCAAGGCTTCATATGATTGGTAGAATTGGGCCAGGACTTCGTGTTGTGCACAGTTCCTGACGGTTAATTCGGTCAAGTACCCCAACCGCCCTCCTGCCCTCCTTCCTTCTCCCTCCTACATCTCCTCTGACCTATCCTCTGACCTAATGCCATCTGATTGAAATGCACTTTAAATTTACGTTGTCCCTTGAGCGTTTCGAAAAGGTCATTCCAATTCTTTCGAAGCGCCCTAAAACCCAAGGTATCCCTAAAGACATCTCTAATCCCGTTCCTGCACCAATCCTCTCTTCGAATTCTTTGCCAGTCCATCTCGTCTCTGCAAGCAATAAACCAGGTCTCGAAGAATTCTCCACTGGTTTTCCTTCCGCAGGGTACCCTTGGAGTGCATCCCCTGCCCGCGAAGCTTCCGACATCGCTCAGGTAGCTTTGCCTTTGGTACAGGCTTTTACGGGTGTAATTCCACTTGTCGGTGCTCCGATGAAAGCGGCTATTGGCGGATTATTGGGAATCCTTCAAGTTGTAAATGTGAGTGCTTGTTGAATGATGACGATGCTTCTGGATTTCGAGGGCCATCACAGACATGCGATCAGAACAAGGCGGCCTTAGATGATCTGACATCGAGACTCCATCGACTATACTACCATTTGTGCAACGCCCCACCTGCCCTGGATCCTCTTGAACATTCCCGGAGAGACATCTTAGCTAGGTAAACCCCTTGTGGATGTGCGCTTGAATTTACCCGACACTGAGCCGCACTCAGGAAGCTGCAAGACACCTCAACCCGCCTGAAAAAGTTGCATAAACGTCGTCTCGCGTACACATCTGTCACACAAGCTATCACCGGATGCTCAACTGACATCGACCGTTATCTGATGGAGTGTTTGGTTGTGTTCTACCCCCTAGAGATCGCTTGCATTTACTCACTACTCTATGGCTAGTGGTCGTCTCAAATGCAAAGTCAACGCGAAACACACGAATTGTTTATAATTTCGCGGAGGCGGCAAGAGGGTCCTCAGAATATCGAACAGTCCTTTGCGAGAGCATCTGCATCACATTTAACCGGAACCGTCGCGCTTGGCTGCGTGACTTTGGTAGATGCAACAGGCCACAACCATGCAATATCACTGAACCTCTGCGCCTCATTTCAGGTCTGCTCACAACCCCAAGATCTTTCTTGTAGAAGCTTACTCATCAAATTGTCTTTAGCAATTCAATAACATGCTCCGAGTTCTGTTTGAACGCGGTGCGAAAGAAGCACAAATTCAAAGACGGTATATAGAAGAAGGAAAGTATGATTTGTGCGTTGACGAGGGCACGCAAGTAACTCCACTTACAAGCGACAAATGGTCAAGCATTGAACCAGGCACGACGATTGTGATGAGGGTTACCATCCAACAGAAAACGAGATCAAGCATTGAAGTTGACTACCGATGTCATTTTTGTGGCGCTGTGAATCGCCTTGACGCCAAGTCTGTGAAATATCGTTCTGGAGGGCGGACTGTTTGCTCGACTGATTGGTGAGTATGTTTGTAATCCAAGTCTTGATGGTACCTAACGACGAGAAGTCGAGAATGCAAACGACGCTTCCAGATCACCCGTGACCAACATAAGTGGAGCACACGATCATCTCACAGTGACTTCAATCACATGACTAACGCAGAAACACTCCTCGTTCGCAACTTTCATGTCGAGCAAATTGTATGTCATTTGGGAACTTCGCTAGCAATGTTAAGCTGAGATCTCGATGTACCTTCTGCTCTCAGCCTGTGCGTGATCTCGTGTTTCGACGTTCTTAGACGACGCTGACGGTGCCATGTCCGTGTCCCGCTCTCAGGAAGTGCGTGATCTCGTGTTTCGACGTTCTTGGGCGACGCTAACGGTGCCGCGGCCATGTCCTGCTCTCAGTATGTGCGTGATCTTGTATTTCGACGTTCTTGGGCGACGCTGACGGTGCCACGGCCATGTCCCGCTCTCAGTGGGTGCGTGATCTCGTGTTTCGACGTTCTTGGGCGACGCTGATGGTGCCACGGCCATGTCCCGCTCTCAGTCTGTGCGTGATCTCATGTTTCGACGTTCTTGGGCGACGCTGACGGTGTTACGGCCATGTCCCGCTCTCAGGATGTGCGTGATCTGTATTTCGAGGTTCTTGGGCGACGCTGACGGTGCCACGGCCATGTCCCGCTCTCAGAGAGTACGTGATATTGTGTTTCGACGTTCTTGGGCGACGCTGACGGTGCCACGGCCATGTCCCGCTCTCAGTATGTGCGTGATCTCGTGTTTCGAGGTTGTTGGGCGACGCTGACGGTGGCACGGCCATGTCCCGCTCTCAGAGAGTGCGTGATCTTGTGTTTCGAGGTTCTTGGGCGACGCTGACGGTGCCACGGCCATGTCCCGCTCTCAGTATGTGCGTGATCTCGTGTTTCGACGTTCTTGGGCGACGCTGATGGTGCCACGGCCATGTCCCGCTCTCAGTGGGTGCGTGATCTCGTGTTTCGACGTTCTTGGGCGACGCTGACGGTGCCACGACCCTGTCCCGCTCTCAGTCTGTGCGTGATCTCGTGTTTCGACGTTCGACGACGACGCTGACGGTGGCACGGCCATGTCCCGCTCTCAGGATGTGCGTGATCTCGTGTTTCGACGTTCTTCGACGATGCTGATGGTGGCGCGGCCATGTCCCGCTCTCAGGATGTGTGTGATCTCGTGTTTCGACGTTCTTCGACGACGCTGACGGTGCCACGGCCATGTCCCGCTCTCAGTCTGTGCGTGATCTCGTGTTTCGACGTTCTTCGACGACGCTGACGGTGCCACGGCCATGTCCCGCTCTCAGAGAGTGCGTGATCTTGTGTTTCGAGGTTCTTGGGCGACGCTGACGGTGCCACGGCCATGTCCTGCTCTCAGAGAGTGCGTGATCTCGTGTTTCGACATTCTTGGGCGACGCTGACGGTGCCACGGCCATGTCCCGCTCTCAGTCTGTGCGTGATCTCATGTTTCGAGGTTCTTGGGCGACGCTGACGGTGTTATGGCCTATGTCCCGCTCTCAGGATGTGCGTGATCTGTATTTCGACGTTCTTGGGCGACGCTGACGGTGCCACGGCCATGTCCCGCTCTCAGAGAGTGCGTGATCTCGTGTTTCGACATTCTTGGGCGACGCTGATGGTGCCACGGCCATGTCCCGCTCTCAGTCTGTGCGTGATCTTGTGTTTCGACGTTCTTTGGCGACGCTGACGGTACCACGGCCATGTCCCGCTCTCAGCTTGAAGTGCGTGATCTCGTCCGCCCGACCCGCTGCTTGTTGACCCCAGCACTACCAGGCAGCGTTTTTACGCCGTCTTCGCGAGACCCCGGTCACGTACCCCCCCAAATAGGTCATGTTCCGCCCTCATGTGGTATGTGATCTTGTCTTTGGGATGAACAGTGAACACTAACTCTTTCATTGCACTAATAGACAGTGCGTGCTTCTACATCATGCAATTTCAGAGCATGTCTTTGTACTGATTGTATGTAGCATAATATAGGTACAGCGGCATCGAGGAGATCGAAGAAGACAGCAGTCAAGACGAAGAGGGGGATGGAACGGAACAAGACTCAGATGGTGAGCCTTGGTAGCCGTAGAGGACGTGGACAGACGTGGATTCCGGAATTGACCATTGTCCGTGGGATATAAAGAAAACTATCTTCTATGTGCAGCTTGTCCAGACCTGATTGCTCATATCTATCTATGTCCTTGAGATCTGACTTGTAGCTACCACAACGAAAATCCAAACGACATTCTCGTTTTGCCTGCAGAGCGCCCGATCACTTGTCGTTTCCCATGATATACACCGCTGCCGGTTAAGTTATATACCTCCTCACATAAGGGCCTGGACAGCTACATTTATTTGTTTCGCAGTTTATTTTGTTCGCAACAATATGTGCAAACAACCGTGACAAGGGAGAGTTCTTTGATGCGGCTCATCGTGGGAAGAAGCCTACTATCACGAGTATGAGAGGTCGTTTGCACGTGAAGTTGAAGCCTACAGATGTCTTGGACACCTCCAGGGCTCTGCCATCCCCCGGCTCTATGGTTTAGGTCGGGTCATTTCAGGCCACGGTGAAGGTCGCGCAATATCTCCCCAAGTGCTTTTCATGGAATACATCCCAGGCAAGAACCTCGCAACCATCCAAGATCCCCATTCAGTCCCTATTTCAGCATACCAAGAGCTCGTAAAGGCCGTGAGTAGCCTTGCATCTTTCGGTACCATCCATGCCGACATGCGCCCAGAAAACATTGTCGTATCTTGCAGTAACCCTAGACGCGTGGTGCTCATCGACTTTGGGGTGCGTCTATTTCGTTATACTGATGAGTCTAACGACAACTGGGAAGAGAATGTCATGACCGAAGGGGACGAGAGGGAGCTCCGGCGCTATTTGGAGAGGTCGGGCATCTGGCACCAGGAATTGTGCGCGTAATCCTCGGGGGAAAGCAGGATGGTTTAATATTCCAGATACTAAGACATGATCTAACCATCTGCGAACTTTTGCAGTGGCGTAGAGGAAAGAAAGTATTAATGGTGTACATACCATCCCAATGGAAGCCACACGCCATAATATCTGCTCTTCATTTATTGGAAACAAGGAATTCCAGCCCAGACAATGTATCCCTCCAAGCACCAACCCAATGACGGATGAAGTGGTTAATATCACAGTCAGGCCAGACGGGTTACGTGTTCTTGTGCAAGGACAGTGCGAACTGGGTTGACCTTAGTGTGTGAATGAGGCGCGCGTTTTGTGTATGCCAGCATAATGTGATTGATCGATGATTTTATAACAGTTCTGCATGCTCGTCGTTCCTACCTGCCTCTTCTTCATCGATATCAACCCCTTCAGCATAACAAAGCGATTCACATGAGGCTGTAAATCAATGAACTCTCCACCACCCATCGGCACAGTACGCAACAACCTATGGTCGGGAGTGATACCGACGATATGAGCGCTTCGGTGTGGAATCCGGTTCGTTAGTATGACAAGCTGGTCTCTGTCCGAACCACAAGTAAGCAAAACAACGACGTAAAGCGAAACATAACAGAGACGTACGAATGTTACCATGATCGAAGGCATTGATCCATGAACGGGTGAAACTCTCCTGTTCCTCATTCTGCAAAAAAGAAACTCTATATGCGCTCAAAGGAGGTAGGCCTGCTGCTGCTACACGTTCTACAGAGTGCCCTGGGATAGATGTAGATGCGAGTTGGGCGAGTGAGGCGATGGGTGGTGTGTTTAGGACATTGAGATCGCTTCTTATTTATCTTTATTGATGAGTTTCAGTGTGCGTGTCGTGAGCTTTCATGTCACTGAACAAAAAGGGAGGGAGGTACCGTACTGATTACTACATCTGCAACGCCACCACTGAAGCTTGTGTTTACCAGTATCCCGCCCATTTTCCGTGGGTCCGGTGTTGACTTTGAATCTGAAGTTCGGCTGTTTCGGGAAGACGGGAAGAGGCCATAAATGCCATTAGGCCATTTCAGATGGACATTGTGTGCCCATTCAGAGCCGAAGTCTAGGACATGTCGATTATCGCAAGTGCATAGAGGTATTGGATGAAAATGAGGGTAGAGGGGAGGATTATAGGATCTGGTACTGCGAAACATCAAATTTCAGATATCAGATAGTTGAACACCATTAAATAAAAAGTCGCCAGTCTTACCTGACGAAGACCCTTTGAACCTGACACGAATCTTAAGCGACATCTGCAAGCATCCCGCAGGTAAGAATCACCTCTGCCACGTTCTGTCAAATGTACTATGGGCGAGGGAGACGGTGGGAGAGGGGAATGCGCGGAGGAAAGATGGGTTTCTGCTCAGAGAGGGACTCGGTGGGTGGTGTAATGGACGTGATTGGGTGAGACGCACTTGCGAAACAATGTTTGGGTACTGGAGACTACTTCGCCGATGTGCCAGGAGTCTGGGTTTGTGTCTTCAGTTCCAGAGCGGAACTCATCTATGGCGCGGAAGAAGGCAGATGGTGAGAATTGCGGAGTGTATCTGCGTTCATCCTCGGAAGTTAGTGGTCTTGAAGGAACGAGTACGTGTTTGACTTTCAGGTTTGAGAAGGAATTTGACGGAATGAGTTTGAAGATTAAGCAATCGGTGGTTCTGTGCTTGGGAGAGAAGGATGAGAAGAGGAAGTGGAAATCATCGTTGGCATCTTCGAACACAAATGGCTCCCACTTGCGTTGTGATTCACCACCGACAGCTGACCCAAGATTTGAGTGATTGAGCAGTGCCTCTACGATGCGATGCTGCACCTGCCACAAATCTGGACGAGCGAGAAGAAACTGGGGGAGAATGTGAGGCTCAAGACTGGGATCAGCTCCCTGCAGGGAGAAGCGCAAGCCAAGTGCGAATAGCGATCGTGACAGCGGGATATCAGGAAGAGGTGGGGTGCAATTCCACATCGCGACAAGCCCACTTTGAGATAAGATACCGGCAGGCACATTCCCCTCTACGACCGAGGATGTGGGCTTCAAGGCCCAAAGGGTGGGTAGTCTGGATACAGATACCAATGTGTCGCTGATCGATACATATGTGCTTGTTCCGGTAACAGTTGAGGAGATGTAGAGGGAGGCGTTTTCATCGGCGACTCTGAGTATAGTCATGACTCAGTCCACATAGAGTACCTTTTCTTACGCCAACGACGAATGCTACCTCCGGACTCGATATATTTGCGAACAGCTTCATGATCTGCGGGAGGATGGCGCAAGAGGTGTGCCATGGATATTCTTGTACAGATAGTTGAGTGAGGGTGCTAAAGGTAGATAGCGCGGTGTCAGTATGCGTTTGATCGAGAGAAGGAACGATTGGGTGTACACACTAGCACGTTCATTGAAGTGGGTAACATTCCAAATTCGCGGAGTCTCAAAAAGCCTGTGTTGTGCACAGCTAACAGCCTCATGGATTCCTGATGAGTTAAGTACCTCAACCGCCTTGCTGCCCTCCTTCCTTCGCTCTCCTACATATCCTCTGACCTATCCTCTAGCTAAATCGTAGACGATAAAAATACAATCACTTATCCTCTGACCTTGCTATCTGGTTGAAATGCACTTTTCGTTATCCCAGGTTTTCGGAAAGGTCATTGCAGTTCGATTTAAGCGCCCTAAAAATCAAGGACGCACACAACACAACTCCAACCATGAGAGCGACAGCTCTATCCCTACAGACCCCTCTAGTCCTGTCCCTGCACCAATTCTCTCCTCGAATTCTTCGCCAGTGCATCCCGTTTCCGCAAGCAGAGATCCAGGTCTCGAAGTCTCTATCAATATTTCTTCTGCTAGATACTCCGGGGTGTACCCCTTGCACGCGAAGCTTCCGACATGGCTCAGGTAGCTTTGCCCTTTGTACAGGCTATTGTGGGTGCAATTCCACTTGTTGGCGCTCCAATGCAAGCCGCTATTGGTGGATTATTGACAGGCCTTCAAGCTATGGACGTAAGCGCTTGTTTAGTGACGGGAGTATCTTTTAATTCCAAGGGCCGTCACAGAGACACGGTCAGAACAAGGCGGACCTCGAAGGCCTGACATTACGACTCAATCGACTAAGCCTCAATTTGTGCAATGCCCCGCCAGCCTGGGATCCTGTTGAACAATGCCGGAGAGATTCATTTGTTAGGTATTCACTTAGTTAGCGCGTGCTTGAATCTATCTGACATCGAGTCGCACTCAGGATGCTGCAAGACACCTCAGCACGAGTGACGACATTGCGTGAACGTTGTCTCACATCTACATCTGTCACACAGGCTATCGCTGGATGCTTTACTGAAATAGACCGTTATCTGGCCGACTATCTGGTTGTGTTTTACTCTCTCTTAATAGTCTGTGCATTTACTCACTACTCTGGCTAGTGGTTGTCCCAGATCCAAAGTCGACGTGACACACACGAAGCGTTGACAATCCTACGGAGGGAGCAGGCGGATCGTCAGAAGTTCCTGATGACAATCGAAAGCATAGTCATACGTGGACAGGCCTCCGTGGGACCGTCTGTATCGCATTTAGCCGGAACCGTGACCTTGGTGGACGCAACAGGCCACAACCACCCAATATCACTGAACTTCTGTGCCTCATTCCAGGTCCGCTCACAGCCACAAAATCCTTCCTGTGGAAGCTTACTCATCAAATTGTCTTTAGCAATTCAATAACATGCTCCAAGTTCTGTTTGAACGCCATGCGAAAGAAGCCCAAATTCAAAGACGGTATATAGAAGAAGGAAAGTATGATTTGTGCATTGACGAGGGCACGCAAGTAACCCCACTTACAAGCGACAAATGGTCAAGCATTGAACCAGGCACGACGATTGTGATGAGGGTTACTATTCAACAGAAAACGAGATCAGGCGTTGAAGTTGACTACCGATGTCATTTTTGTGGCGCTGTGAATCGCCTTGACGCCAAGTCTGTGAAATATCGTTCTCGAGGGCGGACTGTTTGCTCGACTGATTGGTGAGTATGTTTGTAATCCAAGTCCGGATGGTACCTAACGATGAGAAGTCAAGAATGCAAACGACGCTTTCAGATCACCCGTGATGAACATAAGCGGATCACACCATCATCTAACAGTGACTTCAATTACACGACTGACGCAGAAACACTCCTCGTTCGCAACTTTCATGTCGAGGAAATTGTATGTCATTTGGGAACATCGCTAGCAATGTTAAGCTGAGGTCTCGATGTACCTTCTGCTCTCAGCCTGTGCGTGATCTCGTGGTTCGACGTTCTTGGGCGATGCTGACGGTGGCACGGCCATGTCCTGCTCTCAGTCTGTGCGTGATCTCGTGTTTCGACATTCTTGGGCGACGCTGACAGTGGCACGGCCATGTCCCGCTCTCAGAGAGTGCGTGATCTCGTGTTTTGAGGTTGTTGGGCGACGCTGACGGTGCCACGGCCATGTCCCGCTCTCAGTGGGTGCGTGATCTCGTGTTTGAGGTTGTTGGGCGACGCTGACGGTGGCACGGCCATGTCCTGCTCTCAGTCTGTGCGTGATCTCGTGTTTCGACATTCTTGGGCGACGCTGACGGTGCCACGGCCATGTCCCGCTCTCAGTTGGTGCGTGATCTCGTGTTTCGACATTCTTGGGCGACGTGACGGTGGCACGGCCATGTCTCGCTCTCAGGATGTGCGTGATCTCGTGTTTCGATGTTCTTGGGCGACGCTGACGGTGGCACGGCCATGTCCTGCTCTCAGTTTGAAGTGCGTGATCTCGTCCGCTCGACCCGCTCCTTGTTGACCCTAGCACTACCAGGAGGTGTTTTTACGCCATGTTCATGAGACCCCGGCCACGTACCCCCAATAGGTCATGTTTCGCCCTCATATGGTACGTGATCCTGCCTTTGGATGAATAGTGAACACTAACTTTTTCATTGCACTAATAGACAGTGCGTGCTTCTACATCATGCAATTTCAGAGCATGTCTTTGTACTGATTGTATGTAGCATATGATAGGTACAGCGGCATCGAGGAGATCGAAGAAGACAGCAGTCAAGACGAAGAGGGGGATGGAACGGAACAAGACTCAGATGGTGAGCCTTGGTAGCAGCAGAGGACGTGGACAGACCTGGTTTCCGGAATTGACCTTGTTCGTGGGATATAAAGAACACTATTTTCTATGTACAGCTTGGCCAGACTTGATTGCTCATATCTATCTATGTCCTTGAAATCTGACTTGTAGCTACCACAACGAAAATCCAAACCATATTCTCGTTTTGCCTGCAGAGCGCCCGATCACTTGTGTCGTTTCCCATGTTATACACCGCTGCCGATTAAGTTATACACCTCCCGTAAAGCTACTATTATAGTCATGCCAGTTCATTTGTCAGGCTTAGAAAGACGCACGGGAATCGATCCAAATATCTTGCTTGGGTTCTTGTGCAAGAACGATCGGAACTGGACTGGTCTTACTATGTGAATGAGATGGGCGTCTTTTGTATGCCAGTGTAATCTGATACCAACGATGCGGACACTTCGATGTGGAGTCCGGTTCGTCGTCGGTGTGACGAGCCTGTCTCTATTCGAACACCGAGTAAGCAAACAATGGCCGCTAAATATCGACGGAAAGCGAAATATGACAGGGACGTACGAATGTAACCATGATCGGAGGTAGTGATCCATGAACGGGTGAAATCCCTGTTCCTCACTCTGCAAAAATGAACTCCATATGAGGTGAGAACTGCTGCTGCTACGCGTTCTACAGAGAGCCCTGGGGTAGGTGTGGATGAGATATGGGCGAGTGAGGAGATGGGTGGTGCGTTGAGGGTGTTGCGATCGCTTTCTATTTATTTTTATTGATGAGTTCGAGTGAGCTTTCATGTTACTGGACAAAAAGGGAGGAGAGTACCATACCAATTACTACATCTGCCACGCCACTGCCGAAAGTTGTGTTTACTAGTATCCTGCCCATTTTTCGTGGTTCCGGCGTTGACTTTGAATCTGAATTACGGCTGTTTGTGGAAGACGGGAAGAGGCCGTGAATGTCATTAGGCCATTTCAGACGGACATTGTGGGCCCATTCAGAGGCGGGGTCTAGAATGTGACAAGCGTCAATGATTGCGAGTGCGTAGAAGTATTGGATGAACACGAGGTCGGAGGGGAGGACTGTGGGACCCGGTACTGCGCAATATCAATTTTCAGATATTGATGGCGCATTCTCCTCCACGTAACGACCGAGGATGTGTGCTTCAAGGTTCAAAGGACACGTGGTCTGGATACAGATACCACCGTATCGTTGATCTATACATCCGCGCTTGTTCCGATCGCAGTTGAGAAGTATATGTAGAGGGATGCGCTTCCATCAGCGACTCTGACTATCGTTGTGTCTTTCAGCATGCCCAGACCAAGACCCGCGGATAGCGATCCAAAGTCATGACTCGGTCCAAATAGAGTGCCTTTTCTAGCGCCAACGCCGGATGCTAGTGTCCTACGTCCGGACTCGATATTTTTACGCACAGCTACATGATCTATGGGAGGGGAGAGTAAAAGTGGGGCACAAGAGGTGTGCCATGGATATTCTTGTACGGAGAGTTGAGGGTGCTAGAGGCAGGTATTGAACCAGGCGTTTGAACGCAAGAAGAAGCCGCTGGATGTGTGCTGGGATACACGTGACTAGTGCGTTCATTGAAGTGACCACCCCTTACCGGCTGCAGTGGAGTAATGTCATGGTCCGCTCAGCCATCGGTGGCTATACTGACGGTACCGGTATAGATGTCATGCAATGTTTGGCAGGAGCAAAGTTATAATTCCCACGGCTACAGTGTCATGCACGAGCTGGAATAAATTGCATCCTCGGGTCCGAGTCGAGTCGGTAAGTGCGAAGGTGGACTCGTCATGCACGAACTTCACCATGTCACAGGTAAGAACTCCCTAACTATTGGTCCATGAATAAACTGGTGGAATACCGCATCCTCTGACTTATGGATGCAGTTCGAACCCCTTACTCACGGCCAAAAACAAACTACCTGTCCCGCTATATCGGTTTTGATCCAAGATGCGCGCACAATGAATCAATTGTTGAGTTACTCCTGCTTTCGGTTTCTTCACCTGATGAAGCGCGTTCCATACGGTTCAGCTTTCTGAGGATGAGATTAATCATGTACTCGCAGTGTTTTCACGTTTACCAGCATATATATAATGGGCTTCAAAATGTGGTATGATCATTATATTCCACTACCATTCAATCATGTTCCCAGCTGTATCCCTGTTGACGACTCTCCTCCTGGCCTTGTCTATCGCTGCATCGCCTGTTGAAATTCGCGACTCCCCCATCACCCTCCCAACTGCCAGGAGGCTAAACACCTCTGGTGGTACCATAAATCTCTTGCAGCATGACCAATCTCGCGCGACCGCCCTCAAAACTATCACTATCGGCAGAGACACTCTTGACCGTCGTACTGGTAGCATTCCTGTGACAAACAATGCTGTAGACTACATCGCATCAGTTGGCATTGGCAACCCTGCCACAACCTGTGGGTTCAACAATGAGAAAACGTGCGGCTGTTCATATATTATTGCAGATAACCTGATTGTCGACAACGGTTGCTCGGTCACATGGGTTGGCGCCACCACTTACGTGAAGACCAGCACCAGCGTCGACACTGGCAATACTATAGCGGTCCCCAGTGGTTCTGTTCCCTTCTCTGGTATGACATCCGACGATATCATAAGTTGAAGACGCCTACGATTATCTGTAGGAACTGAGTACACCGACACCGTCACGCTCGGTAGTGGGCTCACCATCATCCAGCAGCCAATTGGTGTTGCTTCTACTTCGACCGGCCTCACCGGTGTTGACGGTGTCCTTTGCATCGGGCCCCTAGACTTGACAGAGGGAACCCTGACAGATGAACCAGACACGACGATCCCAACTGTCACTGACAACCTGTATAGCCAAGGCATCATTTCTCAGATAGTTGTTAGTATCTCTTTCGAGCCCACCAGTTCGGAGTCAGACACCAACGGAGAGCTCACCTTCGGTGGAACTGACGCTGCCAAGTACACCGGCGCCATTGCATACGCGTAAGTTACTGCAGCTCTGATATCAATCCGGACTGACAGTAATTGCTCATTTCAGTCCTCTAACCACCACCTACCCTTCATCCTACTACTGGGGTATCAACGAGAGCATCGCTTACGGCACCACGACCATCTTGTCTGAGACGGCTGGTATCATTGATACTGCCACTACTCTCATCCTCATTGCCACCAGTACGTATCTCAAGTCCAGCAAGTGATCTTCATCTGCAAGTACTATTCAATAGATGCCTACAGCTTGTACCAGTCTGCAACCGGTGCTACTTTGGACGACACGACTGGTCTTCTCCGCATTGACTCCACCCAGTACAGTGCCCTCGAGAACCTGAACTTTAATATTGGCAGCGTACGCCCTTTCTGTCTCAAATCTCAATGCCCCTTGTTCACCATCTTGCACAGAGCACGTACGTTCTCACCCCTAACGGCCAGATCTGGCCTCGTACCCTTAACACCTATATAGGTGGTAGCACCAGCTACATCTACCTCATCGTCAACTCCATTGGCACCCCCAGTGGTGAAGGTCTCGATTTTATCAACGGCTACACTTTCATTGAGCGCTTCTACACCGTGCTTGATACCACCAACTCCCAAGTCGGTTTTGCTACAACCGCATACACGAATGCCACCACTAACTAAAGCAATTTTTTGGTTGGGTATTTGTATGTTATAATATAACATTTCTTACAACCTATGACTATGAACTAAGTTATCTTCTGGAAGCATTTCTAGAGGTAATTGTGACTGGAGAGTCGTAGTTGAGTGTTCGAATGTTGGCTATCGCTGTTCCACGAAGACACCCCAGCTCTACCGGCCCTAAATCATGAGATCACCCACCTAGCGTAGACTCATCCAAGTCTCTGAGCATGTAGATTCAGATAGGGCTACAAGGGACAAATCATCTTTGAATACTCAATCTTGGGGACACTGATTAATATTGTTCGAGCTCTTCCGTGAGATATGTGCTCATGTCTACATCAGGAAAACCCAATCCAACTTGGAATAATTGGCGCTGGTTTTCCTGGCTTAGGGCTAGTACGGCCTAAAGCTGAAAGCTAGTTTCAAAACGCTTAGTATAGCTTAGTATCGACGTCCTAATCACGGTAACTGACGAATTGCATCAGGTGCATCATCACGCACAGCAAGCACCCACGTACCCCGACTTCCCATCGATCTCAACCTTTACATGTTTTCCGACGCCCCAAAGTATCACATTGCAATATTAAACGATACCCCACAACCCAACGTGGTGTATACCGTACTTAAGTAGTAGTAGTACTATGAACGCCTACCTCACTACGCGCCGCCCTTATAGACAACAAAAGCAAAATTATACACAAAAACAACATTATCATCACTCCCCCATGTCCTCACGCGTCGCCGCCAAGGCAACCCCAATAGCCTTGACCAAATCATCCGGCGACAATGAACTAGACGCACTCCGTTCCTGCGCACGCGCCGACCCCCACGTCACAGTCACAGACTCCCCCACGTCAGGCTGCGGCCACCCCATCCCCTCCAAATCCTCCAAAGGCGTCAACGTCCCATCCGAGTCCAGGTCCAATTCCGAGTCCGGCGACGACGCCCGCGAAGAGATCGGTGACACAGGCATGCGTGTATATGGCACATACAACCACCTTGCATCACCGATATAAACACGCGGTCGTTCGACAGCTTTACCCTTGCCTTTCCCTACATTCGCTTCTGAGATGAGGGGCGGAATCACAGCGCTGGGTTCGAGGTCTTGAATCGTGCGGATATTCCACTCGCGTAACGGCGTTCCGATGAATACTCTCGGTTTCTTCTTCAGCTTCGTTTTTACTTTCTGTTTCTTTTGGGCGCGCTGTTTAGCGGGTTGTGTGGGTCGGACGGGGGCAGAGGCGCTAGCGCCGTCGATAAACGCACGGCCGACGCGCTCGCCTTCAAGCCCATAGACATGAGCCCAGAACGTTGTTGTCTGTGGCGCACTTTCGGAAGGCTCTGGTGTCACTGAGCCGTTCGGGACACAGGAATCATCAGGCACAAGCAAAATGCCTGACTTGGTGCGAGACCCCGCAAATCCGCCTCCACGTGCGGAAATATACTCCTCCCCGCGTCTCCGCGCGCATATGGAGCAGTTACAGGTATTAAGGCAGACCGGACAGACGAACTTCTTGTTATTGGGGGCAAATACTGTCTCAGGGTACCTGAGCAACCATACAGGGGGCATCGCAATCAATGAGGAAAGGAGATGCCATGAGAGAGGAAGACGACAGACCGGTTCAGGATACATCGGTTGCAGAACCGTTTCCCGCAGATTTGCTGGTCTGGACGGCGTTTGGAACATTGCATCTTGGGTCTGGTTTGCGTACTTCGGCATTGGTGACAAAAAGTACTGACAACTTCAGGCTCGCCATCGTCCTGTGGCGTGGTTTGAGCTGGAGGTGGTGGTGCATGGACCTTGGACAGTTTCGTTTCTGGAAATGGTGTCGCAAATACAGGAGAAGAAGCCGAACTCGAAGCTTTCGACGGTACAAACGACCCATCGGAGCTTGCACGGATGTCTGGTCGACGAATCCGTATCTTGAGACTTGGCCGCGCCCCGGGTGGTACAGGTGGAGCAGAAACAGTTTCAGCAGTCCAACCCCCATCATCCTTAACCTCCCCATCGTCCATCTTTCTCGCTGAACTAGTCTCGTCGCCTTCATCAGTGACAGAGGCCGATTTACTGGTGCGGTATTTGATCTGGACGTTTCTTCGTGACTTGCCAGGCGTTTTGTCCGACAGCGCTGGGGCTTCCTGCGATGCGGACACCCCTGGAGGTCTGCGTACATATATGATGGGGCCTGATGGCAGTGGCTTCGAGCTTCGAGCGCCTGTTGACGGGAGAGGCGGTTCACTTCCACCAAGTAGCGAGGGATCAATCGTACCCGCGCTGTCTGAAGGAGAAAGACTATCGGTGGATATGCTCTTTCTCTCGATAGTAGGCGATAGAGACCACTGGCCATCCTCAGGGAGCACAAGATCGAAGCTACCGTCCAGGCTATGTGAGGAATTGGTAGCGTATGCGTCCGTGAGATGTAGTGAAGGAGACTCGGATGCCAACCTCGGGCTAGGAGGTACCCCAAAGAAACTGTCCTCTCCATTTTCTCGCGTGACCGACGCTGCGTCAGGAGGCAGCCGTGTTGTATTGTGCAAGAAACCAATGAAAGAACTTGGTGCAGACCGAGTGTGCTCAATGCCTGGGAGATATGTCTTTGCAGGAGAATCGCTGAGGTCATTCAAATACTGATCCATCTCCGCGCTGAAATCCAGTATTTGATCCTCTTCCAGTGCGGTATAGTGTGAGATGTCGTCAAGGACGTTAGAGGATGAAGGATCCTGTATTTGAAGGTCGGTGCCAGTGAATCCCAATTTAGGCTTGGATGAAGATGGGGCGTTTTGTGGCTCTAAATTACTCTTAATTTTACCTTTGCGAGAGGAACCTTTGGGAGCCGCGCGTCCAAAGTATGGTGTTAGGGCCGCTTCGATATCCGGCCTCTCCTCAAACAGTGGTGCGAGGACACGAGGAAAGACGGGTCCGTCTTCTTTCTCGTCTTTCTCATCGTCCGGGGCTGCAAGACCTTTCATCTCCGCAATCATCTCTGGCAAACCTTCGTGCAGTTGTGCGTAAAGGCGCTGAACGCGTTTGACGTAGATGTAGTGGGTATTCGACCGCAGGATAGTGTTGTGATGTGGTAGAAAATCTGGCAGCTCGTGGATGTCAAGCTCGAGGGCGGGATATTGGGCGTCCAGGATTTGGGTTGGTAGCGTAGAAATGTCTTCTCCGAACTTCCAGGAACGAGGCCTGTACTTCCTTTTATGACGTGCAGGAGCTGGGGGTGGGCGTTCACGTTCACACCCCTTTCCCATAAGACTGAGAGAGGGTGGTGGTGACCGGTCATTTTGAGCGGATGCAGCGGCCAAGGCGTGGCCGACTGACGGGTGCTCTACACCCTGCTGAGGCACGCCGGTGGACGTGTTCGATGCCCTGTAATCAGCCTTGGTGATGCCTTTGGGAAGTGGTGGCACAGATACACAGTCGAAGACGATGCGTCTGCGAGGCTTACGGGAAGATGGAGGAGGTGTGAATAGAGAGTCGCCCATTTCGGGTGAAGGTGATCTTGAAGAACGGGCGCCATCTGAAGACGAATCGCGCACGGAAAAAGGTTCAGTCTGGAAATTAACAGGCAGGAAGCGGTTTTTTTAAGGGACGAGAATGGCGTAATGTTGTATACAATTACTTACAAGCATATCATCTACAGCCATCTCCTCGTCTTCATTGTCAGGATCGCTAACACTCTTGATACTATCATGTCCGGAATCGTCTTCGTCATCAGACAACTCAATCACGTCGTGATGAGTTAAGAGAGGGGGTATAGACATGTCGAATAAGTTGGGCTCCGCGGCATAGAATGAAGTTGGCACGCTCCGGATGCTATGCTGTGAGGAAGAAAGATATGATTCTGGTTGTGTCAAAACTTCATCCTGTAGGGAAAACACGTAAGTATGATGGATCTATCAGAGGAAGGAGACGCGCTCACGGCAGCCGAGGTGTCGTGAGTATGCTGGAATGGAAATAGCGCGTCGAGATTAGATGGCTGAAAGAGTTCAGGCATATGCGCGGCTGAAAGTCTTTCAATCGATGACGAATGCTGAGTGGAGTTGTAAACTACAATGATTCAGGAGAAACGCGAACATACCTTTATTGGAGTACGCGTAGAACCGCAGTTTTCGTCAAATAAACCGTCTACTGAAGACGGCGCATCAATTATATAGCAATCCGAATCTTCTCCAGAATCATTAGCGCATTGTGATGATGTACTAGAAGAATATGATGCAGGGGTAGAAATCGCGCTGCTCGTTGTAGACTTGAAGAACGATGTCGAAGGTACGTCTTTGGTCGACTGAAGACGATAGGAACTGGATGGTAGAGGGCCATCCCAGTTAATGAGCTCTGAGTGCTCGACGCCTTTCATCGTCGTTGACCATAGTGAGCAGCCCGACAAAGTCACTCAAAAGGGCCGCATCGGCAATTCCCGTGCTTACGGCGTCAGCTTAAAATTCAAACTTAACAATCAATCCAACAGCCTAGTTCAGTGCTATATTTATCATTTTCTTGATGATAGGCATCTTGCATTGTGACTAGTCCAGGAGACACCAGGTGCCTTTCAATGCACGTTCCACCTCCACACAAAAACAGCAATGGACTGATCAGACTAGTACATACTCTGGCCATCAGGTCTGGCGGAATATCCTTCGATCGCAGAGGGCCATTCCATCCAAGACATGACGCGCTAGTTTCATCGGTATCCTCCTACGCGTGTGCCGTGACGCACGCCACTGACATGTGACTGGCACCAACTGATCCCGTTCCTCCCAGCTTATCCTTGAAGCACACCGACCATGATGAGCACCGACCTCGGCCTCCGCGAAATAGACGCTTGCTTATTCGACGTATTCGGTACTGTCCTTGACTGGCACAGCACAGTTACCCGCCAAGTCGCCCGCCTCAGCAAAGGACTGCTTCTCGAAGGTAAGTGGCAGATCCCACATTCCCGTAAAATGATCTCATAAATATTGATCACATCTATCAGGCTCACAGGACGCAGTCGATTTTGCAGAAGAATGGAGAGCCGGATATTATGCTCATGTGTAAGTCTATCGCTTTTCGGTCTTGCCCCCAGATCATGACGTGCACATTTACATAGCAAAAGAGTGTCCCAGGGCGGGGAGGGTACTTTCAACGCAGACATCATGCATCGACAAGTAATTCATTCTCCATCCCCATGACCCGTGTTTGACCATATCGCAGATACTGGACGATATGCTCACCACCCCACGCTGGTCTCATATTGCAGAAGTCTGGGGCGAATCCGATCGTGAAGATCTCACCATGATTTGGCACAACTTGGATGGTACGAACCTTCAGGAAAGTGCAGAGACAAGCCTGACTAATCACCCCTTAATTAGCGTATCAGGACACCATACCCGGCCTGACAGAACTTAAACGCCACGTCAACATCCTCGCTCTATCTAACGGAAACTTTAGATTACTTCTCGATCTAGTAATCGATTCACAACATTACGCATCAGACCTTTCCTCTGATCAGCGCCACAGGCAAAGAACCAAGGTGTTCCCTGGGACGGTATCTTTTCGTCCGAACTGTTCGGATCCTATAAACCGTGCGTCTCGATCGCTTTTACATCTGCATATTATCCCCTGCCTGACATCTGCGTAGTAACCAAAAGGTCTATCAATCTGCAGCATACCACCTTTCTTTACCTCCTCACAAGATAGCAATGGTCGCCGCACACAGGTTCGACCTCATCGCTGCCTCCAGCGTAGGCTTCAAGACGATATACGTACCACGCCCTGCTGAGGATTCGCGCGAGGTAAGGGAGAGCATGTGTAGCAAGAAGGACGGTGGTGAGGTGGATCTTGTCGTTAAAGATTTTGAGGAGCTGGCGGGGTTGATACGTGAAGCTCGACGAAGTTGAAGCTCGCGGTTGGTACATGCTTTGTAAGTCCTTGAGGTTTTGCGGAATGATCACTTGCCCATTTGTATCCGGCATTACAGAGCGAGCGAAGTGGGGTAACTGAATCGATGATGATTTTTGGGGTAGCGATGCGAACGAACAGATCATATTATATTGCGCAAATGCAATCCGTAGTCGTCGAGAGGAACTCTATGCGTGAGCTCTCTTCGAGAGTCCTAGACCAAATATAAGCAGGTTCAATATCCTGACGAAGGCGTTCCTCCAAAGCGAGTCACTTTCACGGAATTATCACTGACATTTGAATTCGGATACAAAGAATCCTTTCTTCGGTTGATCTAGCTAGGGAAACCATCCCAACTCAACAAATCGGGGAACTTAATTGCGGGCATGACCTAGGACAACTAGCTTGCATCAATGTGTTTCCGAATGGTCGTGGCTCATTCGGGATGCATGGACTGCGCTCTATGACCAGTGTGTTTCATTTTATGCGAGGTCTCATCACTTGGTCTTGGAATCCCCCTTTCCAAGTACATTTTCTTCCGCAATATCTTCGTTGCTTGTGAAGCTCACCTGACTTTCACGTCACTGTAGCTACGATGCGCTGATAGACTTTGCGAAATGTGCATAAGATTCCCACATCTCAATTGTATGCACTGCAGTTTGTCTAGACAGCGTTGTGGTCGCGTTTAGATATTGGAACCGTGTTCGTTCTTTCACAATCATGTAACACGCCCGGCTTTGCCTTGAAACTCACCCGAACCATGCTCGCATCTTTGATTAGCGATTTCAGCAAGAAGGCGAGTTCATAATCATAATCACGACGTGAGTAAAAGGAAACTACAGATGTGGAATAAACTCAATCCAGGCTACTGTATCGTATGTGCCAGGAGGTAGCGATCGAAAGCTCATCAATATAAGTACAATTAGTATAACGCGTGCAACAAGATATATGAAAATGCTGGCGAGTGGAGCAATATTTGCGAATTTCCCGCTAACTTCGATTTTCCGGCTAACATTGTCCAAATCGCCCAACCAAATCGCATAGCCCCACAGCAGAAGAATAGATACTGGTGCGGATACTATTGCAAGGGAAGCCGCACGCCATAGTATCTGCTCTGCGTGCCCCTGAAACAAAACATTCCAGCCCAGACAGTGTATCCCTCCAAACACTGCCCCACTGAAACATCCAACGAGAAGTATAATGGTTAGACGGGATTCGATACTATCCACATCATAGCCACCTACAGACGAAACCCGACGTGAATGGACAGCACGGGGGGAACGTGCTGTAATAATACCCATAAGACCGATAAGGGGATAAATGCATGAGAACCAAACATCATTCCATTTTCCAGTGGAGAATATTGCATCTACTTCGCTAGAATGCAGGCGAATTAGAACGATTTCAAGGAAGAATATTGGCAACATACTCGTAGGCCAATCCACTTGGCGGAGAGGCGATTGCTTTCCAATAAACAGCATGAGGACGTCCTACATCCTTAGGCTTCTTCCACCAAAACCCATAGGCAATGCCAGCCAGGGCAGCTAAAGCAAGGGTGTCGAGTTCAAGCAGTGTGATCGGAAGGTTCTGAACATAACGGGCAACAAGCTGGAGGACGAACCACGCCAGTTGAAGAATGGCGATCCCTTTGGATAATGTGTCACCCTTGCTTCGATCTTCTATATCGGCCTCCACGATGACAGGCATTTCCACGGAGCCCTTACGAACAAAGCACTCAAGCTCCTCGGGTGTAAGAGTGGCTCGCGGCTTTCCATTGACGTAGAGCATGAATCCACCCATCCACGCGAAAAACCCGTGCGTTACTGTCCATCCTATGAGACATTTGTTGAACGAAATTAGTTACCGCATCAAAGGGCCAGGCATGTAACTAACCTCTAAACTCGCGACTTGCAGCATGCGGAGCGCTCGGATGTGGGCTGTTTGTTCTATCCGATGTTGGAATTCCACTAAGTAACGCAGCTGTGCTCTCTCCCATATCTCCACAGTCGCTACGGGTTTGGTGAAGTTGCGCGCCAAAGGCGTCATTGAAGGCCTTTGCAGCGTCACGAGCACTTAGAAACTGACACGTGGCCCAGGTAATAATGAGTTCTGGGACGATCAGTGCCATCATCATGATGCCTAGGCGACGAGATAAAACAGCTAATTTCCCCTCATCCATACCCGGGATGTTTGGGTGAATTGCAGTCCATGTGCATGCGAATAGAGTCGCAGCGCAATTCCAGATGATGTCCCACAAGGTTCTGGTGTTATTGCTGGATGGAGAGTCACTGACGTCGAGTGTAGTGACGTTGGTGCCATTGATGCTCGGCAGTGAGGAGCAAACAAACGGGATGTGTAATAGTAACAGGATAGCCAAGGGTAAGAGGGTCATGATGAGGATTAGGGCATACGTCTGCTCAATCTGCTCCTCTCTTTGAGGGTGCAGTCGCACCTATGCCTCGAGGCTACCGTACATCCATAGCCACCACTGGTACAGGATGGTACACGTCTATACCACGCGGAAAGGCTGTGTGAATGCTAGCCCAGGGTCCTCCATAGACGGCAACATTTGGGCATTCATCCCAGAAAGCTGAACAGATATAAGAAACACGATCATGATGTGTTTCTTCTGTCAACCTGCCGGCGGTACTGCCGCAGCGGAGTTTGAAGCTCAGACACAGTGGCAACGCGTCTGGAGTATTTTGATCGACACCGATCATGACCTTGGGAGGTTATGCCGGTTATTATATGATTCATGAACCTTTCATTCTCAATCTTCCGAATGGCGAGCAACGGATCTGTCAGTATAGTTTCAACGTTGGAAATCACACATCCGATCACGACCTCAAGACAATTTATGAGTTCAGCGCCACGACGCCGAAGAAGGTCGGAACGCCCTTTGAAGGCCAGACCAATCTTGTCATAAGTCTAGCATTGTCATTCGATTGTGCTCTCCTCGCCAGCGCTGCCCATGACCACGCCGTCAGGCTCTAGCCTTCGAGTTTCGCCAGTTCCTTGCCTCATTTGATGTCCAACATTCTCGCTGCATTATCCTCTCACCTAACTCATGCCATTGGGTTTACACGGCGGCCTGGATCACTGACAAGATCCATATATGCGACACCATCTGACATCCTTAGTAGCATTTTGCCTGTACAACAAGAAGAGCCCAGTGTATGCATTTCATGCACACAAATCCATCCGTTATGTACTAACATTATTTTGCAGACAAGTGCAGCTAAAACTCCTATTTGTTCAACATACGTGGTCCCTAATGCACGCCGCTTCGTTAAATATCATTATTACAGTCCGGTGCAACACCTCCTGCTGTGCCGCCAGTGATCTCGCCTGTTAGATCTTTCGCCCCCCAACCGCTAATGCAATCAGCTACAATACACTCGCAGTGACCTACTTTCTTCCACTACCTTCGCAAACTCCTTCCTTCCTCTTCTCGCACGGACACAGCCTCTCCAGAATGCTGACATTCGTAATCCCTTGGATGTACATTCTTCCTTTATTTCCTTTACTCTTGGCTCGACGGTCTCCTTCCAGTTCCCTGCTACATTGCCCTGCTCTCCCTCATCGGCCACTACTCACAGACGTTCACACAGATCCACGCGAGAACGTGAGCGTCAACGTACTGTCATCAGCATTTCTAACTTACTCTTTTAAGTCTCGACTACCCACTAACCAATCATCTGCTACCGCTCCTACAACCTGCAAAGCCCGCTAGCCTCACCTATGGACCGCTCGTGCATTGCCTGCCAATTTTCGATGTTCGTCTTACCCCGGGTTCACTGGTATGTCCAGTTCATTTTGCTCGCTGTAGTCCAGGTCTCATGCATCAATTTGCAGCACAATGATGCTGGGCATGACTTGATGACTATGTTCCTGATTCGTCCAATTCGCAACCATTAGCCACAGGGCAGCTCATGGCTAGAGAGCATGGAAGTGGCCGGTTGTCTGCCGGCGAGGCTCGTCCTTTATCTAGTGCCAAAACTCGGTACAGTAGAACCCGGTTGCAAAAATGACATCTTCTTGGCCGTAAATGTATACAGTGCATGACGATAGCGATAATGGTTTGTACAGCACCAACATATTGGTTTGCAGGAGTGCTCGCTAGCAGTACTTATCAGGTGCTACAAATGCAGTTAGTTGTGATATGCTGAGCAAACGGCCTCGGCTGGATATTCAAAAGTCGATCAAGGTATAGCCTGTAAAGAAGCTTCGGGGGTAAGTAGAGGTTTCTGGAATCAAACCCCTGTCGAAGGGGTCAGAAGTTCAGCGAGGCCATTGATACTATCATTGACTCCGACCCGGAGGAGCGAACATATGCATGATGCAGAGCAACACAACATGGGTGGTTATTCGTGCTTTAATATCGCAGATATAGAACTACAGTAAGAAAGAAAGAACGACGGTATGATAAACTGTAGGCTATGTCCAACACGATACACAAGATGCTAAGCTTGCCACTTAAAATCCTCCTCCCTCACCAACCGTACATTCAATGGCACCTGTGGCGTCACGCCATCACCAGCGGGGGGTCTAACAACAGGCTTATGAAACACCCTGAACTTCCACTCTATCTCCTTCACGTGCCCCAGTGGATTTGGCTCCGTTGGAAGCGCGACATGCAGACGCAGTATCAGTATCGCAAGGACTTGTTCTGGTGTAATAAGGACAAGATTGCAGAACCTAATAGCCAGTTTCCCCTGTTGGGTCCATCGAGATCAACACCATGAGTTCGCCGTCGGAGGAACTCTAAGGCTTTGAAGAGAGTGATAGAGATGGATCCGAGAATGCAGACTTGGGTCAGTGACATGTCAAGTTGGTCTGGAGGAAACATGACTCGGAAGGTGGTGCTGTTGATATACCAGGCAAGTTTCAGCTTAGCCATACTAGTAGTAGCGAGCAATTACGGGTTATACCACTTCTGGTCTCCTCTCTGCTTCTCCTTACTGCTGTCATCTAGCACCTCCTGTTTCTTCACTCCAATTCTCAGGAGTGCGGGGTTCGATTTAGGTAGGTAAGGCTCTACAAGCGCATTTTTTTTGCACTTTCTGAGCTCGTAAGAGCCTCCACCGTCCATCCAATCCATGCGGCGGAACATAGCAGCTCCAAACAAAGAATGGGCACACGAGTATAGTTATCAATCGTTGCAACATCAGCGACGTCTTGCCGGAGAGCGTCGGCTTCGCTGGGAGAAACGGGAACAGAATCGATCTGGGGCGCCGAGTCCATATCCCCAGCCAGCAGCGCACGAAAAGCTTTTTGGTCTTCCATCTCTTCTACAATGTCGACTCTCGCGCGTTCTTCTGCTGTCATATTTGTCTCTTCATCAATAGACGTCGCGCTTGCGTCGAGTTTGACTTCTTTACCACCAAACTGGACACCTGAGAGTTAGGGAGACCAGAGTTGATGGAATCGCGCGTGCCTAACCCTCCAACGCTCTTGTCTGCACCCGTGCTCGCTTTCGCAGAGTCATGGATGAATTGTGCAGCACCTGCACGACGTTTCCGTGCTGCCTCCCGTGTCATTCCTTCGAAGCAAAATCCTGAGCCAGGCGCTCGCTTTGAAAGAATGACAAGAGGGCCCGTAAGGACTTTGGTCTTGGACTTTTTGACATTGACACTAGATGATATAGGTAGCACAAGTGCCTTTTGTGAGTTGTAGAAATGTTGGAAAGAGCAGAAAAAGACGCACCGCTGTGCACCGTTGAAAGAAGTGATAAGCTCGTCCTCGAGATGGCCCTCTTCATCATCGTTGGACTCTAGCTCATCTTTACGCCCGCCATCAGCAAACATGATCCTGCTCTCCTCTTCGTCATCGGAATCCTCTCGGGAGCTGAAAGTACGAGGAGAACCTTTGAGTGGGGAGCCAGAAGTAGAGCTGACGGCACTAGAGAGGTGGCGATGGAATGCTGAGTTTGAATTTGTTGCTGGCCCTGTCGCTTGTCGGCCACCAGGGATTTGCAGATAGTGAATGACAGTTTGGACATCGTCGTGAAACATACAGCAAGCGTTGACCTCGGACCGTGAGAGCATTTGAAAGCCACTTATGTAGAATATATCAACTGCATTGTTATCTCTGTGGACGGTACTCAGCTGCTGGCGAGCGGGGTAGAATGTTCGAGATGAAGCACAAACTCGTATTTGAAATCACTGGTGGGTGCGATTAGCTTATGTAAAAATCAAACTTTACATCATCCACTTGAGTCGACGTCCAGCCAGTTGAAGTTCAAAGTTGGCTAGTTCAGTGCTAGATTTATTATTTTTCTTGATGATTGTGATACATCTTGCGTTGTGATTAGTCTGGGAGACACCAGGCACCTTTCGTCAAACGCTCTACTTCCGCACAAAAAAACGGCAATAGACTGATCAGAATATTCGCTGAGGGCTATATCATCCAAGACACCATGATCTGGCACAACTTGGATGGTCTGAACCTTCAGGAAAGTGCAGGGACAAACCTGACTAATCGCCCCTTAAGTTTCAGGACACCATCCCCCACCTGACAGCTAGAACGTTTCAAATGCCATGTCAACATCCTCGCTCTATCTGACGGAAACTTCAGATTACTTCTTGATCTGGTAATTGATTCACAACATTACGTATCAGACCTTCCCTAGTCCAACCGGCGCCACAGGCAAATAACCAAGGTGTTCCCTGAGATAGTAACTTTTCGTCCGAACTGTTCGGATCCTACATTATGATACACCGTGCGTGTTATCCCCTCGCTCGACATCCGCGTAGTAACTAAAAGGTCTATCAATCTGCAGCTATACCACCTTTCTTTACCTCCTCACAAGATAGCAATGGTCGCTGCACACAGGTTCGACCTCATCGCTGCCTCCATCGTAGGCTTCAAGACGATATACGTACCACGCCCTGCTGAAGATTCGCACGAGGTGAGGGAGAGCATGCGCAGCAAGAAGGACGGCGGTGATGTGGATCTTGTCGTTAAAGATTTTGAGGAGCTGGCGAGGTTGATACGTGAAGCTCGACGAAGTTGAAGCTCGCGGTTGGCACATGCTTTGTAAGTCCTTGAGGTATTGCAGAATCATCACTTACCCATTTGTGTCAGAGCGAGCGAAGTCAGATAACTGAATCGACAATAATTTTAGGGGTAGTGAACCAACAGATCATATTATATTGCGCAAATGCAATTGATAGTCGTCGGGAGGAACTCTGTGTAAACTCTCTTCGAGAGTCCTCAGAGATCCTAGACCAAACACAATACCTGACAAAGGCGTTCCTCCAAAGTTAGTCACTTTGTCGGTGACGCCTGATTTCGAATACAAAGGAACGATCACCTTTCTTTCTTCGATTGATTTAGCTAGGGAAACCATCACAACTCAACAAATCGGAGGACTTATATGCGGGCACGACCCAGATAACTTCCAACCACCAGCTTACTTCAGTGCATGTTCATGCTAGATCAATGCGTCTCCGCGTGCTCATAGCTCATTCGGCGATGTGTCAATTGCGCTCCATGGCCAGTGCTTCATTTTATGCGAGGTGTCACCATTTGGTCTTGGAAGACCCACTTTCTAAGTACATTTTCCTCTGCAACATCCTCATCGCCCATAAAGCTCACCTTGCTTTCACGCCACTGCAGCCGCAGCGCGCCGATAGATTTTGCGAAATGTACATGCGATGCTCAAATCTCCCCGATTGTATGCAGCTTATCTAGACGGCGTTGTGGTCGTGTTCAGATATTGGAATCGTGTTCGTTATTCCTTTACAATCATGTGGCACGGCCGGCTTTACCTTGAAAAACCGTGCTCGCCATCTCTGATTAGTTATTCTAGTAAAAGACAGCAACTTCATAACCATAACTGTGACGTATGTAAAAGGAAACTACAAATGTGGAATGAACCTGGTCCAGGCTACTGTATCATATGTGCCAGGAGGTAGCGATCGAAAGCTCATCAACATAAGTACAGCTAGTGTAAGGCGTGCAACACTATATATGCAAGAGGTGGCAAATTCGAACGCAATGAATCTCTTGCTAACTTTGAATGTTTCCTTAAGCCCGTTCAAACCGCTCGTCATAAGTATAGAGCCAAACAGCAGAAAATTAGATACCGATGCTAATACTATCGCAAGGGAAGCCGTACGCCATAGTATCTGCTCTGCGTGCCACCGAAACAAATAATTCCAGCCCAAACAATGTATCCCTCCAAACACTGCCGCACTGAAACATCCAATGAGAAGTACAATGATTGGACGGCGGGAGACACTGTCCTGATCATAACCACCCACAGACGGAACCCGACGTGAATGGACAGCATGGGGGGAATTGAATGGGCCCAAAGCCGCAAGACTTAAAATAGCATAGATGTAACTTAACGGAAGAACACCCGGGTTTTTGGCGAAGAATTCTGCATTTACAGTGCTAGAATGCAAGCGAATTAGAACAATTTCAAGCAAGAATATTGACGACATACCCATAGGCTAAATTACTTGGCGGAGGTGCAGTCGCTTTCCAATAAACAGCATGAGGACGTCTTACATCCTTAGGCTTCTTCCACCAAAAGCCATAGGCAATGCTGGTCAGGGCAGCTAAAGCAAGAGTATCGACTTCAAGCAGTGTGATCGGAAGGTTCTGAACGTAACGGGCGACAAGCTGGAGGACGAACCACGCCAGCTGAAGAACGGCGATGCCTTTGGATAATGCGTCGCCCTTACTGCGATCTTCTATGTCTGCATCCACGATGATGGGCACTTCCACGGAGCTCTCATGAACAAAACGCTCAAGCTCCTTGGGTGTAAGAGTGACTCGCGGCTTGCCATTATAGTAGAGCATGAATCCACCCATCCACGCAAAAAAACCTTGTGTTATAGTCCATTCTGTGAGACATCAGTTGAACGATTCAGAACGAATGTAGTTACGGCACCGATAGGCCGAGCAGGTGACTAACCTCTAAAATTGCAAACTGCAACCTGCGAAGCGCTCGGATGAGGACTGTTCCTTCCATCTGATATTGGAATTTCATTGAGTAATGTAGCTGTGCTCTCTCCTGTACCTGGACAGTCGTCTCGGGTCTGATGAAGTTGCGCATCAAAGGTATCATTGAAGGCCTTCGCAGCGTCACAAGCACTTAGAAACTGACACGTGGCCCAGGTGATCAGGAGTTCTGGGGCGATCAGCGCCATCATCATCATGCCTAGGCGACGAGATAAAACAGTGAATTTCCCCTCGTCCATACCCGGGATGTTTGGGTGAATTGCAGTCCATGTGCATGCGAATAGAGTCGCAGCGCAACTCCAGATGATGTCCCACAAGGTTCTGGTGTTGTTGCTGGATGGAGAGTCACTGACGTCGAGTGTAGTGATACTGTCACCATTGAGGCCCGGCAGTAAGGAGCAAACAAACTGGATGCGTAACAGTAACAGGATAGCCAAGGGTAAGAGGGTCATGATGAAGTTGAGGGCATACTGCTCAATCTGCTCCTCTCTTTAAGGGTGCGGTCACACGTAGTATGTGGGGATTAAGCTCCAAGTGCTCATGCCTCGAAGCTACCATAGCCACCACCGGTGCGGGAAATCTACGATGGTACACGTTGAGTGCTAGCCTAGAGCATTCTAGGGACGGCGAAGTGTGGAAAGTGAGAGTATCGATCAGCTCAACCAGTGTGGTAAACTCTCGACCAACATTAATGGTGCTTGACACAACTCCGAGGTCGACCCTTGAAAGTTGAAACGCGTCCGTCCAGAAAGGCATCCTCATGTTCAATACGATAGACTCAGTCGCTGTTAAAAATCGAATGGCATGAGTATGATAGCACCAGGTTACCGAAGGTCATGTAGTGCACAGACGGATGTTCGTTGCAACATTTGACGCACTTAGTTACTATTACGTAGTAGAATTAACGCAAAATTAATTGGGGACTCTAGGTGTGAGGCTGTGACAAACGCCAATCTGAACTTCAGCCCATCTTCGACGACGCGTAACCCTTTACCCAGACGACCCCTTTCTTCCTTTCCCCTCGCACTCCTCATGATCAGCTGTGGTTAACGTTCACAGGCCTTGGACCCTGTTCTGGGCTGGTAGCACTTGAGGATTCTCCTGTAGCACCGCGTATGCTGCCTATACCCTAGTCTGTCCATAGTCTGTCCGCACCCAATGACACAGGCATGACCTATACATCTTCCTCGACAGAGTTCCTTTCCCCCTCCGGTTCCAGAGCGAGCCGTTAGTGCTTCTTTCTGCTCGTCCACCTTAGCTGCTCGACAACCAACATGTTGTTGAGCCTTTCTTTTCCCACCCACCACTGGTACTCCCTCTTGCACCGTCACAGCTATTCTCAGGTCATGGTACGCATCGCATAGTAGCCTATCTGCCCTCTTGTGGACCCGACCTGCTGGCCACCCACCCTCGCAACCCACCCATCTGTCTCTTTGGGTAGATTCATGATTGGGCTGGAACATGCTTTGTACACCTTCATCCACATACTTAGAATCTTTGTTCTTCAGGTTTGTAAATCTATCTGTTCCAAATAATATCTTCTCCACGAGTGTCTGAGCGATGCCTAAAGATAAGCTGAAGCGAACATGTTGAGAGTAGAGTCTGGGGTCTAATTCGTTGTGAATGCTGTGAGGGTTTGAAGTTGTTGGAAGGAACCGGGGACTCGGAGTAAGGTCTGAGGTACACAGCATGACGGGCCAAACAGGAGGAAGTCTGCCTATGGGAGACTCAATGTGACGGGCTGAACATATTAATTTCCGTCCAACCCTTGCTTTGCAACCTGCTATCGCAAGCAAATCAGACTGTAAGTTATAAATTTGCTGCCGTTCTCGGAAACTTAACTATATAGTGTGACTAAACGCTTCTGGCTCACTTCAGGTTCTGAAATTCTCCTCCTTCTCGCACAATGCAGCATGTACGTGAAATATTGCGACGGACTATGACGCAGTAGCTGACCCAGTCTCATAGCCTCAGAGGTACTGGGGTGACATATTGGACATTAATTCTTCAATTGAACTTGACCGGATACGACTTGGAGTTTCCACTGGACTTGCGGTCATACTAGTATTGATGACATCATGATGTGATCTTCTCGTCAGTTCAGAAACACAAGGTGATGGAGTTACGGTGCGCAAATATATGTATCCAGTGGCGTTACACAGGAAGTCTCCCCACTCATTTGCATATGCAGGAATTGACAATCGAAGTATGGATCATTCCTCAACCCTTAATGAAGTGCAAGAATCTGTCTTATGCATCTAATATGGCATGTAACACCTCCTTTTTACCTCCTTGAGCTACTTATAAGCTATGCCATGAGGTTGAGCATTCTGGGCGTCTTTTCGGTTCTCCCTACTACCGCGCTCGTTATCTTTGCGGTGACTATCACTCTGGATTATGGAGCCATGCTTGTTGGTGGCTTGCTGGGCTTCGGGCGCGTGATTAACTGTGATGCGAATTATGATAACTATCTAACGGAACTCCTCACAGCTTGTCGGGTTGCGTTAACATGCAATTCATTGTGTACTGCCAGGTATATTTTGTGAGAGTTCGTGTACGAAGTCACTTGTACGAAACTTATGTGAGATGACTGTCAACAGAATTCAGGCTGCTTGATTTGTATCAATCTGCGCTTGTGGCAGGCACACTCTGGGATTCCATCATTGCGACTAATGGCGACTTGGATACACTTGACGCAATCCCTGGTATGTGACATCATTATTTACAATCAGCTGTGAAATCAATGTACCTTCAGGAGTATCGATGTGAGCAATCGCGTTTTGTACATGTTAGACTGTCATTGATGCAGGTAGCCCTGTACAGCCTGTGATCGAGCTTATTGTGCGTTTTCACTCGTATGGAACTGCACCATGCTCACCATCAGAATATTCGCCGGGCTATGATTACCCTCAGAGTCGTCCAAAGGTTAGCTATGTCATACGAGGAAAATATGGGTTTGACTTGACTGCTTCAGCTTCTTTGCATACCTAAACTATAGACACTTGTACACTTCTTCTTTTATTTCTGCACACTTATGTCAGTGGGAAGTGCAAAAAAGGAGCTCATTGTAGCGATTCCGATCGTGGGTTTCGCATTTGAGTTTGCTACTTAAAAGTAAGACACCACGGAAATGCTGAAGAGATGAGAACGTTATCCAAAGCAATGATTCCAGCAAGAGGATAATCATGATCACAATGTAAGTAAGAGGAAACTAGCGAAAATGTGGAACAAATGTGGTCCACGCTACTGTATCGTATATGCCAGGTGGTAACGATCGTAAACTTGACGATATAAGTACAATTACTGTAATGCGTGTAGTGACATATATGAAAGCGACGGTGACTACAGAAAATCTCACAACCCAACTGTCTTGGGTGACATCAAACAATATGACCCAACCAAATATCAGGAGAAGGGGTATCGATGTGGACGCTGTCACAATGGAAGTCACACGCCAGAGAATCTGCTCCGTGTGCCCCTGAAACAAATAACTCCAGCCCAGACAATGTAGTACACCAGTTATGACGGCACTGAAGCATCCAAGGAAAAGTGTAATGACATGATTACGATCATGACGATCATCATTATCATAGCCACCTAAATATGGAATCCGACGTTCTCGGACAGAACGGGGGGAAATGGTCACGGCAGTGCCCATAAGACTCCTCAAGGGGTAAATGAGAATGATCAGATAATGATGCCAGCTATCCAGGGAGAATTCTGGATTTGCTTTTCTAGAATGTGGGCGAATAAGAATGATTTCAAACGAGAATATCAACCACGTACTCATAAGTTAACGTGCATGGCCGAGGTATGTTTGCTCTATTTCCGGTCCAATGAACAGCATAAGGACATCGTACATCCTTAGGTTTATTCCACCACAAGAGACAAGCAATGGAGGTCAGAGAGACTACAGCCAGGGTGTCAATTTCGAAAAGGGTTATGGGAAGGTTCTGGATGCAACGGGCATTAAACTGGAGGACGAACCACGCCAGCTGCAGAATGGCGATGCCTTTGGATAGTGCGTCAGCCTTACTTCGGCCTTCTATCTCTGCCTGCGTGATGTCAGGTATATCCACGTATCCCTTGTGAACAAACTCCATAAGTTCCTTGGGTGTAAGAGTAGCTCGCGGTTTGTTATCGCAGTAAAGTATGAATCCACCCATCCACGCGAAAAACCCATGTGTCATTGTCCACTCTGAGACATTCGTTGAATGAAGTTAGTCATCGCACCGAAATGCTGAACAGATAACCAACCTCTGAAATTGCGACCTGCAAAATGCGGAGCGCTCGGATGTGGACTGTTCTTCCCATTTGATGTTGGAAATTCACTGAGCAATGTAGCTGTGCTCTCTCCCATATTTGAATGGTCGCTGCCGGTCTGGTGAAGTTGCGCATTAAAGGCATCATTGAAGGCCTTTGCAGTGCCACGGGCACTGAGAAACTGTATTGCGGCCCAGGTGACCATGAGTTCTGGGGCGATCAGGGCCAGAACCATGATGTATAGGCGACGAAAGAAAATGACTATTCTTCCCTCGTCCATACCCGGGATGTTTGGATGGATTCCGCTCCATGTGCATGCGAATAGGGTCGCAGCGCAGCTCCAAATGATGTTCCACAAGGTTCTGGTGTGACTGCTGGATGGAGAGTCGGTGACATCGAGTGCAGAGGTACTAGTACAATTGGGAGGCGGTAAAGCACAAACAAATGGAGTGCATAGCAGTAAGAGGATAGCAGCCAAAGTGAAGGGTAGGAGGGCCATGGAAAAGTTGAGAGCATGAGTCTATCATTCCGCTCCTCTCTTTAAGGGTGTGTCGAATGTATGGCAAGTGAGCATGTAGCAGGCTAGTATATGTGAACATGTTAGGAGATTAGGGGTAGAAGTGGCATAAAAACGCGTGACACATACATGAATCTCTGCTCGGATCGTAATTACAGACAGGACGAGGAGAGCTCCACTGCTTGCTGGAAGACTAGAGTATGAATCCGCAGACCCATCACCCTTGGCTTGCCCTTGTCTACCGTGACAAAGGTAAGGGAAGGGTGAGGAATCTACCAATAAGAAGGTAATATTAATGTGACGGCCGCACAGGCTGACTAGCACTGACTGAGTCGTCGACTCGGTGGTGTGCGGAGTTGAAATTAATCTGGACCAAATCTGTCATAATCAAAGTTTATGTGATCCTAGTACTCGGTGAGTTCTTACCTGGGCCAATACCTTTGAACTCTATACTTTTGCTCTGACTAGTTTTGGCAGTTGGCTCGACATTATTTTGATGATCTGTACACATCTGATGGTGGATCGTGGCCTCAAGGAACTGTTGCGAACTTCATGACTCAAAGGCGTAGCGCTCGCTACAGACCGCTACTGTGACAGGTGCGCTAGATGAAGAAATATGAAGTGGGTGCGGCATCTCTCAACGACGAACGTTTCAATGCCCGAATGCCACAAGCAAGTTGCAAATGAATGTTAGATCGACTTCGTCCAAGCTTTGGCACTGCTATGATTGATGTTGCGTCAGAGCAGCCGTGTGGTGGCGATAATGATGGTATGATAATTATGGTTCAAGTTAAAGTGCCAGAAAATAGGAATTCTGGTTGCTGAGCGCTGAACCGCGAGGTTGACAAAGGGGAAGAATATTTGTCATGAGGTTCTATCTGCGGTGTCATATTTTTCATAGCACGGCCACCCTCCATGCCATTTTCTATCTCTCAGGAGTCTATTCTTCGCATCTGGTCGTCATCCGCGTGGTCACAGCGGTTGCACCCTAATCCTCGCATTAGCCTGTTGCATGTCTGATCCAACAAGAGACATCTCGTTTCTTACTCCTTTGAGCGTATTAGAATCGAGAGAGTCGAGGAACGCAACATCATTATCATGAAACAGTGGTGCACAAGTCTATAGTGGTGCAGCAGCTCCTCATAAGCATGGTATTGGTGGTGTCACGGTAGTTCTTATAAGAGTCACGCGCCAGGCTGCGCGCCACGAAGATGATTACAACGAGAAACGCATGACCATGCCATTTCCCAACCATGCAACACAAAACTATCAAACCTCCTATGCCACTGAAACTCGATAGAACCAGCTTTCTTGACGCTCCAATTAGTCTTCGTAATCTGACCCCGAAGATATTCGCTCTAGCAGTTCAGTTCAAAGTTCAACTCGAACCCTATTCCACATAGTCCGAGTCATAGCCACCCTAGCCCCTCGGGCACCATCATGAAGCATGGTGGGTAATTTTATATATCATTCGATACCTTGGAACGATCTTACCCCTTCAACAATGCAGCTCCACAATACTTTGAGCGCACATGAATCGAATATTCCAATCCCCGACAGCGCTAGTGGTGGGCGATGCTGATATGTGCACTGTTCCACGAGTATTGATGCCTCGTTTATGGCATGGGTCGATCAGAAAGTCTGCATTGAAACTGCAGTATGGTGACTGTCGAAGCAGAAGTTCTGAATGTAGATGGAGGTTGAGGGGCTCATTGGTGGCAATGTAGCATCGTAATATCGATGAAAGGACAAAGGTTCTTCTTCAGGGAAAGGTATCAAGAGATCGATCTCGACAAAGACCTGCAGTGTGGTTGCAGCACAGCAGCGCTTATGACCTCGATTATGGATATTGACCGCTCGCAGTCCCAGCATTTAATATTCACAATCGAGGGTACTATTCTAGAGACGCATGTCACTGCACATAGAATCGATTTCAAATGCTTCTCACTCCTATTCATGTGTGTTAATGCAGTTTCTGAAGGTGAGGAGCTGCCTGCTGGTGTGTTTGTGGGTTCTGGCGACTGATGTTGGCATCATGACTGACAAATGAGTAATGATCATTGAGCTCTACGGCCAGTATGTTCCATCAGTAGAGAATCGATCGGTGATCACAGGAAAGTGAAATGTCTTAGTGTCTCTGCGAGGTAAATAATGGACCCGGTAGTGCTAGCTATACATTATACACTGACACAACAACGTGAACCTGCATCACGTCTGTGATATTTCTTACGGTAAGCAAACAACCCAGATGGGAAACAGAGCACACACCAAGCTCATCCAGACCGCCTCCTTCCAATTTTTCGGTGAGGGTTCTTTAGTGCTAAAAAATTAAACGGTTAACCCCAGTCACAAAGAAGAAAATGGAGGATGTCACACACCTCAGCATCTATGTCCTCTGTCCCGGACTTGAAGTCCATCTCGCCCGGTTTCATCAGGGGCACCCGCATCAGATATTTCGCAGATCCATACAGCACCGGGAACAGCATGATAGGCAAATATGTTGTCACGAACATCGCATTAGACCAATTTGCTTTCAAAAAGACTTGCCATCCGCTGAACTAAAGTCGTAGTCAAGAATCCTAGGTTATCAAGAGCAGTCTAGTCATTGCACACTTACCAGGAGAGTCACCAACGACGATGCAATCACCCACCACGATGCATATGGCTGGAGTGGCGAGGAATATGGTAAAAGTTTCCTGTCATACCCTTGCGCCAATAATCCCTGGCGGAACCTGACGTAGGTCACCCCGATACACAACCACGCCAAGAGTCCTGTGGTGGCAGTCATGTCCGCAAACCAGGTAAAAACAATACTGGAGCTGGTGTTCACAACCATGTATGACTAACCAACACCGAAAAGATTGATTCCAACAGCAATGACCAGACACATGGTGATCCACACAGCGTTGTTAACCCCAGGGTTCCAATAATCAATGAGAGTAGCGGCAGCCGATAACTCAGCTTCACCAAGTGTAAGATAGGTTCAAGTTGACTTCAATGCATGGTCGTACTCACCAGGTATCGCAAACTGACACAAAATTAAGCCATAAGAATCTTCCAGCCATTCACAGCGATGCAGCATCTTACCGTCCAACAGTATCAGCAATTCCAACCCATCGCAAAGGAGAAGGCCGGATCGACAAATCTTTCCGCAAGCTTGATGTGACCACCTGGAATCGGAAGGAGAGTGATCATTTCCCCAACAGTTATCTGTTATGTAACCAGGAAACCGAGAATACAGAAGCGCGCCAAAGACGAGCTCACCATAACGCAGTAGCACATTGTCCCCATGAAAGTATACCTGAGTAGAAGTCCCACAGGACCACCCTCCATCAATGCTGTCGCAGTGCCTAGAAACAAGCCCGTACCAATAACACCTCCAATGCTGATGTCAAAACTGTGAGACGTATGTACATGCTGAAGATGATCGATGATGACTTGCCTGATCATAGCAACATGACGCCCCTTCAGGCGTCGTTGAAGTGAAGTCCTTGGAAGCAGGATAGCAGTGTCAAGGAGTTCACTGTGTTCAATGTCATAGGCGTTGGCAAGCACTTTTGGCGTCTGTTCTGTCGTCTTTTCTGTGAAACCCAGAGGCACCATTGTTTCTGGACAAAAATCTGTGGATGTTCCAATATTAGTAAGAGTTCAACATTCACCACGGGATCCACACGTATATAGCCGCTTTGGACACATCGAACATTTCATATTGGCACTAATTGAGGATTAGACAATTTGAAGGCCATAGATGGCCTGCATCGGTATGACGTTGAAGACTCCCGGCATGCCCCAATGATATACATTATGAAAGCGTCCCGAGGCGTGTACTAGTGGACTGTAGAAGTAACTGACGCAAGTGTAGATCGGTTCATTGCTTAATGCAAACAGGCTGCCAAGCAGTTTCATATCGGACATATGATGTTTCAGAACAACCGAATCAAACTTTAGATCGTGAGTGCACGTTCAACAGAAATCTGAGACAGATCATTGGATGGGCACTCTACCAAAGACTCGAACCTGAGGGACGCTATGATATTAATGCTTTCCGGAACAGATTACCGGAAGGCAAAAACAAACCAGAGAAAACTATCTTCCACACCATAGAACATTGCATGAGAAAAATGCGAAGATCGATGTCCATCCTGTGAAGGTATCAGTTTGATTTTAGCTACCACCGACCGAGCGGTTCCATACAACTGACCTCTAAACTTGCAACCTGCGCGTTGCGGTATTCTTTCAACGGCTGCTGCTGGCAAGAGCTGAGAGAATGATATGTCCTGGGTCGGAGTGGGATAATAAATTGGCAATCAGTCTGATCAGGACTCGGCGCTCACCAATGTATTAAGTGTGAATGGAACTATCGTGGGAGCACTCGACGAGGTGCACTATCGTTCAAGGGATAAGCCGACTCCAGAACTCTTGCATCATAAGAACGCGAAGGCCTTGCTGGATTCAGATCGGTGTCCAAAAGAAATGGGTTGCATGCTGCTGGTCTGCAGTGTACTTTGAAGCCGGAGTGTTTGCAGTGTGTGAATCAGACTGACTCACGGGGGTGTGAAACAGAATGCCGACTGGACATTGTTCAACGGTGTTTTGCTGAGTAGATGAGTAGTCCATTGCCTACATATTCCGGAACAGAACTCCTATACATACTCGCTGCCGCCAGTAGGCAGCACAGGGATGCATATGGAAAAACATACTATGGCGCCAGGCCCTCATTAGCAAATAGAATCCGCACCCCTAGTATGCTGCAACTGAGATCATCAAGGAAATGTTGAAGCTGAGTTGTCGAAGCCAAGTTTACAATACAAGCGAGGGGCTCAGGTGTAAAAATATGACAAAAGTCACTAGTTCACTGAGCATGCTGGCGAGACGGAACATTGAAAGAATATTAATATTGAAAACGGTACCTGAGTAAGCTTACCGCCGGCAACGCCCGAAAGAACCTACACAGCAATGACTTGGTCTGCAAGTTCAGCGGTTCCGGTCGGGACTGTATCTAAGATGTGTTTGATTGACTTTTAACTTGCTTTCTTAGCTCGCTTTCCCCATGTTCTGAAGCTTGGAGACTGCAGTGACCCTGGACCCAGATCTCAGTGCCACATGATTCGCGACGTGTAATTGTTGCAATACTGAGATCACAGTGACTGCAATAAGCAAGAGCTGGTTCAGAGCCTGTTGGAGGGTCAGTGTCACGCGTCCAACTGAGCGAGAAGTTCCTCAATTAATAATATCATTCTCTCTCAAGAGGTACGCATTTCAACTTCTCATCCAAGGACACCCACTGATTGCCTTCTCCGTACGGTAGACAGTCTTTAGGCGTGGGGGGTTTGCCTCGTGCTCGTGTGTAGGGTTCTTCCGCGGGCTTGTCGAGTCATTAGAGACGTTTGTTCACAAGCACAACAGATCACTGCTGGAGCCTGGTAACCGCACTGGCCTGTATTTTCCATGTCAACTCCATCGCGGCTTTTTCCAGTGTTCTACCACTTCACACGTACCGCCTCCCTATTCGTGAGTTCCCTGTCATAACTTGATCACGCTGTAAATCCATGCGTATGAACATGTTCCTGTCAGGTCTTACCTTTTGGCCCATACATGACACGCACGCCAGTTCACCTTGCCGTCCATTTACGTTTTTGCGTAGGGATCGAGTCTATCCTGCTGATCTTTGGGAACTAGTTGGGGGGCGCAGTACAGAAGCGAAGCAGGGAGAAACATTGCGATTACACCGGAGCTCCTGTACTGGTGGAGATGACGGAAGTCATGCGATTGTGGAACGACTCCTGATAGAAGAAAGGAAGAGACGGTGTCAAATAGAGGTGTCTTTGTACAGCCAGGCTATTGAACGCAGTTTTATCAGTATCCTCCTTATCCTCACATCTACAAGTGTGCAGTGACACGCGCCACTGACATGTGACTGGCACCACCTGATCCCGCTTCTCCCAGCTTCATCAAGCGCTTATCCTTGAAACACACCAATGACCATGACGAGCATCGAACACCTCGACCTCCGCAAAATCGATGCCGGCTTATTCGACGTATTCGGTACCGTCCTTGACTGGCACAGCACAGTCGCTCGCCAACTCGCCCGCCTTAGCAAAGGACTGCTTCTCGAAGGCAAGTAGCGGATTCCACATTCCCGTAAAATGATCTCACACTGATCACATCTATCAGGCTCTCAGGACGCAGTCGATTTTGCAGAAGAATGGAGGGCCGGATACTGTGCTCATGTGTAAGTCGATCACTCTTCAATCTCTGTTTCTAGATCATGATATGCACATCCATACAGCAAAAGAGCATCTCAAGGTGGAGAGGATTTTTCAACGCAGACATCGTGCATCAACAAGTAATTCATTCTCCATCCACATGACCCGTGTTTGACCATATCACAGATACTAGACGATATGCTCACCGCCCCGCGCTCGTCTTGTCTTGAAAGAGTCTTGCGCGAATCAGATCGTGAACTGACCTTGATCTGGCACAACTTGGACGGGACGAAGTTTCAGGAAAGTGCAAAGACAAACCTGGCCAATCACCCCTTAATCTAAATAGCGTATCAGGACACCATCCCCGGCCTGACAGAACTCAAACGCCAACATCCCCGCTCTATCTAACGGAAACCTCAGATTACTTCTCGATCTGGTTATTCAGTCACCATATCATGGGATGGTATCTTTGCGTCCGAACTGTTCGGATCTTACAAACCGTGTGTCTCGATCGCCTTTCCGTATGTTTGTTATCCCCTTGCCTGACATCTGCGCAGGAACAAAAAGGTTTACCAATCTGCAGCATACCACCTTTCTTTACCTCCTCACAAGATAGCAATGGTCGCCACGCACAAGCTCGACCTCATCGCTGCCTCTAGCGTAGGCTTCAATACGATATACGTACCACGCCCTGCTGAAGATTCGCGCGAGGTAAGGGAGAGCATGCGTAGCAAGAAGGACGGCGGTGAGGTGGATCTTGTCGTTAAAGATTTTGAGGAGCTAGCGAGGTTGATACGTGAAGCTCGGTTGGGGCTCGCGTTGGTACATACTATGTAAGTCACCCTTGAGGTATTGGGGAATGATCACTTGCCCATTTGTATCCCAGCGTTACAGAGCAAGCGAAGTGAGGTAACTGAATCGATAATGGTTTTCGGGGCAGCGATGCGAACGAACAGATCATGTTATATCGCGCAAATGCAATTCATAGTCGTCGGAAGGAACCCTACGTGTAAGCTCTCTTCGAGAGTCTTCAGAGATCCTAGACCAATCCAAACAGCTACAATACCTGACAAAGGCGTTACTCCAAAGTTAGTTACTTTTACGGAATTATCACTGACTCCCGAATTCGAATACAAAGGAATGATTATCTTTCTTTCTTCGATTGATCCAACTAGGGAAACCATCCCAACTCAACAAATCGGAGGGCTTATATGCAGGTACGACCTAGACAACTTCTGGCCACTAGCTTGCGTCCACGCTAAATCAATACATCTCCGAATGCTCATATTGGCTCATTCAGCGATGCATCGATTGCGCTCCATGGCTAGTGTGCTTCATTTTATGCGAGGTGTCGCCATTTGGTCTTGGAAGACCCTCTTTCCAAGCACGTTTTCCTCTGCAATATCTTCCTTGCCTGCAAGGCTTACCTCCCTTTCACGCCACTGTAGCTGCGGCGTGCTGATAGACTTTACAAAATATGCATAAGATGCTCGCATCTCCTCGATTGTATGTACTGTAGTTTGTCTAGATGGCATTGTAGTCGCGTTCATATATTGGAGCTGCATTCGTTATTCTTTCACAACCATGCAGCACGGCCAGCTTTACCTTGAAACCAACCCGAACCGTGCTTGCATCTTTGATCACAAGAGGCAGCAAATTCATAATTATGATCGCGAATCACGATGTAAGTAAAAGGAGACTACAAATGTGGAATAAACTTTGTCCAAGCTACTGTATTGTATACGCCAGGAGGCGGTGATTGTAAGTTCATCCATATAGCTGCAAGTAGTATACCGCGTGCGCAACTATATATGCAAACGATAATGTATGAAACAACAAGTATCATAGGCATGTTTGAATCATTCACCCAAATGATGTAGGTCAGCAGTAGAGCAGTAAGTGCCGGTGTAGCTACTATCGCAAGGCAAGCCCCACGGAACATCGCTTGCCGCTGAAAGATAATATTCCAGCCCAGACAATGCATCGCTCCAAACACTGTCCCACTGAAACATCCAATGAGAAGTACATTGATTCGATGACGGCGGACACTGGCCTCGTCATAACCACCTACAGATGGAACCCGACGTGAACGGACAGCCAGGGAGGAATTTGAAAGCCAAATGCCCATAAGATTCAAAGGCATAATAGCACTAGAAATTACAACGTCACCCCAACCACCGGGGTATATCTTACCTATAATGCTAGAATACAGGCGAATTAGAATGATTTCAAGTGAGAATATTGCGACATACTTGTAGGCTAATTTGGTTGGCCGAGAGGCAGTTGCTTTCCAATGAACAGCATGAGGACGTCCTACATCCTTAGGCTTCTTCCACCAAAAGCCATAGGCAATGCAGGTCAGGCCAGCTACAGCCAGGGTGTCGATTTCAAGCAGTGTCATGGGAAGATTCTGAACGTAACGGGTGACAAGCTGGAGGATGAACCATCCAAGCTGAATAATGGCGATGCCTTTGGATAATGCATCACCCTTACTTCGATCTTCTAGGTCTGCCTCCACGATGTCAGGCATTTCCACAGAGCCCTCACGAACAAAGCCTAAAAGTTCGTCGGGTGTAAGAGTGGCTCGCGGCTTGTCATTGACGTAGAGCATGAATCCACCCATCCACGCGAAAAAACCATGTGTTACAGTCCATTCTGTGAAACATCCATTGAACGAGGTTAGTCACTGTACTGACATACTGAGCAGGCAACCAACCTCTAAATTTACGGCTTGAAATATGCGGAGCGCTCGGAATTTGAGTGTTGCTTCCATCTGAGGTTGGAAATTCATTAAGCAATGTAGCTGCGCTCTCTCCTATATCTGGGTGGTCACTGCGGGCTTGGTGAAGCTGCGTACCAAAGGCATCATTGAAGGCCTTTGCAGCGTCACGAGCACTTAGAAACTGTAGTGTGGCCCAGGTGATCATGAGTTCTGGGGCAATTAGCGCCACCAGCATGATGCCTAGGTGACGAGATAAAACAGTGAATTTCCCCTCGCGCATACCTGGGATATTTGGGTGGATTGCGGTCCATGTGCATGCAAATAGAGTCGCAGCGCAACTCCAGATGATATCCCATGAAGTTCTGATGCTGTTGCTGGATGGACAGTCACTGACGTCGAGTGTAGTGACATTGGTGCCATTGGGGCTCGGGAGTGAGGAGAAAACAAACGGGATGTGTAAGAGTAATATGATGGCCAACTTGAGGGGTAAGAAGGTCATGATGAAGTTGAGGGCATACGTCTGCTCAATCTGCTCCTCTTTTTAACAGTGCGATCGCACGTATGTCTCGGCTACGATAGGTCCATAGCCAGCACCGTAACTAGTACAAGAAATCCAGGATGGTACACGTCAATCCCACGTGAATTGAAGTTCCCTGTGCAAGATTGAATAGTCTAGGGTCCTCCATGGGCGTTCATCTCAGAAAGCTGAACAGATACAAGAAGAAAAACATGATCATGATGCGCTTCTTCGTTAGTATGAACAACCTTCATATGACATAATGAGGTTACCGGTTGACCAGTGACCGTTGGTTGTTGCTTTAAATTCTCATGTCATTTCATTTCACTAATAAATGCATTATATCTTTTCTTCATTTCCCCCTGAAAATAAGCACAGCATGTCTCGATGGCTTTTGACATGGGACAATGCACATCAGCGAAAGACCCACTTTTCTCGCTTGTCAAAAAGAAGTTTGATGCTTATGATGAGCTTACGGCGCTGGTGATGGAGCAATGCGATTGGTGGAACAGACTTTTCTGTCATTTGTTATAAACAGAAACTTTACTTGTTCGGACATAAAATTTGGGTCAGTATGCATGCAGTATGGCTTATTTTGCTTTTGTCATCTCGCCGTCTGCCAAAATGTGTTGTTGTTCCAATGTCAAAATTCGAAGTAAAAATCCTCAATCTTCCTCAAGGCAAAATTCCGACACTGCCGATGTGTGAAGGTCGCTGTAATGGTTCTTTTTTGCAAGCTCACCGGTTCCGGTTTGACTTTTAACTTGCTTTCTTAACTTGCCTTTCCCACATTCTGAAGCTTGAAGACTGCAGTGACCCGGACCCAGATCTCAGTGCCACATGATTCGCGACGTGTAATTGTTGCAATACTGAGATAAGTAAGAGCTAGTTCAGAGCCTGTTGGAGGGTCAGTATCACGCGTTCAACTGAGCAAGAAGTTCTTCAATTAATAATTTCCTTCTCTCTCAAGAGGTACGCATTCCAACTTCTCATCCAAGGACACTCACCGATTGCCTTCTCCGTAGACAGTCTTTAGACGTGGAAGATTTGCCTCATGCTCATATGTAGGATTCTTCCACAAGCTTGTCAAGTCCTTACAGACGTTTGTTCATAACTCCCCTTCAATCATTTCCCCCTCACATATCCACCAACATTGCTCTGCTCGTCACTTCCAATCTGACCGGCTGGACACTGTTGCTGAGCTTGCCCGAGCATCATCGAAGATTCCTCGATGCCAAGAGCAAGTTACATTCGAGTGTCAGATTGACTTCCGATGGCGCAGGTGGCTCCTGAGCCCAATTGATGATGTGGTGTCACAGAGAAGTGGTGGCCTTGGCGAAGTATGGCGAGAAAGGTATGTCCCATACAGATTTACCGAGGGACGGAAGTAAGCGATATGGCAGCACAACAGATGGTTGCTGGAGCCTGGTAACCGCACTGGCCTGTATTTTCTATGTCAACTCCATCGCGGCTTTTTCCAGTGTTCTACCACTTCACACGCACCGCCTCCCTATTCGCGAGTCTCCCGTCATAGCTTGATCACGCTGTAAATCCATGCGCATGAACATGTTCCTGTCAGGTCTTACCTTTTGGCCCATACATGGCACACATGCCAATTCACCTTGTCGTCCATCTTACAGTGTTCGACATTACTCCTTCTTTCGATTATAGTTCTTCAGCCGCTTTTCTCCAGGATTCAGATGATAATTCAATCGATCTCGGCCCTAAACTGAAGTGGTATTGCTGGGTCGTATCAGTTCCTTTCAAAACGATCATCTAATATTGCAAGAAATACAACTACTGGACATTGTTCATTTTGTGGTACGGCTCTAGTTCATTTTGTGTCATGTGACATCATGCTCGATCCATTCTGATTGTGCCACAAGCATGTCAGTTATCCGGATCCTGCGCTGTCCTCTTTCTATACTAGGTGTGTCTAGATCCCGGACCATAGAGCTGCTGTGAAGATTCTCACCGAACGGAGATCTGGATCTCGCCCTCCGTTAGCTCAGCCCGAGGTGCTACATATAGTCATACATTCGTAGATCCAACGGGTTCCTACTTGCGCACTACCCCACAGTACGTCACTCATTCAAGATGCCATCCCATCTCTCACCGGTGCTGTTCGATTCATCAGCTGCTCGTATCAGCATCTTTCAAATGTCGAACTCACTAGGCACTGGATTGTTGGATGACTACATCGGACTCGTAGTGAATCAGAAGGTCAGTCGATACCCCATATTTCGAGTTATACATCCTGATTTGTATATCACATAGCTTCGAACTGAATTATTCGTCTTGTCGTTTTTGCTCAAGGACCAAGTCTATCCTGCTGATCTTTGGGAGCTAGTTGGGGAGCGCAGTATAGAAGCGAAGCAGGAAGAAACATTGCGATTGCATCAGAGCTCCTGTACTGGTGGAGATGACGGAAGTCATGCAATTGTGGAACGACTTCTGATAGAAGAAAGGAAGAAACGGTGTCAAATAGAGGTGTCTTTGTACAGCCAGGCTATCGAACGCCTCGAGCAATATCGGACGCGTGAGTTTCTTTGAATTTTGGATGCGGATGTGTGGTCTAACCTTCTTGCTCTGTAGCATTAACGCACGTCAACGATCCGGCCAAACGTGAGATTATGACACCCTCAGCAATGTCGAAGAAAGAGGTCGCACCTTTGACCTGTTCGATAGCTACGCAAGAGATGTGCGAAGATTGGCTAATGAGGAACGAAGCCCACCTCATACCAGCTGCAGAACCCTTCATTGAAAATTATTCACCTTTGGACGGCTCTACTGTGTCAATACTGGATCAGTTAACCACCGCACAGGAAGAAAAATCAAAATCCGCCATTTTGAACGTGAGTACTGCAATAATCTACTTAGCTGTGCTCATTATCCTTCAGCACATCACCCCCTCGTTACCTCTGTTGAGCACGTGGGTCACCGCTAGAGCCCAAGAAGCCTTATATGTGGCATTCAAAATAGAACTAGCCAGTCAGGCGGAGCTGATGGCAAGGTCATTTGCCAACAAGCGTGACAGCGCTTATATGCGCCCTCTTGAGCGCGATTTGTTCACCTTGCAAGCAAAGATGCGCCGAGCCGAGGCCGAGATAGAATTGTATACGCTTGCGATTGAAAATACCCATGAATTCAATTTCTCTGACAACAGTGGGTACAAATCGGCCATGTTTTCTCTGTCATTACTGATACCGTTCCAGGTTCATCGACGTCCTCTGATCAAAGTATTCCGCTGTCTCTGTCCAAGGAAGTATATCGTCGCCAGGAGGACGACGTCGACGATGATACGGACGAGGACTACCAATTTTGGTAATGTAGGTTTTCATGTAACGGTCCATCCTGTGAAGGTACATATTAATGTTAGTTGCTACTAATCGAAAGGTCGGAGACCTCTGAACTTACCTGCAGGTTGGTGAAAACTTAGACTTGGACTATTCCTCTGATCGTGGGCACCACGGTCTCGGGAATTCATGCATAGAAATCGAATCGAGACAAATAAGTACTGCCTCATAACCCCGTCTTCCAAGGAGAGGCACGAACGTTCAGCTGATGTACGTGATCATTTTGATGAGAGATTGAACCAGGGTAGTAGAAACACATTGACTTACTGTTGACACGGTCTGGATCCGACAGTGCTGATACGGTCACGCTATCATGGAGTTCGTCTATGTACTATATGGCGGAACTCTATCGTAGCGTGTCCGTATGTGAAACACGGTACTGGTATGCACCCTTTGATTCATCACAACGTTCTCCCGAAACCTCATTCATTTTTGGCTTCCATTTATATATATCTTTCCCTGTTCCAGATCTTGCTGACGGAGATCGACTTCTGTTGGGCTTGTGATTTCGCTGGTAATGATGCTTCCCGCTCGTGTCCATGTGCTCATGGTGCGAGGTGTGGACTACAAAAATAACACCTCATGCGGATATCGGCAAACGATTCCACAGCTTTGACGCACCTCAATAGAGCGCGGAAACTGAGGTGTTGCTGTTGAGCATTAGAAAATAACGGCCTGGAAGGAAGCGTCTCGATGGGCACCGATGAACAGTCAATCTGGATCGAGGGACTCTTGGCTTAGAAAAAGAGAGCAGCCCATTGCGCACTAACATACATGCGTACTATCTAGCGTGAGAGGGGTCTACGCCCTGCTGAACAAAACTAGCGACTCTGTCACGTTCGCAGACGAGGGATAACCCGACTCCAGGGCTCTTGGACATGAGAGCACGGAGGACTTGCTGAATTCAGACTCGGTCTGCATCAGAGACACTCTTCATATCCAAGAGAATATAGCTGTAATGTGCTGTCCTGCAGTGTGATCTGGGGTCGGAGGGCTCGTAGCGCACTGAGATGCTAATCATACTGGTGCTAGCAATGAGGCCACAGGTTTAAAAGATTGATTCACGTCCATGTGAAGCAGAGCGTCAACTGGACTTCAAATTCTCTCTGGCTGCTGGAGCTTCAACGGCTGGTCAACAATATATAATTACAGAGTACATTCGTACCGAATCGAGAGACTTGATATCATACAACGAGAGCAACGTACGCAAATACTACTGTCACAACAGATTGGATGAATGTTGGAAGATACAACTTAAGCAGAGCGAGCTCCACTTTCTTCTCTACCACGGAAACCGAGAACTCAGTGGAGGAACCTCCGCCTTCCGTCGGTTCCTCACTCAACTTTGCTTTCCCTGTGTGCTTTGAGCATCAGTGAACAATGTTTAGTAACTCGCGTAACATACTGTGCCTTTATTTTTGTCCGCGTCTTTCTGCTTATTATCATTCTGGGTAGACTATGTTTCAATCAGCCCCACAACATACGGTCTCGAGCGAAAGACGTTTACTTACGGAACCTGATGGAGGCGACCTATTGCCATTGGTGGTTCCATTCAAATCCGGCTTCAGAGTCGGCGCTGGGTCTGATTTCGCCTGCGACTGCGCGCCCTGTCGGTTAGTGGCACGACTCTCGAGATTGAACACATCAATCAAAATCTTGTCCAACTCCTCGTCGCCTGCATCAGCGGAGGTCGGGCTACGACACCCGCTCTCCGCTGCGCTCCTGATCGCACGCTCGCGAGCCTCGTGTATCCCGAGGATAGTGGGCATCTTTAGCCGTGCTACCCTCCTCGGCGGACATCCGGCTCGCCCGCTTGCACAGGAGCTTATATGCAGGCAAGAGAAGGGATTTGTCGATGTTGTATCTGTCGTACGTGGTAATTTTTTCAATAGGTTCGATTTCGAGGTTCTGGAGCTCATCGACAGCAAGTTTCTTCATTTCTGGGAATTGCCAGATTGTCGAGAGCTCCAGTATAGTAAGCCAATGATCCTTCGGTTTGCTTTCGCGCCTGTACGAGCTGTGACAGGGATCAATTACGATGCCGGCAAGATATAATAATTTGAATTATTTCTTACGGACTATACCAGACCCATAAGAAGTTCGCGAAGTCAGTGGCGTTTACCCGATCAAGTCGAAACGCAGTGGAATCGGAAGTTCCCTCCTTGGGAGCCTTCGCAAATTCCTTGGCGAAAAATTGCGACTCGCGCTCAAAGAAGTGTCTGTGCACGCAAAAGAGAGTGCCTTGGACCTGCTCGCATGTGGCGATCAGCACGAGTGGGACATGTGAAAGTTGTGGCGTACGTGGAAGGTGATATCACCGTCTTTAAGATAGTATTCGGGGTGGTGGTGCATTGGAGACACGCCGTTCTGAGAGCCGTGTGCCATGGTTGATATGAGAGCCGTGTGCGAGGATGGTTTCAAAGCTGACCGTAGTTCGCGGAAACGACGCAGCCATTTTATGCGCAACTCGAGCGCTGGGTCACAATAGCACTGTGATTCGTAAAGGTATCCCGGGACGACCATGCGCCACCTCACGTAATCCTAGGATTTAGAAGCCTCGTGTTCGTTGATTCGGGCAAGTGTACTTGAGAAGGGAAGGCGAATTATGACCCATTCCGCAGCCAGGACAATCATTGGAGCCTGATACCACAATAGCACAGCATTTCAAGCGGATCCAATACACATGACACCCACAAATCGAAGCTTGATACATCAAAGATAAGACAGCTCGAACACAAGACGGTCATATGCGCTCCAAATCCAATTGCTGCGGAGAACTAGAACCACTGCTCCGAAGAGACAAGCTGATTGTTTTTCCATGACAAACTCGTGATATGAATGTCGTAAGATGCGAGTCAGAAATACAGTGAGTATGCATGTGTCCTGTTCAATCTTCTGCGAACAGCACCATATGCATACTCGCTACCGCAGGCAGGCATAACATGGAGAAACAGACCAGCAAAGAGGATCTGCATCGCTGACACTCTAAAGCTGAGACCATCAAGCGCATTGAATGCGGTTCAAGCTGCGTTGTGGAAGGCATAGCTTATCGTCCAAGTGAGGAGCTCCTTGTGTCTATCAAACCACCATTATTATATCGCCCTCTGGTACACACAAGGAGCTCGGGCGTGAAAATATGACTAAAGTCGTTGTTGAGTCGTTGAGTGTACTGGTGAGACGGAACATGAGAGGAAATATTGAAAACGGTACAGTACCACCGGCAACGCCCGAAAGACTTGCTTATACAGCACCTTTCTTGGGACTATAGACACGCTTGAATCATTGATTGCCTTCTAACGTGCCTTCGCTCTTGTTGAATGTTCGTGCTGGATCGACGCGTCTCTGAATTTCCTTATACAAGCCACTGCACACGGTTCGCAATACGGATGTCCTCAGAATATCGCCCCAAGCTGCATTTGAGATTTCCATTTGACCGCCTTGTTGACCTCTCCACGTCTTCTGCGGCTCTGGTTATTCAACCAGACAGCTTCGGTCTATGTGCTGGCGCTTCGATAGACTGTATTGTGCAGAGCACATAATGATCAAAATTTCAGAAACTAAGGTATCGTGCAAAGAGGATACGTATGTGACTACCATTGTGTGATGGACTCGGAAGGGACAAATAGACCAGCGCGCGCTTCGCTCTCCGCTCTGTTACGAATTTCGTCTAGCGGGCAGTCAAGCAACCCTCGTCATTCGTCAATTCGTCTCTCACCATTTTTTCCCCTGCATTTCTCCGGCGTCAGCGGATTACGTTCAGTGAGTCGGATTACATACCGGTCCTGTATTTTTATTGGCGTCTTTCTGCTGCTTATTATCATTTTGAGAGGACTGTCTTCAATCAGCCACACAACATACTCGACCAAGCCTGAAGAATTTACTTACCGAACCCGATGAAGACGACTTATTGGCTCCATTCACATTTGGAGTCGGGTCGGAGTCTTGACGATTGGCACCGGGTCTGATTTTACCGGCGGCTGCGCGCCCTGTCGGTTAGCGGTGGGTCCTTTGAGACTAAATACATCAATCAAGATCCTCTCCAACTCCTCATCGTCTGCATCAGCGGAGGTCGGGCTACGGCACCCACCCTCCGCTGCGCTCCTGATCGCACGCTCGCGAGCTTCTTGTATCCCGAGGACAGTGTGCAATTTGAGTTGCTCACCCTCCTCGATGGACATTCGGCCCACCCGCTTGCACAGGAGCTTATATGCAGGCAAGAGAAGGGATTTATCGATTTGGTATCTGTCGTACGTAGTGATTTTTTCGACGGGTTCTATGTCGAATTTCTGGAGCTCATCGATGGCTAGCTTCTTCATTTCTGGGAACTGCCAGACGGTTGAGAGTTCCAGTATGGTAAGCCAATGATCTTTTGGCTTGCTTCCGCGCCTGTACGAGCTGTGTCCAGTGATCAATTACGATGCCTGCGGGATGTAATAACTTAAATTAATGCTTACGGACTATACCAGACCCATAAGAAATTCGCGAAGTCGGCGATGGTTACTTTATCGAGTCGAAACGCGGTGGAATCAGAGGTTCCCTCCCTGGGAGCCTTTGCAAATTCCTTTACGAAAAATTGTGATTCGCATTCGAAAAAGTGCCTGTGAACGCGGAAGAGTGTATCTTCGACCTGCTCCCATGTGGCGATCAGCGCGAGCGAGACATAAAATAGGTGTGGCGTACGATAAAAGTGATATTGCCATCTTTCAGATAATATTCTGGATGGTGGTGTACCGGGGAAACCCCGTTGTGAGAACTGTGTGCCATTGGTTGATATAAGTGTAGATATGATGGAGGGTGGTTTCAGAATTGGTCTGAGTTCGCGGTCACGACGCGGCCATTTTATGTGCGACTCTGGCGCTTGAGGAACCAAACAGCCACTATGATTCGTTCGAATATATCCAAGGACGATCCGCTAGAACACGCGCTAACTCCCGTGATCCTAGATTTTGGAAGCCTCGTGTTCGTCGATTAAGAGAAGCTTTGGGAAGAAAAGTTGACTTTTGACCATGCCATGGGATGAAGTTCGAGCCTGATACAATAATCGCACAGCATTTTACGCGAATCCGGTGCATACGACGCCTACAAATCGAAGTCTGATGACTTAAAGATAAGACAGCCTGAACACGAGGCAATCAGGTGTGTTCTTATCCATTCAATTGCTGCGGGAACTAGGACTGTTGCCTAGAAGAGACTGCGCCCATACATTTGTTACTATGTCGTAAGAGACGAGTCAGAAATACAGCAACTATGCATGTGCATCCCATGTTCCACATTTCAGAACAGAGCTCCACATACATAATCGCTGCTTCGATTAGGTACTACAGGGACAACACGCGGAGAAAAGATAAAGAGAAGAAAGCCTGGCGCTCTGAAACTGAGAGCATAGGATTCAAGTGAAAGGCCAGAAGAGAGCGTTTGCATTGCTAGTAGCAGAAGCCGCGGCCTTGTCATCCAAGTCACAAGAGAGGAGCTGTTAACGTTGTGAGCGACGATCAGAACAAGGTCAGATGAGAGTTCAAGCTCAAGATCACCGGCAACACCCGAATTCTTACACAGCACTTCCACTTGTTCTCGTCTTTGACTCCTTACATAATTACACGACACCGATGTCCTCGTATTATTATCTCCTTCATGAGCATTTGCAAGATTTCCACGTGGCCAACATGCATCGCAGTCTTCTGCAGCTTCGCTTCCGACGCGAATATTGTCGGCTGATTAGCACACCTTATTATTCAACAATTTGCCACGCTCGCTGCTGGTGATGGATCTAACAACGCTGTCCCTGTATTTTGCTTGTAATCGACTCACAACCCCCCGCCAGTTAGCTCACCACTACACTTGCTTTCGACACATTGTATTTTGTGAGATGCGCCTTCGCGTTAACGCGTTTCCCGAACGTGCTCGGCAGTAGACACAGTGTGGCGAATATCTTTGCAAAGCACGTTGTTGCCTTCTATCTAGTAGTGTTCTCATCGTTCACCTATGTTATCATTAATAGCCCTGAGAACAAAATACGAAGATACCTGTGGCATAGCCGCTTTCGTTGGATTGTGTGGTGCGTTTTCTGTTGCATTTCGGGATGTGTACATCTAAAGTAGAGATACCCAGCACCCAAAAGCTGTTCAAATCATCTGCAAACCTCACGAAGGCGTGCATAGGTGTTCAGCCATCTCCAGGAGTACTGCCGGAGCGCCTCTAGCGAGTAATGAGGCGCATATATCCTTTATGAATGTCCAAAATACCACGCATACATCCTAATTTCCATGATACAGCGCATATATACAACCATTTAACGCACCCTTCAGCGTATATGCGCACAATATCCCGCTAGTTTTCACTCATAGAGCATCCAACCACTAAATTGACAATGCAGGCACATCCACATCTTGTCGAAGCTCCAACGGCTGGCGTATGTACTCAATCAAAGGACAGAACAAACGATGTTCAGGAGCCTCGGTCCCAAGGAAGAACACGTCAAATCGACACACGTACGTGCGAGGGTTGGCCAGGCTCCCATTGCATCGACAGCCATACGCTGCGTACTGCAAAGAATCGCATGGATGTGCATATTGTCTTCTGTGGTGATGGTGGAGCCATCCAAGATACGTATGTTTCATTGTCATATTTCAAAGTGGATGATACGAACACAAACATTGACTTGGTTCTTCCATTTCTACAGCAAACGCGAGATCACTGTAAATGGCCACGTCGTCCCAGGCTAACGCTCACCAGTTACCAACGTGCAATAGAATGGTTGCCAACATTCCGACACGAGCCATTCTGAACCCCACACGGACTGGGAATGTATCTGTAATTGGAGTACTGCATGGATGACTATGTAAAGGTTGTATTACATTCTAGGCACAATGATACATCCAATTGTTGAACCCTCATCTTCAGGTGTCCGTCACGCATCCTCAGTTTGGCTATTGAGCCACACACGAATGTATATAGCCTGGCCATGTACCTCGGATTCGATAGCAGAATCACACCCATTTTTTTCTCCGCTCCAAGCATGTCTAATATCCTCAGAAAGTCCTCGTCTCACGTCGTAACTTCAACTCAGTGCATTCAGGCGTCTTTACTCTGCTTACTTGTATCGATCATCATTCTCAGCTGAACTCATTGCCAGCCTTACAACAAGATGGTCTTGTAACCATTGATTCAACCTTTCATGTTTGTGGCTGGATCGAAGATGGCATACCATGTAGTCGAACCATTTCGGATTACAAGCCAGGTTCTATTTACACCAAAACCAACAAATGCGCAAATACTTCATTCACGTTGCAGCATAGCCTCCAATTAACAGCGAACTGCATATTATTCGATCAACAACAATATCAATGAGAAAGCAGAAACATAACTCACCAATGTGGTGCTACGCAGGAATTTACCGGCCTCCTCTTGAAGGCTCATCGCCGGGATTATAGCAGATTTGAGCACCAGTTGGCTGATATCACAAGACGCAAAGAGTCGGTCATCAGGTGAAAATTTGATGCAATGCAAACTACTACTACTTACAATGAGAGCGCAGGTACTCTCTTTATTGCAGCAGTCACCGTCACTGGTGCAACTTTCGCCGTCTGGCTGACACGCATTGACAGACATTATAGATGCTGTCAGCGCAACAATAACGGTGAGGAAGGCGAAATGCATTGTTTGTGCGAGGTGGTATGAACTGCTGAGCCTTGAGGTGGAATGGACGGTAGGAGATGACTTACTTTTATACTGTCGCGAAAAGCAACGCTTAGTGTTTTGACCAGGACTCTGTTTGGCGGAATAGTTTACGCAGAACCCCTTGCGGTTATTTCGTGAGAAATTGAGCTAGTGACTCCTGCTCACTGCCAGCAGAACTTTTACGCGTCGCATATCACAACTTTATTTGCAAGTGGGGCCTACAGGAACATTGTAGCTCCACAGCTACTCTCATGTCGATGAACAGATATTACCTGTAGAGATGGGAAAACAGAGACACGCACCTGCTTCACTCATTTGCTTGTGCAGTTGGAAAAATGGAAAAGAAGCGAACTCACTAGGACATTAGTTTTTGATGTTTAGATTTGACTTCGGTGTTTTTTTTGAAGTACTGGCCCGAGCGCGGGCATACCCCAGTTTCTAAATTCACGCGAGGACGACTTAGCCAGGTTCTAACTATGGCTGCATTTGCGTATGTTCACGCTGGGTCAACGCATCGTCGAATGAGCACGACTATTATACTTCATTTCATGTGAAGTATCACCATGTTGACATCATCGGTGACGATTTCCCAAGCGCATCCATCTTTGGAGGATATGCCTTCTTCACACATCTTCCCTTCCCGCGAGCCTCCGAGTTTCCTTTCGAACCACTGCAGCTGCAGGGTCAGACTGATAGACTTTGCTAAAGGTAATAAGTATATTGGTGTGATGTTCACATGTGTTCGTAAACTCTTCAGGACTGTTCTTTTTGCATGTACATGTCACTGACATACGAGTACACTACTATATTTTATCGTAGTCACATTTCGATGGCAAAGTTCGTGTTCACTGATATTCATTTCGCAAACCTATGACTGGGGAACATATGGTAGCTCGAACTTACCCGAGTCATATTTTAACAGCGATCCATCAAGTAGGTTATCATGCCCAGTTACATCAATCATGTAATGAAACTACAAATGTGGGATGAACCCGGTCCAAGCTACTGTATCGTATATGCCAGTAGGTGGTGATTGTAAGCTCAGAAGTATGAGTACAATTAACGTAACACGTGCCATGATATATATGAGAGAGACTATTTGTGCAGAAGAAAAACCAAATATTACTAACCAAAACTTCCCGCGATGCATGAATGCCAGGGTATTCAGCAAAAAAAACACCGGTACACATATCAGCACAAGGGAGGTTGCGCGCCATAATATGTGCTCTGCGTGGCTGTGAAAAAAGTAATTCCAACCGAGACAGTGTATCCCTCCGAACACCACACCACCGAAACATCCAATGAGAAGTATGATCTCACCATCACGATACCTAGTCAGTAGCCCCCTCGAACCGCTGTAGTGTCCAAAACCGTCACGGTAGCCACCTAGAGACGGAACACGACGAGAACGGATAGCACGGTGGGAAGGTGTTGCCATAATGCCCATAAGACACAAAAAGGGATAGGCAATACGTCTCCTAATCCGCCTATAGTATGACTCAGAGGGACGGCTTATGTCGATGGTTGAGGAATCATCATCAAGAAAGTCTCTATTGCCAGAATGCAAATGAATCAAAACAATTTCAGGCAACGATATTGACAACGTACCCATAGGCTAACTGGCCTGGCAGAGCCGTGGCTGCTTTCAGATGAACAACATAAGGACATCCTACATCCTTAGGTTTCTTCCACCACAAAGCATAAGAAATGCAGGTAAGGGCAGCTACGGCCAAGGTGTCAATTTCAAGTAGGGTTATCGGAAGGCTCTGGATGTAACGGGCAACAAGCTGGGCGACGAACCACACCAACTGAAGAACGGCGATGCCTTTGGACAGTCCATCACCCTTACTTCGATCTTCTATCTCTGCCTTTGTGATGGCAGGAAAGTCCACAAATCCCTTACAGACGAGCTTCAGGAGTTTATCGGGAGTAAGGGTAGCTCGCGGCTCGCCATTGACGTAGAGCATAAATCCACCCATCCATGCGAAGAACCCATGGGTTATTGTCCATCCTACGAAGGGATTGATTACATGTTAGTCCTGCCTAATTGAAGAGTCCAAGCATCAACTGACGTTTAAACTCTGCATATCTAGGGACGCCTGAACTTCTACTTGCTTCTGAAACGTCACTGACTAAAGTGGCTGGGCTCTTTGATATATCTCGATCATCGCCGTGGGTCGTGGCACTTTGTGCACTAAACGCATCATTAAAGTCCTCTGAAGTTTCACGAGGGATGAAAGACTGCTGCGTGGCCCATGTAATCATGAGTTCTGGGGCAATCAACGCTATGACCATTACTAACCGTCGTAGATATAGTTCTATCATCGTCGTAGGTCGCGTAAGGTAAAATTATGAATTCTTGATGCGCACTGGCATTAAAGTCCTTTGCAACATCACGAGCGCTGAAAAACTGCCGCGTGGCCCACGTGATCATGAGTTCTGGGGCGATCAACGCTATAACCATGATGAATAGACGACGGGAGGTAATAGCCACTTTGCCCTCGTCCATACCCGGGATGTTCGGATGGATGGCAGTCCATGTGCACGCAAACAAAGTTAAGCCACAGCTCAAGAGAATATCCCATAAGGTTCTGGTGTTGCAGGATGGACAGTTGCTAGCATCGAGTGCATGGGTACTGGTATCATTGAGACTGGGGAGTGAAGCGCACACAAACGGAACAGATAAGAGGATAGCGCAAGGTAGGAGGGTCATCATGATGGTAAAGTTGAGGACATGGCGTCTGTTCATCCTGCTCCCCCAGGCTTTAAGGGCCTGCTGGGTTCAAGCGCTGATGCTGTACCACATTCACTGATGGCAGTGAAATTGCAAACAGGATTGCACTGCCGAGTGCCAGGCGCTCCCTGGCACGAGTGATTAATTGATTCATGAAGTGGTGAAGGCCGCACCAAGACCGTAGTTGGGATGATCAAGTACGGGTGTGGCAGACTCGGACAAGCCGTAGACTAACAATAGACGAAGGGCATTAGGAAAATAGTCATTCCTATCAGTTCCGATGAACTTAGATGTGGAATTTGGCCGCTCTTGCTCACTTCCAATAATTTTGGTTGCGACAGCTCCCCGCAGTCTCTTTATGATTCTTGAGGCGACGACATCAGTGAGTCGCGGTGACATTGGGGAAATAAGGGTTAGGTGGCGGGAATGTATCACAGGCAGGGATGCTCCTAGTCTGGCCTGCGACATCTTGAGGAGAGGTGAGTCCGCCTGCATAATCCACTCGGATGCTTGAAACTGGTTCGGAAGAAACTAATCAAAGCAATACAGCATCTCAAAGCCCGAGCGCATAATGGTCGTAATGGCAGAGTGAAAGAAGTTGAAAGTTGTGCCCCCACGTTCAGAATCATGATGGTTCTTCAAGGGATTAATTCAACCTTACTCATTTTCTCACTCTGATGTTGAATGCAGGGAACTGCTACGAAGATTCACTATGAGTGACATGCGTCGTCGGCTGGAATGCACTCTTCGTTGATGAAGTTGTCCTCTTAAACTCCTATTTGTTTTTGAATCTCCCTCGCTGCTCCAGATCCCGCAGAAGGAGATCGGGTAGATGTTTTCTGAGTGCTAATTGCTTCGGTAATCAGTAATGACACAAAATGTCTGGGCTTGTGATGCTATCGTACATGCATGTGCAATGTGAAGTGACGGTGAGACGTATCAGCGACATACAATTGATTTGGACTGGCAGTGGATCGTACCTTCATCGTGGTTGACGTTGCAGACAGGACATCATTTCCCAGCGCTCCCTATTATGCACGCGGTCTGAAGCCGTTAATGAATGTATCTCAGGTAAATTGCAATTTCAATACTGGTGAAGGCGGAATGCCCTGGAATCATCTAACAGTGCGCCTTTTCAAACTCCTTGATGAAAAAATGCGACTCGCGCCCGGAGTCGAAAGTGTCTGTGAATGCGAAAGAGTGTCTTCCACCTGCTCGCATACAATGATCAGCGCGAACCAAACCTAAATACGAAGAAAGCAACAATCGAGATGATACTCTGGATGATAGAGTGCTCGGAAATTCTCCACCATCCTGAGACCATTTGCCATGATTAATACAAGAGCAGAAAATCCTTGTGTGCGAGGATGATTTCAAAAGCGGCCGAATCTGGCGTAAACACGTTAAGAGATGTTCAGGGTGATCAGCTAGAACATGTACTCACTCCCGTAATCCGAGGATTTGGAAGCCTCGTGTTCCTTTGCAAGCACGCTTGCCTGAATCAACGAAGGGTAAATTGCTAACCATTTCGTTGCCAGGAGTGGAGCCTGGTGGAACAGTATTTCACGTGAATACCAAGAAATGTTACGATATGAAATTTGTGAGAGGCGACTCGGGCGAGTAGAGATTTAGCGAGTACGCATGTGTATCCTTTTCCACATAATGGGAACGAATTCATATACATACTCGCTGCCTCCATTTGGCATAACATATATATAAACAGATGAGCGAAGAGGATGTGCATCTGCGGCGCTCTAAAGCTGAGAGCATCGGAGGGGAGGAACGAGCATTTTTGCTGAGTAGCAGACTCGAAAGCCGTGCCTTTTGATCGAAGTGATGAGATCGTTGTGTCTACCGGACTACCACAAATGATCATCGTTGTTCGTGTGCGGGTAGAGACAAGGAGTTCGGGCATGAATTCAAAAAACTAGGCACCAGGAGGCAGTGGACAGAAGAGTCTGAAGAACATGAAAGTAAGGTACCGGCAACGCCCGATAGGCTTCTGGTCGGTACTGCGTTGCACGGGAACACCTTCGCATAAGCTCGCGTCGCGAACCTGCTCGACAGCGGGATGCAATTTTCTGCCAGGTAAGTCGTCGTCTTGATGCGCGTGCTTGGCGTGTCATATGTGATGTATTGAAATTAGAAATGTGGAATAAACTGGGTCCAAACTACTGTATCGTATACACCAAAAGGCAGTGATCGGAAGCTCAAGAGCATAAGCAAAATTAGCGTAATGCGTGCAGCAATATATATCAAAGAGCTGATTGTAGCAAATGTGATAATGAAATATCTGTATTCCCTTACATTACGACCCAGCCATATCCCATACTCAAGATCAAGGAAAAGAAGTATCGGCGCACCAGCTATCCCAAGAGAAGCCGCACGCCATAACATGTGTTGCGTGTATGTCTGAAACAAGTAGTTCCAGGCCAGACAATGTATCCCTCCAAACACAATCCCACTGGAACATCCAATGAGAATTACGATCCCGGCGTAGTACTTGCCGTAGCCACCAAGAGATGGAACACGGCGAGAACCGGCAGCACGGGGGGAAATTAAAGGTGCAATGCCCATCAGACTGATAAGAGGATAGATGAGACCGCGAAGACGGCCTCCCCAAAGTCGATTAAGATCTGTCTTGCTGGAATGCAGGCAAATTAGAGCAGTTTTAGGCAAAAACATAGACAACGTACTCGTATGTCAATCCGTTTAGCTGATCTGCTGGTCTCTTCCAATGAACAACATAAGGACATCTCACGTCCTTGGGCTTCTTCCACCACAAGCCGTACGAAATACAGGTCAGCGCAGTTACAGCCAGTGTATCGATTTCGAGCAGGGTTATCGGAAGGTTCTGAACGTATCGGGCGAAAAGTTGGACGACGAACCACACCAGCTGAAGAATGGCGAAGCCTTTCGACAGTCCATCACCCTTACTTCGATCTTCTACCTCTGCCTCCGAGATGAGAGGCATGTCCACGGATCCCTCATCAACGAATTGCAGAAGGTCATCGGGTGTAAGAGTGCCTCGTGGCTCGTCATTGACGTAGAGCATGAATCCACCCATCCACGCGAAGAAACCATGCGTCACTGTCCATCCTATGAAGTTTCATGTTAGCCCTGCCCGACCGAAGAGTACGAGCATGTAACTAACCCTCAAACTCTGTCACAGGTCTGGATCCACGCTTCCACGTGAAGAATCCATGATCCATTGTCAATCCTATGAAAGCAATAGTTGCATGTCAGTTCCTGGCTGACAGAAGAGTCTGAGTATTAACAAACTTCTGAAATTTGAGGGTTTGGGAGAATTCGGACTTCCACTTCCTTCTGGAATGTCACGATGCGATGTAGCTGTCATCCCTGATATATCTCGACGGTCACTGTAGGCTTTGGTAGGTTGTGCACTAAACCTATCATTGAAGTCCTTTGCAGCTGCACGAGCGCTGAAGAACTGTCGCGTGGCCCAGGTAATCATGAGTTCTGGGGCGATCAACGCCATAACCATAATGAACAAACGACGAGAGGTAATGGCGGCTCTGCCTTCGTTCATACCCGGAATGTTCGGGTGGACGGCAGACCATGTGCATGCAAACAAAGTCCAGCCACAGCTCAAGATAATGCTCCATAAGGTTCTGTTGTTGTTGCTGGATGCAGGGTCGCTGTCATTGAGTGTATAGATACAAGTATCGTTGAGACTCTGAAGTGAAGCACAAACAAACGGGACGCAGAAGAGGATAGCCCACAGTGAGAGGACCATGGTCAAGTCGAGGGCAAAGCGTCTGTCTATTCAGATCTCTTTTGAAGGTGTTGCCGTTTGTATGAATAAGCTGCGTTCAAGCGCTGACGCTCATACATGCCTCGAGGGTACCCCAATCACCGACAGCCGGGGTAATCTAGTTATCAATAGGGTCATCATGATGGTACACGTTCAATGTCGTAAGTCTGACAATGAGACGTGAGGCATGCACTGCTTGGACAGTATCATCATTCTCTGTGCGTCTATACATTTCGATCAATCTTCGTGACCAGAAAGAAATCAGACGTAGCCCACGTATCTGACCCATACAAATAGTCGAGAGGGAATACTAGTAGCGTTGAAACACTAGTGTATGGTGAACATGGAGGATGGAAACGGGGTGTGATCGTTCAAATAGACGCTAGCGCCACTTAAAGAACACGAGGGCCACGTTCAGGCTGGAGCGCACATGACTTGAAACTTTGAAGTCTTGATTAATAAAATTTTCAGGTACAGAAGAAGAGAGCAACCACTATTGGTTTATAGCGTGCACTTGGGCTGGAGTGCTTGCAGCCTGAGCGCACTGGCATGCATCCTGGTATGAGAAGTTTGAGCTGAGTCGCAGAAGCCATAGGCTTTGAAGCGCTCATTGTCCAAATTTGAAGCGCCCTGTGCCTACCGAACCGCCAAGAATGCGTTTCATCGAAATCCAAGCTGGCCTATAACTAATCAAGAAGTTGGCCGGACGAGACGGAGTATTCAGAAGAACAGCAGCACTGGCAACAAGCACTGCGTCGCATCTTAGTCAGCAATTAGTTCGCTTCTTGTAAGTTAGCCATCATTTCCTCATACACGCCTGGGTTTAAGTTTGTGGCATTTTCAACAAGCGCCTTCGTTCGAAGGAGGCTCCGTGCTTGATCTTGTAACTCATGTCACATCATTCAGTCGGGCCGGCAGGTCGAACAATAATACCTCTGCTTTGAAGAGGGCTATCTTGAAGGAGCAGAAGACCCTTTGATTCGATGATATCGCCCAAGATCTAGCACGTTGATGGCTGGCGCTGGTATAATTTCATATCTGAAAGGTCTATTTCGAGGCGGAGAAACTGATGATTTATATCCAAGATCTTATTGAGCTCCCACTCGACGATTGAACAGGACAGACAAGGAAAATGATACGAATGACTGCTCGTCTTGTCAGTCGAACGAGTAATGGACCGTGTGAAATGTGGACGGTTGATATAATTCAACCGCCATATCAACTGTGCATCCTTTAGCTGACACGGATTTGATTCATGGCGGACTCATGGCTCTGTTTACACCAAGAGTACAAAGTACGCAAACACTTCATTCACTCGACATATCTGCTTCAGCTTGATATCCACTCCACCCACTTCTCAACTAACACCGTCCACGAATCGTTCGATCAACAACAGCACCATCAATGCGACAGTAGACACTGACTCACCAGTGTTTAGTTATGGCAGACTTTGTTACCGCGTGTCTGATATTGTAAGGTGCAAAAGGTGCGTCATCAGGTGAAAATTCGATGCCAAAGTAAACTATTCCTACTCACAAGACTGAGGCATACCAAGCCCATACAGCAGCCATTTATTGTTTTGCAACTCTGGAGCGCGCTTTGACACTGCACTGACAAACATTATAGATGCCGCCGAATCAACAATAACGGTGAGGAAGGAGAAAGACATTATTTGTTTGTGGTGGTATGAACTGCTGAGGTGCTTGAAGTCTCTTTGAGAGTGCACGGTGGGAAGATGACTTACTTTTATTCTGTCGTGCCTGTTGACGCTTAGTGTTGTAGACTTGGTAGAATTGATTTGCCTTGCGTGTGATCCTGGGCAGCGGGTGTTTAGGCAGATCCATGCGCTGAGTTGGTGACTCCTGATCTGAATCTCTACTTGTAGAGCTAGACAAACAAAGTGCGCATCTCGCTCCTGCTGTCGGGGTGCTTGTGTCACGCTGCCTCTCCTTTGCTATTCAGCACTTCGAGCTTGAGGGCTCTCCTCAGCCATGGAGGCGGTTTTCGAAAATGTTGGTAATTTGGTGAGTCGATCAGTCTGCACGACGCGAGTTTGGGTGAGACCTATGACATCTGATCATTGATTAATTAATGCACACCAGTCGCCCATGCTACTCGTTTATTGTTGCTGAGGAGGCGACTTTCTTGGCATTCCTTAACGCAGCTCCGAGGACAAACAAAACGGGTGAGTGGAACCTGGTCTATTGACCATTCGATGCGAAACAACTTGACGTTGTAGCGTGCAGCATGGTTAGTCACTTACTTATTTTTTGGGACAGTTCGAACTTCGCTCATGTTCAAGGTACTACTCTATATCATAGCGTTTGCTCCATTCGCTGAGTTCACTCCTGCTCTAATAGCCTATACATATTTAGCAGAAGCAAAATTATGTCCTCCTATAGTTCCCACAGCTACCATGTCAAGAACTCGGCGGGTAGTACTGGCAGACTCTGATACCCGGCGACTGATATTACAAAGCGCAAAAGGTGAGTGATCAGGTGAAGATTCGATACGAAGCAAAGTACTCCTACTCACAATTGTTGTGCATCCCAAGTAGTCGCCTGGACAGCAGTCTTCTGTTGTTTGACAAAGCTGGTTCTGTGATACACATGCACTGACAGACATGATAGATGTCGCCGAAGCAACAATGATGGCGAAGAAGGAGAAACGCATTTTTTTTGTGTGAGGTGTGAACTGCTGAGGTGCTTGAGTAGTCTGTTTGAGATGGGGTGGACGGTAGGAAGATGACTTGCTTTTATCTGTCGTGACGTTATACCGTCCGCGCGGTAGTCGATGTTTAGTGCTGTAGACTTGCCAGCAAAATGAGCTGACCTCGCGTGTGATACTAGCCCCAGCAGGCATTTAGGCAGAACTTATCCCTTCCATTATTACGTGGTACGTTGAGTTGGCAACTCCTAACCTGAACATCCTTCACACATTTCCTCGAGCTTGAGGCCATGGCGGCGGTTTTCCAAAATGTTGGTAAGTTAGTGAGTTGATCAGTCTGCACGACACGAGTCCAGGCAGGACCTCCATCCCGTCATTAATGTAGAAGAACAGAAGCTCTGTTCAGTCGGTTCGAGCTTGCAAGTTTACCCTGTATCCACCTAGCCATGTGGCAGCTTTCAAGCGCGTTGGTAATTTTGTTAGTTGAGCCCGACCTCTGTGGCAGTTTCTTTGACAATGGGGTTCACACTTTTCTTTGGCATCAAGTTTGCGCTGATATGTATTCATGTCTTCCATATCAAGTAAGAGAACCCACTGGTCTCGTTGAGGGACAAACTTGAAGGATAAACTTGACGGTTAAACGAGACTGGTACACAAAATAGATTGGACGGTTGCATGGCTTGTCGAGTGCACGAATAATAAACGGTGAAAAGCAGACAGTTGTGCCGTCTGCATACGACGCATATTTGATTTATGGCTGACCCATGGTCTGTTTACTACGCCAATAAATAAAAATTAGTACTTTGTGTGCAAACACTTCAGCAGCGTCCTACATATCCGACGGCTACGACGTCAAGGTTTACCGATGTCGTTCAATCAACAACAGCGTCAGTGCAAAAGTGGATACTTGAGTCTCAATTGTGAGTCATCAGGTGAAAATTCGATGCAAAGAAAACTACTCCTACTCACAAGTTCTACACAGTTCAAGCCTAATCCTGGACAGCAGTCTGCTGTTGATTGACAAGTCTGGAGGTCTTTTGACATGCACTGGTAGACATGATAGATGCCGCACATGACCTATCGGTGCAAAAGTGGGTACTTGAGTCTCTAGTATGTCGCTATGCGTAGACATTCTCATCACCCTCCTAATATTACAAGGTGCAAATGTGAGTCATCAGGTGAAAATTCGATGCAAAGCAAACTACTTCTTCTCACAAGTTCTACACAGTTCAAGCCTAAGCCTGGACAGCAGTCTGCTGTTGATCGACAAGTCTGGAGCTCTTCTTGACATGCACTGTCAGACATGATAGATGCCGCCAAAGCAACAATAACGGCGAAGGAGAAACGCGTTGTTTGTGTGAGGTGATGAGGTGCTCGAATAGTCTGTTTGAGATGAGGTGGACGGTTGAAGATGACTTGCTTTTATACTGTTGCGACAGCTGACGCTTAGTAGGCTCGGCAGAACGGGCTTGCCTTGCGTGTGACATTGGGCAGCAGGTATTTAGGCAGAATTTATCCCCTCCGTTCATTGCGCAATATGGTGGGTTGGTGACTCCTGATCTGAACTTTCTTTCCTTGTAGCCTTAGATAAAAGTGCGCACCTGGGTCCTGTTGTCGGGGTGCTCGCGTTATGCTCCCTCTCTTTTGCTATTCGGCCCTTCGAGCTCAAGCCAGGCTCCCCTCAGCCATGGGGGCGGGTTTCAAGAATGTTGGTAATTTGGTGAGTCGCTCAGTCTGCACGATGAGAATTTAGGAAGAGTCGGTCATTAACGCAGAAGAACAGAAACACGTACACGCTAGTGCTCTATTCAATTGCTTACTATGAAGCCGGACAGCACGACCTGCTGCCACGGTTGATTAAGATTGTTTAATGCCGCTGAGCCTGTGCTATTCAGTCGATTCGAGTTTGAACATTTACCCTGCATTCACTTAGCCATGTGGCAGTTTTCAGGCGTGTTTTGCTAATTGAACTCGACCTCTGGGGCGGTGGGCGACTCATGCTTGTCTTTGGCATTCCTTGGCACAGCTCCATGATGGACAAGCCGAACAGGTGAGTCGGACCTGGTCTATCGATGTGAAAGGTAGTCGATGGCGACCTTGCTCGTATACGTTTTGATATTGTTGGGGTGGTGCTTGTATTTGCATGTTAGTGGACTCTCCAGGTGATGTCGCTGATATTCATCGACTAATAATAATCTAGTGTACAAGAAAGAAGGTACGCCACCGGCAACGCCCGAAAGACTTGATGGTTCCATACTCCCTCGACTGACTTCCATACTGGATCGACGCGTCTTTGAATCACCTTATACGGATGATGTCTGCTCTATTTGCAGTTAGGATTTCTATATGGCTGGCTTATCCTCTGCAGCTTCGCTTCTGTCTGATGATTGTCGAATAGAACGCATGCTAGCTGTGGGGTTCGCATCTGATGTTCTTCCTCTAATCTGTCCTGAATATTTAATATGTCCTCAATTTGTAGCATGATTTTGTCATACAGGGCATATCAGTTTTAGTTATTCAGACAACGTGAACGGGACGGGTTCTGTTTGACGTGCGGCGAAGTATCGTGTGGATGTATTTTTCTTTTCCTTTAGGTTCTCTACTTTGCACTCTCCAGTACCAAGAGTTCTCCTTGTGTCTGTGCTAGCACAACCGCTGGCCCTGATTTGATCCGCCGATGACACCAAACCCGACTTTTGCAACCCTGCGGGCGCTGCACGCGCTCATGGGCGATGCCCTCGACGATATACATCGCATTTTTTCAGATTCCTCTACTCCTCATTCATCCCAATGTTCATCACCGGCGTTTCCAGATTCTCCAGAACCAGTGTCGGTGCCCGCTACGCCCATGTCTTCTACCTTTAGCACGCAGGCCTCTTCCTATGGAACCCCACTCTCACCGTTGTCCAACCTTCAGCACGACTATCCTTCGCCATTTCTTCCATATGTATCGTCATCACCGGCGGAGAAACTCGCTGCCTGCCCAGCCGCAAGCGCTGCAGCTACAAGGATTATTGCTGCTGCTGGCCAAATTACGAGCATCGTACAGAAGCCATTTCTGTTCATGTCCGATGCGAGCATGGTGGTAAGTTTTTTTCGCTCTCCTTTCAATTCGACCACTTTTGTCATTTCTCGTGTCGTTATATACCACGTAATTTCTGATTGCCACCTTCAGTACACCCTTCCAGCATGCTTGCGTCTTATCGAACATTTACACGTCGTTGAGATTCTGCGTGATGCAGAGGACGAACGTCAGCGGCTTCTTTACGAACTCCGTATTATCGCGGAGCTTCAGTCCCAGAGTGAGCCCGTTATGGCTGACCAAATTGCCTTGGGTAACGGATCAAACGTCCCAAATCATAACTCCGTCAAGGGCCTTGCGTCACGCCCAAGCTTTACTCGGGGTACGTGCCTCACTTTCCTCCCTTGGTCGCGGGGTGTACTGATCGCCGTCTGATTCGATTTCAATTTTTCATGCGCCTTCGTATCGTCTGCCCCTGTGATTTCATATCCCCCTTCCCTTCCTTTCTCGCTCCTGTCATGCCTGTCACGTGATAAAATTGTCCAGACGCCCCAACAAAGGCGGAGGAAAAGGCACTCCAGCTAGAGGGCGTACATGTCAAAGACATCTCGCGCATTATCACGGAACGTACGGGCGGCCTTTGTTGTGTGGATTCTGTTCGTTTAGGTGCGTCCGTTCTCCAGTCATTCGATTTTAAGTCTCGTCTGGCTATTCGGACATTCCGAGCTTCTGAACTCGTTATTACTTTAAATTAACGCCGTCCTTGCATTTTCTTCGCCGGTGAAGCGAATCGGCTAACAACTCCTCGGCATTAGCCCACCCTCTGCGCTTGCTTTCAACACATCACATTCTACGTGAAACAGCTCCAGACACCTTTGCACTAACGCGTGTCGCAAGCCTGCTCGACAGCGGCAAGAGCGTGGCAGATGTCTTTGCAAAGTACGTGATCGACTTATATTCTATTCTCTCGTCCATGGCACAAATTTCTATCCATCAATAGTCCTGAGAAAAAATATGAAGACACCTCTGGCATCGCTGCTTTCGTCGGCATGTGGTGCGTTTTCTTTTACTCATCTGGACGTATAGATTTCTAAAGTGAATATCCCCAGCACTGATGAGCTGTTCAAGTCAGCTGCGTACCTCACGGAGGCGTTTACAGGTGTTCAACTTCCTTTAGCTCCTCCAGGGAGTGCTCCCACCAGGCCTGCAGATGGAAATGAAGCGCATATATCCACTCTCAGTGCCCAAAATACAATGGACGATGCGCATATATCTGGCTTTCCGGCTGATAATGCGCACATGTGCAACCCTCTAGCGCAGCCCCAGCCTTTACGCGCCCAAACATTCACTAGCGTACATTCAGGACATTCAACTACTACTTCGTCTACGCAGACACATCGCCATCTCCAAGAAGCTGCGACAGCCACACATGCGCTCAGTCCAGTGGCAGAATCAACCATGTCTCCTCATTTATGGGATGCAACCATGCCTGCGCCCATCGCTGGACCACCTTTGAACATCGGCTCCGGTCTTCTGTCTCCCAAACGCGACACAACGCCCCACACAGAAGCCTCATCTATAAAAACAGCTCTCAAACTCCCCCCGCCAGCCCCGCACCCTTCACCCCTCCACAACACCATCTACAGCAAAAGCGATGTTCCAAACACCACTTCTGCGCTCCTTGTCAAGTGTGCGTCTGATGTGTCGACGCTTACGCTTGCATCTACGAATTCGGCTGTTGTGCCCGAAGGGATGCCACCTGGTAGTAACGTAGGCTTGGGTGCTGAATCGGATAGAAGGAGAGCTGGGTCGGAACTTGATCCTGAGCCCCTTCCAGCATTCAATCTTGCGTTCAACACACCTGTGCCGTTTTTCGAGTGGTTAGAGAACGGGGGATTGGACGCACTTAGTGGGAACGGCGCTGGTGCAGGTTGTTTACCAGCAGGTGCTGTTGGGAATATCGTACCAGCTGAAGATGAGGGTGCACAAACTTACACTGGACATGTGAGGAATTTGAGCACGATGTCCGCACGGAGCGGTGGTGATCCGGGCAAGTCTTTCCGCCTTGAGCGGTTCTCGCAGGCGATGATTGGTACGAGTGGGTGGGAGGCGCCTGGAGCCATTCTAACTGGTATGTTGCTGTTCCGTTTGCCTGTATGTCTGTGTTGTTGCATAACTCTGACACTTGTAACTCCAGGTTTCGACTGGCTTTCCCTCCCACGAGGTTCGACGATAGTAGACGTTGGAGGAGGAATCGGAAGCACAACGATGATTCTTGCACGGGCGTTCGGAGGCAATCCTGGACGTCGGGGAAGCGTGAGCAGCGACGAAGCTGAAGACACTGTGGAAAACAATAGCTCCGTCCCTCAACGATCTTGCAACGAATTGACTCCGCGTAAATCTCGGAGGGGCCTCAAGTCCTTTGCCTCACGAGGCGACCTTAAGTCACATACCTCTCGCACCGATCTCAAGTACACCAATCTCAAATCTGCACGTTCTCATGCCGATCTAAGGCTTCAGTCTTCTCAAGGCGAGCTCAGTGCGCGACAGTCAACTGTCCCTTCTTGTGAGGACCAGGACATGCAGTTCCGCTTCATTGTCCAGGACCGTCCAGTTGTCGTCGGACTCGGACTTGACGCATGGCGTGCGCAGTGTCCAGAGATGCTGGAGAGTGGACAGGTGACGTTTTGTGGTGAGCACTCCGCCCAGATGCTTGACATGCCTTTCTCACGATACATTCGACAGATCACGATTTCTTCCTCCCACAACCTCCGCTTCCCTCATCAGATCTCAATCGGCATCCCGCAGTTTACATACTCCGCGTTGTCCTACATGACTGGCCTGACGCCCGTGCACGTCATGTGCTGCTCAACTTGCGGCTTGCAAGCGGCCCAGAGACGAGGCTTATCATTGCGGATCACGTCCTCCCATTAGCATGCGTTGATGAGGGCGTCCGTAGCGCAAAGCACGAGCATCAGAAATCCGAAGGCGAAAAGTGGACACTCGACTCCGTTCTAGCGCACCTCGAGGGCGCACATGGCACTCTAGCGCCTGCGCCCCTACTTCCAAACTTGGGCAAAGGAAGCGCAACCCCGTTTTCCATGGACATCGTGGTACGCGCGATGATAGATTATTGTCTGTGCAAGGGTTTACTGACTGGGCTGCGTAGATGCATATAACTTTCAATGGCAAGGAGCGCACGCTACGGGAGCTTTGTGCACTAGCTCTGTCGTCTGGCTGGCGCATTGCACGCGTGACGTACTCAAAAGGTTCCCATTTCGGGCATCTTGTTTGCGAGCCTGTAGACATACCAGAGGATGCATTCAGCATCCTCCCTCGACGGCCGATCTCGGATCCTGCAATGGATTTGTCATTTGAATGTGCTGAGCCCTCAGAGGACGATGAACATGAGGGCCCGCGGACTGCCCAGGAGATGTATGCAAACAAGCTGCCGTCGTCGCTCGGGTCGAGGCCTATCTCGACAGCCATCTTACCACTTTTGCCTTCTCCTATCCTCGAGCGCTCTTCATCGCGCTGTGGAACGCCGACGTTTGGATCTCGTGTGTTCCTTCCACGTCCGGATGAGATCCCATCTGGCAAGTCCAAATCCTACAGCCTTGGTAGACGATGGCTCAAGGCAAGAGGCCTTGGCGTACGTACCGTAGTCGAGAAGCAAAAGCGGCGCGAAGAAGGCGCTCGCAAAGCCGATGAACACGATGACCAAAGCGGTCAATACGGATCTCCACAGCACTCGCGCGTCTGGTGGAAAAAGGCGCCACCCGCTTCCCCTGTAGCAGAAGAGCGAGCTGGTGACGCATCGATACCTCGCAGCCCACTTCGCCTTCGCAGGGGTACGCTAACAACTCCAGAGCTTTCACCACCGTTGCCGTTGCCGAGCCCGCGCATTCCGACACAGTATAATTTTCCGGCGCATCGTACGACACCGAGTATACAGTCCAACTTCCAAAGCGATGGAAGTTCGAGTGCCCCGCGATCGAGGAGGCCGAGTGTGGCGAGTCTCACTCGCAAGCTCAACTTCTCTCCTTTTGCGCGGAGACAGAGCATAGTAGATGGTGCAGCACAAAGGAGCAGTGACGCAAGCGCGAGCCCGCAGTCAGCAACGTTTGATACTGCATACGTCCGATCTGCAGACCAGGAGAAGAAGCTGAGGCATCAGCCAAGTTCACCGATGATGCAGAAACACCATCCTGGTGATGATCGCGAACACGGCATCAGGCACCATCCCAGTGCACCTCACTTGAAGGGTCGATCTACTCGCACTGAAGAGCCTCCGCCCTTGCCTACTGCTCCTAAAATTGTACGGGATGATGGATCCTCCAGCGTTCCTCGCAAGTCCAGTCTCCTGAGCTCCCCGATCTTCAGTGGGAGCAGGTCTAGTCTGTCCACGACGACCTCGCGTCAACGAAGTCGATCGATTTTGTCAAATACTCCTCCTTTGATACGCGCACCCAGCACGCCTGCAGATCCCACAAGCCCAAAACCAAAACGTCAGCCAAGTACACCGAAACTTCCCCGGAGGCTCAGCATACCTATGCTCCGCCGCAAACGCAGTCAAAGTCTGACTGCTGAGAGGGATACTTAGACCGGTGGCGGAGTCGTGAAGGTATGGCTGGTAACTTAACTTTCGTTCATGGTTCTTTTCTTGCTATCTCGTCGAATGCTGTGTTTTGCAGCGATTGCCCCTCGTTTCATGCATGTATGTAGACGCCCTCGTTGCATCACAAGGCCTGATGAATTTTACATCATACTTACGTTGTTCTCTACTTCCCACGAGTCAATAAGTTTGAGATCTCACTGTGCGGGGATTTCAACCGATACTCGGAGAGATCGTGCTAGCAAGCGAGTCCGTGATGTCGATGAAGTCCTCCATTGTAATAATAAGCGTAGAAATTGCATATTGGATTGCATGTGTTTGCTTGAGAAAAAACCAGAGCTCTACTATACAGGCTACTCTATTGCATAATACGTAATTGGAAATCCCTCATCCTTCGAATTCGAACCTCGGAGGGATGTTGGGAAGCGCATAGATGTGTAAATCCAAGTGAGACAGTGAATTCGGTCACTGGTACTATTACTTGCAGGCATAATCGAATGTTGTTCCACAACGACAAACCATATGATTACAGCCAGCGATCTTCTCTATCAAATGAGAGCACCCTGGGCATCTCGCCCAGCCTGATGCTTGAGCAATGTCCAGAACTTGTTGCGTTGCTGCGTCAATAACACAGTTGTGATTCCCAACCCCTTCATACTTGGTACGGCATTTTCCACACGTACGGGTGGAACAACTTGGAGCTGGGCAATCGTACACTTTTCGTGACGACTTTTGGTGGAGTGCACCAAGAAAGCGATTGCAGGATGGCGACGAGCAATACACCCGATGCATCGTTTTCTTTTCTCGGCCTTTGAGCCGGAAGTCTGCAATTAAAGCTTGACTGACGTAGCGTCGTACTTTTGTGAAGGGTATGTTTCTGTGACAACATCGTGGTGGGTACAGGGAGTCGTCACGAACTGACGACTGGAAGAGGTGGGTGATGCAAGCAAGGTCGAAGACATGTCCGCAAGGAACTGGGATTGCAGCTCCATCTATAGGATCTCTGCATATGATACAAATGGGTCTAACACCTGTCAGTTACACAGTCTATCCTCCCTTGTCTCAGATAGACTCACGGTTCCTTCGAGGCAGCATCGACCTTCTTGATCGACTGTCTTGGCATGTTTATTTCAAGTGCTGGAAGCTATTCGAGTTCCCAATGGATGTTTAGTAGCCAGAGGAGACTATGTCCCCCTTCGTATATGCAACTGAAAGGGATCGGCGGAGCTGTCACGGTAGGAGAAAGAGTAACGAGAAGGAATGCTCAGCATTTTGCGCCTCGTTGTCTCCGCATGCACTCGATCACCCCTAAATGATCGGGAATAACAAAACAAAGATAAGGATCAGGATCTAAAGCGCTCGATATCAGGAGTGCGAAAACACGTTCGCAGTCGTCAAAAACAGGAGCTTACATGGCTGTGCTGGATACAGCACTTAATAGGCAGGTCCTCATGACTTATGTAAGCGGAGGCGTCTACTCGTAATTTTCTGGATGACGAGTGAGCATAACCGAGCATCTTAAAGTCATACTCAACCGTAACCTCAATTCCGTTATGCGCATCACGAGGATGAGGGAAATCCTGCCAAATGACATACAAACTTTCTGAGATAACCGGTCCTAATACCAGCCCAGTCTAAAATCGGGCGGCGTGGGGCCAGCCAGCAGTCGCCGCGTCTTGTTTTTTACTGTCTCGCAGAAAAGTTAACACCACGAATATCTCTATGGATGTAGCCCTCTGGGTGGAATTCATGGATGAAATAGGTGATGGCTTTCTCCAGTTGTTAACGCTCCGAGACAGGCCTCTTGCTGAACGGTCGATATGAACTGGTTCGTTGCACGAAGGCATGAATAGGCACGAAAAGTCCCAAGCCAAACCTTTAATGTGAGATGCAGCAACCATATCTATCTTGGACCGACTACAATATGCATCGGGACAGTCTGCCAGGGCTACCTAGCCAGGATTTCCAGGATTCCAACCAATGTGCCAGGACCGCGCAGAACTTCCCACCACAGAGTACAGATCTCTGAGTCCTTCTGTGGAAATGTTGAGAGCTCCGAAAGTGTGAGCAGCAATCGCTTGTATATGGGGATCTGTTGGATGCTAAAACGGAGGAATGATTAGGGTCAGGATATCAGACCGGTCCTTGCCAGTGAAAACGGGGCCAGCGATGCCAATATTTGCGGGCCTAGTTCGAAGCACCCCAGTGAAAACAAATCAACCTATCAAAGATGACAATATGGAGTGACAGGGAACGACGGATTGGAGCTGCGCCATCTTTTCTTGAGGAGTATTATTCAAGTTGTCGGGGATCTTGCGGTAATGGCACCACCGTCTCCAATCTCATCCCTCCCCGCCACTGTCACTGACACGAACTTTCCGACCGTCTATAATCACTCTAAGTGTATCAACTGCATGGAAGTCGACGACATTACTGAATGTATGCATCCAGTCGAATTCACCCTGTTAATATCTGCTCGTCATATTCATTGGACGTGACCTCTTTCATCATTGTGAATAGTGCTAATATTACCAGAGGAGATAGGTTCTGCCTAAACCCTTGTCGTGCAGAGTCTGAGTATACTGAAACTAACCAAGTCGCCGACGTGCCTGAGAACACCCCCCGTGGTTAAGGGAAGCGCTCGAGTTCAAAGTGCTGAATAGCAAAGGCAGAGGCAGTATTACGCAAGCACCCCGACAGCAGGCCCCGGGTACGCACTTCTGTTGTTCCAGCTTTAAAGTAAATGGAGCAAAACCAAGTGAGTGAAGCAGGTGCGTCACTTGCGTATTTCGGAGCAGGAGTCACTGACTCATGCTGATCGGAGGTGATTGGTTCTAGAATCAGGCCCAGGTAAATTCCCGTGACGTACTTCTGTTATTCGACAGTGGATAGAACGACATCCTGCAGACTGATCCAAATTACCAACATGCCTGAAACCCGCCCCCATGGCTAACAGAAGCGCACAAGCTTGAAGTACTGAATAACGAAACAAAGGGAGGGAGCGTCACACAAGCATATCGACAGCAGGAGCTAGTGCACACTTCTGTTTTTCGAGCTCTACAAGCAGGTGCGTGCTTCGGTCCAGAAGTCACTAACTCAACTTACCACTGAAATGACCGGAGACGATAGGTCCTGCCTAAACTCTTGTCATGCAGTATCATCCGCCAAGTATGCCATTCTGCCAAACCGATTCCTGTCTATGACGTACAGTGGATGTTTGATCGACTTCCCGATATCCTGGATAGTTTCAGTGTTGTCGGTTCTTTGATGTATGTCTTAAGTTATATTCTACCATTCATCGTGGCCCGGAGGGAGTTTCTGAGTCGTGAGTCCACCCTTGGCACCACCTTCCTGCGGTTTCTTATGGTCTTTTAGACCCGTGCAAGTGCGGCAAGGACACCTCGAAAGTAGCGTTGTAAACAAGTTGCCGATATCACGAAACACTGTTCAAACTTTCCTGATGCTCGAACACTTCACGTGCATGATAAGTATTGGTTTGCAGATCAAAATCTACTTTAATTTAATCGAGGACTTCCACTTTTGCTTGATTTCACACTACAATACTTACTTTAATCAATCAAGGGCCTTGAGGGAACAAATATTCATCTCACCATGCCGATTTTGGCGATACAGGTGCTGAATGGTGGTATATCTAGCACGAACACTAGATCATTATGCACTCGGAGCACTCCCAACATCCCACTCGTTCACACCCATCCCTTGAATATGACCATAGTCTCAGATGATCCCAGTTTGTAGCCGATGATCAATTCCGATTTGTTTTGCAGCTATTGGGTTCGTCGTATCAGTTGGTGATATCTCGATCTGACATCCTCACTCAATTTGCAGTTTACTTCGTCCAGTTGGACGTTGTCTGTTTGATAGCTTCGTGGGAATTCGTACATCGATGGACGAAATAAACTGTAAATTGAATGGGGCTATTTGCTTGCAGTTTCGCAGTTGCCGCCAGCGCTGTGGTGGTATATGATCGGGGTGTTCGAAAACCACCGATATTCTCACCATTTCGTGGTTTTCGTCTACAATACTCGATTTTGCACCAATTGTTTAGCTACTTTACTGAACACATTCTACACATTCTACCATTACATGCCAAGTGAAACAAAGCAAACCTGTCGAGAAATGGTGGAGATCATGTTTTCTGCATGATAGGAATTGATGTCACCTGCGTCAGACATTGAATTTGATGAGACAGCCCTGCCAGGCTGCAGTCTGTGTGCAATGTATGAGCTGGGCTCAAATCCGGCCAATGTGACTGTCCGTGACTATCGTTTGTATTTCACGAAACGGTGGGTAGTCATGGATGGACCGTAGGGGATAGCATCGGGAAGTCAAAGTATAATCAAATACCACACCATACCAACGGTAGGCGCGATAGTATAAAATAAAGCCATCTTACTACCGTCTCCCCCATCTCACATCGAGCACCTCGCATAAACAATGCGTTTCTTCTTCCTCGCCATTATCATAGCGTTGACAGCATCTGTGTCTGTCAGTGCATGCTCGAAATTGCTCCAGCGTTGCACCACGAACAGTGACTGCTGTGGTGCGACCATGGGCTGCTTGGAATCTGTGAGGAAGAGTTTTCTTTGCATTCAGCTTTCACCTGACGACTCACCTTTTGCGCCTCGTAATATCAGACGACACGTGGTTATAAAGTCTGCTATGATCTTCCCATCGAGAGGGCAGACTAATTTGCACATAGCAACACGCTGGTGAGTCATGTTTCCGCTCTTGCATTGGTGTTATTGTTAAGACAAGACATAGGATGCTACTGTTTGAGAAATGGACAGAGGCGATATGGAGCTGAAACAACGTATGCCATGTCAATTGAAGAACGTGTTTGCGTACTTTTTGGTCGTGTAAACAAGCCGCAGGGGCCGGCCATAAATCAAATGCGTGTCAGCTAAAAGACGCATTAATGATCAACTGTCCACTTTTTCACCGTCATAAGCTCGCTCACTTGACAAGGCACGCAGTCATTCATACCGTTTTACGTGTTAGTCTCGTTTGACCATCGAGTTGGACCTTGGAGCTCGACAAGACCCGGGACACGAACCATCAGCTTCTCCAGCTCGATTTAGACCTTTCAGGATATGAAATCATATCAGCATCAAACATCAACGTGGTCGATCACTCACCAGCCATAGGTCGAGAAGCGTCGGGGTCATCGAATCAAGGTGTTCTCCGCTCCTTGACGGCCTTCTTCAAAGCGACAAGTCTCCGTGCTCGTAATTTCTACATGAAAGACACGTTGACGGTTGTTCCAATAATTGAGGCGGAGCATGCCGCACACGATACATGATGTCGCGGCGAATAAATTCGACTCACGCAATGGTGTTCGTGATTTCGGCCTGTGCGCTTGCACAGCTCACAGCTAAAATGTTTCAAGGAGCATCTAACGTTGCGAACTAAACATAGCGTAGGAACTGTACTTTTCAAACTGCAGGTGCTGCCGGCCCAACCAAATGATAGTGTCGTCGGGTTACAAGACTATGGATCGATGCCTCAATAGTGGGCATTCCTAATTTCTTCAAATGAAGTCCGCTTGTTGGAGAATGTAAGCCCAGACGTGTATGGGGATAGCATGATGATTGGTGGAAATGGCCCGTGGGTTTGAACGATTCGTCGGTCATTCTTCAATCTAAAAACTATTTGCGCTGTGAAACACATGAATCCCGCCTACGTTTGTTCCATCATCGCCATCTCAATAGCAACGTCCCTGTAAGCCTGTTTGCACCTGCAACATGTGCCTGCTCTGAATGGATCAGCATGTGATGAACGTTTGGGGGACCGAATGCTGGATGAGAGCCTGTCAGGAGTTGTTTCCATTATGTAGTGAGCGTGAGAAATGCGTTAGCATTGTCGCACGGCACACACACCACGATGCCCGACTCCTTCGATTGATCTTCTACTTGACTCGTATTCGCTGCTCCTTCTCGAATGAAAGGATTGACCGTTCTTGACCTAAAGTTTCAACGAGCGGTTTATTGATAAGTCGAACATCGATGGAACTCGAATACATAACTTTCTCCTTGTGGATTCGCTTCACAGCTCGTTTTTTTCCTATTCTGATCAAAGCTTGCTCAGGCGATACCTCATGGTAGGAGGGTTTTAACTTTTCGAGAAGTCAACGCCACGACTAAACCACGCAGGCGAAGCGCTGAGGAATACGACTTGATCCGATGACTTTAAAAGACGGAACTTGTGTAACGTTCATGCTCCACCTGCAGCATGTGGCATGTACTTTTCAGCTTTGATTGATGAGACGGAAGCGAGGAACACGCAAAAGGGGCAAACATCAATCGATTGGATTCATATAGTGAAATGGACACACAATGTAAGCCATCTTACATATTGTCCATTGTTCTGATTCAGTCCATGCAAGGTTATAAAAAGACTGTTGCAATGCGTCTTCTTATGGTCCCTCGCCAGTGGTCTGTGATACAGAAAACTCCATTGTCTGTGCGCAACAATCAGGGCAATCGCCTGTTTTGATCTATTCACCGAAATCCTTATTTGAACTCTCGCCGGGCGAGTTTGTTTATCGTAAACGTTTATCTTTTCCTTCTCTTCCCGCCCTTCCTCGCATATCTTCTCTTTTCCTGACACTCCTTTACGCTTCGCTCATCTATGATGCTTCGAAGACTCGCTCAAATCCTCCCTGCCCTCGTCATCCCCACTCTCGTCTCAGCTCATGGTTTTGTACAGCAGGTGACGATCGACGGCACCGTCTACATGGGCAATAACTTGAATGTGGCAACTCCCGCCCCTTCTATCATCCGTCTTGTCGACACGAACAGTCCCGTCAAGGGTACTAACAACTCGTTCCTTAACTGTGGGCAAGACGCTCAGTTTGCTTCTCTGGTCGGAAATGCGAACCCTGGCTCCCAGCTCGAGATTTTATGGGTCGGCGGAACAGACGGCTCATCTAACGTACGTGACTTCATACAGTGTTATGGATTGACAAGTGACCATCAATTTGCAGTGGCCGCATAACACAGGCCCACTGATGCACTACATGACCAAGTGCGACGGTTCTTGCTCAACATACAACTCGACGAACTCTGAGTGGTTCAAGATCTCTGAACTCGGTCTCGAGGCGGATGGCAGTACCTGGTATCAGGCAAACTTGAGTTAGTACTGTTCATACTTTCCTTAACTTGCACTCATGTATTCCGCAGATTCTCGAGCTCCCGCGAACGTGACGATCCCGAACACTCTCGCACCCGGAAATTACCTGCTTCGCTCGGAGATTATCTCCCTCCAACTTGCGATGACACTAGGAGGTGCTGAGTTTTACCCTGCGTGCATTCAGCTTCAAATTGGTGGTTCCCAGACTCAGGGCCCGACGTCGAGCGAGGAGTGCTTATTCCCAGGTTGTTACTCTGACACTGATGCTGGTATCCTAACACCAAACGTGAGCCGTTCTCTCGTTTGATTTTGTTCGAACATTTCATTGATCACCGCGCAGATCTACAACCCGCCCATTCAGTACACGTTCCCCGGCCCTCCTGTCGCAAGCTTCGCGAATGCTGGCTCAAGCTCTGCTGCGCCTTCTTCCACCGGCTCTGCATCGGGTTCCTCGGCGGGGACTACATCAACCTTCGCCAGCGGCCCTTCTTCCACCATTATTGTATCATCCACCCCGAGTCCAACCGCGACAGGGCAGTGCATGCTTAGTGGCCGTTCCACCAGCGAGGATGTCGTCAAGCGAGACAGCAGGAACAAGCGGAAGCACAAGCAGAGACTCGTCCGTTCGCACTAAACGCGAATATTAAGTGGCGAGGGTGGGCCTGACGTCCTCCTCCCTCATGGTTATCGTATAACAAGGCTTGATGCCTCGCGGCGCTGCGTGCCGCATCACGACATCATTGATTCGGCTATCCACGTACACGATCTTTTTTAACTCACTCTCGCTCATGTCCACTCTCCTTTGGATCTAGTCACTCTCTGTTGCATGTTCGTTCTGCTTTGTGCATACCTCGTCTATTTGTATTTTAGATGCCCATCTGGAATAGGGTCTTGTCCATGCGTGGCCTATGGTTAACATAACATGCATATTATTGCTAGTATAGCTGCACCGGATGTACATAATGCTTGATGCAATGCAACTGATTGTAACAATGGTTGAGGTCATGTTGGATGGAAGTTAATCTGTTAGTCACCTGATATGAACATCGTAGAAAACAAGTCACCTAGATCTAAAATCTAGACACTCAAAAATGTAGCAATTACAGAAATCCAAAGCACCGGCCAATTGACTGCATATTGGAGCAAGGTCAGAAGTTCGCAACGCGGACCCCTAGTGATGCATCAATGCGTGTGCCACGTGTCGACTCGCTGGAGGTCTTCCATTTTCAACAACCTCCAACAATTTCAAAGGAGTCCAAACAAGGGCAGCCCAACGCCTTCCTAGCTCCTGCGCAAGTTGATTACACCTCATCGATGCATCCCTGTTGAGTGCGTTCAGGCGAATACTGACAGCCCGTATTGGACTGCATCATCATAATCATGCCGGGTTCACCAACAGCAAGCTATCAAATCACTGCAGGTATTGCACACGGTCTATCGTCTTCCTCGCTCAACTCTACACCAATAGGGGGCGAGCGTCGCCCCCGGAGCAACCTGCAAAGGACAAAAATATGTCCAGGTCCTGCTTCGTCATGATGGTCTTCACCATGAAGCACGACTAGGAGATGTTATTGGTATCCGTGGCAAACTACCATTAGGTACTTACTTTTTGCGGCAACAATAGTCACACCTTTGAGCTTGCTTTTGTCAGTCACTAAGTCTTCATTGTTCGGGACATCCTCACAACCTCAAATCTGCAGAGTTACCTTGTCCTTACTTTGATTGATTCATGGCACCGCTACAGTCTTTTCCTTTTCCGCCACGATGTCTTTGTCATTCGCTTCTTGGTCGCATCTGAAAGTACTATTTAAGTGATGAGCAGAACGGTGATTTCGACACTACACTAGGAACACGTTCTTCAGCCAAGTACTCTCAGGCTACTACTCGCGATCGTATTCGCTGTTGACGACACAAACTCTGGTTAGTTTTTCGTTTTACAATTTCTGATGATGTTGACATCAGGTTTCAGCGTATTCGACAGTGAACCAGGCTGCGAAGGAATGAAGTCCAAAGTAGAGTTACTGTCTCTTCCTGAAGAACTTCTACTTTATATTCTAAGCTTCCTTCCTTGGCAAGATATTCTACGTTGCACATCCGTAAGCTACTATCCAATCACTAATCGGTGTTGCTTGTCCCAGATGGATTCTGATACTGATGATCGTCTGGCAGCTGTGTAAGGTCCTTCGCCAGGCATACATATCATCTTCCGAGTTGCAGTACATCACCGAATTGGGTGGCCAACAACTGCTCCCCGTTTTCGGTGGTTACGTTTCTTTTTCAAAGCGCCTACAATTCCTAAGGGACAAAGCCCACGCATGGTTCAAGTTTGACATTCACTCTTTCGAAGCAATCTCTATCCCGGCACAATTCTGTACAGGATCAGAAGTGACCATCGCCAATGGATATGCCTGTTTCTGGAAGCCAACTATGTACTTGTGCAAGATCTTTCCAATGCTACCCAAGGCCTTACAACAAACCATTGAGCGTGATTTCTCTCCAGATTCGCTTTGCTCAGTTCCCAAACAGAAACAAAGCGACTTCGATGTTTTGAATGTTTTCATCGACCCGGTGCAAAACCTGCTCGCCATCGCCTATGTCACAGTCATTAGAAATGGCAACATGGTATATGATGAGGAGTATTATATTGACCTTATAGCCCTGGATGGAGATGGTACCCACCCTCAAGCTGCTGGACGGACTCTGTTTCTCTCTGATTTGCCAACACGCGAGAACTTTATTACAAAGAGTACGAAAATCGAGGGTTTTGGGAGATATATCGCTTTACGACTGTTTGACGATCAGTCGCGCACCCCTGCATTTACGTCCAGATGGTGGTTGCAGATTTGGGACTGGCAACACTCAACAACGTCCAATGTGAGCCTTGATCAGAATTAGTTGAAATACTTGACAGTTGATACTCGGTTTAGAGCATCCTCAGCGGCCCAATAATAGATCCAGATTTTGACGAGATCGACATTTGCTTCCTCGGAAATAATAGATTTTTGATTGTCAACGACAATTTAAAGCTCTACTCAATTGAGGACATGTCTCAGGCACCGCTATTGCTGGCTTGCTTCTCGTTGCCCGTATCATTTATGAACCTACAATGCTTTACTCCGACGGATGATATTGCACGTAGCTCACACTCCCAGACACAAGCCCCACAAGTAACGTGGATCTCGAATCCTAAACATCGACTACTCTCCTTTGTCACGCGGCATCCAGATCTCTACTTCGTCATTTCCACTAGGATTTTCTTCGAGCCTAACTTCGTTGATTCGAAAGGAACAGCCACAATACCATGGGAATCCTGGGGTCCTTCAAATGCTCGTGCTTTCCCACACCGATTTTTGTGCAAACTTGCCGTTAGCGGGAATCGAGCTTTGTATGCACTCGCTATAGCCGGCGCAAAAATGGATGACTCGGGTCATTCGACAGAGTACAGATTACATCTCATGGACTTCAGTCCATCAGCTGTTAAGCGTCACCACCAGCAAGGCCTAGGAAGAATGGTGAATGAGCCATCTACAGTAGAACACGTCGAGACGAAGGAATGCATCACGACATCCATGCCCTATGTCGAGGTCGTATCTGACAAAACGATCAGCCATGGCGAGCTCATTGAGATGTGGCTCGATAGCGACAAACTCTATTTGTTGAAGAGCCGTTTTGACACTGTAGGATCATCTCATCTTCTGATGAAGTGCGACATACTGATTGTTTATCCAGGATAAAATAGATCAGTTTGAAGTCATCGAGTTTTGAGAGCGAACGCCGCATGATACTAGTAGAACGTTGACCTTCCGTCGACAGTACTTGCGAGACAAGAGGCCGAGGATTATACATTGATTATACAGAGATATATCGTATTAGGGACGAGCACACAGGATGATTAGGCGATAATTAACATATCTACATAGGGCTCATCCAAAGGATGTCAATAAATGAGATTTCTACATTAAGCACCCATGACCGCCGGCGCGGAGCAGTACTGCATTCAAGGAAAGGGTTAAAAGAACAGCTTTCCGCTCCCAGCAAGAATCCCTGCGATTTTGCATCCAGAAACAAAATCCAATACCAGCCTGCTAATAGTGAGAGGAAATCATAGACTCTACGCTGACCCTAGTGGTGAGGATAGGAAGGCTAGGGCTATCGTCCTGGGTCGGAGTGGAGAAAGTGCCAGTGTCGACGGTCTGGTGCAGGTTAAGCATCAGCCGAGAGATGAGAGTAACGGACATGCTGAAGGTCACCTTTAGCCGATCGGTCCGTGTCCATCGCATTAACCACTCACCAACTAGTAAACGTGGAAAAACTGCCTCTGAGGCCAACCTTGCCAATCATCAGGAAACAGTCAAACCAAATATAAGGTGCGGAGTTTGTATGCTCACCGAACCAATCTGATTTAAGCTGTGAGCATTTCGTGACACCATCAGTATTCATGCGGTGACTCACATAGTACGTCAGAATGTTCAGCATATTAGACAGTGTCATCACTCTGGAGAAATGCAGGTCAGAATCACTCGAACCACGATATGACATCGCTAGCAACCTCACCCGAAGAACATGACACCTGCAATCGGTTGATTCAGTGTTCGTAATACAGATACAGCGAAAGATTTACCATCGCGAAATATGATATCAATGATGTTTTTCCTAGTGATCAGAGATAACCGCAGAAAACTGTTGGTTATGCAAATCCTGTACACTGTCAGGACGAAGATGAATAAATCGAAGACAAATAACGCCACATATGCCAGCCCGATTCCTGCAATTGGATAAGGTCACAACATGAAGTTACATGCAAATGTGGCTTAGAATTCACTGACGGGCAGCTCTGCAACGACCTTTGAGCAGGCGCATAAAACGGGGATGAGCACGACATACACCACTTTTGAAAATGTTTCATTGCAGCCAACTTCTGGCACGATTTCCACATCGCCTGAAAATTGACCAAAAGTGCCCGCCTAGAAACGATCAGTAGACTCCAGGGTCTAAAATTGAAAAAACGCACACAAGCCAATCCTGCAAGAGCAATCATGACGATTGCCATCCAAATAAGCAGGCGGTTGCTGCAATTGTAGAGTGCATAAGTGCGAATGGTCATTATGACTAAAGTTTTCAGTATGTGACTTTCTCGCACTGAAGTTAATTTCTACTTACTGCAAACAATCGCTGTTTGGAGGAAAATGGCCAGTTGTCTATATAGCGCATATTTCGAACAGCTAAGTCTTTGTTGAGCAAACCATACTGATACTCGAGAATCAGAGTGAAGCAAACCTCTACAGCAACAAGTTGTAAGCATGCCAAACGTTGAGTACATGCATAACGAAATTGTAGAACCTCATCTGAAACAGGCACAAAATCCATAACCAAGCCACAGATATTGCCGAGGAGAGCGATATAGCGATTGAGCAGAAATAATATTGCAAACAGTGCTTTCGGACGACGCCAAATAAAAGCGATTTCTTCTGGTAGGGTCATCATATGGTCGTATATCAGTATACCTAGATTCAAAATAATGTGTTAACGTCCTGAGACCAAGGATAAAACTAAGCTCTAGTACTGTTTCCCGCCAGAATGGCGTACATGCAGAACAATCTATACATATTTAGGATACGTGGTCGATCTATGCGTTATCACTCACATTTGCTGCACCTCCGGGTCGGTGGCATATATCATGATAAGGCAATATTCAACTGAGGAAGGACGTCGAGAATGTAGGGCGGTCTGTTATATATTATACACCAGCCGTGTTTAACGGTCCTTCCCGCAATCAAGTGCTATGTATGCAAGCATGCAAGTCAAACTCCAAAATAAAGTTCTAGACGTGATATAGTTCCTATACATAGATATTCCGAGTTGGCATCACTGATCAACGCGTTACAGGCTAGCCTCACATGGGTGGGTGATTGATCATCGGGCTGTGTCATTACAAGGCTGTCATTGACCCGTTCCTTGCTAGAGCACAGGGATTATGGCCGCCATGGCGATCAAGGCTTGAATTGTCAGAGTAATGCAGTGCGGGTTGAGCTGGATAGATTCGATAACGTTTCGTATCCACCGGATTCGATGTAGAGCCGGCAGGTTGATCAATAGACGAAGATCATTTATAAGAAAAATTATTAAGAGAGTGGATGATGCGCGATTCAGACTCCGACCGTAAAAAGTCTCTAGAAGATCTGGCTGAAGGACTCAGAACTTGAAGTGCGCAACATGTGCGCTGTACATGTGGAGATCATCGCCTCGAGTACTTTGAGTTTGGGTTAGCATATGGTCCAACACAGCCAGTCACGGTAGATCTAACACATTTTTCTTCCGAGCAACTTTAACCTTCCTCGATGATGGTACCGGGTAATACAGTGTCATACCGTGCACGCCCATGATCTATCCTGACACATTCATCTCTCTTCAGCTTGCTCTCTACATTATCTTGTAGAACCCAGCGATACATATGCTCCGATAATCATTATGAATTGTCTAGAGACGTCCAAGTCGCTCGTGCGAACCTTTACATTACAGATTCAGGTCTTGAACACACCAGAAACAGAGTACATTGTAGTTCAGGGAGTCTCATGTAATCCCAAACGCACGGTCCGACTGGCTTGGAGGTCAGCAATGCATCGGATACTTGATTCAGCTTTGAAAATTTGCAGGACATTTTCCCTGTAATTGGCATCGGTGGCGGGGGATAAAGTGCAGGAGTGCTGTCAAGGTTGGATTGGCAAAACACCATCGCTGGAAATGGGGGGACCGGCCCTCTGCCGCAAGTCGCGCCTTACCTTTCAGCTTCGTCTGGTAAGTGTCCCATCGAGCCAACGCTCGCTGTAACCTTAAAGATGTTGACCATCTGTATCCTAGGTGGTTCGTGGCTGCTTGCAGGGTCACTTCATATGAATGATTGGCCGTCAATATAGGAACTAATTTACGGGAATGGAGAAAATCTCTCATCATGGATGTTAAACATTGACTTTGATTGTGCCATTGTCGCCATCAGTCATCGATAACAGGAGTATCCTGGCGAGCGCTGAATCAAAGAGAAATAATGGAATGTACGTTTCTTCACAGATCATTGCGTTCTGCCAGTTCAGTCCTAGTAGCGTCACTGACCTATAAGGTTGGATGGTTTCATATGATCTCCTGAACGACACAACGCGAGGTAACTTCCATACCAATAAGACTAGCCATGGTGCTAGTCAACTATGGTCCCATATGTCCCTCAAGCCGAATTTTCAGATACATGCAATGCAATCCCCAATAAGCGCCGGCTCACGCCTGGCAAGCAGGCTCAGGGATGACCACGACTGTGCCTCTTCAACTGTTGTACTTAACTTATAAGCGAAGAAACATATCTAGACACAGAACGAGGCATATTACGCCTTTTGTGTTTAGATCGTGGGATTCGCACTTTAGTACATTGAGGCTACCACTGGAGTTTGCTGGTACGTATTTGACGAACGGTCTGCCAGCTAACGCATCAGCTTGCGTTACTGGCCTCGACCAGGCGAGCTTTGTGATGGGTACAGGCTCTAGTTCTCCAACGTATGTCATGTCATTATCCCGGAAAATTTCCAGTCTTGACCTGACTTACTGTTGCAGGCCATCTTGACTATTACCAATGGGAAATTCGGGTTCGATACTCGTGATAGATGACATAAATATTATTTTCGATCAGTGATTATCACATATGGCGTCGCCCAATGCTACGGATGCGACCAACTCATGTTCGTATTGCCATTTCGACACAGCACCAACCTAACAGTCTCACAACCATTTAAAGGCGTCAATCCTATGACTTCCGTCTCCAGACCCGCTCTCGTCTTCGCATCAACCGGTGCCGCCCAAACCTGGAACCGCCGTTTCCACAGGCGTCAGCATGCGCCGAACATTCTTTGACTGTTATTTCACTTCGGACATACAATACAAGAGTACAAACAACTACCAATCACCAGACGTGGCTTCTCTGTCGATTCACTTTATAGTGTCCCCGGGCCCCATTAGATGTTTTGAGACCTGCTAGTGCGGAGACATGAATCTATCACCGGCGTTAACGTGACTATGCACGACTTACCCATGCAAAGCACGGAGAATCTCCTCCCTCCCCTTGTCAACCCAGGCTGCTGGTATCTTGTCCGAATTCTCCTTCGAATATTGTCCAACTTGAAGAAAATTATTCTCTTTCGAGAACGCCCATACCGCTGGGTTTGGGGCTGGCGTCGCTGTAATAGCATGAAGTTCCTTCCCTGGATGGACGAAGTGAGAAGAATACACCCCGGACAAAAATAAGACCCACGTATGATTTTATCCACTAAATATCCCATGTTCTACGCTCCTTGGTAAGCAAATACCTCCTCAGATGCAAAAAAATAGATGCACCAAGTCATTCTTATCATAACCTATCAGATAGATGGCAGTAAGATCGTATCAGTCATTTGCGATAGGACAACTTGCCAAACGGATCTAATATGATGCGGTGAATGAATGAGCGCAACAACTCAGCTTCAGAACTTACTTTCAATTTCCTCCCCGGCCATAAGAAAGCCATAGAAAGCCAAACTCTTGGTAGTTGAATGAGACAAGACGACACGAGGAAGTGTATAAGACGCCTTACAGCAATCACAGTCGCTGGAATGGTGAACCATTTAAGTGTGGACCATAGCTGGAATGGCTATCACATATAACGACGATATCAACTAGCTGTATGCGGGGAAAGATACCTGCATACCAAAGCTGCACAGTAAAGCACTGTGATCATCCATAGGTGCGAGGAGTAACTGAGTAAAGAGTTAGGAACCACAGGGGCAAAAGCGTGGAGCGATCACGCACGAAAACGGAATCGGAGTGGCAAGAATCCTTTCCAACCCAGTCAGGGTTTCCACGAGATGATTAAGGGTCTCACAAAGCACGCCTGCGAGGAGAATTGTCAGTGGCATGGACAATGAGCCCACCACAACATACCTAAAGTTGAGTCACCCACAGTTCCACGGGTTTGCAGTGCAGAAATGTAAGATGTCTTCAGGGCTCAAAAATTAGTCCTTGTTAATTTGCGTGCATGGTGGGATAAACGTACCAAGTACAAAGATATCTCCAAAGGGACGTTATTTTTGCTGGGGCGGAAATTTTGACGTGTGTTATCTGCTCCAAGCTTACAAGAATGTTTCTTTATGATTCCCCATACCCAAAAGAAGATCGGAAATGGAAAGGCTGCTCGCCAGCCGTGCCTAGGAGGTAATTCGGCGGGTAGAAGAGACTCTGCATCATAGTAAGGCGGTGCGATGGTTTTGGTGGTGGTGCCCGTCCAAAATGATCGATTATCAGGTCTTGACAAAGATCCGGGCACTGCCATTTCGTGGGTTTGAGCGACTGCGCCTCCAGAGAATTCCGATTCGTCGTGATTCAAGTCATGTGTATGCCTACGGCGTAATATCCGAATTTGGTCATTTTTAGAAGGGATAATGGCGGGAAACGAGTAATGACGTGAAGAGAGGAAGGGACGAGAGGGTACAAATCTTCATAGTGAATTCCTTCTTCCCCTCGCAGGTAGTGCTTGACGGCGACAGCATACGCCTCGAGTAAATTCACTACCGTCTTCTTCTCAATCAGGGTCATAGCGTATTCCTTGTGGGTCTTCGCTGGGTCCTGGTCGGTGATTTCATCAGCAATTGGACGATGACAATCCTTTGGGGGAGCTGGAAAAGCATTATCTGTGACATTTGAGCGACCACTGCGAGGAAGAAAAGAGCTTGTGCACCTGGAACATGAAACCACACGGTCCGAGCAAAGGTGCGGCAGTTTAACACGATATGAGACCAGAGTTTTGCACCCTCATTATAACGCTCGAAACTGGACGATGTCCGAAAAGATATTATGAAACCGAGGACGGTACCGAACCTGCGACGAAAATCAGTCAAAGATAGTTTCCGTGGGACTGAGTACTGAGGGCCTCCTACACGGTGATAACAGTCGGCTGAATTGACACCTTTCCGTGCGTGTAATAGTTAAGCACGCATATTGAGGACGACCAGATAGCAGTAACAATCAATGCAGGCCAACATCTACTTAGGGCGGTGCTCGAAAGTGCGTCCCAGAAGATCAAAAGCGTTTTCCACCATGTGAGGGGTTTGTCGACGGCCAGTGTGGGCTCGAATGAGCCAAAGGTAGTCATATCATCAGTCTTGGACATTGGTGGACGAGGCGTGAGGAAATAGTCGGAGGGAGGTTTAAAAGCCTCACAGAAGTCCTTGGCGAAGAAAGACGCGCGTTTCCTCCACACGTGCGTGAGGAGAGCATGACTGAAATCCTAACTGAAAAGCGCCCATATGCATGCTTACTCGCTTGCCGTAGAGGCGGTTTCTGTGATCAAAAAGTCCGAGTGATCAGTGCCTTGTTACCCTTCCGAAGGTACTTCGGCTCCCCAAAGCAAGGTACTATATGGTGATGACAAGACTTCGAAAACATCGTCAACTGCAAGTTTCCCTCTGGCTCACCCACGGCCGAGTAATAGGAATGTGCAGTAATGGAAAAAATCTCTTGACTACAAACGGGACAACTTTCTGGCACTCGCTAATGTGGATGCCGCGAACAGCAACGACGAGACGCCACCTAAAAATCAATCAGCTCAACCGACAATTGAGTCGGGTTATTCATTAAGCACCAATATATATATACCCATCACTTCGATGCTTGTCCAGAATACACACCATGCTTATCTCAGTAACTCCCAAATCAAGTTTCATCGCCACCTACCAAACTCCACCCGTCCGTCACTTTCGCTGCCCTCGTCCTTCTTCAGCGATTGAAGGCGCGCTTTTAGGACACACACCTTGGTATGACCACCGATGTCCTCCGCCAAAGTCCGCCTCCCCACTCATCCTACATTATGCCGCCGACAACACCGGATACGCCGTCCGGAGTTATTCAACATTGATGTTTCCGGCCTCAACCGCGTCTCCTAGGCCTGCAGGTATTATGGATTGTACTGCTCGTATCTTATCAGTATCATCACTGGGTATTATAAAATACGAGCCTACGCCGGTACCACAACCCCCATCCTCTGCCACACCCATGAGCTCGCTTTCTAAATAAAAATGAGTATCCCCCTCGCAACTACTACAGGACAACTTTCTCGTACTCACGAACAGCAACTTGAACGGCAATGATGTATTGCCCATTTCGGGATCTTCCGTCGAAGATGGACGATCTTCCACCGTAGAAGTTCGAAGGAATCAAGTACAAGGTCCGACTGATATCATGGACAGAAGATCAAAATACATCCGAGTCATATGATACAATTTCGTGTGCCGAAGGTGTACGCGTTTACAGCTGTTTGCAAAAAGGTTGACAGTAGCGACATTTTGAGAAAAGAACAAAACAAATAAATAATAGATTAATAGCCACATACATCACAAATTGACCATCATGTATCGGAAAATCAGTCACGACTAGCCGCAATTAATCTTCACAAGCATCAACACCTTGCACTCGAAGACATTCTTGCTTGCGTCGGAGATTCGGAATGCACGTTCTGGCGGATCCTCAAGCTCTGGCGCGAAACGGGAGGCATACATTGCGTCAAGCGTTTGCAAGTATATGCGCGTGTTATTTGACCCTATGTATGTGGCTATTATTTATTTGTTTTGTTCTTTCTCAAAATGTCGCTACTGTCAACCTTTTTGCAAACAACTGTAATGTGATAGTGATATGGCGTAATTATAACGATACCTCGTGTCATCGCACATGACTCGTCGAGCGTTGATGAATGATCTGCGCCCTCGTGAATTGCAATTGGGGCAGGTCTCCTTTGGTTTGTTTGGAGTTGTTGAAAACGCAAGGTGATGACGTAAGGATCGCTCATCACTATGGTCGTTCCTCAAGAATCAAATATTCACTTGCAGTTAACTGTTTTAACATTGTATGTCAACGAACTAATTCGATGCCCGCAAGACGATTTTTCATCGCTTGCTCGACCACCTCAATCGAGTCAGGTCCTAGGATTGTTTGACAGCTGTCACGTAGGTTCCCGGAGAGTCCCAAGCCACTGTGACCGAACACCGAGCAATTCCCTATTTCTCACCTCTCGGAGTGAGAGATACATAGCCAACACCAGGAGCACAGACATAATAACCAGGCCCATACGTTGACAGGCATTCTAAATCTAGCACATCAAGTCCCACCATCACTGTATCATCACACTGGGAGCGAGTGCATGCATGCGAGGAAGAACGAAGATGAGTCCAGTTGGATATACATCGCCATTGACACTTGAATTCAAGCCCTAATTCCTCACCTCCTTACCCTCGTCGTGGCATGCGCCTACTGATTCCATGTCCGAATACAGGTTTTACGTTTATCGATTATCCAGATGTGGTACCTCTCGAGTAATAGACTTACCTTGATCAAATTGAGTATTTATTTCCATTCTGTTCTCCTAGGGGTCTCAGGATACATAATACAGATGAAGATAACGGCGTGGCCGGGTATCGTCCAACCTTGAGCACTTAGATTGTCTCGCGCTATCAAGGGCATAAAATCCTGAAAGCTATGCATATCGACAGATTCGATTTAATCGGAAGCCCTTCCATTACATGACTGCGCGACGTAGGACCTCACATGGGACCTCAGTGCTGGAAAAAGTGCTGTCACGCAGGTACCAAATTTGTCGCTCAAATACAATCTGGTCTGTTATCAATGTTCTCCCTCTTTGCCTAGCGTTCTTATTTGGTCTCCCAACGCTTGCAGTTGGCCGTTGTTAGCTAACTGTCAGTTCTTAATGGTGATACTCGTCTCTCATGTGACCAGTTAAATTTTTTCAATTTGATTGATGCCATACTTATTTAGAACACTAGGAAGAAGTGAACAATTTGTTTCACATTAAGCAGTTGTTCCGAGGGCCGTATTTCAAAAAGTTCTATTGTTGTTGGGCATGAGTTCTCTGAATTGGCGTACCGTGACCCATGGTACCGAGCAGTGCTTAAGATGCCTTTCGAATTTCCGCGGACAGTTAGATCATGTCTTAGTTTTTGGAATACGAAGCCAATCTAATTTCTCCTGAGCATCATGCGTACCATTGTTTGTGCCATTCCTTGCCCCAAATGGCTTAACTTTTTATAGTGCCGGAGTTACCTCTTAATCTCCTTCGGATATGACAATCTCTTCCCGGTTGTCGTCAGACTCATAAGTGCGAAATTGACGCACCACAAAGTCAATGAGGCCCACTGGCTAAGGTGAGCGTTAGATACGACGATGTTATCTGGGCGTATATCAGCATGGATGATACCGAAAGACGCAAGTGTTCACAGGCTCCTGGTATGCTGAACTAGGGACTGGATGGGGGGTGTTGGATGGTTGCGAGGATATATTCCATGAAAAGCACCCTGGAAGATATGGCGTGACCTTCATCGTGACCTAAAATGATCAACCCAAATTATAGAGCTGGCCTAGGGGATGGCAGAGCCCTAAAGGTGAGTGTTTCTGCTTTCGCATTGGTACTGTTGTTGATCGAACAACTTGAATACGTAGGACACTGCTGATCGAAAAGTGAATAGAGACGATAGTGAGTTGAAGTAGTACACGATAGAGTACATGATATGAGTAAATTGAAGTGTTTGCGTACTTGACGTGGCCATATGCGCTCGCTCACAGCTAAGATGGTTCAAGGAGCATCTTGCGTGCAAGCTGAACATAGCGTAGGAGTTGTATTGTTCGAACTGCAGGCGCCGCCGCCCCAACTGAGAGGTGGCATTGTGGGTTACAAGCATCGTTCTGAATCATACCAAGCGTGGGTGACTCAAATGCTTCAAACGAGTACACGACCGGGCTACAGCTACACAGGCCCTGACTCTTTGTATTAGTAAGCACATGACCAACGTTGAAAAGTACTGTCACTTACTTACCGTCGGTTCTTCAGCATATATTCTTACTTTATTGAAGTCTCCGATGCTGTATCTTTCACTTTGGCGGGTAGGGCCTGGCATTTTGTGAAGGTAAATGCCTTGCAGATGAGAGCGAACGAGGATTTCTGGTCGTTGAAAAGATATACCTGCGGTTAGGCGACCTCCTTGTGCATAATCGTCTTCTGCCATCATCGCAAATAAAGGAATCGATGTTTTCGAATCGACTGTTCAGATTTACATAAAGTTAAGAGCTTCGTGACTCACGAGACGTTGTTCGTGTTAAGGCTCACCTTTAAGCTTAGTAATCTTCAATCGAAGTTTTTGCCAAACGCTTCGAAGTTCTTGTATGCTTGATATAAGCAGGGGCTCAAGTATTTCAATCGCAACTAGTTCAACACCATATTACCTTGCTAAGAGAGTGGGCCACGAAATGAAGCCCAATGCAGGGTTTTGGTCTCTTGCTGAAGAACTACAGTTCAATATTTTGAGCTTCCTTTCTTGCCGAGATATTCTTCGTTGTACATCCGTGGGCCCAATTTATCATCTATCGTTGTCCTAGATGGACTTTTATACTTATGATGGTCGTCTTGCAGGTATGTAAAGCCCTTCGCCAGACGTACATGTCCTCCTCGGAGCTTCAGTACATCGTTGAACTCAGTGGCCAATGGTTGCTCCATGTCCCCAATATGGACAATGTTAACATTCCCGTTTGCAAGCGCCTACAACTCTTAAGGGACAAAGCTCATGCATGGTTTAAAGTTGACGCCCACTCTTTCGAAACAGTCTCTCTACCAAAGGACATGCACTCTGACAAAAAGTTCGTTGTAGATGAGCATCTTTATTTGTGGGATAAAGAAGAGGACATGGCCACAATTGTTCCAATACTACCAAAGCCTTCGCAAAAAATAGTCAAGCGCGGCTGGTCTCCAGGAACATTGTTTTCAGTTCCTGACTCAGACAACCTCGATGTGTTCATGGACCCAGCACAAAACCTGATCACCGCGTATGCTGTCACTGATGATACACTCCAGTCGAACAAGGAGACACTCTACATCGACCTTGGAGTCCTTGATAGTGATGGCGCTCACCCCCGTGCTGCTGGATGGACATTGTTTCTGTCAGTGCCGCCCGCATCCAAGGACAAATGCTTTGTTACAGAAAGTGCGAAGCTCAAGGGATTTAGGAGGCATATAGCTTTGTGATGTTCCTTCGTGTATCCGTTCAGGGGGATGTGGCAGCTGCATATTTGGGACTGGCAACACTCAACAACATCTAATGTGAGTCTCGGTCAGAAATATTTTAAACACTCGACAGCTAATTCTCAATTTAGAGTGTCCTCAGCGGCATGAATTTCTCACCAAACCCGATTGATTTTTGTTTTCTCGGAAACAATAGGTTGCTCGTTGTCGCCGACGATCTGAAGTTCTATTCGATCGAGGATATGTCCCAGATGCCACAATTGCTGGTGTGCTTCCTGATGCCTGTCCCATTTCCAAACCTCCGGTGCTTGCTTCTGATGGATCGTGTCGATAGCTCCCCACAGATGCAAGCCCAACAGACGATGTACACTTCAGACCCTCAAAACCGGCTGTTATGCATCACCACGGAAGGGAAACGAGCCTACGTCATTTCCATGAGGATTTTTTTTAATCTTGACGGAATAGTGGCAGCAACACCAGTACCGTGGGAACGCTGGGGCCCTTCAAATACTCGTATTTTCGAGCTCTCAGGTCAATCCAGAGTCCACGTTAGTGGGAATCGAGTTCTGCAAGCATTGTTGGAGGGCAACGCAGCTGCGGGTCCCTTGAAGCATACATTACACATCATGGACTTCAGCCTGCTAGCTGTGACGAACAGGCGAGGTCTGGGTGAGAGAGCCATCTACAATACTAGACCTCGACGGGTGGACTGGCAGGCCTGCAATGACCTTGACAACGTCCCTCCCTTACGTCCAGGTCACATTGGACAGAAAGTTTGGTTCTGCTGAATCAGAGTTAGCGGACGCGTGGGTTGATAAGGATAGAATCTATTTGCTTAACAGGAAGTGGGATTACGAGGTGGTAGGTTCTGCACATTACCAGATAGAGTATAACGGGCTTGAAGTTATTGATGTTTAGAATAGAGTTGCATCTATGTAGTGACACTGTCATACCACATACCTGTAGATAGCGATTGTCACTCATCATGGGCCTTGGCGCCACTTTCCAGGGATTCTCAGGGCCCTTCTTTCAGACCCGGTTTTCTTGTAGGGGATAACTGGCCTCTGAGATCCACATCTCGGATCTTGCGAGCACGAAGAAATGTGCCCTCTCTCCTCCTATCATATAGTGCCAGTTTGTGGTCTACCCTTCCGCGAGCTCATGACATCGTCTTGAAGTTCCAGAGTCCTGGTCCCTCGATGATGCTCTCCGCATGCACAGCCTCTGCTCATACCTCCTGGTATAAGAGGCTCCTTCGCTTGAAACACTTCTGAACTTTATTATTGGTGAAGTTCTAATCATGGATGACCTCGTACAGCCAGGATATATCACCTTGCAGTACGTCACCGTCTGTGCTTGACTTAAGTGTCACTGATAGTGGTCCGGTGAGCGTTGGTTGTCAAGATGCTTTGACACGGTACACCATTTATTTGCGTGTCAAGCGTTGCTCATGCCGTGTCCATCATACATATCTATCCATACCTCATCGATACCCCATCAAGCTTCGCCCTTGCCGCGTCAGCGCCACCCATTCCACATCGAGGCCGCGTCAGACCTCATTCATTGACGTTGAATTGGTTTAACATGAATGACATGGAGACGGGAAGAGTGTCAGGAATTATGTAATGTAGGCCGGCTAGGCAAGCTGCCAATAGCGTCGACGTAGCATTTTTGCTTCGTCACAGCTGCGTCACCGGTACATCATGATCGGTGACCGATGGCAGGACCGCGCCAAGATGTCTACACCCACGAAATGATCGGAAAGCAGTATCATCTGCCCGGCAGGCATAACCATTTTGCCGATCTTTTCATGACAATATAAAAGCAAGCCATCTTCCTACTGTCACTGGCCAGTACTTGTCCACCCCACCTCAAACAAATCATCAGAGCACCTCAGCAGTTCATACCACCTCAAACAAACAATGCGTTACTTCTTCCTCACCTTTATTGTTGCATTGACAGCATCTATGATGTCTGTCACGGCAAGGCGACCGACTTGTAGCCAACTAGACGGGTATTGCGTGAAGAATAGCGACTGCTGCGATTCGTCTAATACCTGCGGTGCTAATCAGTGCGTGCAAGCTGACAAGGACATCCCACCCTGAGAACAAGCCGATTTGCATGTACTAGTGAGTAGTTCTGCTTTCGCATTGGTGCTGTTGTTGATTGAACAATATGTAGGACGCTGCTGATTGAGAAATAAACAGAAGTGATGATAGGTGGAAGGAGGACATGATCTGCGTACCGTTTGGTCTTGGGGTATTCATGGATCTAAACACCAGACAACACAAGGAAAAGATCTGGGAGAAAGCAAGGCGTAAATACCAACTTAGTTCGACGGGTTATATACGCACTGGATACCGACTTGAGCTCGCCACACGGATATCTGATGATTGGTCAATGGTCGTAACTGTGCAGGTCGTACAGTAACAAGTCTAGGCACTTCTGAGAGCCGATTCCGCCAACTCTAGCGCATATCGAAGGCAGCTGGAAAACGAACCTGCGCACGTTTACTGCATATCATCACCATCTCGATATCACCGTCTCTGTAACCCTAATACAGCACTGCCAGTGTTGGGCCTTCAAATGGACCAGCATGTAGTAAGAAACGTCGACATGCAGGATATGGAGCAGAACTAAGAACACTCACATGGATATTCCTCTACGCCTTACAGAGCTCACGACGCTCTTTCGAGCTGCGCCGACCTGGTCACCTTTAGGGATTAGGAAGAGATGGTTTGCCTCGTTGAAATTTATTCTTTTTAATTTATCCGGTGTGCTACGCCGCGCGAATTTGCACAGATTCTGTACGACAGCGAGCGCTGTGTACAATGTAAACGTGGGTCCCAAGCGAAATAATAGTGCGCGTCATGATAGTCCGGACGAAGGCCTATACTAGTTTATGTAAATCACATAAACTCGTAATCATACGCTGGCAGCGTCACATCGCAGCCTATTGCAGCCGATTGCCATTGCCAACTGGACAACGGTGATTTGGCGCCCTGAGTGGAACTGGTTTTATAACTCTAGTATTCATCCTTCCCAGTCTTCCAAGGCAAACATGTCGGACCCGGTCGCTTCCAAATCTGGCTTCCTATGCATGTATATGAAGAACCATCCTGATACATTGGTTGCATATGTCAAATATTTCGGGAAAGTCGAGGGTAACGTGCTCACTGCTGGGATGTCTAGCATTGACTCCAAGGTAGGCCCAGGGAAAGCGATGTCCTATGCTCTCTAGTGTTGACAAATCTACCAGGGTATGACGCTTGTGTATAATCTCAAGTCCGGACAATCGAATACGACTCGGGTGTCATTCGACCCGCCGCTTTCAGGGTACGAGGAAGTCAAACCCCGGCTTCTGAGTATGAAGGCAGAGGCTCAGGAGGGTCTTGGTATGGTACGTCTTGATAACCTTTGCTTTCGGTCAGTCTTGTCTGACAGTCATATATCTATGTACTATAGCTTAAAGCTCCACAAATAACCACATTCCAGATTCCTCGTACGACTGCCATCACAGGAATCGCGTTGTTCGCATACTTCTATTTCCTTTCGCCGCCACCGCCTGACACCACATTCCTCTCCATACCTGTCACCACTATGGATGCATTCTTCTCCCCAGCGCACGCGTTTAGAAACGCCACTGGTCTTGGTCTTTCCTTCCGAACCACCTGCACAATACTCTGCGCCATTCATGGCGCTGAAACACTTTATACCTGGTCACTTTGCAGGCAATATGTTAAGAGTGCCATAGTAACGGTGCGCCTGTCTCGCGACTTTCTGAGCCTCACGCCTTAACTTTGTCTTCAGGCTGCTTATGTTGGCTGTACGATGATATTCGGATACCCGATGTGGACAGACCTCAAAAGACGCGTTCAACAGAAACGCATTGAAAGCGTTATGAAGGTTGAGTAATCAACCTTCTGCATGCTTGCTTTCCGGGGTAATTGTATATGTTCTTGTATGATGACATGGATGTACTTTAATGTTTCGGGTGTTTAACTTGGGCCTGTAGTTGCGACAATCTGAATAATTGTTTTCAGGATTCAGGATTCTCAATGGATTTCAATCAACTTCGGCGTATCACGCTAGAACGATCTTGCTTTGTGGGAAGAGCTGTCTTTGCATTCGTCTGTCAAGAGACTACCAACGACATCTTGTCCATGTAATTCATCCGCCATGGTGCCAACCACCCGGAACGTAGATGTGAGACCATAACTATCGATCCGGCAAGTCGTGCGCATATCTCGACTCGGTCTGGAGAATATGAAACTTGCAGTCATGCGACATGCATATGACGCGATATGGATATTCTATCTAACGGCAGTGTATCTCTCCGGCATCATATCTCATCACAGCGGTGGATGCGCCGTTTGTGATCTAGTCATCAATGCAGGTGCATACGCTAAGTGATTGCACCACACCACTTACTTATCATGAGCGATAAATGATGTACTAAAGAAGGGCTTGTCAGAATTGGGAAGAGAGCAATAGCGGCCGGGTTTGACATCCACTACAATGTATGCTCGCGTGTAAGTTCCAGAAGAGCCAGACGAGTAATGAAATCACAAAATGCAAAGAATCACTCGCTCCAGATAGCTATCAGTCCTTCAAGCGGTATAGCGAATAGTGTGAGACGAGTCCGAGTCTGGCGTTTGGGATGGATAGATAAATGAGAAATGTACCATACCCAGAACGGCATTCTCGTTGGTGTCATCACCCACGAACCAGGTGTTACCACTATGTGGAGTACGCTCTGACGAAGAATGCTGATTTTGATGATGATGCAGGGCGATGAAAAATATATATGCGTAGTTGCTCTAATGTCCCCTCGAAATGCTGAATACAAAAAATGATCACCGGTAAAGCCAAGGAGGAACGAGACACACAGTAGTTCGCTTTATTCTCTACACTGGCAAATATAACCACACGGAAATACTGCACGACAACGAGGTCCCCAGCGAGGTCGAGTGAGGAACAGTTTTCTTTTTCTGGATGGGCAATAGGGCACTCAAGCTCAAGACCGGAGGGCACGCTATTATAGACTGAGTTCGGTAGGACAGAAAAAGAAAAGCGAACTCAATGGTTTTAAAATCGCCATGCTATCCAGCGGAGGGGACTTCTGAGAGCACTCCTAAAACTTGAAGATTACCAGCAGGAATACAAGCCTGTGCCACAATGGTCGGGGTCGTGTGCTAACGAGAACGCCCACGTTGCATAATGCTTGTGCTACATAATGGTTGACGAGAAACGAGGTAACATGAGGGGGCGGATTGAATGGAAAGAGAAGAGATAGGGCCTTACATACGTCGTCGGTCGACGGATCTATATGGTCAATCAAACAGACAAATGGAGACAAACGGGGAACATCAGGCTCAGGGAGCACTAATATCGACGTACGGGGTAGGATCCTAGTAACGGCAGGTCATGATACAATGGTCGTCAATTGAACACACCCCTGCAGGTTCTACCGAAACTTCTGCCATCTGACGGCAATAACAGTTCTGCAAAATCGATTAGAATCGAGCCTATACTAGGTATATGCAGGATATAAATGCTGGTCGTCGTCCTATAGTGTTCCCCCATCCTTGGAAATATCATCCGAGATTCCCCTCAGAAGATTCCATATCACCTCGCACAGAAAATGCGTTTCTTCTTCCTCGCCGTTGTTGTTGCTTTCACAGTATCTCTGTCTGTCGGTGCATGTAGCACATCAGCTTGCAACGTATCTCCAGATTGCTGCGAGGACATGGTTTGTGCAAGTGAGGTGAGTATGAGCAGGTCGCTGTGCAACCAGGATTTAACCGCATTACTCACCCGCGCGCCTCAGCCTGGAGGTTCCAGATGCGTTTGAAAACTGAGGTGGCAGCCTGAGTGGCATGCCGCGACAGTCAGTCATGTTTCTACTTTCGCTTTGGTATCATGGTTGATGGTGCAATACCTAATTCGGATTCAATCAGTACAATTATTTTGGGACAGATCTTCGCGCTGCTCAAGCAATGGATGTTTGAACTTATCTGAAAATGATCGACTGTGCTTAGTCTTGTTCGTGGTCCACTAATGTTGAGTTCGAGAGGCTGTCGAAACGAGCGATCATTGCTTTTGATAATTGATATTGGGAAGCTGTACGAAGATGGAACGCACCGCGCAGCTTGAACCTATTCGTCTAATGTTGGCCTCGAAGGTTAGCTCATGGATCTGTCTCGATGTGTGATGGAGCCAACGAGACGCCACTTCGTTGCCGATTGTAATTTGTGACAGACGTGTTATTTTCTGGTACGTAATTAAGCCCAAGGTCATATGGGAGCGCACGTTATGATGAAAGTGAAAAAGAGGGTGATAAAGATAAAGATAAAGAGGATGAATATTACCGCGTGCACGGTACTTTCCATCGAAGAGTAGCGTGGGGAGCTCGGGAGAGATTCTATTCATCGAGCAGGCGTTGTATGAGGTGCAAGGGACACAGTTGACGAGGAAGAGGAACATGGAAGAGCGTTGATACCTTGATAGCAGTTTCGTAAACACTGTTCCGTGTCTCCGAGGGAGTACAGGGTCGTCTTGGCTATGTACCATGGAATAACTTGATATCGTCGTGATTGTTGGATGGTGACTAAAACTTGAAAGGGAGCTGTGGCGGCAGGTGACCACGTGTAAGCCTCACTAGCCTTCATCGCATATTAGCTGCCATCTACAATATGAATCTCGTTGACACGTACTTAGAATGGTACTGTCAGTTTCGGTTAACCGTCTAGTCGAAGCCCAACAAAACGGTTAAGACCTGTGATTACAAATGATCAACTTCAATATCTGGCTTGACGTGGCGTTTTGCCTCGTTACAGCCACGTCACGGGGATTAAAACGAATTCTAACTGAGGTCATTCTGACACACAGCAGTGCATGCTAAGATTAGAGTATGGCGAGGCAGCACATTAAACGACGCAGCTCGAAGGCTCGAAGTCCAATGCCGACAGTCACTGATGGATGATGGATTCCCCTGGACATTTCCCGCCGAAAACACATACCCGGTGGGAGTACCGGATGTGTTCGAGCAAGTGCTCAATGCCCATGCACATAACTAGCTGGTAATGAATAGGGCACTGAGGGCGGTTCAACCATAGTGATAATTTTCTTGCTTCGCGATTTCGGTCTATGGTCTGTTACAAGGGCTGCGAGAGCGAGAAGTTCGTCGTCACCATCGTCTTGCGCTGCAGCCAGTTGTGCAATGGCGAGGACGTCAAGCTGATTATCTGTAGACTGATTGTACTTCAGTGGCCGACGTCCGAGACGTCGTAAGACATATGAGGTATTGATAGGTATTGCCCGCATGGATAATTCTATCGCATTGTTAGAACTCCGCGATGACGAGCGTTGAACAACATACCATATATCATTTTATTTTCTCTCGCTTGCGTATTCCCCATTCGCTAAAAAAAATCAAATGTAATTGAGTGGGGTAATATAAAAGCAAGTCATCTTCCTACCTTCACCAGCCTCCACCCACCTCAAAGAAATCATTCGAGCCCTCAGCAGATCATACCGCCTCAAACAGACAATGCGTTTCTTCTTCCTCACCTTTATCGTTGCGTTGACAGCATCTACAATGTCTGTCACAGCAAGGGGACCACTCTGTAGCGGACGTGACGAGAATTGCGTAGAGAGTAGTAACTGCTGCGATAAACAAGCTGTCTGCAGTGGTGGTATATGCATCTCTCCCGACTAGGACATCCCACCCTGAGAACAAGCCGATTTGCACGTCACTAGTGAGCGATCCCGCATTCGTACTGGTGCTGTTGTTGATTGAACAATACATAGGACGCTGCTGATTGAGAAATAAATAGAGGCGATATTGGGTGGAAGGAGGACATGATACGAGTGCGTAAAGGTATTTGCGTACTGTTTGGTCTGGGGTAAACAGAGTACCATGGGTCAAATTGGCAAGCCACAAATCAAATGCGTGTTAGCTACAAGATGGGCTATTCGATCAGATCAAACGTGCACCTTTCACCGTCTTCACTCAACGTCCAAAGAGAATCGGGGTCAATATCGCGTGCTGGCAAATTCGATATCAAAGAGGTGCCGACCTGGCCATATGCACTAACCCTGGACGGCTCGCGGCTAAGATGAACACCTGACTGCCAAGTTGAACATCATAATAATGTAGAAGTTGTAGTGTTCGAACTGCAGGTCTCGATGAATGATAGTGTGATGGGTTACAAGTAATATTCATACCAAGCATGAGCGACTCGATTCTTTCAAACGAAGTTGCTTGTTAAAAAATGCAAGATGTATGGGGAAATGGCCTGAGGGTTTGAACGATTCATAGTTGTTGTTTTTGGATCTAAAAACCAGAAAATACGGGGAGGATATTCAGGAGAGGAAAGGGGTAGATAACAACTAGGGCCGCCAAGATACCAGCGTTCTTGAGCTTACTGTACGAGGGTTTAATCATTAGTCAAATGGTCGAAACTGTGGAGATTGGGCGCACCGCAAGTTGTGCAGTAACACGTTTAGGAACTTCTAAGATGCGCGATTCAAGCCGACTTCACCGATTCCAGCGTGTATTCCTGTAAGGCCGCTGGACAAACGCAACAAGCCCAGGGTCCGAACGATTCGTCGGTTATTCTTAGATCTAAACACCAGACAGCATGAGGAGAGGTTCCGGGAGAAATACCAACTTAGTTCGACGAGAGTATATTTATACTGCATACCGTCTTGAGCTCGACACATGCATATTTGATGATTGGCCAACGGTCGGAACCGTGCAATGACAAGTTTAGGCGCTTCTGAGGGCGATACCACAAACTCTAGCGCATATCAAATATGGACAGATCATGCAAAACGCGTAGGTCCTAACCGAGGTCGAGTGAGGAACGATGTCTGGATGGGTATTTTCAAGCGAGAAGTCTGTATAGTGGTACATTGAGCTTTCGAAGACGATTGACAAACGGGTGACAAACTCATGAAATAGTCAAGAGCACAAAGCCGCGAGCAACGATTTCAACAAGAATGCAAGTTGTTTGCCATGGGGACCCAAGTTTTGGCGGGTCGTTCCGCGTGGTGTGTGTGATTTAAGTAACAGTACAAGCCTAGCAAACTTGTACTGTTACTCAGATCAGTGTTCCACAATAGTCGGGGACATGTCTCAAAGAGAACGCCCACATTGGATAAGGTTTGTACTAGTAGTTGATAGGATACAGGGTAACTTGGATGAGGGGGTGGATTGGATGGAAAAAGAAGAGAAGAAAAGAGATAAGGCCTTACATATATATCGTCGGTCGATTTGCGAGGCGGGTTTGTATATATAGTCAATCAACAGACTAGACGGAGACAGATCGGGGAGCACTTATATCGGGTGTAGGCTCACATTTTGGCATCGATGCTTGAATGTTGAAGAAACCGAGTCTTGCTGTTTTGAGAAAGACGGTCCGATTGTTTCCGGGACTAGCCGCGGCGGACCTTCAACTTGCAGTTATGACGTCTGTTGATGGTTTTGTTACGACCTTGTCTGCTCTACCATCGCAGTCTTATAATCAGCAATCCAACTTTCCTCTCTGCGGGATCATTATTGGAGCTCTCACAACAGACTTAGGGTGCCGCGTTGTTGACACTGGCTCAGTTCTGTTTTGGGACTACCATGGCGTGTATCCGACCGTAATACGCGAGATTTGAACATGTCGCGTCAATGCTGGCGCGATGAGAAAAGGAATTGGGAGATTGGGGTACGCCTGTTCCGCTTAGTCGTTCTTTGTGTTGGGTGGGTGGAGTCACTTTTCTATGTACTCCATCACCTCTACTCTCTCGCGGTTTGAGCCTGGGAGGTGGTTGCGCGGTGATGCGAAAGCGATTGCTGATGAGGTAGGTGACAAGTGGTGAGTGTAAAGTTTGAATTTTTGATTCTGATTCTGATCCCCGTGTGGCGCGGGCGTGGTGATCTCTTGTTCATTATCTAGCTACTCCCCACGTTTTATCATCCATTCCAAAGCTACTACTCACTGCCCAGGAACCCGTCTCAACATGGCTTCTCATAATCAGCTTACTCGCAACCCTTGATATACGCAAAGCGAGAGATGAGAAGGCCGTGGAGATGGAGTTGAGTCTGTTGCTAGGTTTTAAAATACTGTTCTTAGGTGGGTTTTTCATTTTGCTCTGGGTGGTTTTTGGTTGGGGGCGGGAGTTTCGGTGGATTCTACTTGCGTTCGTTTTGAGTTGGGGATTGTGGTGCATTGCGTTCGTGTTCGTTGAGTTGGGGTCGCAGTCGTGATGCAACGCATCGACCTTCACTTAGAGGCAGAGACGATTCGCGGATGCGCGGACTTTTGCTTCCATCTACATACTGTACATCTTCGTTATAAGGTTTTGGAATTTGCTTTTGATGTCTTTCTTGTGGATCGTGGCCTTGCATTTTTTATATCCCTGTCTTGTCTCGTTCCCCTCCCCTTTTGCCCTTTCCGGCCTTTCATACACACCGCTTTTCAATGCACAACGCATCCCAGCACCCCCGCTAACCCACTCATCTTATCTTACAGGACACCAAGACCGGTTACTAGTTTCTTATGTCTCACCTACGACTTACTCTTCTCATGGCTTGTCTGAAGCCGCGCAAACCATGGACAACTTTCCAACATGCTGTCGACCACTGCTCTAGATTGACTATTGATCCAGGGGGTCGCGCACGTACCCAGCTCGTCTGGAGGATGTGAGTTGCGGCGTGCGTCGCCACCCGGAATATTTCCTCACGCTGTACATCACCTCTGTTCCATATGTTGTTGTTCTCATTCGTGTCTTCTATTGAAGCATGTCGGTCTATTGTTTCGTGTAAATTGCTACACGTATCTGCTTCAGTCATTAACTATAAATTTAAATATATTCCTGAGAGAAGAATCAGATTCAAGAATGCGCGAGTGTCGTTCGGGCGGTGCTTGCGAGCCGAGCAAGCACTCAGTACTCAACACGTGGGTGCTCGAGTTAACAATATTGTATTCAAAAAAAAGTCTACACATACAACATACAATGATAGATAAAGGATATATAGGGATGGGTAGCGTGAAGGGAACGAGATGAAGAGCGCATTACCAGGATGCCAACCAGGGAAAGAACGAGATATTGCAGGCAGCCGCACGAGGCGGCGAGGATGACAAGAAGGTGCGGGAGGTCGAAGTAAGCAGCGGAAGATTGCGATAGGTCACGGCAGCAGTAGTAGTGCCAGGTGTCTGAGCAACACTAGATCATTCACGGAAGGGAGAGGAAGGGGGTTGCCAGGGCGGTGACGTTGCCCTTGGAGCGTGGGGCTGTGGACGTATGGAAGGTGGACTTAGAGGCAAGGGGCAGCGGGAGGTCGTATCGATGACAGCACCATGGCTGCAGGAGGTTGAGGGAGCAGGCAGCTGACGGGCGGGTGCGTTGCTGTGCCAGGGTAGTAGCCTAGTAGGAGGTTGCATGAGGTTGCCATTAGGCACGGTCGCAGTAAGTCATTAATATTTTGATGGCAGCACCAGGGCCGTGGGAGGGCGTGTCTTGAGTCGGGTGCAGCTGTACATAGGTCACTGAGGAATTCGAAGAGTGGGCGGGTGATCATTGTTCTGTGAAAGGGAGGCCGTTGTCGACGAGAAAAAAAAGAAAGACGGATGGCAAAAGGAGAAAGAATATCCAGGGCCAAAGAGAATGGCTGTTCGGACTTTTTAACACAGGCAATGGTCCGAGCTAGCTCGGGGTCATAAGGGTGCTAGCCTAATAGACTCGTCCAAAACCTTCTTAATTTTACATTGCCGCGATGGTAACGCGATGGATAATCAATCAATCATGCATGGATTGATAAACGCGGCTGAATCTATCAAAAGAGAGCAGCTGCAGAATGAACAGACACTATGCCCTCAACTTCACCATGACCCTCCTACCCTGCGCTGTCCTCTTCTGCGTTCCATTTGTTGTCGCTTCACTCCCAAGTCCCAACGATATCTATATCCTTACACTCGATGCCAGCGACTTTTCATCCTGCAACACCAGGACCTTGTGGGACATTCTCTTGAGCTGTTGGTTAACTTTGTTTGCGTGCACCTGGACTGCCATCCATCCGGACATTCCGCGCATGGGCGAGGGGAAAGTTGCTATTACCTTTCGTCGTCTACTCCTCATGGTCATGGCGCTGCTCGGCCCTGAATTCGTGATCTCCTGGGCCGCATGGCAGTTTTTATGTGCTCGTCAAGTCACAAAGGACTTCAATGATGCCTTCGGCGCGCAACACGCCAAGCCCCATGGCGACCATCGAGCCGTGCAGCAGAACGAGCCGGCAATTTTGTTACTTGACGACATCTCAGATTCAAGCAAAATTTCAAGCGCAGGTCAGTTACATATACTCGGACTCTTCAATCAGGAGGAAACGAGCGTGAAACTGATGCTTTCACAGGATGGACACTGACTCACGGGTTCTTCGCCTGGATGGGTGGATTCATGCTCTACGTCGATGGTAAGCCGCGGGCCACTCTCACACCCGATGAACTCCTGCAGTTTGTTCGTGAGGGATCTGTGGAGATGCCTGTCATCACAGAGGCAGACATAGAAGATCGAAGTAAGGGCGATGTGCTATCCAAATCGGTCGCCATTCTTCAGCTGGTGTGGTTCATCATCGCCCGCTACGCCCAGCACCTCCCAGTAACACTGCCTGAAATTGACACCCTCGGTATAGCCGCTCTGACCTGCATTGCCTATGGCTTGTGGTGGAAGAAGCCGAAGGACGTAGGACGTCCTTATATTGTTCATTGGAACTCGGGGACAACTACTCCTCCACCACGTGACAGCTTAGCCAACGAGTACGTCATTGTCACCAATATTCTTGGCAGAACTTGTTCTGATTTGTATGCATTCTATGTAGCAAAGGACATAGCGCATTGCTAATCCTTCGGTCTCTACTACTTGACCACAGGTCCGGGATTCGATGGTCTAGTGGCCTGACTCGGGGACAGATCATAATCACCATTATTGGAGGCATTAGTGGGGTGCTGTTCGGAGGAATACATTGCCTGGGCTGGAATTTCTTGTTTCCGATACACACAGAGCAGACATTGTGGCGTGTGGCTTCCATTGCGATAGCATATTCATTTGGAGTGATTTTGTCGTCCTATTTTATGGAAAGGCTGTCGATACGCTTTATGCGGCGCCGTTCTGTGGAGTCTCAGAGATATGGAATTTTCACCCTAATGATCTATTACATTTCTGCACGTCTTACTCTAATTGTACTTATGATGCTGAGCTTACGATCACTACCTCCTGGTGCATACGACACAGTAGCTTGGACAAGTTTTTTTCCACATGCAAATTTATAGTTTTATTGCATTGCTGTAACAGACTCGTATGGTAGCTTGCCTGAGTCTTTGTCGATCGCTGTTGAAATCGGAAGTGCAAGCACGACCCGGTTAAGTTCAAACCTAATAACCAACGGGTTGCTGTTCCAAACCACACGAGCAACGCTCGATCTATTGAAAGGGTGCTACATGGATATGAGTAAACAGCAACCAGTTCGATTGAAATGTGGCTGCGACAGTATATGGATACCCTGCGTACGTGCATGCCATCGATCGAGGGATGGAAAAGGGCATTCCTGTAATAGTTTATGAATGCATGTGAGTATCATACCAGTCCATCTCCATCGTCTGTATGATTGTGTAGACGGCGGCTTCAAAGGAAAATCGGACACTCGCGCATACGAAGACTTGGATATGAAGAAGGCATAGTCTCCATCAAGGACGAGTGTGATTGAAAAGTCGGTCATCGATACGCGAAAGCGGCCGTGGTGAGAAGTTGACTAGGTCAGCACTCCTGGTAAAAAAATTCACGAGCCGCTCATTCTTGGAATGTGGAGGAGTGTGAACATATGCACACTGACACAATGAGAAACGGAATTGGGGAGATTTTGGTGTGTCTGTTCCGCCTAGTGAGTCGTTTTTTGTGTGGCAGCCCGAGCAGCACGTCGCGATAGTGAGTCATGTTTCTGCTTTCGTTGCAGTATTATGGTTGATGGTGCAATACCTAGTTCGGAGTCAATCAGTACAGTTGTTTTTAGACAAATTTTTGTGCTGCTCAAGCAATGGATGTTTGAGCTTGTCTGAAAATGATCGTTTTTCTGCACGCCACTTCACAGCAAATTCGGACCGTAACCTATCACCCACCATAATGACGAGAACTTCTCAACCTCGTCGATGCACAGGTTCGCGATGAGTAACAGATTAGGATGGGAGACTGGGGATTCGAGCGAGAGTTAACGAAGAGGATTATCAATGTCTGCTCAAATTCCGAATGTGGAGTCCGAACCTTAAGAAATGATCCTCTAATAAGTAACGAATCTCTAAAGCTCTTCTTGATCATGTGCATGAGAACTCGCAAGATTCAGCACAGCAGCTGGTGGGCAAGAGTAACAGAGGCTGCATCAGACTTGACAAGGTGGGGTTTGACACAGTGAGACGATACTTCGCACTGCTGTCTGAAAACCAACATTAGATCAATGGTTAGAAGCAATACAAAAAAATACAACACAAAATGCACACGCAGAGGGAAAGCGAGTGAGGGGTGAATGCAGCCGCACTCCAGAGCCTGTACGCAGATGGATATTCATATACATATGTGGATCATTAGCGGGGATTCAAAGTGCTTGGAATTCATTTCAAGCGATGTTTGAACATGATTGTACCCCTAGTACTAGACGATGCCGCATCACATAGGTAGGCCACATAAGCAGCGTCAATTTCACCTGACCCGAGCGGTCGCCGACTGTGAGTTACTTTTGATTCTGGTTTTGATCCCGGCGTGACCCGGATATCATCTTGTTTATAAGTTCATTCCAAAACCATCCCCACCAACAGCCGCGGCCCAGGAACCTACCTCAATATGGCTTCTCATAACCAGCTTGCTCGCAACCCTTGATATACGCAAAGCGGGTGGTCAAAAGGCCGTGGAGATCGAGTCTGTTGTCAGATTCAAGAATGCTGTTTATAGGTGGGTTTTTCGTTTCGTTTTTTGGAGTGGGTTTTGCCTTCGATGATTTTTGGTTTGGGGTGGGAGTTTTAGTCGTTTCTACTTGCGTTCATTTTCAGCTGGAGGTTGTGGTGTATTGTGTTCATGTTCGTTGAGTTAGGGTCATGGTCGTAGAGCATCGCGTCGACCTCTACCAAGAGGTAGAGATGATTCGAGGATGTGGGGACTTTTACTTTCGTTTACATACCGTGCGTCTTCGTTTTTGGAATTTGCTTCTGATATCTTTCTTGCGGATCGTGGTCTTTGCATTTCTTATCTCTGTCTTGTCTTGTCTCGTTTACCTCCCCTTTGCTTTTTGCCCGCTCCTTTCTTTAACACGGCCTCTTTCCAACGCGCACACAACACATGCTAGCACCTTCGCTAACCCAACCCATCCTGTCCTATAGGACACCAAGACCGGTTCACTACTTTCTCGTGTCTCCCACGACTTACTCTTCCCTCGGCCCGTCTGAAGCCGCGCAAACTATGGACAACTCCCCAACTTGGTGAGACATGCTGTCGACCACTGCTCTGAATTAACTATAGATCCAACGAGTCGCACACATACCCCAACTCGTCTAGAGTCTAGAGGATTTGGGACTTGGGAAATGCATACAACCAGAGATGAGTTCCCATGCCTTCCCCGAAAATGCAACGATAACTTGAAGTATGCAACGTTGATGTAACAAGGTTACTACTGACGAAGCTCGGCTTTGTCTAGTTTAAATACGTTCCAAGAAAATCCCATCGGACTGAATAAATATTTTTCTCTCTAACTCCCAGCGCTAATCGCTATCACATCGTGTGGGTCACGTTCAACGGTTGAAAGCTTCCTTTCCTGTCGTATGATCATAATTTTGGTGAATTAGCTTGTCATGGGGCATTGACCGTGACTGGCTGCCCCAAGCCGGTTTATGAGTAGACCATGCTACTATACCATTGGAAAAGTTCGTGGACAGTTAGACAGTTTCTTCAAATTTGGAATATTAAGCCAACCTACTTTCCCCCGAGCATTATGCGTCCCATTCCTGGTGCCAAATGCCCAACGTTTCCATATAGCGCTTGAGTTGCCTCTCATCCCCTTCGCACACGACAGCCTCTTTCCACTTGTCGTCAGGCTCATCAGAACGAAATACACACAACCCAAAGTCGATGAGCACCGCTCGTCTAGGGTGATTATTGGATACGACAATATTGTCTGGGCGCATATCCGTATGGATGACACCGAAAGACGCGAGGGTGTTCACGGCCTTTACGAGCTCCTGGTATGCCGAACTAGGGACTAAACGGGGATCTTGGGTGGTTGCGAGGTTTTCGCCTGGGATGTATTCCATGAAAAGCACCCTTGGAGATATGGCGCGACCTTCACCGTGGCCTGAAACGACTCGACCAGAACCATAGAGCCGGGGGATGGCAGAGCCCTGAAGGTGTCCAAGGCGTCTGTAGGCTTCGACTTCACGTGCAAACGAATCCTCATACTCGCGGTAGTAGGTTTCCTCCCACAATGAACCATCCAAGAACTCTCTCTCCCACTGAGGGACTCTACTATTGTCGTCGCCCGGTGCGAGTGTACGACGGTCAGCTGCAGCTTTTTCATTGGCAGCGGACCAGGGGATGGGATATTGTCTTGGGAGTGGCATTGCACGCTCGTAGTTAAACCGAGGATCGTATATTTTGGCGATTAGTAGATTGGGGAGGCCAGCTCTGACAGGGACGTCCTCGATTTCGACGAGTAAGACTTGGCATTTTGTGAAAGGGGTAAATGCCTTGCGAATAAGAGCAGCGCATATGAACGAGGTTTTCTCGTCGTTGGAAAGAGATACCTGCAGTTGGAGGCGACCTCTTTGTGTGTAAGTTTCTTCTACCATTGTCGCACAGGAGCTTTGAAACATTTAGGGGCTTTGTGAAGCTGGTCGAACTTTTTATTCCCAACTTGGGCAGCTTTTGCTTAGCCCCCACTCAACGTCAACCGCCATAGCGCTGGCACAACAACAATATCTACCCACAGAAAGAAGCAAAAAGCATCTGACATGACTATCGACGATATCAATGCGCTACTGCGTACTGTTGCAAAGTATGATGAGCATGTACAGGTACGAGCAGGCGGAACGAGAGTTAATAAAATGAAGTAATCCCGGTCTCTAGAATGTATTGCACGAGCTATGCACCTAATAGAACGAAGTACTACAGACTTGTATCGCGCGCTGAGTTGCTGGTTCTTTTTGATGACCGTTCAGTGTAAGCAGGGGAAGAGGACACTGGTTCCTGTCATAACAGGTGCTCCCTATATTGGTAGGCAAACGAGGCCAACGCAGCTGCCGACGCTTGAATAAATCGCGCTGGTCACGCTGGTGTCGTTCCCACAGATGCTAGCAATCGAGCTGAATCTAGATAATCCATTAGAAGTGTACGAGTCCTCCATGTCCTGATCTGCCTTGTTGCAAGGAAGCGCTCAAAAGCTCATTGTCAAGCGGTTGTCTGAGAGGGTGTGGCATATGCGAGGACGGAAACAGCGAACGAATCTCCGGTACAAGGGAGGAGCGAGAAAGCATAAAGATGTGGGGCTCTGATGCTCTATGAGCCAAAGAAGGGCGGGGGTAAGGGCCATAGGAAGCATAAGAGCCGTAACTTGTCGCACGTGTGCTTGGCCCACTGAGGTCGGACGATGAACGGGCCATGGACTGACCTGACCCTGCAGGCGATATGGGCGGCCTGAGAAAGATTGTATCATTCTCCTGCTTTGCAACGCGTGCGAACGGGATGATGCATGAGCCTAAGGAGATTGATGTCAAGGCTTGCGTCTATTTGGGAAGTGGGTAAATGGCTGGCTGGCATTTGCACTTGGCATGAACATGGTGACTGGCAGCGACACTCTGTGTGTGTTCAGAAGGTCATTATTGTCCTGCCAAGTCAAGTCTGCTGGTAAAGGACTGACATGAGGGGTAATTTCGGCAGGGGTGGCGCGGGTTACGGGCTGGTTTCATTCACACTGGTAGTCAGATTGGGATGGCAGGGAATGGAGACGCGAAGATGGCAGCTAAAGCCGCATAACGAGTGTGGGTCCTCAAGGATGACGTGAGGTGGTGACGGCGGAATAGGTGGGGGAGGAGAGGGCGGTAATCGATCTTGAGATGGTACAGCCGGGGGTGAGGCCTTTAGTTATTAGGTTGATTTGGGACAATGAGCATCTTGAGTAGGATTCAGGTGCAGCTCGTCAGGCCTTCAGGTGGCAACCAGATGTGGAGTGAGCAATGACGTGTCTTCGGGAATATGAGTAGACTTTCGAAAACTTCGGCCACGAGTCTGCTGGGTGTGACATGGAAAGGGATGGACTCGAAACGTTCCTCGTGCTGAGATAGAGCAAGGAGTACTGGGCTCTAAAGAAAATCAGAAGCTTGAGAAGGAAACGTCGCGGAGGCAGGCGATCGAAGGCCATCATCTAGCTGAGATTGAGAGGAATCAGGACTTATTTTGGCGTGTCTCAGGCCCAGGTGTGGGCAGCCCTAGAAGCTGGCTGGTTCTTTTTCATGACAGTTCATTTGCCAGTCAAGGGCGCAAATTAGATGCCTAAATGTACAGCGTTAGCCTGACTTGCTATAGCAACCCTGTGATCTTCGAGCTCACATGCATGGGCTTGACGCTTCTTCACATATGGGTAGATACTAGATAGAAGCAGGTCCTCCATTAATCTAAAATTAGCATCCCCACCTAACAGCCACTGCCACCTCAATCCAGCTTGCTCGCAACCTTGATTAATGTTTGATTTGCACTCTCGCAGTTGAGGTATGTTTGACCTTACAGCTGGTATAGTTGCAGGCGCTGGCATTACACCCTAGCTAATCTCTCTGTTCTAGGTACTTGATGTCATAGCGTTGATTCACACTCCCGCTGAGTTAGTCTCTAGCGCACATGAGCTTCCCTAAAGATGCTGCGATGAATTTGCAAATACCAAGCCTTTGGCCGATGAATCAATATTCAATGATGGCCCTTGGCAGTGTCTGTAACGGCACTCCGCTCTTATATATACACAACTCGCGAGATATCAATCTATTATCACCATGCCCTCTACATTCACTCACGAGTTCAACGCGTCCGCTTTCAAGGGAAAAGTTTCCTTCAACACCGGCCTCTTCATTAACGGCCAGTTCCTGGATGGATCAGACAACACCACCATTGAGTATGATCTACACTTGTCACTAATCGATCACTTCCTACTGATCTCAACAAATTTAGCGTCATCAACCCCAGTACGTTCTGTTGACTTTGATATTCACCATCTTACATGAACTCGATGCACAGCAAATGGAAAGATGACAACGTCAGTGTCCGAAGGTACTCCCAAGGATGTCGACCTTGCCGTCGACGCTGCACAGACAGCCTTCGATACCATCTGGGGTCTTCATGCGCCCGGTGCTCAGCGTAGCATTTTGATGTCAAAGCTTGTTGCGCTCATGAAGAAAAATGCTGACGAGCTTGCTGCTCTGGAGGCATTGGACAATGGTTAGCACATGGTCCAATTAGCAAGCATCTGAATTGTTAACCAATACTCGCCAGGCAAGACTTTCAATTGGGCAAGAAATGTTGATGTTGCTGGTTCAATTGATTGTATTCGCTACTATGCTGGTTGGGCTGATAAAATTACTGGTCAAGTACAAGAGGTCTGAAGCTTTTCGACAATCAGCTTCGCTCATTTGCTGACAATTGAGCAGACTACCGAGGATAAGCTCACCTACAGTCGCCACGAGCCCATTGGTGTCGTTGTAAGCGCACTTTTCGCAGCTCCCAGATCCTCCTCTTATACCCGTTTAATAGGGTCAAATCATCCCATGGAATTTCCCATGTGCGTTGATATCAGTCGTTTGAAGTGTCATGCACTCACTCTTCCCTTCGCAGTGCTCATGATGGCCTGGAAAATCGGTCCTGCTCTTGCATGCGGCAACACCGTCGTTCTAAAACCTTCAGAGTTCACACCCCTGACCGCCATCCGAATGTGCCACCTTATCAATGAGGCTGGCTTCCCGCCTGGAGTAGTCAACGTCGTTACTGGTTATGGAAACACTGTCGGTAATGCCATCTCTTCGCATATGAAGATTGAGAAGGTCGCCTTCACTGGCTCAACCCTTGTTGGTCGCAAGATCATGGAGGCTGCAGCGAAGAGCAACCTCAAAAACGTCACCCTCGAGCTCGGTGGAAAGAGTCCAAACATCATTTTTGACGATGCAGACATCGAACAAGCTGTCAACTGGGCTGCATTCGGAATCTTGTGAGTATAGCATGCTGTCATGCAAACTACACTTATATTTCACCAGCTGGAACCACGGACAGACGTGTACCGCAGGTTCGCGTATCTACGTGCAAGAAGGCATCTATGACGAATTCTTCAAGCGCTTCATGGAGAAAACTCGGTCGCTCAAAGTCGGCGACCCATTTGCCCCCGACACTTTCCAGGGTCCTCAGGTCTCAGAGATTCAATTCAACGTACGTCGTGAGATACTTCCGTAACAATTCATCTGTCTCATGCATGTTACAGCGTATCATGTCTTACATTGAGTCCGGAAAGGCGGCTGGTGCCAAGGTTGAGATTGGTGGTGAGCGTCATGGAAGCGAGGGTTACTTCATCAAACCCACCATCTTCACCAATGTCGACCCATCGATGAAGATCGTCCAAGAGGAGATTTTCGGTCCCGTTTGTGTCGTTATCAAGTTCAAGGATGAGGAAGACGTGATCAAGCAGGCAAATGACACATTCTACGGTCTTGCTGCTGCTGTTTTCACTCAGAACCTGAACCGTGCTATCAACACCGCGCACAGACTCAGGGCTGGAACTGCATGGATTAACTGCGTTAACTCATTCAACTCCAATGTACCGTTCGGTGGTTTCAAGCAGAGTGGGATCGGTCGCGAATGCGGTGACTATGCCCTAACTAAGTGAGTGTTGCGTCCATGATATATTAGCACAAACTCATATGCTCTCAGTTACACTGCAGTGAAGGCTGTCCACATCAACCTTGGCCACAGGATGTGAACTGGAGGAAATGAAATATAACTGGGCGCAGGTTTGAGCATAATACACGTGTAGGATCTTGAAATCTCATTGTGTTTACTATCGTGTTACAACAATTGATGCATGTTAGTTTCGAATTCTCATCAGCGGAAGATATCAGGAAAGGTTCAGAGAACAAAACATAGCGCACTCGAATAATTAGAACTTGGGCCTTGATAGCAAGAACTTCGGGGACTCCTCTGATTTCACCATTCCCGCTTTGACTGGCTGCTGTAAGTCTTAACATAGTATTTTCTATTAATTGGACTGTGAAAAACAAGTACGCGATAAACTAACCGCAGCATGGATGGGCGGTTTCAGGCGAGGAGTCTGTATAGTCCATTGAGGTTTCTACATAGGATGATCGAGAAATGGACGACGAACTCACGAAAGCGCGAAGGGCACAAAGCCCCCAGCAAAGGCAATCTAGTCATAAATGCACGCTAATCGTACCGCACATCAAGAACAGAAAGTCCACTCATTTTTGAACGAGATATTCCAAAAACGAGCCAGCTATAGGGGTAGCGAAAAGTGCAAGACGAGTCTGGCGTTCGAGATGAGCAGACAAATGATCAAAATAACAAGCGACCACGAACGCCATCCTCGTCCGTGTCGTCTGCCACCTGCCACGCTGGCAGAACACGGTTCTGCTAGCAGGTACTGTCAGTACTGCCAGCAGAACTGATTCAAATAGTCCTGCCTAGCTAAATCATTCTGCCAAAGCGAATTTCGGCCAAATTATTTGTCACGAGTATAAGTGCGAGTGATCTTCCTACCATTCATTTCATCCCAAAGAGATTTTTGGACCATCTCAATAGTTCATACCACCTTGTACAAACAATGCGTTTCTCCTTTCTCAGTGTTATTGTTGCGCTGACAACATCTAATGTCTGTCAGTGCGTGTGCGAAAGATGGCCAGCCTTGCATCGGTAAAATTAACTGCTGTGATAGAGAGGCGTCCCATCACCACTTACCGTCTATGCCTCATGTATATGGCGTTATGTATTTTTCGGAGGAAAGGCTGCCACATGAATGTAAGTGAACATGAACAGTTCGATCGAAATGTGGCTGTGAAAGCATTTGGATATGTTGCATGTGTGCATGCCATTGAGGGATGGAAAAGGGCAGTCCTGAAATAGTTTATGAACGCATGTGAGCGTCATACTAATATACTCACCTCGTCAGTATCTCCATGTAGCGGCTCCGCACGCTCAACTCCCCGGCTCGTTTGGAGGACAAATATTGGGAGGTTTCAGTGACTAGCAGTAAGTTTAGTCGATGCACACGCACTCACCGTTTGGGGGCACCGCAGCATTTTCACGATGCTCAGGAGGATCGTGGCCTCACATCGATTGAAACACTGTCAAAAAGTTTGATTCATTCTGCCACCTGGCACGCTGGCAGAACCGCTTCAAAATAGTTCTGCCTACAACACTAGTTCTACCTAAATCATTCTGCCAAATAGCATTCTGGCAAAGTTATTTTTCACGAGTATAAGAGTGAGTCATCTCCCTACCATCCACTTTACCCCAAAGAGATCTTTGGACCACCTCAACAGTTCATACTACCTCGCACGAACAATGCGTCTCTCCTTCCTCACAGTTATTGTTGCGCTGATGACATCTATAATGTCCATCAGTGCGTGTGCACACGACGGCGAGACTTGCACCAAGGACGCTGACTGCTGCCTGGAAATGCAGTCCTGCGTTACCTTGGTTAGTAGGAGTAGTTGGCTCTGCATCACTTTCACTTGACGACTCACCCTTTTGGCCCCCTTAATATCAGACGGATGGTAGTAAGATGTGCTACTAGTATACTCCCCCGGCCTTGAGCACAAATGAAGGGACCGGTAAACCCACACGTAGCAACACACTGGTGGGTTATGTTTCCACTTTCGTATCGGTGCTATTGTTGATAGAATAATACGCAGTTCACTGCTGATTGAGAAATAGATAGACGTAATGCAAAGTGAATGAAGTATTTGCGCACTTGTTGGTTTTTGTGTAAACAGAATCCGGGCTTGTAATCCGAAATGGTTTGACCACATCACGGCACATCATCTTCGATTCAGCTACAAATATTAGAATAAGGATGAATGACGGCTACAAGACCATCTCGTTGTAAGGCTGGTAATGAGCTCGATGGGGAACGGTGATCGATCCAAGCCACTTTGGCAGAGTAAACACGTTTGAATGCGCTGAGTTGTAGTTGGGACTTGAGATGGACGATATGTTGCTTGGATCCGAGCGGGGAAAATACTAGGTGTGATTCTGCTATCGAATCCGAGAGTATGCGGCCAGACTATATACATTTGCTGGCTCGGTCATTTTTCGTGTAGAACGGGCAGTAAGGAAATGCTGCGCCACCGCTGCGGTATTTGCCGCGACGTTCCCACTGCATCATAGTACACGTCCGACTCATGTCAATGTGATCGTTCGTTCGGTTTGTCAATTTTAATGCTCGTTTAAATATTGATGTCAATGCAGGTGCGAGTATGCCCAAGCCCTCGACCCGTCAGTACAGCGATGACAGCAAAATTCAAACCGATCAAGACGTCAAGTACAACCAAAGTCTATTGTCAGCTCTCTCCAATCGAAACGTATATTTCAACTGCCGTCAGTGATATCGATGCATGCACGTGTGTATGAGCGCCAGCGCTTGCCGTGGATAAATTGATGACGCAAGTGGAAGTTCGGGCGCTCTTACACCTGCGGCAGAGTTCAAAGGTCAGTTACATGCTCAGACTCTTTGGTCAGGCGGGACTAGCATGCAACCGATGTTTCATAGGATGGACAATGACCCATGGGTTCTTTGCATGAACGGTACATTCATACTCTACGTCAACGGCAAGCCATTGGTCAAGGGCCACTATTACTTCCGATGAACTTTGGCGCTTCCGAAGCTGACCCATGGACATGCCTGTTATCGGAGGCGGACTCGGAGATAGAAGATCAAAGTGAAGATAATGGACTATCGAATGGCGTCGCCATGCCTCAGTTGGTTTAGTTCATTGTCCAGCTCGTCCCCCCTTACACCCAGAGCCATCCAATAGCCTTCAACTTGAAATCGACACTCTGGCCGTCACCACTCCAACCTGCATTCCGTATGGCTGAACAATGATGATACTATCCAAGCTGGGCAAATGAATGTATGTCTCGAATCTCGTCGTCAGATTATTATTTTTTGACAAAAAACATTTGTTGTCCTTTGGGGTCGGATATAGCCCGGTCCACAGGAGCTTACCCTGGCCTATCTATCATTGTCGGACTTAGCGCTTTCATATCATGACACGGTATATTTAGATTCCCTGTGGCCTCGAGGCATGCACGAGTGCATGAGCGTCAGCGCTTGAATCTTGCTTAACACGTATGAATTGATGCACGTTGCAACCCTTCAAAAGAGGACAGAATGAACAGACCCTATGCCATCAACTTTACCATGGCCCTCCTACTCTGCGCTGTCCTCCTCTGCGTTCCGTTTGCTCGCGCTTCGCTCCCAGGTCTCAACGATCCCATATCCTTACACTCAATGCCAGCGATTGTCCATCCTGCAACACCAGGACATTGTGGGACATTATCTCGAGTTGTGGCTTAACTTTGTTTGCGTGCACATGGACTGCCATCCATCCGGACATTCCGGGTAAGAAAGAGGGAATAATTGATGCTGCCTTTCGTCGTCTACTCCTCATGCTTACGGCATTTCTGGCCCCTGAATTCGTGGTCGCCTGGGCCACATGGCAGTTTTTAAATGCTCGCCAAGTTGCGAAAGCCTTCAATGAAAATTTTGGTTTGCAACGAGCCCAGCCCCGCGGCTACTGTCGAACCATGCGGCAGAAGCTGGTAAATATGTTACTTGGTGGAAGCACAAGTTTAGACGATGGTCAGTTACATACTCGGACTCTTCAGCGAGGAAGAAACTAACATGAAACTGATGCCTTGACAGGATGGACAGAGACGCACGGGTTCTTTGCCTGGATGGGTGGATTCGTGCTCCACGTCGACAGTGAGCGGCGGACTCTTACACCCAAAGAACTTCTGGACTTTGTTCAGGCTGGATCTGTGGAGATACCTGCCATCACGGAGGCAGATATAAAAGATCGAAGCAAAAGCGATCTGCTATCCAAATGGGTCGCCATTATTCAGCTTGTGTGGTTCGTCATTCAGCTCATCGCCCGTTACATCCAGAACCTCCCAGTAACACTGCTTGAAATCGACACCCTGGGTGTAGCTGCTCTGACCTGCATTTCCTATGGCTTCTGGTTGAATAAGCCGAAGGACGTACGATTTCCTCATATTGTTCATTGGAAGGACCCAACTGCTCCTCCACCACCTGGCAGCTTAGACAGCGAGTACGTCATTATCATCAACATTCCTGGTAGAACTTGTCCTGATTTGCCTGCATTCTATGTAGCAAAGAACATGGCACATTGTCAATCCTTCGGCTACTATTCAACTACAGGACCCAACGGTCTGGTGGCTTGACTCGGGAAAAGATCATGGTCATCATTGGATGCATCAGTGGTATGGCGTTTGGGGCGATACATTGCCTGGGCTGGAATTTCTTGTTTCCGAGACACGCAGAGCAGATATTGTGTCGTGTGGCTTCCATTGGGATACCATACGTATTTTCAGGAATTCTTCAAGTTCCTATTCTCCTACATTTTCTAGAAAGGCTGCTGCCATCGGAGTCGATCGACGGACAGACATCGGAAAGGCTGCCATTGGAGTCGATCGACGGACAGACATCGGAAAGGCTGCCACCAGCGTTGGTCGACGGACAGACATCGGAAGGACTGCCATCGCAGTCCATTTATATCTACAACCAGATGTTACTCTTGCTGGATATTCCGCAGGTTGTTCCAATTTCATCGCACATCATGTTCCTCTATATTCCTGCACGTATTTCAATAATTGTACTCATGTTCCTGAGCTTACGATCACTTCCTCCTGGCACATATGATACAGTAGCTTGGACCGAGTTTATTCCACATGTAAATTTGTAGTTTAATTACAATTGCTGTAACAGAGTATAGTAACTTGCCTGAGTCTTCATCGATCGCTGTTGAAATCGAAAGTGCGAGTATGACTCGATCAAGTTCAAACTTGATAATTAACAGGCCACTGTTCTACTTACATACTACACGAGAAACGCTCGATCCATCGAAAGGCTGCGACCTGAATGAGTGAACACTGAACGGTGAACAGTTCCATCAAAACGTGAATACGACAGCATCTGGACACACTGCGTGTGTGCATACCATCGAGGGATGGAAAAAGAGTGTCCTAGAATAGTTTATGAACACATGTGAGCATCATACCAATCTACTCACCTCGTCAGTATGACCGTGTAGCCATGGCTAACCATACATGCGACAGAGTTTAAATGTCAGTTACGTGCTCAGACTCTTCGGTCAGGCAGGACTAACATGCAACCGACACGTTTACAGGGTGGAAAATGATCCACAGGTTCTCCGCGTGGATGGGTGAATTCACTACGTCAATGGCAAGCCATGAGTCATTTATGCTACCCATGAACTTCCGCGCTTTGTTCGTAACTCATTCATGGACATGCCTGTTATGTGAGGCAGAGATAGAAGATCGAAGTAAAGGTGGTGGACTATCGAACAACATCGCCATGCTTCAGCTTTTGGGGTTTGTTGTCCAGCTTATCGCCCGTCACGTTCGATCTTCCCTCGCTTAACATATATACTCTGGCTATAAGCGCTCTGCCCTACATTCCATATGGTTAGACAATGATGGTATTATCCAAGCATGTCCTACGTTGGAGTGGGGGACCCCTAGGCGAGGTAGCAGCCGGGTAGCACCGTAGCTTAGTCAGCCACTCAGTGTCCTTCGGGCTTTGTCGTAGCGTAGTGCCCAGCACCATTTTGCCTTGCTCGCGACACGCAGGCCCACAGTCGCAAATACACCGCTCAAACGTCTCATCGCCAGACTTACCGCATTGCACGTGTACCGTGACACCGTATATTTAGATTCCCTGCGCCATCAGCGATCATGATGGCCTCGATGCACCTGTGCATGAGCGTCAGTGCTTGAACCCAGCTTATCACAAATGAATTAACACACTTTCAAAACAGCGGAATGAACAAACACCATTATACATGAGTATGAGGACTAGCGCATGAACCTGCCCCATCATGCATGCATTGACACACGTGGTTGCACCCATCGAAAGAGAGCAGAATGGACAGATGATATGCCCTCAACTTCGCCATGACCTTCCTATCCCGCGCTGCCATCTTCTTTCCTGCTGTTTGTATATCACTCCTAAGTTTCGAGGTTACCTATAACCTTATACTCAGTGTCATCGGCCCCCCATCCTACGACACCTTGAGGGGCATTCTCTTGAACTGCGGCTCAACTTTGTTTGCGTGCACATGGACTGCCATCTATCCGGACATTCCGGGTATGGACGAGGGGGTAGTTGCTACTACCTTTCGTCATCTGCTCTTCATGGTTATTGCGTGGCTCGCCCCTGAACTCGTGCTCGCCTCTGAACTCGTGCTTGCCCCTGAACTCGTGCTCGCCCCTGAACTCATGCTCGCCCCTGAACTCGTGCTCACCTGGGCCTCATACCAATCTTCCTGTGCTCGAATAGTTGCAAAGGCCTTCAATGATGCCTTTGATGCGCAACACGCCCAGCCCCATGGCGATCATGGAGCCATATGGCAGGGCGAGCTGGCACTTATGCTACTCGGTGATATCCCAGACTCAAGCAGAAGTTCAAGCGAAAGTCATTTACTCTCTTCAGTCAGGCAGAAACTAGCGTGAAACTGATACCTTCACAGGATGGACGGTAACGCATGGGTTCTTCGCATGTATGGGTGGATTTATGCTCTACGTCGATGGTGAGCCACGGGCCACTCTCACATCCAATGAACTCCTGCGGTTTGTTCGTGAGGGATCTGTAAAGATGCCTATCATCACGAAGGCAGACATAGAAGACCGAAGCAAGAGTGATGTACTAGCTAGATGCGTTGCTATTCTTCGGCTGGCGTGGTTCATCATCCAATTTACGGTCCGCTACCAATGGGGCCTCCCAGTGACATTGCTTGAAATCGACACTCTGACTGTAATTGTGCTGACCTTCCTTGTCTATGGCTCGTGGTGGGAGAAGCCAAAGGACGTACGACATCCTCATATTGTTCATTGGAATTCGGACGTAACTGCTCCCCCACCACGTGACAGCTTAACCCACGAGTACGTCATTGTCATCAATTTTCCTGGCAGAACTTGCTCTGATTGGCCATTCTATGTAGAAAAGGGTATAGCCCATTAATATTAAGGCTTGCGTCTCTACTATTCGACCGCAGGATTCGACAGTCGAGTATCTCGGCCTGGACTGTGACCAGTTTCTTTGGTCGTGGATGTGTCTATGGGATGATATTTGGATACTTTCATTGCGATACCATAATGGAATTGAATGTCTTCTTTCCGAGCCACGCGGAGCAGATATTGTGGCGTTTGGCTTCCATGGGATAGTATGTTTGTGTTTACCGTTAGCGGTGTTGTTCCTCTGTTTCCGTCTGGCTGGATATTTGGACATACTGCCTGCAGCGGTGTACAACGTATTATTGAACAAATCCGAACATTCACTTTCAGCTAAATTCATGGAGATACTTAGAATTCTCGTCATGTTATACATTCCTATGCGTATTACAATGATTGTACTTATGATACTGAACTTACGATCACTATTTCCTTTCATATACTAGTATACAGTGCCTGGTTATTCCACACAGGTCTGGTCAATTCTAAAATGTCGTTGTCGATGTCGAACTTGACCTTATTGCCATCCTCTCGTAAATTACATGCGCGGACCCTTTTGAGCAGGCAGAGTTCCAGCTATCGGTTCTTGAAGCGGGAGCAAATTGAAAGAGTGTAAGACGAATCTGACGTTGGAAAAGTCGGAGTGCACATCTACACTCGTATCCTCCCAACGCCACTGTCGTCATCAGCCATCTAGCAAGTCTTTATAACATGCGCTCTGTTGGTGAGTGCGGGGCGATAAACACGTGTGGCGGGATAGATGGCCGCTCGGAACGCTAAACGCAAAGAGCTATCGCTGGAAAGACGACAGAGAAGAGACATACAGTGGTTCGCTTTGATGGCATTTATTCTCCATCCAACGGTGGCCGCACAAATATGGATAGATCGTGCACAACACGCACAGGTCACAATGGTGTGTGGATGTGAGAGGGGTCTGTATAGTCCATTGAGTTTTCTACATAGGACGATCGACAAACGGATGGCGAACTTACGAAACTGTCAAGGACAAAATGCCTCGAGCAATGCAAACCGATTGCCATAGGGACCCAAGTTTGAAGAGAACCAAAGGCAATCTGGTCATGAATGCAAGACACCACACGCTAGTGGTACCACATATCGAGAACAGAAAACTCACTCATTTTTGAACGAGAGATCATCCGAAAAACGAACGAGCTATCGGTTCTTGAAGCGGGAGCGAAGAGTGCGAGACGAGTATGGCGTTAGGGAGGAGTACACAAATGATGAATTTATAGCAGTTCATCCCGAACATCATCCTCGCCAGCGTCGTCAGCCATCCATGATACATTAGTTGCATATGTCAAATTTCCGGGAAAGTCGAGGCTAACGTGCTCATTGCTAAGACGTCTAGCGTTGACTCCAAGGTAGGCCCAGTAAAATGAATGTCATATGGAGTCGCTAGTGTTGATTAATCTACCAGGGTATGATGCTCGTGTATAAGCTCAAGTCCAGACAATCGAATACGACCCGTGTCATTTGACCCGCCACTTTCGGGATACGAGCAAGTCAAATCCCAGCTTTTGGGTTTGAAGGCAGAGCTCAGGAGGGTCTTGGTATGGTGCGTTTTGACAACCTTTGCTTTCAGTCAGTCTTATCTTTGACAGTCATACATCTATATACTATAGCTCGAAGCTCTGCCCTCAGCACTAGAAGAAAGGAATGATTTTGACAGTCCGCATGTTCTGAAGGCTGAGCGTCTTGCATTCAACCTGGCATAGTCTCGCTAATCGTTTCCGCAACACTCTCGATCAAACACTCCTCATGGCGTGGGCGCAACCAGACTCGTATAGAATGGTCCGGCCCCTTTGTTCGCGTCGTTTTCGTATCGTTTGCACTATGAAATGCATCGGATTCTACATTTTGTCTTCATGTGCTAATGATGAGTGCTACGAGCATCACAGGATGTTTTGTGCCCTTAGATCTTGAAACGATTGCGTCCTATGACCGTATTACGATGGGAGCTAGTCTGAGACTACACTTTGAAGCCACACACATTACTGGTGTACAACTCAATCTACTGTTGTTCTTGTTGTTCACTCACAACTCTGCTAGTTGGGGAGACGTAGATTTCATCGCAATTCTTTGTGAGCCTTACTCGTGATGGATAGTGCGGCGCGCCTGAAACACTCAGGTACGTCACACTGGAGAAGACCGCGAGACATAGGGTGCAACAGAAGTCTATTACATAATATCAACTCTCTTCAATCGAAACGTATATTTCAATTTCCTGTGCCGTCAGTGATATCGAGGCATGCACGTGTATGAGCACCGGCGCTTGAACCTGACTAGGCCTGACTTACCATGGATAAATTGATGACACAAGTGGAAGTTCGAGCGCTCTATACCTGCGGCATTGTTTAAACGTGAGTCATGTGCTCAGACTCTTCAGTCAGGCAGGACTCGCATACAACTGATGTTTTCATAGGATGGACAATACTGACTCATGGGTTCTTTGCATAGATGGGTGGATTCGTACTCTGCGTCAATGGTAAGCCATTGGCTAAGGGCCACTATTACTTCCGATGAGCTTTGGCGCTTCTGAAGCTCAGATCCATGAACATGCCTGACATCGGCGGCGGACTCGGAGATAGAAGATCGAAGTAAAGTGATGGACTATCGAATGGCATCGCCATGCTTCAGCCGGTATAATTCGCTGTCATGCTCATCACCCGTTACGCCTAGAACCATCCGATAACCTCGCTTAAAATCGATACTCTTGCTGTTACCGCTCTGACCTGCATTCTGTATGCCTGGACAATGATGATACTATCCAAGCCGGGCAAATGAATGTATGTCTTGAATCTCATCAAATTCCTTATTAAAAACATATTTGTTGTCCTTGGAGGTCGAAGACCATATGCCCGATTCGCGGGGGACTTACATCCGCTCATCTATCACTGTCAGACTTAGCGCTTTCATATCATGACACGGTATATTTAGATTCCCTGTGGCCTCGAGGCATGCACGAGTGCATGAGCGTCAGCGCTCGAATCTGGCTTATCACGTATGAATTAATACACGTCGCAACCCTTCAAAAGAGAGCAAAATGAACAGACGCTATGCTCCCAACTTTACCATGACCCTGCTACTCTGCGCTGTCCTCCTCTGCGTTCCGTTTGTTTGCGCTTCACTGCCAGGTCTCAACGATACCCATATCCTTACATTCGATACCAGCAACTGTCCATCCTGCAACACCAGGACATTGTGGGACATTATCTCGAGTTGTGGCTTAACTTTGTTTGCATGCACATGGACTGTCATCCATCCAGACATTCCTGATAAGGATGAGAGGATAGTTGATACTGCCTCTCGTCGTCTAGTCCTCATGCTTACGGCGTTTCTGGCCCCTGAATTCGTGGTCGGATGGGCCGCATGGCAGTTTTTAAATGCTCGCCGAGTTGCGAAAGCCTTCAATGATGAACTTCGTGTGCAACCAGCCCAGCCCTACTGCTACCGTCGAGCCATATGGCAGAAGCTGGTAGTTATGTTACTTGGTGGAAGTAGAAGTTTAAGTGATGGTCAGTTACATAGTCAAACTCTTCAATCAGGCAGAAACTGACATAAAACCGATGCCTTGACAGGATGGACAGAGACGCATGGGTTCTTTGCCTGGATGGGTGGATTCATGCTCTACGTCGATGGTGGGCCGCGGGGCATTCTTACGCCCGATGAACTCCTGCAATTTGTTCGTGACGGATGCGTGGAGATGCCTGCCATCACAGAAGCAGATATAAAAGATCGAAGCAAGGGCGATATGCTATCCAAATGGGTCGCCATTCTTCAGCTAGTGTGGTTCGTCATCCAGCTCATCGCCCGTTACATCCAGAACCTCCCGGTAACACTGCTCGAAATCGACACCCTGGGTGTAGCTGCTTTGACCTGCATTTCGTATGGTTTTTGGTTAAATAAACCGAAGGACGTACGGCTTCCTTATATTGTTCATTGGAAGGACCCAACTGCTCCTCCGCTGCCTGACAGCTTAGACAGCGAGTACGTCATTGTCATCAATATTCCTGGTAGGACTTGTTCTGATTTTCCTTCATTCTATGTAGCAAAGAACATGGCACATTGTCAATCCTTCGGCTACTATTCAACTACGGGACCGAACTGACTGGTGGCCTGACTCCGGACAAGATCACAATCATCATTGGATGCATCAGTGGGATGGCGTTTGGAGTGATACATTGCCTGGGCTGGAATTTTTTGTTCCCAAGACACGCAGAGCAGATATTGTGGCGTGTGGCTTCCATTGGGATACCATTTACATTTTCAGGAATTCAACTCCCTATGCTTTTAAATGTTCTGGACGGGTGGATATCTTTCAGACCCCCATTCTCGCGGGTTAATACTCCAATTTCAGGGTACATCGCGGTCTATTACATTCCTGCACGTGTTTCGATAATTGTACTTATGATGCTGAGTTTACGATCACTTCCTCCTGGCACATACGACACAGTAGCTTGGTCCAAGTTTATTCCACATGTAACTATGTAGTTTCATTACAATCGCTGTAATGGTAACTTGCTTGAGTCTTCATAGATCGCTGTTGAAATCGAAAGTGCGAGTACGACTTGGTCGAGCTCGAACCCAATAATTAACAGGCCGCCGTTCAACTTACATACTACACGAGAAACACTTGATCTATCCACCTGAATATGAGCGAGTCCAGTTCCATCGAAACGTGGCTACGACAGCATCTGGACACGCTGCGTGCGCGCATGCCATCGAGGAATGAAAGAACAGTCTTCATATTATGCACTTCTCTCGATGACTACAGGGCGATAAAAATCCGTGGCGGGATTGATAGCGGTTCGAAACGCTACGAAAAAATTATCACTGGAAAGACAAGAGAGAAGAGACATACGGTGGTTCGCTTCTATGATGTTTATTCTCTATCCAACGATGGCAGCACGAATATGGACAGATCGTGCACAGCGCATGTGGGTCCCAACAATGTGTGGATGCGAGGGTCTGTTGAGCTTTCAAAAGACAGTCGACGAACAGACGACAAACTCACGAAACTGTCAAGGACACAAAGCCTCCAGCAACGAAAAACCGACTATCATGGGACCCAAGCTCTGGAGAGAACCAAAGGCAATCTGGTCATGAATACAAGACGCCACATGCTAGTCGTACCACATATCAAGAACAGACGACTCGCTCATTTTTGAAGGAGAGATTATCCCTAAAATGAACGAGCTATCCGTTCTTGAGGGTAGTGAAGAGTGCGAGACGAGTATGGTGTTGGGAATGGGTAGACAAATTATGATATCATACCCAACCATCCCGAACACCATCCTCGTCGGCGTAGTCAGCCGTCCATAAAATGGGTATTGTCCCACCATATGTGGGGCACGTTCTGATGAAGAATGTTGACGTTGAGGTCGATGCATGACGATGAAAATGTCCCCTCGAAACGCTGAATACGAAAAATTATGGCTGGTAAGGTCAAGTGGGGAAGAGACGTACGGCAGCTCACCTTATTCCCTACACCGGTAAATTACTCGGAGGCCACGCGAACTTGGAATGATCTTATATGATAGCGGAATCCCAAGTAAGAAACAGATGAATGTCAAAAGCGGAGAGTAGGCTGTGATAAGTCGAGTTCACTAGGACAGTCAAGCGATGCACAACAAACTCACGGTGTTCAGATAGATGTGGAGATATAAAGCCTCGATATAAAGCCACAGTTAATGACGAGGATGAATTGAGCGAGCCATATATAATGATACACATCATTGAAACTCGCAGACAAGGCTGTAGTGCATGTGATCTGAGTACAAGTGTTGTCCAGCGGCACTCGGAGCATTTGTACCAATATTGATGGTCTGTCTGATTCGAAGTAACTTGGATGAGGGGGTGGATAGATTGAGAGGTAAAACCTGGATACGTTGTCAGTCGATTTGCGAATGCATGGGGGTTTATATAATGAATGGAAATCAACGAAACAAACATCAAGGAGGATCAGGAGGTGTCCAATCAGAGTCGCGTTTTGGCATCCAATGCACCATAGTTGAATCAGGTCTTACGCAGATCGGGACGGGAGATTTGAGTTTGAAGAGATGCATATGATGAGAAACGGAATTAGGGAGACATTGTATTTCAAGCTAATACCGCATCTCATCACAGCACCATTTAGTTTCCGGGGGGAGTCGGCCCTGCGCGTGGTGCCCTCCGCTCAGTAAGTCAAACGCCCTTCCAAATGGACGCACCTCGAAACCAAGTTCGAAGCCTTCGCACGTGATGATCCATCATATAAGTCGCCGCGCATCGAATGGAAGTCGTTCAATGGCGTTGACAGGTGCTTTACTCCTTGCACTCCTCGCACTCCTCGCATATTCCCGCCTTACTCGTCCACCCTTCCCCCCAGGTCCAAATCCCCTCCCAATCATAGGCAACATCCTCGACCTCACTCCAAAAGAACTCTGGCTTACCGCATTCAAATGGGCACGCACATACGGACCCATAACACACATCCGCATATTCAACCAATCCCTCGTATTCCTCAACACCCCAAAAGCCGTATTCGACCTCTTAGACAAACGCGGGTCTATTTATAGTGATAAACCGCACCTCGTCATGGCTGGTGAGCTTTGTGGCTGCAAGAATATGGCAGCATTTACTCCCTATGGCGACCGTGCGAGGAGACAGAGGAAGCTCATGCAGAAGGCGTTTGGCCCTGCCGTTATTCCTAACTATCACGGCTTGATGCAGATGGAAAGTAGACCGTTTTTGTCTAGGTTGGTTAGCAGTCCCCTTCAGTTCCAAGATCATATCAGAAGGTCTGTCTCCCTTCCGGTCAACGACGTGGTCTCATATATACATTAGATACGCAGGCGGACTCACCCTTCTCGTCGTATACGGCCACCAAGTAAAATCAAACGACGACCCCTTTCTAAACCTCGCAGAAGAATGCGTAGACATTCTTGCGAATCGTATCGCAAGCGGAGGTGGGATATGGCCCGTCGATATCTTTCCAGCCCGTCAGTCTCTTTTCTCTTCTGTTGTCCAAACTCACCTTTTCCGTTCTAGTCAAACACCTCCCTGTGTGGTTCCCCGGCGCATCCTTCAAGCGCAACGCCCAAATCTGGAAAGCGAAAATGGAAGAATTCGTAGACCGCCCATACGAATTCGTGAAAAGCGAAGTCGTGCGCTCCTCCTTCTCCTCCTCGCAAAAAAAACGAATAACACCCCCACAGAAAAAAGGAACCGCCCGACCCTCATTCGTATCCACCCTCCTTGAACCTCCAAAACCCTCCTCCTTTGACGAATCTTTTGACTCCACTACCACCGACGACGACGGGGCATTCTCAGGCGACCGCGACTCCTCCTTCTCATCCGACAACGCAAATGACACCGCTACAGACGACCATGACATCCGATGGACAGCTAATTCCATGTACTCAGGTACGTCCCCCTCCCCTTTACGTCGCACATTCACATCACGCTGACCACAATCAACGCAAACCTCACCGGTCACCACCCACACCTGGAAAACTCACTCACCGGGAATAACTCACCAAAAGCCAGCATCGATACAACCATCACAACTCTCTCCCATTTCATCCTCGCGATGGTTCAGCACCCCCATGTACTCCGACGCGCGCAAGCAGAACTCGATGATGTCCTTGGATCGAGGGGATCGGGCTTACCATCGCAAGCAAAGCGCCTACCCACATTCGAAGATCGCCCAAAGCTTCCGTACTGCGATGCGGTGTTCACGGAGACGCTTAGATGGGGTGTGCCTGTTCCGCTTAGTGAGTCGTTCTGTGTTGGATCGGGTTGGGGCTGATTAGTGCCCTTCAATCGCTCGTCTTTCCATCTACTTCGCCATCCATCACGTCGCTTACATACAATGCCACTCCAGGCCTCCCACATAGATTAACACAACCCGACACCTACGAAGGCATGTACATCCCACAAGGATCACTCGTATTCGGGAACATATGGGCTATCATGCGTGATCCCAGGTTATATCAAGATCCAGAAGTGTTTGAGCCTGGGAGGTGGTTAGCGCGTGATGCGATCGTGGATATGGAAGGTAGAAGGGATTTGGATGTGGGTGGGGAGGAAGAGGAGGCTGGGAAGGAAAGAGATCCCAGAGCGTTTGTGTTTGGATTTGGGAGACGGTGAGTGAATTTTTGATTTTGATTTCGGGTGGCGTGGTGTTTGGGGTTTCTTGATATGGTATCATCTTGGCATCTCGGCATCTTCTCATTCATTTCTCGTTTCTCATTCATCGTCTACTCCTCAACATCGCTGTTTCATTCCTGTCATTCTAACCACCCTAGAACTAACATACCTGCAGCCGCTGCCCAGGAACCCACCTCGTCGAATCTTCAGTATGGCTCTTAATCACCAGCATGCTCGCCGCGCTTGATATACGCAAAGCGAGGGATGAGAGGGGCGCGGAGATCGAACCTGTTGTTAGGTTTGAGAATTCTGTTTTTAGGTGCGTGTTTCGATTTTGTTTTTGAGTGCGTTTTTTGCTTCGTTTTTACCTGGAGCATACCTGTGTTTTGGGTTGTTGGCTCAGCACGATCCGAGGATGCGCTTTCGTATATGTTTTCTGCATCACGCGTTCTCACCACACTCTGTTTTTGACTTTCCGTTCCTCTTTCTCCTCTTTTGCTCCCTCCCTCCTTCTACCTACCCCACCTCCATCCCGGCACCCACAAACGAGCGTTAATAATCTCTCTCCTACAGAACCCCAAGCCCGTTCGTCTGCGATATCCGTCCTAGGAGTGAGGAAGCGCTGAGGTTGATTATGGAGGGGGAGTAGCTCAGTGTGTGGTGGGTGCGCTGATTCCCAACGCGCGGGTTAGGATGCTGATTATGACCGTGCTAGAATCCCGTACCGACTGACGTGGACTGCGCGCGTTCTTGCTAGGACCTGGAGCCTCGTGAATGAAAAAGTATAAAGTATCATGTCATGTCATTATGAAGCTCGTATCGTTCGTATTCGTGTATTGTAACTTACTTGGGTCATTTTTGGCGAGGACTAAATAATGACAATGAAGAAATACTACAAGGTTTTTGGTGTTTCTCCAGTGTCATTATTTAGTTAACCTTTCTGTATCATGCTGGGGTGGGGGCCCTTGGTAGTAGTAGGCAAGGGGCGGAGTAACTTAGTCAGCCACTAGCACTCAACCTTCAGACTTTGTCGTAGTGAGTGCTCTTCACCATTTTAAGTTATTGCCTTGCTTACGACACGCAGGCTCATGGTCGGGGATACACCACACTCAAGGGTGAAATTACTCGAAACACTCAAATCCAGATGAAGCACTTGTCATACAGCGAGGGCGAACCAGTGACCACCTTGACAGTAGTACGTCGTAGTAAACTTCTGTGCGACATCTAACCCCATCCATCCCTCCGTAGTGCCATGTCAAGCCTACCCATGCCGCGTCAAACCTCAATATTCAATCACATTCAAGCCTCATCCACGCTGCGTTAAGACCGCGTCAAGCTCAATAATCCCGCGTCAAGGCCGCGTTGAACGTTGAACCTCACTCAGAGTCGTACGTCAATGTCAATGTTGCTCAGTGCCACACGACCGCGCGTGTCAAATGATCTCAGCATCCCACTCATGTTACGCTCGGTCGAGTTGTGGTTTGAACACATCTTGTGTCAAATACCTATTGCGATACACTAACTTTTCACCGTATAATCTGGTGCATTTGTTCAACTTGTTTTGTTGGATACAATTCCGAGTCTTTCTGTCTATCGGTTTCTTCAATTGATTACTAATATACCAGAAGATGTGGGTGATCTCATTCTCAATAAAGTGCGAGTACCTGGGCCTGGACGATGGATATGAACGTCGCAGTGTGCAATTGAATTATCATATATCAAAGGCCAAAGATTTGATTGATGCAGACTAAGGATTGGGTACGCACGCACCGCTAAAATATATCAACAATGCATATGATGAAAGTTGGCAGTAAGCCCTCCGCAATTCAGTAGGGATCTAGAGCTATGTGATGTAAGGGCGCATATCCGCCGGACTCGGTTGCCATTGTGTCCACCACGTAATGTTATGTTGTTTTGTTCTGGATCTATCCTGTTCTTGCTTGTGCAAGGTCGGCATCATGCGATGGCTGTTTCTTTGTCTCCTCCTGTTCGCATTTTTTTCGTTCTTGCAGCCGACCGAGGGGAAGTCCTTGTAGGGTCAAAAGGACGATTAGAGATGCATCAACTAACCAAGTCACGACCAACCGGCACCGTGGTTAAGGGAATTCAGGGGCAAGTACTCAAGCCTGAATCATAAATGGTACAGTCTCTGAGTCAGGCGCATAAACACCCAGCGCTTCTGACCCCCCAGCTCCCTAAGTAAACAAGGGTAGCAAATCCGTGTCTGTTTTTACATGATGACCAGAGGAGATAAGTTTTTCCTGAATTCTCGTCATGCAGATTGACCAACAAACCAAATTACTGTCATACCTGAAAATCGTCGCTCGAAGTACCGGATAGCAATGGGAGAAGCAGTATCGCACAAGCACCTCGACAACAGGACCCAGGTGCCGGTGGTTCTCACTTCTGTTCTTCCAGCTCCTTGCATAAGTAAATGAGTGAAGTGACATCGAGCGCAGCTTGTAAACTAACGTTACTGTGTGCCTTGAGACCATGGACAAGAGTTGGCACTAGCTTAGCTTATTACGAATGAACGGAGCGGATAGGTTCTGCCTAAACTCTCGTCGTGCAACATTATTCGCCATGGGTAACCATTCTGATGACCCGTATGCTGCCACAACACTAGTAAGCATTATCTTTCGCAATAGTATAAAATCGACTCACCTCCCTCCACTTCAAAGAGATTATTCAAGCTCCTCAGCAGACACACAAACAATGCATTTCGCCTTCCTCGCCGTTATTGTTGCGTTGACAGCATCTATGTCTGTCAGTGCATGTGGCCCACACGGCGCCACTTGCCAGGTCAACACTGACTGCTGCCTCAAACAAGATTTGACCTGCTCTCCAACTGCGGTAGGGGTAGTTTGCTTTGCATACAGTTTCCACTTCTTGGCTCACCTTTTGTGCTTTGTAAAATTAGGGATCAGGCCAAATCTGCGTTTATAATCCCCACAAGTGAGCAGGCCGATTTACACGTTGGTAACACCAACACATTTGTGAGTCGAGTCATATTTCCGCTTTCGTATTACCAGTGCTCAGGCTGTTGTTGATCGAACAATCTGTAGGGCGCTGCTGATCGAAAATGGGTAGAGGCGATATTGAGTTAAAGTAGTACGTGACATGAGTGAATGAAGTATTTGCGTACTTTAGTCTCGGTGGAAACAGTCTCATGGATCGGCTATAAGTCGAATGGGTATCAGCTAAAGCCGTGTGATTTAATCAGGTTTATTACTCGTTCACTTGACAAGGCATGCAGCCGTTCATACTACACTTTCTCATGTCAGTCTCGTTTAAACCGTCGGGTTGGAACTCGACAAGAGAAAGTAAAAGAATGCATACATACCTGTAATTTTGTGCATTGACCACGCATATGAGGGTGAGGACCAGCTGCGAGCACTGCCCTAAATAACTATGAGTGATGAATATCAATAAAAACCTACATGGTATAGGATGGAACCATTGGTCCGGGACTCCAACTCATCAATGAGGTAAATGTGATCTTCAGCAGATATGCGGTATTTCTCCCTAATGGAACTTTTGAAATACCGTGTATACACGTGGCTCCGACTTGAACCTCAACAAATTCACGAGGGAGGCTCAAGCGCATCGTGGTTTAGATCTAAGCGCGTGCCACTACTGTGGTGCCGTTGCTCGGATCCGATGTATCAAGGTTGTTTCGAAATTTTGAATTTTAGTCGTGAGATATTTTTCACCTATTTGTAATGTGACCTTCCATTTTTGGTAATACTGCCCCCAATACCTCACCCGAAATTACTGTCGAGCTCACTGTTGAGGACAGCGAGCTCAAATATACACTCAACCCTTCACTTTCACTTTTGTCAATAATTATTTTTTCATACATCGTCATCTTCTCATTCGTTTTTGGTACCCATCAGCATTTCTCATTCATCATCTTACACCACCCTGTCATTCCTATCATTTCATCCACCCCAAAACTGACCTACCTACAGCCGCTGCCCAGGAATACACCTCGTCGAATCTTCGGTATGGCTCTTGATCACCAGCATGCTCGCGACCCTTAATATACGAAAAGCGAGGGATGAGAGGGGCGTGGGGATCGAGCCTGTTGTCACTGGTCAGGTTTGAGAATTCTGTTTTTAGGTGGGTTTTTCAATTTTGTTTTTGAGTGCATTTTTTGTTTCGTTCGTTTTTACTTGGAGCTTACCTGTGTTTTGGGTTGTTGGCTCACTACGATCCGAGGATGCGCTTTTTTGCGCTTTCGTATATGTTTTCTGCATCACGCGTTCTCACCACACTCTGTTTTTGAGTTCTTTCCGTCCCTCTTTCTCCTCTTTTTCTCCCTCCCTTCCTCCTTCCACCTACCCCACTCCATCCCACCTCCATCCCAGCACCCACGAACGAGCGTTAACCATCTCTCCTACAGAACCCCAAGCCCGTTCGTCTGCGATATCCGCTCCTAGGAGCGAGGAAGCGCTGAGGTTGATTATGGAGGGGGAGTAGCTTAGTGTGTGGTGGGTGCGCTGATTCCCAATGCGCGGGTTGTGATGCTGATTATGACCGTGCTAGAACTCTCTACCGATTGACGTGGATTGCGCGCGTTCTTGCTAGGGCCTGGAGCCTCGTGAGTGAAAAAGTATACAAGTATCATGTCATGTCATTATTCGTGTTCATGTTCGTGTATTGTAAATTACTCGGGTCGTTTTGGGCGTGGACTAAATATTGACAATAGAGAAATACTACAAGATTTGTGGTGTTTCCCCTGTGTCATTATTTAGTTAACCTTCTGTATCATGCTGGAGTGGGGGACCCCTAATAGTCTTCAGGCTTTGTCGTAGTGTCCGAGTGTCTTCACCATTTCAAGTTCTCGCCTTGCTTGCGACACGCAGCTCGTAGTCGGGGATACACCACACTCAAGGGTGAAATTACTCGAAACACTCAAATCCAGATGAAGTACTTGTCATACAGTGAGGGTGAACCACCTTTACAGTGGTACGTCATAAACTTCTGTGCGACATCTAACTTATGAGTGATGGTGGACTTAATATTAATATGGTATTCGTACATCTGCATTAAGCCCCGTCCGTGTCACACGTCCGCCCGAACCCATCCATACCTCCGTAGTGCCGTGTCAAGCCTACCCATACCGCGTCAGTGCTATGTAATGTTGTGGACAGAAGTCTGCCATTCTTCCAGCAGAATCCGGCAGAATGTCAAACTACAGGGGATCGCAGCGAAAGGTATTCTAATAACCCTCTTTACCTTATATGGCCATAGTAACCTTTCTCGATCGACTCAGAGCAACTACACTTCCTTACCTGTTTTTTCAGTAATACGGCCTGTTTGTTGATGACCTCAAAGCATATAACCTGTGCCGCGCACCATTTTCAGGCGGAGGGAAAGTCTCACAGTCAGTGCTGACAGACATCCTTTGAAGGCACTAGTAATCACCCTCTAATTATCTATTGTTCCCCATACTGCCGACGTCGAACGCCTCTTCTCGGATATGGGTAACACTCAGTCTCCAAAGCACTGCAATCTCATGGTATCCGGTTTTCTCCAAAGTTTGTCATTTACAAACGTCCGAATTCCCCAAGTCTAGTTTGTGTACAGATAGACTACTAGGTACGGATTGTGTCTAGGCAGACGGCTTATCCACGTCCAAATGGGGTCTGGTCATTTTCTCGTTTCCACAGTGATTAATGTATCTACACGTGGATATACCTGAGCCCTACTTTCAAAAAAAGTTGTGACATGCAAAGCTCTGCTGGCAGTGGGCCGGAATCACTAGCTCGGCTTCCCATGGGAGATAGGTTCTGCCTAAGCCACGGTTAAAACACTAAGGTTATTTTCGCGAGTATAAGAGCAAGTCATCTTCCTATCATCCACTTCACCCCAAAGAGATTTTTCGAGCACCTCAACATATCATACCACCTCGCACAAACAATGCGTTTCTCCTTCCTCGCAGTTATTGTTGCGCTGGCAACATCTATAACGTTCGTCAGTGCATGTGCGGGAGAGGAAGCACCTTGCGTACACGACAGTGACTGCTGTAATACAGAGGATAAATGCGTTGGTATTGTAAGTAGGGGTAGTGTGCTTTACATCACTTGATCACTTACCCTTTGAACCTCGTAATATCAGCCGACCGGTGCTTACATGTGCTATCATAATGGCGATTAACCCCAAAGAGAAGACCATCAAAATTGCACGTAGCAACACACTGGTGGGCCGTGTTTTCGCTTCCCTATCGGTGCGGTTGTTGATGGAATAATATGACGTTCGCTAATTGAGAAATAGACGGAGACAATGCCGCAAAGTGAATGAAGTATTTGCGCACTTGCTGGTTTAGGTGTAAATAGAACCTAGGCTTGTAATCTGAAATGGCTTGACCACGTGTCCAGTACACGATCTTTGATCCAGTCACAAACATGAAAGACTGGAAAAAGACAATCAACAGTTATAAGACCATCGTGTTGTAATGCTGGCAGTGAGTTCGACGGGGAATGATGATCGATACAAGTCGGCAGAGTAACCACGTTTGAACGCACTGAGTTGTAATTGCAACGTCAGACGGAGACTTTCTGAGGGTATTGGACTTGATTTGGAGCGAGGAAAATACTGGGTGTGATCCTGTTATTGAATCCGAGGGTACATGGCCGGACTACATACATTTGCGAGTGGCTCAATGGCAAAACTGAGGATGCGTGATGAACACCTGATGATGGGGGTTTAATTAGATGCATCATTGTGCCTAAAATGTAATACATCTTTACTGAGTCATTCATGCAGTCTCGATGTGCTCCAACTATAGATGGTTCCCAGTCTGTGGCGTTCAGAATGGCTTATGTCGAAATCTTAGTGAATGGTAAGTTGGTAACTGGTGAGCGTTAGCCTGGGACGGCGTAGCCACGTACAGTGATCTCGCGTTTGCTGTAGAAATGGAAGTCAGTATATTCAAGTTGGTTCGTGTCACCCACTTTGAAATATGGAAATGAGATATACATATTCTGGCTCCTCTGTCACCACAGAAGAGAGCATGCTACACATTAACATATCCATGCACTGCCATGCACTACACAGCAGATGGTTGCCGATGCCTCAGGAGCTTGGCCAACCCTCGCACGCGCGCGTATCCATTGGACGTGTTCATAGACTCCTGAAAAGTATATGCACATATGATGGACGCGACCGTATTCATAGGCCATTTTTTTCGTTGAGTACACGTATGTATGTCTTTGTGGCGTGTTTTCGACGTATCGCAGGGTGTGGTGAACTCGTTTACTTGTGTCGGTTTGAATTTTGCTGTCGTCGCTGTGCTGGTAGGTCGAAGGCTGAAGAGTACTCGCACCTGCATCGACAAATATCAAAATTAACAAACCAAACGCGCTATCACATCGACATGATATTTGTGGACTGCATGTTGCCTTGGCAGGCTGTGGGAAAAGACTTGGTTCCCCAAAGCGGGCTCAATTGCCCACCGCCAGTTACTTATAACACAGTCGTGCGGTGCACACTCAAACAAAAGGTTCCCAGATCGGACTTACTACGTCGCACACGGTAAGTAAGCCTCTTCCTCCCTTCTCACTATCTAACCTTGATTCCATCCAAGATGTCAACAGAACCACCCACCATGCCCACCGATCTCTCAGTGGAAACCCTCATCCGCTCCTTTATGACAATCATCCTCTCCGAAATTGGGGACAAAACCTTCTTCATCTCTGCCATTCTCGCCATGCGCCATCCTCGCCTCGTCGTCTTCCTGGGCGCTATTGCTTCCCTTGCGCTCATGTCTATGCTGTCAGCGTCACTGGGGCATATACTACCCACGCTTTTACCCAAAAAATGGACTCAGATCATGGCTGGGGTGCTGTTTCTGGTGTTTGGGAGTAAGATGGTCATGGAGGCAAGGGAGATGGAGGGAAAGGGGAGGAAAAAGGTTGAGGAAGAGATGAGGGAGGCGGAAGAGGAGATAGATGGGGACGGATTTGATGCGGGGGATAGCATTCCGCTTGAACGGCTCGAGGAGGGGGAAGCGGTCCCTTCATCTCCCAGCGCGCGAAAACAGAAGAAATTGGGTTGGAGTATCGCGGAAGGCGTGAGGAATTTTTGCAGTCTTATCCTTGGGCCTGTTTTCGTGCAGTCCTTTGTGCTTACTTTCCTCGGGGAGTGGGGGGATAGGAGTCAGATTGCTACGATTGCTTTAGGTGCTGCTCATGTAAGCTCTCTTTTTTCTTTCTTAGTTCGAGACCTGTGTTGACAAAGCGCGTTTTTAGAATGTGTATCTCGTGACACTAGGGACGGTCCTTGGTCATACATGTTGTACAGCGCTGGCCGTCGTAGGTGGGCGGTATGTATCAAGTAAGATATCAGTCAAGCATGGTGAGTCATTTATTTGCACCTAATCATTGTGTTTTGCTTCGGAATATCATCACACTCTCGTGCGTTTATTTGACGCTCGTCGTCTATCAATACTCCCCAATGCGCATGGCATTCCTGCTGTGCTTGGTGCATTTAACCTGCCGCCTTGTTTCATTTGTTCCGATTTTCTTGTTTGTCATCCATTTAGAAGCATCGCAACTGACCCAGCCTTGCAGTAACCCTAGGAGGCGCAGTTCTCTTCCTCATATTCGGTGTCATATATCTCTACGACGCGCTTGCTACTTCTGCAGAAGAATTCTTGATACCTACCAACCCTGCAGGGGAGCCGTGAGCCAATGCATATCCATGTTTGGGCTCAGTTATGATAGCACGTCAGCGCCATGCCTGCATTGACAAAACGCTTCACGTCTTAGGCTTTTGGGTTGGAAGCCTCACTCAGTGTGTACTCCATACGATAATGATATATATAGACATGCTTATAATAAGACGATTATACGATATCGTTTCAGACATTTCGTTTTGGTTGTCTTGCATGCACATTCAAATTCTATCGCACAACTAAGTAAGGCTAACCAGATACTTATGCTATCATATTTGGACCTGAGCGCGAGCAGAGAGTCAGACTCTGTTACGGGCCTAAATTCAACACGGAATGGAACGGCAACTTTCGGTCCGTGCCAATGGCTCTGTCATCACCATCACCTACTCACCCGTATTCCAACGCAGTGCGCACTTATTCATTTCGACGGACAACGAGAGACTCTACTCTGGAGATCGTGCAGGACAAGTTGTCGTTACATCCATGCGCTCATTGCGACTGCTCGCATCACGGAAAGCTCACGCTGACTCACTGCTAGGCGTTGAAGAGTGGGCTTCTCAGATAATAACGTGGTGACTAACCTGATTCTCCTAGAATATTTGTGATACTTGATGATTAGACATGAGAGGGACAATAAAGTCTGCATCTGGGCACGACCTGAAGAATCCGCTTCCATCAGACAAGGACCTGCAACTTTGTCGGATCTATCAACACCCACGATATGTTATTCTCCGGATATAAATGCCCTCAACTACTGCAGGTTCTCTCTCCTAGGAGAGAGCAAGCAGGAAGGTCTCCTCGCTGTTCCGAACCTCGTAGAATCAGCTCTGGTGGGCATACCTTCCAGTGTCTAATACGGAGTGATCTCAGTATGTACTATGAACTTGTCAGGCAGATATCTGGTTGCTTTCATCGCGTCAAAGGCCGCACGCAACCATAGGTGATCTACAGGGCACCTCTGCGGCACCTTTCTCGGATGGTCAGCAAATCAGGAATCATTACGTTAATGCACCTCTTTCACGCTCCTATTACATCTACTCCATTGTCATCTACGCCTACAAATGAGCTGCGCCTCTTGTGCGCGTACGAAGACGGAAGCGTACTGCACCTGAGAATAAACAAACTGTGGAGGGCTGTGGATGGGCAGTGGACATCTAAAATTCATGTGGGTTGAGATATGTGGCTGTTTGTCTCGTGGGGGAGATCTAACAGAAGTTATCATTCCAAGTGATGGCAATGGCTGTTTCTGTAGATTGCACGTTTGCGTTGACCTTCACCTGGTGGGACGGTATGATCTCCTGGTCAGTTTTGAGTATCTCTGCGTGAATTTACTTGCTGATGCTCGGAAAATAAGACTCGGCAAAGGGCATCGGAAGGAACTGCATTCAAGACCAAATATCTAGGCAACAGCGCTATTGTCATACGCGGCGACAGAAGAATTTGTGCGATAGGGGGATGGGGCGGATCAGATTCATTTCCTTGTCCCCACAAACTTCCCCAGACCACCCAACATCAAGTCGATACTAACAAGCATTGCACTGGATATGGCAAGAATCGTATTGTCTTCCGCGTCTGGCCTCGTGATCCCAAAGGAAACACCATCATAGCATCTTCACTGCGGGGAAAGGAGGCTGACAATGGAATTGATCTGTGGGGCGCAACACTCTACGACTTCTACTTTGTTCTACGTGCCCCAGATGTAAAGAACTATCTCACCATCTCCACGGGCAGCAGACTTGCAAAATGGATGCGCAAGCATGGTGAGCTCATAGCAGAGGATGAACTCTATTGGGCCGATAAGGAGGAGGATCCTAAGGAGGTGCCAGTAGTCGATATCGGGGAACTGATAAGGTGTTATGATACACGCGTCGCATTGGGCATATTCAACCAGTTTTCCAGTCGAAAGAAGATCAGAGAGAAGGAAAAAACAAGCCGGTCTGCTTTCAGCTATAGCGACCTGGAAAAAGCCACAGATGAAGATTCAACCCCTCCAGTCGGTGATCAAGGGGACAATATCGGGAGGGAGCAAGAAGAGGAGGCAGTATCAGTCGTTGATGACTATTCAGAAGATGCAATTGCCCGTGCGCAGCTCAAGGCATCAATGCTTGAAACTGAAAGTGAAACATCATCAGAAGACAGTGCAGACCAGCCGACAGGCAATCCTGCTGCGCCGTTGCCAAATATTGACTCGCCCTTCCATCCCGACCACTATCTTTCTCCATATCCTTTCATCCCTTGCACGCACGACGAGATTCCGATACTTCAACAACGTATTCCTTTGCACCTTCTTCCTCAAAAGCTCTATGTTCATGACCCTTGGAACAAATTAACCGTCAATAAGAATGATTCTGACCATAATACTCAATGGCTTTCCAAGGTTACCAATGAAGGAGACATCGTCCGGACCTATTCCCTCTCCTTTGGGCCGGAAGGTAAGAAGGTCGCGTCTAAGGCGCGGAAACAGGCCGAGATAGCAGAAGACGAAGCAGCCAAGGAAGAGAGCGTGATGCACATCCTCCCCACTGACAAGGAAGGACCGACGGAAGAGCCGCGGATTGAAGTTGTACTCCCTCCACGACCCCGGAAGAGGGCGCAAGTGGAAGAAGCTCATCTCTACCTTTCACCTCGTGCAGTGGGCGTCGGGCATAATTCAATCGTGCACAGCGTGGAGTGGGAGCTTCCGCGTGACCTTTTTGTGGAGCCTCGCCTATGCAAAGCTTGTGTGGAGGAGGACATCCGCCAATAGGTCCAGAAATTAAAGGACGAGGGAGAATGGGAAGAAGTCCTAAAAGACCCGACGGAGAAACCCGAAGAAACAATGCAGGGTGGCCTGGGAAGAAAGCCCTCGGAGGCCTCTGGCCCGAAGCGAACAACTGGTCATGTTACTATCGAAGAGCACCAGTTTCTAGAAGTGACTGGGTCATATATTTTACGTTCACCTTGGGATTCTAAGACGGTGGTGAAAAGTCCACCAATATTAATGACGCACCGGGTTCGAACGGGGATTCTCCTGCAGACACTGCTAGCAATGCAACGACAACAAGAGGTGCTGAAACCGACGTCAAAATCGGTGCCATGGACGGGCGGGGTCTGGAACCTGGAGTCAAAGTTGAGCAGGAAGAGGCTCCTGATACTGATATGGAGGTAGACGACAATCGACCGTGTGCGCTGGGGTCTGCCCCAAAGGAGGGCAAGGGAAAAGGGAGAATGGAACTAGAGCAGGACAATGCCAGTGGCGAAGAGAAAGATCTGGAGGAAAACGAGCACGAACAAAGCGAAGAAGAAACATTCACCCTTGAACCTCCCAGGGTCATCCGCATCGCATCTTACTCTGGGTCAGTACTTCGCATCCACACTACTGTGAAGTGGCAAAGCCCCTCGGAAGAACAATGCGATCACAGGAGTTCAAGTTTTGGCTCGGGACTCGTTCCACGCACTGCGATAGTCGGTGTTGTTGCAAAACTCTCGCTCGAATCCGACCACCACCTCGCTCGAGAGGCGATAAACTATCAATCATTCCCTGACCACTTCTTCCAACACTGGAACGGGTATAACGTCATACCCCCAATACACGATCCTCTCCCCATCTCTGCCCACAATTCTACGGGTATTACACGCCTGACGATCCAAGTGACTACATTGAATATTCGAGTCGACCTCGTTATCTGAGTCCAATATTACTCCTGGAGCACTGTGGCCGCGAGATAGATCCAGATGAGTTGTGCCAGGACGACAGGCAAGAGTGCGCGTCACTCATAGTGCGCTTTAATCGTGCAGGGTGGTTACATCTGTCATTTGCAGCGCGGAACATCCTGTGGCAGCAGGGCAAGCCAACAGAGTGGCCAATTGATCGGCCGCACTCTGGCAAGAGCTTCCGCCTGATAGACTTTGGTAGATCGGGGAAATCTAATAAAACAGAGGCTGGGATGGGGGAGGAGGAAGTAGCTTATCGGTTGTTGACTTTCACTATCTTTTGCCTTTTAGACTTCGTATTACCTTCTTGGCACTATCTGGTACTATCAGCTTCAACACCATATGCAACACATCTTCCTGCTTCTTGACCACACGAACTCCTCCGCTCGTCCATTCACCGGTACAATTACCTAAGCTCTTGGTCTCTCGTATTTAGTTCGCGTCGTCTCAACACATACCTCAGTTTGTTCTTGAACTTACTGAGGTATGTTATATCTCTTACTCGCTGTTCTATCTCATACTGATGTAACCTAGCGTGTGCTCCTGCCAGGTAGATATCTTCAATGATAGTTTGTTCTTGAACTTACTGAGCATGTGCTCCTGCTAGTTATTCTAGCGATCAGGTTATGAGCCCTGGGCTCTAGACGAGCTCTTATCAATATGCATGTGGACAAACTCACTTCGACTCAGTTATCCACTATGGGTAAATACGATCATATTGCAGAACTTTCTGGGGCAGATGTCTACCCTAGCTGGTGCAGGGCTGTAGAATTGGCTCTAGCTGGAGAGGGCCTCTGGAGCCATTGTAGTGATGGCACTGACCCTAACGACGTCGCTGAATATGCTGTCACTATGCCCACAGCAGCCACAGCAGGGCATCCAACTCCTGCCAAACTCACTGCCATCAAAGAATGGGTGAAAGATGATGCCCAAGCCAAGGCTCTCATTGGCAGGCATCTCTCCCTCATCATTTAGAATATGCTCAGCAAAAAGCTAATGGCCCACCAACAATGGGAGACCTTACTCAAACATTTTGGTTGACTCGACATCACTTCACAGTTCGAACTTTGTGATCAGCTCTTCTCAGAACGGCTTAAAGACACAGAAGATGCGTCAAGATACATCAGTGTCTTCAGGAATGGCTGTTGAAGATTCGCTGAAATGGGCATCACATTCTCTGACTTGGAAGCAGTCTGGATGCTCCTGCATGGGCTTCCTGAGACCCCGCAATGGGTCGTCTTCCAGAGCCTCACCCTTGGACTCTACAAACCACCAGTAACCACTTCCTCATCGACCACTACTTCCTCCATGACTACAACTGCTCCTTCTGTCTCCTTTGAAGATGTCGCAGCTGCATTCACTGAAGAGGCCAACAGGCAGTGTGGCCATCAGAAACTGGCTTGACCAGGCTCTGAATATGCCAATGCTGTCAGCTCTTCTACCTCCTCCAAGTGAAGAGTTAACCCTTTGAATGGTGTCTGTATGCACAAGCAGAATCCTAGAGGAATACCTTGCAATAACCCTGTGTGCACAGGTCTTCCCCACTCACTCATGCATGATCAGGAACACTGCATGCAAGCTGGTGGGGGAATGGAAGGAAAAGCACCATGGGGTCAGCAACGCAGAGGTAAAAAGACGAACATAGCAGCAGCCGCTACAGAAAACAAGCCCACCACTCCTAACACAATGTCCAGCTCAACCAGTGCCCCACCAGGCTATTCAGAGACATTGGCCCTCGCTATGAGTAATCACAGCTGAGACTGGTCCTGTGCTCTCATTGAGGACATTGAGCTTGATCCCAGTTGTGTACCAATGGATGAGGACCTCGCTTGCATCTCCAGTCAGGCTCTCTCTACCATTTTAGACTCTGGCATGACCTCGACTCTCATTACCAGTCGAGAATTCTTCTGGATGTTCAATGTGAGCACCAACGTCTCCATGAAAACTGCAAACCATGGAACACTGCAAACTTCAGGACGAGGTGATTGCATAGCAGATTTAACCATTGGGAACCGCACGCAATGCATCAGACTGACCGATTGCTTGCATGCCCCTGGGGCACTTATCAACCTCATGTCAGTAGGCTGCATGTTGAAAAAAGGGTGTGAACACAATTTTAAGCCATCTCCTCCAAGATACCAACTTGTCTTTTGTAACAACATACTCGGTGATGTCCCTCTGCAGGGTAATCTTGTCTTTCTCGACCTCATGTTCATCCCACCTTCGGATCCTTCCCCGCATCTTGAAATAACTGCCTTTGCCAAGGTACCATTATCTTGGGACCTTTGGCATGCAAGATTAGGTCATCTGGGTGGAGATGCCGTGAAAAGACTCCCTCTCTTCACCACTGGTACAAAAATAGACACTTCCCATCCATTTTGCATGTGTGAACCTTGCATCATGGCTGTCATATCCTGTATGCCAGACATAGATCCCATCATATTCCCATGCTTTCTGGACTTATTTCTGGACCCCATATCCGACTCATTCCTGGATCCCCTATCCTGTCCACCCTATGCACATTCCATCCAGCAAGACATCAGGACTTTACCTCCTCTTGGATTCCGGACTACATCCACCACCTCACATATCTCAGTCCTGTTTCTGTCCTGCCTTCCAGATCCCCAGATCTCCGGACCTCCGGATATTAACTGTTACTATCTCTGGACCTATTCCCACCCTCCATCCGAGATCCTGCACCTATCCCCATTTAGGCATCTCCACCTTTCTGGTTCTTGGTTATCTCTGTTTCTGTCTTGCTGATTGATCCTTGTACTAGTTTCATCTCCGAGTTCATTTACTTATGTTCCATCTTACTTACCAATGTGTTTCCACATGCTCGTACATAGCCTTACTCCTTTGCTTACTGATCCTCTCAGATAGTCTCTAGTATATAACCCCTGTACAACTACAGTAGAGTCCTCAGTCTGAATATCATCTTAGATCCTGTTCTACTTGCCAATCATCTTCCGGACTTCAGTCTGTCTGAGTCTCGTCCTTTTCCATAAGGCCTAGGGATGGACTCCCTAGGCTGGAATTCCAGACCTCTGGATTTGTCCCCTATGTCTCTGTCCCAAGTCTAGGGATTGCTTCCCTAGACTAGAGTCTTGCCTTTCTGGCACTTACCCTCTTTCTGGACTTAGGTCCACTTCCTGTCCCTCCAACTCTACCTTAGGGTAGTCTACCTCTGTTTGCTTCTACATCAGACTTTGTCTGATGTAGCCCCTATTCCTTCCGGACCTCCGGACGTCCTGTCCCTCATACCTCTGGGTATCCTGTCCTTCGGACGTTCTGCCCTCTGGACCTCCGGACGTCCTGTCCCTCATACCTCTGGGTATCCTGTCCTCCATACTCTGGACCTCTGGACATCTTGTCCTCCTGTCCTCTGGACCTCCTATCCTTCCATCCTGATTTCCTGTAGAAGTATTACCTTGCAGCAGGAACTCTCCTGAGCATTTCCTGCATTCCTCCGGAACTCTCCCACGCTCCTCCGGACATTTCCCACGCTCCTCCGGAAGTCCTCCTGCACTCTCCACCAGAGTAGCCAGCCTCCGGAAGTCCTCCAGACTTTATTGGACCATCATTGGACTTCCTCTGAAATGAAGGGCACATACTCAGGTAAGGGGCACAGCATACGAGCTGAGGCCAAGCCCCTCTGAGTCAGTCTCTCTCCCCTTTGAGCATGGTTCTTAACAATGGCTAAACACCCACGCAAACCTTATCCCATGTCCACCACACCTCCTGCAACTCATGTACTCGACCTCATACATTCCAACCTCTGTGGACCTTTCCCAGTAGTGACGCCTCACAGCAAACACCACTTTGTCATCTTCCTGGATGACCACAGCAACCTCCTCAGTCTCCAACTCTTAGCAACTAAGGATCAGGCTTTAGAAGCCTGGGAGATTGTACGCAAACGTTGGGAAAACTGATCAGGACGACAAGTGAAGGTATTTCACTCTGACAACAGGGGGGAGTTTATGAGCTTGGCATTTATGCATGCTCTCGCATCTGCAGGGATAGAGTGTCAAATCTTGGCACCGTATGCACATCAGCAAAATGGCAAGGCTGAACAGGCAATCAGGACCATTGAGGGAAGACTTTTTGCAATGCTGGAAACAGCCAATCTTCCTCCTACCCTCTGGGGGGAGGCTGCACTCACTGTCTGTTACCTCTGGAACAGAACTGAATCGTCCACCCTGCCTCGAGGGGTCACACCTTATGAGATCATCAATGGATACAAGCCCAACCTAGAGCACCTTCACATCTGGGGATCTCGCTGCTTTGCACGAATCCCTTCAGAGTTACAACCAAAACTTGGTCCTCACTCCTGCCCAGCATACTTCATGGGTTACCCAGAGGGTACCAAAGGTTATCACCTGCGTGATCATGACATGGGAGCCTTCTTTACCGCTCAGGATGTTCATTTCAATGAGAACCTTCCTTCCACCTCTCATTCAACAAGTTCAGACTCAGACAGTGGTGATGATAGGCCTACTTCCATGACACATTCCTTCTTCCCAGCTCAGCCCACTCAACTGGTGACTCAGCTCATGCCATTGCCCTCATCTGCCCCTATGGTCCCTCCTGAACCACATCGCTTGTCTCGCATCTGGGTCCCTACAAAGGCTGGACAGACCTATGCTGAGGAGTTAGCCACCTCCAAAGCATGCCTAACCTCTCTGTGTGAAGTACGTGCTGACTGTGCATGTGAGAACACCCTACGCGAGGGGGTGCCTACTGCCTTGCTTGAGGGGGTGGATGCCTCTGAAACCACTGAGCAGGAGTCCATCGAAAACATTGAACCTACAGTGGCTCAAAAAACTGTCCGCATGTTTTGACATTTTTCACTATCTATGATATTGTGTGAGAACGAACAAATGCCTCAAGGACATGGTTATACCACATTGTAGTATGGCTTCAGGGCTTTCATTTGAGCCCTACACCGTGGGAATCGGTGGAGATATGGTGGAGATACAAGGCTTACAAAATCATGACTCATGTGGACAGTTTTTTGAGCACATATTAAAACTATATAAATCATCATTTATGACACCATAACAATCATGCCACCATTAAATAAATTATAAAGTGGTGTCATTATGTCATTTTAAAACCATATCTAACTATACAAACCAAAAATTTCCATATGTCATGGCTATATTCACCATGAAAGCCACCCCCCCTGCTCAAAGGGATAATATCCTCTCTCTTTCCTATTCTGGCCTCTCTGCTTGTCAAATTTCCTCTAGAACTGGAGTATCCAAGTCCACTGTGGCCAAGTTCATCAAAGAAAGTCACACAGACAAGGAAAACTTCTGTGAAGGGCATCCATCCAAGCTCACCTCTACTGATAGGAGGGCTATTATTCAGCATATCACTACAGGAAAGGCTAATAATGCTGTCCAGGTCACCTATTACATCAATTCCACCATCACATTCCCTGTCTCTTCACACACTGTGAGAAACATTCTCAAGACAGCTCATCTCAGGTCAGTAACAAGGAAGAAAAGGCTCTCCTCTCCATCACACATAAACAGAGATGACTAACCTTTGCCTTAGCCCATCAGAATTGGATTACATGGACTGGAAGCATGTTATATGATCATATAAGACCACAATAAATAGGATTGGGTCAGATGGCAAGGTATATATGTGAAAAAAGAAGGGTGCTAGTCCTCCTGCATATGTGTGATAGAGAGGAGAGCCTTTTCTTCCTTGTTACTGACCTGAGATGAGCTGTCTTGAGAATGTTTCTCACAGTGTGTGAAGAGACAGGGAATGTGATGGTGGAATTGATGTAATAGGTGACCTGGACAGCATTATTAGCCTTTCCTGTAGTGATATGCTGAATAATAGCCCTCCTATCAGTAGAGGTGAGCTTGGATGGATGCCCTTCACAGAAGTTTTCCTTGTCTGTGTGACTTTCTTTGATGAACTTGGCCACAGTGGACTTGGATACTCCAGTTCTAGAGGAAATTTGACAAGCAGAGAGGCCAGAATAGGAAAGAGAGAGGATATTATCCCTTTGAGCAGGGGGGGTGGCTTTCATGGTGAATATAGCCATGACATATGGAAATTTTTGGTTTGTATAGTTAGATATGGTTTTAAAATGACATAATGACACCACTTTATAATTTATTTAATGGTGGCATGATTGTTATGGTGTCATAAATGATGATTTATATAGTTTTAATATGTGCTCAAAAAACTGTCCACATGAGTCATGATTTTGTAAGCCTTGTATCTCCACCATATCTCCACCGATTCCCACGGTGTAGGGCTCAAATGAAAGCCCTGAAGCCATACTACAATGTGGTATAACCATGTCCTTGAGGCATTTGTTCGTTCTCACACAATATCATAGATAGTGAAAAATGTCAAAACATGCGGACAGTTTTTTGAGCCACTGTAACACTGACATCCCTGAGCTCATGGTGAATGTTGTCATAGAAGAACAGGGTCATGTAGCAATTCGCAGCAACAGGAAACGCAATCCACATGACTCAGACTACGACCTCTCCATTCCCCCAGCAACTTACAATGAGGCTATGAAGCATCCTGATGGGAATCTGTGGCTTACCGCGATGAAGGCCGAGTTGCAGACCATGAAGGATATGGGGGTGTATAGACTTATGAAGCTCCCCCCAGGGCGCAAGGCCATAGGGTGTCACTGGGTGCTAGAATTCAAAGAGGACAATAAGGGAGGTCCAATCCAGAAGGCACAACTGGTCGTGCAAGGCTTCTCACAGGTTTCTGGAGTTGATTATAATGCAACCTTCGCCCCCATTGTCAAAATGGCCTCCATTCGGTTCATTGCAGCCTTGGCCTGTCACAACAACTGGGAGTTGGACACGTTTGACGCCTGAAGGGCGTTTCTCTGGGGGCTTCTCAAGGAGGAGATCTATATGAGACAGCCAAAGGGCTTTGAGGATGGAGATTGGTCGCTCCTGGTATGGTTGATGCTGCACACAATATATGGCCTGAAGCAGTCGGCCATGGAGTGGTATGAGCAAGTCCATGCCATGATGAAAGAACTCAGCTTTATGAGGTGTGCTGTTGACCATGCTGTCTTCATCTACGACAGGCCCAGCATGGGGGGAGGATCTACTGCCTCATTGGATGGCACGTTGACAATGGAATGGGCACCTCTAATTCCAAACCCTTCCTAGCCTATGTTAAAGGTCGCATTGCCCAATGCTTCAGCATTAAGGATCTTGGGCCCATCCAATGCTTTCTTGGCATTCAGTTTGAGCATGACTGCACATCCTGTCAGCTTTGGATGCATCAAGGCGAATACATCCCATACCTCCTTGATGAATACGACCTCTTAGATTGCAACCCCATTCTCCTGCCTCTCAATGCAAACCATCCATTCAGTCATGACTCCAACATCTACAACAACATCCCAAACCTCCCTATGCACTATCACAAGATTGTCGGTGAACTTCTGTATCTCACAGTCTGCACCAGAGCAGACATTGTCTTTGCAGTAAACACGTTGGCACAACACAACACAGCACCCTTGCCATGCTACTACGCTGCTGCAAAGCACCTCTTGCATTATCTCAGTGGGACCTTGAATTTACATGCTCATTTCAGAGGAGATCATGTCGAAGAAGGATTGCATGTGTACTGTGACACAGACTGGGCTAGTTGTTCAGAGGACAGGCTCTCAATTTCAGGCCAAGTATATGGTCATCACTCACATTATGCAGGAGGGCCTGTGGCTCAAATCGTTCATCTCAGAACTTCACATCCCTTTGTCATTCCCCATCATCATCTACATGGACAACACTGGTGCAATCTCTCTCTCCAAAGAAGCCAAGAACCACATCCGCTCCAAGCATATCAACATCCATTATCACTTCATTTGAGAGTGGATCAAGAAAGGCGTCTTTCTGCCACAATGGCTTCCATTGCACAAGAATGTGGCAGACGTACTGACAAAGGCTTTGCCGCACCTGCTTTTTGTCAAACATGTCGCAAACCTGTGCTTGTTGTCTCGCTGAGGGGGTGTGTTGACTTTCACTATCTTTTGCCTTTTAGACTTCATATTACCTTCTTGGCACTATCTGGTACTATCAGCTTCAACACCATATGCAACACATCTTCCTGCTTCTTGACCACATGAACTCCTCTGCTTGTCCATTCACCAGTACAATTACCTAAGCTCTTGGTCTCTCGTATTTAGTTTGTGTCGTCTCAACACATACCTCAGTTTGTTCTTGAACTTACTGAGCGTGCGCTCCTGCTAGTTATTCTAGCAATCATTGGTTACTCCACTTGCTGCATCACATGCATGGGAAAACATCTGAAAAGAAATAGTTGCTTACATTCTTGTCCCTTCACTGCTTTGTAGCTGCACATCGATCATCTGTAGGAATTGAATGTTGCTCAGGTTTCAAAGTAGATCACATGACTCCAGTTGGACCGGGTTTGAAGTAACCGAAGAATTTTTAGCTAAGCAATGCTCGGACTTGAGTCTCGACCGATCACTTGAAGTCAGCTTCAACAAATTCTCCGTTGACAATGTAAATCATCGTGCAGTGTCGGACTGCAGTCTATACTCTATGACTTATCGCTGCCTGTGTCCGTTGTCACATGCCATCCTCGAGGCTCACACGAAAACTAAACCTCCTCAATGCTCGGGTTCTAAGCATACCCGCTACACCCTGCAAATATTGACCCCTATATCCGCATGTGCCAACGCGCATCCGCGTACCTTACCAGCACGTCCTGCCGCTCTCTATCACGCTCCTCTTTTTTTTATCCATTTTTTGTCCATTGGGGTAGTGTACCCTATGTCGGACAATGCTATACTAGTCTAAAGGGCCCCTGCCCCTACTACATCCCTGGAATCACGAATGCCCCAGCGTGGGGTTGATCCCGCTGGTCCGCCGTTCCCGCCGGCCACGCTCCTTTACAAGCCCTAGCACGTCCATATTTTCCATTTTGGCGGACAAGTACTCCTTGCCGCCCTTCGCTTCCCTCCGTAAAGTTCTGTGCACCTCACACATCCTTCCATGTCTCCTTCCATTCATATCTACCCGCTATAAGAAAAGGAACAAAAAGTTAGGTAGAGTTTCAAGGAGTATGTTTTTGGGAGACACGGTATCTTCGACCCGAATGTGGTCCCTCATACAAGACTACCAGAAATCGGAAAAGACATTGTGCAAGGCGCAAGGATCTTTTGCATGCAGTCTTGTATTGGGACCATTTTGTTCGGTTGTTTGCGCTTACTTTTCATTGCTGCTCGTGTGGGCGTTTTACAGGTTTTACTTGGCGTATTAAATTCGTTGACCACCGCATGCTGGCTGTGGTGGGAGGCCGTTATATGTCGACTCAAATTAAATAAGTGTGGTGAGCTATGTTTTTCCGCCCACTTACTGTCCTTTTACCTCGAAATAATATCCTCATGCGTTCATGACCTATTATTACTCTAGATCTCCGTTCTCGCTGTGCTCGCCATGACCTGCCGCCTGTTGCTCTCACGACCTATTTATCAATTTCCCGTTCATCTATTATTCAAGAGGCCGAACTGACATGGCATTTGGAATTGCAATGACCCTAGGAGGCTCGGTTCTTGCCCTCATATTCAATATCATATCTCTGTAATTCGCTCGCCACTTCGACACAAGAATTCTAGATGCCTATTAGCCCAGGTGGCAAGTCACGACGCCTCCATGATTGGACGCACCGATACATTTTAGCTTGGTGCAGTGAGATGTCCGAGTCAGCGCCATTGGCCTTCATGGCCACCAGGCAATCGGCCCCGGATGCTATCCATCAAGCTCGCACTTGAATGTGTGCGGCCAGCACAGACATATTTATAATTTACTTACACATTGTTCTTGGTAGTGGTCTTTTACTAGTTACTTGGCACCCTAGGGCACCCTTCCATCCTGCATACACTACATCTCGTTGCATTGCCATGATAATTCCAGCTGCACAGCATTGATGCTAGGTGCCTGTGCCAGCTATCAATCCAGAATCTGAACAAAGTACGAATCCGTAAGGTGAAAAGACAAAACTGTAACAATGGGACAATGTGCGGCGCGCCATAAAACAAAGGTAACAAAAGTAGCAAGTTCGTGTATGAATGACATTGGTAGTAGGAAGGAAGATGGCACATTTGGTCGCGATTGTTCTATCACGAACGGTCCATCGTGCAAAGCTTGCCTGCTTCACTTCCAACACAGCAACCGAACAGCCACTACCAACTGAGGCCTACTACTGCCAGTGAGACCCGAACCAGTCCACGGGCATCCCGTGGCAAGCCAAATTAACGAACTTCTGTCGAAGACGCCCAAACGCAATTGCCGGAGTGGCGGCAGTGCAACCCACAGCTTTCCACAATGGCAGATTCTCCAGCGCCATCTTCCACAATGGACACCCTTTCACGTCACAAGTCCTTCTTGTTAGCCAGTGCCGTTCTCTTGCTTGCTTCCATTTTCACCCCTCAAACGGACCATCCTCCGACAGACGACGTAGTTCCTGTGGAGTCGCATATAAATCCAGAGGGAACGGTACGTCGTTTTTATAGTTCGCAGGACCTTTCACACCCTTATCACCCCCCTGCATCACCAATCGATTCAGAAGCTTATCGTCTCCATTAGTTACCTGCTACGACGTCCCATTCAATGAATCCTTCTTCCGGACAGTCAAGTGCAGATTCCGAGGCGATAAACGTGGACGCAGGCACAATTCCGCATGACACAAGGCTCGACCCCAAGTGCGCTCCAAACCTAATATCCGTGTTACTCTCTCACTTAAAAATACACTCAGTTGTATATTCTGCAAAATCGTTACCGGGGAAGCACCGAGTTTCAAGGTGTATGAAACGAAATACAGGTATGCCGCCCCGTCACACTATCACCGTTCAATCACCAATACCACACTTTAAAAGTCTCGCTTTTCTCGCGAAGCCTCCTGTTTCTCATGGGCATACTCTTATCATACCCAAATGTGTGTACCCATTCAATCTAGGCAAATTTGCGCTAAACAGTCGGGTTAGACCACTCCCGGACATTAACGGATCCCGGAATTCCGGATGAGTTCCTCGCGGACGTTGGTCCTATAATGAAGAAGATAGCAGTGATGAACGGCGAAGATTCATACAATATCATCCAGGTACGCCCCTCCTCACCCGCAGGAGCTCCTACTCTCTCCGTTTGTACCCTAAGTTAACATGACAATCAGAACAACGGCAGGACAGCCGGGCAAAGCGTCGACCATGTACATTTCCACGTTGTGACGAAGCCAATAGGCCAAGCTTCTCAGGGACTCGTCCTAACACCTGAGAGTTGGCCTTCGTACCCTATGACCGATGACGAATACGCTCGCGACGCAGCTCAGATGAAGCAGATCGGTAAGAGTCATGGATACCCGGGCGTTTCGGATTAGAGTTTGGGTACATGCGGAGTGAGAGGTATGGTGTGCAGTTTCGGCAATTGTATCGCAGCCAACGCTGAACTTACACCATTCGATGGGATGGAGATTTGCGGAAGTAACTTATTGAGGTTGTTGAGTTTATTGTCGTGCGAGGGGTATTATGGTAATCTGGTATGATATTTCCTTGGCTGTCTGCAGATATCCGTCGCAGTATACAATGAACCTATGCAGCCAATACCCATGTATTCTTAGTTTTCATTTTGAATCAGTCACTTTTTCTTGTAATACACAATACCTAACGCCCCTTCATGGGTACGTGGAGATGACGTGAACTACATTGTGAAGTACTTCGAGACGGGTTTGTACGGTGCCGGATCAGTTCAAATATTATACACACATGCTGAACACACACAGGTCTTGTATTGCAGAAAATTCAGTAATCTTTAAGTCTACTATGTTGTTCTAGCTAAGGCGTCTTGAATCATTAGGCCGCTGCAGCCCTGGCAAATATCTCACTAGACTACTCGCCAACCAAGCCATCAGATTCGTACACACATGTCTTGTATTGTAGAAAATTGAGTACTACCGATGAACAAAAGCAAAACCGGAGTGCATACCCTCATCGCGGCTAGGGATCGTCACGGGTAAACCTGCGGGTGTACCCACGAGTGTGCACGACCGACGAGACGGGGAGAACGAGACCGACGAGACAGGAAGAGCGAGACTAACGAGACGGGAAGAATGAGACTGGACGGGGAGGACGAGACCGACGAGACGGGGAGGGCGAGACCGACGAGACGGGGAGGGCGAGACCGACGAGACGGGGAGAACGAGACTGACGAGACGGGGAGAACAAGACCGATGAGACAGGGAGAACAAGACCGACGAGACGAGAAGGACAAGGTAGTTAGCAGTATGAAACACACAGTACACATACCTTAGAGAGCAGGAAACAGATAGGATAAGACTGGAGTGGCGGATAGCGGACTGCTGCGCAGATGACAACGAGTGACGAAAGCATGACTGCAACTTGGAAAAGAGTTAGAATTAGTAGGTTTGATACAGTTGGTGCAGAAACGGTATTTGAACAAACATCGAAATAATTACTATATATGGAAGCGACAGGTATGCAGCGGGTCGTGGGTCTCAAAATCCAGACCCATACCCATACCCGTGATGATCCCTAACTGCATGTTTCATTGATTGGCGGCAATTGTGGTGGAACTCAATGGCCTGTTTCCTCCTTGACGGTCGCAATCCTCAAAAGTTCTATGAAGCTATTGAGCGCTTCCAGGAGCTTGAGTCTGAAATTGGAAGGGTCAATCCAGAGTGCTGGAAAATGATGCTTCAGACGGTGAAGAAAGGAACAACGTTCCATCTTGCTTCTGATCTCGTCGAGGAGACAGCTCAGCGGTTGTCGGCAGCTCTGATCACGGAGCCTGGCCCAATGCTGACACACGCAGGCGGCCAGAGTTGGATACCTTGAGCTTGCCAAGCCATGAAGAAATTTTGTAAGGTATCCTCATCATCTGATGGCTTGGTTGACGAGTCTAGTGAAGTATTTGCCAGGGCTACTAGCAGCCTAATGATTCATCAAGACACCTTAGCTAGAACAACACAGTAGACCTAAAGATTACTGATTTTTCTACAATATAAGACCTGTGTGTGTGTTCAGCATGTGTGTGTTCAGCATATCTGTGTGTTGTATGTGTGTGTGAGAGAGAGTTTCATGTGTGTATAATATTTGAACTGATCCAGCACCATAGTTTTGCCTTCCTCCATGGTTACTACGAAAAGGCCAGATTGGTCAGAATGCATTTACTGATACAGAAAAAAACATTCTATATAGATAGTAGAACGTGAACAGTCAATGACTCAAACATCTGTCGTTCTCACGGACATCGTCGGCGATACCACCTCTCCTCCCGTCCACGTTCTGTGATGCCCCATCCCTACACCATCAATATGATACTGCTCGCCGACCAGCTCTTTAACAGCAACCATCAAACGATCGAGTCGAGTGATAATTCCGAAAGTGGTGGAAACGCCAACGCAGAATGTCCTGAAATAAAGTATGACAACCTCTCGAATAAAAAAGAGATGAGACTTACAGGTACTGCAAATTCTCCAACGTTTCCACAGTGAGCATCCGCGGTAATCCATAATTGTCCTCTGACTCCTCGTGCACTACGTTCAAGCCATGATGCCTGACCATGAACCTGTCAAGTAATGGGCATGGGGTAATTTGAGGTAAAGGAGAGCCTGTGCGCAGTGCATTGGAGATGAGACCTAGGAATGGACATAAGGTTACCGCGGATAAAAGTGATCAGGAAGCATACTGATAACAGCGAGTACATCGCCTTGAAAATCCGAATCAAGCATCCGTGTCCGGCGGAGGAATGCATGAGCCCAAGCGGGTTCTAGATCATGTACTGTGGACATCAAATGACACAGTTGATACGCAATTTGCCTATTTTTGATTTAAAACACAAGATCGTCGAAAGATATAGACACTCACATTTGAATCTCCAATATCTTGTGATACCTCTCAGCAGGCCATTTTCCCCGCAGCGAAAACTAGCGAACCAACGTATGTAAGGGTCTATATCTGGAATGTTGGTATTCACCTCATATATGACGTTCTCCTTCATCACGAGTGATCGTTTGAGTTTGCTACGGATGGCTAATAAGCTCTGAACTATGTTGCTGTTGTCTTTATCTACGTGTGAGTTCGCGTAAGACACAACCGAACAGTAGATCGATCCAAGTTCAGCCGATGTTGTAGCCAGCGTTCGCCGCTGATACGAACGAATAGTTCTTGACGGAGGGAAGAGGGAGAAAATACTGACATCGGGATCAATGACTGTTAAATGTGCAAAGGAAAATTCCTCACCCCGCAGCTAAGACACCAACGCTGACCAGTACGAAACGGCGCTTTTTTACATGTTAGCCTAGGTATCGAAAAAAGCATACAAAGACTTACCCAAGCCACATCGATACCCCATCCTGGCGACGAAGGGACAGTCAAATGAGTGTCTTCGTATGAATATCCGATGACCTATGCCAAACCATTAATTTCATTCACTCGGAGATGCCAACTTCCATACCAATGCCGCTGTGACCCATATAATCAAATTCGTCATGGGCGGGATAGGCCAATACAATCGAGCGAAGAAAAATGACGGGTAGCAAACCGCACACACAGCTGCCAGTCCATAAGGGCTGCCTCGACCACTCCCTGTGGAAATATACCTGGGCAACAATGAAGAATCCTGAAAGATCGTTCAAGTCTGTGACTTACCACATGACTGTACCAAGCAAGCCGCCAGTGAAGGTACTTATTAACCTAGCCACTAGACCAAACGTTGTGTCTCCACGAAAACGTGCTAAGGTAAGCTGACCCATGAAACTTTGAGAGTGTCAATCATCCTAGCTTACAGGGCAGGAAAGGAGTAACTTACACCGCCCAAACAAACTTGTTTGCTTCAAGAATTATCAGTCTAAGATCAAAGGCATACATGCTCTGCACACTTACCGTATGCAAACTGGGCCGATGTCTTGAGGAAAGATGGGATAGAAAGGATCACTGAGCATACAATCAGCAAATCAGACGAAACAGGAATGATGGCCGACCTGTCAACGCTCCCGCTTTCAAGGCGAAGAGCACGTTTCCACCTCCGATGCCGATGGCGGCGCGGTAAATCCAGTTCATGGCTATTTCAAGTGCATTTCTTGGGGGAAGTGCATCGGGATCGCGTTTCACTGCCTTTCCGAGGTCCGTCATCCAGGCAGGGTTCATGCCTGGGATTATTTCTATACCGGAATGTTAGCAACTGTGGCCACGAGAACGCTGCAGCAATATACCAGGATCCTCGTCGTCGTCCCGTTCGATATTCCCAGACGGTTCCCATGTTGTCCAGGTGAACAACTTTGGCAAGGAAGGAAGCCATAATCTGGGCTTCTTTCTTTCCGTTTCGAGTCGAATGATTTCCTTGAGCTGCGGGTGATTTAATATTCATCATCAACCTGATGTCGAAGAATCAACGTACCATGTCTTGTACTACTACAGCAAAATGTAAGAGATGGTACTGGTACACATAACAATGGAATAGAAACCGGTGGGGAGGAACTTCATCGTCACTAGATGTATCATAGCTGTGGTCGAACATTGGGCGATATGGGTCCAAAACAGTCAACCTGTCTCGACCACTCAGCAACAAATGGCACAAGAACACATAAATCATGCACCTCTTCTTGGTTCTGAATTCATCTAGCTCCCTCGTTAACTTTTCAAGCAAATCCTCGTACTTTTGGACTTCTTTCTCGTGGATCTGCGCCTTGTCTTCATGATGGCCCCTCAAAAAGTCGAAGTTGAACTTCCCAGCATTACCTATCCAGGCTCCAGATATTCCAAGCACTTCCTCGCACACACTTAGGAGATCCTGGCAGCTGTTGCTAAGTAGCTCCGTTGCTCGAGCAGTAAAGAAAACTGAATCCGGATGTGATAAATGGATCGCCTCCAAGTTCAGATATTTTTGCGATTCAAATACACCTACTGCTGTTTCCGAGCGCTTCGGAGCCCGAGACAACGCCAAGTGCAGCAAGGAGCTGTGCAAGTGTGTGTGGTGGGCGTGGTGCGAGTGCGAGTGCTGATGCGGACGGTACGAATGGAGGGGTGAGGTGGAGCTCGCGGGATGTGACCGTACGCGGGAAGATAGCGCCCGCTGGTGGCGGGATGGTTTGCGATCTCTGAGTTCGTGATCAGCTGAGGGTGCGTGCTTCTCTTCTGTCGTCATGGAGGACCGCCGATCAGGCCGAGGTGATGGCGGTCTGGAACGTACAGGTGTTGCGGGGCGGGAGGCGACAGGAGTGACAGGGAATCGCTCTCGCGTCGGATCGATGAGTGTATAGTATACACCCATGCCATGCACTCGCACCATAAGCTTCCGCATGATCGTGTGCAATTCGTTGTAATCAGTAGGCGCGAAGCGTGCGTAGACGATATCAACCCTTAGTAGTCGGGCAGCAACTGCGAGCATAGGCAATGCATTCTCAGCTTTGTTTGTTGCATCTGTAATCTGTGTGTGGGAGAACGCAGATGAGGTGACATCTTCGAGGAGATGAGACCTATGTAATGAGATGGCCGTTGCAAGGGGCGCGAGGACCCCCTGCAAGCGCGTCACGAATAGAGTAGACACAGATTGCGGAAACACAAGAATCGACATGGCGAGGGAGATCGCAGAGTGAAAGACCAGGGGAAGCATGATTGTCTGACCGATCTGAAGACTGGTGAGTGTACGTTTGCCGGGACGGAAAACTTGTTACCTTGTAATATGGATAAGGAAAAAGAACCGCGGAGGTTAAGGAAATGTCTGTAATCGATAAGCTTCAAGAAGGAAAGTGTATATGAGTGAGGCGCACCGACACATATACATCCAAACACAGAGGCGGGGAGGAAAGGTCCGGGGCCTAGTCTAGCCTTGATGTACAAGAAGAAAAAACTTCCGATGAAAAGGAAAACGCCCATGATAACAGTAGGCTTTGGCGCACGCGTTAATATATAGACTCCATTTCAAAAGGAATTTCCTTACCCATGCTTCGATGTACTCTCCTGTGATGATAGTGAGTATACTAGCGTCGGGTACGGTTTGTGTGCGGGCTAAGCTAGCAAACATAAGGCCCAAGCAGACCCAGCTAAAAGGGACCATCATCATTATCACCAAAGAACGAAGAGAAAGGAGTTGTACATACGCCCAACCCAATGCCACAAAGATGAGCATGAAAATTTCGCGTTCCAGAACTGCCATGAAAGGATCGCTAGGCGGTGATAAAAATGAAGCTAGATAGAGTCAATGGCTATGGCACGATTAACACATATGAGCGCTACTCACCTATTATGATGAGGAAGGCTGCCTTCAAATCATGCGAACATTAAACCAGCAATACAAAGATCACAACGCAACATACCTGTCCCAGTAGATTCTCTGTTCGGGGGATAATAAACACCACTACAGCGATCCAGGCAGTAAGGGCGCTTCGAATGACGGGTTTCCATTTGGACCAAGTAGAGTTAGCTGGTATCCATTGCAAGCTTTGTGGTAGCTTGATCTTCTGCCTTACTGGCTGTTTCTCGTCTGTGTGATCAGAAGACTCGGATACATCAGTATTCTTCTCTATCTCGCTCGCCGCTCGTTCATCTTGGTCCCCGTTTGACCGCCCTTGTGAGGGCAGACGCTGATTCCCTTCTGCTTCTATGATCGAGTTTGATTTATTGAAGGTTCCAGTTGGATCTGTCTGTATGCGAACTTGAGGGCGGGAAGTTGTCATGCTGGCAAGATATTGATTTCTGTAACTTAGTCTGTAAGCTTTTGAAGGTCCATAAATGACATGTGAAAGAATATTCGACTAGAGTCGAGCTTAAGGTACGACTAGCACCATTTCAAATTTCATATCACAACGGGCAATCTGATTCAGTCTACCAGTTTGACGTCACAGTTTTTTTTTGGAACATGAGCACCGCCGCAATTGCCCCATACGCGTTAGTCCCCGTTCTAAACGAAACGATCTATGATCTCTCGGGGGAGTTATGGGTTACTGAGTAGTATCACAATAGCGCATTACAAGCGAATCTGTAGTCTAAGAACGATTCGGTACAAGAAAGTAGCATCACAGAGCCAAAGCAATGGCATGTCCAATGTCGTGACTCCCCCGATCCGCATCAACCCAACAGTTCCGAGTCCGTCGGCAGAAGATCCAAAGCGCTGACGCCAGAGACCTCGAAGCAATTGTCAGTAAGTCCTTTTCTGAGTTCCTCCTCCATCCAGGAAACCGAGGAACCGGAAGGCGTAAGTGTGAAGGCCAGGTCAGGTGTGCAAAACAGGTAGGGAATAGCAGAGAGCTCCATCGGGGTATCGGGGCCGGGATCAAGGCGGGCGTAAGCGGGAAGCATAGCGAGTGAGGTATCGAACGGAAAGACCGACTTCTGAACAAGTTCGTCTAGAGCCATTTCCGAAAAATCTAGCTCACGTAAGTTAGTACAAACATGTTGGATGAGCACATGTACAGCTCTAAGATGTATGACCGAAGGGATATCACCTTCCGTGGGTTTGCAAAGAGTGCAAGTGAAGTCGGATATGTCTGAATCTCCCTGGTTACAGACTTTATGTAACAAATCTTCACTGTAGGGTATGTTATCATCAGTGCCACCATCATCGTAAGTGCTGAAGCTTGGCGCCAGGCTATTGCAATGTGGGTATATGCGTCGCTCAGACACCAAACGCGCTTCAGGAGAGCATACCTGTAGAGATCTTTGCTATAACTTGCATCCCGTTCGTCATTTGTCCCCGGAGTGAGGGTGCGTGATACCAGCGAGAAATTCTGGACTTCATGGAGCAAATATGGATTTCCTTGCGTAGGTTCCGGAGTCATAGACAGAGCAAGCACAGAAGATCTCGAAGACATGTAAGATGCGTCAGAACCACGGGCATCAGATGAAACGAGGGTATCATCAGATTGGAAGTTGATATCGGTTTGGTCAGAACAGGTAGGTGACGGAGATAAGAGCTCCCTCTTCACTTCAAGTTTCATTGGAACAGCTCGTGGCTCCAGCGAAAGCTCATACGAGTCGTTTGATATCGGTTGTCCCAATTTCTTCGCCCTTGACTTGCGAGCGCCGAACCAGTGATCGACACGCGAGGGACTTACATTCCGCGAGGCGGCCCATGCATGCCGCGAAGCAATTGTTGGAACGCGGGGATCAGATTTCCAGATGACCCAAAGCTCTTTTCGGGCGGCTGGAGTTATATATGGAACAAGGGCTTTCGGAGATGGAGATTTGTCTTTCTGAGGTATAGACTTGATGGCGTAATATGCCTTGCTTTTAGGCTTAGAAATAGAGGGCTTATCGACGGCTGGAGCGGGGTGTAGGATAGAAGAGTTCTGATTCGGGATCGTGGTCTCCTGAGTTTCAAGCTTGACGGTGCGATGGGTTTTGGGTTTTGGACGGCAAGCCGAACCGAGAGGGCTGGCTAGAGGAATTTCTCTAGACTGCATTTTTTTTGTCATTGTTGGAGGCATAATCACCGGAAAGAGTGAAGAACGCAATAGGAGGGTCCAGATTCGTATACGTGACCATATTCCAGCCGGCCCTAAACCAAACCATATATCATCAACATGGCGCATTATCATTTTTTTCCAACTCATTTATGGACTCGCACTATTGTCCCCCTGCGATTCAACCGTTTTGCTTGCAGGAGTCTACCGCTAGTCCCAGAATATTGAGCGGCTCAGCTGGAGTGCGCCCTCGTACGTGGTACGGTCTCAAGACATTAGGGAAGCTTTCCTTACCAGAGCTGCTACAAAACATACATAGTGTCCGAAATTTCATCTATGTATATTAGCACATCGGTTTTGCATGACTGCACTTATTTGAAGTTAGTTCAGACTGCAGTTCGCTCTGCAAGTAATTATGTCATGCATGGTTCAGAACCACCGAGGTACCAGATAATCGAGATGCTACTGCGCCGAAAAACGCTTTAAACGAACTTAATAATCAGTGCAGCGCTGTACGTACGCTTATAAGCTCGACGTCAACGTTCACATCCAGAGCCGAGGAGACTGGGTTCATCTAATACATATAGTAACTAACACATGCGAGTAACGGTAAAGAATCCAAGAATAAATCTACTACTCTATATCTAAACAGCAATTTGTCTCATTATTGTACTGCAATGTAAGCTGATATGGATGGCGAAACTAAAAGATTCCTGCTTACGGAAGTTCACCACGGGGGCCTCTGAGCAACCGCAGCATGTGTCTTATAACATATGAAAATGGCCATCCAAGACGCTGCCAAAATCCAGACCCTGACTCGTGCAACGAAGAGCGAGATTGGAATGCAACTACGAGCCATGCAGTAACCACAGTAAACACAATAGAAACCACCGCATAATGAGACATGGTTTCCGTGGCATCGTCGGTAATTTCCCTGACATTCATACCAAATACTGCCTGAAAGAAGGTCATGAATATATCATCGAAAGGCTGAGATCAGGCGTACCGCAACGAAGCTGGCAGGGAGGAAAATCATTGTCAGGTAGGAAATCTATGAAAGCATTTAGCATCGTCAAGCTGATCGATATATTAACCTGCCTGTTTCATAGCGGCCGAATCACGGACCGTTGCTATCGTCAGATCTTGCATCCGTCGACTATCGACGAAGTTCACGGTCGCTCTAGCCTGGACATCGAAATCAATAATATTCGAATCCAGCGTAGCAAACATACGAACAAGCTCTGTGATATTTTTCAATTGGAAACCTAGCCTGTCAATTTCCGAAAGGAGGTTATCGCATTCCTTGCGCATCAGTTTATTCGTGTCCCTTCTTGCTTGGTCAGTGAATTTGGAGGACTCCAGAACGGGACTCGGCGTGTTCCTGACAAAGGTCACAGATTTACGGAAATCCTCGAGAAGTGAAGCATAATGGAGGAGCTGAGCCTGGATAGTGTGCAGCTCAGTCGTGAGGTTGTTCTCATTTGTCGATAGTCCGTTTGTTTCCTGAATAATGATATAGCCAAATGCCCGAACGACACAAGCAACAAAGAAACGTACCAGCCAGTTCATGTGGGTGTACAGATGGTCCAAAGATTCGTCCCAGGCGTAAAGCGCATACCAAAGGATAGCCAAGAACAAAAATGTTGGATCCTTAGACTGTTCGAGTATCTTCTGCCAGTACACGCTCTCTCCCACTTTGCGGACTAGACTTTTTAATCGCTCTGCGGTTGTCCTATTCCACTGAGTACTTGGGTGGTAGGATATGATAGTACTACCACTGGGGTCGGATGATCTTATCATGTGTAGAGCGAGCAGGTCTTGAAGAAGGTATTTTTCCGCTGGCGAGTGGACTGAAACAAACATGAAGATACAACACCAAAAATGGGGGGAAAGACTCAACCTGAGCGAAGACGAAGCGACTCCTGCGTGTCTATAGCTTTTTCACCGCCTAGACAACCATTAAGTTATGTTTTGCGCAAGAGCTCAGCGGACGCACAGGAGACGTGCCTATGTTGCGAGGGCGCCGCGGACTTGTCCCATGGTGCCGTGCGTACAAAGAGCAACGTTACCGTAATGTCTACGGCATTTTTAAAGTGCCATCGGGTAGACAATGAAGAGCACTTACGATCTCCTTTTCTCTTGGCAACTTCTTCTTGGTATCGAGAAGGGATCCAGTTTAACGATGATGTGAAAAAGCACGGTTCGATGTTGTACCTAATTCATGTTCAACCCAGAAAACATGTCTGAAAAAATGAATCCCTAGCACCTCGTTCCCAGCATCTGAAGTACGGGATGTTTCATGTTATCAACGAGCAACACCCGGAGACGAAGACCCGTCGGCTGTAGGGAAGATGGGTCAACTTGGTCCTCAGCAAACTACGATCATCCCTCACCTCTATCTGCAACTGATCCCAAAGCTGACTTAATGCGCTTTCATCAACCTCGATAGGTGGATCGGTTTCGTTAGTCGACTTGAAGTCTCCGGATTCAAGTACATCGACATAATAGATCCTGCATTTTTCTCGAGGCTCCCTGGAACAATTCTCAACCATTCTAGACCGTGCAACTCGGTCGGCGCCCCAGCTCCCGAACAGGTTTTGAGGATATCCCCTCCATTTCCACCGGTCCACTGACTGTCTTGTTGAGGGAACAAGTTCTGTTTCTGAAATATCGTCCGACTCGAGGTCCATCCATGGCCAAGGTCCAGATGGGGCAGCATGTCGATATCTGGAAAGATGCCATCAACTCTAAACTCTTCTAGAGGCTTACGAACATGGAGTGCATGTGATTTGTGCTCACATTGGTGCGGGTATTGTGGGAGGCTTACTGCTGTGCGTTCCATGATCAATGTTGCTCCAATGCAGGGTGTTCAGTGGGAGACAAGGACAAGGAGACTGTCGGCTACTAGACATGGGTGAAGGTGAGGAAAAGAAGAATCTCAGTCCATCCGGATATGAACAGGCATGTACTTACTATATAATAGTTGCAAAGATGTTGATGCGGTGCCATAATAAGTTTACTTCGCGAACGAACCTGCACGAAGCACCACCCGATATCTTTGGAAGGCACATCTTTTCTTGATTAGCTTTGTTCACATCGACGCAAGCGCTGGTGGATATCAGTTACGTGACAATGCGAGTATGCACCAGTACGATTTTTATGTATCGCTGGTAAAGAACATGATCACTTATCCTTCCGTCGATGAACCCAAGACAGAGGATTGAATTAACAACACTCCAATAACACTCTTCACGATACATAGTAGTGCTCCCAGCTGGACTCCCGGAGTCTGAGAGCCATATCTCCCAAAGTGCTAGTGCACGTCATGCATTCTCCCGGTGTCAAAGTCACAACTCTCAGGCCGCTGAAGACTGCCCATCGTGATATGGACGTATTATCATAACTTCCGAGTTGTTATTAGAACGACTTGGAACAACGGCCACCAACCGACTTCCTGGTCTCCGTGAGCAGAGTCAGCAGACCGGAATCAATGGGAAGGTGCAACGTTCGAAAGTTCGAAAGTTCTGTATGCCCCGTCCGCTCTCTTTCTCCAACGTCCGACAAACCATGTTCATGCTGCTGGTCGTCCCACAGATATCCCTGACCTAACGCTAGAGATCAACCCACGTCTGCCCTGTTGGCAAGTCAACAACAACAGGCCCCAGGGACATGTCATTCGTGAGGTTGTGCCGCCCAAAGTTGACCCAAATCCTGAAAATAAGTTCCGAGGCGTCCGGACCAAATTAGGGCCGGAGTCCCGGTACAGACAGGGTCATTTCCAATTTTCCGGTATATAACAACTTTCGTGTTGCTCCGAATCCGAGTCGTTGATCATTTCCTTGCTCATTAATTATTCACTCATTATATGGGCGAGATCACAAACGTCGGACCTCATGAATCTGCCAAGAGTTTAATGGTAGCCACTCTAAATCAGCGTGGTTCAATGACATCGCTAAACATGGCTCCAAAGTTCTGTTAACCCTTAGGTTCATCAATGGACTTAGTGCGGCCGCTCAATCGCCATGATGGTGGCATATGTACATTCGGTTCCAAAGTCGTTTTGTGCGCTTGACCCCGTGAGAATCGACCTTGGGAAGATCAAGGGAAGATCGACAGCTGACTCACACTCGACCACTATCAATTATATTCCTGGTTGCAATCGCTGCCGGTTTCTGGCCTCTGAGCTGAGCCAGCTTATTAAACAAGCAAATATTCCGCAGTGTACGTATTCCCGCTCTACTCCCGATACTACCCACTAATGATATTTCAGCACCAAGTAGTATGTATTTGAAATAACTGCACCATCTTAACTTAGGCTGTATTCTGCAAATAGTGCTTCGCGGGAACGCAGGGTGTTACAGGGGACGATTCAGAGAGTACCAATTGTTGATGCCTTTAATTTTCGCACCTCCGAGTTCACACTAACATTAACTTTTTCTATTACCTACCTTGCTTGCTTGACAAGGTTTCTTTCACACCTCCATAATTAGTCGACAACTTTTGACCAACCAGCAACTTCCGGCTGAGCTGAGCACATCACGTGATCACACTCTTACAGTATGTGCGGTCTTTGGACTGCGATACACATCGATCCATTGTTTGGAATTCTGCCGAGTCCGAAACAAACTCTCACATCAGCATTTATGTCGAGCAAGGTTTCTGCAAGCGGCAATTCTCAGGTTTGTACAATGATGAAAAACAACCTTGTCACGACCTTGAAGTCAGCTAGCGCGTACAAAGGCTCGAGGTGCCCCACTGCTGTAAAAATCGATGTACAGCGCTCTTTAGGACTTGTCAACTATAATTGACACAATGATCAGTCCCTGGCAGGCGTGAACCATCCACGATAAATTAGGTCTCCGCGCAGAACATGCTACTGCCGCGTGTTTACAACCCTTTGAAGAAACGTCGATGTCACCCGAGGAAAATGATAGGCAAGGACAGGAAGAGTCGGGGATTGGCTTGCCTCGTACCGTGACCTCAGCGAAACTGCACGTTTCTGGAGGATTGTTTTCTTCCGTTGGTATTCCTCATGTGTCCATCCACGCAGGAAACCTCATTCTTGGCGATTCTACGACAAGTGGGACTTATTTAAGATGATAGCTTTGATATGCTGACGATGTGCTTTTGCAGGTTCACAGCGATCATTTATTGTTATCAAGAATATAGGCGAGGGCTCTTTTGGATCAGTCTCCCTGTGTGACTGGCATGGAAAATTACCACATGAAGTGCCACCACCCTCTGCGATTCATAATATTGACGATGTCGTGAGGCCGGAATGGACAGGTATGCGTCTGGTAGCCGTAAAGAAACTCAAGCGAAGGTTGGAGCATGGTTGGGACGAGTGCCAGTATCTCAAGGAGCTCAAGGTTTAGTGAATCTTCTGACACACCCAGGCATTCTGTTAAATCGACCACAGGCACTACATGCATTGACCCCCCATCCATGCGTCGTCCCTCTCTATGATGTCTTTCTCTCAAGTGAAACTTCGGAGCTGTACTTCGTTTTTGAAGCTATGGAGGGAGACTTGTACCGATTCATGAGAACCCGCAAGGGGCGGCCATTGACCACTGGCCTTCTGTCTTGCATCTTTCAACAGATAGCAGCTGGACTGCACCACATTCATTCTTCGGGTTATTTCCATCGTGACATGAAACCTGAGAATATTCTCGTCACTACCTCAGGGCTCTTACAATCACAACCAGATGGAGGTGAACAGAAAGATGTTGCGGTTATCTGTAAGATTGCAGATTTTGATTCTGCAAGGGAGATATCAAGCGCTCCACCTTACACAGAGTATGTCTCAGCTCGGTGGTATCGTGCCCCTGAGGTGCTGCTCAAACAGAGAGACTATTCTACGCCGGTGGACATGTGGGCTCTCGGGGCGATCATGGCTGAGCTGGTGAACTTGAGGCCGATATTTCCTGGTACTGGAGAAGTCGATCAGATACACCGAATTATCAAAGTACTTGGCGACCCTGCAGATCATGGCGTGGACGAATACGGCAGATCTTACGGAGGTGGTCCATGGTCTCTTGGCTTGGAATTGGCAAGGCGTCTTGCCTTCAAATTTCCTCAGGTTGGTTATACATCCTGGTTTGCGAAGTATTTGACTCTTGTAATGTCCCAGACTGAACCGAGAGACATTTACGCGATATTTGACGAGAAAATACCTCGCCAACTTGTCGACTGCATCTCCGATCTCCTCAAGTTTGACCCCAGCTTGCGCCTTACTAGTCAACAGTGTCTTGCGCACGAGTGTCTCAGGGAATGTCTGCCGGAAAATCTTCCCCGCATGATTCCTGGACAAAATTCACTCTCAACAGCTGACAACAGCACATGATTCGCACATGATCAACGCAACGTTGGAGCCGACTGTTGGTGAGTCGTTCGTGTTATATGCGATTCATATTAATGCTCATCCCATCATATTATATAAACCTTCAAGCGTGAAATAGGCTTTGCAGTACACTGGAACAGTACTATTCGACAGAGTTGCATAAATTTGTGTGCTGTCAATGTGCAGACGGCGTTCAAAACATCCCTTTCTAATGCCATGTACTGTTTCTGTAGTGATTCACATGATGCGGCTTTAGAGCTGGACTTCTGCCCCTTGGTCAGTGAATTTAATTAAACTAGAATGGATGCCCCTCGTTCTCCGGCATGAATTGATAATACATTATTGTTTTGTCGGACACTTACCTATTGAGTGTCGATTGATTATAGAGAGCTCTGCCGGGCAATTATAGAGGCTCAGTAAAATCTTTGAGAGTCTTTTATATGCGCCTAGGCTCGCATGTTAACCGTACTTGGCTCCCTTGATTTGCGACGCAGCCAGCTTCATTCATCGAAAATGGATATTTGCATTGCGCCTTCCATATATCCGCGCGCTGGCTCCAATTAACTTTTCCGTACCGAGTTCGCGCACCGTAACTGTCGTTGAGATCTAGAACTTGACCATCTCCGCACGCAGCTGCCTTGTATTCGGCCACACCCGGGCCTGCTTCTAAGTTCTGTGCCTATAAAGCTAGCTTCTCTTTGATGCTTTTGCCGCACCTGAGTCATATTCCATCTCCGGAGTTCGTAGTTGTGTTTGTACTGTTTCGTGCTTGTCGTTCACGCCGAGCTCTCTTCCGTGCCCCTTCGCAAAGTCGTTCGCAATCTCATCCTTACCACCAATGCACCGACCGAAGGTAAGTAGCTCCCAGGACTTGTGGATGACATGTCTATCCGCTGATGTATATTGATGGCATTGCCATCGAAATCTCAGCAGACCTTCGGATGAATGAATAGAAAAGACCGAGCTCTGGCATACTAGCTTGCGGAGTTGGAAAACAAAAGCGCAATCACATGCTCAATAATAAGCTGAGCGGCGTGTTGAATTGAATTGCAACATGGCCAGTCTCGAAAGCAAGTACATTAAAATCTCCAGTCCTGCTCCACATGTGTTGTTGTTAGAGTTAAACAGGTACTGTAACACTTCCCAGATCTCTCACGTTTTGACAAAATTGTCCATTCCCTATCAGACAGCCAGTCAACGCATTCAGTACAGAGTAAGTCGTTCTACAATTTCCGCAACTGCTAGTGCTCACACCACATGATTGTACAGGTTTTTGAAGGAGTACGAATGTACATTCGACGCACTTTCGAGGCATCCGGATGACATCCGCGCAGTCGTCCTTTCGTCTGCATTTCCTAATATGTTCAGTGCAGGAATCGACTGTAAGGGCTACATCCCGCTTAAGTAGACGGATAGCTGATCTTCAGCAGTCCAGGGACTTGTGAACCTCGGTGCCGGCGACGCCATAGATCCTGCACGTCGCGCATTTCTTACCGTGACGACATCCTCGACATCCAACACGCTGTAGCAGCACCTGAGCGATGCCCAATTCCCGTCATAGCAGCAGTGCATGGGATCGTGATTGGTCTGGGGATAGACATCATCTCCGCGTGCGACGTCCGATATGCAGCTTCGGACGCGAAATTCTCCATCAAGGCTCGTTAGTCACATGGCTGCTCAGTCGTTTGTCTGATGAAGGCTACTGTGTATAGGAAGTCGATATGGGGCTGGCAGCTGACGCCGGAACGCTAGCTTATTTGCAAAAGATTACGGGGAATACTTCATTAGCTCATGAGCTCGCGTATACTGCACGGACGTTCTCGAGTGACGAAGCGGAGAAACTCGGCCTTGTTTCTAGAATCGTCCAAGGTGGGAGGGACGCAGTCGTGGCTGCAGCATTGCAATTGGCCAAAGATATCGCTTCGAAGAGTCCTGTTGCAGTGAGTGGAACAAAGCGCCTCCTTCTGCACGCCAGGGATCACAGGTATGAGCGTCTGTTCACGCTTTCGGACTAATTCATTGTTTTGTGATAGCGTTGCTGAGAATTTGGAGTACACGGCAACTTGGAATTCAGCTGCGCTTCAGGCTACGGTTAGTTCATTGACTATTTGTTTTTCACGCTTCAATTAATAGAAAATACTATGCTAGGACTTACAGCAGTCAGTCAAAGCGGGAATGACCAAATCAAAGGAGTCTTCGAAGTTCTTGTCATTAAGGCCCAAGCTCTAGTTATTCGAGTGCGCTATGTTTAATTCTCTGAACTTTTTCTGATCTCTTCCGCTAATGAGAATTCAAATTTTACATGCGTCGATTTTTGTAACATGATAGTAAATACAATGAGAGCTCAAGATACTACACGTGCATTAGGCTCAAACCTGCACCCTGCTAAATGACATTTTCCCTGGCTCACATCCTGTGGCCGAGGTTGACGTGAACAGACTTCACTGCAGTGTAACTGATAACATATAAGTCCGTGCTAATATGCCATGGACGCAACACTCACTTGGAGAGGGCGTACTCGCCAAGCTCACGACCAATACCGCTCTGCTTGAAACCGCCGAATGGTACGTTAGAGTTCAATGAGTTAACGCAGTTGATCCATGCGGTTCCAGCCTTGAGTCTGTGTGCAGTGTTGATAGCACGGTTCAGGTTCTGGGTGAAAACGGCAGCAGCAAGACCGTAGACTGTATCGTTTGCCTGCTTGATCACATCTTCCTCATCCTTGAACTTGATGACAACACCAACAGGACCGAAAATTTCCTCTTGGACAATCTTCATCGATGGATCGACATTGGTGAAGATGGTAGGCTTGATGAAGTAACCCTCACTTCCATGACGCTCACCACCAACCTCAACCTTGGCACCAGCCGACTTTCCGGACTCAATGTAAGACATGATACGCTGGAACGTGCATTAGACAAGTGAATGGTTGCGAAAGCAATCTACGACGTACGTTGAATTGAACTTCCGAGACCTGAGGACCCTGGAAAGTATCAGGGGCAAATGGGTCGCCGACCTTGAGCGACCGAGTTTTCTCCGTGAAACGCTTGAGGAATTCGTCATGGATGCCTTCTTGCACGTAGATACGCGAACCTGCGCAACACGTTTGGCCGTGATTCCAGCTGGTGAAATATAAGTGTAGTTTGCATGACAGTACGCTATACTCACAAGATACCGAATGCAGCCCAGTTAACAGCTTGTTCGATGTCTGCATCGTCAAAAATGATGTTCGGACTCTTTCCACCGAGCTCGAGGGTGACGTTCTTGAGGTTGCTCTTGGCAGCAGCCTCCATAATCTTGCGACCAACAAGGGTTGAGCCAGTGAAGGCGACCTTCTCTACCTTCATATGTGAAGAGATGGCATTACCGACAGTGTTTCCGTAACCAGTGAGGACGTTGACTACTCCAGGTGGGAAGCCAGCCTCATTAATAAGATGGCACATTCGGATGGCAGTCAGGGGTGTGAATTCTGAGGTTTTAGAACGATCGCGTTGCCGCATGCGAGGGCAGGACCAAGTTTCCAGGCCATCATGAGCACTGCAAAGCGAAGAGTGAGTGCATGACACCTCAAGCAGCTGATGTGTACACACATGGGAAATTCCATGGGATGATTTGACCCTATTATAAGAATATAAGAGGAATATCTGGGAGCTGAGATACGTGTACTTACAACAACACCAATGGGCTCGTGACGAGTGTAGGTGAGCTTGTCCTCGGTGGTCTGCCCAAGTGTCAGTGAATGAGCCAAGTTGATTGTTGAAAGCTTCAGACCTCTTGTACTTGACCAGTAACCTTATCGGCCCAACCAGCATAGTAGCGAATGCAATCGATGGCACCAGCGACATCAGCATTTCTTGCCCATTTGAAAGTCTTGCCTGGCGATTACTGGTCAACGATTCAGATGCCTAGTACTAATTGGCCTGGATGCTCACCATTGTCCAATGCCTCCAGAGCGGCAAGCTCATCAGCATTCTTCTCCATGAGGGTAACAAGCTTCGACATCAAAATGCTACGCTGAGCACCGGGCGCATGAAGACCCCAGGTGGTGTCGAAGGCTTTATGCGCAGCGTCGACGGCAAGGTCGACATCCTTGGGCGTAGCCTCGGATACGGACGTTATCACCTTTCCATTTGCTGTGCACAGAGTTCATGTAAGATCGTGAATATCAACATCAACAGAACGTACTCGGGTTGATGACACTAAAATCGTCGAGGTCAGTAAGAAGCGCTCGATCAGTGATAGGGGTAGATCATACTCGATGGTGGTATTGTCTGATCCATTCAGGAACTGGCCATTAATGAAAAGACCTGTGCTGAATGAAACTTTTGCTTTGAAAGTGGGCGTATTGAACTCGTGAGTGAACGTGGAGGGCATGGTGACAATGGATTAATATTTCTTACTCGCCTGAGTAAGTTGAGTTGTATTTATATAGGAGCGGAGTGCCATTAAAGGGTCGGAGACAAATCCAAGAGTCACCTGAACTTTACTTCTTCCTCGTGATACACATTACAATGATAGATCACTGGATATATGCAGCATTATCTGCCCCGCATGAGTGCATCATCGATTCATCCGTCATGCCAACGTGCAACGGCATTTGCAAAACTTTCGCAGTCGATGTGTCACATGCTTCGTTTGCCCTTCTCTTTCGCCCAGTTCTTACAAGGAACTCCTGCCCGATGGCAGTCGAGCCTCGCTATCTTAGTCAAAGGTCTTCTGAGTCTCTCGATCTTCGGCAAAACTATGGATTTGGTATCAATATTTCTCAGTGTTTCCGAAGGGTTTCCAGGGCCGCCAACAATGGTATGGTAAATATAAGATTAGGCATTCGCAGCCCGTGAAGGCGTGAATGTTTTGCTGTCTTTTACCTTTTTGAACTCCTCGATGGTCAACTGGTCATGTTGGATTGAGGGTAGGAGGGTGGGACGTGTCGTATTAATTTGGTGACCGAGTCTCGGCGGCCCTTGTTGGGTGATGTTGACATACGTTGCAAGGCTTGGGTTGCATAATAGACCTCTGCATTGGCCCTCCCATCGCCGGTTTCCGAGGGATGTGATTCTCGAGATTTACGACACAGCAACCTTCGAACGAGAGCAATGTAGTCAAGGATGACTGCACACTCAATATCGTCACCTCAAGAGAACCTCCTGACCTAGCTGGTATAATTACCATACAAACAACGTGCCTGCAATGGACGTGACGTTCTCTACAATACATGGGTGGTGCCCATCACGAGGTCTCCCCTGAGATGTTGACCTTCTGGTCTATTGTATCTATGCCCAATATTCTATCAGCCTCTGGTGTTCCCGCAAGAGGAACGTCCTTCCGTAGAGAGACATCGACCGGCGAGACACCCTCGTTGTAAGCCAATGCAAAGACGACATCCATATCTGCAAGAGATGTTGAATCGACAACAGCAAAATACATCGTAGGTGCAGAATTACCTTCCAACGAACGACCTGCAGTCTCTGGGAAGAAGAAATAGACTACTGGAATGATGAAAGCGTTCAACGCAGCGAATACTGCTCAAACATTAGCCTTATACATGACGCGATATTTCATGACCTACCAATGTAAGTGCCCCATGATATGTCGTTGAACGATGGGCCTGTGACCATTACGACTACGAAATTAAAGATCCAATTCGAAGCTGTATAGTAACAAGATGTTAGTATCCAATATGGATGGAAACAGAGACTATATACATGTGCTCAGTGCATTGGCAGGCGCACGAATTTCCAACCCAACAATTTCGGCAGGCTGATGCAGCGACATGTGAGTTTCGTGTAAATTACAGCAAGCAAGCAGCTCACGTATAGCCATGTCATGCCCAACCAGCCGATGGCAAAGAACGAGTTGAACACAAAAAGTAGCACAGCGCTCACTACTTGGGCTCCAGCGCCTCGTACACTGCCAAGAACGGCAAGCAATATCATAGTAATGCACTGGCCTACAGCGCCAAAAAGCATGAGCTTTCGTCGCCCGATACGGTCTATGATGAAGATAGCTATGAGAGAGGCAAAGAAATACTCTGTTCCATTGGCAGCCGCGATGAGACGTGAGGTAACATCTGACAAACCAAGGCGTTGAAATAGGATCGTCTAGAGTGCCGCAGACATAAGGGACCAGCGAATTCAGAAGGGGAGGAAAGACTTGCAGCGTAGCTACAATGTAAACCGCCCATCAGACCATGAGTTTATATTAAAGGCAGATACTCAACTATGTAATCAGGTTGATGCCCGTAATTTGTTGAAAGCACTGGTTGATCACTCCTAGAGAAGCTCTCCGGAAATGTTGGCTCCGGCCGCCTATGAGAAGTTTTCTCAAAGACGAGCGCTTGGGGTTCTGTAGCGGATGTTTGCCTCCAAGGCCGCTTGAGGTCCCAGAATCCTCGATAGCAACCGCTTCCCGGATAGCATGATAGGTGCGTTGAACTTCAGCATCGTCTGGGGATTTGTTCTCGAGTGCCGATATGACTGCTATTGCTTCTGCGTTTCGGTTTTGCTTCACAAGCCTAATCACTGTTATCAGAAGCGTGCCAAATGAGTGAATTAACATAAACACCATCTTGGTGATTCAGGAAGCTGAAGAATCCAGTCAGATAAGAGAGTGAGAGTAACTATATAGTTGACCCACGAAACCGATTCCAAAGACCATGACCAGAGCCAAAACCATCTGGAGCGCAATGGGGACTCTCCACTGAGCAGAAGATCCACTCGCCCAATAACTATGTGCTTGTGAGTTGGATGGCAGGAAAGGGAAAGGTTAACGTACAGGCCAAAATCTATCCACTTAATGCGCGCCGTCAATTATGCCGAGGTGTCAGATTGGCGGGGTTTACTTACATACCTGGCAGAAACATGACTTTAGGATACTGGCATAGCATGGCTACTCACGAGATCATGACACCAAAAGTGATGAGAGACCCTTCAATCAATATCAACGCGCCGCGTTTTGCTGCAGACGAGAGCTCTGCATGATAGCTAGGAACTGTAGAGGTCTGTCGAGCAACGCAAGGTTCAGACGGAGGAACAAACTAGAGACGGGGAGTACTGACATTCAAGCCATTTCCAATGCCGGTGACTACCCGAGCGACCACTAATTGTGCATAGCTGTAGCTAGTCGTTTGGAGAATAGCACCAATAATCATGATACATCCACCCAATGCAATTGTCCGGCGTCTTCCCAAACGATCTCCTACCCAAAGATTAGATAAAGCCCCCATGAGGCATCCAATTTCCTGTGTATGCAGACACATTGAGAACGATTTAACAACTGTGGTTGTTGCTCACATATATAGCGACAACAAAGCTTTGCAGTGTAGCGTGGTTAGGGTGACTGCTATCCACTACAACCTGGGGAAGACCTTCTCAAACTGAGATCGATTAAGCTTCACATCACTTTCGAAGGTTGCAATTTAATGACAAGCATACCTGTCCAGCGGTCAGCAATGCAGACATAACCCCTTGATCATAGCTGCATGACGACAACACAGTTTGCTCAGTAGATTGTCCAGAAAAATTGTAATCTGTACGAACCCGAACAACGTAAACCCAGTGCCAGCAACGAATGCGATCGAAATGGTTAATTTACGCCCACGGAGGTGAAGGGCATGCGAAGCAACTTCGGCATCAAAACTAGTCTCTTCGTAGTGCTTCCTCTCTTCTCCTTCGAAGGTGCTTGAGACTGGAGGGCAGCCTGGCGTAGTCATGACGATGGACACTAGGCGCCTCAAGATTGAAAGTGGAAACAACGGGCATCACGATGAGATCAGTCCTAATTTATAGGTTGAATGTGCGATATCACAGATAGAAGTGGAGTATAAGTTACCTTGTGACCGTCCAGTGATCTTGAGAACGTGACCACGGATAATGGATGAGGCTTATCGTCGAGGAAAGTCCGGAATCGAAGGCGGTGTTGGAGAGAAGAATGTTGGAGTGTCGTCAGCACAACTGGCATTCGCAAGTCGAGTGCCCTATCACCCTTCCGAAGTACTTCGGCTTCCAAATCTTGGCTGTACGTGCAATCTAAGAATGTATTACATAATGACTTTGAATTTGCCGGACTTACCCGAGTCAGTAGGAACGGCGTCAAAAACCTCTTGACCACGAACAGGACAACTTTCTGGCGCTCACCAATTGATATTGGCAACCACGATTCATCGTATACACGAAAAGCGCCACCTAAACTTCAACCTACAGCTCGGGTTGTTCATTACCATGTCTTTGCTTGTCCAGAATCCCACATCCGTGCTCATTTAAATCCCAAGTCAAGTTTCATGCGCCCTCCAACCACAGCAAACACCATTTGTCTGTCACTTTCGCGGCCCTCGTTCCTTCTCCACGGCTGGCGATTGAAGATACGCAATTGGCGCCCACGCCTTCTCATGGCTACCGTCGTGTTCTCCGCCAAAGCCCGCCTTCCCTCCGTCAGATTCATCCCGCCGATAACGCCGTCACCACCGAGTTATTTCAATGTCTCCGGTCTCAACGCATCTCCCCCGGTTGTTCTACTCGTATCTTATCGGTATCATAATTGCCAGGTATTTCAAAACACGAGCCTGTGCCGGTACCACCGCCATCAGCCATCCTCGCACTCGCGAACGCAACGCCAACGATGACTTGAACATGTTGTCCGTTTCAGGATCCTTTGTTGAAGTTGGACGAGCTTTAAAAACAGAGACACGTCTCCTCTTTGGTCCCGCTTATTATGATACCTTGGTCGAGCGGTGTACCCTTAGGGCGCTCTGCCTCCCTGCACACCGCCTACACACTCCAGCGGCCGTTGTCAAATAGCAATAGGTCATTGTGTCTGCTCATATGTCACGGCCGGTTTGTGCCCCATGGATACTTGTTGTCATTATGATCTTATATATATAACTACAAAACTGTACAATGTACCAAATAATGCCGAGTCCCCTGCCATTCAGGCCTGCAGGGTGTATCCCGCCCGAACAGTGATGTAAAAGGCGAGACCCTGTTGCTTGTCCAGCTCCAAGTCAGTAATTAAATAGAAGCGGTAAGAGGGAAACAATGAAATCTGGTCTATCGATATGAAAGTAGCTCTAACAGTTGTTATCTTGCATACCGGTGTCACATGCGTACCCCACTTCTGGCACGGGCCTCTGACCGCCATTGTCATTGCCAGTAGCAAGATGGCAGCATTCTGCCAACAACACCACTGAGTCTCAGCCTAGATGTGCCCTGCATGATGTGCCTGATCCTATTACCATTACTCACGTAATTGAAGATCATGATCCATTAGGCGCAACCACACAAATATTCCCAACATGATGCGTGTCTACTTATCATGAATTTCGGACTTATCCATGCAACCGCTACTTTCCCCCCAGTTATTTCCTGCTAATTACTGTCCTCTTAGTTCAAGTTATTGTTGTCTCCGTCATGGACAATCAGCCAGTTGATCTCGGACTCCCGGTGTTTTCCCGCCAGTCGACACTGACCAAATTTGGGGTCATGTCATACGACACTCCGCAGACAAATTTGTGGCTTGAACGAACTCGCCTCCATGGAATGATGTTCGGGGGAGTGTCCTACGGTGCGTTTTCGGTCGACATATGACATTTCAGGAATCGATATACTATGTACTAGGCATACTCACACTCCTTACCGTACAAGCTGCGACTGCACTGATGCAACGGCCTCGATATGGTGGAAAAATCGCAAATAATCGCCTCGTGCTTCTTTTCTACATTTTCATCACGTTCGCATTGGGGACAATTGACTACGCTGCGAACGCGAGATATACAGAGATGATTTGGATAGACCTTCGCGATGCACCTGGTGGTCCGCTCGCGCTAATCGAGAGCTCACTGGATTATAGTATCAACATTATGGCACTTTCCACGTAAGCTCCTTGCCCATCCACCTTCAGGCCTCTAGTATTAATATCTGGTCCAGTTATTTCATCATGGGGTGGTGTATGCAAGCTCTACTTGTAAGTTCGATAGTTTCTCATATGAACTGGTGCAAACCTGATGCTTGAAATACTTAGCTTCATCGATGTTCTGTGATATGGTGTCGGGCAAGATCGGTGATGGTCCCAATGATCGCTTTCTGCATTGCCATGCTTGGTGCAGTACACTATTTACAAAGCAAGAGTCATCACTAACATCTTCAGCAGCTGTATCTATTCTCGTCATAATCCAGGCAAGCACCGGTGCCATATTTTTCAAGATCAACACCATGCTTCTCTACCTTTGCATGGAAGAAGGTTTCACTTTGATTTATACGATTCTCGTGACAAGTCGTTTACTCGTCATGCGAAGCCGGATGAGGCAGGCGGTGGCCCAATATCCCATGGCCCAATATAATTCTAGTACCTATGATACTGTCGTCCTCATGCTCATCGAGTCCGCCATGTTATACTCTGTCTTCTGCGTGGCTCTTATAGTTTCTGTTGCGTTGCATTCTGACGGCGTCTTCAATCTAATCTACTTGTCCATTACCAATATCCAGGTAAGCAGACAAAATCCCGTGTGGCATCTCTGATACTAACTTGAACGTGTTGGATTTAGGGCATTGCTCAATTGCTCATCATCATTCGTGTAGCACGGGGGCGGGCAATTACACACGAGTGGTCGACCCGCGTTACTGCAGCACCTACAGCACCTACGTCTATAGTATTTTCAAGAACTATGTCGGATATGACAGATGGAGCCAACATGGAGCGAATGGGTACTCCAGAACAGGATGGTGTTCCGTTGTATTCTATTCGATCGCCGAAGGCAACCGAAGTGCGTATGGCATGACCGTGGCTTGATTTAAAGCTAGTTTACTTATATATTGTAATTCAACTTCGTTTACACCTGCTACTATAGCTTATAACCTAATGGTACTTCTATTAAAAGTCTTTGCAATTACAGCAGGAATCGCCCGTCATTATGTACGATTTCATGAACAATGACTCGTTTTCAGCTCAGGGCAGAATTTCAAATCAACCACGTTATTATGTAATCAATAGTCACGTCACAGTCCAGGTAAGCAGCCAGCAGGCAGAGACTGATACTAGCTGCGGTTTTATCTTATGTTCAAATCAGACTGCCCAATTGCTCATCATCATTCGCGTAACTCGAGGACGGACAATTATACATGAGTGGTCGACCCGCGTTGCTGCAGCACTTCGTCTATAGTATTCTCGGGGACTGTTGGACACAAATTGCAATCAACATTGAGCAGATAGTACACTGGAGCAGGATGGTTCAGTCGCATTCTCCTTCAGCAAACACGGCAGGAGTAAATATTCCGTAAAGGTATGTATGAAGCTGGTATCAAACTGTGGCCGTATAGTATATACTGGATCGGATAATCTTCATTTGAGCTGCAGCCTGTTGAAGGTTTTGGAGCAAGAGCGGATCTCCAGATATGCACAGTATCTCATTTCAAGTTCAGCTCATCATCGCTGCTAATACGACATCACGCAGAAGAACTCACATATCATCAGCAAACGAGCCATGCCTCTGCTGCCTGCAGAGCCGAGTCCCATCCGAGATCAGGCCCCTTCTCCCAACACTGCACGCTCTCCACCTCGTCCTTGCCCAGCTTAAACTCATTGTATAAATGTGGAAACGTGCCCTCCCCTCCGCGCGGACCGCATACCTCTGCTTTTGGGTCCTCCCACTTGATATTCTTCTCGACAGGGTCGTAGGGGATGCGGAGTACGTAGACTTTGACGTGATCTTTGTAGAAGAATCTGAGTGTATTGGGGACTTGGCGTGCGGTGGAGAGGTGGATGAAGCCGGATGCCTGGTCGAGGTCACTCACGGGGAGCCGATTGGGCAGGGGATCAGGTGGAGCTGCTGCTGATGAAATGAGCTTGTAAACGTAGGTTGGACTGGCATCTGATGGTGTGGCCATGGTGTTCTAGGAGATTGGGCTTGAGCTCGACTCGGGGCGAATTCAGATCGTGGTGACAATGCAAGCAGCTTATCGATGGGATGGACCAAAAATGTACACGAGTACATTGCACATCTGGAAGATAATCTGATAGCCACATGGGCAGTCACACAGTAAACGGCGTCAGTAGTCATTACAATTGACAGGTATATAGCTTGTAAAAGGTATATATATCGTGAAATCTACCACGAATCTCCTCATGGCTTAAACCATGTCTCTCACCGTCTTCTCCTTTGGCTTATACACAATCTTCCATAAGGTAAGAATTGGCCACACTGCGCGCCTCAGGAATGGAGCATTGCGGTCGTGGAATGAGCTATACGTCTGAAGCGTGACAACGATATAAATGGTAAAGAGCGTGAGCGAAATGGTGACCTCGACGTAGCGATCGAGTGTCTGTAGAGATCCTTGATTGAACTCTACGACGTTCATTCCAAACACAGACTGAGTGTGTGGGATCAGATGGGTTCCGCACTAAAGAACCTCCATGCTTACGGCTAAGAAGCTTGCCGGCAGGAAGACCATCGTGAGGTACGAGATCTGAAAGTTTGTTAGTCTCCAGTAAGCCACTTTAGTTTCATAAAAGAAGGATACCTGTTTCATAGCTGCCGAGTCCCTGACCGTCGCCTCTGTCAGTTTTCGCGTTTGTCTACTGTCGTCGATATTAACAGTCGCAAAAGCAAGGTCCATCACATTCTTCAGTCGGTTGCCCAACATCGCACGTCGCTTTTCTAGACGATCAATTTCGCTGAGTAGATTCTCGGACTCCGTCTCCATAAGTTCCTTCGACTCTTTGCGCTGTTCATCGGAGAAGTCATTAGAGTCCATGGCCAGATTGTGGGTCTTCGCGGTAAATTGTACTGATACCTCGAAGTTATGAAGGAGTGATTGGTACTGCAAGAGATGCGCCTGGAGGATGTGAAGGTCGCGCGTGAGCTCCATGTTATTCGTTTGTAGTACTTTTGCTTCCTGAATGTTCTTCAGCAACACACCACTTCTACTCTGCACGAGGATAACATACCAGTTCACTAAGATGTTTGTACAGCAGCTCAAAAGACTCATCCCATGCATATAGTGCATACCACAAAATTGCGAGGAAGAGGAACGTCGGGTCTTTTGACTTGTCGAATATTTTTTGCCAGTACACACTGCCCCCTACAAGCTGCATGAGCGAGTGGAGGCGCTTCGCGGATGTCCGGCACCACGTAGACTCGGGATGGTAGGAGATGATAGTGCTTGTCTTTACGCCGCGGACCATGTGAATTGCGAGGAGGTCGATGAAAAGCATATCACCATCTAGGAAGGACGTTGGAATGTGAATGAGGACCTTGATAAATACACATACTACTCATGGGGAATGGAGCCTGGGTGTTGATCTGAGTATCTGTTGAAGGTGAACAGGATGACTACTACAGATGATGAATCGCTTACTCGGGGATTGCGATGTTGGTGCTGGAGAGGTGGGTGTTGATCGAGAATTGCGATATTTTTTGCGCAGCGTTCGTACAAATGGCAGAACGACAGTAATGTCTATCGCACAACATCAGTATAGGACCCAAAATGTAATATTTAGACTCACGATCTCCTTTTTTATGGATAGGCGCTTCCTGATATCGTGAGGGTATCCAATTCATGGAGGACGTGAAAAAGAATGGTTCGATGTTATATCTAAGTATGAGGAGCCTCAGAGCCAGTAGATAAGTAGAAAACCGCTATATACCTTGTGCCCAGCATGCGCAAGACCGGCGAGGTTAAGTCGTCCACAAATATCAATCGCACCCGGATATTTTCTGGTCGCTGCAAAATCATCTTACGCCCTAACTAGTATACGAGAAACGTGAGACTTACCTCTCCCTGTAATATATCCCAAAACTCATCCTCATTTTCAGTTCCCACTACCATGGTATCACCTTTTCCTCCGATATCTGAGCGTGCAAAACGCCCGTCATTACGCACATCCATCCAGTAAGTGGTACTAGACTTATTCACCAGACACTTTTCGAGCATCTTACTACGCCCTACTTGGTCTGGAGTCCAGTTCCCGAACTGGTTCTGAGGGTACCCCCGCCAGGATGGATCAATAACAGTCGTAGAGGGCGTAGAATCTACGTCAAAGTCCATCCATGGCCATGGTCCCGATGGTGCCGCATGTCGATATCTGGGGAGAACACCAGTCGGCAAAAGTAAGTAAATAAGAGGACACAACTTACGGTGGCGCAGGCACCGCAGGTGGCATAGCTGTATTATTGTCCTCGAGGTTTTGAAGAGCAACATCCCTCGAGTCTGAGTCAAGGCGCACTCTAAAGGCGGCCGCCAGTGCTCTGACTGACATGATATCTTAGCAGTTGGAATCAGTTCATGCAGAAATTGTCGTGAGAAGGGGGACAATGAATATATATATTTATGATGAACAGGCGCCCAGCGCTGCGCTCCGTCCAGTTTCGACGTGGCCACCTTGATTCATCAACGATGCAACCAGAATAGACGCTCTAAGCGGTACATTGCCTTTTTCAACCAATTTTCAAATTCGAAATTACTTTCGCAGTCGGTAGCCATCCTGTGAAGCACTTTGTTAATGCCTGCATATGGATGTGCCTGCCTGTTCTCTTCAAGCGCACAAGAGGCCCGCCTCAATCAAACACCATGAGACCATGATGGTGGCATGAGGCATGATGCGTTCATCGAAAGTGATTGAAACCAGGTCAACCCAGGTCCGAGGTCTACCCTAATAGTTGCAAATAACCCATGACTGGAAGTCAGGCAAATCGAGCTCGAGCCTTTTACAGCGTATATCCGAGTCTCCCTCAGGCACTAAGTCTATAGCAGTCTTTGCCCGTATTATACAAGTACGGCCTTGGGGTGTCCATCCCCACAAGCGGCATGCCTTTGACCAACCAAAACTTGAATGAACGAAAGAGCGCCAATATTATTGGCTCGGCACAGCCGGCGGAATCCTGGGCCCTGCAGGGCTGTGTGCCTGTCTTCAACTTCGTCACGGTAATCTAAGAACCAATATTCAATGATGATAGGCTCGCAATTATAGACCCCCTAACACGCTGGAGAGCGCGCTTGATAAGCCAACGTGTACGTGCACGTTTGACGGACACAAGAACCCGCTGGAGCTCCTGTGCTCCTCCTATTTGTCCAGAACATGATGAACCCACGTCTTCCCACGCTCTCTAGTGCACTGACATATACCCACTGATGCTTATTCCATTCATAGGGGATAAACTCGTAACCAGTCTGGGCTGCATCTTTGAGATATTATAGTTTTGCTACTCAACTTGTGCATGGTGTATAAGCCAGGCTGGTCATAAGCCTATCACAGTGACCTAATCTGGACATTTGCAGGTCTTGATGAAATCAATCAAACTATACTAGTGGCAGTACACGTGCAGGATGATTGGACAAATGATGGATACTGCAGAACATATTCCCCCTTTCAAATCTGCAATATGCATAAGGACACTTCAAGTTGGAAGTTCAAAAGTTGGCGCAATACAACAAAGTGGGCATCTGGCCCAAACCTGACTGCATAAGCTGAATCCAATGGATGCCTCATATCAATTTCTACACCACATTGTCAAGGGTTGCTGCACATGTCTATAACACATGTGCATTAGAATTCTTCTCTACTGTCTGTAAAGCTTGACAGGTACAGATCACTTTTACACCACAAGTATGCCCAAGGGCATCAGGGCTTACCTGCCTCCTCAGGTTGTTCCATCTGAATCTTGATGATTGAGCTGAACTGAAATCCATTAGCCAAAAGTATATTCTTGGCTTTTTCCATTGATTCAACATCATACCTCTTTTGACATCTATTTTTTCTTATTGTCATCTTCAGGCTCCCAGTGTAAACAGAAACATGTTAGAACCACAATCTTGCAGACCTCCCCAGTCCACCTAGTCCTTCTGGCCTCACAACTGCTGATGACACCAAAGCATCAATATGTGCACTTTTTGGTGGTCAATGGACCAACAGGGTCTATTCTGGCGAGCTTCAGTCGCTGCACAACATTTACAAGCCTTGGTGCATTTCTCCTATGATTATGTCCATCAATACATCACTGATGACATTCTCCTTCCCCTTGTTGCATCCTGTTAGGTTTGTAGTTTTTACAATTATAGCATGGCTCACAGGTGTGTCTCCTTGTTCCCCTATTGAATATCTTGCCTCCATCCCATTCTCACTTTCCTCAATCAGTCTCACCCAACTGGTGTAGTACCTTGTCATCCATCTTGTCTCTAGAATCACTGCTGGTGAGCTCCACAATCATTTCACTGGTGCAACTGGCCATTCACAGGGCATTGTTTCTGCTGCTGCTATTTCTGCATCCAAATCCATTGAATCATTTGATATAAATGCCAAGAAAGCCCTCAGATGCCTCTTCTTTTGTAGCATGCACAGGCAGGAAGCATTCCCCAAGCTTGCCCTAGAACCAAGCATTGTTCAAGACTGCATCAATGGAGGTGAGGGTGACCCCATGCCTATACTTTCAATCACGAACCTGTCCCTTGTTGTGCTACAGCCCCATATCAATGCTACAAACGATTGGCTACCTGAAAATGGGCAGATTGCTGTCTCCCTGTTCATGATTCCAGAAACTTTTTTGTGACTGGTCCTCCATGTTCCCTGTGTGGGCTTGTCATGCAAACCCACGTTCAGTGTCTGATTCTTGGTGGGGAATGCCCTGTACATTGGAGAAGTTGATCTTGAAGGTGAGGAGCATTAGACCAAGGAAGAATTGGGCATTCTAGTATTCAACACTGATGATAGTGCACATATAGTCGCCTTGAAACACGTTTCTGGTTGATTTGATGGTTGTAGGCTCTGATATGTGCACTTCAGAGACATCCATCACACATTAGTTATGTGACCAGATCTTTTTGTCTCCCATTCACTGGATGCTTGCAACTGAGACCACAATACATGTCATTGACTTGGTCCTGGTGGCCTGAAATGGTATTGAAGCTCTTACAGCTCATAATCTTAAAGGTTGCAGTGTATGCTAGCTGACAAAGGGCATAGTGAGGGGAAATTCTTTGATATTGAAGAAATCAAGTATGAGTGGAGGAGCAAGAAATATGTGCCAAAGCAAAGTGCTTGAACTAAGGACAGCAACTTTTCATTCCAGATTTTGATATAACATGACAACAATGGTACCATCCACCTTGACACATCTTTCTCGCACCTACTTGGGGAGCCTCTGATCATGGTCAATAGTGTGATGCCCAAAGCTGTGAAAGTGGGCTTCATCTCTGCTGTCTCATTGAGCTGATAGGTGGAGGCCACTATAACCCTGCAGCACTGTGCACAGACAACAAAGTAGGCTATGTGACCGGACCAGTACAATAATTAAAGAACTTCAGCGTCTAGTAGAGATGAGGCCCTGGAAGACTTTTCCAACCAATCAGAATACAACCACTGACAGGATTGACCTATCAGATCAGCTCAGCAAACACAGACCATCCTTTATAATGCATCACCTACAAAGTGAAGATAACTCATTGTCAAAGTCGACTTTCCACTACCTGTGTGTCCCAAAAACCCAATTTGCTCCTTCACATTCAAAGTAAAAGAACATTATGCAAGACAGGAGGGTGCTTGGGTGCATATTTGATGGCCAGGTCCTTGACGGTTAGCAACCCTTCCTTCATCGAGTTAGAAGGTTCATAAGCAGGAGGATGACTAGACTCGATGATGGCAGGAGGCTCTTGTGGCAGATTGAGGTATAGCGCTGGTAAGTGGACTGACAGATACAGGAACCTGGGGTATAGAGAAAAGACACAGTGCTAAGATGAGCGCAGCGGGTACAATTACACCAAGGGAGGTACGTACACAAGCATCTGATAAATCAAGTAAATTGCTGACTGGACACAATTGAACCACCATTCACTGTGGAAACAACTTTTTAGTTGTACCCTAAGTAGAGTGAGATTGTGTGGTAATCCTAATGTAAAACATACCTTATCCCTAACTAGACACAAACACAACTTCAGGAAATTTGAGCATGCTTGAGGTGTAACAACAGCCCTAAATAGAATCCTTCTGCATCACACCAACACAACTAACCAGATGCTCATTTACTTTCACACACAACCACTATTCCGCCACTAAGCAGGTCTGTTTATTCGATATCCTGACATCCATTTATGGTGTATGTGAAATAAGGTAAATTTTTCGAAAATTCTCTCAATCCTTTGCTATCTACTAAGCTCACACTATGGCAGACCACAACATGATCAAGCTTGAGCTTCCTGTGCAACTCAACTCTTTCAATTTCACTTTTGAGTGCAGAAGACCAGGCCCTGTGGTGAGTTTTCATGCCTTGGTTGTACAACTATACAACAACTAATTAATCTTATATGTAGACCATTGAAATGTCACTACAAAGACCTCTCAAGTGGCTGTGGTCACAGCATAGTACTGTGGATGGTCCTGCTACCAGTGAGATGGGAACTCAGAAGCCCCCAATGCTTGCCTGCTGGATGACTGACCAGACAATGGTATTTTTTTTTCATATCATGATGCTCTTCTTTCCACTTGTTGCTGACCATGTTCACAAACAGTGCTGATTTCTTACCTGAAGCTGGCTTGTGGTCACTCAGCTTGTCCAGCGAAACATCCCAAACTTTCTTGTGCATCTTTTTAGGGTGTGTTAGAGCACGTGTGACTGTTTTTTGGCACTTGGAGGGATGTTTGGTACTGGATTCAGCATCTTGAATGGTAGGTGGGTCCACAGCTATGTCCTTCACACCCTCTGAGCTCAAGTCCTTCATACTTTTCAGAGTGAGAAATCGAAGGAATGCAACATACTTTGATATGTAACACATGTGAGTGTTAATGTTGATCTTATAGCTGCAATTGGGAACTTACATCAACACTTCACCATTGAAATCCGACAACCCTGTTGGCAGTCTTTCCCACTCCCACATCAGCAAAAATGTGGTCTACAACATAGCACTACAGAGGCTACAGAGTATACATAGCTCGGTTGCAACCCTCCCCTCAACATAGTGCTATATATCACAGGCTATCTTACTTTTTGCATATATTGCACCCTGTACCTTGCACTTTGACTATGTAGTCCTGCTATGTAGTCCTACATAGTCTACCATACCATGCAGTCAAAATCATAGTGACAGTATTTTGCAGCACTCAAATCATAGAAACAAAGATATCCATTCAAGTAAGCAGTTACTATTCTACTCGTGCTTGACTTCATTGTCTTCAGATTCACCATAAAACTCATCTGCATCATCACTCTCATTCCTGCCATCACCCACCTGCATGTATTCCTGAATTGTGTTAGTTATCTCATCTTCAGACAGGTAGTCTCCATGTGCAACATCTGTCATATCCACTCTGGCATGTGATCTGTAGTATGTAAGACATGTGGAGACTTGAATGAAATTATTGAAAGAGACTCACCTGCCATTGTCATTGATGTTATTGAGGATAGCATTGAGGATCTCATGGTCTTTAGTCTGTGCATGGAACTTCCTAAGATTGGTGACATGTTTATCATATACCTGTTTATACTTGCCACTTGAAAAGTTGATGTTGGTTTGCTCTCCATCAGTCCATTCATCAACACAACACTCTGCTTGCAGTAGATGATGTCACATGTGCACCAAACAGCAAACATGCATGACTCACTGCAGTATATAACAAGGCTAGGGCAGGAATGGGAGACAGTGAGAAATACTTCTCAAACATGATGCCTTCATCCCTCTTGTTCTGGTACCAGAGTAAATTGGCACCCTTTTGATTCAACCTCATCTGATAGAGGCCATGGCAAGGGATGTTCTTCTTTTTGTCTCTGATGACCTTTGAATCAAATGTAAGTGTGTGACAGAGTCCCATATATTGTTCACTCACCTTGTAACACAATCCAAGCTTGTCCTTCAGCTCATGTATGAGTCAGTGATTCTTAGACTTTACAGATTCTCTTGTGCTGCGGTCAAACCTGTAAAGGCTCTCCACAAGAGGATGAAGCTTGGCCTTCACCTCACTTGTGAGGTGAGATGTGCGCCAGGTGATCTTGAGCGAAACATAAAATATTAGTCAGCTGAAATGATAGAGTCAAATTACATATCATCTGTATTATCTCGCCATTAAATCCTATTTCAACTTTGTGTAACATACAGGCCACCTTCCAAGCTTTCTTGGCCCATGACACCTGGGTCATGCAATCAGGATATGCATACTGAGATGCAAGCCAGCCACGAAAATCTCCGATAGCAAATTTGATGAGTTGTTGGACTGCCACTTCATAATTGCAAGCTGCAACATGACCCTTGCTCTTGTGAATTTTGTGTGGCAGTTGTGGCTCATATTGTTGTGGTGAAGGCAAGTCTTCTGATAAATTGTCAGTGTTGTGCTTCTGTTTGCAATTGTGTGGTCTATTGAACTCATCATCAGAAGACAACAGATATCCTTGGTGCTTGCAAGGATCTGCAACCATATTCAGCAGCCATTTAAGTGATGGAACCCTACTTACCCTCAGCATTGGAGATATCATTGTCCTCCATGTATGTGATCTCCTCAGTGAAGTCATCACAGTTGACATCAGTATCCTGCCTGTCGACAAACACTTGGTTCCTGTCAAGCTCCTCATTCTCCTCAAAAGGACTTTGGTTCCTGTTGAGCTCCTCATTCTTCTCAAAAGTGTTGCCAATGTCATCATCTTGATCCTCAGAGGTAGTATGTGCAGTGTGCATCTGTTAAAGCTGAATGAGAGCATTGGCATGAACTGCCATCAGTCTTCACTGCACTGTTGGAGGCTTGCCATCAATCAGTACACATTGGAGTTGAGATAGTGACACTTATGACACTCTCAGATTGAGCTGTCGTGTTGTTGTTGGATGTGTGTGCTTAATTAGAATTAATAAAGCCAGAATCCTGCAAATCATACCCATCAGCATCTATCCAAGGTAGGCATTGGGTGGTCATACCTTTGTAAGAATATCTTCTTGCCATTCACTGTCAATGGGTCAGTGTGACACAGGTGTAGGTAGCTAAGTAATCTAGTTGATCAGCCACCCATACAATATGAAAAAATGAGCTTGCCTGTGTGGAACCTTGCTGTCATGGTGTTCGCTTTTCTGGTGGAGGGACCTTACTCAAATGTGGTCTTAAATCAAGTCAGACAGTAGGCAATGCTTTCGACAGTGAGACATTGTGTGAAGAAAACTGCAATAGACATTCAGATTTGGATTTGCTTGTGTAAACAACATACCTGGGTCCCATTGTGTGGAGACACTCTCTTGTGGGTCAGCTTACTTTTAACTTGATTGCCTTGGCAACAATCTTCATGGCCTTGGGCTTCCTCAACTGGTGAATGTCATTGTATCATGAGGTGATGAAGATAATATCAGGGGACATACCTTGATATAACACCTTCTTGGAGGGACATCATTCTTGTCAGTCACACTGTGATGGTGCAGTGTCAACATTGTTGATCAATTTAGCCAGTGCTTGACAAGTTGGGCCTGTAGAAGACATCCCATTGAAGGTATCATGGTGAAGAGGGGATGAGAGATTGGGTGTTAGAGTGAGCAATGATGAACTTACTGTTTTATAGGATGGGACACGTCCAGTCACAGGTCACTGGGAAGAAAAGACAAATCAACAGCCCATGGATGATCAACATCACAGTTGCATCATGTAGTGTCATGTTGTTGACTGCAAAGTAAAATTTTTATGGTAGTCAGTTATGTCAAGTCACACTGGTCACTTCAAAGAAAAGTGAATCAACAAACCATACACAGTCATGTTGAGTCACATTGCCTTCAAAGGCTCATTTTCATGTCTAATTGCATATGTAGCCAGTCTCAATCACAATCAGGTGAAATGTTACTCACTCAGCATTGTCGGCTCATCCAGGTTCAATGGTGTCTGGCTTGCCCATGTCTCACTGCAATTTTGTCCTGCAATTTCATCTGAATTCAAATCACAATTAGTCAAAATGTCACTCACTTGGCTTTGTCAGCTCATTGCTGCCTTGCTCGCTCATGTTGTACCACTGCCATTTTTGCCTCAAAGGCTTCAAAAGTTCTCAAGCTGTTAGTATTCACATTGCAAATGCACCAACCTGCAAGCGCCATATGGAAGAGGTCCATGAACATATTGAAGTCCAAGAAGAGGCACCTGGTGATCAACCTGATGATGATGTCCATATGGATGTCGACGACCTACCATTTGTATTCCACAATGATGTGGATGTCATTCCAAATGAGCCACCAAGTTCGCCTATATGCAATCATGGGGTCCAGGCTGAAGAAGTCAAAGATGAGGAAAGAGTTTGGACACGATTTATCCAGACATACCCTGGACAAGCAGTGCAGTCACTTGGACAAGCCAAAACCTTATTTGACAGCATTAGGGCGGAACAAGAAGCACTAGGTCTTGATCCATGGGTACCTTTCGCAGGCAAAGAGGAATGGAGACTGGTGAAGTGGTTGATAGCAAGGGTAGGCCAGACTGCAATTGATGAGTTTATGAAACTGCCCATTGTGAGCCATCTATATATGCACATTGATACAACACTTACTTTGAACATTGACAGACTGACCACATGAAGATGTCTTTTACCAGTAAATACACACTGATAAAGGCCATCAATAACCTGCCTTGTGGGATGGAATTGCAACTCAAGAGCATACATGTTAATGGAAACTTACATGGCACAAATGGGCAGCACAAGTGTGAAGATCTTGAACTATGGATGAGGAACCCTGTTGACTGTATACATGAACTTATGGCTAACCCTGAGTTTGATGGCAAAGACTCATACTCACCCAAGAGGGTTTTTTTGGATGTTGAGGGTAAAGTTTGTCAATATGATGAAATGTAGACTGGAGAATGGTGGTGGGAGATGCAGGTAAGTGGCTTGGGCATCTAAACTGAACAGAGAAACTTACTGATTTGATTTGATCAGCAATGATTACCTGCAGGGGCAGTAGTTGCACCAGTCATCCTCACATTGGATAAAACCTCATTGTCACAATTCTGTGGTGATCAAGAGGTGTGACCTGTCTATTTGACCCTTGGCAACATTTCCAAGGATGTTCGTTGTCAACCATCAAAACACACTGCAGTACTGATTGCTTACTTACCTGTGACGAAGTTGGAGTGCTTCTCCTGAGAAACTTGTTCACTGGAACACTACCATCTGTTCCATTACTGTATGTCCTAAATCTTGGAGCCACTTGTCAGTGCTGGCAATGATGGCATCAATGTCACTTGCCCTGATCACCAAGTGCATAGGATGCATCCCATCATTGCAGCATATGTAGCAGAGTTTCCCAAACAATGCTTGGTGGCCTGTTGCATGGAAAATCAATGCCTGAAGTGTGTTGTGGGACACAATGAGTGTGGCAGAATGATGAAGTTGGCAATGTGCAATCAAGATTTAATGCTGGAAAATTTATGCTTGCATAACAACAGCAGTATGAGTAATGGACAGTTTGAGGGAGAACTAGGACTACAAGCTATCTACTCACCATTCTGGTCAACACTCCTGCACAATGACATCTTCCTGTGTATCACCCCCAACATTCTACACCAGCTGCACAAAGGTGTTTTTAAGGATCACCTTGTCAGCTGGTGCTCTGATATCATAGGTGAGGAGGAACTTGACACATGTTTCAAGGTGATGACATCATATTCGGGCCTCTGACACTTCAAGAAAGGAATTTCCAAACAAAAACAATGGACAGGGTCGGATTATAGAGAGTTGCAGTGAGTTTTCCTCAGAGTCATTGCTGGTGCCATCGACAATCAAGTTCTTGCTGCAGTTCATGGTGTGTTAAATTTTATCTACTATGTGCAGTATCAGATGCACACAGATGTGACACTTTCACATATGCATAACCCACTTACATCATTCCACACCAACAAGGCCATTTTCCTCAATCTTGGAGTGTGGGAACACTTCAATATACCCAAACTCCATTTGATGCTTCACTACATTGATGCCATTCATCTGTTTGGAAGTGTGGATGGGTTCAATACTGAGCTTCCTGAACATCTGCACATCAATTTCACTAAGTGTGCGTACCACACCTCTAATCAATGCGACTATGTGATACAAATGACTATCTGGTTGCAATGACAAGAATCTATTGCCATTCAAGAAGCTTACCTTCGATGGTGTGCTTCACAACACCCCAAAAATGATGATTCCAAGTCAGATGGCAGTACCTCAGACTCGGATTTTGATGGTCCAGCACCTACAGCAGCCAACCACAACAACTTCATTATTTTGCCTCCTCAGGCACAATGCTTCACAATGTTGTCAGCATCACAGGGGTACTTCATCCTCAGAAGGTGTCCATTCCCCAACTCTACAATTCAATGCTTACTCCATGACTACGGCACTTCTCTTTTCATCCCCACTCTTGAAGATTTCCTTTGTAACAATGTGCAAAATTGGTTGCACAGAAAGCTCACTCCGCAAGATTGCATTGATGTCTACAAATACTTGAAGGTCCTCTCTCCAGCATGACTGCATGTGGGCAACATGAAATGTTTATTTAAGGTAAATGCAGCACCAGTCATTCCATTGAAGGATGTGAGGAAAGGACCAGTGCCTGTGCACTTTGACATGGTGCTCATGATTGAAGATCAGGACTGGTACACTGGTGAGGGAATATTGGGTGAGTGTCATCATTTTTCAAACTATCTACAGTAAGCAACAAAACTGTTGCAATGTTTGTATGAGATTGATTACTCTGGCTATATCATTACAGGGATGGCAGCTATGAAAATGTGGATGAGAGCAATATTGTAGCCCTACATCCAGGCTACAATAGTTGTACTACATTGGAGATGTGAAAACATTTCCTTAAAAGGATATAAGCAATTTACTACATGGTATGCATTGCAACGGTTTTGTTGCTGATGTTTTTAATTATCAAAATCCTATCAATAGACATCAGTTATGTTATTTAGTGTGTCTTATAATGTTATGTGACATGTAAAAGGGTCAACATGATATAAACAAAGCCAAATGTTGAACTTTCTCAACATTTATCATTATGAAAGCCCTTTCTGCTGACAAAAGCAACCAAATCCTTTTTTACCTTGATTTTAACCAATTTACAAGGGAGATCTCACATGCTACTAGTGTTCACCATAGTACTATTATCAGAATTCACTCTAAACCTCATTCTGACCTTCAAAAGTCCTCTGGTGGTTGTCCTCCTGTCCTTTCCTCCCCCAATGTTCAGCATGCTATATGGTTAATCAGTACAGACAAGGCTGGAAATGCCACTCAAGTGATAAGAGCACTTCAGGACACCAAGAACCAGCCTATGTCCTCTCAGACAACACATTATTACTTGAGGAAATCTGATATGAAGCCTGTAGTGAAGCAAATACACCCTCTCCTATCCAAGTGTCATAGGAGAGTAAGACTATACTTTGCTATCAGTCACCAGCACTGGATGGTGGGTGACTTTAAAAGAGTCATATGGTCATATGAAACCAAAATTAATCATTTGGGGCCAGATGAAAGGAAATAGGCTTGGAAAAGGACAGGAGAGGGCCTGAGTATGAGGCTAGCAGGAGACAAGAGGGTGTATTTGCTTCACTACAGGCTTCATACCAGATTTCCTCAAGTAATGATGGGTCACCTGAGAGGACATAGGCTGGTTCTTGATATCCTGAAGTGCTCTTGTGACTTGAGTGACATTTTCAGCTTTGTCTGTACTGATTAACCAAATAGCATGCTGAATATTGGGAGAGGAAAAGATAGAAGGACAACCACCAGGGGACTTTTGAAGGTCAGAATGAAGTTCAGAGTGAATTCTGATAATGATACTATGGTGTACACTAGTAGCATGTGAGATCTCCCTTGTAGATTGGTCAAAATCAAGGTAAAAAAGGATTTGATTGGTTCTGTCAGCAGAGGGGGCTTTCATGATGATGAATGTTGAGAAAGTTCAACATTTGGCTTTGTTTATATCATGTTGACCCTTTTACATGTCACATAACATTATAAGACACACTAAATAACATAACTGATGTCTATTGATAGGATTTTGATAATTAAAAACATCAGCAACAAAACCGTTGCAATGCATACCATGTAGTAAATTGCTTATATCCTTTTAAGGAAATGTTTTCACATCTCCAATGTAGTACAACAATTGTAGCCTGGAGGTAGGGCTACAATATCGCTCTCATCTACATTTTCATAGCTGCCATCCCTGTAATGATATAGCCAGAGTAATCAATCTCATACAAACATTGCAACAGTTTTGTTGCTTACTGTAAGTCAGTGTATGTCCAGGAAGCTGCTCACATTGCAGAGACACATGGACAGTGCATATTTTCTCTCTTTCTCTCTGGTTTATTCAAGCTAACTTACTGTCTTTGTTAGATCTCTCAAATGGATGCACAATCAGTTGTTTCTGAGGAGCTGTATGCTATGTCAACAATGTGGAGTCAATTCTTGGAACACCTTCATTTGAGCCAAGCACAAAGAAGCAAATGAAGGTATGAGTTTATTTATTTTCTACTGAACTATTACTGACTGAGATCTAGACCTTGAAAAGGGTGAATGGATCAAACTCACTCAGTTCATTGCAGACAACAAGACTGAGCTTGTCCATGCCCATTCAAAGCTTACATTCACAGAAAAAAGAGCCTACAATATGCAGGTCCTTGAAGCCTATCAGCAGAGAAATCAAATCACACGTGCAAATCCAAAGGCTACTAACCATAATGTCAATGGATCACAAAGTAAGTTTTCACACATTGTTTATTTACAAAGCTAATTTTGTTACTAGTGGATGGCTCTTTGCGCTCATACCAGTGTAGAGGGTTTCTATGTAGCAGTTCAAGGCAGTATTGAAGATCTTTCTGAACCCAAGGTTTTTTTCACTCAGAAGGCCAAAAAGTTTGTCAAGGATATCCTCAATGTGGAGTCATGTTACCTTGGCTTAAAACTCAAGTCTTTCATTGTGAGTGGCCTCAGTAACTCTTATTTTTATTTGGTTGTTCCTCAAGCTAATGTCTCATGCAGATCAACATACTGCTCATTGTCAACATCCTCTGAACAAACTGATCAGTGAATGCCGCACCTTCATCCAGGAAGGACTTGGTGCATTTTCTCAGCTCAATTCATTAAACATACTAATCTCCTACTCAGATTCAATTACCCTTGAAAACAACATCCAACATCCTATCACGATGAACTTCACTAACTATGAGCAAAAGATGGTTGAATGCTGCAGCTTCGCACTCATCGGCTGGCTTGTGCCTGGGCCAGTTTGAAATCCCTCAAATGTTGGTGGAAGATCCAGAGTGAACAAATTGTTGGACACATTTCAGGATGGAACCTGCCACTGGGTGAAGTTAACTGATGAAGAACTTTTAGTGAGAATGAAGGATAATAGGGCTCATGCTGCCAGAGGAGAGCCAGTTTATGTGCCGAGGAAGGGAAGGAATAGAGCCCCCTTGAAGCAGAGGGGCATGGATGTTGTTGTGTCCTCTGACAGAAGCTCTAGCTCTAGTGATGGAAGCTCTAGTGACTTGGATGATTGTTAGTAGCACACAGTAGACTTAGATCTTTTTTGTTTTTGTGCAATGCAATGGTACTTAAATATATCATTTTGTCAGGGTTTGTGGATTGCATGTAGGTAAAAACATATCTAATAAATATCCAGGGATGATATGTATAGGGGACCAAAAAAGAGCACTCTAAAATAATGAGATTTGAGGTGTATTTCGTGGTCGTCGTGTGCGACGACGAGCTCGAAGGTTCAGTCGTCGTGGGAAACAACGAGATGCCCGGGAAAGTAGCGCCGTCACCTGATTTAACGTTAGAGGTACCTGATGTAAGCAGATAAGATGGCTTATCGTATCTACTGATTATATCTTATCTATTTAGCTAGAAATTCTTCCTAAGTCAGTGCTGAGTGCTGTGGCAATCGCTGAAGTACTGCAGCTTAAGATTCCCCCCCTAGTTAGTAACGAACATCACATCACATCACTCTTACTAATAAGTAATGTTTAAGGTGACACACAGGTGGATTGCTCTCCAGATAAATTTTTGGACGTGCTATCCCGTACGACTTTGAAGTTTGAACCAAGTCGGGACTAAAGCACAAAAATCCAGCGCTGGTGATGGCTCGCTGAAGTAGTAACCGCAAAGGTAGTAGCTGGTAATGAGTAAACCTGTTATCCGAATTCAACAGTAACGAACATGTTCAGAGTTTGGCATTCACTTATTGCGGGGCCTTATGAGGCCTTCGGATGAGAGACAGTGGAGAGATGCGAAACTTCACAGCTAAAATTTGTTCCCACAATTATTCGGTAGCCTAACCTAGTACTAGTTTGTTACATGACAGTCACAGCGAGTACATCGCGATGAGCCTGTGCCAAGTAGATGATAATATGTGAAGCAGCCCCTGCCGGATACTGTACTGTGATTAGCATGATCCGCATGAAGGAAACACAACGGAAGTGCCGTGGTCACAGGAAAAGGATATCAAGTACGTAACCAGATATCATACATGCTGCATGCAAATGGTATAGCATCTCCAAACCATTCTATGCTCCATATCATCCGTGCGTCAAGATCTCAAACAATATTCTGAAACCTCGGTAGCGATTTCTGTCTCCATCTGCCATTAAATTGTTTGAGGATATAAAACACTGGCCACCCAGCGCGCTGCACCAGAGTGCTATCCTCGGCAACAAAGGGGCTACGCGAATGGAAGGCCACCATGAGCCACGAAGTGGCGCATGTGAGAGCCAATGCCACCGCAACGTAGTGAGCGAGCGTCTCTTGCCCTTTCGTTCCACTGATTTCATCGACATTCATCCCAAATACGGCCTAGCGAAGCGCAATGGTCATTAGCATTTCGAGATCACTATCGCATACTTGACACATACCGCAGTGAAGGAAGCAGGAAGGAATATCATCGTGAGGTAAGAGATCTGAACAGAAGATTATTGAGAACTGCAATGACGAATACAATCATGACACACAAACCTGCTTCATCGCACCTGAGTCTCGGACGGTGGCCTCCGTCAGGGCCTTCATTCGCTTACTGTCATTTATGTTGACGATTGCAAACGCCAGTTCCGTCACGTTCTTCAACCGACTGCTCAGCATTAATCGCCTGTTCTCCAGCCTCCCGATTTCTGAGAGTAAATTCGCACACTCCTTTGCCATGAGCTTCATGGACTCTTCACGTTCGTCAAGACTAAGGCTATTGGAGTCCATAGCGGGATTCGGTGTATTGTGGAGGAACTCGACGGACTTCTTGAAGTCTTGGAGGAGCGAGTGGTAGTGTAGGAGGTATGCTTGTATAATGTGAAGTTTACGAGTCTGATCGATGTTATCAGTTAACAACACTTGGGATTCCTGAATGGCATGACAATCAACCAAAAGAACAAATATTGATTATTCTGCGACGCACCAGCCAAACGATATGAGTGTATAGCGACTCAAATGCCTGGTCCCATGCATAGAGAGCATACCACAAGATGGCTAGGAACAAAAATGTCGGGTCCTTAGATTGGGAGAAGATTTTCTGCCAATATACACTCTGTCCCGCACGATAGATGAGGGAGTGTAGCTTTTTTGGAGAAGGACGACGAAAACTAGAGCTTGGATGGTATGATATGATCGTGCTCGAATCCTCTGAGCGTACCATATGTATCGCGAGGAGATCGAGGAGAAGGATGTTACCAGCTGCGTAACTCAGTTATCAATCTAGGCCAAGATGAGAGTTTCAACCAGGACTTACAGCTGAGAGCGAGTGGTGCTTGGGTATCAATGATTTCATTTTCGTCTTGAAAAAATACTTTAGCTGGGAGTAGTCTCAGAAAGAGCGAAGACGACCTACCAGTGAATACGTGCTGTGAGAGCACAGATCTTACTGAACCTGGTGTTTCCTCTGTTGGTGTTGGCGGTTGAGTGACTGGATTTTGCATCGCCCGCATGAATGGGAGTGTAATCGTAATATCTGCGTCGAAATGTTAGGACTCATCGAACCATCAAACTACAGAGCAAAATACGCACGATCACCCTTGCCCCGCCGAACCTCCTCTTGGTAATGCGAGGGTATCCAATTCAGAGATGAAGAAAAGAAAAAAGGTTCAATATTATACCTATGATTCGTGTCAGTCACATGAGTGATCGAGCAACGAAACCATTTACTTCGTTCCAAGCATCTGCAGCACAGACATGGAAAGATTATCCACGAACAATGCACGAACACGGATGTTTGCAGGTCGCTACAGAAAAGGCGTCACGGCAGTACACGCACCTCAAAAAGAGAACAACTCACCGGCGTCTGCAACAGCTCCCAAAACTCATTTATACTTTCGGGTGTTATTTTAGTTGTTTGATCTTGGCCCTCCTGATCCAACACCGTAAAATTTCCGTCTGTTAGAACATCCAGCCAATGAACCGAACACGTGTCGAGCTCAGAACAGTTGCTGAGCATCTTGCTCCGTTTTACTTGATCCGGCTTCCAATTTCCAAAGAGAGTCTGAGGGTATCCATGCCATGACTGGCCCGTTGCGCCAGATGAGGCTGGTGGGTTGTCACGGTTGAGGGTAATGTCTGAATCAGTGTCAAAGTCCATCCATGGCCAAGGGCCCGATGGTGCTGCATGACGGTAGCTAGAAATTATTGAAGTAGCTGAATCTGTAGGCATGAAAGTCACTCACATAGGTGTAGGAACGGAAGGAGGCATAGTCCTGTCGCTCGCGCTGCCATACGGAGCCCTGCGAAGACCAGTAGAAAACGTCACGGAAGGTTTGTGATCATTCATGGTCCTAGACATTTTCACTCCCTATCAAATGTGTTGCAGGAGTAAGGGGATCGTGAATTTATTCCATCCTAGCAGAACAGATATACTTATAGCGACCAGCCGGCGATGCATCGATGAACTCGGACATCCAGTGCCTCTCAGCGCAGCATGCGCCACTTGTATTTTCTAATAGAATAGTTAGATCTTCCATCTCTTGCCACAGAGTCATTCGCGCACAGCATATAGCACCTACGGTAACGTATTATTATCCAGCTTTACGTCCGCGTCCGCGAACGGCACTGCAGGGGACTTACACGAAAACGGGCGGTATCACCCGCGAACACAATTCAAGACAGCAAGAGAAATTGTCTCACGAAGTCAAGGTCTGTAGCAACTGTCAGCCACCTGCGAGGATTAGTCACGTCACCAAATTCATATAGAACTTCAGATGGAACCACCATGATCTTCCTTCTTCATGGTGCGCGATTTCCCGAATCCTAGATATCACCTCGAATCTGATTCGTCGGAGATTCGGCTCACAGTACATCACCATCCAGAAACACGTTCCAAACCGCGGACCAAATGTAATCTATGCATGTTCTCTAAACCATGGACAATAACGACATCAGCTATATCACATGCTTGAGCTAACGGTGGATGAGATAGACGACGAAGACGAACTCCAGAGGCCCAGGATAGCTGTACTAGTTGGTGCAGTCGTTTTTGTCAGGAACCGATGTGAACGCCTCGCACGCCGACAAGCAAGGAAGATATACCTGATTCAAGGTAACCTACTTCCTAATCCCTGTGCCAATACTCTTTGGCAAGCTCTGTACTTGCCCCACAATGATCGGGCTTTCATCATAGCCTTCACGGGGATTGATACTCAGTGAAAATCGGACATGACCATTTCCACGGAGGTCGACGGATTTGTAAGTTTCGAGTAGTCAGTAGACCAGTCGTCACGCGTCACGGGGGTTGATATAGGGCAAGTTGAAGTAGTGGGCGATAGACACGCGTAGTGCAAGAATAGCCACCAGAAATCACGAACGAGTCAGAGAAGGTCAGATGTGAGTCGAACTTTATAGTTTCGGAGCAGTGCTCTGGATTATATGGTTCATCAGGGTCCATCAACAAAAAGTTATCGTTCATGAGCAACAGAAACTTACACAAGTGCCTTTATATTGAGCTGCAGATATAGCAGTCGACCCTGAAAATGGGATGTTGTCAGTGCGCGTACAACAAGTGGATCATACCAGAGGTTTGCGATATCGCCGCGGCGTTTGAAAGCTGTTTATAACACGATTTGAAATTAATCTAGAAAGGGGGTCCCTTCTAGACAATGTCAGTTTGACGTGTGAGGCTGACATTGGACAGCTGTACGTCAGCAGAGGTCGTTCAGAACTAGAACAGCGTCCTGAACGCCGCGGAAAGTCATCCAGTATATATATGGCCTAACTACAGGTTCACCAGAAGGATCACGGATTGGTGCACGAACATACCTTGTGACAGACCAAACATTGGATGACGATCATCGTCTGTCCTTTGGATATCTCCGTAGCATGGTAAGTAATAACTTAATGTACATAAAGCGATGTTAATGTGCATGCCATCAGATGACTAGTACTGAATAAGTACAGCAAAGGCACTCGAATGAAAGTGTTGGACGATCTGATAGTGGCTGACATGTGGCTATTTACAATCCACAAGGAGTCTAGTCACCCGTTCCTTGTCCACAGCATTTGTGGGGCACGCCGCCACGTGCCCACACACCCCTGTTCTGCCATCCACGCGGAGCGCAGCCGCAGGATTTAGGGGCTTTGCTGTACAATATACCAGTGTCCGATTCCTTTCAGAATACAGTTCTAGTATAAAACAGCCATCTCTGCGCAGACTACTGAAAGCCCAACGATCATCATCACCACCAACGGAAGCGCATTCCAGTACGCAAACGTCGCCTGGGATACGATGATACCCTTTTGCTTGAGGATGCCTTTCCATAGAAGCCCAGCGAGGCTTGCGCTGAAGGTGAACGACACGGCACCGATATTACTGGCTACAGCAAGGGCAATAGCAGCTGCGCGGATGGTTTGATCGGACAACATAGGAGATGCCGCACGCACGACCTTCGTGAGCAGAATCGTTGCACCAATGTTTGTCCCAGAGATGTTGCACAGGATTACTCCAAGAACACCGATCAGCCAGATGGTGCGGTACATATCTCCGTGAGTTGCACGTAGTAACCACGTGCCAAAGACGTCTATCCAACCCTGATGCGACAGGGCTTCAATCAATATAAACTGCGAGAAGGCGAATGGGACAAGGGCGAAAGGGAGCCGAGGGAGCGCGGTGAAGAAGGTAGGGAAGTGAGCGTGCAGCTGTTTGTGCAGGGCGATGCATTTGGAGCGCCACCGGGCTGCGAAGATCTTGGATGAAGGTGAGGAGAAATCGTTGACGACAACGCGATCGGAATCGGGGATGAAATCCATCTCGTCTGTCGTGGGTACTGGGGGTGAGGACTGACGATGCCTACTCTTGTCACCTGATAATATTTGGGCATCTTGCAGCATGAAGTCCTCTGACGGTATTCCATTTTCCTCTGGCCCTTTCTGCCCGCGCCCGAGCATAGGCAACTTCCGGACAAAGCGGTAGTGATCCCAGGCAACATCATAAATAAACTTGGCAACAGCAAAAGGCAAGCTAATCTTCCACACGTCAATTCCGAAGAAGCTGACGACCAAACACAGAATGAGGGCTGAACCAAGCATGAAGCTACCGACACAGGCGCCGATCGGATCGAGGAGGACTGAGCGAGCGTCAAGGTCGGCGGCGTGGTTCAACTTTCGAGGAACATATTTTTTATTGCGGTATTGACCACCAAGAGCCAAGAAGCAGAAAATGCTGCAAGCAATAAATGGGAGGATGGTGTACGCTGTGAAAGCGGCATTATTCACGCTGAAACCTTCACAGATCACGACCTAAAGTTATCGATGGAAGGACGTGTCATATTTACATCTGAGGTCAACAATACAGGGTCGAGACGTACATTCGTCGGGTTCCCGACAAACAAGACCATGCTCGCTGTGTTTGCCGCGGCAAACTCAGACATGAGCCATGAGATATGATTAAGCTCTGCGACTTTTGTGTAGTAAATAAGAAATGCGGTTCCAGAGAGAATGACTGGGTCGTTTCCGAGCAAGATTGACAGGAGGGTAAGCATGAGGTAGAAGTAGGAGTAGAGTTTCCAGCCGTTTGAACCACCCTTGTTGCTAACCCAAAACGCTGCTGACTGAAGGATACCGGTGATATCGAGGGTAATAGCCATGTAGGCAAGGGAGAAAAAGAGGATGAGGATGTTGTAAGGTTTAACACCATCTGTACCAACGATGCCTCCGCGAATGACTGCTGGGTCGAGACATTGTGCTGCCCAGAGGATTGCAATTGCGAGGATTGGGGCGGTTGTTAAATTTATTGGAATACGGGGTATTCGTCGAGGAGTGGGTATAGAGACTGGGTATATCACGAACCCAATTGATATGATGAAGACCACCAAGGTCGCGACAGAATAACCAGTAATCATGGGGGTGGACGTTGACCAGGACCGGTTGTGAATCGACTAGTCAGATGGAAAAATATATAAGGGATGCACATCAACGTTTGCAATTGGGTAAATGGATCAAAGACGTTTCCACCCACATATATATACCGTCACGATGTCGTAAATCTTCGAAGGAGGGGACGTATTAGTTGTCTTCGCTTCTAGAAACTAAGGAATCCGCTGCGATGGGCCGGTCGTGGCATACATGTCCGACGCCTAAGCATGCGGAAGAACGTGTGCTCACACAGTTTCGATGCACTGGTTTTGTGACACTGCAGGCCCAAATAATTACCGTCGATTGTTTCTCTTGCATGCGAATAAATAAAAGTATCCTGGGAATAGCCCTGAACCGATCCGGCATTTGACATTCTACATAGAAAACACCAGTTCAGGGCACTTGCTTTTGAATTTGTCATGGTTTACGTGATAGATAATGTCAGCCAATTAAAATCGACCATCGTCACCATAGACTCGGCTGGCAGATTGTTCTCTGGGATTATTCTAACTACTCAATGTAGCAGGTAGCTTCTATATAGACGTCAGTGTGGTGCTAACCTGTGTACAGACTCCAATGGGGCTCATTCTGAGCAGAACGTCTGGCGTCACCATCTCATTATCAACCCGCAGTAAGCTAAACTGAAAACTCACCCTCAAATGAAAAGCGTGGCTATTCAAATACTCACGAATGACGCCATTGGATGATTCCCGTGTCGTGGTTACTCCTTCGCATGGATCGCACGAAACACATCGTTCCACACTTCTTTGATTCGGACAGCCCCAAGTTGCCGTTCTAGCTGACTAGGGCCAATGGGCTTAGTGGAGATTGATGTTCTGGAGTTAGAGAAGCTCACCGAGGTCAGCCAGATTAGCTGCTGATTCAGGCGTGAGTGAACATTTTCCTCCCAAGTATTTGGTCTGACAACTTTGAGAAGTGGATGTTTAGCAACAGGTTCCATTTCGCCTCATCTTGTTAATATTCTGGTGTTTTGTCCAAGTGCGGTCATATCCGCTTCAAGAAATGCAGCGCCGCAGCATTTTTTGCACCACAAGTCTGATCACTTGGAATCAAGATCCCACATTTTCCAATTATGTACGTCAGTAGGGCTAGTTGTCTCCGATGCTATGATACTTCACAAGGCCTGGGGAATTAAACAGTCGATTTGCATAATCACCCACGTAAGCCTTGGAATCCCAAACTCGTTTTGACTTACGGTTTGACTTACGACGTGTATGCCATAAAAATTAGCTTTCTGCCCTCTTCTGTTAACAGTTTCGAAACAAACACTTGATCACCCCTACACTCCAAGTATTCTTAATAAGTACTGAGTAGTAATCATTCATGCGATTACTGCACAAGTGCATAATGCCATGGCGGTTCTTGCATGGTGAGCTACGATATGAGATAGTATGTTTCAGGCCGGAGAAGTTATCGCCGCTCGCTGACATTTCCGCCTTGCTGTAGAGTATAGATGGCCGACCCTATTCTTATTGTTGAATGTGCTGTCAATGACCTGTCAGATGATACATTGTCATCCGTGGCTTCCCGCTGCAGTAAATTCAGAGCACTATTCTCTCACCTTACTGTCTTTGCAGGCACCAGGAACAGCAATACCAAATTCCCAGTTGCGTGTTTATCTTCTCAAAGTAATGTTTGTTATTGACGATGTAGAATAGGTTGCAAATGCGATTGACGAATCGCCCACCAGCGTGCCTAGTCATGCCCGTAATGATCTTGAGAGGAGACTACTATGGAAGTCCAACTTGCACATGTTGGTTATCGTGGTTATCTATAGTCTGAATTATGTGAGTGTGAACTCTGTCGATATGTAACGAAGCGCTCTTTTACCCGGTATTCTATTTCTTATATCTGGATAGTACAAACGGGATGAGCTCACCGTGAGACCAGCTCTCATTTCTTGTGGAGGTTTGCTCAGCTTTGGTTTCGGACCCTCGATTAAATCTGGTATTTTCAAGCCATGCGAGGAAAACTTGGTCGAGGAAAGAACTTGAACAATCTCCGTCACTGACCAAAGCTGGACGATCTCTAGGTTATGAGAGCAGTATTGCGATCTTCATCGCGATTTGCGTAATGTTCGTACTCCCTGATTTGCTTCGCAATACCAGATAGCTCGCTCTGGAGAAATGAGCACTGACTATCTCCCGCCTCGCAGAAGATGGTCGTGGTAGGGTTGAGCTTGAGAAAGAAACGATCATACAAGGACTGGGATGCTGTGTCTGACTGGAAGGTGTGACTGCTACACGCTATCTCTTGTACTCAGAGAGACACTACAGGTTCCCGATGGCTCAATTCTACTACACTGGTTGCGTGGTGCTCACCAACACATTCGTCGGAGAGTCTACAAAGCAAGCTCTTGCTGTTGACCAGCGCAAATAGGAAATGCCATTAGATTGTTCTAGTAGCATTAACCCAGACCTCTCATCCTCATTTATTATCGCATAATTCTCCCAGGGAATATAATTCGGTTCAAGCTCGGACTCATATCGTTCAGCTATATAAATATCGCCACTGGAAATGCAGCTGAGTACCGCCTCACAATTCCCTCGGAATGCTTACTACAATGAAATGAAACCATAGGTTAAGAGAGGTTAGTAGTTCGCGTTATGGGACAAAAAAAGCTTCATAGCTGGCTTGTATTAATTTAGCTAGTGCGACACTTGACGTTTGAATTCGTGAAATTCTACCTGCGTTGGCTGAAACCGGTTTCTGGTAGAGTCGTGACTTACTAGTAGTAGGTGTCCTGTTATCCTTCTGAAGTGCTTCGGCTTCGGCTGTCAAATGTTGACAAGAACAAGGTATAATTTCCAACCTGCGCCCTCCCGCGCCAGGCCTGACCGCAACCGCACGAAGCCTCCACACTTCACCGGTATCTCCCACGCCAGTGTGACCTCCGGAGGTCCTCCACCATTCTTGCTTTCGCCCTGGGAAATGTTGGAGTGCTTATTTAGCCTTATTTTACTTGGTATAAACCACATCAGATGGAAGGTGATTCAAGAAAAATGCAAGTGAATTCGATCACAATAAACAGACATAAGAAAATTTCATTTCCAAACAAATTGAGGAGACATATCTCTATGTCCAACTTCGACAAAAGATCCTCAAAACGGACAACACGTCGGTTATCATTATCGTTCGAGTTGCCGATCGCAAGTGCGAGAAGATTATCCTGTAGTAGTTGCGAGGAGAATACTTCTGGAAAGCGAACTTACGGGTGTGGCAGAGAACGGCAGCGGTGGTGCCGTTAAGATACGAGCGGTACACCTACAGGCCTGGGAGATCCGGAAACATTGATGTTGAGTAACTCCGTGAGTCACGGCATGTTCGGCTAGAATGACTGTCTTCTTTATGGTCTGACTAGAGGAGACTAATGTCCGGCGCTGTCGGCGGCATAATGTAGGATGAGTTGGGAAGGCAGGCTTTGGTGGAGGACAGTAGTGGCCATACGAGGGCATGTGTGCTAAAAGCGCGTCTTCAATCGCTGGAGAAGGGCGAGGGCAGCGAAAGTGATGGATGAGTAGTGTTTGGTGGGGTGGAGGGCAATAAAACTTGATTTGGGAGTGAGATCAGGATGACGGGTATTCTGAACACGCAAAGTGATGGGTAAGGAACAACCCGTTCAGGTTGTAGGTTGACCAGATCGAAGTTTAGGTGGCGCTTCGTCGTTGCTCTTCACGTTCGCGTTGGCGAGCGCCAGAAAGTTGTCCCGTTCGTGGTCAAGAGATTTTTTACCGCCGCCGCCGTTCCTATTACCCGGGTAATAAGTCGAAGGGAAATTTGCAGCTAACGAGGTTTTCGAGGTTTTGCCCTTTCGTTCTTACGTTACTCTGCACGTACCTCGTTGGCGTGAGCTTTGGGAGCCGAGGTGCTTCGGAGAGGTGACAGAGCACTTGTATGCTCAAGGATTGCAGGAACCGAGCAAGATCCGGATGCATAACAGGGCGCCGTAAACTCGACTGAAACCTTGCTTGTCATATTCATTGTAGCGGCGCGATCTACATACCAGGAGAAGATGACAGGGTAATGGAACTAGACCAAAAAACGGACGGATGTGGTGAAAGAATATGACAAAAGAGTCGTGACAGGCTTTGCTCAGAAACTTGAATACAAACAAACACATCGTACTTGTCGTCACTGGTGTGGTCATGTAATTGCAGGTAAGTCGACGTTGGACTTTGCAGATCTGAGGCCTGCCAACTCGGAGGAGCTGTGGGGTGATTGTGTACCATGGAAGTTGCCGGTAAGTTAGGAACATGCATGATGTGAGGAATTTTGGGGTGCTAAAACCTTGATATGCAACGTAATTTTGCAGGAACGACTGTCACTAGGGGAGACTATCTTGCCGCGGCATCCGCGATAATCGTCGCCGATGTCGCGGACTCTAAACTTCACACGCCATCATCGCACAATTCCTCGAGCCATCAGAATTCAGAAACGCTTCGACTCAGGGGTTTACTTACACTTGGTTCTCATACTGTACTGATTGTGGGCTATAGTGAACTTTAGATGCTTTTTCTACGCAAAAACACGACTCTCGAGAGGACTCAGCAAAATCACACTCGACTCGTTGTGCATTCCTATAATAGAGAAGGAACGGATAGCTTCCCTCTATCTGGTCTGCCTCCAGCAGACTAATGCATTACTGGATTCTCAAATCGAGATGCGTTCCCAATCATGCTGCACTGACTCATTTACGCTTAGCGGCACGTCGAACTTGTGTATCGCTCGCAAAGCCCCAGATCGACGCCAACATTCCATTGAAGGCTCCCAACTTGCTCATTGCCGTGGCGCTACCGTACTACTGAGGTTAGACTTCCGGACGTGTCAAATACCGGCTCCGCTGGTCCTACCGCTCTCAAGTATGTACACGTTCTACTTGATTGAAAGAGTCAAGTATACAACACGATACATTGCTATCTGGCTATGTAGGGACAAGTTTGGATAATATTAGTGCTCACTCACAAGCCTTGACGGCCCAACGTAGGTTTCTTTGGACTCAAACTGGAATTAGTCATGTGCGAGGGATGTAGAGAATTCCGTAAGGTAAGCGTTCCAATGTCTCCTTTATAATGATTCACTGAATTGCTCTGCAGTATACAGGAATAAGCAATGATGACGGGGAATTTTTGGTCTCTATCAACTTTGTGTCTGACATTTGTACCGTCTTGTGTCGCACTCAACACCCAGCTAGTCATTTCAAACTCCAAGGTTGCCCCAGACGATTTTGTAAAAGAGTATGTGCTTGATGCGGGGCTCATATGTGTCTGATCGATTTTGCAGTGCTATCGTGGTCAATGGTGATTACCCTGGACCAGTCCTCACAGCAGTGAAGGTACGAAGTTCGCTTTATGCAGCTGCTCATACCAACCAACGAAATTGACTACGCTAAGGGCGAGCGCTTCCAAATCAACGTCACGAATATGTTGGTGGATGGATCAATGAACACGAGTACATCCATTGTTAGTCTCATCTTTACTCTGGGATTGCGCTGACGTAGCTCCAGCACTGGCATGGAATCAAGCAACATTTGTCGAACGAGATGGACGGAACTGCTATGGTGACCCAATGTCCCATAGTATCTGGGCATTCTTTCATGTACGACTTCACGCCCGTAAACCAGAGCGGGACATTTTGGTGCGGACTGGCTTTGTACCACGGGAATGATCATTTACGATGTATCAGGTATCATTCACATTTCACGCTCCAGTACTGTTGGTAATTTCATTCTTCATCGGAGTAAACAGCTAAATATTTTTTTATTTAGGCGAAGGTCTAAGAGGACCCATAGTCATTTATGACCCGCTAGATCCCCACTTGGACATGTATGACGTTGATAACAGTCAGTATTAACCTTTAACTATGCATGTAGCTGTGTGTACTAACGATATGCAGCATCGACTATTCTTACTATCTTAGATTGGTAGGATGATCAGCAGCAGTTTCACTCGTTCAACTGAACCACCTTGTTGAAGGTATCATGTGAACGCCTACGACGTCACCGGGTCCACCAATCCCGATGCAACACTCATTAATGGCCGCGGCCGTTATGAAGGCGGACCTCCGATACCTCTTTCTGTTCTCAGTGTTGTGCAGGGAAAACGATATCGTATCCGACTAATAAACATGGCATGCAAACCAAGCTTCGTATTCTCGATCGACGGCCACACGTTTACCGTCATCGAGGCAGATGGTGAAAACACATTGCCTCTGGCCGTTGACTCAATCCAGATCTTGGCTGGTCAACGGTACTCTTTAATTCTGAATGCAAATCAGACGGTCGACAACTACTGGATTCGGACAAACCCCAATTATAATACGACCTTTGCAGGAGGTCAAAATTCTGCAATTCTTAGATATGAAGGAGCTCTGCAACGGGACCCCATACACAGAGATTGGACTTCAAGTAACCCTTTGTCCGAACCGAATTTGCATGCTCTGGAAAACCCTGCAGCCCCTGGTCTTCCAGGGGTCGGTGGCGCAGACGTCTCGTTGAATCTGGTCAGCGTATGGGACGACAATATTGGGAGATTTCTCATCAATGGCTATAGCTATACTTCGCCGACCATTCCCGTTTTATTGCAAATTTTAACTGGACAATTGGATAACTCTCAGTTGCAGCCCTACGGGTCTGTTTACACCTTGCCACCTAACAAGACAATCGAAATGTCTATACCAGGCGGACAACCCGAGGGATATGTAAGTAGTCCATATTTCTTCCTTTCACTTTTCTCATGTACCACTGTAGCATCCTTTCCACTTGCATGGTGTGGGTATGACTGATTGCATCCGGTTCGTTCTATCTCATGTTTCACACAGCACACCTTCTCCGTTGTAAGAAGCGCTGGAAGCGATACATACAACTACGACAATCCCGTGCGGCGAGATACGACAAGTAACGGTGTTGCAGGTGATAATGTGACAATCCGCTTTAGAACCGATAATTCCGGGCCATGGTTATTCCACTGGTACGATCAATATAGTTGTTGTTGTATATAGCTTAGCGACGTTCTTTTAGCCACATTGACTGGCACCTCGACCTGTAGGTGTTGTTTTGCGGTCCGCAGTCGGGTGAATTATCTGATCCAAATTCTGTAGGGGTATGGCCGTGGTATTCGCAGAAGACACCGATGATACTTCTTTGAGGATAAAAAGTAAAGGCCTATCTGATATTTCAATACCCTGACCTCATTGTCGTTGCTGTAGGTGCATGGAAGCAGCTGTGTCCGAACTATGATGACTTATCATCAACAATCCGGAACGAGTCGTGAGCACTATCGCCAAGGCAGCATTAAACACGAAATTCCAGGTAATTCAGAAAGCCTTTAGTATCCTATTTTCTTTACATTCTATCAGTGCTGTTTGTTACCAGCTTGTTGTGTACACTACATTTTTGCATTCTTCACACTAGTGAGAAAGTCTTCTTCTTTCATCGTTATCCTACAATAGATTGATCTTGCAGTGACAAGTTCGTCTGTATGTACTTAGGGCATAAATGATGTCCTTTGGCTTGCTCTTCCGAGAGTGAAGACCTGAAAGCCAGCCAGCCATTTAAGTTTGAGGGGCAGGGCTACGTGCACTTGCGCTGTCAGAAAACACCTAGGTCGATCACTCACAATTCTAATACAGCGAATTGAGACAGGTATCCGGAAAACCCTGTTTTCCCCAGCTCGGCGCCCGATGAGTCAGTTGAATGAAGGCTGCCTCGAGACTAGAATGCACAGCTGCACGGAAATTATCGAGGTACGAGAGTGAGGAAGCACCAGCTATGTATACAGCCTGGACGGAATTCGTGGATATTTTGGTCTAGGTGCCACCAGTGATCACAAACGCTCCCGGGTGTCGTTGGGTGATCGGACATGAGGTAGCCGCAGCTGTCCACGGCATACTGGAGATGATATACTGACCTTGAAGCTTATATTGAAGGCGCCCAGAGACACATTGCCTCCGTATTGGAAAGAGTAACTCGACGTGGACGGGTGTGTTTTGAATAGTAGAAATCCAAGGTAAATAAATCAGGCCACCGCAGAGATATGCAATTTGTACCGAGAGATGATGTTTGGTAACACGAATAGTGTGAGCGTTAACCGGACAGTTCTTCTCGGTACAGAGCACCTTGAATAGGTTAATAACATGAAGTAATAGCTGTACACATCGAGAGCAGACGCGAATAGGAAGATTTGACGGGGCCCGGGAAGGGAGCGCTCTCGAGTCTTATATACTGTGAAGCCGACCCGCCGAGTCTCACTCGGTTACTCGCACCATCGAATGATCAAGAGCTGGTGGAAGGGACTTGCCACTGACCAGTGGTTGAAGATTTAATATCTCTGCAGGTCAGCCTCAAAATACGACTGTTCCGAGTTTAATATTTACTACCTTGTTCCATGCGCAGGTAGCAGATTGGTCGAGAAGTCTAAAAGGGAATCACTCTCGTGAAGAAGTGACGCAGAAGAGACTCAGGATTCCGACGAAAACAGGTCGGAGCGGAAGCAATAAGTCATACAAACAACGTCAGAAGCACGCTTACCACAGGTCCCTCTCGACATCGTCGTCCACGACGACCAGCACTCTTTCCACCCTTTCCAACACATTCACGACATATCTATGACTGGTCGACAATCACGCAGCACTCCATCTTCGTCCTCTTCCTCGTCACCGCATGGCTCAAAGTTGTCCAAATTCCTGGCAAAACAGAGCCGGGATAGGTCAAAATCTATGACAGATCCAATCGCAGCCGCCAGCACTGCGTCTATCGCCAGCTCAAGTTCGTCCAACTGTACGTCCGTCAGCAGCCCACCACTTTCACAATACAGCTCGCGAAAGAGCGGTAGATTTGGTGGTGGGAACGCTAGTAACAATCTTAGAGACGACAAGCCAAGTAGCCCGCAGCCTGACCCTGATAGTGAACAGGAGGACTCATTTGACGAAACACCTGTTATTATCGAGCCTGCGGATATTGTACGCTCACGGAATCGCTCAGAACGCCCTCTCAGCACCATTTCTGACATGCATCCTTCTTCATCCATGTACGCTTCAACATCATCCACACGTATATCGGATCTCCCTACACGGCTATCCGGATGGCTATCACATACTTTTACCAACTCATCAACAGACCTGTCTCTTCCGTCAATACTCTCGCAGTCCAATTTTAACTCCCAGGCATCCCCTAAGACCAAGAGCTCAGCCTTACTCACAGCCGCGAAGCACGGCAAAGGACATCTCGATCGCGCAATGCGCTTTTTGCTGGATAGTGACTCTATCCCTAACAAATCTTCAGAGCCTATCTGGCTCCTTGGTGTACAACATTCAGGATATGAACCTCCACCTACCCCTAGCCGCCGCCCTTCTGTCGAATCTCGCCGCTCTCCATCGTTCCGTTCTACCACATCATCCTCAGCCACAGTTTTACCTGACCCCTCTCTGTCTCTTTCTTCATCTTCTTCCAAAAACCCTGCCAACAATTGGCCACCTGTTTTCTACGCTGATTTTACGTCACGAATATGGCTAACATACCGTAATCAGTTCGCTCCTATACGCGACTCCACACTCTCGGCTTTAGAGTCGGATATAACTTGCTGCGAGCCACAGCCTGTGTCTTCGAGTCCGCGCCCTAAGAGGTGGCATTGGCCAGGCGGGGGTGAGAAGGGCTGGACGAGTGATGCAGGGTGGGGTTGTATGCTCCGGACAGGTCAATCACTATTAGCAAACACCCTCTTGCATTTGCACTTAGGTCGAGGTGATCTTTCCCCTGGTAGCCGAAGAAACTCGTCTTGATTGCTCATTATTCAGAATGGCGCCGTCCTCCAAACCCAGTACACACAAATGATTATGCCACATATGTCCAGATCATTACATGGTTCCTCGACTCGCCTCTCCCTCAAGCACCTTTCAGCGTACACCGCATGGCCCTTGCTGGAAAGGAGCTGGGCAAAGATGTTGGGCAATGGTTCGGGCCTAGCACTGCTGCAGGCGCCATAAAGTATTAATTTTCCCTTATATTTTCCTTTTAATCAATCGATTAATCTGTGCACGCAGAACGCTTGTACATGCCTTCCCAGAAGCTGGCCTTGGTGTCTCCGTTGCAACTGATAGTGTGATTTATCAGTCTGACGTATACGCCGCGTCAAACGTGCATATTGGTTCGCCCCGACGACATATGAGAGCCGCCTGGGGCGAACGCGCAGTCCTTGTGCTCATCGGTATCCGTCTGGGTATTGACGGTATTAACCCTATCTACTATGAGACTATCAAGGTCAGAGCACTCGCTTGAGATCCCAGCAAACATCTGACGTTTATCCAAGGCGCTCTTCACCTTTCCACAAAGCGTGGGCATTGCCGGCGGGCGCCCCTCTTCCTCATACTATTTTATGGGCTCACAGGCTGACAATCTCTTCTATCTCGATCCGCATCACGCTCGAATCGCCGTACCCCTCCGCCCAGCACCTCCGCATGACTTTAAACGCGGGATGACCCCAGATTCGGGCCGTCCGCGCACCTCCCACCACCGCGCGCCTACCTCGCCTTCAAGCGTGCGCACGGGGAGCTCAACATTCTCTTACCACGCACCACTGTCGCCTTCACCGCTGCAGCATCAACTCAGCGCGAGCTCGAATACGTCTGGCTCATCTGGCTCGCATCTGCCACGCTGGGCAAATGCGAGCATACCAACACCACTTGGAGGGTCAGAGCTCAACCCACGAGAACTGAGTACGGAGAACACCAGCGACCTGGGTCCAGTTGCAGAGCACTACGTGACGCAGTACTCCCCTTCTGAGCTGCAGACATTCCATTGCGACCGCGTACGGAAGATTCCCCTCAGTGGACTCGACCCAAGCATGTTGCTTGGGTTCCTTTGCAAGGACGAGACGAACTGGATTGATCTCAGGAAGCGTGTGAATGAGGTGGGCGTCTTTTTGATACTGACGGGTGTTTTTGGTATTGATGTTTTCTCTTTTTTCGTGGGGTACGTTGGTAGTTGATGCACAAGCACAAGCCGATATTCACGATCCAGGACGAGCCACCGTCATGGCCATCCGATTCGGACGAATTCATGGGGCTCGAATCGATCTCGGAGCCAGATATCGATATGGAATTTGACGGAGATGGTGTGGAACGCGATGACCAAGAACAGCCTGAGAACGAAGACCAGTTCTTTGATACTCGCTCTGCCTCTCACTCACCTGTCCCAAAAGGTCAGGGCTCAGAAAATGACACGGAGGAGGATCCAATGGGGCCAATCACCCCTGGCCCCAATTCCATGCTTGAGGCGGACACACCAGACAAGGCGAAGGAGCATGTGGACGATTTTGAGGAGATTAGTGCTGAGGACGAGGATGATGATGAGGACTGGGTCGATCCTTCGCTACCCACGCCTCTGGCGCTGTCCATACAGCGCCCTTTTGCGCCCCCTCTTGGGAAATCGATATCGACGAGCTCCACAAGCAGTGGTGGAAGTGCGGGGAAAGAGAAGACCAAGAAGTTGTCTGGGAGGAAGAAGAAGACGGCGGTGCTAATGAAGGCGCCGGTGAAGGCCGATGTGCATTTCCCGTTCCCGCGGTCGCTGGAGGAGAGCGTGCATGATGGGGGACATGGGTCCGAAGCAGAGCCATATGAGAGGCGAATGAACAATGCACGTGCGAGAGACGGGGGGCGCACCGAGAGCGGGGGCGTCAAAGCTGTTTTGACGGAGGATATGAGATAGCCCAGGGTTCGTTGGTTGTAGCCTGTAGTGGTGTTGGGTATGTTTTTTATTAGTGCCCAGGCATTTCATTTCGACTTGCGGCTGCCTGTGGTGTGGTGGACCCTTTGGGGCCTGTAATTATGTATGTACTTTTGCCTGCTTGTTCGTAGAGATACCCGTCACGTTAGGCATTGGCTCGATGTGTTATCCATATCCGTCTCCTTCTCTGTCTTGGCTTTCCAATGTTCATCAACTTTTCATTTAGAAGCCCAGAGATTTGGTGAGGCACCTCGTCGGAGCCTCAGCGGCCAGGATCTTCTGAATCGGAAATTGTTGGGCTGAAATGATCATAGAGTGAGCTGCATGTAAACAATACAATTACTAGAGCTCTTCTTAACTGGCCTTAGCCAAGTGGTTGCCACAACAGAATCAAAATCTGTTTCTCTTAGGCTTGGCAGGTTCGAAACCTGCCACCAACAAGGGCCCATCAGGAAAACCTTGATTTGTAACGCTGTGTCATGAATTACGTTTTCCTGATGAGTTTTTTGTTCCATCAGAACATACCTTCAATGACATTCACCCGTGGATGGTGTTCGACAAGAGCCCTCCCAACTATATGAAACCAAAGCAGGTGAAATTCAGTAACTGGCATGATAATGAGTTTCCTTATTTATAGTACGTATGACACTCCCGTCCCATCATTGGTATACATCCTAGTGGGCATCACTGGCTTCGGGAAGAATCAAATCCATAGTACAAAGGCTAGTTGATCATTGCATTTAGTGTCAGGGTCAGGGCTATCGTTCTCTATCACTTAGTACGAATGAGCCAAGCGTCTCCTTTGCTAAACTGATGGTATCTTCGGAAGCTGTGAACGAAGTTGATATGCAAGCTGGTCGTTCTGTTTATATGATGTGACACTGGGAGAATGAGAAGATGAGTACACTGTACATGTACCTTAGGAAGGCTTGGAACTGATACAGTTGTCATCCTTCCACCGTATCTCCTGAGTAAGTACGGCTAGCAGAATGAGCTCTGTGGAATATATAGTATATCCTTCCTCAACCAATGGTCGCCAGATCGATTGGTCTGCTGGACAAGAGATAACGTGACGGTTTTTGTTCCCCTTGAGTATTCGAGTCGTCGGTTTGGACGTCTGAACCTGATTATGCACGCGCCGTCATAATGCGATGTACTCGACGCAAGTGTCAATACAACTCACCTGACCACCAGCGGATGCTATGACAGCTTTGAGCAACTTCAAGTCAATCTCGACTTTTGGAGTCACATAAAATGTCATCCCTTTCAGCAAGCTATCCCCTCCGTCTTCACGTTTAGCGCGCTCGAGAGAAGTGGAGAGCTTAAAGTTCCATTTCCGTTCCGATTCGGGGTCAGATATCAGAAAGTCCGTTTCCACTGCAACAGTCAATCAGAACACACCAATTTTCAGGATTAGTACTCACGCAAAAGTTTGCCAGTTCGCACACTCGAATTAACCCATCCTTCTGTTAACACGAATGGAGAGCTTGCGATAGCGCACAAGAACTTCTCCGTACGGACTATTCCCTTTGTGACGAGGTGCGTGCAGTCGTTGGGTTTGGTTGTCATCTTTGCACCCAATTTGTTCAACCGCTATTGTATGTTTATCAATCAGGCGATATTTTACTGCAGGGAGCTTTCTTACCTTGATAGTGTCATCGGTCAGCTGGATACCTGTTGTCATCACCCTCACTGTTCCAGATTCTCGAGAGGGTCCAGAACTATAGTGTGATCTGATAAGTCAGGATGACGGACGGAAATAATTTACGCACAGCTGATCGGTGACAACATCAGGAGCATGCAATCCCTTTTTATTCTGAGTCGCCTTCACGCCCTTTCTCTTGGACGGCTCGTCTTCGTCAATACTCATCCCTTCTCCCGCTTTCTTCTTCGTGCCCTTGCCCTCAGCCGCGCCTGTCTTCGACGTCGACTTCGTTCGAGAAATAGAAATGACCTCAACTTCTGTCTCTTCGTTCGCGTCCTCTGCGCGAGCTTTCGCCACTTTACGCTTCTTACCGTTTCGTTCCTCTTCGACTTCCTCTTCGTCACGCAGGGCAATGAAAGAGTCATTGAGACCGGAGCTACGCCTTCGCTTGGCGTTCTTGCGCTCCTTCTCGAAATTAACGACGTCGGGCATAATTTCGTCCCTCAGTTTGCTCGTCGCTTTGTTGGCAGCACTGCGCTTTGGTAACCCACGTGAGGTATAAGTATCCGAAACCACGGAAACCCCATCCTCGTGTTCCGATTCTGACTCATTCCGTGCTTCGGACTTCGACTTGCCCTTCACGGAAGGTGTTGAGGTTGAAGGTTTTGAAAACGAAGGGCGTCCACGCTTGGATCCGCTTGTCGAAGCCTCGGCAGCAGATGCGTGAATGGAGTTCGTTCTAGCAAGCTCGGACCTTCCTTCCTTGTTCGTAGGCGTGTCCTTGCGTGGGCTTGGAGACAAGTAGTCTTTCGGCAGAGATGGTACCAGTACAGATACTGTGCGTTTCGGCGTCCTAAAGGTTTTTGCAGGAGGCGAAGGTGAATGGGTAGTGGACAGAGATGGAGATGGAGCGCGAGCATTCTGTTTCTCCTTGGCTTTTGAGGACGTAGTCAGCGGCTCCTTCTCCGGCTCTTTGGCTCTTACTTTGGCACTCGGCGTAAGTGGCTGATGCTTCGCAGGCCGTGCAAAAATTTCGTCGTCATCATCAGACAAGGATGGAGCGCGTTGAGGAGTTTCCTTCGGCTTAGGTTTTGGTTTCATCCCTGTCTTTATTGGCGTCGAGGACCCAGGAATTGACCTGCTTGGACGGGCTGACATAGATTCAGAGTTGGAACGCTCGCGAGAAGGGGGAAGATGACCAGCTTTCTGAGGCTTGGTCTTCTCCTTTGATGTGGGCAGTTTGTTAGACTTCCCACTGGCTTTGGTTTCAGCCTTAGGGGGAGCTTCGTCATCCGCAGAGCTCTCGTCGATCTCCCTGGAATTCTTTACACCATCTGTCACTCGCCCTTCGTACACTTCCACAGCATCATCGGACGCATCGGACACAGTGCTTTCTCGTATGATCCTCGAACGTTTGCGTGGTCGTGGTTTCGTAAGTCTTGAGCTACCATCGTCAATGCTCGTGGTACCGCCCTCTTCTTCGAGGGTGACTTTCTGAGATTTCTTCAACTTCCCCGATGATGTCGGCTTCGGCTTCTGATGTCTTGGTGACTTGGAAGGGGAAACATGTTGGTCGTCGACATCCATGACTACACTGGCCGCTATGTCACCAGCATCGTCAAAGTCAAGGTCCTCATCATCGCCGAAATTAACGGCGATCTCCACCTCTCCAGCGTCTCTCGCGCTCATGTCTGTAGCTTGGGGAGCAGTGAGAGCATTGGGCTTCGGCCTTGACGCTACAGGCTGGGATGTTTTCGGAGCCGAGCTACCCTCATCATCGATGACCTTTGGCTTCGACTTGCTGGATGTGGTCTTAGCTTTGGCATTTGATTTGGGAATGTCCGTGGTTGTGGTGACGGGCTCCACTTCATCGACCATGCCCCTACGGTACTCTGCATCCCTCTGCTCCTCTACGTCAATATCAATAGGACCGACTCCCCGGCCGCCTGGAACAGGTCCCCCTGAGGTCATGTAAACAGAGCTCGCACTTGTACCACCTGTTTAGAATGGCACATCGCATATGGTGAACACTTTAAGATAGAGAAGGCAGTCCAAACTCACCAATTGGGGTCATGAGCATCTTCCCAAAATCGACGCCGGGGGGAAAGAGAATGTATTTATCAACTCCGACAGTAAGATTCCTAAGTGCAGATCATCAGCCTATAGATTCAGAACAAACAAAGACACGATCGCTTGAGAGCGGTCGTTCAGAGGTACCCACTTCCATGCAATGAAACAATCCTCGAGCCAAGTATGATTGATTATTGGTATCGACCATGCAACTGCGCGCTGTGTTTTAGGCGAAGGAGAACTATGAGCCATCAGTATAACTGGTAACTCGCTGTCTCAAAACACTTACTAGCCGGCGACCAGAACCTTGTTGCTCTGACTCATACTTGGTGTGAACCTTGCGCCCATGACTTGAATAAGTTTCTTCAGGTAATCTCGCGCGGCGCCGGTATAGTTAGTAACAGTGATTTCCTGGGCGGCGAGTGAGAAAATGAACCACAGGGCACATGATGGATTCTGCTCACGCATTCGTTAAGACCAGGAATACCTCCTCTTGGAACCGGGTACCACAACAAACTATCATGCGGATCATTCAACGTGCCAGACGCATCGACGTGAAACATCCAAGTCAAATTTCCGATCAAAATCGGACGAGATGAACGGGCCGCCTATAACATAGTCGCTGTAAGATGTTCCGCTGACGTCCTCGAGTTAAACAGGGGATATACCTTGAAGTATGCCTTCCCAGAGCGGTACCGCGTGACGAACACATCGCATTCATCTACAAGTGTTGCTTCCTCGTTCTCTTGTGCTTCCTCGTCTGTGCTGGTGCCTTAGACATGTGAGATAAGGTCAGGAAGACGTCACAACAACGAGTATAAAATTACGGTACCTTTGACCTTGGCAACAGTTCCACCCGCTCTCTGTATATTCGCCTCCACAGCTTCACGATGTCCTTGTCCCAATTCCAAAGAACGAGACAATAACAACCTCCTTCCTGCCCATACATCGACTCTTTCTCTGCATTCTGCTTCCTCCGTCACCATAGGGCTACTCAGTCTTGTCTCGCCACTCTTTTTTCTCTTTTTTTTCCCACCTTCTCCAATTTCTACATCATCCTCGTCCATTGTGACCTGCATGCCAGCTTGTAAGACCTTTGGATCAGGCCATAGGTAAGGGCCTTCAGGCACACGACGCCCAACGCGAACTGAGTCATCGAACCAATGCGGTGTGAGGACAGACATGTGAGTATGTGGCGCAAAATGCATGGCAGTTTGGTACTACGCGATCAGGGGGTAGCAATGTGAATAATCGATCCATTGTACGCGAGTGAAGCAAAGATAGAAAGTACCTTGTCACTCTGTTCATGCAATGCGAAGAGATGTGTTACATCGCGCGTGAGACCAGTTCGCCATTGTCCTCCTAACGAGGTGATCCCTGCTGAGAGAACTTCGAGGTCCGATGGGGAGAGCTTGCATATGAAGTTTATATCATACGGCGTGAGGCAATAACTATTTGCTTACATCGGTAGCACACGCCACGATGCCCGAAAAAATCATTGTTGGATCAGGTGAATAGTACTGCTCGCTGACAACGACTGTCAATCGCCTTCACGTTAGTCTAAAATGCAAAGTACACTCACAGCTGAAGTTTTCCGAGGACTATGCTCCGATGTACCCACATTCCCGACACTATATGCAAAGATCCTGCGTGTTCGTGTTGAGTGTGCGATCCAGCAAGGGCAATAAGATGGGTGTGTGGTGGTGCGCTCGTTGCGCCATTGAGGTCCAACAAGCCTGAAAGCTCCTTACGTTGTTCTGCCGGTATGGAAGATGAAAGAACATAGTGCACATCGTCGAAGACGGCCATACCGCTCAAGCCTCAAGGTGCTCGACAATGAGCCGACGTGAGAGGAGGCGTGACGTGACAGTCTACAACGCGTGCCATCACGTCGCGTGTCGGCGCCACGTGCTTCAACCCGTCAGAAATTCAGAATTGCCCAACAACCCCTAGCTAGTACCAGGCCTGTTCCGTTTTACTGTCAGAAATCGTATGATCACAGACTTCTGAAGTAACGAGGTTAAGTACTACTTAAATAGCATACTGTCAGCCATTACCATTGCTAGTAAGCAACCAGTCTGGCATCAAACATGCGCGACTCGGAGTGTGATGACTTCGGTACGGGTGAATACTAAAGCTTCTAGATTCTGTGTACAGGTGTCAAGTTGCCAAACTTCAGTTCAAAGTTTTATCTATATAATCGTACCTATGGTGGTACTAGTGACTACATAATCTAATATGATCTACAACCAGTTTAACCTGGTACGCTAAGTGGACTACAGAACAGTGATGAACAGCAAATACGAAAACCCGCAAACTCTCAAATATACCCGTCTCTCCAGATCTGAATATCACGACAACCATAATTGCCCTCTGATCAATGAGACAGAGGCTATTCACGACGAGCTGGTCAAACTCTCCCACCAACGTCTCATTACTCTCGACACGCTTCGTGGCTGACGTGGATAGACAGCAAAAGCAGCTTGCGCCGTGCTTACTTGGCACTGCGCTCCGCCCCCACTGCTCGATGCAGTTGAAGAGGGCACAGGTGTACTCGTAGTAGTTGAGCTGGAATTGGAAGACGTCGGTGATGAAGTATTTGACACCGGTGCAGCGAACGAGACGACTGGAGGCCCAGGAAACGTGTACTGCACGGGCGTGTCAAAAACCGTTGGGTCGTAAATTCCTGGATCGTCGTCGCTGTACCCGCCTGGAAAAGTGACTTCATCACTCGCTGGGGCGACGCCCGATTGGTCACCCTGAATATTAACCTGTAGAGGACGTGATTGACATGGAATATAAGACTACGAACAAAATATGGCTCACCTGCGTACAGCTGGGGTAGAACTCGGCGCCGCCCATCTCATTTGCGAGATGCAGCGCGATGATCTCATGTCGTATGAGGTATTGCCCAGGAGCCAGTGTTGGAGGAAGGGTTACGTTCGCTGGCCCACCATTCACTGTGCATGCAACATTCAGATATATATAAAAATGACGTGAATGAATAAACGTACTGATATTTTGCTGATACCAAACCATGTTGCCTGGTTGCAGCCCCGTCTCCTCGATCTTGAACCATTCTGCGTTCGTTGAATTATACTGATCGCACGTCGTGTTGACACACTGGGCCATGTAAGTCATGATGGGACCGATATTATGGGGCCAATTGCTGCCATCACCACCCTTCCACCAAAATTGGAACTGACTGGATGGGTTAGCGTTGGCGACAAGTGATGCGAGTTGAGCATCTTGTCCGCAATTGAGATATGGGTTGCTAGCGCCCTTCACGGGTGCGACATCATTGATCTGTCTGACGATGCTGGGAACGGGGTCGGCATTGGGGACATTCCCATAGTAGTCAGTGCCATCGATTGCAACTTGGGCGACATATCCATGAGCTGAGACGAGTGGTAGAAATGCAAGAAGGGATAGGGAAAACTGATACGAGCAGTAGGACATGACACGTTGACAGTACTTCAAGGATGTCGCAGCAGGCTTGAGCCTTATATCAAGAATGAAAAGGATGCGTGTAAAGGAAGGACAGCAGTTAAAGTAAAGTTAGATTGGTGGAAAAATGCACACAAGGGGTGACAGGGCTCGCGCACAGCGTGAGGAGAAGGCACGTCGAGGTATAGGCGGGGATGTTGCGGGGAAAAAATAAGTAAACACGATTGCGAGGACGCAACGTGGTTGCGCTTATATGCGTACACACGCGTGGCCATCAAACTTTCTATTGTATTCGAGCAGCTGGCCACTAGAATTCATCAACGAGAATCGTGACTGGAGAAAACAAAAAACGAGGCGTGGATTTCATATCAATGGTCCGAAGTGCTTCCTATATACTGCTTCCGTAAGATAAGATTAGATGACTGCGTTTTTTCAATCATCCTTTACTCCAAACTGCAAGTACTCTCCAAGTCTATCAGTTAAAGATACAGCTTAGCATACACCCAGGCATTGATTAAGACACTGCGTGGAAGTATACAATCCTGAACCAATGATCTGATCACCAATGTCCATTCCACCTGCGAACCTCATGTCCACCGCATGTCCGCAGTACCTGCCGGTCACCGGTTCTCTTCTATCGAGTGCTCGCCTTCCATACATAACGTTTTTAACTCACAAAGACGTCCATGCATTTGATATTCTAGGTTCCGGGAACTGCCTCCATGCTACATCAACCACTCAATCGAGAGGCGGACTGATTTCTATCACAGTGAAATCGTGTGAATCAATCAGCTGCAGCTACTTAATGGCTCTGACAGACTGTCACGATTTGGTGTTTTCGAGGTATTCTGTAGTTCGTCAGCTTTGCTCTTGGTGCTCGGTAAGATTGAAACAGCGGATGGAGTTTCATTTATAAGGTTTTATGTAGGGGTGATTAAGTTATATAGTACCCCAAAAGGTTTCTTCGACTTACAACCACTGGAAGAACGAGAAACATCTAAATCTGCATCCTTTCGATCGACACCCAGTGTACCTTCCATATCATCGGAACTCTCCATAACTACGGTCCCTGTTAGATTTATGGATGGCCACGTGCACGATTGGTTAATGGCGATAATTTCATTAAGTCACTTAAACTCGTTGTCGTGACAAGGTCGAGGGAAGCTGGCACTGGGTATACTGCGATGTCCGAGCCGTTGGCCGTGGAGAAAAAGTATCGTACACCAAGCTCCGTTTCCGCGCGGAGCAGCAAGCGGAGATTTTTCCAGATGGATAAAATCCTAGAAAAAGTCAAGTCAACGATCGAAACACTGCAAAATACGAAGGATATTTAACATAAAAAATGCGTGTTTCAGTTGATTTACATACCTCCAGACGCTTTTCGGTACCACAACTTCAACAACAAATGCCATGATATCGTCATCCGCAAAATCGCTTTGAATTGACGCTGAAACCAATGGGTTAAAGAACGCGTCGAACCATACTCACACGTAGCAGGCGCCAAAGCCGAGATGACTAGAATCGTAATCGACGCTGTTGCGCAAGCGAAAAAGTACCGTGAGCAATTGCGTGTCATGTGTCCAAATGATGGACTACATACGCTGTTCATGGTAGATAGGAGGACCCCATGATGCCTAGCCGAGATAGTTCAAGCTCTGCGATCTCGATATCGACAGATGTCGATACAGGCACATCAGTACATACCCCAAGTCAGACAGCAAGCAGTCGAGGGGGTAAAATGCAATCGTGACGACAATAATGCTGATAGAGGTGATTCCGCTCTCGATGGTCACTAATCGAGGAATATTTCAGCAAGATGCGCGATGCCCGTAAGGAGAAACCATCTTACCAATATTGCCAGGTGTGATGTCCATCATGAGACGGTAGGTGTTCAATGGCACATCTAGTACTGCGATTATGAACAGTGTGACAAAATGCCAGATACCTTGTGGCTGCCATTGGGAAGAGTGAACTCTTGCAAGCACGACGGAAGCTCAGCTAAAATGTCTTGGTTACATTTGGACAGCCGTGCCGGTGATAAATTGGAGAGCAAGCAATTCAGTTATCCTCCTATTTGGAGAGCCGTCGTATTCAAATGAGAACTCGGGCTCTAACGGAGCGGCTTTTATAGCAAAAGACGCCCGTGTTCGCAGCCCATTCTTCAAGTCGTCCAGGGGAATGTACGAAGATTTGGTCATACTGCTCACCCACAGGTAGGACATCAGTATGCAAGTCACCCAGAGATGATAACGTCCAATGGCCGCCGGGTTCGTCATCTTGAATGGCCTGAGTACGGGGCACTACGATGGACCATACTTGATATGAATAATCCGAAACATGGAGCTAAAGTTGACTCGTCGGACACAGTCCTGCTGATCAGCGTCCATATATCACTTGATACTTTTTCTTTGCCTTCACACTAGTAGATCCAGTGAGACAACAAAGCGACATGACTCACTCAGCGGTCCGTTAAATGTCATGCATCATGGGCCAACCCTATCACTACTACTACTAGTGACGTCATGACTGTGTCATAGGTGGCCAGGTACTGATGCGACGGTACGACGGAGAGAAATGTATCTGAAATTCTGAATCAGAGGCATGGGTTGTGAGCATATGCGTACCAAGATGACACATTTAGGGCCAGCTGCAGGTGCGAACTTAACCAGACTCAACCGACGCAGACGTACGCCTACTGACATGCGCTCCTGCCATTTTCGATCGCCAGGATTCTGCCGCGGCCTGGTCATAAGATGATGTGACATATATTTGGCCAGATACGCGACCGTGACTTCCCTCGGAGCCGAGGCATAACTCCGGAGCAGAGCTTTCACCAAAGGGCACAACCCTGCGATACGCATTGGGTTGGGGTGTTTTGCCACAGTCGAGACCCTTTTACGTGAGCGATAAGGTATCAGGCACATGCACCCCGCCCCTACAGGCCTGAGACAATCCTAGGTGGGTCTTAGCAAGCTGACTTATGTACTGTTTAATGCTATCATGGCTGAGCAAATATAACGAACCTTCGCAGTGCCCCCAAGCCTCGAAACCTTATGCTGACTCCGACCTGAGAGCGTGACCTCCGGCCACTTCCTGCTTTTAGGGAATACAAGTCAACACACAAGATAAGGAGACATAAGAAATTTTCATTTCCAAGAAGAAAAAATGAAGGAGACATGTCTCTATGTTTTTTTATGTAAAGCTCAACGAAGGATCCCAAAAGCGGACAACATGTTCAAGTTATCGTCGCTGTTCGCGAGTGTGAGGATGACGATGGCTGATAGGGGTGGTGCCGGGGCAGGCTCGTGTTTTGGAATACCTGGCGACAATGATGCCGATAGGATACGAGCAATACAATCGTCCATACCTGGGGGGGAAGCAGTTGAGGTCGGAGACGGCGAGTCCGGCGCTGTAGGCGGGATAATGTAGAGTTTGGCGGAGAACAACGATGGTGGCCATACGAGGGCGTGCCAGTAGGCGCCAGGAGCGTACCTTCAATCGCCGGAGAAGGACGAGGGCAGCGAAGGTGCCGGACAAGTGGGGTTTGGTGCGGTGGAGGGCGCACGCCGCCGCATTGCACTGACAAAACTTGATTTGGGAGCTAGATGAGCAAGGGTGGTGGGTATTCTGGTCCTGGACAAACAAAGACATGCATAATGAACGTTCGAACAACTCAAGTTGTAGGTTGAGTTGATTGACGTTTAGGTGGCGCCTTTCGTGTAGACGAATCGTCGTTGGCGTTGGCGAGCGCCGGAAATTCGTCCTGTTCGTGGTCAAGAGGTTTTTGACGCCGCTGTACTACTCGGGTAAGTCGGGCAAATTTGCAGCTGAGGTTTTCGAGGTCACGTTCTTATGTTACGCTGCATGCACCTTGTCTTCGGGAGCTTTGAACAGCGGAAGTACTTCGGAAGGGCATCAGGCACTCATCAATCATCACTCCATATTACATAATACAAATTTACAAGGTAATCTGGTCTCAACGTCCAATAAAGAAACAAGTGTTTTTATCTATCAGATATACCAGATATATAGGGAAGGCGAAAAGTGTATCCGAATGAAGTAGTCTGTTGCTATGGTTCGAAAGTACTAGCGCAAATGAAATATCCTCGTGTCGTCGACCACGCATACAAAAGATATGGATGGCGTGACTCAAGGATCTTCAGATCTTCAAAGAAAGATCATGTTGCGTGCTGTGTGATCTGGAATGAATAAGAAGGGTTGATATCGTGCAGAACAGGGTATAAATCCCCGTTTTCGAAATTCATGTCCCGCACGTAATATTCAACGTTTATGGACTGGTTGCTAATATCCATTGTCACGAAACCATTCGCCGCTGGGGGAGTGTTAATCCAGATCAATATATGGGGAAGTAGGAACCATACCAGTCATTGGATTCGCTGCCAAGAACTTTACATACGGTCCAAGTGATATACCGTAGTTGCAATCACCGGCTTGAGGGTAGCCCGCAGCGCCAGAGAGAATGAAGTTAGTGTTATTTGCGTAATAATGCCCGAGGCAGTGGTCATGGCCGTTTAGGACGATCCCGTTGTGCTGGATAACAATCTCCACGAGAGGTGCGAGTTCGGTCTCGTTGGTGGCCGAAGACACGTAAGGGTGGTGGAGTTGAAGGAATTTCCATGTAGCCGAAGATTCAGCGAATGTATTGGCTAGGAAGTCGATCTGCGTTTGCTTGTCGGCATAGCAGGCTTCCGTGTACGAGTTCATATATACAGAGGAATTCTGGAAGACTCGTCATCCATCAGTCATTGGTCTGCATGTGACAAAATTCACAACCTTTTGATACGAGCTCAGGAAACAATCTGAGTCCACGACGACAAAAGTAGCAGTCCAATCATTACCTGTCAGATCGTAAGTCCAATAGGGGAGCCCTTGTGTTCCCTGACAGAAGCGTTCAGCAGGTGTTCCAAGGGTCCAGATATGTTGAGCCCACAAAGTTCCAACGAGGGTCATAAATTGGAGCAACTTTAGTCTGGAAGTCGATGCCACTCTGACCTTTCACAACGTCATGATTACCGAGACATTGATACCAAGGAGCAGTCTCAAAGACTCCTTGACTGTACATATCGACCCACGCTTCCTGGAAGCGTTGTATTCCGCCAGTGGTGAAATCAATACCACTATCATAAAAGTTGTCACCGACAGAGACCTGCAAACAGTTCGAGATGAGCGATTCATGCGAAGTTATGTTTGGGCACGTACAAATGCAGTGCAGTTCTTCATCGCGCATACTTGTCCAACATACGAGGATGTGTCGACTTCATAGGACTTAACTACATTGTGGTAAAAGAGCAGGTGCACTCACGTTGCAAAGCAGTGGCATTGGTTATGTATGTTATGTCTCCAGGATCACAGTCGTTTAGGACCTCATTGGGAATAACGAGTCCAGCAGCCTGCAGCTCTGGAAGCACTTCAAGGCAGAAATGCGGAGGACTCGGTGTCCATCCTGTCCAGCCATAATCTACGAAGTCCTGGTCAAGCATTGTTCCTGTTGATCAGATATGATTACTCACCCCCAATAACGCCCACCGTCAAAACCTCTGCGCCAACTGGAGCAATAGTTGATTTCTTGGTTCTCACATATTCTGCAAGGACCCTTTCCTGCAGGACAAGAAGCGCGAGGAAAGACAAACGACTCCAGCTCGTCATGACAGGAATGGCAAGTTATTGAAAGACGGTCGTAGAGTGGGGCCGTCTATCGGAGTAGCAAGTTTCGCGTCTATCACTCATAATATAGAAATTTCATCTGTGCATATCAGTCGCCAAATGCGTTACAGAAATGTGCCAAACCGCGAGAAAGATTGAAGATGAACATTGTCACATCTGCCGGGCTCAGATATAGCGCACCAATTGAGTTCAAGCCAATGGTTTTCGAATTGGTAAGTTATTCGACCACGTTCGATATGTGCCTCACAACGTCCGCGACCCTTCTTGCGAGTCGCAAAGAAAACCAACGAACGTGTAACTATCATGAGAGATCATCATGTGTATGCAGGCAGGAACACCCACTAGCGCTGAAGCCGAGCGCAGTGCATCATATGGACCTATGACGGTGTGGCTCGATGTGGCCTCTAAATGGAAGTAAAGGGTGTCATGAGGAGCCATCACATGTGAAGTTAAGGAACTGCGGGGGGGAAATTGGTCACGGTCATGGCTCGGAGGGGTTCGTTTTGCCATGACGTACTGGCAGCTGCCACCTAAAGGATCCGTCAATTTTTCACACGAAGTAACTTGATCCTCAATTGTACATGTGCACGCATGAGCGAACTAACCCCAATAATCAAATTCCTGTGTCTCTCGCATCTGTCGGTGTATCGCACATCGTCCCTGCCATTGCCAAACGACGAAAGTTTTCAGACCTAACTTTAGGGGATACAGCCGAGTTGCTTTATAAATTCGAGGAATTTCGTTCCAACCTTGATGAAGGAGACGAAAATTTGCCTGCTGGTCTGATCGATAAACCCCAGGAACTGCGTGACAACTTGGAAGATATTAAGGTGATGAGGGCTGAATGACGCTGAATTGCTCACAGCGTTGATCAGCCTCTCCTTAGCACACTGGCTGGTTTCCGCGATGGACTGTATATTCATTTAAACTCCAAAGACGAAAGCTGGATGTCGCATCTTGATCAACATGCTCTTGTTGAGAGTTGTATCAGTTACTAAGTGTCCGGACGGTGAACATAATTTCAGAATTTCAGAATTTCCTCTCCGTAGAACAATCTTCAACTGAGACTCTGGCAAATGTTCGTTTAGTGGCGTCGTCGACTTCCTGGTGACTAAACTCCCCGCTCGGTACACTGGTTAGTTATTTTCCGTCGCGCGCTAGAATGGCTTTGAACCGTTCTTTAGGAATACCCCCTGGGCGATCCGACCACAGCACTGACGAATCCTGCATACATTGAGGGACCAATGACGTCCAACATCTTCGAAGCCAAGCTCGATAACGTTCGGGCCGCTCTGCCTCAGGTTGTGATTGCTGTGGCTTCGTATTGCCAATTGCAGGGGTTAGCTCTCTGTTGTTCTGTTCCGTGAGGTAGTCTAACTTTATGAGAGCTTATTTGCCGTTAGGGGTGTTGTCACCAGCGGAGAACAGTGGGTATTCTTCGTGTACAAAAGACAGACGACCTCCTCCGTTTCGTTTCACAAATGACATGTACAACTTTTCCGAGGCTTCTGTTCCGCAGATGACTTTCTTCCCTATTTCGCAGATGACTTTTCTCCCCGTTTCGCAGACAACCTCCTCCATTCCGTTTCACAGACGATTTTCCTCCCTGTTTCGCAGACAATCTCTTCCGTTCCGTTTCGCAGACGACATGTACAACTTTTCTGGGGCTTTTCCTTCTCCATTTCGCAGACTACATGCATATGGAGAGCTGCATTAGCACTATAGAAGAGCAGTTTCGCGCTATGGTGTTCTCGAACTGAAAGTTGCTGGTGGTTGGTAGGTGTTGTTCTAGGTGTTCTCAAACTGAAAGTTGCAGGCCGTTGGTAGGTGTTCACTCAATCTGCAATATGCGCTCATTACAGAGTAGAGTAATAAAAATCATGTCAACAAGACTGTTAAAGTCGAAGAGATCGAGCTTGTGAGTTGCAGTGAGCAAAGAAGACCGTCAGCGAGAATGAATCAAGGGTAATTGGCAGCTGCTGCGTGCACATCCTTGGTGCCACTCCCACTCCCCTTCTGCGGATACTCACAGAACGTGCATGGTCAGGGCGGGTCTCGTACTTCTCGCACAGAAAACGGAACGCCAGGTTGACACTCCAGTGTGGTTTTCGCCAAATGTTTTGACCAGGATCGTGACCTTTTTTCGTTGGCAGTTCTCCATTCGCAGCATGCTGACGTTCCGGACATGGTGGCAGCACGAGCGTCAGTTCGACAGCCCTTCTGCCTTACCCTCGGTACAAGACAGGGCACTGTACCACCGGCAGACACATGGCTGTGGTGTGCACCTGCGCTGGGGGCCTGCAGAGCTGTGCGCTGGCGCTTCGGGGGTTGTTCGTCAGAGACATGGACAGTCGTGCTGCATCTTCGCAGTTTGTGATATCTTGTGCTGAACACGCTGATAGACGTTTGCTCAGACTTGAGTCCATTGAACTCGTGAGATATACAACAGAGATTATGTCACATTCTCATCATTTCCTGGTAGTAGCAGTAAGTGCTACTGTGCTTGCGAGCACGTCTTTGCGCAAGTGGATGCACTTGACACTCGTGCTCTTGTGCTCGCCTGTGACTGGGTGGGTGATATCTATGGATTTGTAGAGCTGTTGGGAAGCGAGCGAGTGGACTTGGTAGTATATGAAATTACCTTGGACTCCATGCCAAAAGCGTTTTCCTTGACGCAGGAGGCCTTTATTTGCACCTGAATACCATATTGTTAGCGCATATATCGTATCACAAATGTGCATGCATGCGCATTTTTCCGCTGATAGTCCACTCGTCGAAGCCGGGAGGAGCGTTTATGATAGTTGCATTTGCATTCTCGATGAATGGCTCGCTAATGATGCTCAGTGAATCTTTGGCTGTTCTTCAAGTTCGCGATTGTGTCTTGTGAGGCAGCCCGGAGCGCTGTGGTTGCATCTGAATGAAATGATAGGCGGATAGCTCATGACCTATGGGAAAAGGTGTGTTAAACTAACTGATGGATGCAAGCGAGGTAAGTGTGCAGAGCAACACGTTAGATGGCGGAGGTGCATCCTACCTGAATGGTTCCAGGAATCCAGCTTCTCTATGTCCTCCTCACTGATCATGGACACGAATGCGATGGGACGTGATACGATGCCTGAAATCAAGAGCTTGTAGATATCGCTGTCGACCGCGGCCATAATTGCGGCTGAATAACAGGTCGAGGAGTACGTACATCTTGTCTGCTCCCGCCGTGTTATAAACCTTCCACCCCGCAGATTCCCCTACAACCCAGTATTGTCCGGCAGGAGTGGTGTCGACTCTCTGACCGTTCATGATGGAGTAGGCGGTGGGATCGAATGGAGGGACGGCATGGTGGACTGGCTAGATGAAGAGAGCGAAGCTGGCCCTGTAGATTAAGGTAGGCGTTCGTCGAATATCACATCATGTGACAGTCTATGAGATCGCTTGAAGGCCCCGGCCCGCTTTACCCGTTGCCATGACGCAGACCCAAACTGACATAAGTTCCATCAAGTCTACCGTTAGTCCAAACTGAAAGCTTGCATCTCAGACGCGATGATGGCGGCTTTCTTAACACTAGGCCTGGTTGTCGCCCCTCTCTTATCTTACACCACCAACGTGACGCACCTACAAGATGAAATTTACTGCAATCTGTGCACTTTTTGTAGTAGCAGTTGTCGGGTCGCCCACTCCTCCGCCAAATGTTCATTCTAACACGGGTCGCACACAACGCATTCTCCTCAACTCCAGGTCAAACGCTGCCAATAGCTCCAAAGTGTTTGACCCGAAGACTGTGTGGGAACAGCTGGATCATGCATACCAGTATGTTTGGGTTTCTTTCTTTCACGAAATCCATCAGCTTAACATGAACTAGTAAGTACAGTGCCACAATGAGGGCCTACCAACAGAACACTGGGTCTCCTCACCCGCTGAGTAGTCGCTTCGACGTTCGCCCAGTTGCAAAGCGGAATGGAAACGTGCCCCTTGTCAACTACAATGCAGACCTCTGGTACGGGGAGATTGATGTGGGCACGCCCCCAAAAACGTTTACAGGTTTGTTCGATTGATTCTGCAATGTGATACGGTCTAACTCCAACATTCTGAAGTGGTGTTCGACACTGGTAGTTCAGACCTCTGTGAGTCTCAGAAGAATATCCCTTCAACTCCGCGCTGACAGCAATATTCGCGTAGTCCTTCCATCTACCAAATGTACTGCCGGCTGCGTTGGACATACACGATACGACCCTGCTGCATCCTCGTCTGCCAAAGATTCTGGTCAGCCGTTCGTGCTCACGTACGGCGCTGGGGAGACAGCGGGTAAGCAGTACATCGACGATGTTTTTGTTGGGGGTTACGAAGTCAGTCGTCGCAGGTGTTCGTTTTCTCTTTACTAAACTAGTTTGTCAGGCCAAGAATCAGACCGTCGGCGCCGCATGGATATATTCGCCAGAGTTCAGTAAGGACGGGTCTTTCCCCCCTGACGGTCTCTCCGGTCTGGCATTCCGCGAAATATCAGAGTTTGAGGGATCTCCACTATTCCAAACACTGGTCGAAAGTGGAAAACTTACCACAAAGCGTCCTTGGATTCAAGCTATCTACTACTCCAGGAGATAGCGAAATGGTCATCGGAGGAACAAATACCAATCTCTACCGCTCCGACACGCTCACTTATGTTCCTGTGACGGATAAAGGCTACTGGCAGGTAGAGATAGATAGCATTTCGAGGTTGGGCAGGAGGTCATCGAGTCGCAGGCCGCTCCTGTTATCATTGATACGGGCACCACTTTCGTCATCACGTCCTATTCAATCGCACAAAGTTACTACGCTAATATATCTGGAGCTACTGCCCACACGGAGGGCGCGGAGACATACTGGACAAGTAAGCTTGTTACCTATTCCACGATCTTCAAGTTTATCAATGTCTGCATCTGCACAGTTCCGTGCGATACCATCAATTCCACCGTGCCCACGTTCACGTTTGGCAAACGTGCCTTCAAAGTCTCTGCGCAGACGTACAACCTTGGGCCAGACGTTCCTTCCAGCGACTGCTTAGCTGGGATTGCTGCGTCTTCAGAAATGGGTGCGTACAACCCGTGGTATCTTGGACACGATGACGTTGCTCATACTCACACCACAGATTTCACAATTGTCGGTGATGTCTTTCTTCAGAACGTTTATTCGGTGTTTGATTACGCAAACACGAGGGTAGGATTTGCAGAACTTGCTTGATGTAACCCGTGGACACATCGATTAATACCCAAAGTGCATATATACCCCTTCGTACTTCGAATTTGATCTTTATGTGTAGCCAAGATGGGTGACATCTTGCTACCCGTAGTTCATGATTCAAGTTGCAACAGATGTCAGCATTGAACCTAGTGGGGCCGTACTATAACTGTACAACTCGTTGATTCTAGTTTCGTTAGTAACACATGCATCGCTCTAACTAACCACATGTCCATGTCATCGGTATTGCAGATCTAGAGCGCATGTGATGTAAATGCCTTCCCTCAACTTGAAGTTCCTTAAATTCCAAGTCTCTTTCTGTCGCGAGCGTGGAAACTGCGATAATCGCCGTGAAAGACAATTGTGTCTCGAAACATCATATGTGTCTCTATCGTGTAGTGTGCGTTGAAGACGCGTCAGTTGAGTCATATTACCGATCAACTCGGATTATACCTTACTTCGTCAATCGATCTGAATCGGTCACCATAACCAGTGTTCAAATTCAAACGTTCATGCTCCGCACCTTTTCCCGTCGTTACGTTTCTGAGTTCTTCCTTGTGTTGCAAACCCTCTGCACGATAGGCGTTTTTCCTGCGTTCGCTCTTCTTATGATGAGGGTGTAACTTGAATGGGAAAGGTAGCGAAGCGGCGGCGGCGGGAAGCGCTCAGGCCTGCACGAGCTTCAACCAGTGCCAGTCTAAGTGTGTGAACACTGCAAGCGCGGGCCGTATCCTAGGATTCAGCGGATGGTCCACGGCTGGCGCATGGTCTGTGTCCAACCTTGACGCGATTCGGTGCAAAGGAGATTTCTCTAATTCGAATCAAGAATCAGGATGGTGAACTCTATTTACGCTTTAACCGCTCCCTGTACTCTCCATATCTCTGATACCTGACTCTCGCACTAATTGAATGGTCAAGCCAATTGATTCCATCAACCATCGAACTGGGCATCTCTATTGATTTCAGCAATTCGGAAAAGAATGTAGAGTCTGCCAAAGTACGGATTAGCCAGTTGCTGAAACCAATTGCGCATGATGCAGGAAAGACTATGCAACAGACGTTTTCCCCACCTATGTAAGGACCCGAGAGACCAAGACGTGCGTGCCATCCGAATTCTTATTTTATTCTAGCAAGCTTTCTCTGGGGGATACGTTTTCCTTACATTTGCGGTACAGGAGATGATTTCGAAAGATTGGCCACGAAGACATTCATTTCGATCTGGCTGACATACTCTGCACATCTGATGCAAGACAAGGTTAAGCAGCTATGAACCGTGTTCTCGCCTCTATAATGTACTCACCTCGAGAACACAGAATACCACAAGTCTCATGACAACATCAAGATCGTAGTTGTTCTTTCCGGGAACACAATAACCGAGGTATAGATCTATGTTTCCTATCGGAGACAGTCTCTGAGTCGTAGATCAGCACGCAGAGCAGCCTGAATCCTCCTCCGATACAACACTGGAGCTTCAGCCCACCACCAGCGAGATCATTCAAATTTGTCCTCGGTGAGCGGGGGTGATCATGACGCTTGCCGTGCTGCAAACACCAGGCAAGCCAGGGCCTCGTTGTACATTGCACATATGCATACGTACACTGCCCTGAGATGACGCCCACTAGCAGGATACAAATGGTGAACAAGATGCACACACCCCAAAGTGACAACCAATAATGCGCTTATTACTTCTATGGGTCTTCCTATACCTGGTCAGAGCGATCCAAGCTGCACTGGAACCTACGACAAATACAACAAATACTACTACTAGTAACAGGTTTAGAGCCCCATCATTCACGACCAGAACCCTATGGACCATCATCTCCAGCTCTGTTTTCACTCTTTTTGCATGCACATACAGTGCTATCCACCCCAATATTCTGAGTTCCAAGGACGGCCCCCTTTGTATCCAACTGCGGCGACTTGGCATCATGATAACGGCGCTAATCACTCCCGAACTAATTGTCACACGGGCTATGCGCCAGTGGTTCAGCGCTTGCCTTGTTACGAGACAGTTCCAGGAATCGGGACATTTCAAGATTTCTCAGCTGCAGGAGCAGTCTGAAAGTGAGTTGTACTTTCAGGAACTCTGCATTTCATACCTCACTATCCATGTCCTTAGATCACGAGCCCACTGAAGCACCGGAGCAACGTGGAAATTGCTTCTGTCACCTCCTTGTAGTGCTTACTAAAGGTGTACAGTCCGTGCTGGTGTTCCTTTGGCGTTTCCCTGGTGGTCTTGCGAGGTCAGTCAAAAGGTTTGTTAGGGATAATGTATCAGAGCAACCTGAAGGTAAGCCCGATTCGTGCTCACAAATGCTGACTCATGTGCATCCTTAGATTATACATGGACTCAGACGCATAGCATCTTTGTGTTGATGGGTGGTTTCATGCTTTATGTGGACGGGAAACCTTGCTTTACACTACGACCTGATGACATTCTCAACCTAATACGTGACGGGTGTGTCGACGTCCCTACCCTAACGGCAAACCAGATCCAGGACAGGAGTAAAGGCAATGCAATATCGAAAGGATCGACCATCCTTCAAGTGGCCTGGTTTGTTGTGCAGCTCACCACCCGCGCCATATATCACCTTGAAAGTACCCAGCTCGAAGTAGGGACACTCGCTTTCGCGGTCCTCAATTTCGTCATATATACTGTGTGGTGGAACAAGCCTCTCAATGTGCAATGTCCCCATCCAGTACACTGGAAGTCGACCAAGTCACGGCCAAAAGAACACATTGAATATGTATGCTCCTCAACAATTATACCGTTGCTAATTATGTCCACCTTAGTGTCCATAAACAAGACCATTTCAGTTGGCTTGGGATTTTGGCTCCAGTTTTCCGTCCAATTCTAGAGATGACGGGCTTTCCTGGCTTTGCCGCACCGTCTCGAACGCTCCGAGTTCCAACATTTGACGACGGCAACATCGAACTCAAAAATTCGGACATTATAGTTATTGTGCTTGCTGCATTGCTTATGGCAACTTTATTTGGCGGCATCCATTGTATAGCTTGGTTTTTTGCCTTCCCCATATACTAGGAGCTGGTGCTATGGCACACAAGTGCCGTCGCTATAAGTTGCATACCCTTGTTTACTGCCACTACTACATGTTTCTTGGTCTCCCTGCTTTACCTGTGCGAACCACTAGCGATCTGCTTGATGGCCTGCGCATTACTATGTATCATGTTATACATCACAGCTCGTGCCTTACTCTTGGTAATCATGTTCACCACTTTACGCAATCTTCCTCCTGACGCATACAAAGCAGTGTCATGGGCTAATTGGGTACCGCACTTGATCGTGGTACTTATTATCCACTTCATATGTTTGTGATGATATTCAGATGTAGTATTCTTGTGACAATAGAGCTACATCATGATAGGTACATGATGTAATTCTATCTCGCTTGTCTAGTATCTACAGGCCTCTAATCATTGGGGACGTCTGCAGTGCAGATGACTCGTTTGTGCTTGCAGCATCCAGCGGTATCGATTTACGCGCACCCTACCTGCGTGAACCGCTCGATTCAATGAGAAAACAACCTTCACACCCGGGTTCCGCACCAACAAAGAAGGCTGCCACTAAAAACCTGTCCTCGTCTGTCCCCGACCCTTCTGCTTAGGATGAGTGGAAATAATTCACCTAATTCACCCGATTCACAGTACATTTGACCTAATTCACCTGTGAATTAGCGTTGATTTACAGACCTGTTAATTTACTGTAATTCACGCTGGTGAATCTGAAGGCCTCTGGGCGCATTGCTAATTTACCCTGTGAATCTCGGACAGTTCCTAATTGACCGTACACTAGTCTGCACTCCCGTAAACGCTGGCAACAGGAGGATATCAACTTCTCTGATTGATGAAATTCTATCTGAAACCACGTCCAATACAAGTGAATTTGATTCCATCGTTGATGAAAATTCATTGACTTCCGTTGCCGAAGCCCTCAGTCACCAATCGGCATTGGACGACATCGAAGATCCAACAGACGCATTTGGCACATCGAGTCAGTTCGAACAAATCACACTACAACAACTATTCAATTTCTCGGATGATACCTGGACAAAATTGACAGAGAGGATAGGCATGAGATCCCTTGATGATGAGCTGGAGTTTTACGAGCTTGTCGAATTGGATGCAGAAGGCGAAGAGGATGAGCAAAGTTTCAATGATATGATGTGTAGTCACGGTACAGTGTAATTCGCTTCGATCCGATCAGCCAATCACAGCGCGGCATCCATCTGTCACGTGGTGAGAAAAAGCCATAGCCATGTTCATGGCGCTGCCAACCGCCATGCCTTCTTTCCTGGCTAGCCAATGGCCTGCCACTGGAACTTCAAACACTGGTCAGCATCAGTGACCCCAGTGACGGGATTGTTCGATTTCGGACTCGAGCGCCACTTCTAGTTTCATTGCTTATCCAAAGCACACATCATCGACTCTCGCTTATACTTTGCCTCATGCTACCGTGTCATGCGCTACTTCTGTCTCTCAATTCACAATAAAACCTGCCCGAGTCCCCGGGCATGGAACTGAGGGACTTCGCTTGCCTAATCACCGTGAGACCTTAGCGTAAAATTGATTCAACACCATAAGGATTTGTGATGGAGCCACGTCACATAAACTGCGTCAGTGTCGCCTCACAGGTGCAGCGGGACCGCATCAATTTCACCTGCCACCTGGCCGAAAGACCGTGGGATGCTCTAAGGAATGCTGTCGAGAGTGTTTTTTTTTATTCCATTGTTCCGTCCTATGGAGAGTTATGCACTATGTGAGGTGGATTATTTCAGCCTGATATCTTGATACTTGCTCACCGCTTAAGTGCTTATCAGGTGTTTTGTGGCTGAATATTCGACACATCCAGATTCCACAATATAAAGACAGGCATGTTTTAGAGCGACTTGACAATCTCCCAACTTGCATCTCTCATCGTCCCGTTAGCTTATCTCGGCATTCACTCACTGTACGAGCCCGACAACCTTCATGACTCCTATTGCAACCTACACCATCACTTCTTCCGACTCCGAGCTTGCAGGGTTTATTTTACCCGACCTTTTCAGCCATTGCCGCTATCCTCTGCGCGTGAATCCTCACTCTCATCTTGTCTCTTGCGCATCTGAACAATGGTTTTTCACCGAGGCGCATGTCGTAGAGCCCGAAATTACCAAATTTAGGGCCTTTCGCTTACGTGACTACAATGCATATTGCTATCCTGATGCAGATGCTTCCCATTTCCGAAACATCTCAGACTTCCTGAACTGGGCATTCATGGCAGACGACTACTTCGATGACTGTGATATTGATGATATAAAAGGAATGCGTGAATGTTGTATTTCCGCATTACGCGATCCCATTAGCTTTCAGACGGAAAACCCTCTTGGGAAGATTTGCAAATCGTACACCCTTTTTTTCATTCTTACACACTTTCTGACGATCTTTATGTCCTTTAGATTTTTCAGTCGCATTACAGCGACTGCTGGATCGAGCTGCACCGAGCGGTTTATCCATGGACTCGACTTGTTCCTCATTGCTGCGGCTAAGGAGATAGACAACCGCGCAATGGGACATACCTATGACCTTGAATCCTACACCGCCCTGAGGCGAAACTCGACTGGCATTAAATGTTGCTTTGCCCTCATCGAATACGCAGCTCAAATGGATCTCCCGAACGAAGTAGTATCACATCCAGTGATCAAGGCGATGGAGGACGCTGTCAGCGATTATACCGCTTGGTGCAACGTAATGCCACACTCTGTCTTTGGACGCTGTGGCATGGCTAACATCAGTGCTGACAGGATATTTTATCCTACAACAAAGAGCAATCGCGCCATGACACACTTTGCAATCTAATTGCCGTCCTCATGCGCGAACAAGGTCTAGACCTGCAAGGCGCTGTCGACTACTCTGGTCAGCTGTGTAAGAGTGCCATCCAGCGCTTTGAGGACAACCGTACTGCCCTCCCCTCTTGGGGAGAAGAGCTTGATAGGCAGGTAGCTATCTATATTCAAGGAATGTTGGACTTGGCCGTTGGTTCGCTGCATTGGGCTTTGATTCTACCCGCTATTTTGGGAATGATGGGCAGATCGTGAAGCGAGACCGATTCATCAAGTTACTTCTCAAAAGACCCTTGTAGACCCTTGCATTCTCTGGGTGAGATCGGTTTCACTTCCTGCATCACACAATTCTGACTGCAACAACATGCGCTATAGAAAGTTCAATCCTCATCCATGCATGATACTAAAATTTTGACGCCCAATCATTGACGGGCCTTCGTGATCCTGTGTACTACATAGAACAGTTTGATTTGTAAACTGAGCGATCGCTTGCGCTTCAACCCAACCAACGACTTCAATGAAAATCTGAACATGCTATAGTACAATGAAGTTAAGGGGTTAACGTTGACCTTTGGACTTGACGTGACGGACTTTGTATGGTGATGCAGCCTGCCGGACTGTCCTGGCGCCATGCGCTAACCACCTGCTTGCGTCCCATCCCAAGCAAGCGCTCAGTCCAGCCCAACCTATTAGATCGTGTCAGCGACTTTGCTGGACGGAGGTCAATTTCTCTAATGTAAATTGCCACTGCAGCATCGCAGTGTCTGAGTTTGAGTTCGAATGGTGTGCGCTTTCGATTGGCAGCTTGGTCATGGCAAGCTTTGGGTGCAAATGGTCCCCTTGCCTTCACCGTTTTTTATATATTCCAATTTTTATCCATTGAGGATAGTACCCTATATGTAGGACAGGCCGATTTTCCACACCTCGGGTAAAGTGAGGCAATAAAATCTACTTTTATAACTTTGTGCTTAGTTACCTACAATTTGTACGAGACGACTGAGCTTAGGCCCAACTGATTAACTGAGGCCAGTTTTGTTAAATTTTGTTCAAATAGCAAGCACAGGAAAACGAGAACTAATTATTATAAGTTGGCTCGGGAGGAGGAATCAGTAAGGAACGTCAATAAAAGAATGGTGGGTCAGCAGGGATAGATATAGGTACGCTCTGTGCTTATCGCTTACTCAGTTACCAAGAACGCACATCATGAACTAGTGCCATTAGTGGTACTGTTCATGTATGGAACGCACACGTTCGGATCGTGGAGTGCCGCGGGGTCCTGTGTGAAGAACCCGAGTTTCAAACCCTCAAGGTAAGACCTACATAGACGGCCGTCAGATCATTCGTAAAGCACCCTAGGATGCATCTTGACTAACCATTGCCTTGCAAGAGCATTCCCGTTGGTGAGGCTTGATATTTCAGTTTTGAAGTTCCAGTACTGAAGTATTCTTCTTTGAGCAACGTCTTAATCAAACGCAATTGGACACGTACAATCCATCCAGCACCTTTACTGTAGGCCAACTTCTGTGCGTCAGCCCACTGGTAGAGGAACGCATCCGTGGCATTGAACTGTGTCGGAAGTCCCCACTCTCCGAACCAGAGCGGAGAGTCGCCAACCGCTGCATCAGTCTGGATACGTGTAAGATCTTTACCAAAAGTGAGTACGTCATTGCCGAACTAACGAAGAAGACGCACTGCAGATACTGATCATGTAAGACTTCGGGTCAGCAGCTGCAACTCCCTGTAAAAATGTTAATGTGAAGCAATAAGTTCCGTGCAAACGACATACGCCAAACCTGTAAAGAGACGATTAAGAAACCATGAGAAATTAATGTAATAAACTGCGCACTCACGAGTAATACAAATGGTTGTCATAAGCTTGGGGGCCAATCGCAACGTCAGCTGGGTTAGAAGGGTTGTCGTACTGCCAGTTCACATCCATAAAGCTATGTATATCATTGTCAATGTATACTAGCAAGGACCTGTGGTGAACTCACTTCGCCACCAGTGAATCACGGGACTGCCGAAATGGTGATGCTTCGAATATAGTCTCCAAACCGCACGCCACTCCAATCTCTAGTAAAATCGGAATGGCATCTAGAAGTGCCGCTTGCACCTCCGTAGAGAATATGCTTGCTGAAGATGTCGCACTTAATGCAGCGGTGAAGTTGTTCGAGACGGATGCTGGTACCGATAGCGATAAACTGGATGACGGCACAAATATTCCGATTGTGAGCTCAACTGCACGCATTACCTCGACAAAGTTCTTTTGGACTGTACGAAAGTTCAGGAATCATCAGGGCACAAATAAAAGAATGATGAGTGATACATACAGGTGCCATAGTTAGGTGTTAGAGTCGCGTTCATGATGGGTTCATTGATTGCCTCGATCGCAAAGACACTCCCAAAATTAGGGTCCAGGTGAGAAAGCGTAGTCATGACCGCTGTCCACACCAATGCACGGTGGTAGTTGTATGGAGTCTGTATGTAAGGATTTGTAGTTGTTGCTTTTACCAGCTGCAAAATGGCTCACGTAGAATTGAACATCGGTAGTACAACTGGTAAAAATCAATCTCAGTATAGAACAGATATCGAATAAATGGGAACTCGCTTTCCGGTGAACATTTGCCCAGCCGTTTGAACCCCAGGTAATGCGTGATGATCCAGGATCGCCTGGATCCCGGCATCTTGTAGCCAGCCCAAGCCCCGACGCTAGCACACATGCTCGTGTTTAACCAGAGGATTAAACTACAGCAGAGCTTCTCACCAAATAATCAAGACCGCCCCGAGGGTATGATTCGTGCGACCTATCGACTAAAGCCTCCACGATCCAATATCCCAGCTATGAATGAACGCGTTGCACAACACATTCAAGTTTGCATGGGATAAAGCAGATCAAACCGTCCAACGTTAGTTTAGCCAAGTTTGCAGTGCACCTTAGAATCGACTCACAGGAATCCTGACGGTGTTGATACCGGCCGCCTTCAGTGCATTGACATCGTCCTGCGTAAACCATGTGTCCCAATGTTGAGCAAATTTAGTGTCGACGGTGTCGGGATACGCCTTTGCAAATGACCTGGATTATCACAGAGCAAATTGAATTTCACATAAAGACAGTATAGGACTGGAACGTACGACTCGGATGCAATGCATGTCGAACAAACAGCGCATGATTGCCCACCCATATCCAACCACTCTAAAGAAACTTGTTCAGTGGACGCGTATTTGCAAAGTTCGTTGGTTTATCACCTTGAGGAAGCATCCATGGCTCTAGGACTAACCTGCACTACTACTTGAGTTAAATAGTCGGTCAGAAGCGTAGAGCGGCGCTTACCATGACCCCAAATTAACACCATAAATCTGAGTTGGTTGCCCAGCCCACGCACGGGCAACAAGCGTGCTCGAGAGCACCAAACCTGCCAGGATATGTCTCATTATACAGTTATTAGTCCGAGAGAGAGAAAATGAACCAGGGTCGAAAACCAGCTTCAAAATTTATATCTGGTCCAGCCCGACGTGGCAAGTCAGAGCAGGCCATACAGGTGTGACTCTGAAAACGCATGGTCATTAATTCCTCTGAGAAAATCCTTGAAACTCCTTATTGTATACCCGTCACGTGTCTTGGCGAGGCGATGGAAACCGTCCCGACCTTCGCGTAAAACATAGCCCGACTCACTGCTCCTCACGCCTAATAGACGTGCGATAGTGACATGACCAACTCTGAGTGGGGGCAGCCACAGCATGCCACATGTATGGTGTTTCCTGCAAAAGTCAGTTGAGCTAGCGAGATATTGACTGTACCTGGCTTCCTCTGCCCTGAATTTCCATTCTCCGAGCCATCCTTAAAACGACGCGATCCCGCACATGCCTGTATTAGTCTATATCTCCATATCGACGTTACAGCCATTTGCAGAACGTTAGGCCAGTCCCAAAACAGACAAACATAAATCGGCAAGCCAAATTGAAGTCAAGCCATGAACTTTCAAATGTCAGCTTCCGACAATCAACTGCATTGCGTGCATGGTACCATCAGATGTTACAGGGCATTGTGACATACCCGGAGTCCAAACATTCGTGGTATCCGATCGTTGCAAGTCTGTCCTGTTTGAATTTTGACGACGGAATTATTGGCCTAGTGTTTTGCGAACGATTGTAAGCACGACAATACTATTGCCATATTCTCAGCAACCAAAACAAAATTAATAGAGCCTCACAATTTATGTCAACTTTGTTGGTGTCCGAGCATAGATGTCCCCCCACCAGATCTCGTATCCGGGAAGAGAGTAGCAGATGTCGAATCCAAGTAAGCACTAGCTCTGGGTGATCCACAAAAAAGGGTGAATAATAAGTATTAAATGTCCAGCGACCCTATATATGCAGACGGTAACACTGCGGTGCTGCCAGGATATTATACATATGCAATCAATAACTGGATGTGTCCGAGACCCAGTAACCTACGCGTGATCTCATGACCAGCTCAAAACCACGGATGACAATCCCCCCCGTCCCATCGATACATCTGAGTAGCATCGCCCACAACAACCACAGCTCTCGCCATCCACGCCCCATCGTACACCTTTTCGATCCACCACCGGAGTACAGGATGGCGCATGAACCATTTGAAGTATACATAGTATCTATGAAACGATGATGGATAAACCACACTCCTGACAATGTGCTGGGTGACATACCTCCATCTGTACGCGGTGATTACCCTCGGGTTTACGTATATGCGCTGTAGATTGAACTGTCGTCTCAGGTCATATGGGAGTAAGAAGCTTTCTGACGAGAAACATTCTCCTGATGCAGACGGGCGGAACTTTATTGGGGGTGTCAGAGCGGGGCTGGGACCGCGCATGGAGGGATCTTGTGCTGCTGGATGTGTCGAGGGCAATTCGTATGGTAAAGGGTCGGTAGAAAGGGTGCGGTTGGAGCGCAAGGGTATGGGAATGAGAGGATCGGCAGCAAAGACGACGATACCGTTCCAGCATGAAAATACGGGCGCGGGAGAGTCTGTCTGCATCGCGCGATAGTCGGCTTCGTCGAAGAAATATGGCCATCTTCGATTCGAATTAGACATGGCTTCATGAATTTAAAGTGCGCACTCACATTCCACTGGTGAGCTTTGCTTGTCGATCTCGGAGAACCCACATATCATATGCACTTTGAGATGTTAAAATGATGGGTATGGAGGCGGAGCTGAATGAACACACCCGAAATGCCCAAAATCTAGACTGCATGCCATGTCATAGTTTCCATCATTCGTCTCCAGTAACTCCACTAAGGTTTCGGGCTCAATAAATATGTCATTCGAGAAGACGACTTTATCGTATCCTCCTTCCATTAGGGGCTCGAGTGCGCGGTTACGGGTTGCGGCCAAGAATTCGATGCGCTCGTTCCCACCCAAATAGTCTGGTCTGGTTATGGTCTCATCTCCTGTGAGTATGCGCCGGGACACGCTCATGAGTGCAAGATCTGCATCTAGTTTTTGAAGAAGCTCAGGTGAGGTGTCGGTACTGTGACTCTCGACGATAGAGACGAACACGTTGTCTGGACCGAGATAGTGGATAGCTTTGATGAGAGAGTTGTGCCAGTAGGGTATGACTAGTTCATTGTTGTAGAATATGGCAGCGATGAATATTTTATCTGAAAATGCATGAGCTAGCTTCGAATCCACAGATTCGAAGAAGCTCGCCTTGTTTTCCGTAGCCTTGTCTTAACGGATGTGCAACGGCGGACTGGACTACATCTCTGTAACGCACGTCACCAGGCTGTTCATAATGAACTCCGACCCAGGTGCTTGCGCAAAACAGGATGGTATATGTTAGAAACCGTATCCACCATAATTTATGGTGCGCCACCAGGTGCGGAGTCGGAGACACAGGTCTAGAAGAGCGCTCACTACTATCTTCAGCTGTTTCCAGCAACGCATGTTCTTCGTCGGCAACGTCGAATGGGCTATCGATAGTGCCTCGCTGGAGCATGAGATATCTATGCTGGGAAGTACTTATGCCTCCATTCTGTCTGTTTGAGAGTAATGGAAGCAGAAGTCGAGATAGTTGAACGAAGGTGAATGTAGGCACTACGAAGAGGAGCATGAGCAGGAATCTCCATGTGGCAGGGAAAGCGGGTAGCCATCCAGTGAGAGCGGTGAAAAATGATATGGAGAAGATTATTTCTGTTGCTATATAAATTGCGAGGAAGATGGAGAAGGATAGGAGAGTAGGATTGCGTTTTATTGGGAGAAGGACTCGAGTGATGAAGTTGTAGATATTTAGTTTTCTGAGAAGACGTGCGGTGTAAGGGAGAAAAGGCATGGGGGTTGAAACTGGAGCATCGCGGGTATAGCGTATTAGAAGAAGGGTTCCAATATTGTCGTTAACGGAGTACTGACTCCGAACCGAGAAAGCACTGTCACCGTGTAGACGCCGAACTGCGGTTTATTCTTAGATACTCCACAATCACACCAGTGACATCTACTGGACACAGTCGTATTCTCAACTCCAGCTCTCCGGACTGACCAGAATCGGATTGGCCACTATTCCGAGCTCCTCTTCCCTTCATCATCATCTTCGTGCTAGTACTCAGATCACCGCTTCTCTTCTCCCTTCCGCCTAATGAATATCACATCCGTGCGCTACTCGTCATCAACCTCACTCGTCTTCAATTGTTGTTACTTTTCCCTCTGTAGTATTGTCGTCCAATTTTCAGCTTGTTCCCAGGCGTACTGGTAATCTGCTCACATTCGACTCATCAGCGAGTGATGTTCGCGACAAAAATGGACTCGATACGCCGCAGCACTCCCATGGAGCTACTGTAGGGAGCAGAACTTGTAAAACTGGTTGTTTTGCCGGGACAGCAGAGCTCTGATTATGTATATGGTATTCCTAACGACTCTGACATTAATGTTGCCTCGACCAATCCGTCATCCTTTCCATTGTAATTAATCATCTCAACCTCATCTAGAATGGCCTGTGGAATTTACCTTGTTCGACCCGATCCAACTCGCCAAAATCAAAAGCATTTATTTCCCTCGAGCACTTCAACTTCACCCAAGCTCTCGTCTTCTTCAACTCCTTGAAAGCTGCGAATTCAGCAATGTCGTCAGGCAAGATACTCTAGACTAGCAAGAAGATCATCTGCATCACGAGGCTCGGTCGAGAGCGGAGGTGCCCACACGAAGGATACTTCATGATCCTGTGCACGGTTTTTCTTTTCCCTCACTGTCGCATCTATTTCAGATCGTCCACCTGTCCTTGAAAACCTGTAGTGCAGGTATTTATCTGCCTGCCTTAGCAGCCTTCCCAGTGTACGCTCTTCGGAGACATCCCCAGTTTAACCCCCCCAGAATGTGCACACTACATTCTCCCTCCGGAAACAAAGGAGGACTGTAAGAGAGTGTCCGATCAATGCAATGCATTTGTCTAACGACTCCCCGTGTAGTGGAATTTGCGGACCTTCCCATCATCGATCTTTCAAAAGCACAGACACCCAAAGGACGTGCAGAGCTCTATCCGCACCTTCGAGATGCATTACGCACCCATAGTTTTCTCTACGTCATCAATCATGGTTATACTCAAGCTCAGGTACAACTCGTCTTGTCATTCATGTTCAAAGGTCTCTGAATCGATGTTGTAGCGTGACAGGATCTTTGACATAGCTGGTGTGCCTTTCAATGACGTCTCTCCAGATGAAAAGAAGACATACACCGCCGATGTCGAGGAAGTCGGGTCTTATGCAGGTTATAAACCCCATCAATTCTGGGTGCGTCCTATTCCGCAAGGGACAACACTTACGAAGCTTATTGCTCTCATTCAGAAAGTCGACACGGATAATCAAATTCGCGATCAGATTGAGAATTATGCAAGTACGTGTTACAAATGCTCGTGTGATCGATGCTTTTTATGCTTCGGCAGTAAACCTCAATGTCACAAAACGTCCCCATCCTACGGCCCTGCGCCCCTTCCTTCCAGAACTCGATGATTTTGCTCGCCATAATCATTTTAATATTCTCCATCCGATCCTTCGGTCAATCCTGCCGCGGGTCCCTCGTCGATGTTTCAGCTTACAAGCACCATCATATGGCTTGATTGCGTTAAGGCTCGAGCTGCCCGAGGAAGTTCTAGTGGAAAAACACAATTTTGACCGAACAGGAGGTTTCTCTTTCTTCTCCTGTATCTAGTCCTAAACTTATGAGCACATTCACAGTCACATTCATGAAATAGTGAAGGCCCTTTCTTCCCAACTACTTATTAACTCGTGTACTCCCGCTAAGCTATAGACGCTCAAATGATGAAGAGGAGAGATCAAAGAATGTCTGGTTAAAGGGGCACACAGGTACACTTGATGCATCTTTTGCTTTTTACTTGTCTCCTGAATCGCGCAGACACTGGCAGCATCACCATTCTGTGGAGTCAGCCTATCGGGGGCCTACAGATTATGGCTCCTGACGGCAGATGGAAATGGGTCCGACACATTGACGATGGTTTGGTACGCCCGTAAACAATACCATGATATCTGAGAAGCTGATATCCCGCCACAGGTCATCAACACAGGTGACATGACGACATTTCTTACGAGTGGATACTACAAGTCCACGATCCGCCGTGTCATCCAGCCCCCTTCGGACTAACGTACCTACGACCGTCTGGGTGCATACTACTTCGCGATGCCAGACAACGACGTTTGCTTGTTGCCGTGTGCTGAAAGTCCTGTGTTAAAACGCGTTGGGATTGAGCGCCAGTGTCTCGACGAAGATTCGCCATCGTGCGAGACGTGGAGGAAGGGAAGGACGATGGCGTATGGGAGGTCTGACCTTGAGAAGGGGGTGCAACATGGTGTTAAGGAGGAAGTTATCGAGGGGATTGTGGTGAAGCATTATAACTGAGTACTGAAGAGCGGCGGAATGTTTGTTATGCATTGTTATTATGTTTGGCTGACTCTTTGTATAGTTTAGCAGTATCGGATACTGATATTTGTAGGGTTGCGCGGATGTCGTTCGCACACGAGGTTCTGAGTTGTGTAAATAAGATGGAGAAGGAGAGATCAGTAGGTTTGCACTTTATCTTTAGAGAAAGGCAACTAATGGAGTACTGATTCCGAGCCGAGGTCCGAGAAAGCCCATCTGTCACCGTGTAGACGTTGAACTGCGGTTTATTCTCAGACACTCGTGAGTACACGGTACTAACCACCACATACAGTTTATATCCAGAATCAGATTGGTAACTATTCCGAGCTCTTATGACACTCGTTATATATTACTCGGGGTACTAACAGTTCAATGGCAGTACCGTCGACCTTCACTTTTGGGCACAGTATATTTCATTCAGTGAATACTTGACACCGATCTCAGTGTAAGTATTCTAAACTGCAGCTCTCCTAGTACTTGAAACTGACCAGTAATATCCAGGAATTGGATTGGCCACTATTCCATCCTCCCTCTCTTCCCTCCGAGGCATTATCATTGTCATGGTGCTAGTACTCATAACCGCTACTTACCTCGTTCCTCTTCTCGCCCCCGTCTAATGGACTCGGATATCACGTCCGTGCGCCTTGCTCCCCTCCCCATCAACCATACCTCACTCACTCAACCTCAATTGTACTAATAAACTATTCTTTTTCCTTCTGTGTAGTGCTGTCGTCGATTATTCAATGTGTTCAGAGGCGTAACCTGCTTACATTGGACACCTCAGCAGGTGCCGGTGATGTTCGGGACAAAAATGGACTCGATAGGTTGAAGCACTCTCATGCAACCCATGACCGTAACTCACGGTGCCACATTTATTTCAAATCACTTATCTATTCCTTCTATCTTCGAAAATTTGTAGTGTGAGTATTTATCTATCTGCCTTAGCAGCCCCACCCCCAGTACTGTGGACTCTCCTCCAAGATATGCCCAGTTTAACCCTGCCAGAATGTGCACACTACATCCCCCCTCCAGAAACAAAGGAGGACTGTAAGAGTGTCCGATCAATGCAATGCATTTGTCTAACGACTCCCCGTGTAGTGGAATTTGTGGACCTACCCATCATCGATCTTTCCAAAGTCCATACACCCGAAGGACGCACAGAGCTCTATCCGCAGCTTCGAGATGCACTACTCACCCATGGCTTTCTCTGCGCCATCAATCATGGTTATACTCAAGCTCAGGTCCGCCTCGTTCTCTTCACTCATGTTCAAAGGTCTCTGAATCAATGTTATAGCGTGACAGGATCTTTGACATAGCTGGTGTGCCTTTCAATGACGTCTCTCCAGATGAAAAGAAGACATACACCGCCGATGTCGAGAAAGTCGGGTACTATGCAGGCTATAAACCTCGTCAATTCTGGGTGTGTCATATTCCACAAGGGACAACATTTACGAAGCTTATTGCTCTCGTTCAGAAAGTCGACACGGATAATCAAATTCTCGATCAGATTGAGCACTATGCAAGTACGTGTTACAAATGCTCGTGTGATCGATGCTTTTATACTTCGGCAGTAAACCTCAATGTCACAAAACGTCCCCATCCTACGGCCCTGCGCCCCTTCCTTCCAGAACTCGATGATTTTGCTCGCCATAATCACTTCAATATTCTCCACCCGATCCTTTGGTCAGTTCTGTCCGAGTCCTTTTTGATGTCTCAGCTTATGAGCGCTATCATACAGCTTGATTGCATTGAGCCTCGAGCTCCCTGAGGAAACTTTGGTGGACAAACATAACTTTGACCGAACGGGAGAAACCTCTGGTTGGTCTTGCTTCTCATGTATCCAGTCCAAGATTGTTGAGTATATTCGCAGTCAGGTTCATGAAATAGTAAGGCTCTTTCTTTGCGACGGCTTCTTAACTTATGGACTCCCGCCAAGCTATAGGCGCTCGAATGACGAAGAAGAGAAATCAAAGAATGTCTGGTTGAAGGGGCACACAGGTACGTTTAATGCATCATTTACTTTATACTTGTCTCCTGAATCACGCAGACATTGGCAGCATTACCATTCTATGGAGTCAGCCTATCGGGGGGTTGCAAATTATGGCTCCCGACGGCAAATGGAAATGGGTCAGACACATTGACAATGGTTTGGTACGCCCGTAAAAAACTACCATGATATCTGCGAAGCTGATAATCCGCCACAGGTCATCAACACAGGCGACATGATGACATTCTTCACAGGTGGATACTACAAACCCACGATCCACCGTGTCATCCAGCCCCCCTCGGACCAACGCGCCTACGACCGTCTAGGGGCATACTACTTCGCGATGCCAGACAACGACATTCGCTTGCTGCCATGTGCTGAGAGCCCTGTGTTAAAGCGCGTTGGTATCGAACGTCAGTGTCTTGACGAGGATTCGCCATCGTGCGAGACGTGGAGGAAGGGAAGGACGACGGCGTATGGGAGGTCTGATCTTAAGAAGGGCGTGGAACGTGGTGTCGAGGAGGAAGTTATTGAGGGGATTGTGGTGAAGCATTATAACTGAGTACTGAAGAGCGGCAGAATGTTTATGCATTATTGTTACGATTGGCTGAATTTGTGTGATTTAGTAGTATCGTCAGATAATAGTGATTTCACAGCTGCGTGGACATCATTCGCACACGGGTTCTTTGTCAAATATACTCCACTGTGCTCTCACGAACAATTAATAGGTCAGTTCTATCCTCGGCCAGGTGTGGAGATAAACAGCGATCTCGTGATAGCACGCCCATTTCCTTCCAGTGTCGCACGAAGACTCCCTGCTATGGGGTGCCCTGCGCACGTCATCCGTCCAGCAGTGTCCATGGCATAGCATAGATAGGAGCTAGGCTCGGAGGACGGCTGATGAGAGACGTCGGTAGGCTAGGATTCAGAACTTCAGAAGACAGGTACATGCACCCCAAGCAATGATTCAAGTTTCAACATTTCCGATGAAAACTTACCGCAGTTCGTTATATCTTTTCAGTGCCAGGCCATGCTTTCGAAAGATATTGATAGTCCCTCTGTACATTCGCCTGGTATCACGATCACGAGCTTGCCAGTTTCAACCAGTTGGTCTGAGAATCAAGCTTTATGTAGATTCCTTGTTGGTGCAACAGCAGAAAACAACGGAACATCATAGAACTAGATAGACACCTAACGTGGCATGGTGGTTTTGAGTGGAAACTTCAAGAAAGCCACGAACGGGTCATGCTGACATATTCCCACGGGTTTCTTGACAAGTCGACCACTACAGCGAGCGCAGCTGTGACTGCCACGTCTGCTATATCATCTACTGTTCACTGGTTAAGCAGCACAGAGCATGATGCTGGGAGGGTCGAATGGCACGGCGTGGTTCAGGGCATCGAAGCTAGAAATGCTTACACAAAATGCCTGCGATCCGACACTTCATGAGCCCAACTATGCCATTCACCTTGAGATCGCTGAATTAATCAACACCAAGAAAGCTAATACGTCTGTCAATCCTGCTCTTGCAATCTCTAATTCTGACATTGAATTAGCCCTCGTGAGGCAGCGATGCTCATAGCACGTCTAGCAAACCACCGAAACCCGCATATCGCCATCCTCGCACTCGCGCTACTCGACACCCTCGTCCAATCGTGCGGCTACCCATTTCACCTCCAGATTTCAACCAAAGAGTTCCTGAACGAGCTCGTTCGTCGATTCCCTGAACGCCCACCTCCCTTCCCTGGCCCAGTCATGTCACGGATTCTAGAGCTCATCCATCGATGGAAGGAGGGTATCTGCTCTGAGTCACGCTGGAAGGAGGACTTGGGGAATATCAAGGATATGCACCGGCTTCTTACATTCAAAGGGTACCGCTTTAGGGAGATTCCCCGCCGCGTGGATGCACCCCCGACGATGGTGAGTTCGTCTGTGGTTCATGTCTGTCTCATGCATTTATACGACAGCGTAGAATATTAAATCTGCCGACGAGCTTGAGTCGGAAGATCGAGAAGCACAGTCTGCTAAACTGCAGGAACTTATACGGAGAGGTACCCCGCGGGACCTGGTAGTTGCGCAAGAGCTCATGAAGTCTCTCGCTGGTGCGAACCCCGAAGCAAAACCCGACTACCACTCTCAAGCTATGACGGAGCTCGATAAACTCGAGAGTAAAGTCATTCTACTCAACGAGATGCTCGATAACGTCGATACTGCGCAAGGGGAGAAGTTTGCATCGGGAGACGCGTATGACGTGCGTCGATATTCTACTTGGAAAGTTGTTTAGGTTTCTCACTTGTTGTAATAGCAAGTCGCGTCGATATTGGGATCTGCCCGTCCGAAGCTCCAAAAATGGGTCTCGGACGCAGAAACAGACGACCCTGAGTCATTAGGTACATTCGTTCCTCTATTCTTCGACGTAACTCTTATATACTTCTCAGACGCCTTCCTCCAAATCAACGACCGAATCAATAACGTCATCACACGCTTCGAGGCCTTCAAGAAAGGCGACTACAGCATATCCGCCGTCCCCGCTGAGCTTGCCCAAACCGAGGGATCCCTCATTAATTTCGATGATACCTCGTATTCATCATCACAAGTCGCACCAGCAAATGATCTAGCTTCATTATTTGCCTCGCCGCCACAACCCCAATCTTATGCCCGACCATCAAGTGCTAGCGCAATGTTCGCCTCACAACTCAGCGCCTCCTTGACGAACAACGCTTCTTCCTCCACTTCATCACCCGTTCTGAATGCCCCCTCACCACAGCCTCAGTTCGGGTCTATCATGCTCGCGCCTACCCCACCGCGGGTAACGTCGCCCAGTTATATCGGGGGCAATAACGGAGGTACGAGCCCTCCGAATTCAAACTCGACGTTGGGAATGGGTCTTCCTGGATTGGGTATGAGTAGGCCACCAGCGATGGGTATGAGTACGGTGCAAAATGGAGGTTTGGGCATTCCTATGAGCACACCGGGATCGAGGGTGAGTATGGGCGCGATGATGGGGCAGACGCAACCTACCTCGACGCCACCGACGCAGCAGGGGAAGGATCCGTTTGCAGATCTGGCGGGGTTATTTTAGGTACACGGTTGCGCTTGTGCTTTACATGGGTGAGGTGATCGATGTATATCTTGCTCGAATACGGATGTTGTGCGGTTTTGGATCTTGTTGTTCTCGGAGGCAAATATAACTTAAATTGTTATTGCTCGACGTCTGCCTAATTTTGAGAACGATGACTGCTTGCTGGTAACTTTGCAGTGTTGGGAGTTAGTACTATATGCTCAGTATTCCCGAGCGGTACTTGATTTGCGTGCGAAACTTGCCAGGGTGTGTGACTCTTGAGTCAACGATTCGGCCTTTTCTACTTGTCTACATTCTTCAATACCGTTTGCAATGACGGCGGCCTAAATATCTAATGCAGAAATCGTTATGTCCATATAATAAGTTCTGCACAAGATATTTAAACCTTATTGCACAGATTGCGGGCGGGTCTCTGCGACAAAGACATTGAAACCAGGCTGTCGGTGTCAAGAAACTAACTCGACATCTTGAAACTTGGTGTCATCGTCAGTTCTTTACTCAATTCTGTACGTCGAGTTAACATCCATCGATGCATCTCTAGCATAAACCGCAACCCCGGTGTCCACTCGATGCTGAATCCATGACGTGCTAGTTGTCACCTGCGCGGCTGAGCCCAATCCTTATCGTCCGCCAAGATTGGACCACAGGCATCTACATATGTCACGCCCGCCATTGATTAGTGTTTGCTAATGGAATTCTCTTCGTAGCATTGCGTATAACGAATAAAAGCCTTCGAACGGATGCGGAAGCTTTGACAATGCATTCGTGCTTTGTCGTGGCTCACGTCCACTAGAGTCCCAACAAAGCGTTTATGTATGAACCCCACAAGCGTCTGTCCACCGCAAAGCACAATGCCACTTCCACCTCTGGGATCGTATATAGTCCAGCCCGAATGTCTACCTGTTATCATCATTACCCCAAGGAGAATCAGCCATTCACCTCAGACAAAATTCAGTAGCACCCGTGCTCATATTCCTCTATAACCAACTTTCAAATGTCTCCTACTAAGGTGAACCTAATCACGAGCATACCTCATGCACTAAGACTGAGTCTGGAAATGTATAGGTCTACGTTTGCTCTCAGGCGAAGTGCGGCGAAACTTTCACCAAGTTTACAGAGTTCAAGAGGCACGAGGCTGGGCATGCGGAAAAGTACGTGTTTAACCTATATGCTAGACTGGTCGTTCACATGAGCCCGTATCCAGTGTGTACACCTGCACCTTTCCCGGATGTGACTTTGCGACGCTGATAAAAAGGAGCTTCGATATCCACTCTGCCAGACAGTACGTGCTCGTGCATTATTGTCAACCAGTTCATCTGATTAACAATTTTAGTACTGGTGAGCAACGCTATGGCTGCCCTCATGATTGCACCTTCAAGACCCACGATCCCTCCGCCCTGACGCGTCATCGCAAAACAAAACATGGGTATGTTCCTTCTCCGCGTAGCGGACGCGGCGGCGGTCGTATTGTTGCCCCCTCCACATCAAACAGGACCCCATCGTCCCAGCCCTCTGCTTCGTCTTACCGATCCCATCCTCACAGCCAAGACCCGTCGTTGGTCTTCTATGACCCAGTGGATACTGAGGACGACTTTACCATGTTTAGTGAGTCCGTGAGGACGGCCAATGGGTGGACTGAGGGTTGCATGTGCCCCGAATTGATGCAAAGACGCCCTTCGGAGATGCTGGGTTATGCATACAGGCAATATTAGTTTGCATAAACTCAAGGTGACTTGTGTTTGTCGTTTGTAGGACCCTCCTCTCGTTATAGCCATCTATCTACCATTTTTCACTTAAAAGCACTTTACGATATTGTCTAAAGGCCAATATACTCTTTCATAAATGTACAAGTAGTAATACGCTCTTTTGTAAATCATGATCCCCTATGGGCCCCTGTTTTCGGGGTCCTTCCATGACACCAAAGGACTTGCTTTCCTACTTTTTTTCCGCAACTAGAGGGGCATGAGCGCGTCCGAATCAAACACAACCAGCTCTGCAGTGCCTGACTCCGACTCCACCTTCGTCCCTCAGCCTTCATCTTACAATGATTGCATGACTTGTCGCGTCATAGGAAGCGGCGCGTTCGCTGCCACTGGCATCTATGCACTGAGGATGGCCCGTCCCAGTGCACCGGGGAGCATAGTTGGCAAAAGGATCGTGGGTGGGCTGGGAGTTTGTGAGATGTTTGTTTTAACTCTTGTAATCCGCTGACGCTGGGCCAAGGTTTTTTAGTGGGGAGCGCGCTGAGGTGGCGAATGTGAAGCTAGATTGGAGAACTCATTCATTGTTGGCTACACTGTGGCAGTACATGCTGGATATGATAGCCTGACTTCCTGCACGAACACTACCAGATGAGCGAACAACTGATTGTTCACCAAACGACGGTCAACTCTAGCTTAGTCTTCGACTCTCGCTATTAGGATTGCCTGTGTGACTGGCTCCATGTAAACCCTGGAAAATGGGAGTGGAGCGGCTTATTGTGGCCTCCCGAATACTCTTTTCGAAGACCAAGCCTCGGTGGTATGGTACGAGATCTAGTCTTGTGGTGTCGACCAGCTGGCATTGCTCATCACAACGTGACAAATGTCGCAAGAAGTTTAACGTGGCACAGGTTCATTTCCACACGTCTTTAGCTGATTGGAATACTTTGGTTCCTGTTTTAAAAATGCCACGCGATCCTGCGATACACCTCATGATACGGTGTTATCCCCGGTACCTTCCGCTTTACCGGGTCTTCTCGTCCCAGTGAACGCATTTCGAGCATCTACGACGACTGCCTTTCTGGAACTGACTTTCGCTCGTCTTATCGCACTGGCATTACGTAGTTCGATAATAGCGATCCGCCCCTTCTCTGTGATTCTCGAAACATTCAACTTTTGCAGCTAGCAGTTTCTCATTCTCGACCCTTCTCAGCCTGTAAGGAAGCACCTCATCACTCTGGATGTCAGGCCAGCAGGGAGCATCCTGGAGGTCCCTGGTAGCACAGACCTTCTGTACAGCATGAGCTCGAGAGATCTCCCCTGCCATGTCCTCACTCAGTCCTATCATGTGTGATCCACGGCATGTACTCGGTTCAGGCTGTATCATAAGCTCCGAGTCGAGTCGTGCCCCACTCAACACGAGTAGAATATGCTAGGATAGTGCATGCACAATTAATCTGCTGCACTTCTGGAAGCGCCGCTCGCTTGATGAATGGCGGAATGTTTCGTAATACGGTTCCTCGACATCTTTTGGACATCGCGATTCAGAATATGCAATTACGAATGCGCATATGTCAAAATCAAGAATTGTCGTAAGTCCGTGATACCTATACCAAGGGAAAGCTGCTACGTTAGCAACAGAACTGGTCTCGTACGTGGCAGCATCAGAGCCTTGGTGCTCGCCATACATCCACGAATGTTCAATCAATACTCATCGCTCTACCTTTCACGATCGCCACTGCTTTGTCAGATACTGGTTCAATGTCGACTTCGAATGGATATGGAAAACTTGATCGGCAAAATCGTGAGTGCTCTTCCTGTTTACTATTCGTTGGCACGCACCTGGCCAGGCCTGCGGGTATATACGGAGGATTAAATGGTTTTTCCACGCCATTGCTATCCTTGGGTTTCGAAATCCGTACGGTCGCCACCATACTGGTTACAAGTATGAACACAGAGTTATCTGCTAAAAAGCGCCCTGGGCACATCCTGGGCGCGTGTCAACAAAATTCATTAGGTGTTGTAACGCACACTTACCTCCTGCCGAAGCCAAATGCATAACTGAAAGGATCAATGGCCGTTTTCTTTACGTGGGTATCAAGAAAGCGCTCTGGAGAAAATGCTTCTGGATCTATGCCACTATCCTGGTCCCGGCTGAGCAACCTATATTGCAAGATAAGCACATTCCGTGGGTACGTTTTTCCTACTCACCAGACATTAGACATAATAATGGTGCCTTTCGGTATGTAGTACCCTGCTCAAGAGGTCAAGAAGTGTTCCTCGCCGCTCATGATTGAAAAAACCTCTATAGACATCGGCATCTTGTAATTTCCTTGGTGCACCCAACGGTGTGTTGGGCTTCCAGCGGTATATCTCCTTAATTGCCGCATTAATATATGGCAGCCGTTCCCGGTCAGCAAAAGACGGCAGGCGGTCAGTCCCTACGACTCTGTGTATCTCCTCACGCATGCGGGTCTGGACCTCTGGGAAGCACGCCATAGCATGCATGAAGACCAGCATTGTTCCACTTGTCTTTGGCACGGTCAGATAGATACATATCACGGAGTTGTGGAGTATTCACTGTGTCATTTCCGGCTTGCAGTCGGATAACGATGTCATCCCTCTTTTCAGTCAATGGGGTAAAAACGTACCTTCATATATTGACCACGCTACCCAAGGGAGCTGCTGTTTTATCACTTCATCGCCCCCGCTTTCCCTTAAATGATCCGAAACAAACGAAGCTGGAGATGCTCCTTGTTTCATATCCTGTTCTACCTGCTCTATCGGATGGTGCACGATATCAGACACTCGCTGCCGCCCCCTCTCAGCTGTTCGCCGTATGCTGTTAAATGGGACCCAGGATGGCAGATACCATACTACATCACTTTCAGCTTAGTTGTCCGCCAGGATGAAAACTACCTTACATTGAGGAATCATATCAACCAGATAGGCCCCCGGAACCACGCCCTTCAGTACGATTCGCTCCGTTTCGGCAAATTCGTCGAAGTACTGCAGTCCCAGTTCAGAAGGATTGGAGCTGATGACCAAGGTTTCACTCACCACATTGCTTGGGGTATCGATAGAAAACCCATAGGTTACGGAAGCAATGATATGAGCCGTGGCCCTTGGTAATACTAGGTCAGGAGGACAATATGGGGCTGATGAGCAGCTGGTCTCACATATGCAGATGCTTCATGGCTTCTGAAGGATATTCCACTAAATCCCTCAAAAATCTGGCGGTAACATTCTCCTGCAGCGAATGATACTTCTTGACGGCTTCCTGGTTAACGGTTCCATGTATGAGCTTCCGTCCTTGCCTCCAATATGGACCATAGGGAGCGAACGACAAATTCTGTCCGATTTCGGTTTGTTTCAGCTAGCTATAAAGCGCGCCGTCACATAGTACTCACGTTCTCAATCCCCATGTATTTTGCCATCACAAACGATGGTCTATCGGAATACTTCTGCGATCTCTTCTCAAGAAGCTCGCGCATACTTTCCATGTCGTTTAGGATGAGAAATTTGTTCCCGAGGACTGTCAGGTATACGAGGTCGCCTGCTTTCACCATTGAATATACCTCCAAAGGTACGGCATTTTAGGACAGACCATAGAGCTTTCTCCATTGTGAGAATTTTTTCCATGACATTATCTTGGGGACGTCGAGATAATTTCCTATCAACGGTTTCGGTGGTGGGCCAGGTGGTAGCAACTGTGATCTATTCTGGCGACGCAAGCGATGCCATATCACCCCCAGGACGAGGATGAACGACGAGTACACAAGCCAGTCCGAAGCATTTAAAGCCATGTAGCGGGGCAGTCGATTACCGTACCTACGAACCTTCGTAATTCGCGCTTTTGTGTAGTATATTTGGCTGACTCTCCTCTTTTTATCTGCCAATGAACGCTTCCTGATACGGTCTAGGTCTCGTGTTCTAGCAAATGACGCCTTCGAGCCTACTTGGCATTCCTAACGGACGTTACTGTGATGCCGAACCCCGCAAAACTTTGAAAAATATAGAATTTCAAGAATAGGTCATAGAGGCTTCATGGTGAGAAATCGCCAAACCAATGACCTAATGGCAATATCAAAGTACCTCGGTGTCCCTAGTTGCTTTGAGACATTATGTACTACCCCTGAAACTCTCCAAATGTGACTAGCTCAGCTTAACCATGTCGCCCACTGGTTGGACTCTCCTGTCATCACTGCGGTTATCTCCCTAGCCACAATTCTGTCGGATTGCTGCGATGGGTGAAGTTCGTCATACCTAAGTGACAAGTGAGCTCTAAGTCGTTATTTTTTGGGACCGATCTTTGGACTGACCACAGGAAGCTGTCTGCGTCAGTACCATTGGCGATTGTACAAGCCGGTTCTGCCGTGCTGTCCACGGTGTACACACATGAATGTATGCAGCCCGTTACGTTGTGTGGCGCAGTGCCATTAAAGTAGTTCTGAGGGTTGTTATACATATCGGTGAAAAGCCCGTGGGAGTCAAAAGATGCTGCGTTGTTACGCATCACTGTCAGTGCTTCCTTGAATCAGAACGTAATGTTGACTAACCAATATGAGCATCAGGGAGCGTGGGCACAAGCGCGTCGAGCATGAGGGATGTGATTTCATTCCCTGCACGTACCAGCTCCTTCATATACACGTTCCATTCAGTCGTATTGCGTTCCAAGTCCCAATACGTGTTGGGGTACGAGTAATTAGAGTATAAGATTGTCAGGTCAAGGGGAAGTATCTGTATGCGCGAGGTGAGCTTGAGACACGGTGGCCCAACATTCGTACACTCACATTCTGCATAATGAAGTTCCTAGCACCGCTCTCGTACAAGATCTTCAGGACATCGATAGCGCATTGCCTGACCTCAACAATTGACGTGGCGGGGGCATCGCTTCCGGTAAGCAGCGCGTTGACACCCAGATCGTTGGTTCCAATCCAGATGGTGTATATTGTTTCTTCCGGGTTCAATTCCAGCGTGCCATTATTCGTCTCATTCAGGTAAGCAGGGAGTTGCCAACCTAAGCGGTCACTGCGATCAGGACAGCATTCACAATCCATTTGCGCTTACGCACCCATGATCGGAGGGAAGGGTCTGTAGGTAAGCAGGTTCGAGCATGTTGCACCGGAACGAGCAAATCCATAGAGATTAAGGTCACCATACATCGCCGCCCATGTTGGCCAGGCATAGCCTCCGTCAGCCGTGGGGTAGTACGAGGAATCAGTGTAGGAGTCACCAAAAGTGACAAAGTTTTTGATCTGACCAGGTGCAACACCAACTGCCCAGGATGGGGTGGTGAGTGCCAATAATGCAAACACGAGCTTCACACTTTGTAGGAATGCCATGGAGTAGATGTACTGACTTGTGGATTTCGTGAGGTCATCTTATATTGCGCATAATATCCGATTAACGGAACTCGTATCACAGGGTCATTGCAATAATCCTGACAGCGGAGACCGCGCACACTTACTTTCCGCCACAACGGTCCGCTCACGAGCAGGTCAATGAGATCACGAGGGTGATATTTCACTACAAGAGCAATCATACTTCATCTTCGGCTTTTCTTCGTTCTAATCAGTTAATGCTCGTGACGTAAGGAATGAAGGCCGACCAAAATTCCACGTTCAAGAGAGGGTGGTCATCAGTGTCGCAGTGCTTTGAAATTAGCTCGAACCTGTGAGTTCATGCCCGTAAGTCACACGTCAAGCATGCGTGCGACTATGATTTTATCTGTGAGAACGCGGAATCTTGGTTGAATGCCTTCCGTGTTGAGTAAAAGGAAGACCCCAGAATAATCAGCATCCAGAATATACCAATCATGGTCATTGTACGTGTCTGTAAGTCGATCATACTGAACGAATTGAGCTCGTGGTAAGTTCTAGCAGGTGAGTCGGTACCGTCGGTATCTGGTTCCCGAAGGGACAACAGGGTATCCGTGTGCGGAGGCCAACCCCCGCGGGGAAGAAGACGGGTCGCATAATGATACATAATCAATATTATAGTGTAGGGACGGACATAACGTTCCAGGGGAAATCCACTACCAGCAGCCAATAAAACCTATTTGGTCCAAACCATGGAGATAGCAATAAACAAAGGGGGTTTTGATACTTAAGCTTCAGATCCAGTTGACTCCTTCGTCTGTTCGACATCAATGTGTTCCCACTCTTCTAGAGCTTCAGATTGTACTTGTTCGGAGGGGTCCAAACGGGAAGGCGAGACCAAACGGCATCGCAATGTGCAGATACCCTTCACGATTGTGAAGAGAATGCAGTAACCAACACCCATGCCAATGATGTAAGCGGCTAAAAGTTCGTGCTGTACCGATGGATCAAGGAAACTGTAAGCTAACGGTGGGCGTCAGCAATGTTGTGATCCATGTGAAAATAAACTCACTGTAGAATCCTTGCGTTGCATGTGTTATATACGCAACACCGAGGTAACACGCAAAAAGGAGGAAGCATGGCATGATGTGGCTCCATGGACTAGGACCAGCATTCGTCAGGAGTATCTCAAATAGAATGAAGCTACTATTCATGATATGTTGGGATACGTTGGACCAAGCTAGGAATGGCCTATCATGAGCAACAACGGCCAATATGACTCGGAGTAAACGCCGCCCACACCTGAGTACTGGGTGCTAAAGGTTGACGAAGAAGCAAGTAGAGCCCAAAAAACAACAGTCACGATGATTGCTGCGATATGTTGTTCAAAGTTAGACTGAGAAGCTAAGCATTGAACTCACGAAATATGGTGATGGTGGTGTACAGGAGGACATGCAAGAGTTGTAGGATCCGTGGCCACTTTTGCAAAGGGTATATCTTCTGTCCCCGCAAAACAAATACTATGGTTTGGATGCTAGAGGCCCAGAAGTATGCGACAACGCCGATGTAACTGAGATCGGTGAAGTATGAAAAAAAACTGGAGTAGCAGGACCAGTCGTAAAGTTCTGGATCAGACCATTTGTTGGGCAACGCCAAGTCTGATATTTGCTTACCTGCTACCGTCGTGAAAACGGACAGATTCAAAAACGAGAACGGTAATTGTTGTAACGAGCGAATAGACAGCAAATAGCAGACGAAGTGCGCCGAGACTTGGAGGAGAAAAGAACGGAGATGTTACAAGCCTACAGGCTGGGTCAAAGGGAGCCGAGACGCCAAACCATTCATAAGATAGATAAGATCTCAAACCAGCGAGTCTCATGAATGCCGTCGAAAGAATGTGAAAATAGAGGTGATTGTTGTTGAGTTGAGCCCGGTACAACTCCGATTTGTGGACCCCACTCGGCTATATTAGAACACTTCAGGTTGGCTTCAGGCCCACCACTTGGCAGCGCTCGGACCTCGAGCCTCAGGTTCAAGCAAACCAAGTTTGGGCAGTTGTCTTCCGCTGCTCGATCTGAGATGCCAAATGATACAACAAGTATACATAGGTTAACCAAGATCCCATTGCGATCGCAAGCCAAACAGTAATTAATATGCCTTTTTGCTCAGTTACAGCCCTTCTTTCAATTATCCACCAACTCTCAATCCAACCAGCCCAAGGTCCTAATGGATTGAAGATAAGGACATACGGACACGCTTAACAAAATGCGTACCTGTGCAATGAGACTCTGCGCAATGGGATGAAACTGTGTCTGGGCCTGCCTGAACGTTGATATAGCGAGGTTAGGGTTGGCCTTGAATATCCCCCTAAACACAGGTCTGCAAAACTTCATGCGGCCTTTGATGACGCCCGTGTCATCCGCCCCAATAACCCAATTTGCTGCTCCCTGAACAAAATATATTGCTGCCTGGGACTTAAGTACCAAGGCATAAAATCTGAATCGAATTTCGGTGCTGAGAGTCTCGGAGAAGGTGTACAACTTGTCGAAGTGGAAAAGATGACCCGCAGGAAGAGATTCATTGTAACTCTCCAATCGTTCAAGGAAGACAGCTGCAAGCTCGCTTCTTCAACTGATACAATCAACAAAAACATGTTGGCGCGCACCTCTTTGGTTGGCATCCAGGTTATCCAAATCAGAACTCTCGAAATCTAACTTCGAAATGTCCGTGGTGTGTCGTGATTCATACCATCGGTCAGCAAGCGCATTTGCAGGATTCGCCAGAGTCAAATCATATTCCATCTCAACAGGTAAATGCAGTCCACTTTGATGAAGCCACGCCTGTCGGACAATTTCAGCGGTTACTTTCTTCAACTATCAGTTGTCCGGTCTTACATCCCAGTCAATGCTGTTCAATGCTTTGATTTGTCCCTCGCTGCCATTCTTCTGGAAGTAGGCATAGAGGTGATTCTTCCATGTCTCTGTGGTGATACTGTGACCCATATAAGTAGCGATGTAGTCCTTGACATAGGGTAGAAAGACTTCAAGGCCACCGAGCGTACGCTCTGGGATAATCTAGCTCAATAGACAACTTGACAAAGCAAATACAACTTACCAATGTGCAAGAGGAAATTGGCACCTTTATCGTAAGGCACCCGACTATATGCAGAATCCGGATTCTCTCCATAATCAAAGTCGATAACCAGTTTTTGGTATTTGGGTTTGTCTTCGAAGAACGCGAGGGCATCCAGTAGTGCTTTGTGCCCGATCACAGAAGATAGGCCTCGGTGTGCGGGTGAGTGTATAATCTGCAGTAGCACTCGTTCGACATAAGTTGTCCAGCCTTCGTTGAGCCAGAAGTGAGAAGCGTGAGCGTGCCTAGAGTACCATCAACAAATGTACAAAGGAAAGTCGCAGAAAACTAACGTAACACCATTGCCAAACCATGAATGCGTAAGTTCATGGATTACCACACCTGTCAGAGACCTGTCTCCAGCAAGAAGGGCTGAAAGGGGTTAGCAGTCTGATACAGGCATGCAATATGCTCACTAGGTGTCACAAAGGTCAAACACGGATTTTCCTGGTAGTGATGAGTAGGTGGCTGTATGGAATAACGTGTAACTCACCATGCCGCCATAAGGAAAAGACGGCGGAAGAACAAGGAGGTCATAAACCCCAAATCGGTACGGCCCGGCAAGATTCTCTGCAGCCGCTAGAAAACTGGCATACAATGACACTCGCATTTTTGCGGCGCGGAGGCTTATGCGCATTTACCTGGCAGTATCTCGGCTAAACTCCCAGAACGAACTGTCCATTAGCTCAGGCTCAGACCAAACTCCAGACTTCCATTGTTTTCCATCAGGAACCTGGAACGACCGGTACTGAAAATTTCCAGCGGCGATCGCTAGAAGGTATGATGGAATCGGGGTAGGCTGACGACACCAATGTCTGTCATGAAGCAAGATCGTAATGGTAGGCTGGCGATACATGCCTGGTCGTATGTATACACAACTTCATCCTTGCCGATGATCTTGCCATCATGAGCTGGACCATCTGAGGGCGGAGAAATTCGTCTCGCAGATAGAAGAACCGGAAGCACGGAGCGGACGCTGGCGCTGTACGTCTGATGATTGGAAATCAGTACGACAAGCCCGGGGGTGATCAGCGGAGAACACCCACCAGCTTCACAGACGGAGTATCTTGTACATGCGTGATAAGCTTTTGACAAAGTTGCAGAATCAGATTATTGAGGCATCTCACCTTGCACTGGAGCGAGGTCTCGCGCGTAAATGGGTTGGCACTGACTGAACAGGAACGGGAAGGTTTTACCCTGAGTCTGCCTGAATGAACATGAACAGGTGAGCGAGATTGCGTATATAGTACGTGAAAACCTACTCTTTTGCGAGGAATTGCAAGGCTGTGCCATTCGCAGTCGTCCTGTACGTGATCTCGACCAAGATGCTCGACCCGGCGCTCAAAGTTCGAGGAAGGGGGACATGCAGCGCAGATCCCATCACTTCATGCTTGGGACCAAGTCTGAACTATAGATAATGCAAGCTCAGAAAAGCACGCCAATGAAGAGACAAAGAGCACACGTCTTGGACCGCATCTCCATCAACTTTTACTCCCTCGATGTGCAGATACGAAGTATCGAAGCTGAGGCAGCTCAAAAACCGTGCCAAATAGGTAGATAGACAGTCATTCTCACATCACCTCAGACAAATCATCAATTTTTGCAACGAGTTCATGTGTTGCGGTGCCTGTGATGACCTTGTTGTCGAAATCAATTGTCCAATCAAAGGTGATATGCTTCGTAGCGATCTGCAGATAATTCGATTGAGATGTCGGGTCCGATTCGTGCATTTTTATGTGCTAATGATAAATGGTCCGAAGCTTTGGCGATATGAAATGAAGAAAGAGGATTTCGAATGCTTCTCGTGACACTTGGTATATTATATAAGTATGATCACTTTGTTTGGCAAGAGCTTTAGAAACAAACAACCCCACGTGATCTATTCGCGTCACAAAACACGCTCGAGTATGTTCGTCAATCTTTAACTTAGCAGCTACTAAGGTAGTCTCTCCATCTCATATTTTTCAGCAGGATCTGTCAGCATGGCAACATCTCAAGCGCCAACACGCCAGGCGATTACTCTGAAAGGTTCCACGAATCTTGTCACGGAGTTTTTCAAGTATGCAGCCAACACGTGCGTTATTTTGAGCCACTTTCCGACTGAATAACTTAAGATTTCATGCCTTGAAACAGTATTCTCTTTCAACGTGGAGTATACCCGTCTGATGACTTCCACATGGTAAAGAAGTATGGGCAAACTGTCCTGGTCACTCAGGACTTGGCACTAGAGAACTACCTTGACAGGTGCATCTCATTCGATGTCGATTTTCGTACATTTGCTTACTTTAATTTAAGGATACTGAAGCAAGTCAATAGTAGGTGCCACGCGATTCCTTATACTCGAACTAAGTTGGACTTCAGAGTGGCTACTTACCGGGTCGGTAACGCAACTCGTACTTGCGATCATATCAAAAGATACCAGGCTACCACTTGAGCGATGGGTGTTTGATGTTAATCTCGTTGAACAACCAGCTGATTCTGCCGAACCGTAAGTCTACCGCTGTTTATGACATCCAGTGGGTTGATCCTGCTTCACAAGAACACCTGCAAAACCTGAATCAGAGATCCAAGCCGAGATTCGTTACATCCTCAAACAGATCGTATCGACTGTAACCTTCCTCCCAATTATTGACACGCCGACTGTCTTCAATATCCTTGCATATACGCATGACTCTGCTGACGTGCCTGCCGACGAGTGGGTCGACACTGATCCGCTGGCAATTGAGGCGAGCAAGAGTCAGCAAGTGAAGTTGCGAAGCTTCAGCACTGATGTACACCGAATAGAAGCGATGGTTGCGTATCGTTACGAAGGATAAAACAATTATTTGGACCTTTGTTTTCTCTGTTACAATGATGAACCAAAACTAGTCAATTTCCTCATGGTGAAATGATATGTAATAGTGAATGTGCATGTTTATGAAGGAATGTGTGAAAACAGCGAAAGGAAGAAAAACTGTCTGGCGCCATGACATGATCATGATATCACTTCGTATGGCTCAGACAAAACAAGTAAGCCCCGCGTCGGGGGGTTCTAATGCCGGCTCAAACTTGCCACAAAGTCAGCGACTGCAGTCCAATATCCCTGCTGGACACACGTATCATCTAAATGCCATCATTAAACCCAGTAGTTAGATCACCGAAATAACGTACTGTGATGTCCTCCGTCGAATTCAAGGAATCTCGACTTTCCATTGCCGACTTCCGATATGTCAGATTTGTTTCCAGTACCGCTGGATTTGGTACCCTGGCGTCGCGAAGCAATCTCCCATAACTCTTGCATGTGCTCGCGTGGAACAACTTCATCCCTAACACCGCTCAGCATCAAAATTGGCATCGACCGGGGTATTAGAGGTATTTTCGAAGCCGAGTCCCATTTTTGATGGCAAAGGAATGAAAAAGGGCCAAGAAGAGGAAGAGCTTTGGGTACGAGACGTGGGAGGTTCGTGAATGTGTTCTCCAGGATTAGCGCTGCGATCTGCACGGTCTTAGATTATGATAGAAGCAAAATTGGAATTTAATCGCCTTTGATGAATTTCGACTTGCAAGGTCAATAGCAACAGCACCGCCAATAGATTGGCCGTAAAGGATCTTGATACAAAAGCAAGTTAGTCCAATCCTTCGGAAGTGGCATCAACAATACTTACAACGGGAGTATTATTTAGGCATGGGTGCGAGGCGAGATAGTCGAGCGCCGTTTGCGCATCTATACGTATGCCTAGAAAATGCAGTGAGTAAAGGGAGTAGATTACTGAAGACACGGTGTCTCGCCTGATTCTGATGGAGAACCCTCGGAATGACCATATCTGTTGGCATGAATGAGAAAGGGATTCCCACACTCAAGGTAGACTGGATTGCGAAAGACAAAGAGCGCACCCGCGGTATGAGAGCATGAGTACATTGCAGCGCATTTTGACGTAGAATACTTTTGCGAGAGGTATCCGGTGACCGTGATTTCCGCCGTTACCGTGGAACATCAAAACCGTCGGTCGAGTGGATGCAAACTTGCATTGGACGAACAAATAGAAGAAGCGAATGAGTAAATGCAAAGTGTCAGGATAGCGTAACGTACCTCTTCATGCGTCTGTTTGTCTGCAGTAATCGATGTGTGTAGCGTGGCTGTTGCTTATCTCTGTTCGTTGCATAAGAAGATAGCACCTGTAAAGTAAACCCATCTTCAGTGACAAGGGGTAAATCCTGATATTCAAGTCCAAAATCCGTTGGCACTGGGACCTCTGTTCAAGTTTGGTCAGTTACGTTGGCGTGGAATGTGAAGTGCCCGGTAGATACACACCTGTGCGAGAGCCCGGGGGGAATGCGGATGGGTAAATGAGATAATTCTGTCCGTAGTATAGTAGTCCGCAGCCTAATAAGTCACAATTAAGGTCACTCGAGCACATTATAAATTAGGAGGCGCTAGACCTAGCGTTGCAACACCAGCTACGGTAGCAGCGGTTCCCTGTGGACAATGTATTATGGTCAAGGGATTGCTGAACGTCGTGAAAAGTTATAGAAGCACCTTGGCAAAAGCCTCTAATGATGGCAGCGAAGGCATATGTTCGAGATGAGTCGTGGCCTTCCAGTAACGTCGTCAACGCCACAAGTATTGAAAGATATTTGTGGCTGTTTACCGGAGCTATCATACCCCTTCGAACCACAAAACAACCACCCATCCTACCAATATTGTTCTAACTTCTCTAATATGTCTCATTCACGAAACGCGAGTGACACCAGCGACTTGAGCGAGACCATCAGCGAACCTGAATCCGTCATCAGCTTCAACGAGAGCGTGTATTTCAACATGCAAAACGCTACCGTGTCCACTGCGACATACGTGGGACAGGCTCGGCAGACAATAGGGCAACTAGCGACGAATGAGAATAGATGGATCACAACTCCATCAAGCGTGCACAACGTGGACGCATCCAGGGTTCTAGACGCGATGCTGGGGAACGCTTGCGGGACCGGTGGCGAAACCTCTGAGCGTTACACTGCCTGTGCTATTTGCGCATGTCCGGAGATCCACGACCAAGTCAACCTCGCGAGGACTTGGTTCATGTATCTGCTATGGCCATTCTGTAAAAAAAATTGAAATATCTGCCACGGACACTAACACAATTTTTGACTGGTAGTCACAGCTGGAACCCACTGACCATTGGACCTGATTTCTGAACAGGCCACGCCGACTATTGACGACACCTATGGCAGCCTTGTAAGTGCCAGTCCAGAACGGAACAACAGATTCAGGACAGATGTACGTCCTCCCAGTTGAACAGCGGCTTTGGTGTTAACTTCCAACAGGTTAATCGATGGGACAGCTATAGATGCGTTGTTTCAGGTCTCTGGGATGGACCACACGTGCCCGCTGGTGTCAATCAGGGTTTTGTAACCTTGATAGGAGCGCACATCCTGAAACGGGCTGTCGGGGTTTTCACCATGGACCGGGTAAGGATTTCTCTAGTGGGTTGTCATTAATTCTGACCCTTAAGTTGGATTATATAGGCACATACTGCAGCTGCAACGTGGAATATCATTTGGCATTTATATGGTCAAACTAGAAATAGGTTTCAAACTTGTGAAAATATTTCTTTTGTTGGGCTGGTACATATCATAGCGGGTACCTCTAGGATTGATATGAGCCAAGAATTAAAAAAATTGGCGGTTGGGTTGTGGAGATATGGTCGAAATACTGATATTTTGGCCTACCCACCATATCTCAATATTTCTGACCTCCAGAGGGTATGGGACCATCACCAATTGATTCCTGCACTTGGAAAACCTTAGGACAGTTGTTTATAGTACCGGTCTTAGGCCAAAATGAGGCACAGTGACATATAGGAGGTAGGAGGGGGGAGGGGGACTTTGCACATCTCAAGAACGTGATTTTTTCTAAGAAATCTGGCTCGACCATCGTGTTCAGAGGGTTCAAGAGCCCTCGGGAAAAATGCTTTTGGAGTCCTGGCAAGTCATGGGAAGTCTGTAAAAATCGATCTTTGTAGGGGGTGTCAGCAAAACTGACATATTTCATTTCAGACAGGCTCAAGCCACTCTGAGACCATTCCCAATCGATTTGTATGATCGAAAAACACCAGGCACAGTCTTTTATATATTGGTATTTACATAATATCAAGATATGGGAGGTAGGGGGGGAGGGGGACCTTGCATATCTCAAGAATGCGATTTTTTCTGGGAAATCCAGCTCGACCATCGTGTTAAGAGGGTTCAATAACCCCCAGGAAGAATACTCTGGAGTCCTGGCAAGTCATGGGAAGCCTAGAAAAATCGATCTTTGAGGGGGGGTATCAGGCAAACTCACACATCACAATTCATATTGGTTCAAAACACTCAGAAATCAACTCCAATCCATTTGTGTGATAATTAAACAGTAGGAACACTATTTTGCACATCAGCATCAACATAAAATCATGCCTTTTGGTGGAGTAGGCAGGGGGAGAGGGTACCACAACTCTGAAACACGATTTTTTTTGAGGAAATGAGCATCGCCATTGCATTCAGATGGTTCAATAACCTTTGTACAAAGTCCTATTTGAAGCCAGGCAAGTCACATGGAGGCTGAAAAAATCAATCATTGGGTGAGGCAGCATGACAGGGGCGACTCTGCTTACATAAGCAAAAGCGGTCAATTTGGATACAGGGAAGCAACTTTGGAACTTGACTTTGACAGATCAAATGGCTGTTGCTGCTTGATGCATATGAGTTCAATGACCTCAGTAATGAGCCTGAGGTCCATCCATGCAAGTCATATGACTTGGGGTGGTTTATGACTCTGAAGCACCATTTTTAACACCAAATGAGCATTGCCATCGCATTCAGATGGTTCGATAACCTTTGTATCAGGTTCTATCTGAAGCCAGGCAAGTCAAATGGAGGCTGAAAAAATCAATCATCGGATGAGGCAGCATGACAGGGGCGACTCTGCTTACATAAGCAAAAGCGGTCAGTGGGCAACTTTACAACAACATGACTTTGATCCATCAAATTCAAATTGCTGTTCCTCCTGGTTCAATTGCTTTAGAAGTCAGCCTGGGATCAAGCCATGCGACTCATACAACAGCTGCGAAGGCCTTGGCACAACAGGAATTCATCACTCATGACCCATAGCTCATGACTTTGGAACATGATTTTTTGGCATCAAACAAGCGCTGCTGTCAGTTTCAGAAAGTTCTATGACACATGGCTGGAGTTCTATCTGATCCCAGGCAAGTTGTGTGAAGTCTGGGTGCAGCAGGCAAGAGGAGGTAGCATGACTCTGGAACATGATTTTTTTGGACCAGATGAATAACACTATGGTGTTCAGATGGTTCAATAACCCCAGAAACAAGTTCCTTTTGAAGTCGAGCAAGTCATATGAAAGCTCAAAAAATCAATCATTGGCATGATAGGGGCGACATTGGTTACATAAGCAAAAGCGGTCGACTTGAAGATAGGTGGGCAACATCAATCAAGATACATAAAGAAGATATATGAAATGCTATACCTCTATGCCTGATGGGTAGTGGAGAGAGGCATAAACCCACCCTCGCTGCAGGGACAGGAAGAGGGGCATAAATCAATTGTGCGAGCAGCAAGAATGCAGACACAACCTATGGAATGTGAAAGCAAGTGAAACCCTGCATTCTAGCTTGATGAATCTACCTCTGATCCAGATCATGGCTAATGGCTCGGACTCCATTGATGATGGATGGATGACCGTGGCTAATAATTCAGATTCCATTGATGATGGATGGATCACATGCATGTCACAATCACTGCATGGGATTCCATGTCAGCCAATGGGAAAACCGTGATTTCTTACATTATATATAGAAACTGTACAGAGGTTCGGTTATATCTATGGTTATGTTAGCCCCAAGGCCCCCAAACACAAAATGGTCAGGTGTTCTATTTAAATTTACCTACATAAATGGTAAAACAACCCTATAAAAGAGTGATTTCTACACCTAAGATTTGATATCTACATTGATTTGTATGCAGGTCCGCGGATAGACCATGTAGCGAGGGCGGACATTACATGAATTATATTGCAAATATAGTATATACTGATATATACATGGTATCTACATTGATTGATTTGCATAGAGGGCCGCGCATATACACATGAGCAACGGCGGACCACAAAGGATTTGAACTACGATAACACATCAACATAATATGTATTGATAAACAGACATACTTTGTATAGGTCCGCGGATGTGTGGATGAGCAACGGCGGACGGTCGATGACACACTAGACCTTGTCACGTGGTCTACACATGTGATGCTCGTGGACATGAATAATCAGCCATGAGGCAAGGGAGGGCGCAGAAGGGCAAGGGGGAGTAGAAAAATCAGCGAGCCGATTATTGATTAAAATCTATCATTAGTTCAGCTACCAACACATTGCCATACCTTGTCACCCAGTCGACAAAGTGGATGCCAGTGAAAAAAGCCAGGGGAGGAGGAGGAAAGAAAGCTAAAGTAAGTGTAGATCATTAAAGAATTCGAAGGAAGACTCACTGATAACGTTGGGAAATGATTGAATTTGATTAGGAGGATGAGGCGTCGGTATTCTAAGGGCACATTTGTAACCTGGTATTGGTTACACCCAGGTTATGGCTAGCCAAAAGAGCACAATCTGGGCATTTCTGAACATGTCAAAAATGCGCAGAACAGGGGAGGTCAGATCTGGGCATTTCTCAACATGTCAAAAATGCCCAGAACAGGGGGGGGTCAGATCTGGGCATTTCTCAACATGTCAAAAATGCCCAGAACAGGGGAGGTTGAATCTGGGCATTATGAAAGCAATTCAACCGTGGGAACTACTCCGATAAAAATGCAAAAATCAAGCAAAGTCAAGCAAAGTCTGAACGAGGATTCGACCCGGGCCATAAGGATAAGGATAAGGAATACAATAGTCAAGACTACGATAGCAAAAAATCAAGAAAACAAGCAAAAGACAAGGATAAGGATCACGACGGTCAAGACTACGATACGATAAGCAAGTCAAGGATAAGAAACGCGATAGTCAAGACTACGATACGATAAGCAAGTCAAGGATAAGAAACACAATACCATAGTCAAGACAAGGATAAGAAACGCGATAGACTACGATACAATAACTTACGATAACAATACGATAGTCAAGGATAAGGATAAGGATAAGCAGGGCAATCATATGTTAGACCGTCCCCACCCACCCACCCGTTAGCTCTCTCGTCGTCTCGTATAAAAACGTATTCTCTCGGTGTCTCGCTTCTCGGTTAGATAGCTTAGCAACACACTACAATACACCACAATACAATACCCCAGCAAGACAAGCAATACAACAGCAATAACTCAGGCAAAATCAACCAACACAATACCAAAAAAATAGCAGAAATCATCCAAAATGAACCCAAGTCTGAACAACATTTTCGCCTAAGCCTGCCCCTCACATCAACCAAAATCAAGCCATGCAATACCAAAAAAATACCAAAATGAACCCAAAACCAAGCCCAGTCCTGACGAGGTTTTCGCCTAAACCTACCCCTCACATCAACCAAAATCAACCAACACAATACAAATAAAAATACCAAAAATCAACTAAAGTCAAGCCCAGTCCTGACAAGGTTTTCGCCTAAACCTACGCCTCAGATCAAGCAAAAATCAACCAAAGTCAAGCCCAGTCCAAACAACATTTTCACCTCACCCTATGCCTCAAGATCAAGCAAAATCAACCAACACAACGCCAAAAATCAAGCAAAGTCAAGCCCAGTCCTGACGAGGTTTTCGCCTCACCCTACGCTTCAGATCAAGCAAAATCAAGCAACCTAATACCAAAAAAATACCAAAAATCAAGCAAAGTCAAGCCCAGCCCTGACAAGGTTTTCGCCTTCGCTTACGCTTCAGATCAAGCAACACAATAGCAAGAAAATATCAAAAATCAAGCAAAAATCAAGCAAAGTCAAGCAAAGTCTGAACAAGGTTTTCGCCTCAGCCTACGCATCAGATCAAGCAGCACGATAGCACAAAAATAGCGAAAATCAAGCAAAGTCAACCCAAGTCCGAACAAGGTTTTCGCCTCACCCCACGCCTCAAATCAAGCAAAGTCAAGCAAAGTTGAAACAAGGATGAGGATGAGCAACACGATAGTCAAGACTACGATAGCAAAAGACAAGGACAAGGATAAGAAACGCCACACCACACGCTACGACAACCAAGTCAAGTCAAGGATAACAAACACAATAGACCACCACACAATAACAACGCAAGACGACACAATACAATACAATCGCATACAATAACAATACAATAGTCAAGGATAAGGACAACAGGGCTCACCATACGTCAACATTCTTAAATCGCCCCCCACCCCCCCGCCCGTTAGCTTTCTCGTCGTCTCGGATAAAAACATATTCTCTCGGTGTCTCGGTTAGAGTTACCATACAACAGCCAGACAAGCAAGGCAATAGACTACAATAGTCAACACAAGCATAAGGAATATGATACAAAACCACAATAGATCACAATACACCCCAATAGTCAACCCAAGGACAACAAATACGGCACAATACCAAGACAACACAATACCTGCAAAATGGCCAAAATAAACCAACCCCAGAGCCATAAAATACCAAAAATAAACCAAAATCAAGCCCAGTCCAAACAAGGTTTTCGCCTTCCCCTACACGTCAGATCAAGGAACACAATAGCAAAAAAGCATCGAAAATCAAGCAAAGTCAAGCCCAGTCCAAACCAGGTTTTCGCCTTTCCCTACCCATCGCAACAGCAAAAAAATAGCAAAAATCAAGCAAAGTCAAGCCCAGTCCAAACAAGGTTTTCGCCTTCCCCCACCCTTCACCCCAGACAAGATCAACCATTCCATCAGCAGAAAAAAACAGCAAAAGTCAAGCAAAGTCCGAACAAGGCTTCAACCCGGACAAGGAGTGAAACAGTCAAGACCGCCACAGCAAAAAAATCAACAAAACAGGCAGAAGACAAGGATAAGGATAAGGATCACAACAGTCAAGACTACGATAAGGAAGTCAAGGATAAGAAAAGCAATACCATAGGACACAATACAACAGTCAAGACAAGGATAAGAAACGCAACGGACTACGATAGACCACCATACAACAATATACGATAACATACAATAACATACAATAACAATACAATAGTCAAGGATAAGGACAAGCAGGGCAATAATATCTTAGATCCCCCCACCCCCCCGCCCATTAAAGCTTAGAAACCCACCGCCCCCCCGTTAGCTTTCTCGTCGTCTCGTATAAAAACGTATTCTCTCGGTGTCTATCTATTGGAGTCAAGCATCTATGGTCCCATAGATGTTCCTCGAGGGAACACCTTAATTTGGTTAGTAAAGGGAACAGAGGAACACGAAGACCAATATTCTGTGGGAAAAGAGGGAACACCATGTCTTTATTTGGTTAGGCAAGGCACGAGGGAACACAGGGTTAGTGGGAACAGAGGAACATTATGTGTCATACTGTGTGGGAAAGAGGGAACACGGGAACATTATGTGTCACAATCTGTGGGAAAGTGGGAACACAGGAACATTGTCTGTGAGAAAGAGGGAACACATTCTTTATTTGGTTATGAAAGGCACGTGGGAACAGAGGAACATCATCTGTGAGAAAGAGGGAACACAGAAACGCTGTCTGTGGGAAAGTGGGAACAGAGGAACATCATCTGTGAGAAAGAGGGAACACATGGTCAGAGTCAACAGGGGGACATCATGTCTCATAATTTGTGGCAGGGGGGGAACACATTCTTTCTGTGGCCCTTAATTCACTGACCTTATTTACTCACCCCAGATTTTTCCTCCCTCATCTCTCTTGGCTCTATTCTCCCCATCTGACTCCATCCCCAGCCCTCAATAAGCTAGTATTTTATGTATATATTTCTATCAAAACATGATCTAATGATATTTTCACCCAGAACATAATGTTCCTGAGGCCCTGCAGGAAGTGTGCTGATACAGCATGAAAGAAGGAGGTGCTCACCACACCCACGAACACATTCTGTAAATTGTATAATTTGTCTGATAGACTGACCAACCTACTACTGCAGGCAGAAGTTGGCAAATGTCAATGCAAATCTTATTTGTACTGCAAGCAAATGATCAGGAAGGGCAGGGGGCATACCATCAGCAAGGCGTGAAAAAGGCTATTAACTGTATGCTTCATAGATCACTATCTATAGACTGTCATCCGCAATGAAGGATGTTTGGCACCCAAACATGATAGAACCACACTTTAATTGCCGAGTGTCCTAGTCCAATGCATTACAAACAGGATAACAAGCATTGTTAATATAACATGGCCATGTGGTGAGTATCAGACTTAATACATCATCCTTACAGGATCTTGCGCTAGTACTTCCCTTTGGTGTGTTCCATTACAGCGACCCCCACCATGTCAAGTCTGATCCGCCCTCTGTACTCTATACGATGATAGGTTCTCCCCAACATCTTTGCAGCCTCCAGTATTAATGTAAACCTCCACACTTACCTATGGTGCATGATAGCCCACTTGCCATGCCATGTCAAACCTCATCTATGCCGCATCACTGCCTCAGTCAAGTGCTGCGACAAATCCCACCTGCACCTCAACAATTTTAGCTGTAAGTGCAACTTGGGTATTGCTTCACTACACACCAGCTACTGTAATTTTTTTTCTCATTTCTGCTTGCCTGTGCATGGCTCAGTCATATTTTATATTGTTATCCTGTCAGATTCATTTACAGCAGTAATGAAAAGAAACTACTTTCCCCATCTCTCTTTCTTCACTCCTGTGTGAAAACAATGTGCAAACATTGCAACAATTTCACACCAGTAGACAGTGCTGTGTACAGTTGACTGTGTGTGAATGCATCTGTATGAAAGTTGAGCATAGTGTGTTGGAGAGTCAGTCCACGGCAGGCCATTGATCATTGTTGCATGTGCAGGCCATTATGGAAATTGTTTATGGTTGACAGTCCAATTGGAACTACTCACGCTCAGCGAAACCCGACAATTTAGAGGTTGATCCGTGAAGATATGCAGTTAGAGTACAAATTGAGGTGGATACAAATCTAAGAAATTCGGGACTGGCAAAACTCAGATTTTGTAGCAAGACGCAAAGAACCTTTGGAAAGGTGAAAAAATGCAAGCATATCAGACTTTGATTGCCTAGTTTGCAAACTTTGCACATATTGCATGCATTGCATGTTTATGTGTGTGATTTTTGCATGTAAGTCCATAGTTGTGCTCTACAGATAATGTTTATTCCCAGTTAGTGCAGTTGAACCACGTGCATCTTCTCATCCGCCCACCATGTCATTTGACCCCGCTGCAACCCCTGCTCGATACAAACATTCACTTGTCTTTCTAGTACAATATGACAACCATGAGCCTGGAGCAGTGAGTAGCCTTTGATTTGCTCACTGAGTCTCACTATGACTGTCGGTCTCTGTTGGTATTGTCTTTGAGAAGAGGAACTCGGACCTTGAGAATGCCGCAATCTTTGCCAATAACACATGTCAGATGTCAGCAAAGGTAGTCCTCGTTGATATATGAAGTCTGTTTGTACTGCAAATCATTCAAAGGTGCTATGTGTGTAAGAAGGTGAGTTGTCAGCTATAAATTGCAACATCGTGACATTTCCTGCTGGCAGATTTGAGATATTACATCAGTCATACATAGCTCTATTGCCATGAAAACATATCAGCAAGAATAATGTGATTTGATTGTTATTATGCAATGATGCAAGTGACCATGGAATACTGTACTTTCAGATTGGCCATTGGCGGTAGAGTTAGTAAATGTTGCTATGTCATCTTTGTGATTCATCATCACACTTGCCCTTGTCCTGCTGATACTCACTGAATGCCTTGCATCAAGAAAATAGGTTGCCGGCGATATGGGGGCATGGTGCTTCAACCTCACTTCAAACCCATTCACAAACAATATTGTGTGATGACTGCAGCAAAATCTGCAGCAAAGCATGCTGCCATCAGTGGGGCACTTCCTCAACCCATCTGTGATTTCTGCATCCCTGTCACCAAGG